GGCCATACCTCAGCGGCACGACACACGAAGTCCAGGTGTACACGGACCACAAGAACTTACGATACTTCACCACCACCAAGGTGCTGAACGGACGACAGACTCGGTGGGCAGAATTTCTGTCCGAATTCAACTTCACGATCCACTACAAGAAAGGCTCAGAGAACGCACGAGCAGATGCCTTGAGTAGGAGAGCGGATCATCACGACAACACATCTGAAGTCTCACCACCATTGCTACATCAACAGACAGACGGATCGCTACGGCACGCTTCCCAACCGACTGAAGACTACGAGATCGCAGCACTTCAGCAGCAGTCGGAAGATCCCGAAGGCAGGCCTCTGCAACCGTTTGTAGAATGTTGTGCGACTTTCAGGGAACAACGACTGGAACGAGACTTCCAGGGAATCATCGCGGACGACAAGCGCGATGCATGGCAAGAAGAGCTGGAATCCAAGATCGCAGGTTTGCGACTTGAAGGGACGAGACTCTGGTACCACGACAAGGCCTACGTCAGGCTTAGTGACCAAAAGGAGCTCATTCGAAAGATCCACGAGTCAAGACTCGGAGGACACATGGGAATCAGCAAGACAATTGCAAAAGTCAAGCAGAACTACGACTTCCCAGGAATCAAGCAAGCGACGGAAGAAGTCCTGGCAGAGTGCGACCTCTGCGGACGAAGCAAACCGCCACGACACAAGCCATACGGGCTGTTGCAACCATTGCCAGTCGCGGAACGACCATGGAGTTCGGTGACGATGGACTTCATCACCAAACTACCACTGTCCAAGGACTCGGTAACGGGAGTGGAATACGACAGCATCCTCACAATGGTGGACAGACTCACCAAGTGGAGCTACTTCCTCCCTTACAAGGAAACATGGTCGGCAGAACAACTTGCAGACGTGATCTATCGCAACGTCACCTCGGTCCACGGATGGCCGGAGGAATGGATCACGGACAGAGACACGAAGTTCGCATCAAAGTTTTGGCAAGCTCTGATGACGAAGCTGGGTACGAAGAGTAAGCTCTCGACTGCTTACCACCCACAGACGGACGGACAGACGGAACGACTCAACCAGGTCGTCGAGCAATATCTACGGTTGTACGTCAACTTCCAGCAGGACGATTGGGTCGAGCTGTTGCCAGCAGCACAACTCGCCTACAACACCACCGTCACGGAGACCACGAAGGTCACGCCATTCTTCGCGAATTACGGCTACGAAGCAGATTTGCGACAGGGGCCCGATGTCTCGGTACCCCGAGCGGCAGTCAAAGCCGACAAGATGAGCTCGCTGCATGCGATGCTCAAGGAAGAACTCGAGTTCGTACGAACCAGGATGAAGAAGTTCTACGACAGAAACAGGCTCGAGGGACCTCGCCTAGAGGAGGGGGGCAAAGTTTACCTCGTTTCTCGAAATCTTCGCACGAAGCGACCAAGCAGGAAACTCGATTTTCGCAAAATCGGACCGTTCAAGATCGACAAAAGGATTTCGGAGAACAACTACGCACTCGCGTTACCCTCGACAATGCGACTACGGACCAACGTTTTCCACATCTCGCTTCTGGAACCAACGCCCGAGAACGCGCGACTCGACAAGGACGCCGAAGCAGAAGACGAAGAGGAGGAATGGGACGTTGAGGAAGTCCTAGATTCACGCATCATGAAAGGACAGTTGGAGTATTTGGTCAAATGGCTGGACTTTGGCCCAGAAGACAATTCATGGCAACCAGCTACCAACCTCAACTGCCCCGAGAAACTTCAGGAGTTCCACCAGAGGAATCCGGACCGACCAAAGGAAGCCCCACAGACAAGTCGGCCCCGGCGAGGAAGGGGTCGTCCGAAGAAAAACTAAGCACTGTCAGCAAGGAAGCAAGGAGGGGAGTAAAGAAGACAAACTTTTGAACCCAAGGAAAGTCAAAAGAAGGAACGCCGGCGACACCCGAGGAAGACGGTTGCCCGGTAGCAACCTCCCGGCGCTCCTGCTCCACGAACACCTCCCGCTCCTGCTCAAACATCGCCAGAGCCTTCTGTTTCAGGGCCAGGCGCTGAGTCCGCAGGCGGTCCGCCTTTTCCAGAGCCGTCATAAGGGCACGGCTCGCGTCAGAACGAGCACTTCGAATCTCATCCAACGCCGCGCGCTCTTTCTCGTCCAGCTCCCCGAGAGCGCGGTTAGCAGCGCGGATGGCCTCCGTCGCGGCACGCTCTTTCTCGTCCAGATTGCGTTCTTGATCCACCAGTCGGCGAACAGCAGAATCGTCGTTGCCAAAGGCGTCGCACGAATAGTTGCCGGCGCGAAGACAGCTACCACAGACGTCGGAGTTTTCGGCGGCTTTGCAGTCCGGAAGCTTTAGCGTTTTGCAACGAGTACACGTCACCATTGCGCTTCCAATCAAGTCGGCAAGGAGAGCCCCAGTGTGACGTCGTTCAGTGCTGGATTTCTGTTTCCGCTTTTGTTTCCGTTTCCTTATACCGTCAGTCATGGTGGAAGAATGAGTGGGGAGAACAAGGGAACCTACTAACCCAATGGGATTGGGGACTATTGGCACTATTTCAGGAAGTTGGCTGGGAAGTGCGGCCGACGGGACGTCGACCCTGGAGGAGGGGCATCGTGTCACGAGTATGCCGACCTCGGGGCGCGGGACGCCCCGAGCTGGTTACGGTAGACGGACCAATTAAAGAAGAAAGGGGGTGATCAGTGAGCTCAGTCGCCAAGCACTTGCCAAGTGTACTGAGCACACTGAGCACTTGGACCGCGCCACCAATCAGGACACGAGGAAGGTACTCAGGGAGCTCAGTCCGCTCAGTAGGCTCAGTGTCCGGAGAGCACACTGAGCACACTGAGCACACTGAGCACCCAAGAATTAGATAGGTATATAGTCACTCGTTCTGGAGAGCTCTGGGAGTTCTCCAGTTAGCAATCACAACTACAGTTCGCTACAAGCTCGAGAGCCTACTGTTGAGACAAGTCTTTGTTGTGCACCCTTTGGCTGCACCGAACCTAAGCACCCTTGAGAGAATACCTTCGACCGATACTGAACCCTAACAGGACGGGTCCAGAGACAGGTTCGTCACAAGAACTTTATTTAAAAGATTATCTTTATTAAAGAACTTTATTTGTGACGAACCTGTCTCTGGACCCGTCCTGTTAGGGTTCAGTATCGGTCGAAGGTATTCTCTCAAGGGTGCTTAGGTTCGGTGCAGCCAAAGGGTGCACAACAAAGACTTGTCTCAACAGTAGGCTCTCGAGCTTGTAGCGAACTGTAGTTGTGATTGCTAACTGGAGAACTCCCAGAGCTCTCCAGAACGAGTGACTATATACTATCTAATTCCTGAGCTCTAGACAGCTCTCGAGAGCCCTCTAGAGCTCGCCGCTCTTGATAGCTCTCGAGAGCCCATGAGAGCAGCTCCTGACTGGCCGCCCCCTTTCCTGGCTCCCGGGTGTTCCATAGAGCACCCTGTGATTGGTTCGTTAAACGACTGGCTCGGGGCGTCCCGCGCCTCGGGGGTCCCACTTGTGGGCATATTCGTGACATTATTATAGATTAGAAAGATATATATCTATCTACTATATCTTTCCTAAGATAGAACTAAAGGTCTTTTAACTACCTTTAAATAAAGAAGATCTTTAAAAACTTTTTATAAAGATTTTCAATAAGTTAGTAGTTAGTAATAATAGAGTAGTTAATAAAGGTATCTATAAAGGCTATATACTCTAGCCTAAACTTTAGAAAAGTAGTAATATCCTTATAACCTTCTATAGTAGTATAGTTATATAAATAGTCTTTTTAGATCTTTAAAGTCTATCTCTAGTTATTATAAATAAATATCTTAGCTAAAGCTTTCTATAGATAGTTAGTCTTAGTTATAAAAGACTAGTACCTGGTAAATACTTTTAATAGCTATATCTTATTCTTTAAATAGTAGAAGTCTACCCTTATATAGCTAAAGTCCTTAACCAGGTTAAGGGACTAAAGCTTCTTAATACTAAAGAGTATTTATATAGCCTATTTATAGAGGTTACTAATAAGGTTATTAAGAGATTTATACTAGTAGATAAGAAATAGGTAGTTAAAGGGAGGGTTTAAAAATAGTAGGATATTATATTTATAGTTATTATTATATCTAGATATATTAAAAAAGAGAGTAGTTACTATTACTATATTACTATAAGTTAAGGGACTATAACTAGTAGTAAAAAGCTTACTATATAGCTATACCTATAGCTGTAGTGGTGAATTTGATGATAGCTTTGTTAAAGAAATTGAATAAGTTGAATTTTATTGTATTTTTGAAGGAATTGAGCGATTCCGGGTATATTTGTACGTGCGTATTGAATTGGAGATTGAGAAAGGAGGGGCGCGCGCGCTAGGGTTGGGGTTATATATGGGGGAAGTCACGTGGTATAGTCCTGTACGTTAGAACCACATAGTCCTAAACGACAGCCTCTTTATATAATACTTAACAAACCTGGTCTAGGCTGCAACCACCTCTCATAGATAGCTGCCTGGATATGGCTTTGCATTGTTTGTACCCAGGTAGGTAGGCAGCAATGCGGTTACGTGGGTAAACGACGATGATTCCGGAAGCGGTTTACGGCGATTCGATTAAGGCTTAATACAACGCAATCAACTTAAATATAGGGGTATATTTGAGTTGATTAGGCCCAAACTTGACCGGATTTGACTTGATTGTGTTTGAGTTGGCTGAAGTCAAATCCAGTCAAATCCCCACATATAACCCTAACCCTCACAAACCCCTCCTTAACCTTCCTAACTTGCAGTCGTCGGATATCAATTTTATCAAAACAGTTAAACTACCTAATCAATCTTGCAATGGACTGAGCAACTATCTGTGTGGAAGCCCTGCAAACGAACCTACAATCCACCTGTTGTAGGTGCCCAGCGGTTATACAGGGGAGGGTTGGATGTGGCTGTTGTGGCGGTTGGGGGCATTTTGCAGGACTGAATTACTGTATCTGGCTTGGCAAATCTATCAACTCAAACAACTCAAATCCGACTGCTTATTTGATTGACGAAAACGTCGATTTGCGTTGCATTTGAGTTGAATTGAGTTGATTGAGTTGACGAGATTTGCGTTGTGTCAGACCTTGGATTCGATTGCTCAAGCCTCAGTCCCTCCATCCCTCAACCTGTCCAACTCAGTTAACCGCCTCCCCATCCCCCAGCACATATGGCATCCCCCTTGCCCTCGCCCGCCAAAACCGGCCGCATCCTGGCAAAAGTCGGAATTGACCGTCTGGGGTATGGCGGCATCGATGATTGCATTACTTCCATCCGTTGCAACGGTCGAAAATTCCACATCGAGATGTCGCCCTCCTTTATTTGCAACTCCCCGATCGTCGAGTCCCGGTATCGGAAGTTCATCACTGTTGTTAGCGGCGACTACAACTACGGCGACGAAATTACTGACGCAGAGGAAGGCGAAGGACAACAAGACTCGGAGGAAATCCGAGACGAGTTCCACGAATGGCTTCTTGCTGCCTTAAGACCCGTCTTCCTGGAGGTTGTCCCGGATGTCCCGCCCTCCTTTGACCCTGAAAAGCTTGCAGCAGGGGAGGCTCACCCACGGCTCTCCGAATACCTTTTCCCCGAACAACACTACTATCGACTCGAGGTGGAGAACGAAAAGCCCTTCCCTATCCCGATTCGAGATAAGGAGGACCGCTTTTCGCCGGCTCTCAATGATATCCACCCAGACCTCGCCCAAGAACTTCGTCACCATGCCAAGTTCTTCGACCCCTCCTCCATCGAGGTCTCCTTTCGAAGACCGGAACAAGCCCTCTCAGGCGAACCTACACGGGTGCTCGTTGACCTGGATGACTCAGGTCCGAAAACGGTCTGCTTCTTCAAGAACCTGACCCGGGCCTATTATCTTGACCTGGACAAACAACTCGAAGACCATCTCCGGGTCCTGAAATCTACTTTGACACCGAACGCACGCGTGCCTCGTCTACTTGGGGTTGTAGTAGTAGATGGTCGTATCGCGGGACTACTGTTTACATACATCAAACACCGTAACGAGAATGACGGGCTGCTATTCGAGAACCATCTCCTTTATACCCCAATCCCTCTTCGCCAGCGCTGGGCCTCGCAAATCCAGGACACTGTCGCCCAACTTCACAACGCTGGTCTTGTTTGGGGCGACGCCAGAGCAGACCACGTCATGATAGACAAGAACAACGATGCTTGGCTGATCAGCCTTGGTGGTGGTTATACCGAAGGGTGGGTGGATAAGGACAAGGCTGGCACGAAGGACGGAGACCTCCAGGGAGTAGCTAGGATCGTCAAACATCTCAACAACGAACCGTACGAGCCTTACTCGGGCTCGGACATGGAATCGGACGATGGCTGTTAGAACAAAAATCGCTTAACGGCACCAGACGGGGGTCAGTGAAGTTAGGATATCTTTGCTCGCGAGCGTGGTGAATATAGCCGGAAGGGACGAAAGGTCTTTCTTCAGCCAGCCATAAGGGGAGTCAAGAAAGTATATCTCCAGTCACATCCCGGGTTGGGGCTTGGGAAAAATGGTGTCTCGGTGGGTAGGTCCCCCGACCGCATGATCAGAAACCACGCGTTCTCACCGTCCCCCTCCTACAGCCGACTACTGCGCTTTGGTCCTTGCTTCAAAGCACCAAGACCCCGAGAACGAAAACTACGCCCTCAGCAGAGTGTCCGGAATACCTTCACGCGTACCCCCGGTCGTGCCATCATGGGGCATGATAGCCCAAGCAGCAACCCTGCGGTTTTTCCCCTCCCCTTAACTATGGGCAGTAGTGCGATCATCTACGAGAATGATGGCTGGAGTTCGGCAAGCCTGTTGCCGAAGGGTAGCGGACGGCGGGCCATGGGTAGATCATCGGGTTAGACCCAGGGTTTATGTTATGGTCACAATGGGGTAGTAAGCAAGACGGGGTTGCATAGCCCCAGACTCGTTATTGTGCAGGTACCAAGAGATAAGTGACTTTATTGCGGTAGCTATGTAGCCAAGCACAGAACCTGCTTCGTGGTCCTCCACTACATTGCTTCTCCACCCCAGGCCCTAATCGACGCCGCCAACCTGCCTGGCGATCCTAGCAGGCGTAGGTGTCGTACCGATACTCGTCGCCCAGCCGCGCACAGCACTCGAAATAGCTTAGAGCGGTGGCTTGGTGAGTCGCGGAGTGTTCATCCAGCCGGCAACCCCAGCTGTCTTTATAATAAAACTTGCGCTCCCGGAATCTCTCGCTTGGGCACTTGTCCTCGCAGGCTTCGCTTCCGGACCAACCGATTCCCCGGGACGACTTGTGCATTTTCCAACACCGATGCCAAACGCAGTCGGCGGCGCCAAACACTACGCTGAGAGTTAACCTCGAGTCAAATGCCGAAGCTTGCAGGGTTGCAGGTACTGACCACTGGCCGACTGCGCCAAGGCAGCGATGATGATGGCGGTAACGGGCTTCATGATGCTTAAGACGAGGGGGTGACTGGGTGGTTTTGGTTGCTGAAATGTAGGTATGAGAAGGAGATGCTGTGTTGAGATGATGTCCGGGCAAGTCACTGGGTGAGGAGAGCACCTATCCTTTTATACCCGATTCCGAATTGTCATGTACTCCTCTTTGGAGGGTTTGTCTCATTGTTCTCAGCAAGTCAGTTGGGCTGAGATCTACGGATCGTCCGTGTAAGGATCGATCTACAGGTTAGTGTACAGATCGTCGGCGGCTGGATCTGTACCGAGACCATCCGTGATGGGATCTCGGGATCGCCCGTAGTGGAGTCGAGCCCAGCCATGGCGGGATCACTCGCTGCGACATACACACTTTGGTGCATGTTGTTTTCCACAACGCGTCGATTCACTAGTTGGGCGGTTCACTGCCGCCGGAGCCAATGTATGCCCAGCTCACTTTTGTATACGCAAGTAGAAAGTCATGGCAGAGCACCAAATTGCAGATAGAGTCAGGATTGGGTCTCAGTTTGAGCCGGGGGCAACCCGTGACCGAGGCGGTGGAGGCACCGCCAAGGGATGTGACATGTCTTGTCTCAAACGGGGCGGCGCGCAAACGCCCCTCTTCATAAGTATGTACATAAACACCAGAGACGAAGTACTGTCGGCAGCCTCCGGCACGGCCGTGGGGAAGGATGTCGGTGGGCCGGGGAATAAACCGACGGCCCGCGACAGCGACTTGTGTTAGTCGGCTCGCTAAACGGAGGATATTCCGCAAGGTACCTAGGTAGTTGGTGGCGATTTAAGATACCAAGACAAACCAAGTCTTGGGCGAGGAATGACCCGTATTTACACCAATAATACTTATTAAAACGAATTAGGTCGGTCTCAGTTCCCCTTAGCTTCGGTTTCATTTTGCTCTTCTGACCACAATCACTCAACCCATATGGTTAGAGGCGTAGATCATCTTGGATGAGATAGCGAGAGTCTAAGACTTAAACTGAACCAGTGAACACATGCGCAGCCGTCGAGCCCTCACCGCGCCGCTCTCGCCAGAAATGGGGGCCGTAACGCTGCCGATCGCACAACGCACATTCACCGGTCGACACGAACTTGCTCTCACAACAGCGCTGTCCTGCGAACCGAGCAAGATCAGTGGTAGTTGCTAACTGAACACGGCAGGTGCCGAGAGCCCAAGATTATGCCAAGTGCTATTCCGCCGAGTTCTCGTGGTGCCCGTCACGCGAGCCGGACCATGAGCAGGTTATCCCAAAGTTCTAGCGGGAATTTGGATGGCTGGTGAAGGCTGCCGCTCGACTTCATCTCTTGTCAGGATGGTGCTCTTGCGGACGGCCTTCTGCGCGGGCTCTCCTTCAATTTTACGCTCTCGCCATGAACCGCCGTTTTGTGAGGCTTGGGTTAGAGGGGATGTACGTGCTCAGGTGCAAGTGGAAGAGGAGGAGATTTATGCAGACAGAACGAAGTGATGGGTGTAGACGTCCAAGTTCTAGCAACCACTACAAAGGCATTGTTGGACAACGTTTTCATCAACGTTTGCTAACTGCGTTTCCCACTCGACTCTAGTCTTCCGCACACGGAGCACCAATCAGACCGCCAACGGCAAACACAGACTTCAGAGCAAAGTCAACAGGCACCTCGACATGTTGGCAGACATGGCCCGTCTCCTTCACGCCTACGGCAAGTCTAGGGATGGGCAATCCTTCGGGTTGGCGTAGAAGGTGCCGCCCAGCTGCTTGATGATGTTGCATCGCTCCTCCATAGTGTATGCATTGAACAGCATGCCGGCGTGCTTTTTTCCCCCGATTTCCTCATCATCGATGAGGATCCATACACCACCCTCAGCCGGCCAGCCGGTGGCGAAGATGATCTCGCCGAGGCGCCCGGGGGGGAGTTCCCTCTTATACTCGGACCATGCGTGCTCGCTCTCCCACCAGTCGGCACCCAAATAACGCACTGGATTAAATTGCATTAGTGGAGTGCATAGGTACCTAGGTAGAAGGTACAGATCTGTACCTAAATAATTATCCAAATTCAGGGTGATTACCTACTTTTATTGCAGTGCGCCTCTTCGTCTGCGGCGGTGTCGGGATCCGCCGGATCGGGGCGCAACACTGGTTTGAACCGATCGTAGCCAAGAAACTCGAGCTCGACGGCAGAAACCGCGTTGAGCACGTACAACCCGCCCTTGGCTGGCCAGCCGAGCACCAAGGCGCCAGGCCAGGTGCCATATGACACCCTCTCTAGGGGCGGGTCAAAGTACGGTGTTAATATTGGAGGGTCCATGGTCTCAACCATGATCTCGGGTTGGGGCTTCACGACCAGTTTAAGAAATGTGGCCGCTGCTACGACCACAAGAGCGACTTCGATGAACATGGGCGGCGTAGCTCTCCAGACGGGTGGTGTGTCAAAGCTAGGTAGGTACGGAGGAACAGGAGGAGGACGTCGGATTGGACGTGTCAAGGATATGCATGCCCGCGGTTCGTTTAAAATCGAAGAAAATGCCCCGTTTTGTCGTCGAGTTGCAATTGTGGCAAGGACGCCGTCTTGGAGTCACGCGCTCACGAAGACATATGCATGTAGCGAACATTGGGCGCTTAGATGGATAGGCCCTCCTAAGAATAATTAGGGAGGTATTTACTATGGTAGAGCGGTTTCGGATGGACCGACCGTCGAATCCTCCGGGCTGCCGTTGAGAAGACCGGTGAAGATTCGGTCCTCTGGACGAGATTGGAAAAGGTCCCTTGAACTAGCGAACAGCGATGTTACGGTTACTTTGCTCGACGACATATTACACAGTCTGGCTCTTCGTAGTGGAACAGTGAGCAGGGGCGCGAGGCGACGTGGGGGCCGTGGGGGGTTGTGGCAGAGTGAGCCGCTGACGAGAAATCAACGAACTTACTCCTTGCTTGTAATTAGAGGGCGAGAGCACGGCAGTCCTAGATATTGAATTATGTAGCATTCCATTTGGCAAGTGAGTTACGTCCCGATCAGCAGCAACCTAAGCTAATAGAACAGCTTACATCCGGACCACGAAGTTGGGCATCATCAGCTGAAGAGGGAGGAGCCTCGCGGCTTTGGTCAGTCATGTTAATAGCAACTTCGTATTTGGCGGAACACGTCTTGTCATTGGCCGTTGCGGCGACGAGGCCGACTTTCTCCCTGCCCGAAGTGGAGACTCAAGTCGGTGTGGTTACCTACTAACGATGTCGATATAATTGGCAGGCTCATCGCAGTCTTGTGAGGAAGTAGAGAATAGAGAATAACCTTGGACCCTTCGGGGCTCCTGCCAGGTGTCGATGACGGGAATGGAGTTAGATGGTGGTGAAGGAGAGAGATGAATGGAGGAGTTGTCCGAGACCGAGAATGGAACACAGCCACACATCGGGGGAACACTCCAATGTTACTCTCGGTTGCTCAGCGCGCCACTCGTAACACCATCAGGTAGCATCCTCAGACAGTACTGCCGACCTAGGCTTTCAAGGACATTTTCCGCCGCATACCGCGCTTCCCACAAAAATGGCTACGGCACCGCACGCTGGGAAGTGAAACAATATTGAGGAACCGAGCTTAGCGTGATCAGCCACAAGTGCGCGACGGCAGCTGAATAACCCACTAGCAGACAGGATCGCCGCCGATACTCGGACAGCGCACTCGGATAGCACACTCGCATAGCGCGCTTGGATACTACATATGCATGTTGCTGTTTATGGCCGTTCCCACATAAATCCATGAGACGGCGAATTGTAAGAGAATGCTGCCCAATCTTGTGCGTCATAAAATGTCAATTACATACAATGATGGCATTCATTCAATACCACAGTATGACAATCGGAAAAGAGCTGAGTGTAACAAGGGCTCTTGCAGTGGGCTTGAACTTCAGAGGTTGGTACGCAATAATCTTCTTTGGCCTCAAGGTCCTTGGTCCTCCACAACGCGAGGGCATGGTGGACTTTTCGTGTCCGTGTTGGGAACCCCGGGCACCGTCTGAAAGTGGCAACCAGCTCCTCGGGGAGCTTGCAAATACCCTCGGTGTTGTATGCTTCGAACATAGCTCCCAGTACCCATGAGAGTCTATATATTGATTGGTCTATATTGTACCATCCCCGCAAGCCACACTTCGTAATGATCCTCATGCTGATGGTGTGGTTGGTCTATGTATAGCCAACCACCACAAATCATGCATCACGATGCTTTTGTCCTTCCTTGGCAGTGTCGTTTCAATGACGCGGGCCGACTTCTTCGGGCCGGGGATCGGAACTGTGTGACGCTGAGGGACCGGAGGAGAAACGACGAAAGTGGAGAGAAGAGAAGGTAGGAGAAACGAAGAGAAACGACTGCTCTCAGTGTTCTGTGCCGTGTGTATAAGTATCCCCTTCCTCCTCCTCCAACTCGAACAATTCCTATCTCTTTACACAACCCGGCAACTTTTACCAGCACACCGTGCTAACTCGACTATCAACCTGAATTCCGCCCACCTTCTCCAACATGGCCCCGATCCTCAACCGTAGCAACCTAGCCGCCATCGGCTTCGCCGACGGCAACGGCGACCACATCCGTGTCTACTACCAGGATGTCGAGGGCTATATCAGGGAGACCTTCTACGACAACGGCATCGGCTGGGCTCGGAGAGACGGTGACGTTGTCGGCAAGGGCAAGCTCGACACCGGCATCGCCGCTACCACCTGGGCAAACGGAACGCAGGTATGAGGTACTCTCCCATCCCATTGTCAGATACGACGGACGGACGGATCCAAATCCGTCTCTGTGCTGCTCGTGTTGACGAGCTATTCGTACGCTGACCGCTTTTATCTCCGATTGCCTATAGATCCGCGTCTATTACCTCTCTGAGGACGACCACCTTGTCGAGGTAATCATCGAATCCCTATCCTTACTCTCTATATCCCGTCCCTTCACCCACCTTCCAACTGCTGATATACTATGCCTCATTAGCGCTGCTACACCGGCGGCGGCTCTGGCTGGTCCGATGGCTCCCTAACGAGTGCGGGGTTTCGGGCAGCCCCCTACTCGCAGGTCGGCGCTGTGCCGTTCAGCCTCGACAAGCACGACGCCCGTGTCTACTACCAGGACACCGAGAACAACATCATCGAGGCCGTGCTCCAGCCGGCCACCGAGACCTGGGTCAAGGGCAACGCCAACCTGCCGACCGCTATCCCCGGCACAAGCATCTCGGCCGTGTCGTCCGACAACCGCCCGAACCGGCGCGTCTGGGTGTACTACCAGCTCGCCAACACGCAGCCTACCGAGTACCAGCTGATGTCGAACGGCGACTGGGTGGTTGGTATGTCGGATGTGGAGCGGGTGTCGTGGCTCGCAGTGCCGCCACGAAACCATCCTGCTCTCCTGCCTTTCTTCTCCCCTTTCCTTCTCCGATTCCTGCCTTTAGCGGCCTCGCATTTCTAACGGCGTTGCGTTTCTTAGGTGGTTATAAGCCCGCAGGCAACTTCCCCCCGGGCGCCTATATCTCGGCCGTCCACTGGGGCGACTACAACATCAACGTCTTCGCCGTCGCCGACGGGAACACCCTCGTCAAAACGCCCTGGACCAAGGCCGCCGCATGGCAGAGCACGGTGCCGGTCGAGACCGTCATCCCTAACGCACCTATCGCCTCAGTCAAGGTCGCCACGATGCCGACCTGGATCCGCGTCTACACCCAGCCGTCCGGCCAGCTCATTAGCGAGCTGGGTTCCAATGACGACGGTGTATCGTTCATTACGATGCAATCCTCCATCCCTGTTGACCGTTGATGTAGTAGCTAGTTGGCTAGTTTGGCTACCGCAGTAAAAATGGGGCTTTAGTAGCTAGTTGGCTACCTAGGTAGTTTAGCTACCGTGAAAAATGGGATTCACTCTTCCGGAAGTGTAAAAGCTGATGTCAATGTGACCTGGAGGGCGATGATAAGGTAGGTAGGTACCCAATAACTTGGTGGTAATGCATCTTTTTCGGTTCCTAGAACTACCCAACTACCTACCTACCTTACCTAATTAATTATTGCCGAGCTTCCAGCCAAGTGGAAACACCGGCTTCAATTTATATAGACAGTCGAAGGAAGCCTTAGGTAACATTCTCTGATTAACCTCTCTTACTTAGTCTTCGCTATCAGCCGTTTTACCGCAAGTGGACGTCAGACTGGGAGCTGGCGTGTCAAAAGATGGAGGCGGGCGTGTTTCAGAGGCGGTTCGCTGTTCGCGACAAGGAGGACTGATAATCTGGTGCTGCCATGGTTCCTTTTTGTGTTGTACCTGACAAGGTCGGAATAATACCCCGAAAAACCATAGTCATATTTACGTAGTTACCTACCTACCTAGGTACCTACCTATTATGAGACCAGAGACCCACTGCTTCTTTCAAGTACTGACCTCCCGCAGGATGTCTTCCACGTGTGCAAACGAGAGCTCCTCCAGCGTTTCCTTCCACAGCTGGTCCGAAACCTTCTCCTCGTCCTTGGTGTAAATCATCGGGGCCATGCTACATTAGTCAAGTCAGCAGAGCAGGAATTTAATTTAAAAGGCAAAGAAAAACCACTTACGGCACGACCTTCTGGAACGACAAGAACTGCCCATGGACCTCCTCCCCATGGTTGACCGCGGCATCCGTCATCATGCCGGCACCTACGGCCGCCGTGTTGGCGATCCGCCTCATGACCGTCTTGATGACGGCCCCGGCAGTCGTCTTGTCCAGGTCGCGGTTGAACTCGGAGTCGTGGACGGATCCCGGCGAGGCGCCGTTGATAATAGCCACGCGTCCCGGGGGTACGAGCTTCGAAAGACGGTGCATGAACAGTTGGCCGAGCAGCTTCGACACAAACATCCTGTCGACCGTGTCCACGCCGTCCGCCTTCTTGTCCAAGGCCGCGAGGATGGGCGCCTCGGCGCCCAGATTGAATTTTGCCCAGGCCGCGACCTCGGACGAGGTGAAGGTGATTCTGGTCGGCGCGGACTGGTTGGTGCGGACGGCCTTGGCGACGGGTAGGAGCAGGATGGCCAGGAGCGCTGTGGACAAATAGTTTACCTGGATCGTCTCATCCAGTCGTGGCCCGTCTTGTCGTTGAAGATGCGCTTGGCGGGGCAAATGCCGGCGTTGAGCACGGCAATGTCCAGGCGGTTCAAAGTCTTTGCCCGCTCGGCAAAGCTCACGACCGAGGCGTAGTCGCGCAGGTCGAGATGCCACACCTCGATGACGCGGGGATTGGACGGGTCGTCAGGGGCCGAGGAGAGCTTGGCAGCGGCCGCCTTACCTTTAGCTTCGTCACGCACGGCGAGGATGAGCCTACTTAGACCCAGGTGGACTAGCTGGCGAGCGGTTTCAAGGCCGACGCTCGTGTTGGACCCTGTGACGATGGCCGTCTTGCCCGAGAGGCTGATGTTTTGGACGACAAAGGGCTTGTACCTGATTTCGCGATACAGAAAGCGAGGGACGCTCGCCTGCTTCTCGGGGATGGTGGTCTCGAACGTGGCCATGGTTGCAGTGGAGTCTGGAGACATACTGGACGGTCGCTGGCGAGGAAGAAGCGGAACAAAATTGAAGGATAACGGACGACGGCACGAGTTTGTCACACACGCACCACAGTGATCAGTCACAAATCACAATGAAATACGCCGACTGTTGGTAAAAGAAGGTGGTGTTTGGGGGCGCAGCTCGGAAAAGCCGACATATGATCCCTTGGGATGTACCTGTACTGTACCATCGGCATATTACCCACGATTATCACAGGACGCGTAAGACAGTGCAGTATGCGGTATAAACGGCACAGTAGCACGGTACATGTAGCACCAAGATAACGGTTGGGCACGCCCGCCGCAAATAGACCTTCCTTTAATTAGGTAGCGATTGGCGAGCACCCGACAAACAATATCCCCGGGGCTCCTCTGCCGTCACGGCCCATTGGCTGTTGCAAATCGAACGAGAACTTCAACTGCCCGCCCCAGAGCAATACCGCAAGGCGTCATCTGCGTGGTCGACTGACGGTCTGACCCGGGCTGAGCGCACATATTGTAATCGAGACTGCTCCCACAGACTGCTCCCAGTAGGCTGTAGCGCCTCTAGGACCTGCGAGCTCAAGGATCGGCATGAGTGGAAGGGTGGTGAGGACCTCGTCTTCGTATACCAGCTGCTTAAGATCCAGTTTAGGTATAAGGCCGCCTACCTGTTCGATGGCGGCAACGACGACGACCACGACGACGACGAGAAGGAGGAGGCGGTAGCAGGAGAGGAGGGAGACAGAGAGTACCTATATATAACCACTACTCTAACTACGGCTTCGGATTTGAGAGAAGTAGGAACGGACTTTGGTGTTAGCAGTGCAAATACCGCTGGATACTTGTGTATAGCGTTTAAAGAAATTTAAGATAATTGATACGTGATGGCTGTTTTAATTATGTGACAATAGGTCGGTACATGTACCTACCACCCCGGCCTCTGGCCAAAAAAAGCCGAACACCAAAGGAAAATAAGACATCAAGCAATAAGATGGAAGTTAAACAAAAAAACGAAAGGTAAAGTGAGTAAATACCTACAGTTTATTTTAGCTTCTAGATAACCTTTGTTTAGTTCCTGCCGCCGACGCTGAGTCGACATCTAGGTTCCTACCTAGGTAGGTAGTAGGTATGGACCTACACTTGGATTCCCGCTTCTTTTGCCCATGTGGTGCCTACGGTGCTTTTGAGCACGTCTCCCTCCACTTCCCCCACCCTCGCCAAGCAAAAAATCAACTCCAACATACTAATCCCTCACATTATGTCAATCAACATGCCGCTTCGGGAGACGGACCCAGATTTCGAGAGTGAGCTCTTCGGAAAAGTCAAGGCAGCGTTCAACGCAAAGTTCGGGGTTCTCCAATATCATCTCCCGCTGCCGCTCCTCCCGGGCCTCGTCGATGGATACGGGGAGAAGCTCCTGCCGTGCCATGAACCTGCCGAGGAGACCATCGCCATCAGCGCCCACATGTCGGTGCGCATCCATGCCTTTTACGAGCAGATTGCCGCCGCCTATAACGGGATCGAGGATCCGCCAGCTAGCATCGGCGTCAAGATCGAAATCCAGCCGCAGAACTTTAACCCAGAGGAGCCAGGATGCCACCATCGCAGCTATCACTCACGCCGCCTGCAGCTGCATGACCCCGAGACACTGCCAGATCTGCCCTTTGTGAGCAGCCTGGCCATCAGGTCAACGGCGTACGGCTCCGGCGCCGAAAACGCGACAGACATACGCCCTCTGTCTCCCCTCGTGCCGCTGCAGTGCCTCGTCCACCTGCCGGCTGTCCAAGAGTGGAATGCCCCCTGGTTGTGGGAGCGGCCCATGCCCGCCTCCATGCCGAGTAGGGTGATGCGCGAGCACTACACCTGGCCGTGGGAGGGCCCCCTGCGAGACGCCCGCCACGAGTTCGGCGCCGCCATCATGGACCAGGAGAAGCACCTCTGCGGGAAAAGGATCCCCGCCAGTCTGACCAGGGCCGCACTGCACTTCTGGCCTTTCTTCTCGCTCCCCAGGCATGACCAGTCCGTGGCCCGGCCGAACCTGATCCATCCGGCGGATAAAGACCCGGTGTCTGTCGGCCTGTGCAAGCTCGGTGCGCAGCTAAGCCTGTTCGACGTGCGTGCTGTGGTCACTTCAGACCTGTTCCCGAGTCCCGAGGCGTCAACCGACCAGCAGTGGTCACAGATGCGGCGATTCCGGCTCGAGTTCCATTGCCTCCGCCCAGACGGGCGGTGGTACTTTGTCGGCCCCGGTGGCGAGGATCCGCACGACTCGGAACAAGGAGGGTACAAGATCTCAGACACAGAACACTACCCCCGCGAAACCGAAACGGACGACGACATGGACCTCCACGCCGAGTACGGCGACAACCCGGATGACGGGTGCGATTACGATCTAGACATGTTCCGCACCGAGCCCTGCAGGGAGCGGATCGAGCCCCTGCTTGCGGCGTTTGCGAAGTCTCTGACTCGCGACAATATGCCGAGCCTTGAGGACGCCGAGGTTTTCACGCACCTATGGTGGTACCCTTCAGACGACAGAGAAGCGGAGAAATATCGTCTGCCGATGAAAAAGGGCCACAGATGGGGTGTCAAGTTTATTGCCGGGCGTGGTAGTAAGAATCAGAAGGACGGCGATGCTGCCGCTGCGGCACCAACACCACCGGTGGTGCAGTGGCAAGTTGGCGACTGGAGACCCAGCGAGAAGGTCATGGGTTTGTTCGAAAGCCTAGGACGGCAGGAGTGGCTTGATCTCGAGTGGGACAGGTATAGAGATACGGCGGGGCGCGACTTGCTAGGAAACAGCGAGTCTTCACCCATATAGTCGGGCGGGCAACCGGAATCCTTTGTTGGGGATTTCGAGACCAAGTGGTCTGATACCTTTTTAGAAATGGCTGGTTGAATATGCGATCGCAGCAGCGGGGAGGGCGGGGACGTATGCTATGATCGTTTTAAGCACTCATACCTCTACAATCTTCTCGTCGCTACGTATAAACCAGTTAGAAAACAACGCAACTGATGGTGGCAGTGCACATGGCGACCAATGGCGCACCTTTCTCTTCCGTCACGAAGCAGCGGGGTTGGCGAATCAGGGCTCATCGAACAACCCACAATGTTGCTTGGCTGCGCACAGCCTCAAGAGCCTCGTCAACCACGGATGGAGAACGAGAGCCCAACAGCCCTGCCAGACTTTTCTGCCTTCAGCTTGACAACCCCAGCCAAGAGTCCAGTACTATCCGGTCCGTCGTCCCGCCAGGGATACGATGACGACCCCAGGCGATGTCATCGCCATCCTCGGCTTATTCGAGCGCGTGGCCGTTGAGCTGCGCAACTACAAGGACGCCCCCGCACATTTCCAGCACCTCGGCGTCGAGCTCGATCTCCTCCGCAGCACACTGCGCCATACCCTCCAACTCCAACCCGAGAACGACGATGAGCGTCAGGTCCTCAGCAAGGTTGGCGCCATCGCCACGCACTGCCTGCAGCCTCTCCAGGCTATGGCCGACAAGATGCGGTCTAAGGAGAGCAGCCTCGGCCATTTCCGAACAACGACGTGTCTGGTGAATATCGGGACCCGGGTCCACTGGTCCCTGATCGCCCGCAAGGATGTCGACGAGCTTCGGAAGGTTGTTTTGGCTGAGATGGTGGCCATTAATATACTTCTGAGCACCCAGCAGCTGTATGATAACCATGTACGGTAAAAGGATTGAGAGTCTGTATAGTATAACTAACTCTTGCTGGCAATGATGGACAACAGGAGTCAGATCAAGCGCCTCTCTGCCGAGCTTAAAGGGGTAGAAAACGTACAGTCCGCCCTGATTAACAAGCACTCAACCGCTCTCATAGAGCAGACATCGTCCATGTTCAAGATCGTTGCCGCAACACCAGACGCAATCGCAGACCTTCGGACCATCACAGTCGAGCAGGCAGTGAGACAGTCGGCGGAGGGGCAGGCGCATCACCGGGGATTGGAAGCGGTTACAAAGCACATAGAAGCGCTGTCACTCACGACCAAGCAGACCTGGACGGCCGCCCAGCGACACGCCGCCGCGATGGGCCGCATGGTCAAGAGGCTGAATGCGTTGATGGGGGACATTAGGAAGCTTTTTTCTTTGTAAGTGTCCAGCGGAGGCTTGCTACCCCATTCCTACCCTCTGACGACGGGTCTACCTTAATTGCTAGTTTGGCGACGTGCTCAAAAAAGATGTTGGAGGCGATTGGGCGGAATACGTGAGCCTCTTACTCCCTGCCAATTGCAATTATACGGAGTCTGACCCCAAAGCTAATTCCTTTAGACGATTGCTGCTTTATATCGCCAGCCAGATGAAGCGCGTTGTGGATACCCTCGACGGCATGCCACGCGGCCTTGGAGTAAGTATTATTCGTCTCGACGACGCCTTGGGCGATACTTGGGGACTGCCCTTGCAGGCCTGTGAGAGCTGGGATGTGAGTCCATGTTCCTCCCATTAGATCACTCGGCCGGAGACACTGAGAAAACAAGTCATTTTACAACATGCTTCGGCTCGTTGTGTTTGCGGGCAAGCCAGGCCTCGACCGGGTCGTAAGCGGACAGTTTGTTATTACGATGGCAAGGACAGGCGTGAGACTCGATGCGTGGAACTGGGATCATTGCATCAAGAGGGACATCCATCTCGAGCAAGCCATGATGATCCCCTCGCCGGGATCAGGGTCGAAAGGATGCCCCTTTCCGGGGTGCGTTGGCACCATTTTATCGGGGGCTGATGGCGAGAACACATGGTGAGTGCCCCGAGTAATATCCAAGGTACTTGATGTCCTTACAACCCCCCTTTCTCCAGCTCGACGTGTGGGCGCCAGTCAACGACACGAAAAAGAATTAGTGTTGCCCTACTACTAGAGACGGAACTACCGCGCCCCCCATCTGCAGAACCACCGCCGAACATGTTGCAAAACCCGCGTGGAGTTAGCCTACCGCAATTGCGGGTGCCAGCCGACGAGTATCAGCATTTTCGCCGAGTCCAGATTCAGGAACCCATGGAACCGATCCAAGATATCGACGAGGCGTACCGCAGACTGGATGAGGATGGAACAGACGCCTCGGCCAATGGTTTTCTGGGCTTCGAGGCGTTGCAGCGGGCCGAGGAGATTCGTGGTCAGGGTGACCTTGACGCTTCTGAACATTTTGACGAGGCGGTGCGGCGGCTCGGGACAGCCTTACGCTCAGGTAATAACCTCCTCAGTGTCGAGACTAACAGGCGGAGTGATGTGCTAATTCCAAGAGCGGCAGAGTCTTCTATTGCGGAGCATTGGTATCTTCTGGGCAGAGCATACAGCGGCATGGGAGAGTACAGTAAGGCGTACGAGGCACTTCAGAAGGCGGTGTACTTGAGGGGGCGAATTCCAAACTTTTGGGTCACGGTTGGCATCTTGTACTACCGTATAGACCAGCTCCGGGATGCTCTGGATTCCTTCACCAGAGCGATACGTCTCAACCCGCGCTTGTACGTCAGCTGGTACAACATAGGAGTTTTGGTACGCCGGGCTTCCATTACCTTTAGGTTCTCTGCAATACTCCACTAACAATTCAAAACCAGTACGAAGCCGCCGAGGAGCCGGCAGACGCCACGGACGCTTTTCAGCACTGCCTGGAGCTAGCCCATCCTCGGAAACTTCCAGCATTGGAAGCGCGGTTGCAGGTTCTAACGAGCCGCCGTGGGACAAACGCTAGCCCAGGTAGCGAAAGAATCCTTGCTATGCTCGAGACTGAACTGCGACCCAGTCTTGAGAAAGGCAATTATTCCGAGGATGCAAATATATCTCTTCGCCCGCTGGCGCGACCTTCAAGGTCCGGGCCGGACCGGATCCAGCCGTCGCCGATTTCAGAGTTCCAGGCCCAGGTTCACCACGCGGCCGAGTTTAACCGGCGGGTTAACCAGCAGCGAGATATGCGCAGTGACTATATGCAGAACATTTGGCGCAGACCGCACGAACACCCCCCTCCGACAACACCGAGCTCGCCTGTTAGCTCGACCAATGGTACTTGACTGTGCCGACTAGCTGGGCCGGCCCGGCAAAAAGAACAAAAAAAAAAGAAAATCAAGAAAAATAAATGAAATAGAAGGATATCGAGAAAAATAAAAGAAATAAAACAAATGGGGCAAAAGAAAAGTAAACGGAGTAAATGTAGTTTCTTTGGACTTTAGAGTACCTAGCTTTCGTTTTGTTCCTACAGTCGAAGTTTCCGTTGTCGACAACTGCACTTGGAGTTCGCCTTTTTTTGTCCATGAGGTGCCAGCCTACAAAATCCACTCAAGAGACTTTCTAAAGAACTTCCTATTTCCGGCCACTTGTTGTCCCATCTAATTTATAGCTAGCGAACTCAGCTTCTCTTTACTTGGATTTTGAGATATTTTCACACCAAATTGATACATTGGATACATGTATGATCGGTGTTCCAGTTATACGGTCCCTCTTACCTCGAGGTATTTAAGATACAAGATGAGGTTTCCGTCGTATTTAATACTGCCGGGCGAGGGAAGCGGGAAAACCAGCATGTCCATCATCCAGTCCGAACTCCGAGGCAATTCCGGCGAACTATCCGCTCTCCGCGCCGAGGTCGCGCGTGTCACATTCGCAGAAATAGTAGTACTCAAGCTAGCGCGTTTACACATGTCTCGTCCTTGTGGCGTCGCGACGGAAGGCGGAAGCTGACAAAACATGTTCACATTGACAGGGCTTGGGTCCCAAGTTCCTCCGACTCCAACCCAAAATGCCGACAATTAAACGAAGTATACACAGAGTCAAGGCGAAACGGGACAACACGATGACACAATCCTTGTAAACTCTCCGCGCGCAAGGGCTCGTTGGGCGGCAAAGTCTGATCATCCGGGGTACAAAAAAGGGGGATTGCATGAGATCCGCCTCCGATATAAAAGTCGACCCGACACCCGCCCACTGGCAGTCTTTCATTGATATCCCACCGCAAAGCACCGCCCCAGACCACTATCCCAAGTGGTACCTACCCCCCTCCTGCATAAACCCCCAACTCCCCTTCTCAACCAAACCAAACACCACCCCCTATGGCCACCACCATCCCCCCCACCCACCGCGCCTTCCGCCGCAGCCCCGGCCTCGGCACCTCACAAACCCCTCTGACCCTCTCCCTCTCCATCGAACCCATCCTCCCCTCGGCCGGCCTCGGCACGCACGACGTGCTCATCCGAATCCGCGCCGTCTCGCTCAACTACCGCGACGCGCTGATGCTGCGCGGCCTCTACCCGGGCCCGGCCCTCGCCGGCGGCATCGCGGCGTCGGACTGCTCGGCCGAAGTGGTTGCCGTCGGGGACCGGGTGACGCTGTTCCGGGTCGGGGATAGGGTCGCGCCGAACTTTGACTTGGGGAACTTGACGGGGGAGATTGGGGCGGCGGGGCATCTGACTGTGGGGGGGGATGTGGATGGGGTGTTGAGGGAGTTTGCGGTGTTTGAGGAGAGGGTTTTGGTGCGGCTGCCGGGGTATTTGTCGTGGGAGGAGGTGAGTTAGTGCCTGTGGGGGGGTGTTGGGGTGGTGGGGTTGGGTGGTTGCTAAAGCGGTGCTGTGTGGGTAGGGCGCGACGATTGCCTGCGCTGGGCTCACGGCATGGAAGGCTGTCGGTGCCCCCGACTCGCTGGACAAGAACAAGTCCATTTTGATCCAAGGTACGTGCGGGTTACAATTCATATCTTCTATCAGGCTACGCCTTTGTTAACAACGACGCAGGAACCGGTGGGGTGAGCATGTTCGCCCTGCTAATTGCCCTCGCGGGTGGGCTCAAGCCGATCATCACGTCGTCGTCGGACGAGAAGCTTGCAGTCCTGGCTAAGAAGCTAGGCGCACCCAGCTTCGCTAGCTACAACTACCGCACCGACCCGGACCAGGTAGCCGAGGTGCAGCGGTTGACCGGCGGCAAGGGCGTTGACGTTGTGGTGAACAACATCGGGCCGCCTGGTATACCCGCTGATATTGACTCGCTAGTCCCGTCGTTCGGCCTGGTCTCACTCGTGGGCTTTCTAGCGGGCGTATCGGCAGACTGGAACCCAGGAAAGCTGCTGTCCGTGATCACAAAGACGGCCCGTTTACAGTACGTCCATAATCAATTCTGGTATTTTGTCTGGTCTGGGTGCTGATATAATGGGCTTCTCACAGGGGCGTCGCTGTCGGCTCAAAGGTCGAGTTTGAGGCACTGATCAGCTTTCTTGAACAGAGGCAGGTCCGCCTGGACACGCTGATCGACAGCAAGATCTTTGACTTCGAGGACTCACAAGCGGCTCTTGACTACCTGTGGTCTGGAAAGCACGTGGGTAAGGTGGTCATTCGACTTGGATAGGTGTGTTACAGAGGTCACAAGCATGTTCGCGTTCTGTCGCATTGGAACAACGGTATCTCTGCAATGATGAATGGGACAAGGGTCAAAATTAAAATATGTGCTCGAATTATGTATTATAAAATACCGGCCGAAAACAATGCTTCAATTACTATAGTGCCTCCTTGGTACTAACTACCAAGTACATGCCATGTTCTAACTTCCCGCCCATTACTGTTCTTTCGTCCATCCCCCGAAGGATAGATGAGATCTAAAGATGATCAGCCGGATAAGAATTCCGAACACCTTCATAGGCCAACTCGGCCAAACGATATTTAGTCTCGGGCCGTGCTCCATTATATGGAGTAAAGCCATGACATCCCATGATAGGTGGAAGGTTTCGTACATCTTAAGTTGGCAATCCTGTTCTTCAGTCTGTCGAAGTCCATCCAGAGGCACAGACTCACCATGGATTGACAGCGTCTGCCGGGTCGTTTGCCAGAATTTGAGAGCTACCCAGTCCTGCTTCACCGCGATATGTTTCGCGACCACGGTAAACGCACCAAGAAACACGCGGGACGCCATCAAGAAGTAGTAGGCTTGGCCAATCTGAGTCATTTCGTCCTCCCAGGTCGTGTTGATCCCCCCTTGAAGGAATTCGCGAACCCCTGGAGATCCCAAGCCCGCCAGTGGCAGAATAACCGGGATCGAGGCCCAGAAACGGTCCAGATGCACGAGCACAAGGAGGCCTCGGCCAAAGGTGAAGCAGGCGAACTCGAATGCGGCCCCAACCAAAACCCACACCAAGACCCACTCCATGGTTGACTGGGCTATGATGATTGTTAGAAGAAACAGTCGGCAGGCGACGACATATAGCCACGGAGGCCCACCCGGTACAAGCCTGCAGAAGAGGAAAGAAGCGAATTGAACAAACAATTCGTACTTGGCGAGCCAACCCCATACCTGCTTGACGGTCCGTGAGATACGGACCTTCAAACCTGGCTGTGCATCGGGGTTGATGTTTGCAAAACTCAAGTGGGAGTCCCATACCAGTAGTACTAGCAGAGCGAGTTGAGCAATTATACATTGAATCGTAGCCACCACGAGGGAGGCAACGTGGAGGGGGAACGACGGAATGACGACGACAGCTCGCCAGAGTTTTGCCGTACACTGAAGCGCCGAGCGGACAAGGCGTAGTTGCCTACAAGTAAAGAAGCTCCTCACAGCCCCGGTGAGACGCCCTATTACTGCCAGCAACACCGTTTCGCCCAGAACGTACTTGAGCAGTCTGCTAGGAATTGCCAAGCAGCTTGAAACAGCCGTCCGGGTGGCATTTGAAAAGTAAACCAAGCAGAGGACAGCTGCGCATTGGTAGGGCAGGCGAAGCGCGGGGGCGAAACAATCCACCAAGGATAGGAGACTTAGCATCGGTGCCATGCCGTCCAACGCGAGCTTCGTGCGCCTGGCCATCGTAGCCATGCTTAGGTCGGCCGCCATCATGCAGAAGTCCCTCAAGAAGGAATAGTCGTAGGACCCAGGTAAGGAAAGTACCGTGGCCGAGGCATTCGTTATTGTGATCCACTCCTGTGACCCGTTAAATAGGCCGCTGCCTTCATGGTCCTCTGTCCATCCCACATTCCGGTTGGTCCTGTAGCATTTGAGGTGTACAGGCTTCTTTGTTAACACTTTCTTGTTTGGAAATCCCACAAGTGGCGGCTCAATTAAGCCGACTTTTTAACAGAACTGGCAGTTTGACATTGTATTTGAAGCTCACCGTGACACACGACCTCCACACCCAAGGATAACAACATTGACGGGACGTTCAATGGAGAGTTATGGGATGGTAAAATGAATGGCCGCCCGCATCCCTCTATTATTTACCCAATACTACCTACATATATATTAAGTTTTGTACGGGTTGGCGGTGTGAAACAAAGAGCTCCATTCCCCATTGTGTGGCACCAGCCCTCCTCGGCGTCCATTCCAGTTTCAAGTGCTCCATTCTTACCTGGTAATTTAGGTACCCACACAATAGAATAGCCCAGACGCCATCAACTTAACAAATGATACAGCCACAGGCCCTTTTTGCTCTTGGGGGGGGGGGGGAAGCCGGAACTCGCCTGGTGCACAACGATAGGGGGTGAAGCGGGACGGGTGCAGCTAAATTTGTCACCCAAACCCCCCGATATTGTCGTCAGGTGGCTATGGAGGTACCTAAGGGACCTTGGGTAGGCATCGTCCTATGTAGGCTTGCAAGAGGTCTAAGCGTGATGTTCAGTATGGTTCGGAGATAGATATGAGCCCGATGAACCGAGCGTTTCCGCCCATTCCGTGCAAGTGGTATGTACTAGGGAGCGGCAGCTCAGTAGGGTTTTGTTCGGTGAAAGTTCCCTTCTCCTAATATCGCGTTACCAACGCTAGGGAATGTAACCTTGGCCTCATTCTCCGCGGCTGCATGGTGCCCGCTTATCAATCTCTTTGGTATAAGTGCGCTATAAACCACCTTCCGTGTTGGGTAACAATAAAGCTGCAGCTGAACCTCCTCAACTGGTCCCAGACCCCCGGAACTCCACTCCGTGCCGCGTGTTGGCCCCCATGCTCCCGCCCGGCGAAAATGCTCCCCTCCCTACATTGCCAAGTTCCATCCGCAGCACACAACATTCGGCCGCTGGTAGTATTCGGGCTTCTGTTCTCGGTTGACTGGGATCCTCCGGGCCCGAAGCATATCGGCCCAGAAAGCGGGGGACTGCAGTGTAGGGCAGGATGCGTTTATGCAGTAGCATCTGCAACTGCACCGAGGTATTCAACCGCGTTGGCGTGTCAGCCTTTCCACGTCCGCACCCCGCGGTGGGGGCACGTAACGCATGCAAGTCGCATGGCCGTTCCGGGGTAATGGTGATAAAAGGGGGGAATTCTCTACGCCGTGGAGCATCGAGGCCTATGTGGTGTTGGATCGAGCTCAACTGAATAACTTGCCATGGGTGCTCTTCGTCTCTCCTTCGGAATATTACTCCTGGTGGCTTTGTCAGCTTCGGGAAAGACATTCCCTTTTGAGGCTGTCCGGTTGACTCAAGCTGATGCTCGAAGTTTCCCGGCGATCGGATTTGGCGACAGAGAGGCAGCGCCACCCTGGTCTAGCACCACCCCGAGTTGCCGTGCATGGCCTGGGAGTCACGACTGGCCTAGCGACCCGGAGTGGAAGCAACTTAACGTTTCCCTTGGCGGTGCCCTCCTCCGGCCTTCTCCTGCAGCATCTGCCTGTTACCAAGGAGACAATTACAATGAAACCACTTGTCGGTGGCTTCTAGATGAGTCGAGGAGGACACATTTCTGGATCGAGGAACCGCTCTCAACACTCACACAATGGCCCCAAGGAAGCACATGTCCTTTGGCCCTAAACGCTGAAGGGACCTGTACTCGAGGAGGGTTCCCAGAATATGTCGTCAACGCCACAACTGTGAAGCACGTCCAGGCGGCGGTCAACTTCGCCAGGAACAGAAATATCCGCCTCGTCATTAAGTGAGCACCCTTCCTCCATTTCCTACTCGGTGTCTAACATAACAACAGGAATACTGGGCATGACTTTGGCGGTCGGTCTATGGGGGCGGGGTCGTTAAGTATCTGGGTGCACAACTTGAAGGACTTCGAATTCATTCCTGAATACACCGTAGGCCGCTATTCGGGGATGGCGGTTCGGGTTGGAGCCGGCCTGGAGAGTTGGGAGCATTTCAACCACATGGCAGCGAACAATATCTCAGTCGTTGCCCCCGGTGGAGGCACTGTCGGCGCCGTGGGAGGGTGGATTTCCGTCGCTGGTCACGGTTCCCTGACCTCCAAGTACGGCCTAGGGGCGGATCAAGTGTTGTCCATCAACGTTGTGACAGCCGATGGTCGTTTCCTCACCGTCGACCCTAACAAACACAAAGACCTATGGTGGGCACTCAGGGGGGGTGGACCAAGTAAGCGCTCCGCCAACAAGCGAGGCAAAGCCCAAATACACTGACGCAAACAGGCACGTTTGGCGTTATCACTTCAGTCATCCTCAAAGCCTACCCGCCCATCAGCGTTACTAACGGCGGCCTTAACTTTGCCGTTAACCCGTCCCTGAACAACACCCCCCCTTCCACCGACCCAAATTCCCTGACGGACCTCGCCTCCTTCTGGAGCGGTGTCTCCCTCGCCTACCGCTACTGCACCAACATCATCGCCGCCGGCGGCTACTGCTTCAGCTACATCTACCCGCTCGGCAACAACTCCTTCCGCTTCACCTCCTCCCAACTCATCCCAAACATCACCGCCCCCGCCTACCGCGCCCTCCTCCAACCGCTCTACACGCAGCTCTCCACCCTCCACAACATCCCCGTCACCCTCCCCACCACCATCACCTCCTCCCTCTACGCCGGCAACGGCCGCCGCACGGGGTCCGGCGACTTCCCCGTCAACACGCGCTACCGCTCCCGCCTGTTCCCCGCCCGGGTATGGCAGAACGACACGGCGTGGGCCGACGTCTTCGACGCCATCCGCGCGGGCGTGGAAGAGGGCGGGTACAACTTCCACGGCATCGCGTATTCGCCCACCACCGAGATCGCGGGCTGGCCGGGGGCCGACAGCGCGGTGAATCCGGCGTGGCGCGAGACGGCGCTGCACGCCATCTTCATGGAGGTGGTGCCCGTGGGGCTGAGCGCGGCGCAGGCGCGGGCGGCGGACGCGCGGGTGCAGGCGTATGTCGACCGGTGGCAGGCGCTGATGCCCGAGGCGGGCGCGTACATGAATGAGGGGGATCCGGCGGAGCCGGAGTGGCAGGCGAGGTTCTATGGGGAGAAGTATGCGCGGTTGGTGGAGGTGAAGGGGCGGTGGGATCCGTGGGGGGTGTTTTGGGCTAGTACCACGGTGGGGAGTGAGGGGTGGGAGGTGGTTACGGAGGATGGGTATCCGATGGGCCAGAATGGGCGGTTGTGTCGGGTTGGGAAGGGGGTGTAACCTCGGGATGCGGTGAAGGATTGCCGGATTGGAAGCAACTCTGAGTGGTAGTTTCTAGATCATCACGCTCCCTTGCATGCCTACCATCACAGAGTGTTTGATGACTTTCCTGAAGTTCGATGGTGTTAGTTGGGGCCCCGAATCCAGAAACAATACCATGGTTTTCGCTATCAGATGCTATGCAATGCCTATCCCAAACGCCAGACACAATGAAAATGTTTATCATGACCCGTTCATACTCCCGTCAAGCCAACTCCCTCTCATTACCCAGGCTCTCACCCCGTCATTGACGCCCCAAATCCCCAAGATCCCCAAGATCCGGGCTCAAGAACCCCCTCAACGCCTCCTCCACCGGCGTCAGTGGCGGCATCCCCTCGCCACCCGGGCTGCCACCCATATTCGGCGAAGCGACCTGCCCCATCCCCAACCCATTCCCACCTGGCCCGGTAGGGACAGGATTAGCAAACCCCGTCTCCAACCTCGGCCGCACCATCATGGCATTCGGATCCATCTGTCTAGGATACGCAATCCCGATCCCATGCTGCTGGCCCGTATACGGCGGATATGTCCCCATGACCCGCGATGACGGCATCCCCTGCATGGGCTGGCCCTGGCCCGGGTGCATGCCCTGGGCGAAGGGATGCGGGGTCGGCTGGCGGATGCCGTAGACGTTCTGGATCTGGGGCATGCCGCCCGGGTGCATCGGGCCCATGGCCATGCGCGGGTACATGCCGTTCATGGGCGGCGAGGCGTGCATGCCCATGGGTGGTGGTGGTGCGCAGAGATCCTCGATGATGGGGCCGTTGGCAAAGTTGGCTGCCCACATGGCGTTCGGGGACATGGAGGGCTGCATGGGGGACTGGCTCATGCCGGGTTGGGGGTTGCCGTACGCGGAGGGGTGCATGGGCATGGGCTGGCCGGGCATCATGCCCTGCATCTGGGCTTGTTGTTGGGCGGCGGCATATTGTTGTTGTTGCTGCTGTTGTTGTTGCTGTTGCTGGTAGGGGTTGACGGAGTAGACCGGATTTGGAACATAGCGGGAACGGTTCATGACTTGGTTATTGGTGATGTTGGCACGGTCTTCGTTTACCTCGGACTCCGCTTTGTGATTATCGGATCTCCTACGATCGTCGTTTAGAGGCAGTAGGAGGCAAAACGTGATAGAAGTGATTGACAGTTGGCATGGAGGATGGGTACGTACAAACCTTATAGCCCTCCCGGGTCGTGCGTCAGCGCGGTAAAACCCGGCTTGCTCGGGACCTCGGTTCAAAACAATAACATACTGGCTCCAACACGGCGGCCCGAATTTTGCTGTCTATTATTGTTTCGGGCGAGGCCATTCCCCCGGGTGGGAGTTGGGCGCAACCTGGGGTAACCAAGGAGGCTTAGGCGGGGGCTCGTTATTGGGAGATTCGTTGTCGGTTTTCGATTACGGACAAATCATGGCAGTTCTGGTGGCCCTCTCGTGTTTGAAACCCTCCGTTTGCCTGTTTCAGAAACCGGCCGGGGCTAGACCGGACGACGGCCGGGGCCGGGCCCGACCCACTCCACCTTTTCTGCGGCGCAAAACGGAGGCGGGACCCACTCCTCCGGAGCCCTCCGGTGATCAAGAAGGGTAAAAAGGAAGCCTCAAGGCAGCCAAACAATTGGACCCCAAAATACCGACCGAGTCATCACAAAGCCTCCCGGTATATGTCATGACTTATGGCTTATGAATTCCTGGGATTAATCGGGGCTTTCGCACAACGCATTTGGTATCCGAGCCGGGTCCATTTTGCTGAGTCCATTCTACTCGCTTACTTGGGGTCCTAATTCAGCATACCTCGCAGCGAGTCGGTGCAGTACCCGGGTCATCGTTTCAGGCCCATCGATCTTCCATGTGTGACAGTAGCAGAACTCCCAGTGTTCCAAAGTCATTGTTTCCTTTATTCCATGTGGGACCATTGAGGGCGGTCACTAGGGACTGACCTTTCAGCGCTCTTTGTCCAACCGCATCTTTCATCACCCCTTTTTACCACCTTACGACTCAGGGAGTGAGATACCAACACATATCTACCCCTTTTTACAGTTTACATCACTTCTCTCCGTCAGCAATTCCAAACATCAGTCGACATGTGGCTTCAGCGCGCACTTCTCCGGCTCTCCATCCGGACCAGGCTCAGAAAACAAAAGTTCCGAGAGATCAAGTGGGCCGACGACGGCGAAGTTCGACCCCTCACCCGCGGCAAAGCAAAGCAGTTTGGGTGGCCCGAAGATATCCCGCCCAGGGCGATTTCCAAGGGAAACGCGCCGTACCGGATGAGGTCCAACCTCTCATACTCATCCCAAGCGCCTCTCACCATCAATGAAGTGATGAGGTCTTAAGCAGGGCCTCGGGGGAAACACCACACCCGACGTCATTGTCGAAGAAGTGAAGCTCGAAGAAGTGAAGTCAGTGTTTGGAGGAGGAGTTCTGGGGTTTCGGCCGTCCATTCAGAAATGGTGATGGGCAAAGCATAACTTGGAGTTTGGCGTATCAACTGCCATCGGTGTACACAACTGGGCGTGTTAAGATTCTGTCCTTGGCGCAATAAACGGTTTTTGAAGGTGGATAAATGCATGATCAATGATGAAAAACAACAAATGTTTCTGATGCCATTAATTACCATACGCCAAATCCGCTGCGCTTCATAGCGCACCCCGAACTCCATGCCCCAGGTCTTGTTAAGAATACACTCCAGTCCCAAACTCCAACAAAAGCCATCAAATCCAGTCAAACCCCCAAACCACCAACGCCACACCAAACACCCTCCCCCCTTTACATAGCCGTAAACCTCGTCATCCTCTCCTCAATCTGCAACTGCACGTGCCTCGGCAGACTGCTCAACGGCGTCCAGTTCGGGACATAGTGCGGCCCGCGGTTCATGTACACCCGCGCACGATCCGCATTACGCGAAGCATTAGGCGGGTAGTAGGGGGTGCGGCGGGCCGAGCGGATCAGCGGCGGCGCCGGCGGCATGCCCGTCATCTCGATGTCGCCCAGGGCCGGCGCCGACGCCCCGGAGCCCGCCGACGAGGCGGACGAGGCGGACGAGGTGCTCCGCGACCGGGGCCGGGTGGGCAGGCGGTGGATGCGCTGGGAGGCGGAGGGCCAGCGGGGCAGGGCGGAGGTGGGCGGGCTGGAGGTCGGGGTGGTGTTGCGGCTGGAGCTGGTGCTGCTGCTGCGGCTGAGGGTGCCGGGGGAGCGGGCGGCGAGGCCCGGGCTGGTGGAGGGGCTGGGGAAGCTGTTGAGGGAGGAGTAGCTCAGGTTGTGGGTTGGCCGGTGGGGCGTGCTGGGCGGGGAGGGCAGGTCGAAGTAATCGAGCAGGGAGCCGTCTGAGGGACCCAGGGCGAGGGAGGAGGACGGATATTTGGCGCCCGGGCCGGTCTGGTGGATGTCCTCCATCAGGTCGTCCTCCGGCTTGGAGAGGGACCGGAATCGGTCCGGCGTATGGCGCCTGCTTGTGAAGGAAGGCATTTTGGCTAATTTTGCACTGCTTTTTCTCAACTGTTTCTCAGCTCGAAAGGGACTGAGTTGCGCTGAAAGATGTCGACTTCGCGAAGGATGGAGAAAACAGCGATGCCAGCGCTTGCACACAAAGGAAAACAAGGTGTGACGAAGAGAACGGAAGCCGACTGACTGACTGAGTCTGAGAACGGGTCAACCGCACTGGCAGACCTCAAGGTCATCTTGCACGGCGACCTGACCGGCGGCTTCTGTTTTAATGATTCGTGTAAGACACCCCGGTCACCGGACCCAGGCCGGGTTCATTGGCCGGAGCCTCGCAACCTCCCAAAACGTGTTTCGGCGCTAAATTTAGGGTCACCCGCCGGTTTGGGACGCCTTTTGGCAGGCCATGCGGCGCCAGAGGCGGTGGTCGAATCAGGTGCCGCTAAATCACCAACGAGCACTTCTCTGACGGTTTCAACGGCAATGTCATCCTGTGCATGTGGCGCGAGCACCACTAACTTACAAGAATTACCCCCAGCTGGGCTGCTGAAACGAAATTAAGGCCGCCTGAAAGGCCCTGTTGGCCGCAATACTCGGGCTGTGAGAAAGGGATCTCGATCTTCCCGGGCCGTCGGTCGAGATGCAATCTGCGATTTCATCCACCCTGGTTTTCGGTTTGGCCAGGTGTGAACGAAGATGTTTTCCCACGCATCTTGGCGTTGTGCAAAGGGTTTCCGCGCGGTGAGCGATTCTAAAATACCACCTCAACCACAACTCGGACAAGAGTTTTTTTTACCCTGGGAATATCGTATTGCCTAAACCAGAGCTCGGTTTTGATGTTTTCCATGGGTGCAACTGTCAAGGCTGAAGGCAAGTGAAAGAGGCACAAATTGGGCGGCAGAAAATTCAGGCACAGAATTGCGGGGAGAAAATGCGACCCCCCACCAACAGCCCAACAGCGGGAGATGCGATAAGATAACGAGCCTCTTCCTGCGGCAAGTTCAGCGAAAAGTTCAGCGAAACATCCAACAAGCTGGGAACGAAATAAACGATTTGCATCAAAACTAATAGATGGTATTCGTGATGATGCGAGATCCAAGCAAACTAAACCCGCGTGATATCATAGACACAAGACCCTCACACGCGCGCTGTCCCTGATCACGCTGCATGATTTCCCAAACAACATCCCAACCTGCCCCTCCTAAGCCTTGACACCAGCAACGGGGCAAACCGCCCCCTCCCCAGCACCCTCAACAACCGGATGCCCCTGCAGCTTCCCCTTATGATGTCCAACCTTGGCCTTGGTAACAGGGCAAACAGCCCCGTCCTCCTTCCCCTCGGTGGCGGGGTGGTCGGGCGGGAGCACGGTGGTGGCGGTGCCGACGACGGGGCAGACGTCGTCGTCCATGGCCTTGCTCTTGTCCTCGTTGACGAGCCGGTTGTTGAGCACCGGGCAGGCGGACGCGTCGCCCGCCGCGCGGTCCTCGGGGATGGGCACCTCGGGGTGACGGTGGAGGTTTGAGTGGTGGTCCGTCGTGGCGCCGACTACCGGGCACGTCTGCCCCGGCTGCGAGAGGTCGACGTCCGGGTGCGACGGCGGGAGCGTGCTGTTGGTCGTGCCGACGACGGGGCAGTTGGCTTGGGCGGTCGCCATCGTTGCGGGGGGTGGAGAATAGGGTTGAGTTTGGGTTGGTGGGTTTCGTTGGCGGGTTTCTTCGTTATTGCCTTGAGCTCGACAACTGACTTGATTTGGAAGCGTGAGTTGCTGGCGGATATGGACGATAGAAGTTGGGAGGTGTCTGGGAGGTGGTCAACGAGACGGTCGGTTGCCTAACGTTAAGAACGGGAGGCAAGCTGCCCGTTCATCCTTGCTTTGTTGGCCTGCCTCCCTGGCTCCTTGGTCAGCCCTGGTACGAGGCAGTGTTGGCTCGTTGGGCCCCAGCGGGAACCCTGAAGGCGATGACGTAGTGGGGTCGTGCGGCCAAGCTTCAGCACCACAAGCCAATAACAAGGCGGATCGACGGCAGGCATGTGTGCTGAGCGGGGCACTGCGGGGCAATCTGGACCCTCTCACGTGCACACCTGCTCGCCTCGAACCAATCATATCCAGGACATTGGTCAGAAAGGTCATTTGGAGTTTGCTGCCCCACCATCAACACCCGCAACGACTTGCCACCTGCTTTGCGGAGCTCGCTGAGCCTTCGAGCCTTCGAGCCCTTCGAGGTACGGGCCGTTGCTTCCTTGCCTCCACAGAGGTAGTGCCACGTGAGCGTCGACCCAAACATAACGCCGGCGACGAGGGAATGGGAATGTTAACAGCAAACCACTACGAAAGCGGAGGGACGGACCGACGGAGACAACCTGAAGACAACATTCATCAACGAGGTGATCTCTCACCCCATACGCTAGGTCTCTGACACAACCCAACAAGTTCTCCCCTCCCCTTGGCACAGTCCCTTCATTCACCAAAACCGCCCATGCTAGCCATTTACCGATGAGTGTATCAATCGAGTTGCACGGCCATTTGTAACAGAGGAACAAGGCACCCTGACTCCTGGACATGGGCGAAGACTAAGTAATGGAGAAAACGATAAGTGCATGGTGTAGGCTATCAATCGGTTGCCTACCTAGGTTGGAACCTGCCTTCGAGTCGTTCCTCTTGCTTCACAGCCTTCCAAAATATCCGTAGCCCCTGACCTTGTCCTATTAAGCCACCTGTGTCAGTACAAGATTACCGGGCCTTCGCCAACCCAGGGAGTTCGGCCGCAAGTTGTTTCTGGGCCCTACTTCCACAAAGTTCCCACCCGACAGAACCCACTACCTTCTTCAGCAGGTAGCAAAATGTCGTGGAGTACACGCGTTTCAGGGACAATTTGGATTGCGGGACGATGTAGCAAGACAGATATACGGGACGGCAATTTGTTTCCGGGCTAGTTAACTCAAGTTACACCTATAAGTATCTTTCCACCTTCTCCCAAATCTTTCGCGGGCTCCAATCTCCATGCATTTCTAACTCATCTCCTTGACAGCCGCTTTAACAACGATCCTCCAGGCCACAAAGCCCCAGCCCCAAACTTCATCCTTCCCACCCCTTAGTGCCGATCGATATGACTTTACTCGTTAGACCTACCTAGCCGACGGCCCCGATGAATACTTGACGGGCCGGCTCAAGCTGTTCGCGCGGGTAAGTCAGATCGAGAAAACGCGGAGGCGAACGAATCGAACCCCCTTTAGCTCCAGTGTGCGCCTGGGCGCCGGCATGGATTGGGGCTACAGACTATGTAGTAGAACGGGTAGACGAGTTACGGCGAGGGCGAGTGACTCGCAGGGATAAAGACGTCCTTGAAGCGAGAGTTTCCCTTCGATGTGGTTGGTTGGACACCATTAACACCGACTTACACTTGACCTCGGGGTTGTCCTTTTCCCCACATTTTTAGCATTCAACGACGACAAGCACCACCAGTGAGGCAACAAGACCAATGTAGGCCGTTAGATGGAAACTTGAACGCGAACAAGTCGTCCCATACAATCGTCGAATCGGAATGGTTCAAGCCATCTTTGCAATATTGATTGGGTCCAGGCCGGAGTCAATCGCGGCCGCCAAGACGAACCTCGAGCTTGCACTGTGCACACGGAAAATGGATGACGTCGCTCTGACATAGCAAAGCATGCGCTACACTACCTGGTGACCACGGGATGGCAAATTCTGGTCCTTGGCCTCCGCACCATTATATGATGCCCTTGGTCCCTCCGTGATAGGTTCTTCCATTTTCCTACTTCTACCCTATTTCCATTCGTCACGCCAGTGTTGTCAACCACAGGTCCCGAGATATCAAAATAGTTGCACAGCATGATTCACCCCGATCAAGTCGCCGAGATGCTCTACCCGGCCTTAACAACCTCCAAGCCGGGACCGATCCCCACGGTCATCCGTACGTCATATCCCCCCTAACCCCCAACTCCCACCCCTCCCCAAACACAATACCTGACAGCCACCACGCAGCCAACCCAACCCACTACCAACTCTCGAGCGAGACGGCGCACCGCACGCTGTGGGTGCTCTTCGCGGCCATGACGCTGTTCTCGGCGGTCTTCGCGCTGCTGTCGTGGAACGTGCCCGTGTCGAAGCGGGTGTACCACGTGACGACGACGGCGGTGACGCTGGCGTCGGCGCTGGCCTACTTCGGCATGGCGGCGGGCCACGCGTCCTCGCTCAGCTGCCACGCCGTGCGCGACCGCCACGGCCACGGCCTGCCCGACACCTTCCACGACGAGTGCCGCCAGGTCTACTGGGCCCGCTACGTCGACTGGGTCCTGACCACCCCGCTCGTGCTGCTCAACCTGTGTCTGTTGGCTGGTGTGGATGGTGCCCATACCCTCATGGCCTTGATTGCCAATGTTGTGATGGTGCTGGCGGGCTTGTTTGCGGCGTATGGTGCTGAGGGCACTGCCCAGAAGTGGGGGTGGTTTGTGATTGCGTGCCTCGGCTACGTGTTCGTCGTGTGGCATGTCGGCCTGCACGGCACGCGCGCCGTCCAGAACAAGGCGGCCCGCGTGTCCAAGCTGTGGGCGTCGTTGGCCATCTACACGCTGGCTCTGTGGGCGGCGTACCCGATGTGAGTTCTTGCATACCGCCCCAAGACTGAGTGAAGACGTAACGAGCTAATGGCTTCCGCAGTGTCTGGGGTGTTGCGGCTCTCGCTCGCAAGACTAACGTCGATACCGAGGTTGTCATCTATGCCGTGTTAGACGTGCTGGCCAAGCCCATCTTTGGTCTCTGGCTGCTCGTGAGCCACCGCGCCATTGCGGAGACCAACATTGAACTCGGAGGCTACTGGTCGCAAGGCCTACCTGCTGAGGGAAGAATCCGCATTGGAGAGGAAGACTAAATTGGCGATTCAGCTTGTCACAAGTAACTTAGGGCCGTCGGAGGGGGTTGTTAGTGCGGGGTGTGGGAACGGTGTGGGAACCAAAAAACGATTAGCAGTGGTCGAACCAGCAGCACGGTCAAGGAGCAAAGGTTTGCATAATGGCGCAATACTGGTCTTGAGGAAGGCATGCTGGGTATCAAATTAGTACCAGTAATTTGACATGCGAAAGTAATAATTACTTGGCTGGCGGGGGAGCCGTAATTAGGAGTCGGATCAAACAAGTACCTACCTAACTGGCAGACAATATATGGAAACTTTAGGGAGAGTGAATCGATTCTTCCACAAGTTGCCAACTTGTTTTTTGAGTCACAAAAAGAACAGGAAGGAACGGGGTGTGTGTTGGCCGTCACCCCCAGGAACATCCATGATTGCAGGTGGGCGAAGCACCACCCGACCTCTCACTATTAATTAACACATCAAGCAAACAGCCCCCAACTAAACTCTTGCTTGCGCAGCCTGAGTGAGTTCGACACGCAACACACGAACCGGCTTGATTTCCTCACAATCGCACTCATTTCACGATGTTGTCGCTGCGCCCATTCAAGACGGCCCAACGGCTTAGCCGAAGGGTCTCACCGCGCATGCCGCAGCACCCGCCGAAGCGATACCGCCATTACTCTACTAACGGATCATCATCGAGCTTCCCGACATCAAACGGCAAGATAGCGAGGTACGCAGCTGCGTTGGTCGCTGTGGCGGGTGGATCCGGCATCTGGTGGATGGCAACTAACTGGAAGGGCGACCAACAAGACCAGACAAGACAAATGCCGTGCCTCGACGATGCCCCCACCGCCGAATTAACCCCGGCTGCCAGCCCATCGAAAGAGGACATCTCGCCCATCCCCTCCCAGGACGCCCACCCAATCCCAGTCACCAACATCCCTGGCGTCGGCACATGCGAAAACTCGCCGGTAGCCTCCAACAACTCGTGCGAGGACCGCTTCCTCTACGGCACGGTGCCCTCGTCGTGGGGCGCCGGCAGTCACTGGGGCGCATGGGGTGTCTTTGACGTGTACTCGGGCTCGCGGACAGCCGACCTGCTCGAGAAGCAACTCCTAGCGTGTGTGCGGCACAGTCCGGGCAAAAGGTGTGCCTTGCTCTCCATGTATGACTACTTCACGAGCACGTTGCATGTGGCGTGTATCGGGGATTCGAGGGCTGTTCTGGGTCGCAAGCGGCCCAACGGCACATGGGAGGCCGTGCTATTACCCGTGCACCAGACCGGCCACAATCCCCGAGAACTTGCCAGGCTGAGGAGGAAGGACCCCGGCAAAGAAGACAACGTGACCACGAACGGGCGCGTTCGCGGCATGGCGGCTTCTCGCTCCGCCGGAAACGGACGCTGGGAATGGTCCTTGGATTTACAACGGGATCCCCGGCTGAGATTGCACTCGCTACGCGTCCTGCCGCCGGTATACAAAGCGGGAACGCCGCCATACCGCACTGCCGAACTGACGTCGACGACGATCGGTAACACTGACCAACCCTCCTTCTTGATCATGGGAAGCAATGGGTTGTGGGGTCGGCTCTCTTCCCAGCAAGCCGTCGACATGGTGGGGAAATGGTGGGACTCGGGACCGCCACGAAAAGGAGACATGGAGCCGGAGCCGACATACGACACTGTGTATTACAATCAATTCCGAACTCTGGGGTCTGCCAGCCCAAGGTACTTGAGGGTGAGGATGCCCTCGAGGGATGAAAATGCATCTGTACACTTATTAACAGGCAACTCCCTGGGCGATAAGCACCACGGGCTGATCGCAGCGCAGTTCGTTTACATTCCTCCCTTTCCATTCATTCTTGGCGATGCCACATTACAGGTGGTGTTTTTCGGCAGGTACCGCGCTGTCTAAGGGCCCCCCCAGAAGGCAGTCACAGGCACATAAGCGTGTGGAAAAGAACAATGACAATCAGGTCCAGGTTCCCCCCTTCCGGGTGGCCCAAGAGACGGGAGGGACCAACACAGTTGGAACGGGCTGTGAGCGTAAACACCGTCAACGATAAACCATCATCCCAGTCTAAATTGAGCCTAGCTAATTCCACATTTATTATTCATCCTGCGGCACTAAGCGGTGTCTTTGAGGCCCATGATGCTTTCCGTGTCAATGTCCCAACCGTCCTCAATCTCGCCAGGGTACCGCTCTCCGTGCGGTTACAAGTAAGCCTACTCCATCATCAGTCGGACGTAGGGTCCATCGGAAGATTGTTGGCGGGCTGCAAGTTCAGTGCAATCCGATATGCCCGTCGTCTGCCCTGCTGTCCAGTGCGTTGTCCGTTTGATTCTCCGAGTTGTAGCCGGAACGTCCGCCGCCGGGAACGGCAATGGCGAGGGAGAGTGACCAGAGAAAGGCCTGTACCAAGAAGGACACCGACATGATGGATTTTGGGTTTTGGGTATGGTCGTTGGGAAAATCGTAGTAAGATTGTAAATGTAAAGGATGTTTGTGCTTCGCGTCTCCAGTGAGGTTCAGGAGAAACGAGAGGGCCGTGGTTCTCGCCAGTCCGTGGCCTTTACATATACCTAGACAAGCGCACACACACAGTCCCTGGCGCTAGTGATTTGAACGAAGTGTTGGTGGCTCAGCACTCAGCATCGCAGCATGGGTGTGGCTGGCAAGGGCCGCAAGGCACACCACGCCCACACCGAGCCGCCTTGCCTTCTTCTAGCCGCCTGCAGTCGCATGCGAGTCAAGTCGGGAAAAGCCTAGAACATCGATTAAAATTGCAGCACGAACCATAGGCTTGGGTCAAATCGTGTGTGTGCCAAGTGATCTGAATCAGAACCAACAGGTCGGCGCCAGGCGCCAACCGAAGCCTCGAGCCGCCCAAAATGTGCCCGACATGTTCTTGAGTACCCACACTAGTTCCAGTCAAAAGGCGCTCAGCCACTCGTTGGGGCCAGAAAGCGATAGAGGTTGGCCAACATGGCCGGCTGTGTCGAAAGATCTAGACTCATCACCGAATGGGTGTCGGCGGATTCCGTGCCGTTGATGTTCCCAGAACAAATAGGGGTTGCTCAAGGGGTTGGCGCGTAAGTTTCGTTGCGAGGGAAGACGATCTCGAACTGAAACCAGCCCGTCACCCGAAAGGAGCGCCGACGGAATATACAGATGGGGTTATACGATGAACCTTTGCGTATTGACACACTGAACAGGTCGCTCGTCCGGTAATCTTTATCGTTTCTACCATATGCAATGTACCAGCCCCTGATTTGGCGGTTGGTTGAACGCGTACTGATACCCCGTTAGCTTCTCGTTCACCCCAAATCGTCCAGGACCCTGGTACATTTACTAAAGGTAACTTAGGTACAAACCCTTATTTGCCCTCTTCTGTCATGCTCCGGTGTACAAACCCCTTGTTCTACGAATCTATAATAGGTACAAGGAAGCAGCGAGCCTTGCGTTGTCTCATCAGGAAGTTTGGATCATGATTTTGAGTGCTCACACCAGCAAACAACCAGTTGTACAAAGGCTCGCCTCTTTTCTAACTTAACTACAATGTTAAAAGCATAAGGTTAAATAAACATTCCACTCTTTCACCGTAAAATCAAGCCTTACGCGAGAATTGGTGTTCATGTATATGCGGCTCAAGGGGCTCGACTCTCTGCTTTTGAGAGGGTATCCTCCACAAGGATGCCATTGTGAAGTTACTACAACCCTGACCTGTTAACAGCGGCATTGACTTGTGTGGACTTGGTGTTGATAACATGGGCTATGGGTTGGGACAGACCCGCTCATGTGAAGTTCAGATCACGACTCCATCCATTTCGCCTTTGGTCGTGCCCGCGCCCCTCGCCAGTCTGCAAGTGAGGTGCAAGATTTTCTTCCTACTCCAGTTAAATCTGGCCTTAGCTGAGCTGGATTCTGCAAAACCTTTTTGCTCAGCTCCAACTTTCCTCAACCCGCTGCGTTTTCCAACTACTCCCCGAGCAAGCCACGGCAAGTCGACGACGGCATTTCAAAACAGCCATGACGGCGATCATAGCCTTGGCATCCTCCCTCGGGGCCCTCATGTTCCTCTCGGCAGTGACCATAACACTGCGCATCTTTACCAAGCATCGACGTGGTCGACCCATCCGGAAAGACGATTACACCCTGATCGTGTCGTGCGTAGGTTTCAGGCGACCATCCTTCTTGCAACATCATCTCCACGGCCTCCATAAGGCTGGGAATGAGTGTGCTCCTGGCTAACCTCTGGCCAGATCTTCCTCCTCATCTCGCTGGTCCTGATCATCGCTGCCACCCGCCGTGGCTATGGTCAGCACCTTTCCGACCTCAAGTCCAGCCCCGCCGAGGCCGTCAAGCTGATCGCCGTGTCCGAGTTCTTTGCCGTCAGTGCCGGCGCGGTAGCCAAGACGGCAATCGCCATGACGCTGCTCGATGTGCTCAATGTACGCTGGCAAAGGACGGTCACTTGGGGGCTTGTCATATCGGCCAACCTCATCATTCTGGGTTTCGCCACCTTTATTTGGGTCATCGTCTGGCAAGATCGGTTAGTTAAGATCTGCATCGAAGAAGTTGGTGTTTGGAGGTTTGCCATCTTTGGGGCAGGTAAGTGAGACTCTCGGTCGTCATGGATAAGAGCCCCTGGTTTGACGTGTTTTAGTGTGGTCAGCATTGACCGACTTCGCCTTTGCTATCATCCCTTGGCCTTTTGTTTGGCACCTACAGCGAAAGACGACGCAAAATATCAGTCTAGGGGTGGCCATGAGTTTTGGGGTTCTGTTAGTATTATCCCTCAACATCTGGTTTTGCTCTTGGTAATTCAACACTAACGTCCTGTGAAGCTCTGGGGTGATAGCAATAGTCAAGATCACTCAGATGGACTGCAAGAACTTCGAGCTGGATGTCACACGTAAGACATACGCAATGCAAAGAGAATCCCGAAAACCGACTAACAGATGAAGATGACACTGTTTCCCTGGTTATCTGGACCTTCGCCGAACCTGTGGCCATCATCATAGCTGCATCCATCCCTGTCCTCCGGCAGCTCATCGAGAAACCCTCCGAGGCCGCATTTGAGAGGGGGCTCATGGGATTACGCAGCGGGTCTGGTTTGCCTCACAACTTCTCTTTCCCATCGTCGCCGCGGTTTGGGCAGGAAGCAAAGGTATGGAGCAGCAGGAGTGGCCCAGTCGGCACGTTCATTCCATTACAAGATCTGGGCTCGATGGACGCAATCCTACGGATAGATGAGGTGCAAGTCAATAACGAGGAAAGCAACTGGGACTCGCCACCGAAACAATCACCCCATTCAAGACTTGGGATTATGAGGGTTGGAGAGTTTGAGGAAGATCACGGCCGAGAAGGTGGGGGAATAGGGGGTGGTTCGTGGGAGCGCAACTGGGCGAGGTAACCAAGAAATAGGAGAACGGCGAAGGTTTAGCTTGACAGGTAACCATGGTATTATTCTCGTTCCTCGTGTTGTATTTTGAAAGGCGAGCAACAGAACCTGTCATGCGTGTGCGGTGTGTATCCCTGAACAGGAGCTGAACTTGTGGGTCAACAACTTGAAGTGGGTGGGTGAGGTGCCACACACCACGTGGGTTGGTGTTTCAAGCCAGCTCTAATAATATCTTACTTTTGCCACGTTCCCGAAAGCGGCGCAGAGTGGATGGGTGTCTGAAACAAGCGATCGGCCAAGTAAGAGGGGTCACCAACATCCATGGTCCATCTCACCCTCACTCAACTCAACTCAATTCTCTAATCACCCACCCTTGACTCAACTCAAACCCCTGAAAGTGAAAGGCATCAACTCACATCCAAACCCCAACCATCAACCTCACTATCCACAACCTCAACCCCCATCAGACAAAATGGCACCCAACGCCGGCCTCGTCCACCTCAAGGAGTACGACATCAAAGACAGCAACGTCGAACTGATCGGCTCCGACCTCGACCACAAAGTGAAGCACGCCTCCGCCGAGACAGAACCCGCCTGGAACGACGGCCGGGTCGGCCTCACCGCAGGGCTCTTCGTCTGGCGCATCGAGAACTTCGCCGTCGTCGCCGTCCCCAAGACCTCGCACGGCCAATTCTACGACGGCGACAGCTACATCATCCTACACTCACAGCAAATCAAAACCGACTCAACCACCGACGCCGACAAACCTCCCAAACTCACGCACGCAATCCACTTCCTCCTCGGCGCGCACACCTCGCAAGACGAAGCCGGCACGGCGGCCTACAAGACGGTCGAGCTGGACTCGTTCCTGCACGGCGCGGCGGCGCAGCACCGCGAGCTGCAGGCCTCGCCCTCGGGGGCCTTTGTGGCGCTCTTTCCGCGGCTGACCTTCCGGCGCGGCGGCGTGGCCTCCGGGTTCAGACACGTCGGCGATCCGGAGGATCGGGAGCAGGACGAGGAGGTGGTGACGCTGCTGCGGGTGTTCAAGCACCCGAGCGCGGCGAGCGCCGATTCGGTGGTGGTGTGCGAGGTGGAGCCGGTGTGGGAGAGTCTGGATGAGGGGGATGTGTTTGTGTTGGAGAAGGGGAAAGGGGGGAAGATCTGGGTGTGGCAGGGCGGGCGGTGCTCGCCGATGGAGAAGGCCAAGGCGGCGCAGGTGGTGCACGAGATGAAGCTGGCGAAGCGGGTGGATGTGGAGGTGGTGTCGCAGGCGGAGTCGCGCTCGCGGCTAGTGGTTACGATGCTGGGCGGTGGGGAGGAGGATGGGTTTGGCGTGCTCAAGGCGCCGCGGCCGGTTGTGGGTGCTGCTGCTGCGCCGGGGTCGAGGCCGGGTTCGTCGTCGTCGGGTGGGGAGGGGGTGAGGGCGAAGAGGCTGTTTAGGTTGAGTGATGAGTCGGGGCAGTTGCAGTTTGGGCTGGTCAAGGATGGCGGGGGTATTTCGCGGGCGGACTTGGATGGTGATGATGTGTTTGTGCTGGACGATGCCAGCAGGACAATTTGGGTTTGGGAGGGCCAGGGTGCGAGCAAGGCGGAGAAGGCCATGTGGTTGCGAGTTGCGCAGGCATACGTGCGGAAGCTCCAAGGCGAAGAGGGGAACAGCGAGGCATATCTCACCCCCATCGCCAAGGTGCGCGAGGGTTGCGAGAGCTCCGCATTTCTACGTGCTATCACGGTGGCATGAGAGGCCCGGCTCGATTGTGGCGGCGTTGATCATTGTGAATACCACGTTCATGAATCTAATTATTTACCCAAAGGCTGAGCAAAATATTTACACATCGCGGTAAGGAACAGGAGCCCTACCTTTCGGTGAGGGGACCATGTTCCTCCCACAATAGCCACGTCGTTATATACACGCTGTATCCAATGTCGCTCGCGGTTGAAAAGCGAAGGGTATCAATGTTGAAACTCATTAATCCGTCATGCTAAATTGCGCTCAAAGGGACAAGTCCTCGCCCCAAACCTGCTTCGCAATCTCGACCTCCAGCTTGACCTTGGCCCACTGTTGCTCCTCGGACAGGTCGTTGCCCTCCATGGTGGAGCTGAAGCCGCACTGGTGCGACAGGCACAGCTGGTCCAGGCCGCGGGGGCAGAACTTGGCCGCCTCATTGAGCCGCTTGACGATGTCTTCCTTGTCGTCCAGCTCGGCCTTCTTGCTTGACATGACGCCGAGCACAACCGTCTTGTTCTCCGGGAGGAAGCGCAGCGGTGAGAAGTCCCCGGAGCGAGCGTCATCGTACTCGAGGAAGTAGACATCCACGTCGAGCTCCTTGAACAGCACCTCGGCCACGGGCTCGTACCCGCCCTCGGCGAACCACTGCGAGCGGAAGTTGCCCCGGCACAAGTGGATGCCAATCACCATATCCTTGGGCCGCTGGCTGACGGCGGCGTTGATGAGCGAAGCGTAGTGCTTGGTCAGCTTCTGCGGGTCCTCGCCATGGCGCTTGGCCGCCTCGGAGCGCATGCCCTCGTCGCACAGATAAGCCAAGTTGGTGTCGTCGAGCTGCACGAACCGGCAGCCGGCGGCGTACAGGTCCGCGATCTCGGCCTGGTAGACCTTGACGAGATCCTCGAAGAAGGGCTCCAGCGTGGGGTACGCCTCGGTAGAGATGGCCTCGCGCCCGCCGCGGAAGTGCACCATGGTCGGGCTGGGGATGCACACCTTGGTGGTGACCTTCCGGTCGGCGGCGGCGGCGGCGGCGTCCTGCTGCCGCACCCCCTCGACAAAGTTGTAGTCCTCCACTTGGATCCCCTCGGGGTGCCCCAACTTGCCGACGACGACCAGCTTGGGCGGCGTCACGCCGTGCGAGGTGACATTGGTCGACGACAGGCTGCCGTGGCGCTCGACGCCCGCCAGGTGTTGCAGGAAGTCGATGTGGAACCACGCGCGGCGGAACTCGCCGTCCGTCACCGACTGCAGGCCGCTGGCGATCTGCTGCTGGACCACCATGGTGATATGCTCATTCTCAAGTTTGCGCAGGTCGGCCGCAGCGATAGGCGTGGACGTGTCGAGTGTCTCGCGGGCGCGCAGTATCGGCTGCGGGCGGAGGAACGAACCGACGTGGTCGGCGCGGTAGACACCTGCGGGGAGAGGCATGGTGGCGGCTAGGGGAGGAATGTGTTAGTTTTGAGGCTGGAACGGCCGGTGGATTGTTGGTCTCGGCCCGGCTTGCTCGCTCGGGATGTCTCACCGTTTGGACTGGAGGTAATGTGAGACTTTTGGGGTGAGACGCGGCGCGGTGCGTTGCGAGCCGGGCAATTCGGTCCGTTCGTGTCTTGTGCAGCGTGCGATGGCGGAAGGGCGTACGAAGCGCGATGTGCAACGCTCGGCGTGCAACGGGGTGTATGCAATCTGTCGACAGTTCCGATATGAAGGTACCAGTTCCAGGCCTTCGGCGTCGCCTGTATAGTGGATGGTGATCTCGGTGAAACGCTCTCGATGCACGACAATGTATTCCAGTCAGGGAGGGTGGCACTGGCTGTCGGATGGGCGCGACCAGCTATATACGGCGGAGCCAGCAACTGGTCGAGTCGACCTCGGGGTAGATCTCATCATGCTTCCCTCAATGTCAGCCGCAATTGGCGTAGTCTAGGTCCATCCGTGATGCAGAACACCCGCCGTGCCGCTCGCGGCAGTGAGAGAACTCCATCTTGGTTACCCGTCGTCGACGAATTGCGTCAAACTGCGCGGGGTAATCCATGTGACGATGCTTGCGAGGCGGGGCAGGAATGCCATTCGGGAAAACAAATTCCCCTCACGGCAACAAGACCCGGTTGATGAAGTTGGCGGCAGCGCGGAAGTTTTGGCCGGGTTGCCGAGACGCGACGCGTGATAAACGAGGGGGCCCGCCAGGCGGCATGCTGAGGGCTGACGGCAGTTGTGTTTTTGCAGCCATTTCCTGGGATTTCCTGGGCTGAGTGGCTGATCAGCCGTTGGCCTGGGTGCTTGCCAAGTTGCTTGGCCTGCGCCAGCTGCACGCAAGTGTCTGGAGATTGTGGAGGTGGCGGACGCCTCGATTTCGCGGTGGCGGTCACATGACATGCATTGGCTCAGGGGGCGCCGCGAACCGGGATGCCCGCAACTCATTCTTGAAGACCTGAATCCCCGGGCCCCTTGAAATTTACCGGAAGTTGTTCCATTCAATGCGCGTTTCAATCTGTGCCATGTTCGCAGAAATGGGAGAGTCCAATCCGCGTGCATTCCACTGCCTTCGGGGTTGACAACCCTGTGGCATTTTTGTATGTACGACTCATCGTGCAACCGGGACTCTGTTCGCCGGTTCGAAATGGTCGCAGAGTCGGAAAAGGGCAGTGTGAACGTGCTCGATTTTCTGCCAATTGCCCATCCATCCAGGTGGTGCAAAGACCCCTGGAAGTCGTCAGCGTTCAAGGATACTTGGTACCTCGGTGGGGTTGCCACCCGCTCATCCAGCCGCTCAGGGGCTCGACTCAGCCCTGACGATCGGTGCGACGGGGCGATGGCGCAAACACGCAAACATGGCATCAAGAGTGACTGGGGGGAGAACAGCTTCACAAATTCTGCTCGAGATTGCGAGACATTAGGGAATTATTTACAAAGTCGGGATTCTGTCCCGGTAACAAAGAACAGAAAGAGACGTAGCTCGTACCACATCTCTTCAGACACATATCCTCCCCGCCAAAAACACTTGCTTCGCTGTCCTCATCCAACCAGCGCTTGTTTCGTCGAATCATGGTATCCAATTCGTAAAACGACGTAATATTATGCCGCGGTGGTATCCTGGGACAACAGCCAAGAAATGCCCGGGCCAAGCAGCGCGAGCCCCGTTTAGACGCTGGTGTCACCGTGCTGCTTGAGGAAGGCGTCGTCGGAGGCCTGGCGGCCGGCAAAGGTCGAGGTGGGCTTCCACTTGGCCGAGGTGCGGGGGGTGGTCTCCTCCATCATCTTGTCGACCTGCTCGAGCGACAGACCCTTGGTCTCGGGCACGAGGAAGTAGGTGTAGACGAAGGCGCACGTGCAGAGGCCGCCCCAGACGAAGAAGACGGACGACTTCATGTTGCCGCGGGTCTCGCCGACCATGTAGGGGGTGATGACGGCGATGATGGTGTTCCAGAGCCAGTTGGAGGCAGTCGAGAGACCGACGCCACGCGAGCGGATCGGCAGCGGGAAAATCTCACCAATCACGATCCACGCACCAGGACCCCAGGTGGAGGCGAAGAAGAAAATGAAGATCGCAATGAAGGCGATCTGCGCATTGACCGCGGAGATGTTGTCGGCCATGCTGGACTCGGGGTCATTGGGGTTGGTGAGGTGGGTGAAGTTGAAACCGACGGTAACACCGATGATGGCGACGAGGAACTGGCAGATAAGCATACCCAGGGCACCCCAGAAAAGGATGGTGCGGCGGCCGAACCTCTCGACGGTCCAGAAGGAAATGGGTGTCGAGCACACGTTGATGATGGTAAAGACCATGGAGATCAAGAAGGTGTCGGCGATGGCGCCGGTGGACTTGAGGAAGGGAGTCGAGTAGTAGAAGATGAAGTTGACACCAGTCCATTGCTGCATCATCTGCAGGGAAGTGCCGAGGATGGTCTTGCGCAGGTTCGAGTTGGCCTTGAAGACGGAGCCCTTGAAGCAGTTGGCCCAGCTGCCGAACCAGGTGGTGGAGGGAATGAGCTGCCGCTCATACTCCTCGTTGGCAACGATCTCGGAGAGTTCGACCTGGATGTACTCGGAATCCTTGGGCTGGCCGCGCAGGCGGGAGAGGGCGTCGGTAGCCTCGGTGAGCTTGCCCTTCTTGACGAAGTAACGGGGCGAGTCGGGCAGGCACATCAGACCACCAGCGAGGATGATGGCCCACGCGAACTGGATGGCGATCGGGATGCGGTACGAACCGGTGTCGGGGCGACCCTCGGTGGCGTAGACGACGCAGGACGCAAGCATGATACCGATGGTGATGCAGAATTGGTAGCCAGCAACCAAGGCGCCACGGACCTTGCGAGGGCACTGTGATGGTAGATCAGGTTAGTGGTACGTTCCGGGAGCAGAGGGGGGGTAACCTTGTCCAACTTACAATCTCGGACATGTACAGAATGACGATGGCGGACTCGAAGCCGACACCGATACCGGCAATGAGACGGCCGGCAACAATGGCACCAAGCTCGTCACCGAGGCCCGTGATCATCTGGACGACGACACCGATGATGTAGATGAGGCAGCCAAAGATAACAGTCCACTTGCGGCCGATAAAGTCGGCCAAGTCACCGGCGATGAGAGCGCCGAAGAAGGTACCGCAGGACAGGATGGAGACAATCAGCGAGGTGTTGGACTCGCCAACCTCCTTCGCGCCGACATGCTCGACAGCGTCGATAAAGATCTGGGACCCGAGCACACCGTTGATGTAACCCGAGTCATAACCGAAGAAGATACCACCAAACGACGCGAAGGCACAGATCAGGTAGGCCTTCCAGGTGACGGGAGCCTCGATCCGCTCGACGTCCTGGGTTACCGCGAGGTCGCCGACGTGGGCAGTGGCAGGGGCCGCAGCCTCCTTTTCGTTGGAGGACATGGTGATGACTTGCCCTTCCTTGTCGAGAAGAATTGGTGTTTTGAGAAAGGAATGGCAGAGAAAAAGAAGGACAAGATCGACGGGGGAGGGAAGAGGGGGAGGGATAGAGGATATAAAGAGTGAACGAACGGCCTGGGGTACCTTGGTAAACGGTAAACGAGTGTTCTGTATTTGGTGCTGGTGATCAAAAGTGGCGCTGTTGGAGGAAACCCCAGGCAAACGAATGTCGCATGTTGGCCTCCTCAACGGGGGTCGCTTTTGGTTTTGGCCCCGAATTGCATGGAATTGCATGTGTCGGCGCAGCGGGCCACTCAAATCACAGGGACGGTCGATTACCCCCGACTTGGCACCCAGCGAGCTTGGGGTATTTCGCCGCTGTCCCGCCGGATCGAATGCATTGGGGTGTGCGGGGATCCAGTCTGGCCCCATGGGGATTGGGCCATGCAGAATACCGCCGAGCATCTGCGGCGCCCCCCTGGCTCGTTGTAACGTCTTCGCTCCCCAAGCAGCGCTAGTTTCCCAAACTTTACCAATCCCCCGGCGACGCTCCACGAGCACATGGTGCAACAAGCACCTTGCAACCCGCATCTCCAATTCCCCAGCAAAAACGACATACCCCCTCCACTCCGGGGATGCTCCAGATGCAGTGGGAACTGGTGGAAGGGCCGAAATGGGGTCCTCCCCATGGGGTGAAGGGACCGACGGCGGCCAGGCCAACGGAGGCAGCAGCACTTCATGACTCGACAATGCCTAGAAATTGGACGATTCGGTCCGCGGCGTTGCATCCATTCGCTGCCTTGCCGAGACCCGGCTTCGATTCGCTGGGTTTTTTCCTTGGAGGGTTGCACACATCATCAAACGGGCAGCCAACCGCAGCGTAACGTACCGTATTGTAAGATACGGATATAAATGGGCGGATGATTTGCAAGGGGTTCCCGAGGTCCCAGACCGGGGCCTTGCCGAACGCGGACCCAATCCCGGCAGCAATCAAAAATCCTTCATGGCAAAACCGCGTCCTGTGACGCTCGCGGCGCCGGACCAGGTTGACGAATCGCCAACTGCGTCAAACTTTCAGCCGTCGCGACCTGGGTGCATTCCCGAGGTCGTTTGCATCATGCCCTCCCGCTCCCCTCTTCGTATCCGATGTAATCGCCTCCTTTGTTCGAACGCAATTCGGACGAAGAACGCTTCCAGCACGTGAGCTTTTCTCCATGTTGTGCAGGTCCCGCGACTGCCGGGTGCATCGCCTCCCACGGCGGACATTCGGCCTTTTTGACGCGGCGGTCCTGCTCGATTTCGATCAAGCCTCGGCCGTTTCGTCCTTGTCAACGGTCAGCGCCGGGCAGCGCCGGTCACCCGACCCGCCACGATGGACTATCGTGACTATGCAGGTAGTGTAGTCGCTGTGTAGAGTGTGGCGAGCCTGTCGTTCAGGCCGGTCGAATGCTCTGGATCGGGCCCCTAGTTTGTTTCTGGAGTAAATGGACATCAACAACAAGGTCTCGCCGGCTAAAAACGGTCCTTTTCTGGGGAAAGCTGGCTGGGCGGGTGCTGGGCTCCTGGGCTTTTTCTGGCCCGGGTGCCCGGCCGGCCCTGCAAGACCTCCCCGGGCACCTCACCCCACAATTTCGCGCAGAATCATGGAACTTTGGAAGCCTTTTTCCATTTGCTCGTTGCCAGCTTTTGGCTTTCCACATGGCACGCATCTGGGGCCCCTCTTTTGCTTGTGTCAATGACATGCTCGACATGGTGGCTGACTCGGCCTGACGGTCGCCTTGAGGCCCTGCAATTGGCCAGATATCCGCTGGCGGCCTTCTGTCCTTCTCTTCTTTTCGTGATCTCCACCACCAACACCAACAGACCCGCTTCTCCGGGAAAGTTCTGCGAAACCCCGACCGAAAGTGTGGAATCCAGAGCAGAGTTGCATCCCCCACTTTCACGCCACACTCGAATCTCCTCACTGCCACGAACTCCAACGACAGCCCAATCTTCGCGCCCAGAGTCGGGCGAACCGGGCTGAGTTTGTGCTTCGAAAAATGACCACGCTCTGTTCACCTGCAAGAGCTGGACTTGACGATATGATCCTCTCATTTGACATCTTGCCGCGACCCTGCCAATGATGGTAACGTTGTTGACGCCCAACGCCGTGTGACCGTCGGTCCGCGCCACGCAGCCAAGTTGGGGTAAACCGCCGCGTCCGCGTTGAAGGATCATGCGCTTCAGGGAGCGGTTGGGGATCGGGCCGAAAGTCTCCGCCGCCGTGCATCATGTGGACTTGTCAGCCTTTCGAGTCGACAATAATCCGTCACGATCTACAATGACTCCATCGACACGATGTTGAGAGAACAAAGGAAGGAAATTTTCACGTGCCGCTGGAATTTGAGGCTTGGCTTCACAACGCTTTGTTCGGCTTCCGAGTCGTCCTCGGTTCATCGCGCTGAAATCGTCTCCTCGAGCCGACGGAAATGGAGTGCTGGATTGGTCAGGTCGGATGCTCTGCCGCCATTTCCCAAAGTCCCAAAAGTCCCACCGTTCAAGCGAACTCGGGACCGTCGCTTCAAGGCCGCCTTGTTTCCATTGCACGCATGACTGACGCCGAGTCCCGTTTCGTGTTCAAAAATAACAAGTCGGCGGCCGCGAAAGCACCGATCCAGCTCGCTCCAACCATGAGTGCCGGTGGCGCACGCAGAGCTCCGCGCCAAGTTTCCAGGTGCCAGCGCCAGGCCGTGAGGAAAGGCCCTTGGCAACTCGGAAGGCGTCATGCTGGCCATGGTCGCCGCCGCCAGGTCGAGCGCCTCAATGCGGGGAAAAAGCTTGACCATCGAGGCGATTGGTGAAGTCGGTGGCGGGATGCTGGCCTTCCCGCAACATGGACTGCGTGATATATTGCACCGCAATTGGCGGTGCGAACCGAGAGCTCCTCACGTCAAAAGACAAGAATTTCCTGTCGGCGGCGATCCCAAACCTTCCAGGCGGCGGAGTGCATGTCTCGTCGGCGGCATGGGGCAGGCAAACACGCCAGCCACGAATTACGGTAACGTATTCGTACTTCGTACCGTACGTTACTTGTTAAGGGAAGACGGGTCGCATTTGCTGCAAGGTCTGTCGATCGGTGTCACGCCACACCGGGTTCCGCCGTTGAGGAACAAGAAATCGAAGCCGCTCGGAACACCGCGTCGAAACTGTGCGTACTTCCAAAGTCAAATAACTACTTCATATGGGTCACTGCCGCCGACTGGCCCATTCAAGCACGCAATCAAGCCAAAGGCCTCTAGCGAGCCGTAGAACCCCCATTTACGTAACCATTCGTCAGGCCCCGGCATCGAGGATGTGTTTAGCAGGCGCGCCATTTGCTCGCAAGCTGACCGTGTGTGCTCGTTGGCCCATGAAGACATGCCCTGTCCCTCGGGGATTCCTCGTCCCGGGTTTCCCGCATCGGGAATCTGGAATTCGGTCCGTTGCGAGCGGGATCAGCGAAATGCTATGTGGGGCACGACCTCCAAATCATCCAGCTCCATTTCATAAGTGGAAGAAAACAAAACGAACAATTCCATATAAATAGCGTGTGCCGTAGCCTGGGCTGCAGCTGTAAGCGGGTATGAACTAGGACGATAGCCAGAAAGCGACCCACGTACCTAGGTGTGTTTGTAAGAATCGATTGACAACAGCATATCGACGCCGTGTATGCCCGGTCACCGGCGACATTGAAGTCGTCATGAAAACAAAAGCTCGGTGCCTATTGGAGGAGACGCATCAACACTGGGCCATCGAGCAAAGAACAATTTCCCCCGTACTTGTCAGATCCCACACAGCAAGGCCCTGTTGCGCATTCCACGGGAATTCGGAACTGCTCGGAGTGTTCGTTGCAGTGCCCCACCAAACATCAATATCGTATGATGCATGACGTACTTGACAATGCCCCTACGGCAGATGAAAGGCCCATGATCAAGCAGCCCCGGGTACGAGTGACTGAATATGACGAATTTGAAGCCATGGTCGACAGATTAGGGAAGCTGGCAAGGAAAAGAGAGCGAGTTTGGAAGCCGCAGCCTACATGTACTGAAATGGTACTTGACCTCCTTATTTCCCAATTTCGCGCTTCTTAAGTACATGTCTGATCAACATTAAATCATCAATCCACGTACTCTTCTATGTATATACTATAGCCACCTTCGTAATCTCGTACTTAACCCGGTGTTTTACACAAAAGTTGCCCCCGCGAACCCTACTTGGTCATTTACACCGTCTCTTTCTGTCTTTCTTAGGCGCTGCTTAGACACTACTAGTACTTAGAGTGGAATCAGGGAAACTACCAAACGTGGTTTAGAGACATAGATTGTGCTCCCAACTAAGTATAATCCAAATAGCAAGTTGTCAAGAGTATAGGTTATAAAGGGAAGCATGTTAAAGACGATAGAAAACTAGTGGGCTAGAGCCGGTACCGTTAGATCATGTTTCGGTTACCAAAGGGGCTCGCAGATTAAGAAGAAGGTACAGGTGGCATCTACTTTACTAATTGACAATGATGCAATGAGGTTGTTAAACTAGGTAAAGTGATCAAAGATGCCCCGGCGCCGCTCCATCCCGGCCCGTCCGCCTGAGCGACTGAATTGAGAAATTTTAGATTGTGACCGAACGCGTTCGTTCGAGTTTCTTACAGTCCCGCGAATCTCTTCGCTGACGAGACTTGGGAAGACATACGGGCGAACAAAGGCACAAGTGATGCACCTATTCGCGAAGTCTCTCGCGTAGTTTGTGATGTCATCCAAACACCCCCATGCCGTGGCAGATGTTGCCGGTCTAGAAACCATCCATGTCAGGATGCAAGACTCCATGAAAATGAATCCGAGTAATTCCAAACCCCCAGCAGACCAACAAAACCTAAGGTATCCTAAACAACCCGGAAAACATACAATACAACCCATCAACTCCTAACCCCCCAAACACCGCATCCATCACCCCGTCAGCCCATCCATCGCCCCTTCACGATCCATAACCCCATCATCATCATCATCATCACCATCAACCCCTCCCCTCTCCCATCACCCCATTACCCCCTCCCCCCTCCCAGGAACCACAAACCCACCCCCAGCCCCACCACCACCCCACAATAGCCACCACTCCCACCAACAACACAGCATACCCAACCCCGACAACCACCCGCCGCCTCACCCGCCGCCGCTGCTGTTGCGCCAGGCCCTGGCGGTAAAAGTCACGCGCCTCGCGCGCGAGGGCGTCGGTCCACTCCGGGCGCGGCGCCTGATGTTTCCATGTCTCGCGCGGGAGTGGTTGGAGGAGGAGGGGTTGGGATTCGGAGCTAGGCTGGGACTGGGACTGGGGGGGTTGTGGATTGTTGTTGGCGTTGTGGCTGTTGTGGCTGTGGTTGTTGTTGTGGTTGTTGTTACTGTTGTGGTGGTTGTCTCCGCGGGACTCCGGGGTCCCGGAGCCGGGCTCCACCTGTTCCGGTTTTGTTGTGGGGCCCGGCGCGGCGGTCGCCGGGTGGGGCCGTTGGGTCGGGTCGGTGGGGCCCGTAGTTGCTGTGAACGGGGGTGATGGGGACCGCGACGGCGCGGGCGGGGTGGAAAAGAGGTTCGCCGGTGGCTGGATGGGCATGCGGGCGATTGGTGCCATGGTGATGTGCCGGTTTGGGCGGTTGTGGTGGTTCGCTAAAGGTTTTGCAGTTCGGGTTGTGATGGGCCGGGACCGGGTGCGCTTGTGAGCGCTTGTGAGCTCCCAGTTGTGTCTGTGGTGATGGCGAAACTTGGATTTAATGCCAATGGCAAGGTGGCTCGACAAGAGTTTATGGGACGGGAGTCGGTGATGGCACGTTGGGTTGATTTCAGGCAGCTGTGTTTGGGGCGCCAAGCGGGGACACAGCCTCAAATGTGCCTCACTGGCAGAGGTCGCCAGGTGTCTGTCTATTTGGAGCGAAGATGCTGACGGTCAATCGCTTCGAGGCAGTGCACACAGGATCAGTTCCCCACATCTTTTGGGCAACCCTTGGATTGTGCCCTGGCGCCGCGTGGTGCCTGCCGACATGAGAGCAGTGTTCCGGCAGCGTTGCCGCCGTGATACCTAGGTAGGTAATTATCCTCAAATGCACAAACACCAGCGACGACGACGTTAATCCCCCAACCTTGTATTTTGCCCTGCACTCTTCATCCCTTGCCGTAGTCCCCAGCTCGTATACCCTTCCTCTTCCAACCGCGGTGGCCGCCGTCAAAAGACGTGGCGACGCTGCCGGTGCCTTTGTTAGAGTCGGCGGGTGGTGTAGAGCCGGCAGTCGGGTGCGATGTCGGGCACAGGTGGCATTGTCGGTGTTAGGGCTACAGTCGCTAGCAAAACCAAGATAGGTACCTACGTAGGTAGGTAGGTACTTAGCTACCAGATATAGGCCGCCTTGGGGTTAAGTCCTTACCAGAACTCGCAAAATCAATACGGCCGTCCATGGCAGGAAAGCCGAGTTGAAATAATTCGAGACTACCTAGAGAAAGAAATTTAACCCTAGACCATTAACTGCTTTAGGGACCTTAGCGAGATTGGGGCTATTGGGTTATTCGCAGCAAATAATATCCTGCTTGTGTTCTCGACAAGCCTGAATTCATGGGGAGCTGTTTAACAAACGTGGAGTCGAGGTTGAAGTTAATGTTAGGTTTTGGGTGGAGAAAAGGGGGACCATAAGGAAGCCGTTGCGCATTTGCCTTGACCTCCACACTGCACCATCCTGGGAAGGAAGATCATCTTGCATGGACCGTATCATCATCGGGCCCATCTGAGCCAGGATGGGGTTCCACGAGGCGTGGAAGCAGAACCGACGGGACATGCCACCGTTCTGACAGTAGGCTAACGTGATCCGGCGAGGAAGAATGAGCTTTGAGGTGCTACCAAAGGGCTCTCGAAAGGATGTGTGGTCATGGTATTCCTTCATTGAAGACGAGACGGGACCGCAAGGCGAGTTGGGGCCATGCTGCTGAAATGATGGGCGATGCGTTCGTTCCCAACACACCGCTGTGTTGGGTTCACTTTGATATTATTACAGGTAGGTACCCAGGTAAGCTTGCGTCGATGGTCGCTGATCACAACTATAAGGATCAAGTCTACAATCGAGCGAGCGAAACACAAACGCAGCGAGAAACAGAAAGGAAAAGAAGAGCGGGAACTGAACGGTTTCCGAAAGCGATCCACCTCTAGCCTAATCCGAGGAGCTACCACCACCATCTCCCCAGATCTAGGTCATCCGTGACCAAACCCTCAGTGTGACCCCCAATTCCTCAGAAAAGGACAGCCCAATCAGCGTCCCATTTCCTTCCTCTCCCCGACCAGATTGACGGCGGAAGGGCGCCCAATCAGATCCAGACCCAGGAGCCCTGGATGACGCCGAGGCTGAGGGCGGCGAGGGCCTGGAAGGCGGCCGGGCTGAAGTCGAGGTCGCCGGCGTTGCAGGCCTCGCAGCGGTCGACGACGGTGACGTCGACGGACCGGCCGGCGTATGTGGCGCGCAGGCGGCGGCCACAGAGCGGGTTTTTGTTGGGGTTGCCGCCGGGAGTGGACGGGTCGAAGTCGGCGTGGCTCAGCGCCACCACCAGGTCGCCGTCGCCGTGGTTCTGCCCGCACGCGCCCAGGCCCGGGTTGTAGTACGTGAAGCGGCCCGCGGCCGGCACCGCGCGCTTGTCGCCGCCAGCGGCCGCCTCGACGGCGCCGGTCGAGATCGGGGTCGCGGTGGTGGCGCCCATGAGGGTGGCCGTGACGGCGAGAACGGAAGCAATGGTGGTAGCGAACATCTTGATGGCGTTCGAGGTGATAGTTGTTTTTGTTTGTGCAGTTGAGGTTGGAGACAAGAAGATGGTAGTTTTCTTTGCCCAAAGGAAGAGTGGACTGGTGGTGAAGAGGAGGAAGTGGACTGAAAGTGGTTGAGGTCAAGGTAATATATAGGCGAGAGATCTTGGGCTTCATCCCATATCTTCCCAGCAACTTGCTGTTGCGGGCGCAACTGACAATTGCAGTTGCGGAATACTCCCCCCCTATAGCCGGGCACGAGCAAGTTACTGCCTCCCATGACGCGTCAAGTCCGTGCTGAATCACTTCGTCCCGTCTCAGGAGAGCTCATATGTGCAGTAACGGCAGGAATGCTCTCCAACAAGTTCCAGTTAGGTAGCGGAAGACTTCCGCACACATCAGAACATACACTGCGATACATACAGGGCTGTTCACTCATCAGTATGTGAACTATGTGAACAAGGTGAGTGTGTTTGTGCCTTATTGTGTATGTGGTTCATCACGTTCCAGAGTATTCTGCATGGACGATCATCTTGCTCTCTTCGGCTGCACTGTACAACCACCGATGTTTGCTCCTTTTACATTCCCAACCTTCGGAGCCGACCCCTGTTTTGGAGGCCAAGAGTCCTCGGGAAAGTGCGCTCCTGACTGGCGCCAGGTTATTTTCATGTTTTTATACGACGAAATGATAGCAGTTGGTGGAGAGGTTGGGGAAGGGCAAATTTCCAAGCTCTGGCCCCTTTCTTGGGGTGGGTCTTTGTTTACTTTCTTTTCATCCAGTCCCAGCACCCATATTAGCGGTGGGAACATGCGTAGGCACCTGCCTGTAACTACCGAGAACTTTACGAACTGATCTTGCATGTGGTCGATTCCGGACGCTTTCCTAAATGCACCAGGTCTGGAGAGGCCTTCGAGAAGAGGTCAGGGTTGCCGAGGAAGGCACTGCTCCCAGTGGCAGTCCCCAAGGTGAAGAACGTCGAAAGAAAGTTAGGACAGTTACTTCGTACTCCCTTGGCGTTTATGCGTTCTGATGCTGGAGGCTGATTTGGTGGAATCCCCCCCCACCGGTACCGGACCAGAGACCTTCCAGACTGGGAAGTGGAAGCGAGCCTCAGCCTCGGTAAGGCTCCCCAGGTTTCCCCGCAGGTCATCGTGCCGCTCTCCTGGTTTCCCGGGCTTCCCTGTCGTCCGACATACTCTCGACAGGCATTTGACCCCAGACGACGAGGAGAGTCGTGTAAAGCGCAAGAAACCGCGCAGACGGCTGCACCACTGCATTTCATCATGAGGGCAGCAGCCCCGCCCGCAAGGGATTGCGAGAGCGCGCCCTTGATAACGGGTGCGCCACCCGCCGTCGATGCCGCGCCCGAGGAGCAAACTAAGAAGGTTCCATGGCGTTTCACCACCCGCCAATGGGCCGTTTGGTTCATTTTGATGTTCATATACTCCTATACCGTTCCCGACCTCATCCGGCCCTACATACGCAGGCTGCTCGGGACCCACCCACGTATCACCTACCCCGGCGAGCACATACCTTGGACCGACTGCGGCACCGTCGCCGGCCGTAGCCTGGAATGCGCCAACCTGACCGTGCCCATGGACCACTTCAACGCCTCCAACAACCTCCCCGGCGACAAGTCCTTCACCATCCCGCTCGTGCGCCTGCGCAGCCCCAACCCCACCCCGGCCACCCGCAACCTGCTGCTCAACCCGGGCGGGCCGGGCGGCTCGGGCACGGGGATCGTGCACCGGCGCGGCGGGCAGATCGCCGCCGTGGTCGGCGACGGCTTCCACCTGGTCGGGTTCGACCCGCGCGGCGTCAACCAGTCGCTCCCTCGGGCCAGCTGCTACCCGAGCGACGACGCCCGCCGCGCGCTGTCGGCGGTGCGCGCCAAGAAGGCCGTCGAGGACAGCGGCGAGCTGTGGGCGTGGACGGAGGGGTTCGTCCGCGCCTGTGCCGATACCATGGGCGAGCATGGGCGGTACATCAATACCCCGCAGACGGCGGCCGATATGAATGCCATCTTGGATGCACTCGGCCAGGAGGGGTTGTATTATTGGGGGCTTAGCTATGGGACTATTCTTGGTCAGACGTATGCTACTATGTTTCCCGAAAGGGCCGAGCGGGTGATTGTGGATGGGGTTGCGGGCCAGGTTGACTGGTATGAGAGCCTGCTTGATGCCGAGATGATGACTGATACGGATCGGGTGCTTGAGGGGTTCGTGGACGAGTGTGTCGAGGCTGGAGAGGCCGATTGTGCTCTGGCGGGACTGGCGGGGTCGAAGGAGGAGCTGTTGGAGTTGGTCGTGAGCGGGATTGCCAAGTTGAAGGATGAACCGATCGGAGTGTACGTCAATAACACGGTGCATGGTGTGCTGGATTACTGGGCGGTCTGGCACAATGGCGTGTTTCCGGCGCTGTATAAACCGGCAAGTTGGAGGGACCTCGCCACCAACCTGGCTTCGCTATTGCAAGGAAACGCTACCGAGGCGTTTCTGGCTTACGGCAGAGAGGAATCTTGGGGAAGCTTAGGCGATGCGCTCAAGTTTGTCGCCCTCAACGACGGCACGTCGGGGTCCGCCAAATGGCCGGCGGATCGGCTCGAGCTGCTGGACCAGTTGCTCCCTTTCTTCAACTTGTCCCTCTTCGCCGACACCGAGCTTGACTATTACTTCTCTAAGCAGGCTTGGACCGTCCCCCATACGCACACCTTCGTGCCCAAGGAAAAGGTCAAAACGGCACACCCGCTGCTGCTGCTCTCGACAACGTATGATCCCGTTTGCCCTCTGGTTTCCGCAAAGGGGGCAAACGAGGTGTTTGAGGGGTCACGGATCGTTGAGGTCAAGGGATACGGTCATTGCACAATATCTCTGCCATCTCTATGTGTGGCACACCATGTGCGGAACTTCCTGTACGATGGGAAGCTGCCGGACGAGCATGTGCAATGCGAAGCAGACGGCAAACCGTACTTTTCCACGCCCGAGCAAACAACGGCTTCGGTCAAGACCCTGTTTCAGACTCTGGGAACCGAGGATAGATGGATTTGGCACGCGCAACAAGAACTTGCTCAGGACTCATGGCTCGGACCTTGGAGAAGGTAACTCACTATTGTGTAATATATCCCGATCAGATTCAAGTTGATAAAAGAACAAAAACTCACCGATGAGGTGGTCGACAAACGTGGCGGCGCTGCCTGACGATTTATCTAAGCACTCGCGCCTGAATGGGCCCCCTCGGACTATTGTATTCGTATACAACACAGCGGTCCATAGCTCACTATCCGCAAGTTCTTCGTATCCGCTTGTGAATGAACGAATAAGCCGCTGCAACTGTGGGCCTTGGAGCTTTGTTAGGCACCACTGCCTCGGGCGCGTCAGCATGAAACTGCCAGACCCTCGCCTGGCCTCTTTATCGGGTTGAACCCGACCACCTTGACCCATGGTAAATCTCCGGCGCTTACAGTGCGGGCTTGTTATCATACCACATGAGCGGCCTGTGGAGCTTGAAATTTGGTCAAGTCGCGTTTGATGGCCGCCACGCCTGTCACGAATACAGCCGTGACATGAAAGTGAGACTTGCAACTGGAGGCGGCCACGGCCTCTCGCCGGTCCTACACCCGACGATTTGCGCGCATCGCCAAACAGGACAATGAACCTCGAGTGCGAATGTAAGTCAGGTCGAACCAGTATAAGTTGTTTGCATCCCTTCTGTGAAATGCAAAATAATTACCAGACAGCTTCTACAACAACCACAACATCTCAACACAACCACAACCACAAAACACTCTTTAAAACCCACACACTAAGTTCTTCAACTTAAACCTTCAATATGCGTGCCACTGCCACTCTCCTCTTCGTCGCCGGCCTCGCCAGCACTGCCCTCGGCGCCGCCACCAAGATGTACGACGACGAGAACTGGTACGTAACATCAAACTCCCCATCGCAGATCCCGCAAAAGTAAAACCTTGGACTAACCCCCCGCACCAGCTCCAACGAGGTCGACAAGAAGGTCTTCAACGGCTTCTCGACGGGCGACGCGCCCCTGACGGACAACATCAAGGCCATCAAGGTCGACGCCATCTCGGACGTCTGGTTCGCCTACCAGGACAGCGACGGCGACGACTGCAAGGGCGACCTGCTCACCAAGCTCGAGGACGACAAGTGCATCAAGGTCGCCGAGCTCGGCATCGGCTGCACCCGCCTGTGCGCCGGCGGCCTGGGGGGCGGCGACTGCGCCTCGACTACCGCTTAAGGGCAGCTGGTACTGCCTTGATGGGGAGTTGTTTATTGGTGATCATGGAGTTAGAAGCGAGCTAGACATATATGGATAAAGTTTGAAACGTGATGCCGATGTGCAGTCCCCCCTGCTTTTGTGACACTTTAGAGTATTCCTCGGGGGAAATCCGGTTTCCAGGTTGTCTTGATCCCATCCGTGAAGTATTACATACCTCTACTATCCACCAACTGGGAAATACCGCAGCCCAGGTAAGGTATGCAGGCAGATGGCAACAAGTCAGACACAGCGCTTAAACCTATCCAGGCTTCTAAGTTTACTATGAAGGCTCCCGGGACGCCGCGATATGCTCCATACAAATACAAAATGACTTTCTAATGGTATTAGACAAAAGAAACCAGAACCCCCCAAAACGCCGCCCCCCTTTATGTACACCCAACCCAACCCCAACCTCACCGCATTCCCCCCGGCTGCCCAAAGTCAAACCGAAACCCCATATCCTGCGACGCCTGATTCCCATGCACCACGATCCTCGCGCTCATCGGCCTCGCCACCTGCGCAACCTCATACACATGATGTCCCGTCGGCGTCTTCGCCGACTCCGGTGTCTCCTCCTCCTCCTCATCACCCCTACCACCATCACCACCACCACGCTGACCACCAACCGTGCTAGTACTGCTCGTCGTGCGGATACTCTTATCCCCCAGCGGATGGTACACACCTTCATCTACGGACTGACCGGCCGGGTAGCGCATGAAGTCGACGCTCATGCGGCCCGAGGGCAGCGTGCGGTTGAGGAAGCGGTTGTCGTTGCTATGACGGGTCGTGCCCTCCCAGTCGTGGAATGTGTCGAGCAGGGTGTCGAGGAGGCGCTTGCGGGGCGGTTTGGAGGAGTTGGAGGGGCGGGCTGGCGGGGAGAGGTGGTGCTTTTCGGGCTGGTGGTGGTGGTGTTTGTGGTTGTGGTGTTGGTGGTGGGCGGCAGCGCGCGCGCTGGAGGGTCGCTCGTTGTGCACGAAGAGCATGCGGAAGGAGACGAGGCAGGAGATTATGTAGGCTGGGAGAGGGTGTTAGTTAGGTATGGTGGGATGGACTTTGGGGATGGAGAAAGTCTTACCCATGATGAATTCGATCGAGAGCCAGAACCATGTCCATGCGATGTTTTGGGTTTGGGAGCCGTCAGTGACAACCCTGCCCGTGTGGATAGTGCCGCGGATGATGGTCACAGCGACGGTGATCAAGGTCAAGGAGAAGATGGCGCCGAGGATCAGCTTCTTCCGCATGGTGAGCCGAACTTTCCACAGGATGACGATGGGAAGGCAGAGGACTAGAGCTGTTGTCAGCGACATGCACATTGTGAACTCGGTTTCACGGGGGTTGATGTCCTTACTGAGTAGATCCGAGGCCGCGTCAATGGTGCAGTACGCCACCATGTAGGTCCATTGTCGTGCAGTCTCGCCGTTGGCGGTGCACTGAGAAAAGATGACGTCGAGGGAGCTCAATATGCACTTGTACTCAATGAGGGCGATGCTGACGGCATATGACGCTAGGGTCACAAACGCGACAAACCACCAAAACATGATGTACTTGGGTATTTGGCGACCGAGGCGATGGAAGAAGAGGAGGAAGCTCAACTTGACTGCGTGGACCCCCGTGATGCTAAGGATTCCTTGGATGAAGATGCCGTGCAGGGCCTTGGGCACGTCGTCGGCGAAAGTCGCGGGTATGAGGATCGAGCCGTTAGAAACATCCTCGAGCATGTACACATAATGTAGCCGTACTTGGGCGACACAAGCTGCGGCGAGCTGGATGCCAAGTGCCACCATCATGATGCAGTCCTCGGGCAGGAGGCGACGGAAACATATCCACCTGATGTATGAGCGTGCACAGAAGCCGATGAAGCAGACTGCAAAGCCGACCCATATGACAGCCTGTGGTACCGTGTTAGAGGTAGATGGTTCAGTTGGGTTTTCTGGTTTTGGCCAACTCACTTTCATGGCCTCCACCGGCATTAGATGCTCGGTGGTGGGAAGTAGTCGGGGTTCGGACGCTGACAAGGACATGATGGTGTTGGAGGCTCAGACCAGACGCCAAGGACCACCAAAGATTGACCGGCGCTGGATGAAGAGCGGGCACAAATGTGCCCCGGAAGAGCGAATATGGTAGACTTTGTACCTGGTGTTGGAGGACACCGAGACTCCGCCAGACTCGCCACTGCCGAGCAGATTCTCAAACTCTCATCCTGCCGTGGAGCGGGCCAGTAGAAGAACATCTCGTCGACTTGAGACATGCGATGGACCCAAAAGCGAAGTGCCTGCCTGGGTAATGGCACGGTTGGGTATGTGCCGCTCAACTGAAGGTGCGCTGACTGGTTGGAGGGGATGGAGGGAAGTGAAAAATAGCTGACGGATGCGGCACAGCGGATGCGCAGCGACTTGGTAAGAAACCACCCAACCATTGGAGATACCCTGCCAAGCAGAGTGCAGTTGGTTGGGTGAGCAGGAAATGGTGCGCATTTGACTCCCTACCTCTGGAATTTGTGTCAAGGAGTCCCGAAACTCTAAAGGGGGTATGGGTGCGATATTGTTATTATTTGTGCACTCCGGTTGGACCGCAGATTCCAAGACACGGCACCTAGTTAAGTGAGAAGGATGAGATCAAAGAAGCCCTGATTTCTGGGCGTCGTTAGGGCTGACCGGAGCTGGGCAAAGCTGAGACAGTGAATCCTCGTCCCAAAGCAGCAAAAGCACCCGCGCCAACCCAACTCCTGCACTTGCAGCTGGAACCTGCCGGCTCTGCCACACATCTGCGTCGATCTCGATCCCGCCCTCCATGCTTCGCCGTTTGTGCAGGTCCCCCACAACAGGACCAACGGCACCACCAGGATCACCACCCCCTGTACATACGTCCCACCCGAACCCCAACACCAACCACAGTATACTAACAGATCACCCACCTCACACAGTAGATACTGCTGTGGGTTGGCCCGAGACTCTGCGCCGTACAAGTTACGCACGACATCAGTCACAGGGAGGGGAGTTGGACAGCGTTCGGCTGTGAAATTCCGAGCGAAATTGACTTGAACCTACGAGGATTTGCAAAGTCCTGGCAGCTGGCGTACCTCACTCTGATCCCTCCTCCCCGATCGCCCCAAAGCCGTCAATTCTCTCCTCGAGACCCTCAAACCCCTCAACCCCCTTTTCCACATCATCCAGCCACTTTCGTATCGTGCCGATCATAAAACAGTCGCTGCAGCTGGAGACGGCGAGATCGAAATCTCTCAGTTGCTGGCTCGATTTGAAGATCTCCACCCACTCTGGCTGTAGCCTCTCCATCTCCGCGAGAAAGACACGGCGGAGCTGCGTCAGCTCGTAGTGGTCGAGGTGTTCCCAGAAGATCTCAACCAGATTTCCATCCTCGTCGTGCCCGTACTCAGTCTTGACGGGCTCCTCGTCGCGGGGTGTCCCCTGCAGGAGGGGAGGAATCTGGCAGGCGTACCAGAGCGGGAGAGCCGAAATGCATTCCCAGTCTACCACCGCCGTCAAGTTTCCACGGTCATCCACCAAGGTGTTTTGGCGCGAGAGGTCATCGTGCAGGATCACGGTCCGCTCGGGCTCCGAGTCGGGGCCGGGCGGGGGGAAGAATTTGTCCAGCTGCTGTTTGAGTCGTGTGATGATGTCCATGGTGTGTCGGAGGTCTTCAAGATCTTCCTCGTCCTGATCCTCCGGCGCCGCATTCTCGAGACGGTTCAGACCCCCGCGACAGTCCATCTCGGCTAGTGACAACCGAGCCAGGAACCAGTCCCTGCTGGATTGGAAAGGGCCACGGGAGACTTGAGTATGGATGTGGCCGTCCCAGAGGAATTCGTTTGAGACAATTCGCTGGAGGCGAAAGGAGCCACGGTGCTGGGCTGAACTGCCAGGGCCCGGTCCCGCGTCATCCAAGAAGAGGTTGCCGATACCCCGAAGCTGGTTATGGAAGGTTTCGGAGTAGAAGAGCGCAAATCGGCGGACAATCTCCTCTTTGGCGGACAAGGTAACGTCCCTCCATCGATCACCTAAGGATCTGCCAGGCATTTTGGACATGACGATCCACTCGAACCCGATGGTGCTGGTCCGGTCTGCCTGGAATGAGATGATCTCGGGGACCGGTAGGCTTGTGTTGTCGCGGACCCATTGCACAGTAGCCACCTCGCTGAGTGTCTTCCATTTGGGGTCGACCGGCAGCGTGACGCGGGCGATGACCTCCTTCTTCTCAGGAAATGTGACGACGTAAACCTTGTTGAATGCGCCCTGGGCAAGGAATCTGATATTGCAAGGAACGCTGGCCAGGTCCAAGGAAGATGCAACAGTCTTTCTGATGGCGTCTTCGTCGGGTTCGACCGTCCAGCGAGGCTCCGCGCCCCAGATTCTATCCCGCAGCCACTCCAGGCCATCGAAGTCGGATCCTGGCTTAGCTTCAAGCTTGTCCCCCGACATGGTGAAATGAATGAATGTAAAAGATGACTGGGTTTGAGTTAAAGGGCGCAGCCACACGAAAGGCTTTCTAGTAAGTGGGTGTTTGGTTCTGAGAAGTCTATGGGCGCGAGGAAGAACAGGCCCTTTAAGGTACCTTACACAACCCCCCAATTTGTGTCGCACGGCAGCGCTATTTAAAGCGGGACCTGTTGGTCAGTATCATTGGTTGGCCATTCGAAACTTGTTCCGGCATTGCCCAACGTGCGAACGCAACCTAGCCGCCCTCACACCTGCGGCTGTGGTGGCCTTGGCCGTGATGTTGGTCGAACCAACTGCTTCAGCACTTGTCCATTCACACATATTCCTGACCATCTTCAGGAATATTTGGCCCCTAGCCCCTGGTACCGAAGCCTCGCCACACGGCGGTGGGCGGGCGCCGTTCATGGTCGTTCCTGAGGAGGTCTTCAAGCCACAGCGGCCGCTTACACCGTCTTCTTTGGCCCTGAACGGTGCACATCTCGAAATTCATTGATTGGCCTGCCGCAGCCTTTTACCAACAACCATCCTGATACAGTGATACAGGCCCCTAGATGTGCCACCTGCAACCCTACCCGTCCTCTTTGAGCGGTTGGTCTGGGTAGGTAATGAAGTGGTGGCAGCGGCGCGGTGGGGGAGGGGGGGATGTCCAGGACTGCTTGGGAACCAGAACTCGAAGGAAAGGAGCAAGACAAGGGGTGTCATAAGTTGAGTGGTTTCCCAACCTGCTGGCCACAGGGCCCTGCATCTCTCGTCCGCAAACCGCTAGTGATTCTCTTCTCGTTAAGTACCACATACCCCTTTTGCACCATTATTATCCCTGACCCCAATTCATCCCTGCCTACCTCTCCCCGGACGGTAACATGCCGGGGAAGGCTCCCATGGCGATCCGGGCCTTCATCGAGTCCATCCCCGATGCCAAACTGGTCGGATTCGCGGATCCGAACCCGACCTATACGATTTACACCAATGTAGACTTTCGTCTGGATCTCCAGAATGTTTGTGGACTTTCTTTTGCTCTCCGTAATTACATCCTGTGCCGACTTGCTAACAGTTCCAGAAAACATCCACGAAACCGCCCAAGTACAACTTGCAGGTTCAGGTTAACAGGCATTCGACCATTAGCACCCTGAAGAATATGAAGCAGAAGACTGGCAAGACCAGCACCAGTGTAGCGAAGGCTCTTGTTCCGACTGACGGGTCGTGGAGTGCTGCCAGGGTTCGGGCGGCCCTGCTCGCGGGCCGGATGTTTTAATCCTAGGAGGTTGGCCTGCCGGAAGACCAATGCATTCTTTTGCTTGTCTTTATCGCTCGCCGTTGTTACATTGAGTCTGGGTTCGGACTTTTAGAGAATCTAAATGCGAGTTACCGGAATTATGCCTCGTTTGTCCCGCTGTGCTCTGCCATTAAGTCGCGGGGAGAGATAAAGAGGTTGGTGAAGGGGCAGGTAAGGATTTACACCCGGTCCGGATCGTGAATTTGTCCTGCTGACGGGAGTAACCGCAGCGCCTCGGTACCTCACCCGTCTTCTTCGCTGTCTTTGCAAAGTGGAACCCCCCCCCCCCCCCCCTTTGGCACCTCCTTTTGCTACGGATAGGCAACCCATCGCCCGGGCAATGCTCCTCTTACCAATGGCTTCATTACACCCACAGCTTCCCATGCACCATTTCCACCTGGTCAGAAAGATGCCAATTAGAACCTCGCGCCCCCGTTACAAGCCAAACATATGGTCACATTTGCGGGTTGATAAGGTTGTTAACAGGCAACCTAAGACGATGATGATAAATGCCGAGAAACCCGACAGGATTGACCCGACCCTTCCTTGCCAAACCTCGACCTCACAGCGACCCCTAGCCTCCTCCCATGGCCTCCTTGGAGGACAATGCCCTCCTTCTTACCCGCCTCACCAAGTGCACTTGACAGGCTCGAAAATCATAGTCCCGCAGGTAAACCCTGTCCCGCATGTGTTTATATCGCTACTCGTTACATGCAGGCAGCTCTTGGTGGTCCAGCCCTTGAACTTGAAGTGCGCTCGGTCTCTCGCGTAGTCGGCGCAGAACTCAATCATATCGGGTACGGACGTCCCCCGGCAGCCATTGTCGGCGTCGATGCTGTAATCGCCGTTGGCTGTGTGGAATGCTAGGGAGGTAGCAACCAGCAAGGATTAGTTAAATTACTCTGGATATCGAGAAGGATAACAACGATAAGAGACGGCCGTAGCTATAACGGGGGGGAAGAGAGATCGATGCCGTTAATTTGACATACTGCCGTCGTATTGACAAATCCCAAACACACAAACCATGCCAACATTCATCCAGTCCGCCGAGGCCGTTGTTGCGAAGGCAGACAGGGCGGTGAAGAGGACCGGGACGTTGAGATACATGGCCAAGGTATTCGAGAGGTCTGTTGTTAGAAGTGGTGGTTGATGTTATGTCATTCGGTTCAACAAGAGGTGGCAAGCTCGCCATTATATAGATGTGGCTGCCCCTTTTGCCGTCGCCTAACAGATCTAACACCCCCCAGTGGTCTGTGGTCTGCTTTGAAGTTCGAAGCGACCTCATCTGCCCTGCCTCCTTCACTACTACCACGGTACATTAGTGCATCCTTCGTGTGGATGAAAGCATACGAAAGAATGCTGTACTCGAGCCTTTCGCGCGGGTGAAAGGACGAATAAATCCTTCGCCCCCAACTAAACAGGGGGACAGGCCTGTTCCGAGTTCGCTCGCGGCTACGGACTGCAGAGTTCTTTTTTGTGGAGGCGGGATGGCAGAAGGAGACGTACTGGGTGTGATTTGAAAAGAACGACCATTGGCCATCGTGATATTTTGTGAGCCAGAGTATTGTCTATCCACATCACCATCAATGGTGGGCGCAATGGGTGGTCCTTATCTGCGACCTTCACACGTATACATTATCATCCCCCATGCTTGACCATAACTCAGAGGTCTCACCACAACGCCTGTCGACTAGAGTGAAAACGTAGTTGCTTCGACCGGGAAGTTGGTCTCTCGGTCTTGCTTCTGCTCTCTCAAAGTACATAAGAACCGGCCTCCCTAGCTCGCCTTTCGGCCGCTCAGGCCCCCGGGTGGTTTCACGACGTATTGCGGGGGCATCGCTAGTCCCAAACCGCCGCGGCCCCCAAACTTTGTGGCCAGCCGGCCTCGACCTTGATCTACACTTGAGCTTCCAGTTATTGACCGGCTGCGCCCTGCGTTCACCGCCTGACGAAGATGGATATACCTAACTGCCTCCCGCATGGCACCTACGGGCTACGGCAGGCCTCTTGGATCGTGTGCGGGATGGTACGACAAAATTCCTATCTTCACCAAATCCAATGCCGGAGCGTAATTAACAAGGATTGTAGTTCGGATTCAGAACAATCGGACTTGATGCGATTTTACTTTTCTTGCACCATGCATGTCTCGTCGAGCCCAAAGTTTCAACGCCCTATCCCTGCATGAGATAGCCTGTACACAGATAGCACCACAAGCCTCGTAGCGTTTACCTATCAAAATCCGGATCGTCAAGCCAAACGCGGACTTTTTCGAGGGCGGACAAGTCGTGCCGTTCTTCAGATACCGCGTATTCCAGAACGTCCCCGTCAATCCAGCCTACCGTCCCCCGAGATGCGCCCAGCTTCCGACCGATCTCGCGGCAGGAGCCAAAGTCAACCAAAACCGGCATTTGGGCAGAGTTGACGAGGATATTGGCGGGGTTAATGTTTAACCAAGAGTGTCAGTTACTTATTGACCTCATTCTCCTCGTCCAGGGACGATGAACCAGGGGCCGGATATCCCAACCAAACATACCATTGTGCGCGAGCCCGAGGGAGTGGAGGTGCCGAACAGCCGACTCGAGCGCGGTCATAAATGCCTCCTTATCAATCTCACCCACCCCGTCCTTGAGATATTCCTTCAGGTCATGCGGATGCTTGTCAAGCACGAGCCCGGTGATGCGTCCCCTCCGCACGCGGCAGCCATGGTACCCGATGATGCCAGGGTGGGGTTGTTGAGAGACGATCTGCAATGCATGTGCCTCGTCGAGAATGAGGGTCGGAATAACGAAAAGCATGTCGTCTTTTTTATATTCCTCGTACATCCTCAACCGGGGCCGCTTAATGTAGAGGGCATTCACATCGCAGTCGTTCGCAGCAAGAGTCAGGCGAGCATCCGGCGGCACGTCTGGGAAAATGTCTTGGTCGGGGATCCGTTCCAATGCAGCGGTGTACTGTTCCAAGGTGATCTTGAGCTTTGGGGCGCTTAGCTGGCCGAAGTAGAAGACATCGTCGTCGTCAATGAATGAGAATGTCGTGTACAAGAACTCGTGAGTGTTTGCATCAAAGGCCTCGTAAACACTGTCGAAATCGCTCCATTGCGTTATGATAGGCGCCATCAATCCGGGTATCAGAAGTCCGTAGGGCCTGAGAGTTGTGAGGTGCGAGAAGAAGTTGAGGGGACTTGTGTGTGGAGCGAGTTGGGCCAACAAGGTAAGGGTGGTCGGCCACGGGGCGAATAGCCGGGGCGGATCGACCTGACCGAGCACGCAGCTCGCCAGGACAGACGCGTTGGTTGAAGCGGGCTTGAACGTGCCGGCCTTTGGGTACCCAATGGCGTTTCAGCAGACCAGAACCACCCGCTCAATGCCCAGATAACACAGCCCCTCGGTCCCAATACATTCCGCCAAATGCAGGCCGAGTTTGAAGAGTTCGCCCTCGAGAACTGTGAAAAACAGGAGCGGTGTCTGCTGCCCGGTATATTATGGCGCGTAGCCCCGTGGGTGAACGAGGTATCATTTACCGGGATTAACATGTTTGTTTGCACGGATGGATGATTATATGATACATCCCCGAGATAGTGTTCACAGTGGCCAAATCCAATCCACCACGAACGACAGCAACACGGATCCCGCCACAACGATCACTGTCCCCAAGCCCTCCATCATCTGTTCCCTAAGCCTCTGTTCCCTAAGTCTTTGCTGCTGTGCAGCTAACTGCTCCCTCGCCTCCCTTACAGCTCGCTCTCGGCCCTCCGCATCCTTTAACTGCTGCTGTAATTCAGCATCCGCCAGTGCCCTCACAGCGTGTTCCCGGTCCTCCTCAGCCTTCAGCTCCTTCTGCATTTCAGCGCGAAACCAGTCAAGGGTTGCCTGTCCACCGGCCACGATGAACATGGCGGTAGGTTCCTTTTTGCACAGCTTCTCCAGTTCGTCAAGGCTGGCGAGCGCCTCCCGCGTTTTGCCCTCGTCCAACCGCTCTTTTAACGTCTGGAACGACTTGCGCGCGGTCGACGAATTATGCAAGACCCCCTTCATGTCTTCTTTGGTGGTGACAGAAACATTCAGTTTCTGCAAGTCGTTTCGAATGTCTTTCCAGCCGTCCGCATCCGGGTGTGACGAGGGTTTGAGCTGGGCCACCGCGCGGGCGGACGCCACCGACTGTAGTAACATCTCCCGCAAGTCCGGATCGGGAAAGTCCTGCGCAAGACGCTCCATCTCTTGGAGAGCCGGCCCAACGTTTGAAGTCTCCTCCAGGGTGTCGGTGTCAGCGGCGCTGATTCCCAGGCAGATGTCGTGAAGCTCTATCAGCCTTAAACAACGCTCAAAATGCTCCACTAGTTCCCTTCTCTCGGGCTTGCCGCCCATCGCCACTATCAGCTGACGAAGATGCTCGCTAGCTTGCCTTATGTCGCCATTCTTGAAGTGGCTCCGGAACAGGGTATAGTGCAAGGTTTGTGAGGAGTCCCAATCAGCCCTGTTCATGGCAGTTTCTGCGGCGTTAAGCTGGCCCAGGTGGGAATCAAGTCGTTTCATGATGTCCGCAGGGCCAGAAGCACGAAGAGCAGCGGTCATAGAACGCGGAAGGAAGAGTTGGGCCGACAAACGAGCCCCGTCCCCAGGTTGTTCCCAGCAGCGGGCCAGGAAGTCCATCACTATGTCAGACTCCGCTTTGCCATGGGCTTCATGTTCAGGTTGATGGTCACCTAATCTCTCGACTCCATCTCTGAGCGGCTTGGTCTCCAGATGGCGGGCCAAGTCGCGGACGTGTCGAACAATGGCTGGGTCGGGGGGTTGACTTAGGACAGCTGGAGCGGCGGTGATCCGCTGTCGAGCAATTCGAGCTTCTTCCGTACTCTGGGATAGACCGCGTGAAATTTTGTCCGAGAAACGATCATCTTGACCGAGGTTTGGTCGCGGAGTCTCCGCAACCTGAATCAAATATGGTAGAAACTCGGTGAGAGGCTCCAATCCGCCTTGAAAGTCCGAAGTTAGGGCCACGAGACACCCGGCGACCATGTTATGAAAGAGCGGTGACAGGGAAGCCGACTCGCAGAGCCGACGCGCACGCTTCGCAAAATCACGCCACCGGCCCGCACTGTCGTTGGCATGAAGCTTGCGTAGCAATCCAACGTTGATGGTCGTAATCATAAAGAAGACTCGAACGTAAGGGGACGACTCGAGGAGGCTCTCATCGGAACCAAGTTCAGCAAGCAGTGTCTCGAATTGCTCGGCAAATAGGCTAGCCTCTACCGATGTCGCAGCGGACATGATAACTACCGCTGTGTTAGTAGTCGTTTATGTGTCGGGAGGGAGACTACATACGTGGTGCAATCTTGAAAAAGTGGTCGAGCGGCCATGATTCCTCGGGTGGGAGGTATTTCGCGTTGTCGACGCAAAGGCGCATGCAGGTCAACGTGTTGAGGAAATGATGAGCTTTGGGATCCGGCTGAACCCGAAAGGGAGTCATATTGTCCGTCGCACCATCAGGACAAGCGAGCTGAAAGGCGAGTTGGTAATCGACACTTTCCAAATACCAGGTTAAAACCTTCAATTTGGCGTGGGCTTCGGCGGGCACTTTAATGGGAGTTGTTATGGCTGCATAAAGTCCCAAGGCGGAAAGAAACGGTCCCGAACTGAGCTTTGAGGGCCCAAGGTCAGAGAGATGCTCCGGAGCAGAAGCTATAACTTCGCCGCCCGTCGGGCTGTCCCCGGCGGCTTGAGAGCTCCGGATGAGACCCCGGAGGGTAATGCGGCAGTAGATTGAGAAGAGAGGATGGATAAAGCTGATCCTCCTCGAGCCCTCAAGCGCGGCCAGCTGGATATATCCTCTATTGCAGGCGAAGCGAATAACCGTGTGAACAATCTCTTTCTTGCTGCAGATGCCGAATTCCAACATGGCTCCCACAAACCGACCGTCATAGGGCCCCTGGTGCCAGAAGAGACCGATCATTAACAAGACAGCGAACTGCTCCAATGAAAGCTCCGCGGATAAGGTCGTAAATTCCCTGGTGATGTCATCTAAGCCCGTCGGCTGCAGCATCAACGCAGCGCATGTGGCCGGCCCATCCTCCAGTAGATGAGTGCGTAGGGACTCCCACGGCACCTTGGCCTTCTGGGCGAGGGGGACCACCCAGGATATGGCGCCAGGGATCCCCAACAGAAGCCTGCTCAGAAGTTCCAACTTGTCACGCGTTCCCGGAGCCGCCGTGTCGGGCAGCTGCTGGCCGCTCTCTCGAATGGCCTGCTCGCACAGACTGAGCGAGTCGGTGAGCGACAGGCCCTTCAATTGCATCGTGGCGTGAGACTTGGATGTTGGATGAATCCAGCTCCCAAGATCGGACGGTGTTGAATCCGGAGAAAGAAAACGCCCTGCCATGACAATCATGGATCCCTTATTGCTCTGGACGTAGGCTGTGACCAGCTTCCGCAGCAGCAGCCCTAGCTCCGGCGCAACCGATTGGCCATCAACGGGCAAAGAAGGCGAGTTGTCGGGGAAAGAAGAGACGGCAGTGTGGAGTCCATCAATGATGACCATGACTTTGGTTTCATCCTTAAGGTGTCGAAGTAAGGCGTCCTCGCCCATGGAGCGGCCCATTCCTTTGTTTGTTCCATTACCTCCAGAGCACTGAGCTTGTAAGGCGTCGACCAAAGCACGCGAGCTCTGAACGGGAGAAGAAGCCAAGTCAATGTGCAAGACCTCGTCGGCAAACGCGGTTCCCTCCCATATGTGTTGAGCATACCGCAGAAATCTAGTTTTGCCGATCCAGGCATGGCCAAATAGAAACGCCTTGCGACGTTTCAGCAAAATCTTCTCCAGAGCGGCAACGTCATAATCACGGCCGACCGGGCGGGACTCCCACTGCATCTCGTGCCCCGCCAGATCGAGAGGAGGCGCCACGGCAAGGTCTTCCACCGCGCTGTAGATCACTGGCACAAACCAGTCTAGCAAGGGAAGGCGCTGTTCAAACCTCCCTCGACGACACTTGTTGGTTTTGAGAGCCTCGCGACCACTACGGGCTGCGCAGCCAAACGTGGCGCCGCGGAGCAGGAAGGCTGTATAAAAGACGCGCAAAAAGATCTCGGCCGAGACGGAGAGGGCGTTGAATGACATGGCCAGGATGTTCTCGGCGCAGCCAGCCTTGCTCAGTATTGCGGCGGTGTTCCGAGTGGGCCCCAGATCGGCTCGCCCCGAGCGACATGCGTTCAGTACGATGAAGGGGACGGGAAACCCGGACAAGACCTGGGCGACTTCGGTGGATTCACATGCAACCGTCGATCCCGAGCTCTCGAAATAGAGCTTCGCCTCCCCATCTTCGTTTGCTTCTCCGTGTAGATCAAGGTGGATGATATGGTAAGGGTTGGCCCGGTATGTGGATTTAAGGTGGTCGGTCAAGGCTTGCAGTGTTCCTGGGCGTATAGTTGTAATGTTTACCGTCAGGGGGCATCTTCTCCGCTGCAGCTCGGCACGAATTTGGATGAGAATCTGCAGTGTCATGAAGGGGCTGACGTCGGTAGGTTGGTCGATAGTCGTCCTTCTTTTCCGCGCGACCACGTGGAGGATGTTGATGTGCTGTACCGGGACCGGGAGCAGGGCTGATGATGGCTGCCGCCCTGGTTGTGGCGATGAGATGCACCGTCGGACGCGCAGCTTGAGAGTCGCGACCACCCAGGCCCATGGGTTCTCCAACAACTCCCAATGCAAACGGTGGATGGTCATCCTCGGGTCGTGGTCGCCCAGGCCCTCGTCGTGGATGACGAGATCAATAGCATCGGCCCGGCATTTTGCAGGGTAATATTCAGCTGATGGGCGAGCATTCGAGCGTACTTGTTGAGCTGGACGACGGTCCTGTCGGCGCGGCCCTTATCGAAGGGATCCTCGGGGACGTGAGTCTCGAGATACCACCGGCAGTCAACATGGCCCTGGGCGCGAAATGAGTCCGTAATGGTTCGTCGGGCTGTTGGTTTGCTGCCATCATGAATATCGACCTGCCAACTTGGCTTTGTCGCATCGGCGGATGGGTAGCCTATTGGCACAATTTGGATTTTCCGAGGTTCGAGGTCCATGACAGGCAGTTGCCAGAAACACGCAGTTGCCAGAAACACGCAGTTGCCAGAAACAAACCCATCAGGGAAAAAATCAGGAAGGCGCGAGGAACCGCAACCCCCTTCAAGGCCGCTCATTTTGCTCGGAAATGGAATCGACTGGGCTGGCTTGACAGGGGCAGTTCCTTCCAGAGTCCAGACCAAGCCACTCACTCAGCGGTCGAAGCACCCGACCTTTCCGAGCCCTCAGCCGCACGAGCTCCGACGACCCAGAAAGTCGAAGACGAGACGGGCGGGAGACTTCTTTGCCTACCGAGGTACCTTCCTTACCTATTGTTTACAGAGAGGTGGTTCAAACCAACTAAAATATATGCACACCACAAAATCGTTTCATTGTCACGAGCCATCTTGTTAGAACTAGATGCCTCTCCTTTTCGAAACCGCAGCTTAAAGGTCGAATTCCTTCTTGACACCGGGTTCTCAGCGAATTTCTTCAAATTACACCAGCTGACACCAACGAAAGCCTTCCCAGCCAAAAACACCTCTCAGCTCATTTCAGTGACATCTCACTCCATGCGCCAAGCATGATGCGCCATTCCACTTTCTCATTAGTTAGTATGAATATGGATGTGTTGGTTCAGCTGGACCTGTCACGGCAACAAACCATCGATTCTTAACTTCTTCTCCCTTTCGTCACCCCGCCAGATCGAGTTCCGACCAGAAGGAAAGCATCATGGCCCGACGTCAATTTTTCGTTGTCGACTACACCCTCGGCCATGACCAGATCGACTCGATGTTATGCCGAGTCGTCACTGATAAGTACGACCCAGGCAGGGCATTTGCGCCCGACCAACCGCTCGCCTCGCAGCTGCTGCCCGACCTCCTGAGACATTTATCATGACAAACCGCAAAGACTTATTTGAGAATGCCCGTAACTCCGGCGTGCAGACCAAGCTCGCCAAGCTCTTTCACATGGGGACCGACCGCTCCATGGGGGACAGCATCGGGCTGGAGAGCGAGTTGGTCAAGCGCTACTCTCTTAGCAACCCGGAGCGCAGATTCGCCGAACTCATGGAAGATCCCCGTTACGCTGCTGAGGTCTCGTCTCTCCTTGCGAAAAAGCGCTCACATAGGGGATACCTCGTCACGGGCTTCATGACGACTACAAACTCGGCCTGGTCAAAGTCGGCGACCGATGACAAGTCCCTGAAGACCGGAGTTACCCTCGACCCAAGTCTCATAACCAGCGGTGCTCCTTCTGGCTTGGATATCGGCGTCGATACCAGCCACAACGTCTCCGGATCGAATCAAAGCGAATGGGTCTCTCCGAACGAAGAGATATTTGCTGTTTCCTACGTCAGCTTGAAGTTTGAAGGCAGCGGTTTGTTGGGCCGAGGGCCAAAGAAACCGGTGATTGGAGACGTTGTGCTGGCCAGCAACGGGCATGCCGCCCTGTCTGTTGGGGTTCAAACACATTCCGATGACGGGGGAAGTGGAAGCGACAGCGGCAGTGACAGCGAGCAAGACGATGATCCGCCTGTAGGGGAGGTGGTTGTGTTGACAGATGAGGAACCCGTTATTGAGGGGATTGACCATTTCTTCGAAGTACCCATCGGCTTCTAGCGGTTGCAGCGGCCCTCAACTGCCCTAGGTGTGCGATGAGCGCCAGGATACGCCCCGGCTACAGCTCTGCTATCTTATTGAACCCGTTCTCTTTACCATATCCCTTGATCTCTGCCGTTCCATTCTTGCCCATTGAGTTGCACCATCAACCGCTTTGCAGTAGGCCGTTTTTGATGCTGCGGTACATTGTGACTGGCCCCCAACGTTCCGGATGGCGTGCTACCTGGGCACATCATCTCGAGGACGGCCGAGTGTAGAAGGAGTCCGCCGCTTCCGAAAGAGGCCCCACGCTCTCCGTGTCAATCAACCACGGCAACGGTCAGAAGCAAGTCAGCACGTGAGGGAAGGCCGCAACAAATGGTATGGGGAGCGAGGTTTTGGTGTGGGCATTCATCTTCATGTTAATAAGAACCCGTCGCAGTACATTTCATTTTCCTTGCAATACGTGATATAACACTGTCAACAGGCGGCCCACCGTGAGATGGCGTATTCGGGTTTCAGGAGGCTGCTTCTGCCCCCACATGGATGGTTCCCGTGGCCCAATCCTGGCCGAGGCGGATGAAAGCGCTCCGGACTCCCACATTTGTCCCTGTTCTCGACATCACAACTCAATAGTTCTCGATCTGGAGGGCTCAGCATCGTTGCTAGTGGCGCAAACTTCCACCACTTATATTACGATCCCTGACACAATGATCTACGCTCGGGAGAGCCGGGGCCGACCACGATTCAGGAATCAGAACCCGGTTGTGCAATATACGGTGTGCATACGCCGCGGTTTATATTTAAGACAAGCTCCATCTCCATTGAATTTCAAGGTTACTTGCTCCAATAGCTCCCGCTCGGTTCCGTTAAACTCTAACTTTCAGCTTTTACCCTCCATCTTACCTCCACCGCACGTTCCATTCCAAGTTGCCCCAGGATGGCGCCACACGCAAGCTTGTCCGCCGCTCTTGTCGGTGCTTTGGCTACGACGGCGCTGGGCCACGGCATGGTTACCAGTTTCAAGACCGACGGCAAGGAAAACCAAGGCTTCATCCTCGATTACTACTACGCCAAGGCCAACGGGCAACCCGTTCCCGACATCGCGGCATGGTACGCGGAGAACCTCGACAGTGGTTTCGTGGCACCGAACGAATACCAAACCGCCGACATCAACTGCCACAAGAACGCCTCGCCCGGAACACTCACAACCACGGTTGCCGCTGGCGGTAAAGTGCAGTTTAACTGGCCGGCGACATGGCCGCACCCCTACGGTCCCATCCTCACCTACATCGCCAAGTGCAGCGGAGACTGCAGCCAGGCGGACAAGAGCAGCCTCAAGTGGGTCAAGATCGAGGAGGTCGGCATCGATTACGCGACCCAGACGTGGGCTTCTCAGACCCTGGTCGACCAAGGAGGCGTCTGGACCACCACCGTGCCCAAGTCGATCGCCCCCGGCAACTACGTCTTCCGCCACGAGATCATCGCCCTCCACGGCGCCGGCTCGCTCAACGGTGCCCAGAACTACCCGCAATGCTTCAACATCGAGATCACGGGCTCCGGCACGGCGAACCCCGAGGGTGTGGTGGGAACAGCGCTGTACAAGAACACCGACCCCGGCATTCACCTCAACCCCTACACAACCATCACCGACTACAAGATCCCTGGCCCGGCGTTGTTCAGCGGGTAATGTGATGGCTTTGGTCACAGCTCAAGGTTCCAACAATCTCCAATGGAAGAGGTGTATATAGTTTAAATATTGTCTTCAGATGATTCAGTGCTTCTGGCCCGGCTTTGACTTACCGTCTTGCGGCTCTGCATGACTTGGAATGTTGTGTGAGGACTTAGCAGAGTTTTAAATTCGACCTATTGAAACCTTGCAAGCAGCTTCGCGCCGTAAATACCGGTCATCCTCATATCAACTCCCAAGGTTGTGGTAGGCGGGTGGTCAAGATTACGATGCCTGCCTCAACTTTAGTTTCTCAATCGTATAGGTACGTATAAAGGGCCGTAGTCCTTCTTATCCTTACACAACAATGGTTTCCGAGGTGCATCCGGTAAATATCCTTTCTATATTTACACACAACCCGTTCGCAATACGGTGGGGTGCCGTGTTCGGTAACACAGTCATTCGACACACCACAGCAGAATTCGCAGTATTGACTGTGCTTTCTAAGGTAGGGAGTTACCTGAGCTTGACTCTTCAGCTTTGCATATGTACCTACCTAGGTACTCAAGAAGAAGAACAAACAAAAACAGAGGTCGACGTCCGTGCCTGAGCCTGTGCCTGAACACATCTAGACAGTCTCCATGCCGTAAATACCCCTGGGCCCCAACGAACCCCTAAAAGGAGTACAAAACACCAGGAAGCCAACTCCTCTGAGGACAAGAAGTCCAAACTTACAACCTTTTGCGCAGGTCGGGTGAAGTCTGTCTGGGGAAGTCCGGGAAGACTTCGTTTGACAATACACAAGACCTTGCAAGCCGCAAAGTCAAGACAGCTCAGTCGGTAAATCGAACGGTATGCAATAGCCCAATTCTAACCGATAGGAAGGTCCACAGCGAAAAAAGAAAAGGAAAACGTACTACTGGGGTTGGATATGCACACAACTTTGACGAATGATAGACCTGGTATGGTCCGTTGCCTGGGAATGGCGAGGGGAAAAAGAAGGGTGACTAAGTGCTGGAGCTTCCTTAGTAACTACCTATTACTTAGGCCACATATCTATGCGCCCTATCACCTTGGTAAAGAGTTGTGGGCACCGTCAGGTTGAACCCCTGAGTTCAGAGGCCCCCTGATCGACCTATCAGCAAGAGTGGCGGTTGCGCAGATTTGAGCAGATTAGCATCCACAGCCGACTTTCTGGAAAATATAATTATTCCTTAATTACATGTTATTCTCCGCGGGCTACTTCTTCTTTCCTTTTTATCTTTGCTTAATATTTCTGAGGCACCCACTTTGTTGCTAGGGTCGCCGGTATCAACTCTGGGAGCGGCGACTGCGTGACCATGCCACAGCGCAACCAGCCGGCGCGACTGGCCCTCCTCTTCATCGAGCTAGTCTTTGTCGCTACTGCTCTTGGTGTTTTTGCACACGGACATGCAACCGGACTAAGGACTGCGTTGTGGTCGACTGGAGGGGAGCATGGTTGGAACTCGAACCCACGGCTGCGAATCTATTTCTACGCGAACTATCAGCAGCCCCCCGAGGTTCCGTTTCTTTGGACCGAAAGGTGAGCGGCGGGAACTCCATGTGCCTACTACCTACCTAACATCCAATTAACCTTTTGGTTTCCATTAGGTGTTCCGAGTCTCTCCTCGCCGTCGCACTCGTCAACATCACTGTTTGGCTTGTGAAGCTCGCACTTCTTTGCTGCGATTTTAACATACGCTTGTTGAGCGCCTTTTACCATGTCTTGATGTCGGGGCTTTGGTTGTTCTGCGTGAATGCCCAGTCGTCCAGCGACCTCTCAGATCCGGAGCATCTGAGCCTTTGTCCATGGTATTTGGAAAAGAGTTGCTCCGCACTCTCCGGAAAAGATGGGAGAGTGTGTCAACGGGGTAAAGCTGCGTTCGTGACAGCAGTTGTCTGCATGTAAGTCCCCTTACCTGACTCTGCCTTATGCTTTCCTGGTTGTAGCCCCCTGTTGTCACAGAGCTCTAGGTTAACGTAATTGATGAAAGGGTCTTCTACCTCTGTAGGCTATTTACATCTGTGCTTTGGCTTGCGTACTGGTGTGGGGAGCATCGTGTTCTTTATAAATGTGCCTCGCGAGCCACTAGTCGTGAGTGTTATCTCTGCCTCAATGGGGAGCAGGACTATCAGATCGTGAGCGATGTGCGCCTACTGGCATGGGAGCCGGTTCATAGTCAAACCATCCAGGAAGACTAGTACTACATACGGCACCACAGCGGATGCGCACCTGAAAGACCACCCGTTCGAGATGCTATGCCACGTATTGCTGCCGGGTGCGGCTAGACCTAGAGGACGTGCCGGAGCAAAACCTCCAGGGGATCGAACGAAATCGTATTGGACATCTAAACCGTTGTCCGTCCACACATGGCGTTTCCTTCTTCAAACGACACGATATCTGAAGGCCGTGAAGGACGGTTTTGCCCATCTTTGGAATGCTCATCCCGCCGAGCTTACCCCCCACACAATTCCAATCATTTCAGGCGAGTTCACCAACGCAGGCCAGATGAAGGAATTAGTCAACCACATCTTCCCCCAGGTGGCTGCGACGCAGGCGCAAGTGTAGCCGTGCAAAAAGACACCGAACCCGCGGACCAGCGCACACCGTACCGCGTTGGTGATGGCAGCACCGTCCAAAGGGATTTAGGTCGACGATATCAACAGGATGTGATGGGGAGGTAAGAAAACCGGCAAGATGAGTAGGAGTGGAGGTGATGTGTGCGCAACCGGTCCGAGGGAGAGATAGATGGTTGGTCCAATGGCTGCCTCGGCGAGGAACCTGGTGAATTAAATAGGTACCTACCTAGGTAGCTAGAGGCTTCGGGATCGGCGCCGTGATACCGAGGAGAGCACCCAGACGCAGACTTCTGTTGAGGAACGCATCGAGGACTGGATTGTGGTCGCTGTGACCCCGTTTCCCGACCGCGCCTATGAATTATAGCCGGCGTGCGCCCACCCAATTCATCGCTCGCCGTTAGCGTCTACAGACACATTTCAATCCATCGCTGTTTTTTCGTCCCCTCATTTTGGGAAGCTTTACCAATCATACCGCCAGTAGGTACCATCAAGCACCGGGAAGCCGCACGGGCCACACTGCAGCAGGACGGAACTTACACGATGGCCGCCCCTGTTCCATACCAACATAGACCTCACCAGCTTTCACAGCTTTCAGCAGGGGCCCCAGAATAGTAAGGCTCTGCCGTTGTTCAAGCGCGGATTTAGCGAATCAGATAAACCTATGCCATGAATTCGGATACCGATATAATTGTTACGACAGGCGCAAAAGCTGGCTATTAAACAACTGGCGACTCTTGTCTTCCGTCATTCGAAGACCCGTTCCACGCCCCACATTGGCTGGCTCTCGCAAATCGCTTGCCAGTGTGAATCGTACACAGTTCTTGGCCGGCCGTTACACATTACAACCCACAACCACCGGGCAGTTATCTGGTCCCAAAAACTGTGTGTTGCATTGGTAGATTAATCAGATGAGCGATGTCAACTTTGCGGTACAGTTTACCGAGGTAGTGTCGTTGGTAATGCAGCAACTCCATTTTAGTTTAGAGATACCAGTTCCTGTTGCGCGCGCGTTCGGAACCAAGGTTGTGGGGGGTACCTTACCGAGCTCGGTACCTCTGTGCCTAGAGAGGTACCTAGGTGGTAAGGAGTTTGATCAGTACCACTTGATACGGTCTGTCAGGAGATTAAGAGGCGTCAATTGGCGCCCCGTATCGAGCCGGAACGGTCCGGTGTTATTGGCAGGACTCATACATTTCGAACAGGCTATCTTATCGGTTAACGAGCAACAAGCCATTTGCGCGCCAAGATGACCTGGCGTTTGCTGAGAGACAACTAGAATCCCCCCCGGGCACTCTCCTTCTCCCCTTTCCGCTTCCCATCCTCACCCAGGGCAGAGCTGATGCCCAGCTACCAGCGTATCCATTCGGCTGCACCAGCCTAGCGTTGTTCCTCTGCCGAACACTTTCCCTTCCTTCGCTCTATTGCACCGCATCTTGTCTCCCGTTTGTTGCCCGTTCTCCCTAGAAGCCTAACAATGTCTGCGTTTGAGGTCACAGGCGATGTTCTCAGAGACATCTCCTCCGCCAGGTCTAGCCTCGAAGAGTTGTTGGACCTCACCGCGCACCTCAGCCGCTCCTCTCACCCCCGAACGGAATATCATGGGTATGCGACGCTGTTGGGATTCCTCCAAACGACCTTGGTCAACACATTGAACCTGGCGTTTGCGCTTCTTGTGGAGGACAAAAGGACGCGCGCAGAGCTTCTGTCTTCCCCCGGAGGAGAAGGCTGGAGAGATCCCCATCTCCCCAGTCTTCTCGAGACGAGTCTCGGGAACGAATACCCATCCTTCTTGGATTGCATGAAGCGAATGGGACGAGTTGTGAGCAAACTGCAGCGGGAGCTTGCTCAGGACTTGGCCGACGGCGCGGTACGTACGAGTTCAATATACTTATCAAGCTACCGTAGTATTCTCCTTTCGAGACACGGGCAAGGAACTGATCTTTACAATATATAGAAATCTCTAGATACATTGCTCCAACTATGGAGGCCCGGGTCCTCCCGAGATGACCGTTTTAAGCGCCCGCTCCTCCTTTTGCGACAATACAACGACGACTTGAAGACGATACTCCGCCGCCATCTCGAGTTTGAGCTCGGCTCTCGCGGCGAGGAGACCACCAACAAGACAATGAAGATGATGCTCTCCGGCTTACGGGACGATCCCTCGAGCAGTATCTCGGATATAAACCAGGCCCTCCGTTTGTTACAGCTCCAAACATTCGTCAAACTACCCAAATCCCTTGACGACATGGACCTCCTGATTGGCGGCGGCTGGTTTCTTCACTCAACCGAATACAAGGAATGGGTTGCGACGCCCGGAATGACGCTATTCGCCCCCGGCATTCCGGGATCCGGGAAGTCGACCATGATGTCCATTGTCCTCCGGGACCTACGAACGAGGCTGGGCCCTGATGGCAGGCTTGCCTTCTTTAGCTTTGACCCGGAGCTGTGGGCGCAGATTGAGGGAGGACATACACTGCCGTCCATAGTTGCCGACCTAGCTCGGTTGCTTTGTTCTGAATATACCGATGCTGGTAACAGTCTCCCCACGGGCGTTGTACGGCTTTTAGAGGATATGGAAGCCCTACCATCGATGGCAACGGTGATGGACTTGTCGAAGATCTTGCAAGCTCTCGGTGCGCCCACAACCAGGGTGTTCCTCCTGTTCGATGCCGTCGAGGCTGCCTCGGAAACCCTCCGATCCACCCTGATGACGGAGATTCAACAGCTCCAAAGCTCGCTAGGCTTCAACATCTTTGCTACGGCCTTGCTGGGTAGCGGAATTGACAAGCTGTTCCACCGAAGTACTTCCCTCGAGATTAGCGCATCGACCCTGGACATGGGCATGTATATGCACCACGGCCTCTTCAACAGCAGACTTCAACGCCTTACTAGTGGTGCACAGAATTCGTGGTTGCGGAAGAAAATCCTCCAAACCACGGTCAAGATGAGTGATGGCATGTTAGTGGATCCCTTTCCCCCAAACTGAGTCCTGACCCCATGGTTGACATGTCTATTCCTTATGTTAGGTTCCTTTTTGCCCACCTTACTCTTGTGGCCCTGATAGAGTCGGGGACTCGTGACGAGATTCTTGTGGCGCTCGAGGATAGAACGAAAGTCGATTTCCTGTACGAAAAACTCGTGTCTCCGTCACACACCAAACTTAACGGTTGGGAATTTGCCCTCCCGTTTACCGTACTCTCCAAGACGCCGCTGGGCTCTTCTCAGCTGTGCCACGCCCTGGCCGCAGAAAAGGGGAAATCCGACTTCACCGACGACAACCTCGTGAACCTCGACGATATCGCCATCGCATCTCGGGGTTTGCTTGTCGTACGGCATCACGATAGTTTACCCGTTCTACGGGTTTGTCACTGGACCGCGGCCGACTTCTTGAAGCGCCGCGAAGCGGGGTCGGCAGGCAATTGGTCGGCCCTCATCGCCCGCACATGCTTGCACTACCTTTCCTTGCCGGTCTTTACGACTGGGCCACAGGCAGACGAACACTACCGGCAGCGTGTTGCTTCCTACCCCTTTTACGAATATGCGTCAACATACTGGGCCGCGCACTTCAAGGAGGTGGTGGATCCGGTTGCTTCGGCGGAGCTCCACGAGCAAGCCCTGAGCTTCCTTGCCGACCGCGCATCCGTTGCTTCCTCGGCCCAGGCACTCATGCGTGCTACCCTTCAACCGGATCGGACAGACATGCACGCCCTTAGCCTCGTTGCCTATCTTGATCTGCCTAGCATCACACAGTTGCTTCTCAGGCTCCCGGACAAAGACAGCGAACAGGCGCTCGACCCCATGGCCCACGTCGACTCGGTAGGCAGGACCCCGCTCATGTGGGCGGCTTGTAGCGGCGCTTCCTCTGTCGCCGATATTTTAATAGAGCGCCGATGCTGGTTGGACGGTCATGACAAGACCGGCGACACTGCGCTATCCCTCGCCGCATCTTTCGGCCACATCGACGTTGCCCGCATGCTGCTCGAGTCAGCTGCCGTGTTGGGGGATTCTGCCAGGCCACCTTTGACTCTGGCTGCCGAGGGTGGCTACAGCGACCTCGTTCAGATGCTGCTTGACCACAATGCAGACTGCGCCGACCTCATGGAGAACGGCGACACGGCGCTCCACAAGGCCGCTGCGAACGGTCACTCGGAGGTTGTCAAAAAACTGCTCCCTTTTGTGAAGGGCGGTTTGCTAGATGGCAAGAACAACAATAGCCAGACTCCGCTGATTGCTGCGGCTTGCCACGGCCATGCTGACGTTGTTAAGGCCCTCCTTGCTGGGGGCGCTAATGCCAGAATCGCTGATTCGATGGCGGATACGCCCATTGTGCGGGCGATTGCGGACCGGGATTCGTCAGTAATCCAGGCTCTCTTATCTTCGGGCGCGGAACTGGGGGCTTACAACCCTACGCTTCTGCTCGAAGGGGCGATGGAACGCGATGACTGGGAGCCGATCTACCTCTTGTTGCGCCGCCAGGACGTAGGACTACCACCGGGCACACCGGGCCGCCTGCTTTCCCAGGCTGCACGGCAGGGCAAGGTGTTGGTGGTAACACGGCTGGTGGAAATATACCCAGATGTTGCGGACACCTTGGATGGTAACGAACAATTTGCCCCGCTGGTGTGCGCAGCCCAAGGAGGCCATTTGAAGGTGGTCAACCTCTTGCTGCAGCATCGGGTCAAGGTTAACCAAAAAGACAAGGATCGTAAGACGGCATTGGTGCGCGCTATCGAAGGCAAGCACGAGGAGATTGCTATCGTTCTCCTCCAGGTTGAACATGTGGATACGAGCTCGCAGGGTCTAGAATCGACAACGCTTTTGGCTCTAGCGTCACAAAATGGGATGACTCGTACCGTCCGACGGCTTCTTACCCTCGAGGCCATCGACCCCGACGCGATCAACAGAGCCGGACACACCGCTTTGTCCCTGGCTGCTGAGAAGGGGCATGTCGACGCGGTGAACGAGCTCCTCCAGAGTCCGCGGGCGTCACTAATGCCTAGCGGGGCACAAAACCCCCTCTTCTGCGCCGTACGAGCCCACAAGCACCAGGTCATCAGCGTCTTGGCCCTGTGGGATTATGTTGTAGATCTTCTCATGAAGGATAGTGAAACCGGTTAGACTGCCCTGTCGCTTGCCAGCGAGCTAGGGGGACTGGACAGCGTTGAATCCTTTCTCAATCAGAAAGGCAGGATCAAACCGGATCTGGCCGATTTGGATGGCAAGACCCCGTTGTGCTGCGCGGCCGAGAAAGGGCATGGCGACGTCGTTCAATATCTGATCGAACTTGGGGCAGACGTGAACGTAAGGACAAATGCGAGGACCAAGGAGGGCTGGAGGCCTCTTCACTACGCGGGCCGTGTCCAACAGTGACACGGTCGTCAAGGCCCTCCTCCGAGCCCACGCAAATGCTAACGCAGCGGCCGACGATGGTATCACGCCGTTGATAGCAGCCCTCCGGGCTGTTCCCCACACCCAGGCTGTCCTCGATGAACTTTTATCCTCCGATAACACCAGCCTCTACGAACAGGTGCAGAATGGGAAGGACGACATAGTACGGCGCCTACTTGACGTCGGATACAATGTCAACAAGGAACACCAGTGGGGAGGGACGGCTCTTCACGCTGTTGTAAAGCGTGAGGGGCCTAAGGGCTGGGAGCCTGTCGAAATGGCCAAAGCCCTTCTCGCCGCCGATCCAAAGCCAGACCTCACTATCAAAGACAACGACGGCCTGACACCGGTCCGACTCGCACTGCGAGAGTCTTGTCTCTCCCTCGTGGACCTGTTCCTCAAGTCGTCGGTAGGCCTAACAAAGAACATCAGCGCCGACGACTGGCTTCAGCTCTGCGGCAACCACAATGCACGCGCTATCAGGGTGCTGGAGAGTGCAAGACACGGCACACGAATTGACGATTTCTCAGAAAGCGAATTTCTCTACCTCAGAACACTCTCTACTCCCCCGTTGCCCTACCTGCGACAGTTGATGTGAGACTGGTTTTCCTTAATCACTTTACTCAGGCAAGCTCCCAACGCGAGCACTAGACCATTGCTAATAATGCCCAAAGCATATTCACCACCAAGTCCCTGACAACACCTCCAACAACCCTGGTTGACCGCATACTGAATCGTCCCCTAGCTACGCTCTACCCCTTCAGGCCAATGATTCCAGTGTTTGATCACCCAGCGCAGGGCGGCAGCGGCGACTACATATGTGCCGTCTACTTCCTATCCTTGTCGCAGTTACTCAACCCCACAGTCCCGGACCCGGGCTCTGGTAAGTTGCTAATGATTAGGTGGACCGTGGTGGAAAGTCCCAATTCAGGAGAAGGCCTACGCACAGGGGGCAGCCGAACAGGACAGAGCTGGAAAAGCGTCACCCACTTCAGCACCCTGCGCAACGGGGGGATGCCAGATGACGGCGTCGATTTCTTTAAACAGTTCCTCGAAGATCTCAAGGCGGAGTGGCTCCGAATCTGCGCGGACGCGGACGATCACCTTTCAAATGAGGTATGTAATTCCAACCCCTTCTGTCCTATCTCATTTTCTCCCGTTTCTCCAGCTTTCCCTTTCCTTTCCATCTTGAACTCGGTTTGCTTGGATACGTGATATAATCTTATATTGGGCTACATTTATACTAACCGTGCCATCTTCGCCCACACCAATAGAGGAAAACCATGCTTCGACAAGGGGGCAGGGACCCTGACCTAATACAGCGTCTCCTAGTGGACGCGGGTGTGTGGATCGAACTGCAGGACTACCTCAAACTCCAGGTTGAGAAACTCTACCATTTCGAGTCCGAGTACGGCCGCCTCGGTGGCACCGAGGAAAAGGCCAAAAAACTCTGGGACATCATCCAGGAGTTCAACGATGTTATCAGCATGAGACTCGAAAAGCTCAACCCAAAGTCGCAAGAGTTGATCCAAACGGTATGTCCAGGTACCGTACATGCTGATTACTCCTTTGTAAAATCCTCACACAAGCCTCCCGTGCCCAGGAATTCAACCTGACAGCCATCGCCGAAGCCAAGCATTCCACCTCAACGAGCAACAGCATGAAACGCCTGACATGGATCACGGTAGGTCCCTAGACTCCCCACCCAGCATTGGCCGGACATAAATGTCCTACAAGCAGAGTACCCTGGCTAATCTCCCTCTCGCCCTGTGGATAGTTCATTTTCCTCCCCCTCACATACATCTCGGTACGTACATAAACATGGCCCCGTAGTAACATCAAACTCCCTCACCCGACTGCGCCACGCTAACACCTGGACTAGTCGCTCTTCGGGATGAACGTCGATATCTTCGATTCACACCCGTCCTGGTACTGGTATCTTCCCACGGCTGCGGCGACTATCTTTTTTGCCGTCGGCATCTGGATCGTATTCAAAAGGAACGAAATGGTATGCAAAACCTTGACCCTCGTCGTAATCATTGTTTTTGTAATGTAACTAATGTGTTGACTTTCCAAAGCTGGAGGAGGAGCTGGAGCGGAAATTCGCTTGGTTGGTCAAGCCCCGTAAGCAAAAGGAAAGGGCAACCACTGTTTCGGGACAATAAGATTTGGGATTGATTGGTGGTGTTCGGCGGGAATTTGGCGGGTACTGGACCAGGGACTGAGAAAGTGGGCAGTGATAAGACAATTGTAACTCTGGTTATTACCTCGCTCGGAAAAGGAACAACGGTAAACTCATGAATTCCGCCAAAATAGCCAAGCCGGAACGTGCAGGTCGCTGAGGCTCGTACGCAAGCAAACCCAAACATGCGCTATAAAACCCGTATAACACGCACAGGTCTTGCCTATTGTCACAAAAACAACTTGATAGAACACCACATGGATCAACGCAGCAGCATCTTGAGGACGCTCCCCACCGAGGCTGTTTTGGAGTGATAACTAGTTCTAAAAATAGAAATTGACCACCCTGTTCAACGCCTCCTGCAATGGCAGTGAATGAATTACAATAACATACTGATTCAACAAGCCTAAATTGTACACGGATTCCGAAGAAATAAACACTTTCCCCCTTCCCTACCACAACCAACTCCTCCCTCTCCCGCACCTGCACCCATACACAACAGAATAGGTCCTTACCGACCTATCTACCTCTATCAGTACATTTTCCGGCCTCGAATATGTTAGACCAGGACAAAGGGAGAGAACTATTCCTAGTGCCGGCCCAGGTGGCGTTAGTGCTGCTATAATTACCTACCTCACTACCCACCTAGGTACTTAGGTACCTACCTTACTGAGTCGGAGTACGGCAGTGGAAGGCACACTCAATCCCTTGTTATCTTGACGGGCCTTAACTAACAAAGCTACGAGGCATTGTGCCATTGTTCTAAATTAATCAATACCTCTACGCTTGTTGTACGCATTGTCAAGCAGGTGATATGTGCAGATTCAACAATCGACCTAATTATATCATTCTTTTCCCTTTCTCAGCACGACTTTCGATATTTTAAAGGCCATACATCCCACCCTCAGGATGCTAAAACGTCTAGAGGTTTGCACCACATAACAGATAGTTCGTCTCAGCTAGTGATATTATAGTCTAGTGATCCTCGGAGCCTCACCACCGGAGCTCCCTCGACGTCCTAGGAGACCTACTCGTTTAAATCACCATGGGGAACGTACGCTCGGAAAACAACCAGGATAATAGGTATTACAAAAGGCTGCAGGGTCTTGCTAAGAACCTGCAATCGAAGCGGTTAATTCTCAATTCTATACTAGAGAAGCTCCTGGATGGGCTGGTCCCCTGCTCCAAAATTGAAGTTTTGGCTGTGGCGAATGAACAGAATTTTTGGTCTCATAAAAGCGTCGAAAAAAAGGTTCAGGCCCGACTTTCGGGGTCGTCAATCGTGGATTTCAAAGATGCCCTTAAACTCACTGTGGATGTGATTGACGAAACCCAGTCCGCACTAGACACCCAAAATAACGCCTCAGGGTTCCGGCATAGTCTTCAAGTTTTATCGCCCCCAAATTTCAAACACATCGAGGAGCGCCTCTCCGCCATCGATAGTCACTTATCAAACCTAAAGTCTATCACGGATTATTATAATATAAGGCCGAAGCCTGAGCGCGAGCCCCTGCGTCACGCAGGTATTTTCTGGAAAGCTCGGGACGTGTCAGAGAGGTTATACTACGCCTTGCAGACCAGCTTTCACTGCGCATACACGCATACAGTCGGATTGGACCTGCAGCACTACACGAACTTCGACGACATTACTTGTATAGACTTTTCATACCGGTTGGCCATCTCCCATGAGACAATGACCCATAGTCAGGAGACAAAACACGAAACAGGAGCACTGCTGAGCTGGCAAAGGGTTGTCGTCGAAAAAACATGGAGAACTTCCCCCTACCCTGATACGCTTCTCCCCCACTTGGCTCCAGGCATTGTCAGCAGCGATGATTTTGCTGGTTTCGGAGTCGGCCTGAACCTGTGCGAGAAACTCAGTCAGTCCGAAAACAAACTCTTCGATAGCTACGGTATCCTCGACAACCAGGTCGGACGGCCCACCAAAAGATACTCCATCAAACCTGACACTTCAGACAATGACTCCCAACCCCGGTCTCTCGTCTCCCTGAGCGACATCCTTGCGCACAACCGCTTCCCGGTCATACCTCTCACCGGCCGTCTCCAGCTTGCCCTGACGATTTCCTGCAGCATCCTGCAACTGCACGACACCCCCTGGTTCCCGACCATCCTCACCAGTAGTCACATCTTCTTCCTCCAGGAACACAACGGCCCCGACCCGGCAGCCATGTACTCGCGCCCATTACTCCTACAACATCTCGCCAACTCGGCAGCGCCGCCCACGGTACACGTACAGTACCCCCCCGAAGAGGAAGAACAAGTGGTGAAGCTGGAAGGGGGGCTGATCGCGAATCGCAATCCGACGCTGCTGTCGCTGGCGTGCCTGCTGATAGAGGTGCTCCTGTGGCAGCCGCTCGACTCGCGGTGTACCACTGCTGGTTCTCCCGCGGGCGGCGCCGTAGATCTGATGGCGGACTTTGTGGCTGCGCAGGCCCTGATGCCCAATGTAAAGTTGATGGGCGAGGAGTGCGAGGAGGCGGTGGAATGCTGTCTCTATGAGGGTCGGGGATCTCAGCGAGGCCGTGGGCTAGAGGATGGAGAATTGTATGAGAAGGTTTATCGGGGGGTTGTGCCTTTGTTGGAGAAGGATTTGGAATGGCGTAGGAAGAAGTGAATGGCATAGGTATATTATAAATAATACTTCCAAGGGTCGGACCAAGAACGGCTAGGATGTGCCAGCTCTTACGGTCGCCTTATATACAGTTGTTCTTGCCCTCGCCCTTTCTCCTCTCCGACCTTGGATCGTCTAATCTTCCTTCGTCATCAACTGCGACGCCGAACAAGGCACAATCACATTCGGCACCCCCAACTCTTTCCGCCTTCACGGGAAAGGTCGACATGTGTGGCATCGGCAACGGAGTCACCTTCAAAGTGCAAAGTCTCGGCCATGGTAGGAAAGTGGCGTGATGCATGGTGTAGCTATTCCCAGGCTGCGTATGAGCACGCCCGTGTTCGTCGTTGGTAGGCTGTACCGAGTGTGTCGGTCACTCGGGCGTTCAGGCGGGATCTTCTGAGCTGCGCTCCTCCGTTCTAATTACGCAGCATATTGCTGGGGTCATTGTTTACTTCAAAGTGTTGGGGTGACTGGGCCTCGAATGGTCGGGCCGAGGTGATAGTTACAGATAGTCGCATACCAGTTAGGTAATCTGTTATTTCTCCGCCACCCGTCATCGGTATAGTACTTGATGACCCTTATGTGTCTCTTTACTAGGCACTCTTCTCATGACCCTTCGTAACTACGTTCATGACAATGTTACAAACCCCTAACCTCGGTTGAACGGAGCAATGTTCGGTCCTCTCAAGGATCAACATACGGGGATACAAGTTAGGGCTAGGAGTTCAAGCTAGGTAAGGTTGAGAAGCATTGTGTCCTTGAATATCATCAATAATTAGGTAACCTAATCACTAAACTCGCCCCTGTACCCCTTAAACTCGAATGGTTGTAATGATGGTTCAATTGTGGATTAAATTACATCTAATTAATAGAAGCTTCGTCTCAACACCCTCAACCGTCCTCCCGCTTTCAGTCCACAGTCCCCTCGGGCAGAATGGACACGTAGTCGAGCGGGGCCGGCTCGAGTCCATCCGGCTTGCCAACAATCTTGAGGGTGTTCCCCTTCTTGATGTGCACGCCCTTGAAGGTGATGCGCGAGGCGGTCTGGCCGTCAATGTACGGCGAGGGGGCGCGGCCGAGGATGTACTCCTGGTCGCCCTTCCACTTGCCGATGCGGTCGCAGCCCACGTACAGCTCCCAGGTGGAGTTGCCGAGGGCCATGTCGTAGTAGTTGACGGCGACGTCGTACGTGCCGGTCTCGACGTCGCGCAGCTTGACGCTGGCGGTGGCGGCGGTCGAGTTGTCCTTGGCGACGACGCAGCGGGCGCCGCTGGCGGCCTCGAAGGGGGACACGTCGTAGGGCTCGTACCCGACCAGCTTCATGGCCTCGGCCTCGATGCGGTGCGGGTGGTTGCCGACGCGCCCTTGCTCGTCCGCGATGCCCGACTTGTTGTGGTAGAAGGTGTTGATGCTGTCGCGCCACACCAGCGAGTGGCCGGCCTGGTACACGAGCCGGTACATGACGTGGTCGAAGCGCTCGTCGTCGATGCCCGGCCGCCCCCGCAGCGTCTCCCACAGCTGCGGGAAGGTCTGCGCCACGGCGCTGCCCGCGTAGTGCGCGTCGTAGAAGTGCTGGATCACCGTCTTGCCCGACTTGAGCACCTGCGTGTAGGGCACGTGGTGGAACCAGAGGAGCAAGTCATCCGGCGTGGTCTCGATGTTTTCGTACATCGCGGCGATCTCCTCCGGGTATTGCCCCGCGAAGCCCGTTCCGTTCCAGACCGTGCGGTCCATGCCGATAGTATCGGCGTCCGCGCGCGTCCACTGACCCCAGGGGTTGCCGTCCTGCGAGGCCGGGTTAGGGCCGTAGTGGCCCAAGAGGATGTCGCACAGCGTCTGGATGCCCAGGTTGCCAGTGTAGTCCTCGTACGCGGGCCACGACTGCATGGACAGCTTGGTAATGACGTCGAGCACCTTTTTGTCGTCGCTGAAGGTCATCTTAATCCACTCCTCTAGCATGCCCTCGGAGGTGGCCGACGGGTCCCAGGCGAGACGGCCGTAGGCGTACAGGTTGGACATGGCGAGGTGGCTGCCGAGCCAGGTCGTGTTGGTGCCGACGTTAACGACACCCGCGTAGCCGCCTAGCTTGCGGTTGAAGCGCTTGCCGTTGAGGATGTCGGAGGTGCGCGAGGGCTTGCCGTCGACGCGGAAGTCAAAGTCGAGGATCTCCTTCCACATGGGGGCGAGGTATACCAAGTGTGCCTGCTGGCCAAGGTACTCTTGCGTGACTTGCAGCTCGATGGCGGAGGGGGTCTCGACCAAGTGAGCGAAGAGCGGGGACACGGGCTCGCGAACCTGGAAGTCAATGGGGCCGTGCTTGATCTGGATGACAACGTTGTCTTCAAACTTGTCATCGAGGCCGTCGAAGTAGTCACCGGCGGCATTGGCGCGGTCGGCCTTCCAGTCGAGGGTTTGATTCAGGGACCTGTGGTCGTAGACAAAGGCACGGAACAGAATGATACCACCATGGGGCTTGAGGGCGTGGGCAAACATGTTGGCGCCATCAGCCAGGGTTCTGTTGTACGTCATGGGGCCCGGCTGTCCCTCCGAGTTGGCCTTGACGAGATAGCCGGCCATATCGGGGATTCTCTTGTAGAGCTCGTCCGTGATGTCCTTCCACCAGCTGGCAACGGTCTCGTCCAGGGGGTCGAACGAGTCCAGACCGCCGAGGGTTTCAGGGGCGGCGAAGTTGAGCGACACGCCGAGCTGGACACCATACGGTCGGAACACATCCGCAATCCGCGCCAGACCGTCCATGTTCTCCGGGGTCAGGGTTTTGGCGTCCGCGTTGACGTTGTTGACAACCACAGCGTTGAGGCCGATGGAGGCGAGCAGGCGGGCGTACTGGCCAGCCCGGGTCAGGTCATCGCGGATCTTGCCATCCCAGAAGAAGATGGAGTCGCCGCCATACCCTCTCTCGACGCTGCCGTGGGTGCCACCGTCTTGCATGTTGTCCCACTGGTTCACCCAGCGGATTGGGGCATCAGGGTTGGAGGTCACGGTGAAGTCCGAGGCGTTACCCTGAGCGAGCAGAGAGAGGTAGTGGAACGCGCCGTACAGGGTACCGCGCTCGTTCTGGCCAAGGATCAGGACGTTCCCCTTTGAAACGCTGAGGTAGAAACCATCGTCGACTAGCTCCGGAAGGCGGTCTGCAGCGCCGGGGTTGCTGTCGAGGTATGCGGTGACGGTTCCAACGGTAGCCGTGGTGTCACGCGGGGTCTTGCGGGTGCTGGCGGTGTCAAGTTCCAGCTCCTTGCCGAAGATGCCCCTGATGCCATCGGAGAGTTCCTGGCCTGCCGTGTAGACCGGTGATCCCTCGGTTGCGTTTAAGGTGACGATGGCGGAGGGGAGCTTGTTGTGGTAACCATTTGCTCCCTTGATCCGGGCATACCGCAACCAGCCACTAAGGCCGTCTTCTGCGGCAGCGAAGCCAATGGCCGCGAGCAGCAGTAAACACCGCATGGTTGTGAGGTTGAGCGCGGCGTCGAGAAGCGATGCTGGCGTACCATGTTGACCGACTTGTTGGGGGATCGTCCCCCGTTGTATAAATGCTCCCGGGACGCTGGAATCGAGAGTCGCATCGCCCCTGTTGCCAAGTGGTTGATTTCCACACTTCAATTTATCCTAAATCTCGACCTTGGTTCCCCTCTGCCAAGATGAGGTAATGAACCCCCGGTCGAGGTCCCCATCATGTTTTTCCACCCATAGAATTCCCCCGCACAAGTTGGGGAACCGGGGAAGAATGGGGTTGTGCGGGGAATGGAGAAGCCGTGTTTCCCCGTTTTTTGGGGCGCCTTGCCATTTGGTTCCCATTTGCTTTCCAACCTCTTCCCTTGGTAAGTGGGCCGTAATGACGGCTCTAACCGTTAGCCGTTGGGTGCTCCGGCTTCCATTCAGCCTGTTCTTCTGTCCAGAAAGAGAGTGCTCGGCAAGTGACGCTTCAGTTCACTCTCGACGGCTCATTCCGAGGTTTCCCATCGTGGGACTGCCAACGCGAGGCGAGCATCGGTTATTCGTAAAAGCATGCGGCCCAGATCCCAAAATCTGGTAATGTGACGGTCTCGAAATGGCGTTTTTTTGACCATGCATTTTCACCAAGCGAGACCTATTTTCGGACACCGGCGGACACACAAAAGATTCCGGCACCATTATGGTTCCGTTGAGTGACGGTTGGTCCTTTGTTGGCTAGGGGTTGGAAGTTTGTACTTCAGGTCGGTTGCTGTACATACCGAAGTCCTAAAACTCGAGCATGTTCCCCACGAGAAAGACGAGTACGATTGCAATACAAATGTTTTGGTGCAGGCATATAAGAACGTAACATTAGGTACATTGTCACTCAGACAACACACCTAGAACATATCCCTATGAAATCGGTTTCTAGCAGGCGAATGACCGGGTCCCTGAGCCCAACAGGCAGGTGTGAAAACAGACAGTAGTCAAAAATAAAACATCAAAATGAATGGGCGACCCCGGAATCGAACCGGGGTTTCTTCGGAGAGACACCACAACGAAACGTCCTGACCACTAGACTAGTCACCCTTTAATTGATGTTCCGCCAAGTTTTCAGTTTGCCTGATCAACCACCGATGGTTTCACCCTCATCAAACCACCACGTCCCCCTGAACTTCGGGTTATTTTTTGTACTCCCCATGTTGCACAGTTCCCGGGTTGTGCTGCACATTATGACCATGCTGGTCTGTGAAGAGGACCTAGAACCAATGTTTAGCTCACCAAGCGTTTGATGAGTAGTTTATAACAGGAAGCGAAGAGTCTGTACCTTTGGTGGGTGCTTGACACCCTCCTCCTCGGCCTCCTCCTTGGATGTAACAATCTTTTCGACATCGCCTTCGTGTCTGCCACCACGTGAACGGGCAAAGACATGATCGCCTTCGCTAATGGCTTCTCCTTTCTTATCCTTAAGGCCCGACGACATTCTAGCGATACTCTTGCAATGGCAGAGAAAATATGAGTTTTGGTGTCACTGGCTTTGTAAGTTGTCTGAAACAATTTATTGGCCTCCCAGAAATCTCGGAATTTCTGTTTTATTTGTGGCAATGAACATCTTTTATGGAGTTGTCCGGTCGTGGAAGGGGTGACGTCACACCTTGCTCGAGGCTGGATTGCCATGACGGTCATGGATGCAAATCTTTCTTCGCCGTAGCATTACCTTTGTACCATTAACTGCGCTAAATGAGGGCTGGACCTCTCTTACGTCGGTTTATGCGTTACGATTGCCAATAGTGTCGCCCACCAAGCGAGCCAAAGCGTTCTCTTTATCCCTCCTCTTCGGGCTCCGAGCTAGCATCGTCCGTTATCGTCAGCCATGGGTCCTCGAGCAGCTCTCGGGCGGTCGCCCGCTCCATTTGGTCCCAATGAAGCATGCGCCTGAGAAATCGCAAAAAGTCGGCTTTGCCCTCGCCTTCTAATGCCGTTAACTCATCCTCCAACGAGGTCTCGACGACTTTATGCCCTTTCTTGAGTTTCCCTAAGCACATGTACGGTCAGTCATAAGCCTTGAGTGTTTACAAGTTATCAACGATAAGACCCTCATGTCGTGGATAATCATGGGCCTCCCTCCTCACCTGTCTTATCAAAGAAGCCCTTCGTCACCGGAGTCATGTCCAAAATGTACTGGGGAGGCGGCCCGAGGAGGCTAATCATGCGGGCCATATGGGGCCGCGCCGATTTCCAACGGCCGCCTTCGTTGTTCGTGAACAAGTTTGTCCCTTCCACCAGCGTCCACAGCTTCTCACATCAGCAGGATCAGCATATCAGAACGAAGGAACAGGTTCTCGGCCGGCTTACCACTAAGCCCAAGGCCCAGATATCGATCATCCTGTCCCACTCGATGCGCAGCAGGATCTCGGGGGCACGGTACAGGTCCGGCATGGCATGTTCACCATACGACTCGCTCCCGAATCGTGCTTCTCCAAAGTCGCACAGAACTGGTATCGTCGGGACCGGGAGCTCCATCACCCTAGTCGAGTAGATGGCGTGACCTTTGTAGGTTTTGCGCGGGGTGGGTTCCGCCATCTCGGCCTCCTCAACCGCTTGCCACTCAGACGAGTCCCCAACGGCAAACATGATGTTGTCTTCCTGGATGTCTAGGTTTATTGAACCAAAAGTCAGTAATGGGTTTGATCGAGTGTTGACGTATGAAGGGCATATCAACCCCCAAAACAAACCCACCCGCGTGGACAAGCTTGGCCTGACGGTGGACGAAATCGAGAGCTTGCAGGATGTAAAAAGCGACGCATTTCACCACATCGATCGGCATTCGACCGCCGAACGCAAGCTTCCTCACGTCAGCCAGTGAGGCCCCTAGTGCATCAAAAACGAGACAAAGGTTGGTTCGAGACGACTTTGGGCGCGATAGTTGGAACTCATCGAGAAGTCTGCGGACGCTGGCGGCGCCAATGTGATTGGCCTTCCGAGATGCATCCGAGTCGAGGACCACATCGATGTGTTTCAGGGCAGCAATCTCGCGGCCGCTCTGGCGCTCACCCGACGCGTAGATCTTGACGGTAACGTGGCGGTCTTGTCGGAGATCGCGGCAGAGCCATGTAGTCGAGGCAGCGCCGTAGCCTAGCTTTGCAACGATCTGGTACCTGCTTTGCAACACCTCGCCAATGGCTGCGGGGTAGAAGTTCTTGACCGAGTACCAGGAATGTGTTTCCTCGTCGAGCTTGACCGAGGGTGCTATCACCTCGAAACCCGACGATGGAAACACCCTGGGCGGCGATTGATTCCGCAAAATCGCGTCCGGTGGCCCAGCGTCCTGGTTGTCTTTCGTTTTAGAGCCGGCACCTGTCTCGGACGGAAAGCGCCGGTGTCGACAAAGGAGTGATTTAAGAGAGTGCATCGCACCCGCCGGCCGAAATGTTTTTGGTGATTTGAGTGTGAGGAATGGAAAGCACAAAACATGCCGCGTGGTGTCGGTTGAGACAGTGTGTTTCCAACCGCATACGGAGAAGGTTGGGGGCCAAGCCGCCAAAGATGCCCTGGTCACTCAGGTGGTGATGATGGTCTACCTAGTACCCTTTTACACATCCGGCCCGATGGCTTGATTACGGTAGGTACTAGGTACGAATGGGAAGTGGACGCGGGGTTTTGCCCGTAAAGGTTTTGTGTATGCTTACATGTACCGAGGTAGGTAGACGGGACCACAACTGGTAGCGATAAGGACAAGAAGCTGTCATTGTTTCCGGTCGGGTACGCCGAGGAGATGAACCCCGAGCCGTTGAGCCTGGGAAATGGGTACCTATTTACGTATATTCCGTGCAATGACCCAAGCCGCACGAGGCAGCTTCATGCTCGGTTCCTGTCCTGCCAGTGTACAGATCGTCTACCACGGTACCACCCAAAATCCACGGAGCTGATTTCAAGAATGCCCGAGAAAAGTGTTTGAACTATACCTACCAGTGTACAAAGTATCGGGCCTAAAGGTCATCAGGTAGAGTGTCCCTTTCTATCTCAACTCCGTGTGCATCCTTTCGGTGGCTTTTCAAGAGGAGCCAATCCTCAAATACCGCCGCGCACTGGTTGCAACGAAGGTCCGACTATAAAGTAGACATCAAAGAGTTAATCATCTAGCCCAGGGGCAGATAGCCACACCACAGAACGGAATGGGTGGGGAAAAGCGACTCACCTCCCGCATGAAAGGCCCCTTGAACGGATACTCTCGCTCATCGGTGACGACAATAAACAACGAACTTGACGGATCTTGTCCCTCACCGCCCTGCATCCCGGCGGTGTGCAGAAGCCCCTCCTCTCCCTCCGTCGCAAATTCCAGAATCTCGCTCCGCAGCCTTGCGAAGCCCGGCGGGGCTGTGTCGGGCAACTCCGCGGCGACGTCGATCTGGCGCTGGGCAAAGACCATGAGATAGGCGTAGGCCACGTAGGCATGGGTTGACTGGGACATTCCCTCCCTGTTCGGGATGAAGATGCGAGTGTTGGCACCGTCCGCGGCGGGTAACGCCCAGTTTGGTTCGCAGGAACGCGGACTGGGGGTCCAGGGTTGGGCGGTCCGAGCCAGGGAGGGGAAGGCGGTCGTATCTGGGAGGGTAACCCCAGGTTTGCATTACGCCGTTGGATTCGAAGAAGCGGTCGAGGACCGAGATGGGGACTTTGAACCCGCGTAGAATGGTGGTTAGGCCCATTTTCGATCCTAGGCACTTTTCTCCCTTGGTCAGAGTGAATAGAGTTGAATACAGGTGCCGTGGTTACCAGGTAGGACCCCGAATTCTGATTCATCCCTTTTTCCCGCTCGTCTTGTTCGAGAATAAAAACATAAAGCCGTTCGGTCGAGAGCTGCACAGCAAATTGACAAGTTTCGCCCGCTCGAGACCAAACAAGAACGCACGAGCTTTGTTCTGCCACCTTCACTCAAGGAAATTAATATCTAACGCACAAATGCCTAGGAAAGGGGCCCGATTACATGGAACGTGTAAAGGAATATAGTGAATGTAGGTACTTACATATCTTCCCTTTCTTGGATGCTATCCTAAAGTACCTAGGTAACGTCCCCCAAAGTGGTCTGCTAGAAAGCACTGGGACTTGATTCTGCTCCTCCGCGCTGTCCCGCCCAACGTTACCAGTGGCTGTGCCAACTATCTTGTCTGGGGCTGGATAACTGAATGCATCTCCTGTGGCCCCGCTGTGGCATACTGCTAGCCAAGCACACCACCGCATCCCACACCATCGGCGCCTCCAGCGCTTCCAGACCAGGTCACTGATGGAACAGCCCGGGAATAAAGCTCACGACGTCCGAAGTATTTCCCGCTCCGGCATGTTCCCCAACGGTTCCCACCCGGCACCATTCCCGTCACTTGCTATTACTTACTACATCATGACACGCATAGCTCGTCCCTCACGCCTCCTCCTACCTACCGTAACCGTTTAAAACCATGCAATAACGCTACCCACGAAACGCCCATCTCCAGCCCCGTGCCACCGGCTATGCCTGCAAGATGTCCCCGATTTCGCCGGCATACCCCCGTAGGATTCTGCCAAAACATTCGACCGATGATCTTGAGAGGAAACGGGCCCTTTAGTGTGCTAAGGCGTCCATTCCCTGGCAGGAATCAACGTGCACTCTGTTTGCCCTTTCTAGAGCTGAAAGATGCAGTCAGCTGCGCCGGTGGCACTGCATGCGAGAAAGCCAATGAAGGATCGGCTCCAGCTGCAAGCTGCAAACCATGTACTAAAATAGCGCCAGCCTCGTTGTCCGTCGTCAAACCGCCATAGCTGAGCTTGTAGCTGAGGGTTTACTGGCGATCAGGAAGTGCAACAAACCCACGTCCACACCCACACGAAACGACGACGATGCCGTGGGGGCGGCGGAAGGCATCGCGCAACGTAGCCCTGTCTGCACCACGTGTAGCCCCACGCAGAGCCTCGCGACGTCCTGCTTAAAGCAAGTAGAGTCTGCTCGCGACGCTGATGGACTTTGCAACTTCGCCCGTTCCCTTCCTCGTCTCAGGAGCTTTCGTATAGGTTCTTCGCGATATACGCTGTCTTACTCCTAGCAACCTAATCTCCCCCCACACCCTACCACGGCCTAACCTAGCAAATAGCGGGATAGGCCTGCAACCTCTAATACACCTTGCCCCAGAGACACCACCGCCAACATGTCCTCGGGCAACATGTCCTCCGGTATCATCAGCTTCCCTAGCTGGACGCCCCCACCCCTATCCTCCCTCAACTTCGGTTCCAACTGCACCCACGCCCGAGCATTCCTCCAGTCCTGGTTTGACTTGAGGTCCTACGAAGACATCGACGCCATGCCCGGCAGCGAATTCAACGTCACCTTTTGGGTGCCCCAAACGTTGGAGGCACAGGCCACCGAGACATATTTTCGCGAGGCTTTGCCTTCTGACCTTCAAGCCGTGGCCTCGTACGGAGAGATATTGATATGGGAACGTCTTCTCCGAGACAACTACACCGAAGCCCTCACAGAGTTCCTTGGTCTTGCCGATGCTCTGAACCTAACCGGATCTGCATTGCATTCAGCAACCGACTCGCTGCCGCTGGACATACCGTACTACGACCATGTCATCCACGCACCGAGTCGTGCATGCAAGCAGCAAGTCTGTGAGCTGGGCTTCGACTGGGATAAGCTCGGCGATGTCAACGGTCCGGGGGTAAGAGCACCTCAATACGTGATCCATCCACCCAACCTGACCCCCGCAACTGACATGGCCCTAGGTTTTTATCTACTACATATGCCTCTTGGCCATCGGCGTTTTATACTCCCTCATCGCCTTGTGTGGCGCCTTGCAATACAGGCTCGGCCACACAGAGCCGCGAAACTCCAAGCACACCTCGTCCCGGTCCCTGCTCGGCGACCTCTTCACCACGGTCAAGCTCTCCTTCAGCGGCTTCTCCGACGGCGCGGCCGTCTTCTCCCTCGCCCTGCCCTGCGCCATCTTCTACAACTACGTCGCCGCCGGCAGCGTCCGCGTGACCTCCCGCAAGGACCTGATCCTCGAGCTGTGGGTGCTGGTCTACGCCCTCACCGTCTCCGTCTGGTTCTACCGCGTGGGCGCCTGCATCCGCCGAGTCGAGCGGGCGAAGCACAGAGCAATGCATCACGGCCAGCCTGGCCGCCAAGGTCGGAAGCGTGTCCTCGCAACGGGTGTTGTGCTTTCACTGTCAGCTCTGGCGTTTCTGGCCCTGGTCATCTTCCTAGGTTTGTATCACGCCAATGGAGACGGCCCAGTGTCGCCGTTCGACTTTGAGAAGTTCTGGGACGACTTCTGTGGCTATGGCGCTCTGTCGATTCGGGACGTCATCATCGGTCTTAGTCTCCTGGTAGGCTACTGCGCAATTCGTACAGTCATCTCGGCCTTTATTATCCCGTGCGTTATCAGCCGGAAAGAGCAGAACATCTTGGGGAACCTCAACGGCAAGCAGGGGGCGGACATGTTGCAGAGAGCCCGGGAACTCCACAAGATATCCAAAACGGAGCCGCGGTATCGCCGGTGGGCGGATATCTTGGGAGTACTAGATGTCATGATGCTCATGGCCGGATCGGTTGTCATGTTGTGGTATTATTACAAGCAGCGCGAGCAGCTCTCAAGGACCATTGGGGCTCGGAGCTTCAGGGACGGCTGGACTTTGGGGCAAATCCTGGCCGTGTCCAGTCTGTTGCCCGTCCTGATCGGCTTCGTTCACACATTCGGTGCGTTACGCCCTAACATCGCTAGCGAGTGGTTTATGCGAGTTGCTAACCTGTTGGTGCAGTCGGGGTGCGTGATCGTCGACATTGAGTGGTATTCAAGCTCACTGTGAGAGATGAGCAATACGTAGGCGAGGCAAGAGGCCCTTCTGGTACTATTACTTAATTCTGTTAATCGAAAGCTGGAGAGAAGAGGAAAAGTGGGAACTACAAGCGTTAAAGATACCAGGTCAGACACCACCACCGAACGTAGATAAGTATTTCTACGGCATGTGGCCAATTTGAACGCCTGCATTTAGTTCACCAAACCAACTATTTGCGCCTCCGGCGCACGTTGCAGCTCACGGGGGACTATTTTGCCTACATCCTCGCCACCAATTTTGCTTCCAAACCCCCACGGGCAGCACAAATAGGGGCATATGCGACGTAGTCCTCGCTAATGTTGCATCTTCATGGCGGATCTCTCTTCTCTTCGGTAGGTATTTCTGGGGCATTTCCAGATGGACAGTCGTCGATCGGGGAGAGAAGAACTCGGGCCCTGCATTTGTGCCGCACAACATGCGGCCAACCCTTCTCACGACGTCCGAACCCAATGCCGAGAAAAGTGCGACCTCGCACTTCCTCACCCGTGGTGCAAGGCTCCTACACCGGTCAAAGCATAGCTGTTGTAGTGGTTGCCCGCACGACAGCCACCCGACATGTAGCATGACAGCACACGCAAGCCTGATGGAGGGGAATGAGAGGAGGAGAGAGCGAGAAACTCCCCGCGCAGCTGGGGATTTCAGCTGACACCCACCAATCAATCTTGTTCATTGGGGATGCATCCCCTTTTGGACAATCACTTCGTCTTTCGAGCTGACCTCGTGCACCCACCACACTGTCGCTCAGCCCCCGGCCACGCCGGTCACAGTCGTGGTCAATCGAACAGCCGCATTCCCGAAAAAGCAGACATGGCCCTATTAAGTCCGATGTAAAAAGTGCGAATGTTCCTTGGGTGCAACAATAAACTAATTAGGATGGCAGTCATTGTATATGGGCAGCATGGGCTTGTGTGCTTCGACCTCCCCCATGTACAAACCCCTACAATTAGCATATTGAGGTAGTACGTGTGGTTCGAGATACCCTCACCTGTGGTCCTCTCCTTATGGTCAACAAGGACCGCCGAACGGAGATCTTGTAACCATGTGCGTAGCATTGCGTGGCTGTAAAGAGGTACGTGGAAGCAGATCCCGCGTAGTTCCCGTGTCAAAGCAGGGGCAGCAACTCCGCGGCAAAGGTCGGACTGCAACCGGCCTCAGCGGGTGCGACTATTGTACAACCCTTAACCAATTCAGCACACTGCATAATGGGGGCACTGGGGGGCGTACACTCCCTTGTTAGGTAATACCTTCAAGCCCTGAACTGGAGGTTTGGTGTGACATGTCTGGGTGTTTTATACTTGGATCGTTAACACAAAATGTTCACCCTTTACTAAGGTACTTACATTTCCCTCTTCTCATTCAAGGTGGGCAGACCACAGCATTTTGTTCAGACTGCTGTGATGATTGAACCCATTGAGAAGTGATGAGGTTATTTCCCCAATACCACCTAGCACCCCTTACTCCGTTGTCAATGATACGAAAAGCGCATTCCGAAGGATACAGCACCGCTAGCAAGGAAAGTGTATAGAGCAACACATGCGTATTAGTCGTTCAAAGTGGGAATAGAAGAGCAGTAAGAATATGTTGTAGCGTTGCCGTCCTGGTGTAAATAGAGCTCTTTTTATGCTGTTACTGGCCAAGTATAATCTACAAACAGATGATCCCGAAACACCCAGCCCCTCTCTCCTCTGGCACGCAAATATCTATCTCAGAACACCCCGAGCGTAATCCGATGTTTCCGAAAAGCCCAAGTCCGCCTCAAGCATCTAGCTCGGTGGGCAAACGACCATGACGGGGCAACTGCCGAGAGAGCGTACCGCTTCCGGCGTTCCAAAACAGCCCAGGAATGTGGGTCACCTGGACGCGGAGTGACCAACTTCCCATTGTGTAAACTGACCGGGGACCGATGACCACTTGCTGGGCGGTGACACTGCAGAAGCGGTGCGTGGAACTCCTTTGAGGTTCCGCCACGGTTCGGCGAAGGGATGTCAGTCGATCGAGATGGGATCACCGATATATCCCCGTTCCCAGGACCCGAGTTGAGACGACGGTGGATATGGACTGCAAACTTTATTAAGTTAAGCTACTCACGTAGCGTGATTCTGGTAAGTCTCAGTCTTCTGTCATTTCTTGTCTGTTTTGATCTTCTCATACCTCAAGGAAATCATCCAACAGCCACACCAAACTCCAACCGTATCGCCGAACCTGGATACTTCCGACCTCCCATCGCCTACCTGCCGTTTACCAAGAGCGGCTCACGATGTCCCGCTATGCGCCCCTCACTATTCCCACCAGGGTGGCTTTGGCTGCTAGTCGTCAGGCCATAGGACGAAGCGCCATCTCTCTCTCACAAGCAAGATTGATTCGGCCGCATAACTGCCGCGCCCTATCATCGGGCACAGGACAGAAAGAGAAAAGCCAAAGGAAGTGGGCGGCAGTTGTGGTCCTCTCTGCAACTGCGCTGGGTGCTGTGTTGATTTATCGTCAGAACCCAGCTAGGATGGACTCGTCGTCGTACAAAGCTACCGCGACAAGACAAGCTGAACTCGCGGGAAAGTCGGTACGTTCCCCCTTGTTTGCAAGTCGGGTCCGGTGAAACCTGGCGGCTCATCTGGATCCAGGTGTTTGCCTCACCCCTGCTCGAAGGACAAGATGCAAAGTTGGATGCGCGGATGCAGTTCTACGAGGCTCTCGCTTTAGATTCGACCGAGGCCGATACCCTCCCCAGGGAACAGGCTGTGCTTACACAAGCGCCCTACGTCCCCCCTGCCATTACTCGGGACTACCCGGTCCTCCTACAGGTCCCATTAACCACTTCAACCAAGCTGGCTCAACTTACAAGCCAGTACAAATACGAGCAATGGACCTTCAACGACACGGTCCCCGGGCCGTTCATCCGCGCGCGAGTTGGTGACGTGGTGGACTTGGAGTTCACAAACCGAGACGTGACGGGCAACCCGCACAACATCGACAGTCACGCCTTTACCGGCCCCGGAGGCGGCGCAGCGTTGACTACCACCGAAGAGAACGAAACCAAATCCGCGAGGTTCAAACTGCTCACCCCGGGCCTATACCTATACCACTGTGCCGCCGCACCCGTGCCCGTGCACATCGCCAACGGCATGTACGGGCTCATCTACGTGCAGCCGGCGGAAGGGGACCTCCCGCCCGTGGACCGCGAGTACTACGTCATGCAGAGCGAGTTCTACCACGAGCCCCCCGAGATCCTCGACGACGGCCGTCCGTCCAAGGTGGTCGAGTTTTCGTATCCGAACGGCCTGGCCGAGGAGCCGAACATCGTCGTCTTCAACGGCAGTGAGTCGGCCCTGACGAGGGACAAGCCCCTGAAGGCGCATACCGGCGAGACCGTCCGGGTCTTCTTTGGAAATGCGGGCCCGAACTTGACGAGCTCTTTCCATGTTATTGGTAGCAACTTTCATAGTGTGTACAGGGATGGTGATGTTTTGAGCCCGCCCGGCCGTTTTGTGTCAACGGTTACCGTGCCTCCGGGCGGGGCAACGGTGGTCGATATGAAGATGGTAGTGCCTGGAACCTACACTCTGGTAGACCACGCGATCTTTCGACTGGATAAGGGGGCAGTGGGGTTCTTGAATGTTTCTGGGAAGCCGAGGGAAGATGTCTACGGGAGTTCGCAGCCACCTGCCCCGTGTGTTGGATGCAAACTGCATGCTTAGCGGTCGTTGAGAAGAGCGGCGTTTAGTAAGGTCTCGTTCTGGCCCCGATCCGTCCCATAACGGCCTATATTCCTTTCATTTTTGTTTAAGGCAAGCGGTGCATTGTTCAGAATCGTTTCATTACAAGTCTATATATGTCGTTACGTACTCTGGAATAAGCTATCATCACCGTCTAGTACCCGAATATTCACCCTCACCGTCACCCGCGGTCTCCCTTTGTTGTTCCGCGTTGTGCCGAGGGACAGGCTTCATACCTATATCCCCATTGACACCAGCTGGCCCCGAGTCTTCCATCCTAGCCATAGTCACCCTCTCTAAGCGTTTACCCCGGAGCAAGTTCCAGAACCAAAATCCATGCACCACTTCGTGGGTCCCCTCCTTTCCAAGCCAGACATTTCCCAAGAAGGTCGTGATGATGACCGACACCCACATGATGGGGATGACGGCAACAAAAGCCCAAAAGATTCCGGACCTAGGGTCTTCGTGGTTGAGTCCGCTTCGGTTGTTGAACACGGTGGACATGATTGTCAGCGTGATTGTGCCGCCGAACGGATGGGCGAAGGATGCGAGACAGCTAATAGGCGCTGTCATCCCCGGGAAGTAGGCGAGGGCATGGAGCGTCCCCGGGTTGGTAGTCAGCCCAACACCGAAACCTGTCAAGGCCATCATGCCGTAGATGAGGTTGACGTAGTCGGTGTAGCAAGCCCATGCTACCACAGTGATACCGACAGCAGAGCTGATGCCACCGAGAAGTAAGACGGGGACCGTCTGCCGCGGCCAAACGTTGATGAAGAACATGGTGGAATAGACGCCGGCTGCGTAGAAATAAGCACATATCCATCAGTTGGGGGGAAGGGGGTCAACCTACCACCTAGGCCGGGCAGGAAATAAAGGAGCGCGATACCGGCTTCGCTGGCGTCGTGCCCCAGGACCAGAGTGAAGTACAGGTCCATGTAGTACATGATGGCAAACATGGCGGCGCCGTTGGCGAAGTTGACGCCCACCAACAAGCCAACATCCTTCTGCATCAGCAACTGCCACGGCATCATGGCCGTCTGCATGGGGAACACCCGCGCCATCATCCTCCCCGGCACCATCGCCCACTCATACACCAACCACGCAACCGTCAACACCGCCCCGACCACCAACGTCACCAACACCGCCGGCGAGTCCCACGCATACGTGCTCCCCGCCCACGTGAACCCCAACACCAACAACCCCAGCCCCCACAAGAACAACAACTGCCCCCCAAAGTCCACCGTCGCCAACCTCGCCAGAAACCGTCCCATGCCCGTCCCCGGATCCCTCCTGCCCCCCCTATACCCAACCCCCTCCCCCTCCGCACCCCACCCCCGCCCCGTCGTCACATCCTCAATCGCCAACGCCCCAATCAACCTGCCCCTCAACAACACCAGCACCAACCCCATCCCGACCACCGCCACCGGCAAATTCACCGCAAAACACCACCGCCAGCTCACCCTAGTCAAATACCCGCCCGCCACGGGGCCCAACCCAAAACTCACCCCCGACACCAACGCAAAAGTCGTCCAATTCTTCGCATACTCCCCCAGCGACACCCGATCCGCTAGAATCGTACGAACACAGATGTTGATGCCCGCCGCGCCGACGCCCTGCAGGGCGCGGCCGAGCAGCAGCAAGGGGAAGGCCGAGGTGGGCGCGGCGGTGCAGAGTGCGGAGCCGATGGTGATGATGACCAGTGCGGTCTGGAGCGTGGCGTGCCGCCCAAAGACGTCGGCGAGCTGGGCGAAGATGGGCAGGAAGGCGGCCGAGGTCAGGTTGAAGGCGGTGATGATCCAGTTTAGTTGTTTGAGCTCGTCTGTGAAGGGGAGGGGGGGTGGGTGGTGGTTAGTTTAGTGCGCGGGGGTTGGATTGGGAAAGGAAGGGGGGGACGGACTGAAATCGTCGGCGATGAATTTGAGTGCGGACGCGATGATGGTTGTGTCGAGCGCTTGTAGCGTGAAGGGGAGGAACAGGCCGAGGATGATCCTGAGGCGGTATTTGCGTCGCCGGTTCTTCTCCTCGCGTTCTTCGGGGGTTTCTTTGGATTTTGCCTCATCGGAGCTCGTGTGGTCCGGTGTTGCGGCGAGAGGAGATGGATCGTAGGGGGTGGGAATGCCGGGGCCGTCAGATGAAGCCGTCAGGCCTCTTGTATCGTCTGATGGAGACCCATATCGCGCGGGTTGTGTGGTCTGTGAGAGCTTCTGTTCCGCTATCTTGGCTTCCTGATGCGCCTTATACCGCTTCCTTGCATACTTGTAAGCCGTATACATGGCTGTTGGATAATATTGAGGGAAGATGAAGGATGGCTTGAGTATTGACTATTGAGAAGAGGTCATCGATGGAGGGTGTTTCTTGGCTTGAAGATGGAGGCAAGATTAGAAGGGCCCAATCCTTAGTTATACCTCGTCTCAAGACCGTTAACAACCCTGCCGCGTCGCTGTTGGCATTGACTTGGCTGCTCATGACAGGCTCCCTCCACTCACTACCAAGTAATGCGATCCTTTGATCGCCTCGACACAACGGCACAGCCATGCCAGGCAGCTAAGCTTTCTGGCATCAACCCCTGGATGGAAACTGATTGGTCTCCCGGATTCAACGTCTCAGCCGTTGTGGGGCCGAATCCGGCAATCCGATCGGATTCCTCGGATTCGGTGGGTTCGCGCCAAGCTCAGTAACTCCGTCATCCGCCGGGGGGTGCGTGTCCGGTTTTGACGTCGATAACTGCGGTGAGAGCCAAGCGGCCTCGATCCTTCGTAATTTCAGCTGGCATGATCGACGGCTCTGTTGTTTTCCCTCTGAGATAGAACGCCTTGTGGCCCGAGGACGACCCTCGCACGAACAGGAGCCGGGATGGAGTCAGTTTCCAAAGAGCAAACGCGACAGTCCACGGCGCCGGTTGATGCAACATCCATTCTATCCTTGAAAGCAAGATCAGACACTAATAAACACGAAAAAACAAACCACAACGCTTTCCGGATTTCATTACCTCGCCGGGAGAGGCCTCGCGTCCAACCAACCGGGCCCTCCTACTCGAGTTTCGCTAGCCACCGCTCATTTCTGCAAGGCTTCCCCATCAACGTCCCCATCAACGTCCCCATCAACGCTAGTTAGTGCATCTGCGACAGTGTAAAAGGCAACGACCAATGCAACAGATCTGCTCCCTTACTCCTTATCCCCGGAAACACCGGGAACAACCTCCTGTACACCCTCAATCGCCTTGCTCGCCGCACCCGCAACTCCCTGGGCCGCGTTCCGCACTAGCTTGGCCGCGTCCCCCCTTTTAGCCCCCTTCGACTCGTTCCCCGCGCTCAAACGCGTCAGCTCCGTGACGAAGCTCTGCCCCCACCAGGCGCTCGTGTACTTGAAGACGTAGCGTTCCAGCTTGCGGAAGTTGGTCGCGCGCTGGTCGGACGACATGGTGACGGCGTCGTGGATCGCGTTGGCGAGCTCCTCGGTGTTCCACGGGTTGACGATGAGGCTGCCGTTCAGGCTCTGGGCGGCCCCCGTGAACTCGGAAAGGATCATGACGCCGTGGCGCTCGCGCTGCGTGGCGATGTACTCGTACGAGACCAGGTTCATGCCGTCGCGCGTCGAGCTCACCAGGCACACGTCACTAACGGCGTAGAGAGCCGTGAGCTCGTCGAAGGTGACCGATTGATGGAGGAAGTGGATCGGCATGAACTCGATGGTGCCGAACTTGCCGTTGATGCGCCCGACCAGCTCGTTGACGACGGCCCGGAGGTTTTGGTACTCCTCGACGTCCTGTCTGCTGGGCACAGCTACTTGGACCAATACGATCTTGCCGATCCACTCGGGATGCTCGGTGAGGAATACCTCGAGCGCGTGCAGCTTCTGGGGCACGCCCTTGATGTAATCGAGGCGGTCGACACCGACAATCAGCTTCACGCCCTCAAACTTTCGCTTCAGGGCGGCAATGCGATTTTGTACGTTCTCCTTCTTGAGACCCTCCACAAACTTGTCGGGGTCGATGCCGATCGGGAACGCCCCGACAGTGACAAACCTACCGTTCCAGTCGACGCCGTTCGGTGTTGTTGTAGTCGAGCTGTTGTTAACGTCAGCGTCAAGGGGTCAATAATGGCGGTCATCAAACGATGGGGGGCTCACAGTATCCTCGAGCAGCTACTCAGGAAATGCCTCGCATAGTCGTACGTGTGGAAGCCGATCAGGTCGCAGTCGAGAACGCCCAGTAACAATTGCTCCCGAACGGGCAAAATGCGGTAGATCTCGCTACTGGGGAAGGGCGTGTGAAGAAAGAAGCCGATTTTGACGTTCTTCTTGGTACTGCCAATTTCCTCGCGCAGCATCTGGGGCAGGAGCATCAAGTGGTAATCGTGCACCCACACGAGGTCCCCGTCCTGTACGTCCTTGGCCACAGTCTGGGCAAACAGCCGGTTTACTTCGCGGTATGCAGCCCACGCAGACTCGTCGAAAGTGATCTCGCCGGGGTGGTAGTGGAAAAGGGGCCAGAGGATCGAGTCTGATAAGAGAAACAGTCGTTAGCTAGCTTCACATCTCATAAGAACACTGCGGGGGTCAGAACGTACTAGCAAACCCGTTGTAGTGGCGGTCGGCGAGCTCATCATCGACAAACACCGGGATGGCATTGTGTTTCTCTTTCAGCTGCTCCCTCATGGGCCCTGCCTCGGCCTCTGGTACCTCCAAACCAGGCCATCCGTACCATTGGAAACTTGTAGTTTTGGAAAGCCCGCTCAGTCCGGTGACGAGACCGCCCGAGGACATGGAAAAGGAGTATTCGCCGTCATCGGAGCGCTTGATGGTAATTGGCAGGCGATTGGAGATTAGGAGTAGCCTGCCAGAGGAGGAAGCCGGGTATTCGACAGCAGCGGGCATTGTGATGACGGGTTTTCGCTAATTGGTAAATCGACGAAGAGGGAGCGCCCGAGGTACCGCAGACCCGGGATGTGCTGGTTCGCAGACGCAGAACTGCAGCAAGTGTTGAGCCGTTGCTGCTGTTGACAACGCTGCGTAAAGGGTGATAGCGGCGGCGGATAGGTGATCAGGGGCGATTGATGGTTGGGCAGTTGGTAGGTTATTCGTATTAGGTAGGTAGGTTATTGCAACCTGGGGACGGGTCGCGGTTCGGTGACGTTATTAACTGGAATTCCAGACCCAAGCTTGGAAGGCCGTTGAAAACGATGGCGGGGCAGTCACGGTGGGGAGCGGGGTAATTAGAAGCGCTGCCAGGAGATGTCAGGCCTCCCGCCGTGGAGTGTACAACATAATCTTCTTCAAATCAAGGAGATATCAAAGGCAGCAGCATCAATAAGATACGTTCCTACCTACATACCTAGCATTGTCATTGACTTCGGATTAAACTAACAAAATACGTACCTACAACACGACAACAACCCGGAAAGAAGGGCGCCAAAGCTCCCAGTTTTGGAGCGAGTCGACGACGTAATTTTTGAACGCGAAGCAGGGATGCCGGGGCGAGACGGTGCTTGCCCCTTGTTGCGGCAGAGCGCCAAGACATGTTCGAAAATGCCAGAAACGGCACGATAACTTCCCGGCCAATGTGACATGTGGGTTCGGCCATGGGCGTCTGGGCAACCACAACCGCGCTGACCGGGCCGTTTGCTGCAACCACGGAAATCGCGCATGCATCAACGTATGAATGAAAAAGCGGCATGCAAGGTAGCATGCATGATATGATGAGCGAAAATGCAAAATTTGTTGCGAGGCATTTCGAGATCCGACTGCAATGACTGACCCGCCCGTGGCCCGAGCACCCCTCCAGTTCCCAAGCACGCTCTGGCCAAAAAAACCGGTACACACAAACCGACTTTCGGTGGATCCGCCTGCACATCGCGTTCACAGAGGCACGACACTTGGACAAGCCATCTACGGACCACCAAACAAGATAAATGAGCAATAATAGATAAGTGAAGAGAGCAACGCTCAAAGACTTTATTGCCTTTCATTTTGTCAAATTTGGGCTTGATTTGACCGAGAAATGTCGTCTCAAGATAGCTGTAAGTCGTTTGTGTGTTCCCATTTTTTTGCCCAGAGCGTGCCAAGCAGCGAGCTCAGGCGAAACGCTCAGTCACTGGCCAATCGCCCAGTTCGAGGCTTGGCTCCGCAGCACCTCAATTCGGAATCGACCAATCCCAACACGGTCAACAACCACGCCGAGAACGTCGAGACTCGTCTCACTTGGTCAGGTCAAGACTTTTCTGCAGAAGCGAGAACCAGCCGTGATTTTACAGCGATTTTCCTTCCGCCGGCCTGATGGGCCGCGTGAAGACCAGGATCATGGGGCAACCACAGTCAAAAGACAGTGGGAAATTTGAAGCACAAGTTGCACAACCTTGCCGACCTAACGTGGCTCTTCTCCCATCCGGAACTTGAACACCCAGCATCAGTCAAACCAACTCCCGAGGTACCTTTGTCAGAGCGCTTCCCGAACGATCTGACATTGTACTTCCGGATTGACACAGTCTTAAACGGTTGAGCATCTCCACTTGCGCGGTGCCCTCCAGTCCCGTCTGAGGAAGCCCGGCCCGCAGTCGTCCTTCCCGAACTCCCGGGATTTGTGGCGTCGTCGTGTCCGTGCGGATGTGCTCAACACCCGCAGCCCCCGCCGGGGTCAAAGCGAAAGGTCATGACCAGCCCGAATCAGTGTTCCGCCGAAGATGATCTCCGGTACCCCGGCAGCTCCGCGACCTACGGCTGAACAACGCCAGAAAGCCGACCGGGTAGTTGTCTCCTCTCATCATCGATCCCCGGCCCAAGAGTTTCGAGCATAAAAGTACAACGCGCAGAGCAGGCCCCGAGCCAGGCCGACCATATTGCATTCGGAATTACCAATCGTATTTCTTGTTGTGTATCGAGGCATAGACATGCGATCAGAACTTGGCTAGATAGAGGTCAACCCGGCATGAGACGTGGTGAAAAGAATGGTCCCCGATTGCTGGTTACGACCCAGTGGACTAATTGGCAGGTAGCCTTATAAACTCAACAAGACGCCGTCGAGTGAAAAGGGGAAAAAAGAGAGCGGAAGAGCGCCCTCAAGGGAAGTATCAGCACCCTGAATCACGGGGCTTGCCGTAAACAAATCCTTCTTCAAGGCAACATTCTTGACATTGATATGGGTATCATCGTAAATTCACAATACGCCTGTTAAAGCACGCCCTCCACCAAGGTCCCATCGTCGAACCATTACTCATGGACCCATTTGAAGCCCCGAACCACTCCCTCTCCTCTCGTGCCCAGGTACTCGGGCTTGTTCGAGGTGAGCTATCCTTGCCCACGATTCCCTAGCCCCTTGTTTTGTCTCCCCGCCGTTGGCCTCCTCGGGTGCTGGGGGCTGACCTGCCCCTTGGCAGTTGCCGGCGAGCTGGATGAACTCGGCGGGTTTTGGTTGGGATTCTCGGCGGATCAGGTTGCGGAGGATCGGAATCGAGGCGGCCATGATGGCAGTTGCCGGCTCGGCCGTGCCAAAAATGAAGAGGTCGACCGTTGTAGCTACGTTACGGTCAGCCGGACAAACGAACTCGGGGGGAGGTTGTTGGAGATGCTTAGGTACCTTCACCGTTACCGATAACATACAGAGTCTTAATCTTCAGAAAGGCCATCACTCCCGCCCTTTGACAGTCATATTAGTATCTTCTATTACTGCGGTGGCGCAGGGGCAAACTCACAAGACACCAGTGCTCATGGCGACCATGGCACCCAGCCTTTCTCTCTTGTTAATGGTGATAGCCCAAATGATCTTCCACGGAAGAAGTGCAAGGACGATGTCCATCAGACCAGAGTAAGCTACGCAAGGTCTGTGTCAGTTACAGTATCCCATAGTCGCCGGCTGGCCGGGGTATTCCTCACCAGCCACAAAAGTGTTGTAATTTTGGACAATATTCGGCGGGAAACACGAGCCCTCCAAGGCCCAGTACCACAGCTTCTGGACTGGCCAGCATTGCACCCACTGAATCACCCCGATGGAACCCAACACAAGGTTAACGGAGACAATGATGAACCAGACAAACACCCGAGTCCTTCCAGTGGAGATCCGTAATAGGGAGATGGCGAAGGACGTCTTGCTCCAGCAAGTCGCCAGGATGGAGCCGAACCCGGCAGAGATGGAGTATATAGCGACAGCAGTAATAGCTTCCTCATCCAGGTCGTGGTAATGGCTCCCGAGGCCGTGGCTAACTGCCACCGACTGTAGAGCGATCGAAACAACAAGTGCGATCTGCATTCGTTAGATACCAGTCCGAACCTTGTCAGGCCGAGAGAGCATAAAGGGTAGATAGGAAAGGAAAGAAAGACAAACCCAGCTCGCAATCAGAAAATGATCGTCCCACCACAGATGCCGCCGCCTTAGCAGTTTGGTGTACACTCGCAGGCCGAGAAACAAAGTTGAGAGTACCGCCAGGGACCAGATGACGCGGTTGAGGTACGGACCGAGGTTGCCATGCCTTGGCTGGCCGTCATGATCCCGCCCAGCGTGTCGGGTTAAATCATGCGGGCTAGGCATGTTGTGTTGCAGCGTCCCATCAAGGTTTATTGCCGCAATATGAAGAACCGAACGGGAGGATACCCCATGGCAACCTGCCGACCTACGTCCCTGGTGCCGCCGGTGTTTATCACAAAAGGTTGGAGGCCGAGGGCATGGCCGAGGGGTCCGGCGGAGGCAAGGGCAACCTCCAACCCCTAAAGGACCTTTTATTCCTTTCACAAACTCGACATCAAAGTCCCAGAAGCTCGGCTCTTTCATGCTTGGCATGAGGATTTGGTGTCTCGGGACGACACATCATTGGTGGTGAGTGCCCTCTTTCTTGCGCACCCCGCCCATTTTCCCACAAGTGTCAGTGCCCATAGACGCTAAGAGATGTTGGGAGACTCGCTTGACCGGGTACCCTCGCGGAAGATCGCCCACCGACAAGGCCGTTTAGGGTGAAGTTTCTGGGGGTGACATCGCTTCGCGGCCGGTGAGATCGAACGGGTTGGTCACCAGCGGGCCGAAACCGCCGGGCCCCAGGTTCTCGATGAGGGGGCTGAGATCGGCTCGGCCTAAAATAAGGTAAAGAGATGTGATGGCGTCTGGAACAAAACGCCACTCATTCATCTGTCCTCCCTTTCTCGAAGCCGAAGGCTTGTTTTGGCCAAGTCCAAAGTCCGAGCCCCCTGCCTGCGTTTAAGCGAACCCCATCTTCTCCCGGGTGGCCTGAGCAGCTCCCAACACATCGAACGATGTAATACCGCCTAACTAAGCTTAAATTCTCTGTGACTTGGAGTCAACCTCCGTTGCTCAGTGATAGGCAGCTTTCCCACCATATTTGGCCACTGGCCGTTCCTACTAACTGCACAGCACTCAATGCGGGTGGCATTTTGACTCGGGGCCAAGAGCCCTTGAAGCTCTCCGTAAACGCGAACTCTCTTTTTGGAATCGGTAACTTGCCCACCGATAGGCTTGCCGCCTTTTGCGAGTCTCTTCGTCTCCCTAGGCGTCTTCAAATCGAACAGTCTCACCCCTTTCCAAACAATCAGCCCACCTACGCGTCTCCTTTACCCATATCCCATCACATTGTGAGACCGCCTGAAAGAAGTCATTCTTCACACTGCTTTCTTCAAGGGGACGCTCCGGCCACAGTTCCCTCAACCTGGCCTCGTAGGTTTTTCGCAGCTGTGTTACCTCGTACTCCATCTTGTGGATGAAATACAACTCATTCTTCCCTTCATTGTCCAAGTAATCGGGGTTGTTGCGTTCTTCCGCCGCGGCAGCAGCTTCCTCGGGAGTTTCATCCGCGTACGAATCCCGCTGCGGCTCCTCTTCCCGAAGTGGTCCGTCAATGAATTTGGGAACCTGGGTCAGCATCCAGAGAGGCAGCGCCGAAACGCATTCCCAATCTAGAACAGCCGTAATTCCACCCTGTTCGTCCACCAAGATGTTGTTTAGGTGGAGATCATGGTGGTAAAGTCCTGTGATTTCCGGTCGGTCCAATGTCGGGGGGAATATCTTGGGAAGAAGAGAGAGAAGCTTTCGCGCGGCGGAGATGATCTCTTCGACGTCTTCTTTGTCGTCTTCATCCTCTGCCTTCTCAAGAAGTGCTGTTTGATGTAGGATGACGATAGTCAGCTCCGCGCTTAACCAGTCATGGCTTGAGCGGAAGGGGCCCCGCGGGACGGCGTAACGAAGGCGATCGCCCACGAAGAACGCAGGTGACACCCCGAGGCCAGGAACGGCCATTGCCGTCTCTTCCATGTTGTTGTTTTGACCGGCATCCCGCAAAACCAATGTTCCTATGCCCCTGAATCCGGACGCTGCCTTCCCAGCCAACCCAATTCCGGCCAACTCCATCTGGAATGCCGCGATGCGTTTCGTGAGCGCGGCCTTTTGGTCCATTGGCATGGTTCGCCACCGCCTGTGGGCCGGTGTACCGGCCATAAACTCCACCAAGATCCACTCATACCCAATCTCATTGTGGTTGCTGTCGTCAAAGCCGCAACACCTTGGGAACTGGGACGTGAGTGTTCTCGCGCACCCACCGCAAGGTAGCTACTTCGGCACGCGTCTTGTGTCGCGGATAGACGGGCAGCGAGACACGCATGATGAGAGGGCCTCCGGTACATTTGACAAGGTAGAGTTTGTTGAACAATCCTGATGCGTGAAAGGTGACGGAGCATGAACCCTTAGGGGAAATGTGCAACTGCTGGCGACACACACTTTCAATCACCGCGATCGAAGGGTCTCTCGTCCATTGGGGCACGAGGTCAAACAGCGTCTCTTTCCATTCTAACGCGTCTTGGCCGGGTCGCGGCATAGTACTTGTCATAACTGCGAGCTGATCGTCAGCCATGAAACATCGACCTGTGAAGGTTAACTTCTGCCAATTGTCAAGACTCAAACCACGTATCTGGGCTGCTCACACAGTCACCTAATTACTACCATAACGTATCTAGCGGATTGGTGGAGGTTACGTACCTCGTAGACTCCGAGTGTGTAAGGGGGAATGTAACTGAAAGGATTTCAGCAATACCATTCTGATTGGTGGTTCCTCTTCTACCGGAAATCTCAGGTTTAGGTCCCCAAGAAGAGAAAGCGAGATCTTGGGAGCTTAATAACCGAGACCGAACACGAAACCGATTCCACGCAACCCCATCCCATCCATGGAACACAAAACAAGGCTTACCGCCACCCGCCCCACGGATCTGTTACTCTCTCCTCATCAAACCACCGTGGCATCACAAGGGCCAAGTAATACAGATATCATTAGCACGGGCATCCTAAACTTTAGCTGGGACTGAGACCACTATTTCCAGCCCTCAGCCCCCCCGAGACCAACATGGCACTCTCAAGCCTGAGCCCATGGCAAATCCTCGCCCTCGCCCTCACAACCGTACGCCTGCCTCCAACCCCCCCCCCCTCCTCAGCCCGGAAGCCCCCTTTAAACCCACAGCCCCAACTAACACACACCCCCTTACCTAGCTCACTCTCTACACGGCAACGCACCTCCTCTACAACCTCCTCCTGCACCCCCTCCGCCGCTACCCCGGGCCCCCTCCTCATGCGCGCCACCCGCTGGGGCTACGGCCTGCGCCACATGGCCGGCACGCTGCCCTTCGATATGCTGGCGCTGCACCAGCGGTACGGGCCCGTGGTGCGCGTCGCACCCGACGAGCTCGCCTTTTCGGACCCCGCGGCGTGGAAGGATATTATGGGGCATCGGACTGGTGGTGGGAGTGGGAGTGGTGGTGCTGGTGGTGGTGGTGGTGGTGGGGGGCAGGAGGATATGCTCAAGTATGAGCGGTTTTATATGCCCGTGGAGGGCTTGCCGAGGGATATTGTCAATGCGGGGCGGGAGGAGCATGCGTTGTTGAGGCGGACGATGGCGCATGGGTTTAGTGATCGGAGTATGCGCGAGCAGCAGCCGGTGATTCGGGGGTATATTGATTTGTTGGTGGGGAGGTTGAGGGAGAGGAGTGGGGAGGGGGAGAAGGTGGACTTGGCGGCGTGGTATAATTACACGACGTTTGATGTTATTGGGGATCTGGCGTTTGGTGAGAGGTAGGTCTTCTTCTTGGTTGGCTTTAGGGGAGGGGTGGTTGCTGATGGTTGCAGTTTCGGGTGTCTCGACAACTCGGACTACCACCCCTGGGTCAAAGCCATCTTTGAGGTCGCGCGTGCTGGGACGGTGTTCCAGACCCTGGCACATTTCCCAGTTTTTGTCAAGTTGATGCTGGCCCTCATCCCGTCCAAGTTTCTGGAGGAGCGCGAGAAACACATGCAGATGACCTTGGTGAAGTTGAAGAGGCGGATGGAGGCGGGCAAGGAGAGGGCAGACCTTGTCGAGGGGCTACTCAAAAAGGCTGACGAATGGGTATTGCAACCCATCACGGATGCTTCCGAGCATTGGCGCTAACTTGATGCAGGGACTCACGCTAGAGAAGCTCCAGGCCAACAGCGCAATTCTCATCATTGGTGGATCCGAGACGACGGCGACGCTCCTTTCAGGGGTCACATACTTCCTGATGACCAACCGTCAAGCCATGGAAAAGCTCACGGCCGAAATCCGGGGAACTTTCAAATCAGAGGATGAGATCGACTTTGCCAGTGTCAGCACACTCCCTTATCTCCTGGCCTGCCTCGATGAGGCACTCCGCATGTATCCCCCAGTTCCGACTGGCCTGCCGCGCGTGGTGCCGAAGGGAGGTGCCAACATCGCAGGCAATTACGTACCTGAGAAGGTGAGCAGACAAACGCACAACTTGAGGCAAATTGGGATATTAACCGTCCGCAACAGACTGTGGTGGCGGTCCACCACTGGGCGATGTACCACAACGATGAGCATTTCAAGGACCCCTTCGTCTACCACCCGGAACGATGGCTCGGCGACCCGGCATTCGCGGGCGACCACAAAGAGGCGTTCCAGCCGTTCCATCTTGGCCCGCGTAACTGCCTCGGGAAGAACTTGGCTTACATTGAAATGCGCCTCATTTTAGTCCGGGTTCTATGGAACTTTGACCTCCGGATTGCTGAGGACAGTTTGGACTGGATGAGCAAACAGCGGATCTACAACTTGTGGGAGAAGGGAAAGCTGAATGTACATTTGACACCTGTTGCGAGGTAAATGTACTGGGTTCGTTGTAAGAGAGAGGTAGCAGCTGCTTCATTGAATTTGGGATAGGGGGTAATACTGATGGAGAAGGAGACTAGGGACATTGTTAGGAGGTAATCAAAAAAGAGGTTTGCGGGTAGACATCAGGTCCATCATCATAAGCGTATATTCATGCGCAAAAGGGGTATCCAAAATCAACAGCACCATCCCAAAATAAAGCCCGACACCACGTGTGTGTCGAGGTTATATCCCGCCGAGAATCCAATAGGCAAACATACTCATAGCCACCACCGGCACCGCGTTACCTCTCGCAATCCACCCAGCCGACTTTTGGCCCAGATCCGACGGTGGGCTGATGCTTGCTCCGCCGCTGGCGACAACCTGCCCGTTGGATGCCAGGACCTTGTTCCCGGTCACGTACTGGATGTTGTAGACCGGCGCGTCGCTCAGGACGGACGGCGTGCCCAGCTGAGTAGGGCATGCCGCTTGGTTGGCTGTCGGCCAGTCGAGCTCGCAAACCTCGTCGTTGCCCCACGAGCAGATGGGATCAAGGATGTTGTAAAGAACATGGTTCTTGCCAACCCACGTGTCCCGAGACAGGCAGTCGGCAAGGTAATTCATGCTGTTGGATGCGCTCAGCGGTAGTTTGTTGCCGTCGGTGTGAATTAGATCGGCGCATGCGGACGGGTCGGCGTCCTCGTACTGCATGGCGATGGCGCCGCCGGTCGTAGGCCTCTCAGTCGCCGAGTATCCGGTGACGAGGTAGTTCCAGGCATCGTAGCTCACGTCATAGGCGCCCTGGGACTGATCGATGCGCAAAAGATGGACCGTCCTCCCTTCGTGGCTTAGCGACACACAGATGTTGGTGCAGCCTACCGAGGCCGGCCAGTATGCGATGCGGTTGGTGTCGACCTTGCAACCTAACACGCCGACAGAAGACGAGTAACTCTCATGGGGAGTTGCCCAAACCGTCCGGCCGGCCGCGTGTGCTGTGGTGGTGGCGGCGAGCAAGCCCGAGAAAAAGCGAAGTGCGCAGCGCATGGCTGCGACTGAAGTGAATGGAATGGATCGTCGCGGGTCTCAAATCCCGAGATCGTCAAATAAATGTGGAGTTGGTGAATCTCGGTTTAAAAAAGAATGACTGGTGGTTGTGTATCATAGATGGAGTTAAAAAGAATGACATGGCACCATGGCCAGAGAAAACAAGTCCGCCGTCGCCAAAGAGAGCGATTGAGACGAAACGCGGTCGCTCAAGGGCCGGTCGGTGGGTTGGTGAGGGAAAATTGAAGGTTTGGGCGGGCGTGGGAGAGAATCCACGCTGGTGAGATTGGCTTCCCCAAATCGCGTTGGTCCCCGAGATGCGGGGCGGGCTAATTGGTTCCTGCATGCCAAGTTCGGGTGGCTTCCGGGGTTTCGTGATCCGTGTGCCTGGAGAAGTGGGGTTGATCCTGGTCCTCGAGAGCTCCGAGAAACAAACAATCCACTCTCGCCATCGACCCTGCCGGGGTTTGTGAAAACAATCACCTGGGGTCAACGGTTTTGGAAAAGATTGGAGCCGAGTTGGCCAACCTTTTTTCACGAGACAGATTGAGCAGTGCCGCGAGTAACGTTTTGGGCAATGTTAAAATTTCGTAGAATCCTCAGATCTCGCTTGGACTATCATCGCCTTCCCTCCCGCTAACCGAGCCGGCTTCCAACGGTGGGACGCTCACAACGTTGGTAGTATTCATTGCTCCCCCTCGGAATGCGTAGGTGAAGGTCCATCCAGACCCTGCGGCGCCGTGTTCGGCCTTGTTGTTCACCACCACAAGCCCGCTCGAGATTTTGGGGTACTTCCGTAGCATGCGCCTGACCGCATCCTCAGCGGCTTCTGTCGGCGTCATGCCGAGCCTCAAGTTCTCAACCGCCTGATAACACGGTAAGAACCGCATCATGATATCCCCATCGCCAGTCGCACCACACCCGCCCACATCGCTATCCACATATGATCCGCTCCCAACAATCGGGCCATCCCCAACACGACCCGGAACTTTGAATGCCGCCCCGTTCGTGGACGTCCCCGCCGCCATACCCCCACCACTATCAATCACCACCATGGAAATAGTATCATGCGAAGCCTGCCCTTCATCCTCCCCAACAGACCCCGCAGCAGCCGACAGCGGCCGATACGGCCCACAAGACGTCGCCGGATCCGGCTCGACCGCAACGCGATAATTCCCCTGACACCCGCCCGCCCTCCAATCCTCACACCTACTCCTACTCTCCGCAGTCCCCAAATCCACCTCCGGCCCCAGCCCCATATCCACCGCAAACTGCGCGGCCAGGTCCCCAACAAGCAGCGAGTGGCGCGTGTGGTCGAGCACGGCGCGCGCGACAGCAATCGCATCCCGGATGCGCCGTAACCCGCCCACGGCGCCCGACTTCATGGTCGCGCCGTCCATGAGCAGCGCGTCCAGCGTCGTCTCGCACGCCTCGTCCGGCGACCCGCCGAACCCCACCGTGCCGTCGCACTGCCGCTGCTCGCAGGCCGCGCACCCGGCTTGGACGGCGTCGAGCGCGGGCGTGCGGGAGAGCGGGGAGGAGGCGGAGGAGGGGTTGGTTAGGGAATCGTAGGCCGCGTCCGTGGCGGCGGTGAAGGGGCCGCCCCAGGTGTTGATTACGAAGGGGAGGTGGGGGTTGGGGGAGGGGTTGGCGAGGGCGGTTGTGGGGAGGGCGAGGAGGAGGAGGTGGTGAGTTAAGGTGAGGGTGCGGGTGAGGTGGAGGCGGTGAAGCGCCATCGCGAGAGGTGGGTTGTTAGTGCTGAGCGGATTGGGTGAGGAGCAGACTTGATAGAATCGTGCGTGAAAATGTTGGTGTTTGGTAAATGCGCCTGCCAAGACTTCGGTAGCATTGAGAAACGGAAGACACACGACCACGAAGCGCAGATGAGGAACCTGGAAGAGAGGGTTGATGTACATGCTGGTTGATTGCGAGATTGCCAAGTTAACCCTAACCCAGCGCTTGCCGGCTAATCCCATGGCTCACCACCCAACAATCCTCTCCTTCACTCTTTCAATTCTCGAACCAGGGTGAACATTAGTAGTTTGGGGAGCATACTTGTATTCTGAAGGCAGATAAGGCCATTGAACTTTCCATCGGGCTGGCGCTGTAGGTGTGGGACGTCCGTGGTGGTGGCTCGAGGGCCGTGTTGGACTTGCTGATATGGATCGTGCACGTCTCGACCACCCTTGTCGCTCTCCATCCCAATCGCATGACCCCTGCTCGAGTTCCCCCACCACGCGTCTGGACGAAGCCCGCGACAGACGGAAACAGGGCTGAAAGTCACAAAAGACGCGTTTTGTGTCTCACGCTTGCCAAGGTCGCATATTATCGATCTTGTATAATTTCCCTTCTGCTGCGGGACCATTGTGGACATACATTTCCGACGATTCTTCCACTGCCCACCACGATGGCGCGTACCAAAGTGACCGACAAGGCTATCGCGACGGAGCTCGTTAGCGTGGTGCAACAAATCTACAACGGCCCGGACAGAGACAAATTGACCGTCAACTATGCGCGCCAAGAAGCCGAGGCCAGCCTTGAGCTTGAAGATGGGTTCTTGAAGGAAGGCGATTGGAAGGCGAAGAGCAAGGAGATTATTGTCAACACTTTGGTAAGTCAGAATCACAATCCAACCAAATCGAGGAACTGTTGCTTATCACGGGTTTGGTAGAACGAACTTGAGAACGCCGACCACGAATCTCCGCAAGCTACACCGAGCCCCAAGAAGCAAACAAAGGCAGCGCCCAAGAAGAGCAACCATGGAAACCAGAAACGGGGCAAAAAGGCGGTAGTCCCATCCGATGCCGAGTCTGACGTTAGCGATGCGAGCAACGCGAAGGACGCGGCAGTACCACCGGCAAAAAAGCGCAAGGTGGTAAAAGGGACACAGAAAAAGACCAAGGTGCTGTCCGACCACGAGGATGACAGTCCGGCGGTCAGTGAGGGTCCAAGCGACGAAGAATCCTCAAAGTCTGCAGAGAATCCCCACTCGAAGCCGGGAGCAAAGGGTGAGAGCTCGAGCGAGTTATCAGACGCTCCCGACGATTCCCTTAAAAGCAAAACCGTGTCGGAAAAGGAAGACACGGCCAAATTAACAGAAGACGACGAGAGCGAGCTATCCGATGTCATCGACGAGCAACCGAAACAGAAACCGAAACCCAAGGCCAAGCCCGCTCCCAAACCCAAACCCACTGCCAGCACCACAAACCCCGCCGGCGATGACTCCTCAAGCGAACTCTCCTCCCTGATCGACGAGCCCCCTCCCCCCAAACGCAAGCGCAAGTCCGGCAAAGACACCACCACCACCGCCGCCGCCACCACCACCACCGCCGCCGCCACCACCACCGCCGCCGCCACCACAAAACGCACCACCAAACCCTCCTCCACCACCGCCGCAGCCGCCGACTCGCCCGACGAGGCCCAGATCAAGCTCCTGCAGTCGCACCTCGGCAAGTGTGGCGTGCGCAAGGTGTGGGGCGCCGAGTTCAAGCGGCACGGCGCCGACACCCCCAAGGCCAAGATCAAGCACCTCAGGGCGATGCTCGCAGACGTCGGCATGCCGGGCCGGTTCTCGGAGGCCAAGGCGCGCGAGATCAAGGAGATGCGCGAGCTGCAGGCGGATCTGCAGGATGTCATGCAGGGGGAGAAGAGCTGGGGCGTGGAGAGCGGTGGGAGGGGCGCGAGGAGACGCGCCGCGGCTGGTGGCGGTGGTGGTGGTGGTGGTGCTAAAGGGGGTGGCAAGCGTGCGCGGGCGGCTAGTCCTGAGGGCAGTGACGAGGAAGGGGGTGGTGGAGAGAGTGGGGCGGAGAAGAGCGAGGAGGGTAGTGAGGATGAGGGTGCGAAGCATGCTGTTCGTGGGAAGGGTCTGGCGAAGCGCAGGGCTGATCTGGCGTTCTTGGGAGATGAGAGCGAGTCGGACTGAGTGGTGAGGGGTTGTATTTTGTTGTTCTCGTGGGGTTTTGGGCGAGCTTTGCTCATATGCTTCGAGCTTGTAAGAGAAGGTCAGATACCCTTTCCTTAGGTACTGTAAAACGTATTGCTGCTGTTATGAAACTAGTTGTTTTCCGTTCCTCATCTCCTTTTCCGACCTCCTTTTCCGGCGCCGCTCCGAGGTGGGGTCTACCCGGGTGTGCTACACTTGATTCGGCGACGAACCAGAGCAACTTACAAGTCACTTTGGCGGAGTGGTTAACGCGCTGCCCTGCTAACTAATAATTAGCCGCTAGGCAGTTCCCTCGGGAGCGTAGGTTCGAATCCTACAGGTGACGTTTTTGCCCCGCTCACCAGCAGAGCTGATATCATCGTTTTGGCATGGTTTCTTTTGCCCACAGTCCCCAGCTCCAATTTCAAGCCCTGGCACTGTCCGACATCGATCAGGCAACTGGCTACTGACTGCCCCGTTGCACTCGTCGTATTTTCACCGCTCTCGCTGTGCTTCTTTTGCCCCACGATGATACGACGGTTTGGAAGGCTTTTTTTTGGATTCCTCTTACTGGCCGCAACTTAATATCCCTGTAGAATAAGAGCGAGAGGACCGAGATGATGATGCCTCTCCTCTCTCATTCAGACGCCGTGCGTCGAGTCGAGCGTTCACATCAGGAACGGGCGTTCATTCTTTGGGCGATCAAACTAAAAACAGCAACGGAACCGAGGAAGAGAACAGCGTTGTAGAACTGGTTGGTGTCAGCAGATCAACTGTCCTTGCCGACGACGAGAAAGAATGCAATCGTGGCTTACAGCTCTCCGGGAGACATCCCTTTCTTCGTTATCGGTCCTGGCCTCAATGAATAGCCGCCGCAGGTTGGGAAAATTGGCCTGGGGATGTCAGCGTAACTCATTCAACACACGAATTTCAACGCACCATCAGTTCCCTTCAGATTAAAGATGGCGACTCCAATGACACAAATTTTGGCCTTTTTGGAAGTGAAATTTATAAATTCCGCCCAAGTGCCCATCTCCGAGCTTCCAAAACCCTTGTTGATGGACCCACTGAAGCCACCCCGCCATTGCGAGTTGTGGCTCGGTTGCGGTGCCAGCGCCAAGCCACGGCGCTTTCCAGGGGTGACGGCGGCCAGGCAAGCCAGAACATTTGGCGCGCTGCGGCTTGAGACGCACGAGCGCCCGAATCCACAGCATCTGCGACAACTTCTCAGCAAGCCGCCGCCCCGGTTCTGGCTGCGCAACACCACAAACAAGCAGCTGGTGACCGATCCCTTTTAACCGGCGAGAGCACGAGCTCGACCTGTAGTAACTCACGGAGTTGCGCTTCATCCAGCCAGTTTCACCGCCCCTCCTCGACCCGAGGCCGCACCGTCATCCCCGCTTCACTCGACCACCCCTCCCTAAATCGACCGGCGAAAGATGGCGCAGGCCGTGAACCGCATCCGCGGGGCCTTTGCGCCCCCGCGGAAGGGCGAGACGTTCGAACTGCGGGCGGGTTTGGTGTCGCAGTATGCCCATGAGCGGAAGGAGTCCATCCAGAAAACCATCATGGCCATGACGCTGGGCAAGGACGTGTCGGCGCTCTTCCCGGATGTCCTCAAGAACATTGCGACGGGGGATTTGGACCAGAAGAAGCTGGTATACCTCTATCTCATGTAGGCTCTGGAACATCACCCATACACTCCGGTCCCTTGCTGACCGACGATTCCCAGGAACTACGCCAAGTCGCATCCGGACCTTTGCATTCTCGCCGTCAACACCTTTGTACAGGACTCCGAGGACCCGAACCCCCTTATTCGAGCATTGGCGATCCGAACCATGGGTTGCGTCCGCGTCGACAAGATGGTGGATTACATGGAGGAGCCGCTTCGGAAGACGTTGCGGGACGAGTCGCCGTACGTGCGCAAGACAGCTGCCATCTGTGTGGCCAAGCTCTTCGACCTCAACCCGACAATGTGCATTGAGAACGGCTTTCTCGAGATACTGCAGGAGATGATCGGCGACCCGAACCCCATGGTCGTAGCCAACTCAGTCCAGGCTTTGTCCGAGATCACCGAGACGGCGCCAGAGACAAAAGCTTTGCTCATCACATCTACCACGCTCAAGAAACTGTTGATGGCGCTGAATGAGTGCACCGAGTGGGGCCGAGTGACGATTCTCAGCACACTTGCGGACTATCCGCCCACAGACGTCAAGGAGTCGGAGCACATCTGCGAAAGAGTCGCGCCGCAGTTCCAACACGTTAACCCCAGCGTCGTTCTGGCCGCTGTGAAGGTCGTTTTCATCCACATGAAATTAGTGAACCCCGAGGGCGTCAGGCAGTACCTGAAGAAGATGGCGCCTCCTTTAGGTATTGTGGCCTTTCCGAACGAAAGCATCCCGGATTGCTGCTAATCTCGTGCGCAGTTACCCTCGTCTCCTCCGCTCCCGAGGTGCAATACGTTGCTCTTCGGAATATTGACCTCCTTTTGCAGGCCAAGCCAGACATCCTCAGCAAAGAGCTTAGGGTGTTCTTTTGCAAGTACAACGATCCGCCCTACGTTAAGCTGCAGAAACTCGAGATCATGGTGAGGATAGCGAACGAGAAGAACTTTGATCAACTACTCTCCGAGCTGAAGGAGTACGCGCTTGAGGTTGACATGGACTTTGTCAAACGTGCCGTCAAGGCCATTGGCCAGGTGGCCATCAAAATCGAGCCAGCAAGCGAAAAGTGTGTCAACGTGCTGCTTGACCTCATCGCTACCAAGGTCAACTACGTTGTTCAGGAGGTTATTGTTGTCATCAAGGATATCCTCCGGAAGTACCCCGGGTATGAGGGCGTCATTCCTACACTCTGCAAGTATATCGACGAGCTGGACGAGCCAAACGCGCGGGGGTCTCTCATCTGGATTGTGGGAGAGTACGCCGAGAAGATCAACAACGCCGACGACATATTATCCGGGTTTGTTGACGTCTTTGCCGAGGAGTTCACTCAGGTCAGTCTTCCATCCGCCACCTTGATCCGGCAGGCGCTAATGCTCAGCAGACACAACTACAAATCCTCACAGCGGTTGTGAAATTGTTCCTCAAGAAGCCCAGCAACAACCAGGGCCTCGTACAAAAGGTCTTGCAGCTCGCGACAGCAGATAGCGACAACCCCGATATTCGCGACCGCGCTTACATTTACTGGCGTCTCCTTTCCGGCGACCTTGACGTCGCAAAGGTTCGTTTCCCGCCCGCATTACCAGCTCTCACCCTTACCTTACTAACAACCCTCACAGAGCATCATCCTCGCCCAAAAGCCTCCCATCACCACTACCGTCAGCAGTCTGCCCCCCGTTCTCCTCGAGCATCTTCTCTCCGAGCTCTCCACCCTCGCTTCCGTCTACCACAAGCCCCCCGAGTCGTTCGTTGGCAAGGGCCGCTTCGGCGCCGAGGCCATCCAGCGCGCCGCCATCCAGGAACAGCGCCAGAACCTCGCCGAAAACCCCATTGCCGCATCGGTGGCCGCTGCGGCTTCCGCGAACGGGACGGCTGGCGGTGGGGCGCAGCAGAACAATATCGAGAACCTGCTCGATATCGATTTCGACGGGGCCGCGCCGGCAAGCGCCGAGCAGAACCCCGCGGGGACGGGCACTCCCGACAGGGTGGCGAGTCCGGTCTCAGCCGGCGGAGCGGCGGCGCCCGGCGGCGGGATGGCGGATATCATGGGGTTGTTTGACGCGCCGGCGCCGGCGGGTGCGGCTGCGGCTGTGGCTCCACCTGCGGTCGGCGGTTTGGCTGGGCCTGCTAGCAGTGGCGGCGCCCCGGCTGGCGGGAGTGGGCTGAACGATCTGATGAGCGGGTTCGAGGGGATGGATCTGAGCGGGACCAGCGCGCCGCCGCCGCCGGGGCAGCAGCTCGGGCATGCGAATGGCAAGGCGGCGGAGCAGAGCAAGGGGAGTGATGACTTGTTGGGACTGTTTTAGGATGTGGGAGGCTGGAGGAGCACCTTGTCCGAATGAGAATAGCAAATTTGGGTTGATGTGTATTTTGCCAGGTGTGTTTTCGCCCCTGGCTTCTTGCTTGCATTGTTGACTGGCTGGGAGTGCGATGTGGCTGTGGGAACACACGCTGTTGTCCCTACTCGCCATTCTGTTTATTTGTACAGAACACTGCTGCTCCTCCCAAAAGAATCGGGCCACCGCCTTTTTTCCCCGACAGCACTCTTTTCTGCCAAGCAGAATCATCCCAAAAGCGGTGGGCTAATAATTCGGCATTCCATCTCTCTCACGTCCCGAGTCTTCACAAGCCTCAGTTTTCCCGCCCCCAACAGCCAATGCATCGCCCCCATCCATCATCCAAATCTAGTACTTAGCCTTGCGCCCATTGTACTTCAGTGAGAAGATGCCTCTCTCGATCGAATTGAGCAGAATGTATCCCGACTTGAAGTACGGGTACACAGACCAGGTCCCGAGGAACTCGACCACGCCGTTAACGTCGTCATCCTCCGGGTGGCAGTCGAAGAAGCCGACCTCCTCGAAGTTGCCGCCCGTCGGGTCACGCTCGACTCCGGACACGTCGACCACGCGCAGCCCCGAGCCGTAGTTGGCTTGGTACGTCAGGCCCTTGACAACCTGTTTCGAATGTCAGTCACACAACCAAGCACAAAGAGGATGAAAAGGATGGGGGGGAGGTTCTCACGTATTGGTTGTGGTCAATCGACTTGGCCGGGCTCTGGTAGAAGCCCGTGTTGATGGGCTCGGCCAGGTTGGTGACGTTGAAGATGTAGGTGGTGGTGTGGTTCTTCTCGCCGGGGACGGTGCCGTCGGCCTCGTCCAGCTCGTCGTCCAGCAGCAGGAAGGTCATGGTCTCGTCGACCAGCCAGCCCTGGTGGGTGTAGGCGGCGCCCTCGTACGGCGTGCGCGACACCACCTCGGGCTTCTTCTTGTCCGTCACGTCCATGATGGTGAGCGTGTCCTCGTTGTAGTTGAAGCAGATCTCGCGGCCGCGGTACTTCTCGGTCGGCCCCGTGTACACGACGCACTGCGCGTCGTGCACGTAGCCGTCCTGCGCGATGCAGCCCGGCGAGACCGGGTTGGCCGGGTCCGACACGTCCACCATGAACATGCCGCCCGCGCAGGTCGTGTTGCGCGCGTTGGCGCCCGACCGCCCGCCCACGGCGTAGATCATGTGGGCCTCCTCGTGCGCGACGATGTTGTGCGACGCGCCGAAGCCCGTGAAGAGCGCCGTCAGGTCGCGCTCCTTGCTGAAGGCGCGCGGCCGCCAGAACAAGGGGTTCCACCACGGCTTGATGTCCAGCAGCTTGGTCAGGTCGAAGACCTGCAGGCCGTGGTCGTCCGACTCGGCGCCGATGTAGGCGTGGTCGCCGATCACCTTGATGTCGCGCCAGCTCGTCGCCGTCGTCTGCGTGTCCAGCCGGCCGAGGTACTCCAGGTTGCCGTTCCGCGTGATCTCGACGAAGCCCACGCCGTCCGTCTGCCCGACGATGCCGAACTCGCGCCCGCCGGGGGCCGTCCAGCCCCAGACGTCGTTGCCCGCTTTGGTGGTGGAGGCGAGGTCCTCGTGGCTGAGGAACCCGTGTAGGTCCACGTTGTTGCAGCGGTACGCGGCGTTGCCTTTCCCGGCCACGCCGTTGACGCACCGCTGCTTGGAGGTGACCTTGCGGTAGAGGGTCGAGCCGCCAAAGAGACCCCTGGCGCGGGCCGCGTCCCACTGTTTCGTCTTGACGTCCATGATTTCTTCCATCTTGCTCGCCGCGGCGGGGGAGCCGGCGCCAACCCCCAAGGGGCTTAGGGCGGCCGTGACAGCCAAGAGCGTGTTGACCTTCATGGTTGGAATCGGGCGGTGAAGTGGTGGTGGTGGTGGAGACTGAAGCTACACTGCCGGTCAATTCTCCCGTACGACTCTGGCTGAACGTCGTTAGGGGTATTTATGCCAACTCGGGCCGCCCGGGGGACACAAGTCAACCCCGGCCCTGTGGTCATGCCATGCCGCGGGTGCATTGCGTCCACGTTGGTTGTTATCTTCACGGCTTCCGAATTCAGGAGGTGTAAGTTGGTCTAGCCTGTGGGGAAAGGGTCACGGCGGCAGATCGTGGACGGAAAGGGATTAAGGTGCCAAGACGACTTTCTTGTCACTTCCCTTTCCTGGACCCGGTTTCCGACACCGTTACAGCCGAGCGTGGGGTCTCGTTGTTCGTCATCGTCAAGCTTCTTGGGAAGTGCCCGTCCTAGGCAAGTGCCACAACTTGACGTGGCTATGCTGACCACCTTCTCCGTCTGGACAAACCATCGCGCGACGATGTGGATATGTCGGTTCAATATGGTTTGTGGCCTTCCGCAAGCATTCATGATTCGTGTCAGACCAAGGAGGGGTTGAACCGTGCAACCTCATTCAGTGGTTCGCTGACAAAACATATGCAGGACTCTCCCCGACCCAAGGAGGGCGGGACGGCACCTGGGATTTGCCGAACGATGAGCCAGAGCAACTCACCAACTCGGCGCAAGGAGTTGCGTGGCTACAGATTACACTGGGGTCATAGCGGTCTCTAAGTCGTGCTGGCCGACAGCTATGTACTGGGTTAAACAAGGAGACATTCGTTGACGTGCTCTAACATCCGAGTGACCGACCGGCGACAAGACAAATTGGCCCGTTTCTACTCAGGACTATTGGCGTGGGAAGAATACGGATACAATGATCATTTTTCCCCATGCGCCTAACTCTATCCGTATCCCAAACTCCCCGTGCTCGACAAAACTAGGAAAAATGGAATCATGCCTCATCTCAGATCACTCCTGCCCTTGCCCATCCTCCTTTCCTCCCCACCCCTTGACTCCCCTTCTCAGTCCGCCGAACTCAGGTGTATGCTTCCATCACATAGGAGATATCGAAGTCATTGCCCTGCGCTTGCGCATCGCCACCGATGTACGCTGTGAAGTAAATGCCATGCCCGGAATGCCTGACCCCGAGAGACACGCGGGGGCCGACATTGAGCGCAGCGATAAGACGCTCGGCACCGGCATTGGTCCACCACATTTCGCAGAGAGGGCAATTGTCCTCTTCAATTTTCAACGTGGCCGTTGCCCTCCCGAAAGGGAGGTCGTTAATGGTGAAATCGAGACGTTCGAGCGTGATCGTAAGCGGTTCTTGGTCCGCGGCCAGGAGAGCGCCCTATACCACGCTGGTCAGTCCTGACAAGCCTCGACGAATCTAGGAGATAAGCCCGCGGTGTCTCACCTGTGCAAGGATCCCGCGGTTCTGGCCATCGCCGCGAACTCTGTAGGCGTGCTGAGCAACCGGGCTTGGCGCTTGGGGTCCAGTGCCGGCGCTCCGACAGCGAAGTTCCAAAGCATATCGAGCACATCCCTTCGACACAGCGTCCACGCTGAGACACGTTAGTCGCAATCTCGGCCATCGGCCAGCGGGGCAAAACGCTGGGCGCTAAGACTCACTTGAGGGGGCTGTCAGCAAAAGAAATTTCGATGGGGTCGGACTCGGAGGCGTGCTTCGCATTCCAGTCGCGGATCTCCTCCTCGAGTCTTGCGCGCACGTAGAGGTTTTGACTAAAACCCCCACATACAAACATAACCTGTCAGGCGGAAAGTCAGCCGTTGTCACGACGGGTGCCTCTACTCGATCCTTCACCTACCCTGGGCTGCCTTCCCTCCTTGGCCAAAGCCGCCGTGAACTGGTCCTGAACTAGCTCAACCATCTTTTCGATCGTGGGTCCCATGAGTTCTTTCAACTCATCCCTGCCACAACGAAAGCGTTAGAACGGTACCCTGCCCGGAGAGCAGTGTCGGGGGAGGGCTGTCATTACCCGGTGAAGCTAATAGAAACACGTCCGCGATCCGCCCGGCGATCGAATTGCTCCTTCAGCTGACGACCCATATGGCGGGTCATTCTAGTGTCCTTGCTTATCGTGATGTAGATCAGGTGGTCGGGAACGTCGACTGCCCAGGCATCCTTGGAGGACTTAAAGGCTTCCCTGGCAGAATCATACCACCATTTACGGAAGAGCGGCTGAATCTCGGCGTCTGTGAGGGTGGCAGCTCTGTCGTCCTCTGCCTCGGCCTCTACCTTCTTAAAGAAGCGTTCGAATATCAATCTTTCGACTTGGACCGGTCCGCAAAACCGTGCACCTGGTGGCACGCACTGCTGTAGAGACGTCGGTTGCCTGGAATGTATCTTGAACGTGGCAGTGTCCTAGTAGCGCGTCAGGGAAAGGCTCGGACATGTGCGTATGTGCGTGTCCGGTGGCTCACGGAAAGCAGGAGGTACAAGAAAAGGGGGGGGGGGGGGGTGATTTGGCGACGGCGTAGTCGGAACGAGAGGAGAACAAGGACACAAAACAACTCACAGAAGTCCCTCCACCTGCGTCGAGGACGGTGAAGATGTCGCCGGCCTGTCCGAAGCATTAGATGTTGGCCTCCAAGGCAAGAAAGGTGGGTATTAAGCTTACCGTCAGGTTCATGCTTTCGATGTTCGGGGTCTGTTCCAACAGAGCGATGGCTGCAGCCACTGGCTCGACACATGTCTCGATGGTCGTACGGCCGTACAGGCCCGGGATGCCAGCGTTGCGCGCAGCTTCGAGCAGGAAATCCCGCGATCTGGACTTCCAGTTGGCGGGAATGCCGATGACGACGTATATCCTGCACATGCGGACCTCCTCCACGTCCAGACCTTCCCCAAAGGCGATTGATTCCAGGCAGTGGGCCCACAGCCCCCTTAGGTATGCTTCCAGCACCCCCATTACCTTGACACTCTGACCTTGACGGAAAGACCGGGCGTCAGCTAGCGTAACGGCGTTCAAAATGTCCTCCGGTACCTCGTCCTCGTGAGGGACGCACAACTTAAACCACTCGAATGACGGCTCGTCGTCGCGAACCTGAAAACCCCAGTGGCTATGGTCAGAGCAGGCGATTCTCGTTGGTATTTTGAACCCGAATGCTGACGGGCCGTCTTGGTTTGTGCCCGGCCACAGTCTCTGGTCATGATAGATGAACTCGCCCGCCATGATGGACGACGTCCCTGCCCCCGTGATTGTTCCTGAGCACCTATCCGAGGCAATTAGCGGCGGCGTCATTCACTCGGTCATGCGTGTGTGAAAACTCACGTCGTACCGAGGTCAATCCCAACGAGGAACTCGGCATCCGGGTTGGGTTCCTTATCCGAGCTGGATTCCTCTCCCGGTTCCTCTTCCGATGGACCGGCAACCATGCCGCTAGTGTGCAAGCGTTGGCCATTGTGCGATGACCAGCCGGGCGTGGTGCCGCGATCCATGACTTGGTGATGGTAGGGGTTGTGTTGGGTGACGCAAATCGTGGGTGATGTCGCTAGGGTTGAGTTCGGTGGCTGGCTTGCAGGGTCTTAAGTGTATGGGAAGGAAATGGCCGGCGGCGGACAAGGAAGCAAACGGAGAGACAAGCTATTTCTTTTTTGGCTCAAGCAGCATTGAGTACACAAGCAAGACAGTGCTAAGGCAATCAAGGGCGCGGCCCTGCGGCACCCCAGCCGGCCCCCTCCCTTCACCCCGGGCCCCGACCCCTTGATTCTTTGCCGTTCCTCAATCTTCTTCCAGGTTTGTCAGGGGCAAGAAAGCAGATACCCGTCATACCAAGCGGGGTCATTCTCCGAAAGGGGCCCCCTTCCCCCTGAATACCTACACTCCTAGACACCTAAACTACAGCCACAAGGAAGCCAATACGGCACATCAGAACAGTCAGATCAGAATCCATTGCAAGTAAGACAAAATGCCGGTTAACCAGGGTTGGCATTCACAGGTGCACCGCATTTTGCTCTTCTACGCCTCGGCCGGATTGAGAAGGGGGGGCTGGTATTCTTTGTTTGTGTACCTACCGTTCGGGTAGTTGCTTTATACCCCAGCATCCACCTATCCCCTCCCATTGCCGCCCGCACTCGCAAAACTTGCATATCTCTCCCCGTCCCCAATTCTCTCAGATCAATGCTCCAGCCTCATGTCACAAAGCCATCTTGCTTTTGATACCCCTTTCCGATCACAATGTCACGGACACGCAACGCTAGGAAAACGGTCAGCACCGATGTGGCCACCAGCAAAGCCTCCCGCCGCGCCACGCCGGCCGAGCCCAAGATGCCCCTGACTGGTAGGAAGGCAAAGCAGCCGAGCACCACTATCACCACACGGTCGGTGACACGCCAGAAGGGTAAAGTCGAGAAAGGTCCCGCGATTTCTTCAAGTTCCGAGCCTCCGAAGGAACTCGACAAATCCGAAGGGGAGCTAGTTGTCCTAGACCAAGATCAGGTCCAGGGACCCCCAACAGGCGTGGATCCCACGCTGCACTTGACCGAGGAATGGTACAACAACCCCTTGATCGTCAATCGGCTACGGGACTGGCACCGAGAGATTGCATCCCTTCGTCGGACTGTGCACTCCGTCTCTATCACAAGCTTCTGGCCAAAGGTCCAGGCATTTGTCCGCACCATCGCGTCCCGCCAGTTCCCCAATCGTGTCGGCTGGAGGACTCTCAACGCCGAGAATAAGGCCATGATGCAGACTTGGACGCCGGAGGCGAAGGAATACCTGGATAGAAACCCAAAGGGTCAGTTTACAGTCATGTTTGCTTTTGTAACACAACGGGCTCGACTGCTGACTTGCCGCTTGGTGCGCCCCAGTCATGCTTGAAGCATGGCTTTGGCGAATTCTGGTTGAAGATGTGTTTGAGGGCCCGGGAGGACCAGGTTGGGAGCCGTATTCCGAGCTTCTTCACAAGATACAGCGTCAGTTCCCTTCTCCTTCTCCGTCCCTAGCGCCGTTTTACATGCTGCCTCGCCCCCCTTGGCCCCGAATCTCCCACGCCTCTTCGTCCCAAAGCGCTGACGTCGCCCAAGCCCTGGCCCGCCTAAGGCCGGAAGATATAGATGAGCGTCTGGATGAAACGCTCGGTGAACGGGTGGCAGGCCGCCCTGCAGATTGGCGAGAGGTGATGGCGCGTCGGATAAAGGGCAGGGCCATGCTTTGGCGCTGCCTGACCATGAAGCTTATGGGGGCGCTCTCGGACACAAACTCCCGCTATACCGTCGATTACGTTACCAGGCTCGTCACCCGGAAGTTGGGGCGCTGGATGAAACCCCGCAGTAATGCCGGGAAGAACAGCCTACAAGCAGACCTTCAACATCTCGCAGAGTTTACCATCCAGATGGACTGGTATGTGAACCCATCCCCCCAGACTCGGATGCCCGCCCGGGAGGAGTGAGTACCAAACAGGCGACCCTGACACGTTTGAAACCCAGGCACCTCCACTGCAACCATCAAATGTTCGAGTTCCGATTCCACGATCCCACGTCCAAGAAGGCCCATGGATTTCCTTACAAGGAATCGCCGACTATGAAGCTACACATTACCGAGTTGGACGGACGGGACAAGCAAGGACACCTCGTGAATTTGATTGTGCAGCCTTCGCTCTCCGTCTGGGGCGATCCTTCAAGGCCAGTAGAAGAATGGGGCTCGCTTTGGTCTCGAAACATCAGCAACATGAACATGACGGTCGACATGTCCCTCTAAAGGAGATACACGACGAGGCACGGGTAATGGGAAGGGCTGCCGAGCTTAGCTACGAGTGAGTAGAGGGGGCTGTTTTGTTTTGGCTTGTTCCAGTCTTGGTTGGTAGTTCTATGTTTAAAGTGTTCCAAGTTATGCAATTGCAAACCAACCCTTCCGCGCCGGTCAACAGAGTACAGGATATGGCTAGTTGTTGCTTTAGAGACAACTGAAGAGGAAAGTTCAGGAACTGGACCCCCGTTGATGACTTGATTGTGTTGAACCCCCCTATGGTCTCACGTCCTGCGGTCCGACGTTTGCGTTGGGTTAGAACCGTCGCGGTCATCGAGGCAACACCAAGATACTGTCCTCCTCACAAGTACATAACAACAACAACCACAACCGATCCTCCTTTCTCCGGCGAGTGATGACTGGATACATAAATTCAGGCCCACTGAATCGACATTCACCCCGGAGGATCTCCATCCGGTTCCCATCGCCGGGAGAGCGCGAGAAGACGCCAAAACATGGGTGCTTTTGCACGTGTGACAAGGCATGCAGCCTGGAACCGTGGCCCGGAATCCTGAGGGCCATGGTCAGCGCCCAGCTCGGCCAACCATCCTCAGCCGGGCAACTCATGATCATGATTGAAGCCCACCAGCGCGGTAATTACGAACCGTAACCAAGGACGAGTAATTGGTTGCAATGATTATGGCTTTATATTCATCACTCATTCAGTTCGTGAATCCGACCATCCAGGGTATGCACCGCAGCGAAATTGCTTCGATTCCCCATGTTCCCCGCCCCGCCCAAGAGCAAGAAGCCCCCAGCTCGCTAGTGGTTGTACATACAAATCCAGGGTATCTTCACACCATCCACCGTCCCGCGTCAGAACTGCTCAAACGCCACTCCCTACCTCATTCACCCCTCCACGCCAACCTCCCGCCCGCCGCCGCGGTCCTTATCCCACCCCACCAACCCGCTAAACTTCCTCCTCAGCCCCATCCTCTGCAGCAGCGTGGCCTTGGCGCCCTTGCCCGCGGAACTCGCATCCGCATCGGACTGGAACCCGGGCGACATCAGCGACACCGGCAGCGCACACGGCGGCAGCCCGCTCCCCGCCCCCGCACCCCCGTGCTGCTGCTGGTGGTGGTGGTGCAAGTTCAACGGCGCCGGCACCGGTCGCTTCTGCTGCTGCTGCTGCTGCTGCTGTGGCGCTCCGCCATGCGCCAACCCCGCCCCTTGACCCTGCGCCTGCGCTGACGGGGGCGGCGTCTTGTGCAGCGTATTCCGCCCACCCTTCCCATTCCCATTCCCATTACTCCCCGCCGCACCCGCACCCACACCCGAACCCACACCGACCTCCCCCGCCGCCGACACCGCCGCCGAAGACACCCCGACCGTCTCCCAGCTGCGCTGGGTATGGTGTCCGCTCAGATACCCGCTGTCCACCGACCCGCGGCCCGCCCACGCCGCGCCGGCACCCATCCCCACACCCACACCCACACCCACACCCGCCCCTCCCAGAGGCAGGTTCGTGTCGGACAGCGAGGACATGTGCGCCAGCACATCGGGTAGCGGCGGCTGCTGTTGTTGGTGGTGGTAGTGGTGATAGGATCTCGGGGACGCCGACGCCGAGACGGGGGTGGGTGTAGAAGAAGTAGGCGGCGGGGGGATGTGGTGCTCGCGCGCGGCGGCCCACTTGCGGCCCTCGGCGACCTGGTCCTCGAAGCGCCGGGAGCGGGTGCTGCGGATCGAGGCCGTCTCGCCGCTGCCGGCTTCGGAGGAGCGGGCGGAGGTGTGCGTTGGGAGTTGCGGGGGCGGGAGGATCGTGGTGGGGGATACGGGGGAGGTGTCGATGTGCCGGAGGGAGCGCGCGCGGGTGCGTGGTATGCTGCGGTCTGGGTGGCTGATCTCGGTTTCGGGCGGCGTGGCGGTCGGGGCCGAGTAGGCGTCGCGTTGGTATGGCTCGCGGTTCTTGGGGATTTGGAGGTTGTTGAGCTGTGGGCGGGAGTTGGAGCGCCGGTGGTGGGGGATGTGGGCGGTTGCGTACTGTGTTGGGTGTTGTGGTTCGGGCGATGCCGTGGTGGTCGAGTTTCGGGTCTCGGGATCTTGGACCTCATGTTCGTCGATCCTCCGCATGGTGGTGTCCACGCTCCGGTCACGGACTGACCGTGGCCCCGTCCTGCGGCCCCGACGCCCTGGAGTGCTGAACGGCATGTCTGGGTTCTGGTCTGGGGAGCTGTCGCTGGCGGGTGACAGGGGACCTTTCTGGACTGGCAGCTCCGGCAACAAATCGACGCCTGCCGTCAATCCCGCCTCACTCCTGCTTCGATGAACGCTACCTCGGTGGTGCATGTCGGGGCTGGAAGGCAGCCCGACAACGCCGATAGTTCGCGGGATATCGATCGAGTTCTTTGGGCGCGATTGGGGACGCCCGTTGAAGGATTTTTGGTGGTCCTCCCTTTGCCCCTCAAAATCCGTTCTCAGCGGCAACGAAACTTCGCTCCGGCCATGTCGCATGGATAAGGGCAAAGGAGGCGGGGGCGCAATGTCGGCCGATATCGATCTTTGGTGTGAACTGGCCTGAGGCGTCCGACTCCGCCGCCTCCCCATGGCCTCTCGGTCGGTCATCCTCTTCCCCCTGTTGGCAACCCTGGGGCGGCGGGCCGAAAAAGAGCTTGAAGACTCTGAATCGGACGATTCCGGGGCCATCTCGCGTCTTGACCTCTGCTTGCGCACCGGCCGACGTGCCGGTTGCTCCGGGTCCCTGTCGGAACCGGCTGTCCTGGGCGCCCTGCCCCTCGAGGCTGCGCTCCGCCGAGCAGAACTCCGCGCTCGGGACCGCTCGGGCTCGTCCTCGTCTACCGGCTGCTGGTTTGCCGGTTCGAGAACAAATTGTTGCACGGCAATGGGTCCGTGAAGTGGGCAGGACAGGACGTTGGCTGACAGCTTCCTGAGCTGTTCAACTTTGGATGAGGTGTCCATTGAGCAATACCTGCCCTCCTCGACCGCGATACCGCACTTCAGCCATTGGATGTAGTAGTGCTGCGGGCCATCCTCGCAGCCGGTATACGGCGTGTAGTCGTAGGTGCACATTGTGAGGAGCAATGGCGGATCTTGTGAAGGCAAGAAGCCCTTTCGTCAAACAGACTGACGATGAAGTTAAGGTGCGGTCATGGCAATGATGGCATGTTGAGGGATCGACAAGGATGTCACCCGCATGGCGGAGGTCAGCAACCCTTATACCGGAGGTTGGTCAACAACGGTGACGGGATCTTGGCAAGAATATGGGCTTGGGACGGTCATTCGAGCGGTGAGAAGTGACGATGGTCCACAGATCATGTTACTACCAAGACTTGGTCCGGCTTGGCTGTGATAGCGATTCCGAATTGCCCTCGTCGCCGTTAATGTTTGGTCGAAGGATCGTGAAATGCATTGTCCCCCGCACATGTCGAGTCGGTCTTGCAGAGTCAAAAATAGCAGTTTCCTCAGCACATCACCCGGTGCAAGGACGCGATTGGCGGTCCGGGGCTGCGATGGCCATCTTGGCAAGCGTGGATTGGTCTGCTTTGGGCCCTCGCTCCGATTACTTGGGTGCCGACCGCTGAAATCGACCCAGATTGGCTTGGCATATGCGTGCTACAGAGCGTTAACGTGCAGCCGGGCGCTTAAAAGTTGCCGTGTGATGTGATGGGGACGGGCATCACCAAACTGAGGAATTTTTGACCCAAAAGAAGTCCACCTGGAAGTTCCGTCGATCCGAGGAACGAATTGGCCGTGGAGAAATATCGATAGTCTCGCTAACAATAGGATGAAGGAGAGAAAAACGGCCGAATTCAGGTTCCTCGAGAAATTGGCAAAGCAGAAATCAGCCCACGTTGACGCTTTCGTTCCAATTGACAAGTCGGTTCCCACCACGGGTCTATTTCGAGGTTATGTGACCTCGCTCTGAGAACTGAATGAATGCTTTCAGCTATGTCAAGGTTTCGGACGATGAGTTGGGCTGGTGCAAGCGAAGACGAGACGGAAGGCACGGAAGGCACCTTGGAAGCGAGAATGCCGCTTAAAGCCACCTCACATGTCCCTTCCCCTTTCAGCAACACACGCAGACCTTTCATCTGGCTGAGAGGTTGAGCCATCTCCCCCCTTAGTGCCTGGCAGGGTGGGCCAAAGCAACGCATCTCTCAGCAGTGAGACTCGGAGAAATTCCAAGAACATCAATGGAAGGGGGTCACCATGTGGCAGCGGCTCTGTTGGTGATACAAACCAGCGAGTTGGGTCCCGAGTCCTTGTCGCGCGCTTCGGAATCCGGCTGTGTCTTTAGAAGTCTAGACCATTGCGCCGGCCATGACATGCATGCTGCATCCTCGGCCACTAGGAGGGACCCAGAAGTCGGCCGTTACCGCCTGCAGATTTGCTGTGCCACTTGTTAAGCATGTTTCCCAGAGTCGACACAGCCAACCATCAGCTCCACCGCCCCAAAGAAGCCCAACACAAAAGTACCTGCATGATTTTGTCTCACTCAGAGGTGCTTGACCTCCATCCTTTGAGCAGTAAAAGTTTTTGCATCAGAGTCAGGCTTCACCATCCCCCTTTCTTGACCCGCCGCAACTCGTTTGTGGAAGCGCTATCCGCGCGTTTACCGGCATTTTCATTAGCTCATGTCGCCCATCTGGTGTCATGTTCGTACTCGGGATGATTCTAGGTGGAAACTCCAAGAAAACCGAGACCGGAAAGAACGAGAAGACCGCCCCCGTTAGAACCAAGAGACAAACCTGTTTAAAGGCAAATTAAATGCACGGTCAGTAAACTCAGAATAGAGAAGTGTTTTCATAAGTAGGTAATATTCAGGCGTTTCGTCTCCTAATTTGGTATATCCGCCCCTGCGAGCACCATCCCCAGACATTCCAACACCCTGATTCAACAAAGACCACCCAAGGGAAGGAGCAAACCACAACTCCTCATGTATCCATCCAAGTCATCCATCATACCAAAAACACAGCTCATGACACATCACACATTACCAACCCCCATCCACCTCTTCACCCACCACCCCCTCACCCACTAACATAGTACCTCCCCTGCGACCGACTCCTCGACCGCCGGCGCTCAGCCGGCGCAGCATAATACGCCGCGGCCGGCCTCACCGGGCCGCCGGCATAATGCTCCTCCACCATAACGGGGCGCGGCGTCGACGAGCGCCTGCGGCTGTGGTGCCTGCTGCCGCTGCGGTGCGACGTGTAGTGGTGGCCGTGGTGGTGGTGGTGGTGATGGCGGCCCGTGGACCGGGACCTCGACCGCGGCGGCACGGTGTCGTCGTACCAGCCCTGGCGGCCGGGGTCGGGCAGGTCGCGCGGTTGTGTGCACGCGCGGATGATCCACCAGAGTAGGAGGATACCGACTACCGTGCCGATGACGATGCCTGCGATGGCGCCGCCGTCGAGGTTCGAGCTGGAGGTTGAGGCGCCGTCGTTGTTGGCCGGGTCCGCGTCGATGATGACGGTCGTGGTGGGTTCTTGGCGGCCGAGTAGGCGGGAGACGGCTTGTGGGAGGGTTGGGGTTGGTGCCATGGTGTTGGCCGGGTGCGGGACGGACAGCCCGTTGCTTGGCCGGAACTCGGCAGGTCGTGGGGGAAACGGAGGGGACTGGGCTTGCAGATCTGTGATCCCGTGGTGATGAACTGTTGGCTAGGGAGTTCCGAGGAGAAACAATCTGATATCATGGGCTAAGGATGGCAAGCCAAGCGGCCTGTGAGAGGGCGACAAGTTCAATTATAGACGGACATGTCTTCAGCAAACAAGTACACGGCGTGCAGACTGCGCGGAACGTCATCACAGGCCTTGCGCGAGCTTGCGCATTTCTTGGAACGGTAAGAAGCTCAAAAACCATCCGGGCCCTCGATGTGACACCGGCAGAAGGTGAAAATGGTTGAAGTCCAACTTCAAGTTTCATTGGATCACAACGATGTAGACTGTTGATCATGACGCCAACGAGGGGCAGGCCATCACGTTTATCCGATCGGAACCCTCAGGACCCCAGGAACGCTTCCGCAACCCGCGGAACCTCGGTCCCTCGCTATTGAGACGTTAGGGAAACGCTCACGGCAATGTTCCTGGCGGACGTTTGATGGAACGCAATTGGGAAACAGGTTGGAAGTTCGGGAGAGTGATTGGCCGAGGAGAGATTTTCAGTGGTGGGTGATCGACCCACCCATGACGTCATCAACCAACCCCACCCCCATCCCACGGTTCATCCCAACCTTCGCTCGTCAGAACACAGGAACAGTTTCAAATGTTTGTTGGCACGTCGATATTTGTGTGTCTGGCATATCCGTAGCTAGATTCGGTGAAGAAAACAATCGCCTCAAGATCTCGCATACTGCAGGCCTCCGAGGCGGTGTTCATGCAGACACTGTTTAGATTAAGCGAAAAACGTTCATCGTGGCGACTTCACAACAAACCGAGGAGCAGAGGCCAGCCAAGCACGAAAAGAGGCCAGCAAATGGTCTCCAAGGCGCTGGAATGCCGTGAATGCTCACATTAATGAGGGCCCGGGTCTGCACTTACCACGCGGATTGGTGGGGTTCGGGGCTGCCTCAACTGGTCAACCCACTGGAAGCTGAGCCAAGAGGGTCTGCTACAAATCAGACATCAGGAAAAAAAAGTTGGGAAATCCACCCAGTGCCCTTGTGACGCAACCTCCAACACCCAGCCACAGCACTGCATCGGACTGCCCGAATTGAGGCCATCGATCCATCAAGTCACGCTCAATTACTGTAGATAATACTATACAAATCGATCTTCCAAACCATGAAGCTGCCAACCCACTCTGAAGTTCACACTAAACAATCCAATCCCCAATATCCCTGAAATTGTCGATCACCAACCAAAAACACCACAAGGCACAGAACATCCAATCCATACAATTCACAATGTCCGATCGCCGCGGCAGACGACGCAGCGATTACGACAACCGCGATTACTACGATGACCGCGAGTATTATGATGACGGCGGCCACTACGGCAACCGGGACTCCTATGATGACTACGAGCCCCGTCCTCATCACCCTCCCCGTCCTAAGCCGACCCGCCAACGCTCTCTCGGCCGCCAAGCTCTCGACAAGCTCCAAAGTGCGATAGGGGGGCTCGTTTTGGACGACAAGCCCAACACCCGCCGCCCTCGCTCCCGTTCCCGATCTCGGTCCAGCTCACGTTCGCGCTCCTCCTCAAGAAGAAGACACCATTCCCGTTCCCCTCCAAGAAGAAGTCACCACGCCCGTTCGGGCCGGGACCACTCACGGGATCGCTCGCGTGACCGCGGCGCAGACCGCTATTACCCACCGTCCGCATCGCGGCACCACCACAGCTCCTCACCGAGACAGCCGCGGCACCATTCCCGCGGCCGCCGCAATAGCACCTCCGGTGATGGCCACCCGCCGGCGTCAGAACGGAGCCGCAGCCGCTGGCAGCGGGGCATCAAAGCGGCCATGGAAGCCGGCGCGGCCGAAGCCTTCCGGCTGCGCAAGGAGCCCGGCGCGTGGACGGGGGCCAAGGGCGGCCGCATTGCCACCGCCGCGCTCAGCGCCGGCGTCATTCGGGGTGCGGCCGATCATAGGAAGGACGAGGAACCTACGAGTAGCGGGAAGCTCGGGTCTCTTGCGTCGGCGGCCGGGGGGATGATGGTCAACCGGCTGGTTAACGGGTCGAGGAAAGAGGTTAGGAGGTGATCACATATTTGGGCACGGTTCACGACATGGTTGATGATACGAGATATGGCATTTCCTTCGTAAAAGGACGTTGATGATACTCCTGGAATTAGTTATAGCGAGCTGGATTTAAACATGCAGAGTTGGAAGCGAGTTGGAAGCGCTCCTAGATAAGACCGTTGGCATAATTACAATACTTTTCTTTCTCACTTGCCCAATTCCACATCCCTCGCTCTCGCCCCAAACTCTTTTCACCATGGTGAAGTCCGGAATAGTGCCGTATGGCATCCCTGCAGGGTTGTGTGGCGAACGTGCTGCGGCTTGGAAAGGGGGCGGCGGTTGCGTCATACCCACCATCAGGGACAGCCGTGTAAGTCAAGAGCAGCAACACGACCAACCACAACAAACCACCTCTTTGAGATGGAGTGGAGGCCTACGGTGCAGATGGAATTGGATGGACAGAACACCGGCAAGAGTTCGTTTGACAAAGCCCAAGGTGACGTACCATGATATCATTACCGTGCTGTAACAGGTTGCCGGGCTGGGGATTCGCTTCACAATGTCTATATCAACGGCGAACGTCGTCCTCACCATCACCACCACACTTGGATATAACAACCTCTCCATACCAGTACAGCCTTCTTCCATACATACTACTTGAACCAACCCACAAACACAATACCCAAACCACACAACCAAACCACCACCACAACAATGTACCACAACACAACCCCCCAAGAGCGCGGCATCCGCAACCCCAACCACCCATCCACCGCCGCCGCCCCCCCACCACCATCCGGCACAACCTACGGGCAATCCCCGGCCTCGGGCCCCGCACCCACCACCGCCGGCCACCACAAGCACGACGCGCTCAACAAGCTGGACCCGCGCATCGACAGCACCCACGACCACCAATCCATGCCCACCACCACCAGTGGCAAGATCCCCGAGGGCACGTACGGCCCGCACCGCTCGCGCGTGGCCAACGCCCTGGACCCGCGCGTCGACTCCGACCTGGACAGCGGGCGCGCCGGGGCCGGGACGGGGCCCGGCGGCGGGTTGGGCGGCGGGCAAGCGCAGCCGACTGCCGCGACGGCGACGGGGATGGGCATGGGAGCAGCGGGGGGAGGAGGGGGGATGATGCACGGTGGTGCGGTGGCGCCGCCGCAGGGCCCGGGCCAGGGCCGGGTGGCGGCGGAGGGCACGTACGGGCCGCACCACTCGCGCGTGGCCAACGCGGCGGATCCGCGGGTGGATTCGGATCGGGATCGGCACCTTGGTAGCGGCGGCGGCGGCGGCGGCGGGATGATGGGCGGTACGGCCGGCGCGGCGCCGGTTGCGGGCCACTATCAGGGCGGCGGTGCGACACATGCGGGCATGACGGGCCCTGGTGGTGCTGCGGGCGTGTCGGCGCCGCATACCACGGGTCCGCACAAGTCGGATCTGTTAAACAAGCTTGATCCGCGGGTTGATAGCAAGACTGGGACTTATAAGGATACGGCTGGGACGCGGGGCGCGTATTAAGCTTGTGTGGATGGGTAGAGGAGGGAGGTCTGGCAGGGGGTGTAAGGATATGATACCAGACTGTCATTTTTATTTTTTATTTTGAACATGTATTTGTTACATGGTAATGGGATGTCATCGAGTTTGCGTCAAATCCAACTACGGGATGCGGTGCAGATTGACGAAATGTGATGAAACAAGGATTGAGAGTACGTGCCTTGCACTTCCTCATGACGACCAAGGCGCGAGAATAGACATAAACGCAAAGAATTCAGAGAGGTATCGACCTAAGTACCGAACCAGCCATACCACGAAACATGGGAAAACCTATAACTCCCTACAATAATAACAGAAAAGGGCAATGAGCCAGAGAATCGTGCGTAGCGTCTGCCTCCCCCATCTACCGTAAACAACCCCAAACAAACTCCGGAACCCCCAATGCATCACACCGGCTGCCTAAAAGGCCTCCCTGACGACGTCTTCCTTGCCGAGCTTGTACCGTCCGCTCGCCGGCGTTCCGATCCGCCCCTCAGTTCGGCGCCCGGCAACGCCAAATTCCCCAGCAATGCTCTCCCGCGTGGGCCGCTTCAGACGGGCATGGTTGACCATGTTGACTTCATGCGGTAGGGCGACAATGACGTTCTTGTCAGTGCCAAACTTGAAGTCGTCCGCCTTGACATCATCCGTATACCGCTTGATTAGGTACGGCGCCTTGCGACCGGTCAGGACTTTCTTAAGGCTCCACTCGACGATGTACGGGCCCGACGCGGTGATGATGCTGGTTTCCTCGGCGCCCTCGCCGGTGTTGAACTTGGCCGGCGTGAAGCTCACACCCTTTCCGGTCTCGTGGGCGAACTGCGCGACGTGCTCGGGGTTGAGAGCTAGACGGCGGGGTTGCGGCTTGTCGTCGGCGGCGAACGGCTTCTCGAAACCTAGCTTGCCCTCGTTCTTGCCCGACTTCTGCAGCGCGTCGACGAGGAGGAGGTAGGTACGGCACGTCGCAAGAACCCAGCGGCCGTCTGCCGAGACATCGAGGCCAATGATGGGTTCACCCAGAGCAGGAATGTGCGTCTTGGCATTGATACCCAGACGGTCGAAGAGCCGGACGTCACCCTTGTTCGACGCCACAGCGACGTATCCCTTTTCGGTCGTCGCAACTGCGGAGAAATCGTTTTTGCTCGTGTACTGCTTGAGTTGGGCGTCAACCAGCTTGCTGCCGGACAGGCGAGGATCCACCCGGTAAAGGGCGTTTCTGCTGATGCCGAGGAATGTTGGCTCGTGTGTCATTTGGGCGAATTTGTTCTCGGGCGCAAATGTCACGACAGGGATGTCTTCGTGTACTGTCCACTCGTCCACGACCTTGCCGTACTCGAGATCCATGCGGTACAGCTTGTTGGGATCCGAGTCCTTTTGTAGGATAAGGTTTCGGTCCTCATTGTGCAGCATGACCTTCTTCGGGGAGAACAGCTCGCCCTTGGGCGTCTCGACCTTCGAGATGTTGGTGCTGAACTCGAGGTGATTGTTGGGCGTGTGTTTAAACACGCCAATCTTGGAGCCGCGAACGACGAATGAGCGGTCATGCTTGTAGCCGACGGCAAGTTGCTTGTTGACATCGCTGTCCTTGGGCTTGTACTCGACATCATCTTCGTCTTCGTCGCTGTCGTAATGTTCGCTTCGCGCCCGGTCATTTTCCTCTTCCTCTTCTTCAACCTGCTCCAACTGCTCCTCCTCCTCTTCTTCGGGGCGGTCCGAATCCTCCATTGTCAGGTCGTTGAAGGCGTCCGCGACATAATCCCGGTCCTTGTCCTTGACCTTGGACCACTTCATTTCGTTCAGCTGCTCCCACAAAGCCTGCAAGAGACCTTCCTGGAAGCGCTCGAGAGTGGCCTGGTCCTTGAACCGGAGAAGCCAGGAGTAGGCCGAGCCATCGTCGGAAAACTGGTTAAAGATGAAGGACAGGAACTCGAAGTTGAAGACAGGGTTGATGTCGGCGACCACTGGGATGCCAAGCCAATCCCGATCCGCGCTCTTGACCTGGAGCCAGTATTGCCAATCGCCAGTTTCTGTTACCGTCGCGGTTACTGATGCATCCTGTTGAACGAAGGCACCTGAAGGGAAGTCGAAGAAGTGGAGCTCGGCAACTTCTGCTGCCAGCATCTCGCGAGCCTCTGGGTGCGCCGAGACGGCGGGAGGCCCCATGTCCTTTGCTTTACCCTTCTTCGTCGGTGTGACGTCGGGGTCAGCGATCTTCTCGCGCTTGACACCCGTGTTGGCGGAGGGGTTGCCGAGCACCATGGAATCGGAGGATTCGATCGACCTCGCAGTTGTCGGGCTGTGGAGAGGGCTAGCCTGTGGGATGGGCTGCTCGTCGAACTCGAATTGTTGGAGGTCTTCCTCCGAGGCGGTGGTATACGATTTCCGATACTTGCGCTCGTACTGGCACTGCTTTGAGACTTGCTCGAACTGCTCTACCTGCGCGGGCAAGATGGCGGGGTCGCAAACAAACTCGTAGACGTCGCCCGCATCCCCGCTCAAGTCCCGCCAAGCCAGAACCCGTTCGCTGCCTTCCCGGTTCTCGACGCGAAAGTGGAGGGCCTCGTCAAGCAGAAATGTCTTCTCGTCCCGTTCCCCTGCAAGAATATCCGCATCGGCCTCGGCATCTTCGCCCTCCTCTTCGGCAAGTAACTCAGCCTCGCCCTCTTCGAAGACACGTTGTACGACGAGTTGATACTGGAACTCCTGCGCCGTGCGTCGGATTCGGGCGGATGCGTCTTTGAAGATGAGTTCGGAGTAGCCTTTGGGCGAAAGCGGTCGAACGAGGTATAGTTGACCTTGTGGTAACTCAATCATCGATTCCTGGTTGCTGGAGCCGAAGAGGAGCTTCCCGACTAGACAAAATGTTAGTTTCGCTGTAGCTGTATTTAGAAAGTCAGGCAGCGGTGGAACTCTGCCGATTGTCGGCGAGACAATTCGACCACCATGAGGCCGATGATGATCGTCGCGGCCGGAGGGTCCTGAGAAGGCGGGGCAGAGGGCTGACTTACCATTCCTGAGCATAAACATGGCGCTGAAGTGTCGTAAAAAGTGGGAATCGTGGTTGATGGTAGTCAAAATGGGGGAAGAAAGTTGCAGAGATAAATAATTAGGAGGATGAGGGAAGGCTTTCGCTCTCACCTGTCCCTGGTTCGCCGTTCCGACAGCACGGCACGACACTGAGGGAGAATCTGGCTTTGTGCAACCGAATGTGAAAGCTGCGTCATAACAATTCACGTTCAAAAAATGACCGGACAACTGAATGGAGGGGAACCAGGCTCCACGTGGCGAAGGAGTCTGTGGCGGTGCATACCAGCCAATCGCCACAGCGGCAGAGGTGGGGTAAGACGCCACAGCCCAAGGCAACCGCCCCGCAGTCCCAGCATGTTCTGGCCCAATTGGTTGAAACTGTTTCATCACATGCTTGGGATTCTTGGCTTCTGACCTTGAAGCCTCAGTTCTGGAGTTATTTGGAACATCAGTTCGAATTAACCTGTATTTGCGCCCAATTCTCACACAAAAGCCACCTATCATCGCTCATAACTTAGTTACGTTTCGACCAACTCGCTCAAAGAAAGCAATGCCGCCCCGTTTCTCTAGCCTAAGATGGCCTGCTTGTCCTCCCACGCTAGGCCATCCCTGGACTTGACCGTGGCGATACCCTGCATCATCTCATCGACGATGAGGCGTGCAACGTTCTTCCCCATCAGGGCGTTTGTCTCCATGGTAGAGATGAAGCTCTCCATGCCTGACGTGTAATAAACCCCTGAGCCGACGATGGGATCCTGGAAGGTAACCCGAGGAGTCGCCTTGGGATATGAGTTGAAGACATGCGGGGTGTACCATGTGATGGGACTGTCGGCGCCGGTGAAGTCCGATGGAACTGTGCTACCGAGCAATCGGCTTCAACGTACGAATCAGCTAGGCTGCCAAAGGATAAAAGTGAAGAATAAGACGAGAGATTAACGACATACCTCAGAAACTCTGGAGTGACAACCTCGGGGGAGAAGATCTTGTAGACGTATTCCTTCTGCTGAGTCTGCGGGTTTGTAGCCTTTCCTAGGATGCTCAAGCTGAAGAAGCCTGCTTTGCCAGCTCCATCGGCACCGGACGTCGGGGTGTCATCATGCGCAAGGGTGGTCAAAACCATGCCGGGAACCTTCTCCGACTCTGGTAGGTCAAAGAACAGAGGGCTAAAGCGGGACGGCGATGTAAAGATGGTGACGTGCAGTTGCACGTAAGTGATCTGTTCGATGGGGGTTTCGAGGACCCCGTCGCCAACGGAAATGCCACTGAACTGGTAGGGGTTTGCCATGATGATATTGTCGAAAGTGGTAGGATGCGTGGTTGGGTCACCCGGCGTACTTCCGGGCGTTGTTTGAACGGTGTACTGCGTCCGGCCGGATGCCCCTCCCGACGTCTTCTCGATACCGACAACGGCTGTGTCAAGAGCGATTAGGACCCCCGACCTCTGTGCCATCTCGTGGAAGATTTGCCAATTGCCGCCCTCGACGGCAATCGCGCCTTCAGCCGCCAAGGAGACCTGCGACGTTAATTAAGGAATGGCCCTCAAAGGGGGGATTTATAGACATACCATGGTGGTGAGCCCGTGGAGGTTGGCGAGGTTCGAGGCATAGTTGACGCGCGTGCTCGCTTGGATGAGATCGTGCGAATAATGGGCACCAACCTGTGCCGTCAGCGGTGGATTCATTTTCGTTGCCCGAATAACTTACATTATTTGCGTCAAGGTACTCCTCTCCGGTGACCCCTGTTACCTCAACGAGCTCAAGCTCCTGGACTCGCTGGGTAAGCGACGGAAACGGGAAGAACGGTGGCTCGTAGAGGTTAAGGAACTTGGTGATGGTCGCGGTGGTCAACTGCTGAGCCCTCTGTGGGGCTGTGACTCCATACTGCCAGACGATCTTAAGGGTATTCCACCAGGACGGAGCGCTCTGATCGAGGGTGAAGGCGAAGCGGTCCCCATCCCAGATGCCCATAACGGGGTCGGCATCATCATCCGGCACGCGGGGCGCGAGCTCAAACTCGGACATAGCGTCGTTGAGGATGCTGTTGGCCTGTACGAAGATGCTCGCGCCCTGTTCAACCCGTTGAGCTGGGTCGTCAAACGGGTTAATGGTGCGCGTTCGGCCGCCAATGCGGTCCGTCTTCTCGAAGAGCGTGACGTTCACATGGACGCCGGCCTCAGTAGCAAACTTCTGTAGAAAGTGCGCAGCAGATGAGCCCGCCGCCCCGGCCCCTGAGCACGGTGTTAGTCAACGGCAATGAACGAAACAGAGAAGTGTGCGAAACGGAACTGGAGGTTTCAGAACTAAGAAAGAGCACATACCAATGATGGCGATTTGCCGAATGGATTCATCGGTTGTCTGGGTCAGACCGAGCCCAAGCAGGGTGATGGCTACGGCCGGAAGCCTGATGTTGACCTTCATGGTGGGCAGTGAGGGTCGAGGGAGAGTTGCAGAAGAAGTGCTGGCTCTTCTAGAACTCCGGAACAGGCGGAACTCAGGATGAAGATGAAGAATGGGGCATTTCTCCGAAGGGAGTAAACTGCCGTAGAGCTAGACTTATATACCTCATACAACTGTCAGAACCGACCATAAACACTTCCTCATATTTCAGATTCAGTGTCATTGAGAGCAGTCCCGGGCATTGACAGTGCGCATCGACCACCTCGTGTCTGACGTTGCGACGCTTACGATCGCTGTCACTTACTCATCACAGGGACTGGTTGGTCGCATTCCTGACCGCAGGCTTTCGGGCACGCTGTGACGGATTTGGGTCTCAATAGCGACGAATCGGGGCCTCAATAAGGAAATACATTGATGTAGGCGCCGCATGTTAAATGCAGGATCGCGCCTCTCATTTACATCCCACTCCGTCATAATGTTCTTTCCGCACTGGTCGGCCCGGGGCTGGCCCGAGCTTGAGAGGCGGGGCACCCCGGTTCCGCTAACGCTGCCTAGCTGGCCCCTCGTTTGCTCGCAGCACCGCACAGCAGTGCTTGGCGCCTGGAATGGAAATCCGCGAAAAAAGTTCGAGATCAACGACAGCTCCAGCCCAACCCACCACCTCCGCATTCCCACCATCCACGTACACTCAGACTTGTGTCTTGCCAAGTCACATCTACCATGTCTGCCGCACAACTATTGAACCCGAAGGCCGAGTCGAGGGTACGCTGTCTGCCCGCTTTAGCTTGCCGACTGGGGTGCTAACTGCTGTGTTTACAGAGGCGGGGTGAGGCGTTGCGGGTCAACATCAGCGCCGGCGAGGGCCTGCAAGATGTTCTCAAGTCGAACCTGGGCCCGCTGGGGACCATAAAAATGTGCGTTACAATTTTGCGTATTCGGTTCTGTCTGATTTGGCTAACTGGAGATGCAGGTTGGTCGATGGTGCTGGCCAGGTACGAATCGATGCGAAAACGGTGAACGACGACGGTCCAGCTGACGGCATCGCGTAGATCAAACTGACCAAGGATGGCAATGTCCTCCTCCGCGAGATGCAAATACAAAACCCCACTGCCGTCATGATCGCGCGGGCGGCGACAGCACAGGACGACATTTGCGGCGATGGCACAACATCAGTCGTGTTGCTGGTGGGAGAGCTCCTGAAGCAGGCCGACCGCTACATCCAGGAGGGGCTCCACCCACGCATCATCACCGACGGCTTCGAAATTGCAAAGACAGAGGCGCTGAAGGTGGGTCGCTTTTTATCGTACCTGGAACTACTTGCTGACTTGCGCAGTTCCTCGACGAGTTCAAGCTAGCCCGCGAAGTCGACCGCGAGCTCCTATTGTCCGTTGCCAGGACTTCCCTTGCCACCAAGCTCAGCGCCAGCCTTGCCCAAAGCCTGACCCCCGATATCGTCGATGCCGTTCTCTCCATCTACCAGGCGCCGGAGAAGCCCGACCTGCACATGGTGGAAATCATGAAGATGCAACACCGGACCGCGGCCGACACCCAACTCATCCGTGGTCTTGCCCTCGACCACGGGGCTAGACACCCCGATATGCCCAAGAGGGTGGAGAACGCTTACATTTTGACTCTCAACGTCAGCTTAGAGTACGAAAAGTCTGAGATTAACTCCAGCTTCTTCTACTCTAGCGCCGAGCAGCGGGACAAGCTCGTAGAGAGCGAGCGTCTCTTCGTTGACGCCAAGTTGAAGAAGATTGTGGAGCTGAAGAAGGAGGTGTGCGGCAACGATCCGAAGAAGAACTTTGTCATCATCAACCAAAAGGGCATTGACCCTCTGTCTCTGGATGTGTTGGCCAAGAATGGCATCTTGGCGTTGAGGAGGGCGAAGCGGAGAAACATGGAGAGGCTACAGCTTGTCTGCGGTGGCGTGGCCCAGAACAGCGCGGATGACATGTCCCCGGATATTCTTGGTTGGGCTGGTCTCGTGTATGAGCAGCAGCTTGGCGAGGAGAAGTTCACCTTCGTCGAGGACGTGAAGCAGCCTAAGTCGGTGACGCTTCTGATCAAGGGCCCCAACCAGCACACCATCGCCCAGGTGACGGATGCGGTCCGTGACGGCCTGCGCAGCGTTTACAACATGATCGTCGACAAGAGCGTTGTCCCTGGAGCCGGTGCTTTCCAGGTTGCCTGCGCCTCGCACCTGAAGAGCGATGCTTTCGCCAAGACGGTGAAGGGCAAGGCTAAGTGGGGTGTTGAGGCTTTTGCGGATGCTCTCCTCGTCATCCCGAAGACGCTTGCGGCTAACGCTGGTCTTGACGTCCAAGATGCTAGTAAGTGCAAGCCCTCATTTTTTGTGATAACCTTGCTAATGCGTTCCCAGTTGCGACACTTCAGTACGAGCACCGGGATGGAAACGTCGTGGGTCTCGATCTGGCAACCGGCGAGCCCATGGACCCCACGCTGGAGGGTGTCTATGACTCTTTCCGGGTCCTTAGGAACTGTGTTGCGTCTAGCTGCGGCATTGCCTCGAATCTTCTTCTGTGCGACGAGATGCTGAAGGCACGGCAGATGGGGCGGTCAGGCGGACCTGGTCCTGGTATGGATGGCCCGGAGGAATAAGGGGGATTCCATCTACGTCTGTAAGATACCTGCTTAGACAATGCAAGACAATAGACGTGATGTGAGCCAAATGTCAGATTTCATACGGCTGTACCGTGCGGTCAAGCTCGCGGCCACCCTTATCGTTGCGCCCCAAACCGAGCCAAGAGGGATGGCGGGGCAAATTGGATTTACCCCGCCAAAATTTTGTCGGCGGTAACTGAGAGCTGCTGCGGCCCGAATATTTCCAACAACGGCGCGACGAAATCAGAATTTGCCGTTATTAATAGACGACATGGCGCCTTATGATAGTGATTCCTCCGGTGGGGAAGAAGAGGATTTTACGGAGACAAATGTGCTTCTTGGATATGCCTCGGCCGACGCCAATGGCGAGGAAATCAGTCGCCTCGGAGGTCATCCCGTGTGTTCTCCTTATTCTTCACTGCTTCGATTACTTCGCTACGTATTTGCTGACATTGTATTCTAGGATTGGTTAGACGCGGACAAGGCACCGTCAGCTGCTCTCGCGAGATGCAAGGTCTGCAAGGATCTGATGGTCCTCATGCTGCAGCTCAACGCCGAGCTCCCAGACCGATTCCCGACCCATGACCGCCGGTTATACGTTTTCGCCTGCAAACGGAAGAGCTGTAGGAGGAAAGATGGAATCATCCGTGGGATCAGGGGGGTTCGCGTCTCCGCTGACGCCGCTACTGCCAGCCCAGATAAGGACATCCAACCAGCAGAACAAAAGGCACCCCCCAAGCCTCCCGCGCAAGGTCTAGGCGATGCCTTGTTCGGCGTGAAGCCGACCACAGCGTCCGGGGCATCGCGCGCCAACCCGTTCGCGACGTCATCCACTGCAGCAACAAACCCGTTCGCCTCCAAGCCAACCTCCACAACGCCAACAAACCCCTTTGCCAAGCAGCAGCCTACCTCCCCCGCCGCCGCCGTTGCTCCGGAGCCATCAAAAACCGAGCTCGACAACGCGACCGCCGACCTCCCCAAAACATTCGCCGAAACCCTCTCCCTCAACAACCCACAAACCACACAAGGCCCACCTCCCCCACCGGAGCCCTGGCCCGAAACCTCAGCCCAACCAGCGCCCTACCCGATCCGCTGGCTGTCCGACGCCGAGTACGAGACGCTCGACCCCATCACCCTGCCCTCCGTCCCCGCCGCGACGACAGCGATGGACGTCGACTCGGCAGAGGGGTCCGGTGGCGGCGGCGGCAAGGAAGACAAGGAGGTGTTCGAGTCGAGCATGGACGCGACGTTCCAGAAGTTTGCGGACCGTGTCGGGCAGAACCCGGAGCAGTGCATCCGCTACGAGTTTGCGGGCCAGCCGCTGCTGTATTCCAAGGGGGATGCGGTGGGGAAGCTGCTGCATGTCAGTGAGAAGGAGAAGGTGGCGACGAGCAAAGGTTTGCCGCGGTGTGCGAACTGTGGCGCAGGGCGGGTGTTTGAGGTGCAGCTGACGCCGCAGGCGATTCAGGAGTTGGAGTGTGAGGAGGATGGGTTGGATGGTATGGACTGGGGGACTGTTATTGTGGGTGTTTGCGAGAGGGACTGTCAGGAGAGGGGCGTGAAGACGGGGGAGGCGGGGTATGTGGAGGAGTGGGTTGGTGTGCAGTGGGAGGAGCTGACGATGAAGAGGTAGAGTCATGTACGCAGAACAGGATAGCAGCAGGTGTGCGGGGCTTGATAGTCATGTCATGTCTTCGTGTTGGCATCTGCACCTTGCAATGAGGCTATGATCTAAAACATAGAACCCATGGTAATCCAGATAGACACCCACCCCCCAACTACCCATCCGCGGCGTGACCATGCCGCCGCAACCCTTTAACGCCGAAGCTTTTGCCACCAGATGCAAGAAGAGACAGCCACTGAAGAAAAGCGGCGTAACGTTTCCGTCGTCAAAATTATAATGAACCATTTCCGGGCACAAGGCAACGGAACTACGCGCTGTCCTCCCACGACCGCTTGATGACCCGGCTGAACATATCAACCGACACGTCCTCGCGGATCTCCGTCTTCTTAGCCTCGTTGTCGGCGTTCTTGGGAACCTGCACGACACCGTCCTCGCCGACCTTCCAGCCGCACGTCTCGACGACGAACTTGGTGGCCTCCTCCTCGCTGTCCAGCCCCAGGTAGCCCTCGAGCACGCTGGGCTGCACCTCACGGTACGCCTGGCCGAGCAGCTGGGAGATGCGCACCCGGATCATCTCCTCGAACCCGGCGATGTCGGTCGTCAGGTCCGCGTAGATGTCGTCGCTGTCGAGCGTCGCCCAGAAGCGCGCGTACTGCGCCCCCTCGAGCTGCGCGTTGAGCGCCCGCAGCTTCGACACGGCCTCGGCGAGGTCCGATGTCGAGTTGGGCCCCGGGTTGGAGTGTGACGGGGACAGCAGGTGGAGGGAGAGGTCGAACTGGGGGGAGGGGAATTGTGTCATGGCCTTGACCAGGATGTTGGTGATCACTTCATCCTTGATCCGGTCCGGGTTGAGCTGGTAGCTTGACGCGAGCTGGTTAGCACGGCTTGCCTTGCGCGTACGGGTGGTAGTAAACAAAGCGACGAATGATTCCTCAAATCAGAAAACACTAAAGGTTGACCTCATCGGCGGCGGGCGGGTTAGGCCCAGCCGTAGTCAGGCTAATAGGAAACGTTGATTGGACATCATGAAGAGGAGAGCGAGAAGTTGAAATTAGGGTGGGCCAAACTCACAGCTTGAGCAGCGCCCGGTTGGCATTCGAGTCGCAGAACTTCTCCTCACATTGCTGCTGTAGATAGGCCTCGAGGACCTCGGCCGCCTGTGGGTTGTACCGCTCGAGCCCGTTAATTATGCTGCGGATCTGCTCCGGCCGCTCTTGGGGGTCTTCGCCGTTCATGGTGGGCGAAGTTGTGTTTTGACGTCGCGGGGTTGCAGGAGGAAAATTCGGTCCTCGGAGTTTTAGGTCCAACCCTTCCTGGTGGGGCCCAGATTTGGTTTTGTGTGTGCCGGACTCGGTTAGTGCAGAGGCGGGGCCTGAGCTCAGTGGGTCATGTGCTTCCGCGGCGAGCTCGTGGGCCGGGAACGCGCGCAAGCCCAGCATTCCTCGACAACGTCATCGACGATTCGCGACAAGCAGAAGAGACAGATCGTCAACAACACCCGCTTCAAAATTTCAACAGATTCTATAATGATGGAATGAAGACTATCTTAGACCCCTCAACGCTTTTAATCTTAGACTTTATGGCGAACCCGAGGCACCATCTACAAGGCCACATTAACCCAACATGTCGAGCCCGGCAAAGAAACGGAAGCTCAATTCGGGGGCTAAGCAGAAATCCGCACCCGTCAAGGGACTAGAGTACTTCTTTGCGAAACAGAGACAGAATGGCTCCTCATCCAACACCCCATCGAGCCAAGAGAGCCCGGCTCCACCGAGCCAACCGAGCGACCTCGATGGCTCTTTGACGGATGAGGAGCTTGCGAAGAAGCTTCAAGCCGAGTGGGATGCTGAAGTCAGGGGCAGTTCGGGCCAAAATACTCCGCGACCCCAAGACCAGAGTCCCGATGTTGCTGTTGCTGATGCTGAACCCTCGACATCGGAGACACGCACTTCTGTAGAACCAAGCCCACCACCCTCTTCAACCCCAGCCCTTCAAGCCGTGAAACCTACAAATACATTGTCCCTTTCTTCAGCTGCCGCCACTGCAGACCAAATAACGGCCGCTATTCCATTAGATGAAAACCCACTGACCTTCGACCCAACTACGTACATTCCACAACTACAAGAGATTTGGGCCGCTGAGGGTGGCGATGCCTCCTATGCGTTGCTCACGCGATGCTTTGTGTTAGTCAATGGTACCCAGAGCCGGATCAAGATCGTCGACACTCTCGTCAACTGCATCCGGCTGCTTATCGGGGGAGATCCCGCCAGTTTACTGCCCGCGGTCTGGCTGGCAACAAACGCCATATCGCCACCATACATCTCAATGGAGCTTGGGCTCGGCGGCGCTGCGATCTCCAAAGCGCTCAAACAAGCTTGTGGGCTGGACCAAAGGGCACTTAAAGCGCTCTACGACAAGCTTGGCGATCCAGGGGACGTGGCATTCGAGGCCAAAAAGAAGCAAAGCTTCACACTTCGGAAACCGAAGCCCCTGACCATCAGAGGGGTTTTCCAGTCGTTAGTCAAGATTGCGACCGCTCAAGGTCAGGGCAGCGGCGATGTCAAACAGCGGTTTGTGGATAGACTGTTGCAAGATGCACGGGGAGGGGAGGAGAGCCGGTACATTGTCAGAACACTCTGCCAACATGTAAGTTGCATGCAAGTTCTAATCAAGTGCTCTATCCACAATACTTACCATTCCGTAGCTCCGGATCGGCGCCGTGAAGACAACGATGCTTATTGCCCTCTCACGAGCATTCCTGCTGTCCAAACCACCCAACGCAGCCTTCGCCACACGGGATGTGCAGGAGCTAGCTAAGCTCAAGAAGGAGGAGCTGGCCGAAATATGGGCTAGGGGTGAAGAACTCGTGAAAGCTTCCTACGCGCGGCATCCCGATTACAACGACCTCATACCTGTCCTACTTGAGATCGGCATATCTGAGGAGCTTCTTGTCCGGTGCGGACTCACAATACACATCCCCCTGCGGCCAATGTTGGGGAGTATCACTCGCGACCTCTCTGAGATGCTCACCAAACTTCAAGGGCGCGATTTTGCTTGCGAGTACAAGTACGACGGACAACGGGCGCAGGTCCACTGCGACCCCAAGGGCAAAGTGTCGATCTTCTCGAGACATCTCGAACTCATGACGGACAAGTACCCGGACCTGGTGGCCCTGGTTCCCAAGATCCGGGGCGACGGCGTTGAGAGCTTCATAATGGAGGGCGAGGTGGTGGCTGTTGACCGTGCCACCGGCGAGTTGAAGAACTTCCAGACACTCACAAACCGCGCTCGGAAAGATGTCAGCATCGGGGCTATCTCCATCGACGTGTGCCTCTTCGCCTTTGACCTGATGTACCTCAACGGCGAATCACTCCTCGATCAGCCCTTCCGACGGCGGCGGGATCTGTTGCGGTCTCTCTTTGTGGAAATACCCCGCCACTTCACCTGGGTCAAAAGCCTGGACGCCACATCCCAGGACTCCGAACCCGTCCTCGAGTTCTTCAAATCCGCCCTCGACAGCAAATGCGAAGGCATCATGGTCAAAACCCTCGACAACCTACCCAACCTTGAGTACCGCGGCGACGAACCCGACCAACCATCCGAGGAGCCATCCGACACAAAGCCCACATCAAAGAAAACCACCAAACCAAAACGACCCAAAACCACCACCCCCACCACAACAACAACATCAACCACACCGACAACCTCACCCCCCAAAACCCGCCGCAAACCCCTCCTCGCCACCTACGAGCCCGACAAGCGCCTCGACTCCTGGCTCAAAGTCAAAAAGGACTACGCCGCGACGTCAGACACGCTCGACCTCGTCCCGATCGCCGGCTGGCACGGGCAAGGGCGCAAGGCAGCGTGGTGGTCGCCCATCCTGCTCGCGGTGCGCAACGACGAGACGGGCTGCCTCGAGGCGGTGTGCAAGTGCATGTCGGGGTTTACGGACGTGTTTTATAAGGCGAATCGGGCGTTTTATGATGATGGGAGTGGGGGTGGGGGTGGTGGTGGTGGTGGTGGTGGTGAGGGTGATGGGGAAGGGGAGGAGGAAGGAAAGGGGGAAGGTGGTGGGGGGAGGACGAATACGCTCGCGCGCAAGCCGGGGTTTGTGGACTACGACGGCCCGGCGCCAGATGTGTGGTTTGAGCCACAGGAGGTGTGGGAGGTGGCGTTTGCGGATGTCACGGTCAGTCCGACGTACACGGCGGCGATTGGGCTGGTCAAGGAGGATCGCGGGTTGAGTTTGCGGTTTCCGAGGTTTTTGAGGAAGAGGGAGGATAAGGGGGTGGAGGAGGCCAGCACGAGCGGGTTCTTGGCGGGATTGTGGAGGAAGCAGGAGGCGAAGGCGCCTGGGGTGGGGGAGAAGAAGACCGGGGATGGTGTGCAGGAGGGGGAGGAGGACGATGTCATGGAGGAATGATGGCCATTGTTCTTAGTGACTGTTTATTCTGGTTACTCGTGACAGATCTACCAACTCCTCCTACGCCTACTCCTTCCACGCCCGGTACACGATGCGGCAGCCGTACTTCTCGCCCTTCTTGAGCAGCATCTGGCTCTTCCACTCATCAACGTTGCACGCGTTAACCCAGCGGCTGGGTTCAACGCAAAAGCCGCTACGGGCGCCGCGTGCGGCCTTGCCCTGCACCTCGGGTACGCTGATGTACTTGCCAGTGTAAAACTGGAACGCCGGCTCCGTGCTGAGCACCTCAAGGTTGATCTTGGATTCGGGGTGGTTGGCGCTGACCAACTTGGTGAGCGGCTTTGAGCGGGTGTCGAGCGGAACCGTGTTGGGCGCCTCGTTGACGATGAAGCAGTCGTCGATATCTGGCTCTTGGGGACCGAGGGTGAACGCCTTGTTGCCCTCGATCTTGCTAAACGGCTTGGGGCCGCTGGTGGGGATGCCGCCGTCGTCGACGGGGAGGTAGCTGTTGGTGGCGAGGGTCACGACGGTGCCCTCAATTGAGGGGCCGCCGGTGAGGTTGAAGTAGCTGGTCTGTGTCAGTTTACCAATCCTCCAAGCCGTATCCTAATCTCGGAAACCTACGAGTGGTTTGTCATGTTAATGACCGTCTCGTCCGCCCCACCAACGAGCTCGGCCTCGTACTCAATACCGAGTACGACAACATCCTTCCCGTCCTGCACCTGCTTGCCGACGGTGTACACCACAGTGGCCTCCACGGTGCCGGGGAAACCCTCATCCCCATCCTGGCTCACCAGCGAAAACTTGACGCTCTCGCCACCCTCGACGCACTCAACACCGGGGATCTGCCTCACGCCGATAGGAGTGGGCCCGTTCCAGATCTTCTTGCCCCATCCCACCACGCCGCCGTGCAGGTTGTTCGGCCCGTTGTTGGCAGCGAGGGTGTAGCTCTTGCCGCCGTTCAAAGAGTCAAGCTTGGCGCCCTTGACGCGGTTCGCCACGCGGCCAATGGTCTCGCCGAAGAAGGGGTCGTTGTAGCTCTCGTAGTGCGATTGCTCCGGGAAGCCCTGCACGATGTTGACGCCGCCCACGCGGAGCTCCTGGATGATGGCGCCGAGAGGCAGAAAGCTGACGGGTCCGACGGACATTTTGGCGACAGTTGGTTTGTTGTTTGTAGGTAGTTTGCTGGTGGATGGTGTATGGTTCTGAGGAGTGCGAGTGCGGGGAGTGAATGATGTCAGAGGAGTTGGAGGAATTGGGGGATGGAGGGGTTGGTTTTAGTGAGGTTTGGTTGGCCCTTCTTTAAGATAAGGGCTCAATCCGGGCGCGAGGCATGTGGCATTTCCCGCAAGCTGAGACCGGCCATCTTCGACGCGGGCTCAAGCGGGCAAACGGGAAAACAGGATGAACTCTCCTGTTGCACATGATGCCAGCCTGATTCAGGCTATATTGCGGGATGAAGGAAGTTCCCCTCTTTTGGTGGAGAGCTTGGTGAAGGTCCTCCGCTTGGCGTGGATCCTGAATGCAGAGCCGGAAACCAAGGGTTAGGGTGACTTACACCCAGCTCCCGACACGAGCAAGCAGACTTGAACGCCTCAAGCAATGCCACACATTTCAACCGCCGTCGTAGTTTCCGAACGTCACAGAAGTTCCCGGGCATCGTTATCAGATAGAAGAAAATATACAGATTAACGGCCGTCGGGTGGCGCGAAAACCTAAGCAAAAGCGCGTTAAAGAATGCGTCTCGTAAGAACGTACAGCGAAACCTTACCTAGGAACCAGCTTGTCGCTGCCGGCTGAAAGAAATGGGATTCGTTATTGTGTGCCTTCTCTCTCGCTTCCCCGCTGATTATGGCTCCCACTGAACGTTACTATGAGCTTAATGGCAGAGAGACTTGTTTAGAGCTCTGATTAATTTCTTCTCCGACTAAAGTCTCAGTTTGCTAACAGGTCCTTCACTGCCTAGGTAGATACCACAACATTTCTGAGACTAATACGCAGAAGGGGCTCATGTTTGCCCTGACAATATCAGGGGCACAGTGCTGACTCTTACACTTTTATGTTTCAGTTCTTAACTTATGTCGGAATCCAAACGAACCTTTCCTAGTTTGAGAGGACGAGAGGGCAAAGTGACCGGACAGTAATTATGCCGGAACGGGATATTGATCAATTGTAGAGAAGGGAACGCTCCAAGGAGTTTATTGATTTTTGTGAGCATCCACCTTCGTGTAAAACTGTGCGTTCACAGACTTCAATACCGCACCGTGGTCCGTCACAGCCTCCAGCGAGTACCAGGCGCAAGCTCGCCGCATTGTGGTTGCTCATGATGGTGGGCGGGGAGCGAGGTTTGGCAGTAGGTTGGTTCACTAGGGTTCACTAGCAGAACTCCGCATGATAAATGGTAAAACCCTATTCAACGGAGACCGAAAAGGGACTCTGACAACCATGTTGTCGTGTCTCTCGGTACATGAGCCGCGGTGAAGTTGCGTTCCGTTTTAGGCAAGTGGGGCCCGTACCGCAACCGCCCGAGCACGGAGGTCCGCACCGGCGAGCTCGGCGGCCCCACATCGCCGATGCAGCAGCAGCGGGACATGAAATTGACCATGGGCCAACTGCGGTGTGTGTGGTGACCAAGCCTCGAATCTAGGTACGGAAGTAAAGCTAGTGGGAAGCCCAGAGAAAGTGTATTTAGGTACCCAGTTTCCTCTGTCCCTGCCCCCCCAAACAAGGTACGCCAAGTTGAAGTCGGAGTCTCCGACGCCCCAATACAAGCCGTTGCCCACCACCTTTCCGGTCGCTCACAACTCTTTAACAGGTCAAGAATCCCAGGGCTAGCGGCCCTGGTTTTAGGCGAGGGTTTGAAATGATCAACCTCAGAGAGCGCGTCTGAATCCGGGAGAAGACGGTGGTTTGGGTGGCAGAGCGCGGGACTCGGGCAATAAAACAGCATAGGAACAGCATCCAAAAACCGGAGCAGGGCATTCTTTTGTTGCAGGCGGATGTGGTGGCGCTCAGGAGGGGTTGGTGGGGACCGGTGTCGCCAAACCCGAGTCTGAAGACGACTGAACGAACGGCTTCGAGTGCTGTTGATAAATGGACGGACGGAACGCTGAGGTCCAGCTATATTGGTTTACGGGGTTACATCATACCGGCTGTCTCACTTGCACTCTCGTCAGTTCTTGTGCACCTGATACTTTACCTCGTTCGATGTTTCAACCCAAAACGTGGTTACCGGGTGTTAACATTGCTTCCTCTTTTCTTTCCCATGTAGTTAATAGACGAGCGTTGTCTTCCCCCCCCCTCCCCCTCCCCCTTCACTCGCGAGTGAGCGGTATGAACGGCAATCATTGTATTATCGCGATAATAGGCGTTGAGACACAATGTCCGCGACCAAACTAGCGGCTTCCTTATTCCTCGCCTTAGCGCTTATGTTGTCCCGTAGGTATCGCTGATGCGAGCCTCGCCCAGCCTGTAACGCACCAATCAGGCTAAGGTATCACCCCAAACGGCGACCCCATCGTTGCCTGCCTGCCTGGCTCGCGCTCGTTAACGCCCCCCCCCCGCAAACCTCCAACACCGTGCACACCATCCACCATCCATCCATCCCACAACCACCACCATGCCCTGCAACCCCCCACCCCCCAACACGCGCCAGCCGCACGAACCACTCGCGCACTTCCTCCAGCGCCTGCCCCCCGCCTCAGCCCCCTACACCACCCCGCGCCACCTCCTGCCCCGGTGGTACTGGATCGCCAACCCACACGCCACGGACTCCCCCCAGGCGGCCGACAGCACGGGTGGCGATGTCGCGGCCTTCGCAAGTGCGGGCGCCGCGCTGCTGGCCGAGTTCCGGCAGGCGGCGGCGCTGCAGAGCAATGTGGGGAGGGTGGATGGGTTTAGGGAGGTGCTGGCGCGTGAGATTGGGGTGTTGGCGAAGAGGTATGGTGTTGCTGTGGGGAAGGTATGTTCGTTTCCGTTCGTTTGGCTTTTCCCGACGGGGGTGGAGCTTGGGTTCCTTCCCATGGTTTGGCTTCGGGGTGGGCGAGAGGAGAGGTGCTGATCGTGTGCGGGTTAGTGGATGTTGTTCCCTCGGGAGAGTGAGGTGAATGAGGTGTGGCGGGCGGTGTGTGAGGGCGTGGATGCTGGCCGGCTTGGGGTTGGCGCCAAGGTGTCGACGTCGGGGCTGGAGGGGGACCCGGCGCGGTTGATATGTGTGTATACCAGGGACTTTACTGATGTTGCGGATGTGAGGAGGGTGTTGGATGCGCTGGTGGCGTTGGGGCTCGTGAGAGCGGACATGCCGCAGGGGATCATGTACAAGTGTGATGCGTATACGCATCTGGGGATCTATGAGGGTAATGAGTATGGGCTACGGGCGAGCATGTATGGAAGCAGGGAGATGCTGGCTGGGGGTTGGGGAGGTGGTCTGGGGAAGTGATTTCGGGCTGGGTCATGGCATCACGTCGTTTTGAAGAGTGTTTTGAGTCCTTCACCCCAGTCGGCGTTGGGTTATGCATGAAATTTGTCCCCAGCCAACATACCACAGAACAGTTCAACTACCTAGTAGCCCGAGCTGTTCTCGTCGTCCTCACTCCGACATCAACCTGATCACCCATGTTGCCAAAAAATGTCTTCAAAAATGCAAACAATAGGAATTCCGCGGCAAACGAAGGGGTTAAACACTCCTCAAAAAGAACAACCACTCCTCCCATACTTGGAAGAGGAGGAGCGACGTGTGAAGGGGGCCACCCGGGGATTGAACCCGGGACCTCTCGCAGAACAGTACTCAGGAGTGAACCCTAAGCGAGAATCATACCACTAGACCAGCGGCCCTTGTTTGAGTTGTTGGCGGTAGTTGGTTAGGGCCGTGATAAAGGATTTCGGGGGTTTTGTTGACTCATTCGGCCATGTGGGCGTGGTTGTGGAGCCGGGGCGACGAGAGGGCTTGAGGGCGGGTGGAGTCCTCGCCGAGCTTGCAAGTTCAGGGGTTGCTGATTGTTTTGGTGAACAATAAACTTTTTGGTTCTGAGAACTCGAGGAGCATCCTGGAATTCGACTTGTGGAAGCTTAGGAGAGGACTTGTTCATAACTAAGTCGTTAGCCTTTCCGGAAGTAGCACAGTCAATCCTTTAGATGGGTGCCGAGCGTCCGCTTTTCGCCCGCCCCTTGGCTGGCTGTTGCCGGGTTTCGGGCCCTCACCCCTACCACAAAGACGGCAGGACGGTCAACTCCACTCAACCATCATCCAAACCTTAGCAGCGTCAGTGGTTTAGTGGTAAAATCCATCGTTGCCATCGATGGGCCCCGCGTTCGATTCGCGGCTGACGCATTTTGCTGTCCAGGGTTGCTTGAGCGGCCTTGTGATGTTTTCGTTTTCTTTTTATGAGGTATTATGGGCTGTTATCAATCACGCGGCTGGGAGAGATCGACTCGACGTTTGCGTTGGGGTTGTCCCTCCTTGAGTGTGTTAAGTCAGGGGCGAGTCGGGTCCGGGCCGAAATCGAGTTTCCCCTCATCGAAATAATTAGCGGGGGATGCCCGAAGGTTGACAAAACTTCGCGGAGTAAATATATCGGCGCGTTCGAGAAAGACCAGCTGCAGCGAAAAGGACCCGGCTCTTTCGCCTGCAGGTGGCCATTCTTTACGTTGCGTAGTGACACACTGGGTTTGTCACGTTTGAGGATGCAATTTGCTGAGACACGAAGATCATTGAAGTTGGGCAGTGAGGGCGGGCCTGACACCTGCCTGATGGGGCCCTGCCGCGATGTTCCCGACGGCAACACGACCACACAGGCAGTCGGCGCAGGATTAAATCCGAATAGCGAGTAAAACGCCCACTACCTAGTGATGTTAAGTTCATAACTAAATTATATGCAGCTTAGTGACAACCGTCAATGGATGTAGTGAGTAAGCACATGCATTACTTCGGACTCCCTATTGTGTTTCCGAAACTTGGTGTGCTGCATTTAAGAAGTCCTCGGGCAGGCACAAGCTGAGGTTCAGCGACCACAAATTCCGCAGCAGAATCATTCAACGTCAGCTCCGCCGCCGAATCCGGCTGCATTCTTGCCCAACATTTGCGCACCCAGCCCAAACAAAGTACATCACTACCTACCTAACCACGCTGATCATCAACTCCCACCAAAAGTCGCCAAGATGGCGCACAACGAAGTCTTCCAGTATTCCATCATTTCCGCCCTTGTGGATGGCGTCGCCTCGCATGGTACACCCATTGCACGCATCCTCGAACATGGCGACCACGGTCTCGGAACCTTTCGGAACATGGTCGGCGAGATGATTGTGCTCGATGGCGAGGTTTATCAAATGAAGGCCGATGGATCCGTCGTGCACATCAACCCCGAAGAAACCGTCACCCCTTTCGCCACCGTGACACGATTTCAGCCCACCGTAGCGACGAGGGCCACAGTGGTCGGCAAGGCAGGCCTGGAAAAGTTGCTGACGGACTTGTTCCCGAAGGCACGAAATCACTTTCTAGTGGTTAGAATGGACGGCGTATTCAAGGAGGTCAACGTGAGGACTGCCGGTGGACAGACCAAGGCTAGGGAAGGCATGGTGTCTGTGTGCGCTCGCCAGACGACTCACACTTTCAAGAGCGTCAAGGGTACAATCGTCGGGTTCAGATGTCCGCAGTACGTAATGGGCGTCAATGTGGCCGGAGACCACTTCCATTTCATTGCCGAGGACAGGCAGCGGGGAGGGCACATTCTCGCCGTTGAAACAGAGGGGGATGTGGATATCTCGGCGGCGCAGATGTCTAAATTCCACTTGGAGTTGCCGACCGAGGATGACGAGTTCAACGAGGCCGAGTTAAAGCTGCAGGCTCAGGACATCAAGGCGGCCGAGGGATGAATGTAACATCTAGCTGAAGGTACCTAAGGTAGTTAACATTTTTTAACTAAATATGCCCACCCCCTCCCGAACGAACTCAAGCTGCGATAGTGATGGATCTTCCATCACCCACCGATTCCGCGGGCACGAGCATGACTTACAGAGCTGCCCGTCGTTTGGTACGGACCCTATGCGTAGGTATGTTCAGCCTTCACCGACAACGCCATCTGCGGGAGAGGGAAAACTGCGCCAACAACTACCTCTGCCACCCCTTGGGCTCTTACTGCCTACCAACATCCATGCATACCTCGGTCCCTATTTCGTACCCCTTCTGCTCTTCGCGGACGACCGGGCGGACCATTGACGCCTTATCCAGGCAACGCCCAGATATCAGCGGCGGCATCAGCCCTACGACCCCGGCGGTGTTCATCAATGCCACGGGCTGAGGGTTCGGCTTGATGGCTCGGGTCTGATAGGGCTGGAGCTCGGAACTTGACCCGGAAACGACCTCATGCTAGACCGAAAAAGGACATGATTGGCATTGGTCGCAGACAGCACATCCACGAGGACCCCCCGAGAAGCACACCGGCTTCCGTCCTCGAAAGCCCGATCGTGGCTCGGGCTCTCTCGCACAGGGATTCTGGGTTGACGGCGGGCGAATCGGGCGATGGTTTGTGTACGTCGATCGTCTCCTGCCCGTTTGGGCGGTTCTTACACGAGAGAAGGCAAGGTTGACATCACACCGTTCACACGCGACCAAGGATTTCCCCCGGACAAGGAGTGTCAGGCTCATGCCCGACGAACTGTGACCCGGTTTGGGACGGACCAATGCGTGACGGCCATCAGAGGTTTTTGCGTGCCCATCACACTGTCAGCTTGTCAGCTAAATAGGCCGATGGGCTACACAGGCCCTACCACAGGAGCGGAGGTTGGTGGCGATCGGAAAGGGGCGGTCGTTAGGCCTGCCAATAGGGTTCAAGTCGACTCCGAAAGTGTACCTCTCGCTCAACCTGAGTTGTCCATGCACCCGCCGTGCTAACGCTGTAGTGAATCTTCTTCAACACATCAGGCACAATTTCAAGTCTTGATTGGTGCCTTGCGAGAAACCATGACAAAACTCATTTCAAATAGAATTCGGCCCTGTTTGTGCTTGACGTCACCCAACGACGGAGAATGTAGATATAAAGGGGGCGAGGCCTTCTTGCGAGATGCATGCCGTGAATCGCCATCTTCAACCTTTCTTTAATCCATTCCTCATCCATCAGAAGATTCAACATGAAGATCCCCGCGGCTATGGCGGCGCTTTCTCTAGGCCTTTTGGTTCGTGGCCAGGACCCTATGAGCGTCTATGGGTGCTCGGGTACCGATTTCACAGGCAATTGTGAAGGTTTCACCTGCCCGTACCAGGCCTGCTGCCGAATGCCCGCCTTCTTCCAAACGAGCCTTGTCTCGGTCAGATCGACAGGCTCATACAACTTCCGTCTCTATACCGACGCGGGATGCGCGTACCACTGCAATGACAATGACGACGGCAGCATCCTGGTCGACAGCGAAGGCTGGGGGAACATTGGTCCAGCGGCTTTCACATGCGTCGACGGTCCTTATTAGCTTGACCCAAGCTCCTTTGGCGATTGGCCGGAGCAAGGCTTTATAGGGTGAGTGACAACAATATACCGGCAAGACTGATGGCTAACGCCTCACCAGCACAACTACCCTTGCCGAAGCTTGTCCACTAAGTGAGGTTGTTAACCGCTACGTGGTTGAAGGCGAAGAGCTCGGATGGTTTTGCGGGTCATGTACCTACATACGGGGTGGGCAGCTGCCCACTGTCTATTGCGTAACCAAGACAATCTTTTACTCTTCCATCCATAACACGAACGGAGGTTATGTGTTGCAGACGTTGTGATGTCAATGTCGCGTCAGGGAGGAGATGGATGCAACCTTGAGTGCAGGGGGTCCCACAACTCCAATGTCGATCCCCTTAGGGCTGGGTCGAGGCAACGGCGTTTTCGGGCTATCTTCTTCTAGGAGGTGATGAGAAGAGAAGTAAGGGCGCCCCCTTTGTTAGCTTGACTTGATACCAGTATAGTAGCTACAGGAGAGGGACATTTTTCAATGGGCATCTAGCCGAAAGAATTTAGGGATATTGATTTAGTCCATGATACTAGGAAAGCCGTACCTCTAGTAGCTGATTTTTATCAACGGGGGGGCATTTCCGTATTTCAACATGATAATGATGCACCTAGGATAGGAAAACAGGCTCGAATTACCAAGTAGGCCCTCCGGGAAGCTGGCGTTGGGCTTCAATGTTCTTCCTTCGCCGGCTGAATTAGGCTGCTGAGTTGTCACTTCTTCACAAATCGTCAGCCCCGACAGCCCCGGATTCCGGGACAAGTCATCAACTTGAAAAGGTTCTAATACCCCGCATCTCAGATAGCGAGACGAACGCCATACCCCAACACACTTCTCCAACCCATTGGCGCCTAAACCCGACACCTCTGCCTCAGCGTGGAAATGCGCCGCTTCTTTCGCCGTCACCTCAAGGGGTCAGGAGATAATAATGTCCTGAGTCAAGCACCAACACCAGCGTCGCCAATATCGGCACAAACCGCAAGTACACCCGGAAGTCATGTCTGCACTCCCCTGTGCGAGGGTATCGCAAGCCTCCCGCCACAGTACCATGAGTCGATATTATCACAACTGAGCCAGTCCTTGGGCGTGGCACCAGACAAACTGACGGTAGAGAATATCTCCATGACCAACGCCCGTGTCGTGCCCAGCGAGACGCGCGACGTGGTGTCGGAGCTGCACGAGAGGAGAGACATCGAAGGCAACACAGAAATGGCGCGCATGCCCCTGGCTCTACCAACATCATACCAATACCCGCCACTACCAAAGGGGCATGCACGCTTTCTCCGTTTGGGTGGCTTAGGCTCCCACCCCCTGGCATACCTGGAGTCGCATCCGCTATCAAAGCCGCCGCGATACATCGCAATCTCCTACTGCTGGGACCCGACCAGCGCTAGACGGGGCATGTTCCTTGACATGAAGAGCTTCAGCATCTCGGAGACGGTCCTCGAGGTCCTAAACCAGGTGCAGGCGTCGCAGCATGCCACAGGCTCGCACGACCTGCTGTGGATCGACCAGATATGCATCAACCAGGACGATCAGAACGAGAAGCTGGATCAGATGTACCGTATGGGCGAGATCTACTCCAAGGCGAGCAAGGTGTTCATCTGGCTCGGTCCGACAGCCAACCAAAGTGACGCTGCGTTAAAGAACATGGAGCGAATGCTGGGTGAGGTAGTCACCCTGAATCAGGCTACCGCTACCAGAGCGGATTTGCCAGAGGACACTGCCGCAACAATCAACGAGGACCATGGGCAGTATTACGGGCACCTGTTTATGAGGCCATGGTTCCGTCGCCTGTGGACCGTTCAGGAGGCGCTGCTCGCGCGCAAGCTGGTTGTCATGTGCGGTTACCAGGAGGTCGACTTCGAGCTGCTGGTCGAGCTTGCGTCCCAAGTCTTGACGTACGGCTCCTTGGACTTGATCCGGTTCGAGGGTGCTTCCGAGGAGGATATGAACAATGCCATCATTGGCATCGTCAACCTGAACGCGCTGCGGTTGGGAGATGCCTCGATCGAGCAGATGCTTGAAGGGCTTGACATCAGGAGATTCCGAGGACTGGTCGCAGAGTCTCGCTCCCGGCAAGTCACCATGGCCCCCGACCGAGTGCACGCCATTATGGGCGTTGCGCCGCACCAAGTCCGCGAATATATGGCCAGCCTCCAGACCGTGCAGCCAAACCAAACCATGTGGCAGCTCTACGCCCAGTTCGCCAAATGCATGCTAGAGAACGACCCCGAGTGGTACTTCCTCTCCTCGGCCCCCTCACGCGACAAACCCATCGACCTGCCCTCCTGGGCACCCAATTTCAACTCCAAGCCCCCCTTCGCGTCCGAATTCACCCCCTCCTGCGGCTTCTCGGCCGGCATCTCGCCGCACACCAGCCACCTCACCAACCGCACCATCACCGCCACCGAGCTCACCGCCCAAGGGTTCCGCCTCGACACGGTCAGCGAGATCATCCCGCAGACGGCCTTCCGCGAGGACAACCAGAACATGAAGCACCACGACGTCTACGGCGACGCGGCGCGCGAGTGGGAACAGGGTTGCATGCGGCTGTGCCAGAAGGTGCACGCGCTCGGCCCGGACCAGTTCCCGCGCTTCCACGTCGACATCCTGCTCGCGCAGTCGGCTGTGGAGCCGGCTATGGAGGGCGGTCGGGCGCTGGATGCGTACCATATCTTTTGGATGGGCTGTCGGCTGCGGGATGAGGCGATTCGCCAGATAAGGGAGGAGGGGTTCCCGCTGCCGGATCATGTGAGGGGTTGGCCGGATGCGGTGGAGAGGTTTGCGGATAGTGCGGTGAGGGCGTGGCGGAAGAAGTTGCCGTTGGAGGAGTATGGCATGTTGTTGCAGTTTACGGGCACGATGAAGGCGATGTGTTCTGGGCGGCCGTACCTCAGCACGAGTACGGGGATGCTGGGGCTGGGGTGTCCGGGGGTGGAGGTGGGGGATGTGATTTGCATCTTGTACGGGACGACGGTGCCGTATGTGCTGCGCCCGAGGCCGGACGGCGCCATGACGTTCGTGGGGGATGCGTACATTCATAATGCCATGGATGGGGAGGCCATTACGTGCGCGGAAAGGGGTCGGGATGAGATTATTCGGATTCGGTAAGCCGGGTGGTTCGGCTTGTGATACCTAACGGGGTGTTACATCTCCAATGGGATGCCAGTGATTGTGGTATGGTGTTGTTTGGAGCGTTATTCGGCTGGGTTTGTCTGTTGTCAGATCTTCGTTTGCCCGATAAAGTCATCGTACCTAGAATAGAGTATCGAATTAAAGTTGTGCGCTTCTGAGAAGGATGAACGGCGTGTCTCACCTCTCACCTCTCACCGTTGTTGTTCCGCTGACGAATTGGGTGACACCGAGCCCCGTATCGGCAGTCCTGACCGCTCCTCTCCCTGTCGTGGCGCAATCTCACCACGGCAGACATAACTGAATTCCTCCCACCATACACAACTGTGTTCATTGTCCTTCAACCAGCCCAGAAATGCAAGAAACCTCGACAGCCTCCTCTTGTGTTTAGACCAACGGTCTCCTATTTAAGAATTAAATTCTCCAACTTGCACTTCACCGCTCAAGCCGGCGGTCGTCGGCGACGTGGTGACGCGTCTCACAATGGGGACCATGGCATCAATCAGGCGCTTGACCGTCCTCTGCCTGGCCACCCTCACCACGCCCTCATCGGCAACCTCTATCCCCAATACACCCGTAAATGAATTCGGCCCCAGCAAGGCCGCCGCACGGCACAACGCCTTCGACATCTTCAACGCGATCCACTCAGCCATGCGCCAATGGGGCTCCTCCCTCAACCACAACGGCATGTCCCTCTTCGTCGTCACCGTCCCCCCCGGCGTACTCCTCCACCACGGCAGCCCCAACCCCACCCCTCCCCCGGGACCGGAATGGCTCGCCTTCGAAATCGAACACGCCGAACTCTTCGCCCACCCGCCCCTTCCCAACCGCCCACCACCACCACCACCACCCCCATCCCAACTTGAAACCCACCACCAACACCCCCTAACCCAACCCCAACCCCAGACCGGCCCCTCCGAAAATCACGGCTACCTCCAAACCTACCTCACCACGCACCCCCTCCCCCTCCTCTACATCGACGGCTCCTCCGCCGGCAACACCGACATGGGCACGCTGGACACGCAAGACCTGCTCCTCCGGCTCAACCGCTCCGCCCCGCTGTTCGACGAGCCCGGCCGCGCGCGCGCGCTGTGCGATCTGGTGCAGGCCTGGGGCGTGCAGGGGGTGCTGCGCATGGAGGCCGGGTTCGAGGTGATCAAGTGTGAGTTTGGCCAGGGCATGGAGTTGGCTGGGGTGGTGGGGAGGCCGGATCCGGATGGGGTTGGGGGGGTTGGCGGGGTGTGGGATGTGGATGCGAGGAGGGGGGTTATGTTTGGGTATGTGGGGGCTGTGGGGAGGAGGTTTAACGGGTTGGGGGGTGGGAGGGTGAGGGTGGATTGGGGGAGTATGGTGTCGGTGTGGTTTTTTAGGGGGGTAGACGTTGGTGGTGGTGGTGGTGGGGAGGGGGGGATGCCGAGGTTGGTGAATGTGGGGGATCGGGAGTTGAGGGGGATGAGGGATAGGGTGGAGGAGGTTGTGAAGGCGAGGGCGGGTGGTGAGGGGAGGGTGGTGGACTGGCAGGGGGTGGTGGATTTGATCGTGGATCGGTATGCGGACCGGTTGAGGTATATGGCCGAGGGGGTCGAGTCCGTCGTGTGGATGCGGAGTGCGGTGAATGGGTTGCTCAACACGCACATCGACTACTCGGTGGAGGATGAGGGATACCAGGCTGCTCTTGAACGCTGTGCTCAGTTTTACACGAGGGTTGTCGTCCCGGACACGCAGGAGGACCACCTGATCCTGGCGGCCGTCGAGACTGTCACTCACAGCATCTGCTCAACCCTGTTTGCAGTCCGAAAATTGGTCGTTGAAGACGTCCATGCGGACGAGGGTTCGATGGTTGCCTCCAAGCAGGCTTTACGGGCGTTGACGACCAAGCTGAAGTGGACCAAGTGGAAGGAGTGCGCGGCCTGCAAGGTGGATGAAGTCTGCTTTGTGCCCATGTGGCCGTTCGGGGACAAGGCGTCATATGAGCGGCCGAACTGCCGGAACGCAACGTCTCTTGACAACGGGTGGTGGGACTCGGACACTCAGTACTGGCACCCTATACCGAAGATGATGCCACCGCCAGATTACGAGACCTGATCTGATAGTATCGTATGGATTTCTCGACATCCTACAGATTTCTACCAATGTATGCTCAGTGGTTCCCTTACAGATTGACTCTCCATCTTCAAGCCGCCCGTGCAGGCAAAGGGGTGTCAAGGCAACGGGCAGATAAAAGAGGGGAGGGTTACACTCAGCAGAGCGGAAGAGCAAAAATGCGTCAGCCGCGAATCGAACGCGGGGCCCATCGATGGCAACGATGGATTTTACCACTAAACCACTGACGCTTGAAATTGCGCTTCTTAGTGTAACTCTATCAGTGGGGTTGGTAGGAGATTGTTCGGTTTGGATTTCCACCCCCTTTACCGAGTCAGGGACTCGGAGCACTCGTGGATTTGTATTGAAATCACTCAAATTTGATAACATTCAAGAAAGAATATGGTAACAGGTAGCATACAAGTCCCGGTAACAATCTCAAAGGTTCCTGTCAACCAACCTAAACGTGCATCCCAGTGCCCACATCACGCTCAACGGGCCGTCACCTGTACCCACATATCGTTGATCACAAAGATCCCCATGGTGTTCATAATATCCCATGGCTTATCAGGATGTGCGATGGCCCAGTCGAAGTACCGGAACAGCTGTAGTTTATGAGCAAGCTTCCGGGTAACTGTGGCATTTGATGGGGATCTCACCTCGAAGAACGTCTTGTTCAGCTCCATCTGAGCCACGTTCTTGCCCAGACACTGCCACCGTCCATGCCCAAACGTGAGATCGTTAACCTTCTGCATAGCCGCCAGTTTGTCTCGGTCTTGCTCAAACCAACGCTCCGGTCGAAACAGGTCCGCATCCTCGCCATACACCTTCTTGTCCCGGTGCATGGCCAACGCAGAGTATCCGATGTCAACGCCGCCAGGCAAGAACATGGGCTTGCCATCTACCATGACCGTATCTCCGCCCGCCGGAATATCCTTAGGCAAGATGTTCCTCACCGGCGGGAACACCCTCAACCCCTCCTTGATAACAGCCTGCAGATACGGCAGCTGCTTGGCCACCGCGAACGAAATCACCCCCTCCCCATCCTTCGCCACCTTGCCCTCCCTCACCGCCTCATCAATCTCCTCCTGCAGCCTCACATACACCCGCTTACTCCCCATCACATACAACATCGTCGCCCTCAGCGCCGCGGCCGTGGTATCCGACCCCGCAATCAGCGTCTCCAAAACCTCCGACTTCAGATCCCTATCCTCCAACCCATGCCGAATAAACGACGCCAGCATATCCCTCCTCCCCCCATCCCCCCCCTTCCCCACCCCGCGCACCCTCTCATCCACCACCCTAAAACACGCGCCCATCAGCGCCCCAAACCCGGCCTTATCCGTCGGCTTCGGGCCCAAGAACCTACCCAACACGGGCGCCTGCGCCAGCCACGCGAGCCCCAGCCCCGACAGCGCCGTCACCAGCCGCAGGCCCTCCTCGCTGGAGCGGATGTAGCGGTCGACGTCGGTGTCGGCGCGCAGCATGCCGAGGGCGCGGCCGGTGCCGACCGCGCTGATGACGTCGAGGGTGAAGAACTGGATCTTCTTGGCCAGGTCCATGGCGATGATGGGGCCGCCGCCGCCGCCGCCGGTGGCGGGGTGGGAGAGGTATTTGCTGCGGATGAGGGTGACGAACTCGGTGAGGCGGGCGTCGATGGAGGATTCGAGTTCGTGGTTTTCGCGGCCGGAGTACTGTGTGGGGGGAGGGGGTGGGTGGGTTAGTGGGTGTTTGGGTGGGGGAGAGGATCGTGGGAAGATAGGGGGGTTGAGAAGGGGGGCTTACGCCGGGGGCGATTTGCTTGCGCCGCTCATCGTGTAGTTTGGTGTTGGTTTGGCTGAAGATGTGGTCGCGGTGGTACTCGACGCGGCAGGCTTCGAAGTACCATGTCGATCGCTTGTAGCCAGGCTTGGTGTTGATATGGGCCCAGACCTCGGCGTTGGACGTGATGAGGGAGGTCGGGCCGACGCGAGCAATGGGTCCTGGTTGTCGACGCACGGTGTAAGACTCGGAATCCAGTATAGGTGGCCGAAGGAGATAGAGACGTACCGTATTTCTCACTGACGTCGCGATACCACTCGTGAGCCTCGCCAGTGAAGGTGTTGTAGTTATGTGGGATCTTGCTGAAACCAGTCCCCCATGGTCCTCCGAATTGACAAAGTCGGCAATACTGTCGCAATGTGTGCACCACGTAGAGCGCAACGACTGTGGCCAAGAGAGGCCATTTTTGTTCAATCAAGCTTTCGAAAAGACCCATGGCGAATCAATCTTGCTCAAGACTTGGAGCCAAAATGAATGAGATGGATGCTTTCAGTGTTGAACTCAAGTTTATGTCCTCCAGGTTCCGTGGAGGACGATGATCACCACTCGAAATGTGCAAAACGCCGTCGGTCGCCGAGTCCTCGCGTCGTCAGACTCGTCACTATATGTGAGGGGAAATACCCATGTCTTTCTGGCCCTCGCATTGCTGGGGCGGGAATGCGACATCACGTTGCACTAGGATGCTTGGGTCGAGTCCCATCTCGTTGCTGGGCACGGAAAATAACGACGGGGGGTCTTGGTTCTTTACGAATATGTCAGTCAGCTATACGGTGGACAATCGGCGAGAGCCCCGAGTCCCCGAATGAGCGCGAGCCAGAAGGTCATCAAGACGGAGATCATCGTGGGTGGTAAGATTCGGCTTACGACTTTGTATCTTAACTTCACCCCGTCTGGTTACCCGGAGATCGAATTTATTGCCGAGGGGGGCCAGACCCAGGTGGTCATCGCCAATATCGACCTCTCTCACCTTAACACTGGGGTTGACAGGGGCTACAATACACCTTGGATGGCTGCCCGGCATGACCCCTTTGGCATGCCCATCGAAGACAAGTTGAGAGAACCAAGACGCCGAACATACAACGTTAACAATGGCAACGATGTCCACGTATGAATTAATTCTAATGAGGTAGATACCATATATCACAACTCGGTATTCTCCCCACCCCCTGCCAACTCACAAACCCGGCGGCCTCGGCGGCCTCCTCACCTCAAACCCCTTATGCCCGCCCCGCCTCTCTACCGACGCCGACCTGCGGCCCATCAGCTGGTCTCGCATGCCCGACACGACACGGCGAACGGCCGAGGGCTGGCTCTGCGGCGTTGGCGTAACCGCGGCGGCAGCAGCAGGGCCAAAGGTGCCCGTGCGTCGCGGGCGACCGTGGCCGTAGTACAGGTCGGCCTCGCGGAACGCGTAGTCCGCCCCGTGGTGCGGTGTGATAAGCGGCGGTTCGGAGGTATCCTCCATAGTGCCCTCGGAGTTGGAGGTCTCGGAGCGCTGGGCTTTTGCTGGTGTGAGGATGGAGGAGGATCTGACGGCGGTGGGAGAGCTGCCTCCTTGGGATGAGGACCATTGCGAGCCTGATGTTCTCGGGCTTGATGGGGGACCTTGGGCGATTCTAGAGGAGCCGTGCGAGCGGCTTCGGCTGGTGGATGATGAGGACCGTGGTTGGCGGAAGTAATGGTGTTGGGGCACCGCTCGGAGATACAACGCGTCGGGGGATGAGGTACGGTCGTGGTAGAAGACGCTGCTTGCGTCGCTTGGGCTGTGACCGTGATGGCAAGTAGGAGAGTTTGTCCTAGCTGAAGCGTAGGGCCTTGCTGGTACCGGAGCCCGGAGGGGAGGAACCGAGAGATCATTAAGGGCGTAGCTTCGCCGCCTGAGCTGACTTAGACCGTATATCTGCGGTGCGGGGAAACCTGTTAGCCCATAGCTAGATAGGGGTAGTATGTAGTGTGCGTCACTCACCTCTGGTTCATCAGCAGGAGCCCTGGTGTTGCTAATGAGACTGGAAATACGGACCCCGGCCGGCACTGTGCACGCAAACACCAAAACGGCGACGTGGATTACGAGAATCGCTATTCCCACTCGGCTCCTTGTCGACATGCTTGCATTCAGCTCCGGGAGAAAGACAGCCGTGAGGGCAACGACCATAAGTCTTGCGACGCCCGACCCCGCAAAAACAGCCAATATTTGCCACCTCATGGGCCGGAGAACCGCAGTGGTGACGAGCAGGGACAGCTCAGTTGCGGCCAGGATGATAACCTGCGCGAGTGGTGAGAACTGGAGCCCACCAACAGTGATCCCGCGGATGAAGGCCAGCAAGAAGAAAATGGCCGCAAAAAGGTCCCTGGCCTTGGCCGGCCGTTCCGACTCGGTATCACTACCCGAGTCATCCGTGCTGACTCGGCGATACCGTTTTGAGGGGTCTAGAAGCAGGACCCCTAGCTGGTTCGAGGGTGCGCTTTTCCACATCCATGTCAAGCCGACGATTACTAGCACAATGAGTAACGTAGCGAGGGCGAGGTGGTACGCCGGCAAGAGAATGTTGTCGAGCTGGTAGGCCGAGATGGCGACGATCGGGGTTAGGAAGTAGCTGAGAATCACCCGCAACACGCTCCAGATCCCGCGGGCGAAGGCCGAGCCGGATGTTGGACCCTCGCCGCCTAGGTCTTTGTCTATTGCCAACCAATCGAGTGATGGAACATGCTGTGAGAGGACTCTGTGAAAGAGCAGGAGCACCGCAACCACAGCGGTGATGATAGCTGCGATGGCGACCATGTTCCACCAAACGTCCGTAGTCACCGGCCCGCCCGTGATTTGCGACATCAGTTCCAGTCCGTACGACCCTGTGAGTGTACCGTTGATCTCATAAATGCCGTCTACCACTCCGTCATACCTCCACTCCTGACCGAACGGCCCGATGGGGCTGAACAGTGCGGACCAGTGAAGCAGGCTCGTGACAGGTTGGTAGAATCCGGGGTACCGGAGTGTGAGGGCGCCCAGAAAAAAGATGAACTGGAGGTGAAGTAGGCAGTCACCAACCCCAGGGAGGATGGCCCTCTGTAAGATGCCACTCTGGGAGGTGTTGGTAATATGGTGTTGAAGGCCTTGGCCTGTGATGCCTCCCGCCGACGGGGAATGTTCCGCGGACACCGCCGGTGCGAAAAGGGTGACAAGGAGGCCGGATAAGAACACCAACAGGAAGACAACAATGGGTCCGTACCGTGCTGCAGTCGATACCTCTTGTCGTAATTCAGGGGTAATTTCGGAATAGACGCACGCTGAAGATCCCACGGCTGAACCGGTCTTGTTGCTGGCCGAGAACGACACCTGCACCGAAAATGCCGGTAGCAACCCAAGTTTGCCGAGATTGTGTTGCGCGACTAGACGTATTTCGGGTTGCCGGTTCTTTAGATGTCTAAAGGCTCGTGGTTACAGCTTCTGGACTGGACACGTAACATGATATGGCTGGGCGCGACTTACTGTTGTTCGACAGCAGGCCTGTCCCAAAATGGCACGCATGTCCAGTTCAACGGAGGGACGACATATGTCTCCGACAAGGTCAGGGCGTCAAAACTGATAGTCATATCTGGCGGGTCACCTTGCAGCAGCTCCGCACAAGTCGCCTCGCCCGCGTAATCGGCCCTGACGTTAAACTCGAATCCGGATGCCCCGGCGGAGTCTTGATCAGGGAGGAGGCGCGCTGTAGTCGATGTCGGCCAGAGGTCGTCAAACCCCTGCGTGCCTCCACTTCCATCGGGACAGCGTATCCATTGCACATGCGCTGCCTGTGTCGCGGCAGGGAGGATCGTGCCGATTAAAGCGAGCACGGCAACTATTGACGATGGCGCCAGAAGGGCGGCGATGGTCCGCGCCATGGCTGTGGAAAGAGAGCTGATCCCCACATAAAAAGGGAGCCTTGCTGCTGACCGGTATAAACAAACATACCTGGAGAAGAGGAAAGAAAAGCTTGTCTCTCTCACTCACCGCTCCCCCAAATCACGTAAAGGGGGCAAAGCGTGAAACCCGCCGAAGTGTTCAGAGAGTCTGACAAGCTGAAACCAAAGGAGAAAACCGGCAAGGCGGAACCCCCTTGTTGTTTTCGTATTATCCCCATATTTCTAGTCGATCCCTGACGCGAGTCATGGAGCCACCCCAATCCACACGTAAGGCCGGCCAATGCCGCGCCGTTAGTTGGAGTCGCCGAGGGAAAAAAGGTTGCCTGTGGGCCCCCGGGTAACTCTCGGGATGGATGCGCAAGGCGCCCTCTACCTTGGCAGGCAAAAAGGCGGCCTCGTCTGAGCGACTTGAGGCTCATCACACTCACTGGTCAGGGCCAGGAGGCTGAGGGGCGCTTGGTAAAGCGACTGACAACATACAGTCATCAGACGTGGGATGAAAGGAATAGTCTAGGTAGTAGGACAGCACGACCCCCTTCCATGCATGTAGTATTCACCATTGCGCGCTGAGTGCACGTGTGGGAGAATCAAGATGAAATATGAGAAGCTCAGATTCATATTCTGAAAACACTATGGATAGCTGATCCGTAAACGAGCGGATAATCTGAGCACAGCAAACTCCACCTCGGCCCTCCCCGTACGATTCTTCTCATCAAGTCACCCATGCGTAGGGTGTACCTTGCAGGTGCACCCCATAAGCCTGTCACAAGTCAGGAACGGAACCTTATCAGAAATCCCGCAGGCCAGGTCATACACTACCAGTACAGAAGGGATCAAACGTTGGCGGACTTGGACTCGTCTCCACCGTCGCTCTTCTTGCGGAGGCAGCTCAGAGACTGGCTGTTGTACAGAGTTAGCGCAGGTCGAAGGAGCCAAGGCCCGTTAGGATGAGGTGCGAGAGTGCGTACTTGTCATCGCGCTTGCAAACAAACATCTCAGCGGTCGAACGCTTGTAGTCAGCATCGTAATCCACCTCGTCCCTAACCGAGAGGTTGATCGTGTTGGGGGCTGGCAGGGCCAGCACCAGCGAGGCAGCGGCCATAAGGGCGGCGATGACGGACTGCTTGAAGAGCATGGTGGCGAGTTGGGAAAGGAAGGCTTGTTTAAAATTGGTTGACAGTTGGGTAGGCAGTGAGGTGAGAACAGATGTGAAGGCTGGATGTGAAAGGAGGTGGTAGAAGGGAGTAAATTTGAGAAGCAGGTTGCGAGACATGCAGCCCCTTTATAAGTCACTAGCAGTTCACTGAGCCGGGAGTTGTATGTAAAAGTTCCTCCTTCATGGTCATGCCAGGTGGGCATCATCCAATACTCCTCCTGCCAGCGGTGTGCTGCCCAGTCGGTCCGAGTGCGCATCCTCTCCTCGCCATTCATCACCCAACCGTTCTTAGAGAGCTCTCAAGATCCCCAGTCTGCCTTGCGGTGTTGGTGACACTCCCCTCCCCTTGGAAATCCCCTACGATGCTGAAGAGGAACCCGGGGCACCAACACAGCTTCGTATCAGTGGGAATCAGCTCTATCAACTCCATTCAGAAGGTGATCGATCACAAGAAAAGGCTCCTCGAGGGAGAAGACGAAGATACACAGAGGGCGATGGAGGCGGCAGCAAGCAAGCATCCCTACCTGGAAGAATACGCCGACGTGTTCTCGAAGAAGGAATCAGACAACCTACCACCACACCGAGAAGCGGACCACAAGATCGAGGTGGAAAGCAAACAGGGCTTGACAACCAGTCCACTGTACGGGCACACCCTGACCCAGCTGGAAGCCCTGAAGGCCTATCTAAAAGACTGCTTGGAGCGCGGATTCATCGAGCCCTCCTCGGCTCCCTTCGCCTCCCCGGTACTGTTTGCATTGAAATCTGACGGGTCATGGAGGGTTTGTGTGGACTATCGGAAGCTGAACGCGCTGACAACCAAGAATCGGTACCCCCTCCCGCTAATTGACGATACCCTGAGACAGCTGGGAAAGGCCAAGATCTTCACCAAGCTAGACATCCGACAGGCGTTCCACCGCATCCGAATGGACCCAGAGAGCGAAGACTTAACCACCTTCCGCACCCGCTACGGGCAGTACAAATATAAGGTGATGCCGTTTGGGTTGTGCAACGGCCCGGCAACCTTCCAGAGCTTTATCAACTCACAGGTGTTCGAGTTTCTAGACCATTTCCTGACGGCTTACATCGACGACCTCATCATCTACTCGGACAACGAAGAAGAACATCAGGAGCATGTCAAAAAGGTACTCCAGAAGCTCCGAGGAGCTGGCCTACAAGCAGACCTCAAGAAGTGTGAATTTCACACCACCGAGACTAAGTTTTTGGGATTCATCGTGGGAACCGACGGCATCCGAGTTGACCCCCAGAAGATCGAAGCCGTGACCTCTTGGCAGACCCCAGCGACGGTGAAAGGAGTTCAGGCCTTCCTCGGGTTCTGCAACTTCTATCGCCGCTTTGTGGAACGATACGGCAACATTGCGAGACCCCTACAGAAGCTGACAATGAAGGATCGAGCTTTCCAGTGGACCGACGATTGTCAGGAAGCCTTTGACCACCTGAAGAAGGCTCTGACCACGACCCCACTCCTTGTCCACTACCAGATCGAGCGCGAGACCCGCCTGGAGACAGACGCATCCGACGGGGTCATCGCGGGAGTTCTCTCCCAGAAGGTTGACGAGCTTTGGAGACCTGTTTGCTACTTCTCCAAGACAATGAACGGCCCGGAAGGCAACTATCCCATCCACGACAAGGAACTCCTCGCTATTGTCCGTGCCTGCGAGGAATGGTATCCCCTGCTCCTGGGCATCCAGAAGAAGTTCGAGGTCTTGACAGACCACCACGCCCTCCAATACTTTATGACCAAAAGATTACTAAACGCCCGGCAAGCAGGTTGGTCGGAGTTTCTAGCACCCCTAAACTTCGAGATCAAGTACCGGCCCGGCAAGATGAACGCGGCAGCGGACGGCCTTTCCAGGAAGACGGAGGACCTTACCACCCAGAAGGCGATCCAAGCCGCTTACCGAACACAGACCCTTTTGCCGGCTCACAAGTTAGACCCACAGGTGTTGAAAGAGTTTCAGGAGATCAGCGAGCAAGAACAAGACCTCCTGAACACGCAGGAGCCTCCGATCAGCGTCCAAGCCTGCAAGATCTGGAGCATCGACACCGACGACGTTGAAGGACGTCCCCAGGGGGTAGACCTCATCGACAAAATCCTGCAAGCGAATCGAGGAGCCGAGAGCCTCGAGTCGTTCCGAGAGATGGCAAGCAAGCCCGGCAATGACACTGACTGGACCATTCAAGAAGGACTCCTCCTGAAGGGAGGAAGGTTGGTAGTAGCAGGAGAGGACAACCTGCGTACCCACCTGTTGGCCGAGATCCACGAGCAGCTCCCTACTGCTCACCCAGGCCGAAACAAGATGCGGACCCTCGTTCGGCAACGGTACTACTGGCCAAAGATGTTCTCGGACATCGATACTTTCGTCCGCAACTGCCTCACCTGCAGGAGATCACACAAGCCGCGCGACAAGACACCCGGGCTCCTGAAGCCCCTAGACATCCCGAACCGACCCTGGCAGCACGTTACGATGGACTTTCACAGCATGCCCGAAGACAAGCAGGGCTACGACCAAGTCTTTGTGGTAGTAGACCGACTGACCAAAAGAGCCTATTCCCTACCCTGCTACAAGACAACCACCGCTAAAGAGATGGCAGGCATGTACTACAAGTACGTTTGGAGAAACCACGGGGTTCCAGATTCGGTGGTCTCGGACCGAGGCCCGCAATTCATCTCCCACTTCTGGGACGAGTTCTGCCGAATGCTAGGAGTCAAGATCAAGCTCTCCTCTTCCGAGCACCCACAGACTGATGGACAGACCGAAATCATGAACCAGTACCTCGACCAGCGATTGAGGCCCTTTGTCAACCACTACCAGGACAACTGGGCCGAGCTCCTGCCTGCAATGGACTTCGCCCAGGCCATCCTCCCGCACGAGTCTATAGGGCTTTCTCCCTTCGAAGTGGAAACCGGATACCAACCACGAATGTCATTCGACTGGGAAGCCCGTTCCCAACAGTCCCTTTCGGAAGCGGAAACACTCAGCAGAGAGGACGCAGTGAAGATGACCTCCAGGATCCAGGAGGCCGTCCTCCTAGCGAAAGAGCACCTCGAAAAGGCCCAAGCCACCCAGAAAAAACAGGCTGACAAGCACAGACGCCCGGAAGACTTCAAGACAGGTGACTACGTCATGGTTACGAAGGGAAACTGGCAAACGAATCGACCGAGCGACAAGCTGGACTTTCCGGTCTCAGGGCCGTTTAAGATCTTAGCTAAGAAGGGAGCTTCCTATCTCCTAGACCTGCCCGACACCTGGAAGATGCACCCGGTCTTCTCGCCCGACAAACTGAGGAAGGCTCCGAGCGACCCGCTCCCGGGGCAAGTCCCTACCCCGTTACCACCAGAGGAAATCGATGGGGAGCTGGAATACCAAGTAGAGAAACTGATGGGCTCTCGACTGACAAGGGGGAAACTGGAGTACCTGGCCAAATGGATCGCCTTTGACGACGACCCGGTCTGGTACCCAGCAAGAAACTTTAAGAACGCCCCAGCGGTGGTTCGGAAGTTCCACGAGGAGTTCCCAGAGGCAGCAGGCCCTCCCAAACGACTAACACAATGGGAAAAGGCACACCTCGAGGAACTAGATGAAGAAGACCACCCGGAAGACGACTTTCCGGAGTCACAGGCAAAGGAAGGACCGACACGATCACGAAGAAGGTACAAGTCATGAGGACACGACTCTCTTTTCTTTGGGGGGGGGTAGTGTGACGGCCCGGCGCAGTCACAACAAGGTTGGTTACGTAATGAGCCACTTATACACTGCCCCACCCTCGGCACCGGGGGATCCACCTTTGGCGCATCCACTCTCGACACATCCGCCAATCAGCACGCTTGGTTCTGAAGCATCCACTTTCATTCACTGAATACCAAGACAGGTCCCTTGTTGATTAGATACAGGGGCTCTGTATCTGGGAACTATCCAGGAACCTGTGAAAGCAACAGCAACAGCGACCGACCGGAACCGACCGTCCCCTCGTCTATAAAAGGCCGCTGTTTCTCCCCTGGAACCGCACTTAGTTTAGTTCTTTACTTTTAGTTGTATTTTCGTTATTGGGTACAACCTTCAGGCTCGTCCTAAGTTCATTTGTGCACGCCGTGACACTTCGTCGCTCGGTATGAGGCATGAGAGCGGCGAACCCCCGACGTGACACAGTGTCCGGTATTTCTGTCGGATCAATGAACGAAGTCACTTCCATGCCCAGGAACCAATGCCAAATATTCTCACACACCTTCCTAATTGAGATAGTCACCAGAGAGCCGGGTGGCTGTCCATGGTCCCGGAACTGATGTGTGCCTCTGGCTTAGGCTTGTGATTAAGGAACATGAGAATGTTTTGGTTTGTGTGTGACAGCATATGCACGAGGCTGGCCTATCACACCATGATGTTGCCCGTGAAGGTGCCTGGAACCAGGGCAGGACTTTTGTTGGCTGTGACGCGGTACTCCGCCCACACCGAGGATCACCAACATCAAGCGATGGGGGGCCGTTGGCGCCACTAGGTAACTTGACTAATGCCTTGTAACCCACCCACCGAAAGTCACCGGTCAGATCCTCCCCGAAAATGAGCCAGGCAGAATATCCCAGGTTTACTGTTTGGGCTTCCCAGTCCTCGAGTCATTCTCGAACTTGAGCCCCCCAACTGAACCCTTCGTGCTGAAGTCAAATTCCTGCCCCTTGCAGTTGTTTCTTCGAGCCGGACGCACGCTCCTCCAAACCACGAACTTTGAGCTCTTCTTTCGTCACTTGTAATCTCTCCAAACTCAGCAAGAATGTCGGCGGCGTATATTCCAGTGTCCACCCACAGCCCGAGGGACAGCGAAGAAGATGCAGCAAGCTCACTTCTCGAGGAGAAGCCAGTCTCTCACAGAAGACGATGGTGCTCGAGCGTACGCTGGTCGATGCTCGCGACCATAAGTCTTGTTGTTTATTCCCTGGGAATTTGTTGGGTTACGAAGCTGGCTCTCCTCGGATCCTATCGTCCTCAACCTTCCGCCCCAGCCTCCAGTTGTAAGTTCTGACAAGGCTGACGTCTTCACGCATCATGACTTCAAGTTGACCGTCTCGAAGTTCCGCATCCGGACGAGAAGGAGTATGTCATCGCCGAGACGGGTCAGCATGGTGATACTTGGACACATCGTCTGGTCCACGGAAGGTCGAGTCCCGAGATTGATGACGCTTGGTATGACCTGCTCAAGCGTATGTACCTTAAGACAAATGCGGATAGATGGGCCGCCATATCAACTAACGCCTTCTTAGCGTTCAACACTCGGGTTCCGGCAGAGCGGTATGAAGCTACCATGAACAACCGCACTTCGGTTCGTGTGGCGGATGGCTCAGATAATCCGGATTATTATGTCACACTGACCGTGTATCACGAACTCCATTGTCTAGTACGTTTTTCTATATCGTATCACCATTTTCCAACGCTTTCAGCTAATTCAACGCCGGGTAGATGAGATTTCGGTGGTTCCTCGACCCCAAGTACTACGCGAACAAGACATGGGAGGAACAAGCCGCAGACAAGGCCGCCATGGGCCATTACAGTTAGTCATAGGTCGACCCCCTGCACACGTTGGCATCGGGAACTGAGGCTAACATGCACCCCTCACAGGGCACTGCCTCTGGAGTCTCCTCGAGTCGGTTCTCTGCAATGGCGACACGTCTATCCGGACGTTCCACTGGGATCCGCACATGGCAGCGCCAAAGCCAGACTCACCAGCGGAAAGGAAATGTGTGAACTGGGACTGGCTCCACAACTGGACGATGGATCGTTCGTTTCTTTTGCAAGACCGGTTGCTTAGCCATCCGACGTTTGGCCGGCTGAATGAGAATTTGATGCCGGTGAGGGTGCCTCATTGAAGAGTGACACAAAGTGAGGGAGATGGGGACATGTGAGCTGTTAGGCACTTGGAACCGCTACTGAAAGAAATAGTGTTGTGGTGGATTCGGGGAAATACAAGCTTCAATTACAAGCACCAGTCTTGTTTCAAGTTATCTGCCTCAACACCACCGATGTCCAACAAGTTGTAGCACCATGGCCAGCACGCCGTACGTTCAACTCATCGTTCGACTTGAATCCCTGACACCCTACATGACGGCACAATGGCCGCCGCTCTCGATACCAAAGTAGTCCCACTTGTGGTTGGCAGGGACTCTACCACGGTCGCCTTCATACCACTTAACAGCCTGACGCTGGGCTCGGGCGGCAAACCCATCGCGGCCGCTCCAGGGGAAGCTTTGAAGCCACCCCTGACGTTGAATGTCCCGAATGGCCCAGTGAGCCCAGTCCCAGCAGTTCTCGTCCGTCCCCTCGCGCGGCATGCGCACCGCGGCACAGATTTGATGGATGTGTCGGGCGTCGACGCCAGCAGGCAGCTTTCCGAGTAAAATTCGGCCGATGATGTTATTGGACTGTCGCCAGTTCGCCTCTCTATCCCGCGTAACCGAGGTGCCGTACTCCCAACCGTCAGGATAGTTGGGGCGGTTGACCGGGCGACGCCCGTGGAACTGAACGTGGAAGTAGTGACCGCCGCCGCGGCTGCTCTTGCTCTCAACCCACAGGCCGCAGTGGAAGACGCGTGGGTTACCGTCCGAGCCAGCAAAGCCTTGCTGGCGATAAACGCAGAAATAAATCCTGTTCTTGTTCGACATGTTGTCCCAACCAATGGTTGAGATGAGGCAAAGGTAGGAAATAAGCCAAGGACAGCGAAAAGCGAATGATAGTAGAACCCCTCGTTCCGGACGAGGTGGGTAATGAGGCAGGCGGATGAAGGTTGTTGGAGGCTCGTTCTATCCAACGTGTAATAGTTCCGGACCAGGTCAGCCCCTACTTATACATCACCTTTGGGTATCACAAGTCTGCTTGGTGGCTCGCGACTGGGCCCAGTAGCAGCCAAAGCGTCGCAGGTCCCTGCCCAAGGCCTTGATTCCGCTGGTGACGTGAAACCGAGGGCATCCCCATATCGTACAAGGTTGTGAGCTTTCCCCCTTCGGCCATGCTGTTTCGACCGCAACCGGTCAAGCCCTGCCGGCATTGCCCCTCGCCGAATGCCTTCAAACGTGGTTTAGGTCGGGGTAGGTTCCAATAATAGCCAACTTGACCTTTGGTTGGCCGTTAACAATCTCAGACACGATGCGAAGCCCATTTTCTGCTCGTGGGAGCGGCCCTGTGAACGGCTAAGAAGGCCTTTGCCAATCCGCATCGCAGTTGTCGTAGCACGGCGGCGCCGACGTCGTACTTTGAAACCGGGCAGAACGGCGTATGAGGCCTCGTCAACGGCCGGTATGTACAGAGGCGGCGCAGACACAACTGGCGACAAGGCGAGCCGCCCCAACCTCTCCGCCGCTCCGACCCCAAAAGAAAAGGGCCGAAACAGGGCTACGGTAAGCTTCGGGGCACAAGGAGTCAACGGCACGAACGACCAAACTCTAGAAAGCGGTGTCCGGTCTGCTGGGTGGTGACCGCCGTTGTGTAAGGAAATTGAAACGATTCAGCTCAGTTGGAAGGCGGTCCGAATTCCAAAATAAATGCTGTGTAACTACTTGGGGGCTGGGTGAGATTGAGTTCGTATTTAACCCCGACTTTCTTTCGACCCCTGAGTAGGAATCTGGAGGGTGAAACAAGGCGGGAATTTTACCCCAATGATTATACTTAGCTTAGGTAATCTTGAGGCTGGCACTTGTCGCGTGCAACCGTCGCTCTTCTTCAATTCACAAACGTTGACTGGGCATGGTAAATGTAAGAGGAGGTAGGATTCCCTGCCACTTGCACGAAACTTCCCACGTGAAGTCGACAACATCTCACACGCTACATTAGGGACTTAGCTTTCCTCAGATTTTTGTCACAATGGCGCCAGACTCGGAGCAATCAACAGACTTGGGTCACTTGGCCGGCGGTTCAACTACTGGGCGGCTCCCTACAGCGCTCAGGCTGCGTCTCGCGGCGGGCAGATTCATTAAGGGGTCTTCAGCATTCGGGACAGATAAGGTCGTGGCGCTCCCGTTTAACAAGATCGCCAAGCTTGACGTTCCTACAAATGAAATCGACGCCATGGAGTTTGTGCGGGCTAATACCACCATCCCAATCCCCCAAAGTAGGTCTTTCGCTTTCTTTGCCACACTTGCCATATCCGCATCACCTAACATCCGCGCCCAGTCGTCGAAGTCTACAAAGACCCCGGTGGCGGTACTCATTTCATCATGACACGGCTTCCCGGGACTCCCCTCGCAGACGCAGTCCGCGACATGGGCCCTGCTCAGATCGAGACCACCGCCAGCGACTTTGCTGACTACCTCGGGCAACTCCGCCGCCTCGTGCCACCGCCCTCGAAAGACGGCACGCCTGTAATAGGGGGTGCTTCGGGCGGCCCGGGTTTCGATCACCGCCTGGGCCCCAGGACGTGGGGTCCCTTTTCCACCGTCGCCGACTTCCACACATACATCCGCTTCGGGCAGCCGCTGGAGGACTGGGACCATGAGCCAGCCGTCATGGAGATCCACGGGAAGCCGGAGGGTGCGTACCAGCTGCGGTTTACGCACGCGGACTTGGGGCCGCAGAATATCTTGGTCGATCCCAAGAATGGGAAAATTACCGGCATCATCGACTGGGAGTTTGGGGGTTGGTATCCCGAGTATTGGGAGTACACCAAGATGCACTATGGCGGCGTGAGGCCGCAGTGGGAAAAGTGGTTTGCCCAAATTTCAAAGGAAGATGGTATTGAGAAGTACGAAGCGGAGAGAACGGCGGAGGAGGCGATTTGGTCAAGAGCAGGGCCGTTCGGGTACGTATGATAACCATGCCAAAGTCAGTTTGCAAGTCAGATACACACGCAATAGTGCGTTTCCAGAGAAGCTTTTCTTTCCAAACAAGGCCAACCCAGACAATGTGTCCACCCCGCAACGTTCAACCCTCATGGACTGCCCCCTGGGCATAGAATGACTCCGTCCCACGCCCACGCCCCCCCACCTCTCTACACTCGGGATACTTCACCGCGGCCACCACATTCACCACACCCCCCGGCATCCCCCTCTCCAACAACACCCCCTGACAATGCAGCGTATGCCCATACCCATCCAAATGCGCATCCACAAACCCCCGCACCGCGTACGCCCTGTGCATCTGGCGCCACATGAACGTACAATGCGCAACATGGTACTCCCAGTCCACGTACAGTGTGCGCTCGCCCCGCAGCGCGACGGCGAGGTCGACCGTCTCGTCGGTGCGGTTGGCGTGGGCGTAGAACTGCCAGGCGTGGTGGGCCAGGAAGGCGGCCATCAGGTCCGAGTCGTAGCACTCGGGTGTTTGCCACGCGAAGCTGAGGATGTCGAAGCGGCAGCCGCGGGCGCGGGCTTCGGAGGGGGAGGTGCCGCAGGTTGTCCAGCGGTGGGGGTGGGTTGGGAGGGGTTTGGGGGGGTTGGGGTGGTGGTTGTTGCGCTGGTGGCTGTGGTGGTGAGAGAGGTTGGGTGAGAGTTGGAGGTGCCAGGTGTGGAGGAGTGCCCAGAGGGCTAAGGCGGTTGTGAGGATTGGGAGGAGGTAAAGGGCGGCGAGGTGATGGGCTCGAGCTGGAGACTTGTTGTCGTCTCGAGATCGATACCGCTCTTCACGGGTGCTCTCCGGTGCGTGCATGGTGTTGTGGGCTGTGGTTTGGTAGGCGAAAGCCGGCGTAAGGATGGGCCGTGTAGGCGAAGGCTGGTGTGAGTGCAGATAATTGTAGAAAAGACCAGCAAATTAGGGGTGATTGCGAGGTCGTGGGGCTTCGTCTGAGTGTGCCAGGCCACATGCATCCAAGGCAGGGAGCAACAAACTTCCTTCTTGGAACCCTCCCCGATGCGAAACCAACACCTATCTCAGCGGCTCTGCCGGAGTCATTGCCTGTGTTGGTGGTGACCTTTTAACCTTTCCTCTTTGAGCAGTGTGAAGCCAAGCACGCTGTAAGCGATTCCCACATGCCGTCTAATTGATCTAGACTCATGCACCCGAGCTGGGTGATTCACCTGGTCAGTGGAACTTATCCGTCGATGTCTTCGGATTTTGAAGACTTGGAGGGCAGACTACGTGAGGGGTAGTGGAACATTGGACAAACAAACCGTGAGCTGTCAGCCATGTGAAGAATTCGGCCCAATAGCAGAGCAGGGGGGCCGAAGGAGTACCAACTGCATCACCGGTCAGCCTTGACAAGACTTGGACATCACCAACTTCGCAGTCTAAGCCTTCTCATTGAACGCCGCATTATTGCGTTTGTGGTCGGTGGCTTTGATCTCTCACCCAAGTTGGTTTCTCGGGCCAACGTACCAACACTCAAGCCATCATGCCCGAGCCGGTGACGAGCATGCGCAAGGCAAAGTTACCAGCCCTCAGCACCATGAGACACACATGGCAATTACACACTGTGTAAGTAGGTACCTTCGGCGTGCAAATACATTTGGACCCGGGATTGGTTACCGAGATGCGAGAACAACCTTTAAACGAACACCCACTCCGAACCGAGAACCGGGTTGTTGGAACCTCAATGACACCAATCTTTCTGTCATCAGGCTGCCACCCCCACTCGACACGCCCATCCAACCTTCTTCTTTTGTGTGATCAGCCCTACAAACCGCCTAGTTCAGTGTTGACACGGTCGGCACATGGGCCGCATGAGGTTATGTTGGGCCGAGACAAGAGTATTGTTCCGCCTGGACCCCCATCGGTGTGTCTGTAAGCACGCCATCACCAACAATGGATGCTTTCAAAGTCATAGTTGGTTGGAGCTAGGTGTGTGCCGCAAGGGAAACCATTGACAAAAAAGGGTGTGGTGATGACGACCCCTTTCGCCGTAGTATCTCCCCGAGTGGTCCGGACCGTCCAGTCTTCTCACTCTCGAAACCATCATTCTCCGCCACCCTTCGGCTGCAGCACCTACGGGGTCACGAGAACCAAGGGATTCGTTTAAACGAACCAAAGGTAAATTGAGATTCTCCGAAATGCACACTGCGTAAGTCATCGGAGTCAACCCCCGAACTCCGCGGCAAGCTTCCGGCTCCGAGCATCCACCCACCCCGGATGACCATGCCACCTACACTCCCCCCCGGTCTCCGGATTCACCCACCACCTCACCCCATCCCTGGGCAAGTCCCTCCTGCACTCGAAACACGCCATCGGCAACGTCGCCTGCCGCCGCATCTCGCGCACGTTCCCCTCGTCACGCAGCTCCTCCCGCGCCGTCTCCGGCAGGCTGGCACAGTTGTGGCACACCTCCTCCAACATCGGACCGACGCCGTGGCCCACCCTGTTATTACCCCCCCGGGGTGAGAACCCCGCACCCAAGGTGAGGCTCAGTCCCTCAGCGTTCCTCCTCGTCGTCTCGTGGAACGTTTTGTTCACCCAACTGGTGCCGGTCCAGATCTTGCCGGGCTTGGTGGGGCGCGGGCGTCTAAAGCAGTGGTTTGTGAAGAAGCACCGGGTGCATGCTGCTTGGCAGCTGGTGAGGTGCTTGAAGGCGACGTTGTGGCGGGAAGCGGGCGCTTTGCGACGGCAGCCCTGGGGCATATTAGTGACCAGTCTCGGAAGCGACGTTGTGGGGGCAGGATCAACGTACCGAACATGTCTGGATGCTGCACACGGGGCAGTTGGTCAAGGGGCCGCCTCCCTTGCACGCAAACCGGCGCAGCTCCCTGGCGACCTGGTCTGGGCTGTGCTCGCCGAAGAAGGCTGCCTCGAGGTACTTTGACGAGTGGCCGATGTTCACGAGGTCGGCGTGGTGAAGGTCTTTCGTCATCATTGTCACCAGTTCCATGGGTAAGCGGGGGCTGTTAGGTTCCAGGGTGGACTCCATGTCGATGGTGGCCTCCTTGGGTTTCTGGAGGCGGTCCGTATCCTTCTTCCGGCACATATACTTCGATATGTACCGGTAGGAGATGTAAATGGACCCGCGAGTGGATCTGTAGAGCAGGTAGATCGGTCTGAAGAGCAACCGTAACGGCGTGCCGAGACATGAAAAGAGATCATCAAGATCATACTGTCGCCTTGACCCAAAACATGTTATCGTCCCCGACTCGCCGAAGCAGCCCAATATCACATTGACCAAGCCGCATAAGACGTAAAAAACGCTAAAGAGTAAAATGTAAGCCATGTCATCCCGTAAGAGCGAACGGGGAGAAAACACGCACATCACCACGATAGCCATCACCCAATTTTGCATGATGCCATGGCACACGCCGTTCGGGCCGCTGGTCCCAAAGCTACCGGTTGTATAAGCGACCAGAAAGAAGTTGCGACCATCGGTGCCATTGTTCCAGCTAGAGGCGCGGTCGCATGGGCCGTATGTGTCGGGTAAGAACATCCCAGTCATGATGACGCCGGCGATGAGGATGGAAGCAAGAACTAAGTCCACCACGCCCACTAGAGCGAGGACCCTACCGCTGCATAGAGGGGAGGCCCCAAACTGGAAGAAGTTCCATCCAAAAGCAGTGGTGCCCTGAGAGAGTCCTTGATCAGCAATGGGAAGGATGGAACATGAGGTTTATTGGCCATCATACCGCGTATCCAAGGAACTGCATGCCCTGTAAAAAGGCCCTGCCATGTGGAATAACATCGTAGATGTCACCCAAGCCCGTTGATTGCCTGTAGGTACCCAGGCAATTTATGCCCATCATCCCCGTGGGAATATGACAGATGAAGCGGATGATCCACGAGGGGGTGCCGGGACCCCACATCGTGAGAAGACAAACGCAAGCTCCGCCTGTGGTCAGTAGATCCTCTGTCGTTTCGAAACGTAGGTGGGATTGGTATGTACTGGGCGGCGTGCTCCTGGTTGAGGTGTATCGCGACGACGGAGAGGTATATGTGATGAAATCGGGGGTTTGGGAATGGGAATGCCGTCGTCGCGCATTTGCAGCGGGGTCGGCATCTTTTAAACCACAAGCACAAATCGGCCCATAACTACGTCGATAAACTATTCGGTAGCTGCCCTTTGGCGGCCTTGTCGGGGTGGGAGGAACGGAGTCACCACCCCGAAACCTCCGCCCCCTACTATGGTGGGAGTTTGCTAACAGAGCCTCATTTGCAGCCTCGCTTGACCATGAATGGGAAGAAACGCAGGGGTCACACCGATGCCAAACTCGGATCGGGAGCGGGAAACAGACCATGGTGTTCGAGAGCGTGATGGCCAAAAGGGGGACTGACGGCGTGGCAGTGCAGCTCAGCGCGGTGTAATACACCGCCGATTTGCCCCAGCTGTTTCGTCGGTCATGTTTTTGGCCAAGCGCATAATCAGCAAGGCGCATTCCGCTATAATAGTTCACTCTCGCGCAGCTCGCTCCGGCCAGGGCTCCAACCGCTTGAAGCTGGCTGGGTCAGCCAGGGATGACCCGCCGGAGAAGGGAAGTCGCTCCATGCCATCAACACGAGCTGTCGCAGAAGGCTTTGTCCAAACTGTTCGATATGGCCAAAGGCATTCGAAGCCAATTTGGGATACAACTAGGAGATAGGCACAGGGAAGGCTTCCTCTTCCTCAACACCACAGCAGAGTTGACACCCACGCTTGTGCATCACGAGTCGTGCCCACACCTTTGGCTGTCTGTGCCGGGAGGTCTCCTTTTCTCCCAAGCCAGTCTGGCCTCGCCTCGCCGAAGAGACGGCATGCACAACTTGGAAAGCTATCCTACGCAACGGAACCATCCGTTCGAGGCGAGCGCCCAGGTGACAGACAACCCAAAATCACGACCCTCACCACGTCTCCTTGATCAGATCCGCGGCCCGCTCTGCAAACGCATACACGGTCGCCTGCAGGTTAGCGGTGCTGATCAAGGGAATAGCGCTCGAATCCACAACCCGCAGGTTGGAGACCCCATACACGCGCAGGCGCGCGTCCACCACGCCGCCGAGCGCCCGCGGCATCATGGCGCAGCTGCCCGCGGGGTGCCACATGGACGTGCTCTTGGCGCGCAGGTACCGTTTGGCGGCGTCCAGGTCGGCGGCCAGGTGCGAGGCCGGGTCCCGGCGGGCCAGCGGCTGCTGCAGGAGGCGGGCCAGCGGCGGCGACGTCGCGATGGTCTCGATGTGCAGCATGTGGCGCGCTAGGACCTCTTCGTCGAGGGGGTGTGAGAGGTAGCGCGGGTCGATGGCCGGGTCCACGAGCGGGTCGCGCGACTGGATGTGCACGCTGCCGCGCGAGAATGGGTGCGACAGCATGGCGGCGATGGTGAAGAACTTTCCCGGTACTGCCGGGTCTGCGGGATACCCGGAGTTGGGAACGTCCGGGCGGGGCGCCTGCGACATGATGCTGAGGTAGGCCCCCGACGGCGTCTGGGGGTCTAGAAGCATCTTCTCGCCGATGTCGTGCAGCGCGCGCGCGAGCGGCGGCTGGCTGCCGCTGCTGCTGCTGCTGCTACTGCTCTCGTCCGGGGGCGGATTGCTCCCCAGAAGCTCGCGGAGCTGCTGTTGGTCTTGGGCTGGCAAGGACAGGTAGGCGTACGTGTATACCCCGACTGAGGTGAGCGGCCCGGACCGGTTCGACGTGTACTGTTGCATGGCCTGGCCGATGGCGTCCGGCTCCTGCCGCGCTAGTGCGTCAAGAGTCTCCAGGTCATCTCGCGCCCGGTAGCTGATGCTGCTGACGACGTGGTCCTGCAGGTTCTCACCTACGCCGGGGAGGTCCTGGACGACGTCGATTCCGTGCTGCGCGAGCAGCTGTGCGTCACCGATACCGGATAGCTCGAGGACCTTGGGGGACTGAAAGGCGCCTGCTGCGAGGATCACTTCTTTCGCCACAGCAACCGTCCGGAGCTCGCCATCCTGCTCGTACTGGACCGCGGTGGCTCGGATAGGTGCGGGCGGAAGGGCCATGTCGAAGTCGATCTTCATCACGCGAGCGCTGGTGAGGACACAGAGGTTTTCGCGATTCTTGTTCGGGTGATAGTACGCCGTGGTTGCGTTGCTCCTCTCTTTTGTCGCCGGGTCGATACTGGCCAGGCAGCTAAAACCTCCTACCGATGATTCGAGAAAGGGATCGTGGGCCATGGCGAGACCGTTCATCTTGAAAGTCTCTGCCCAGGCCTCTCGGATAGGATGCGACGCGGAGCCGGGGAAGGACGTCTGGATGGGGCCGCGGGGAGTATCGTTTTCACGGCTGGTCCACTCGCCGATGCCCATGGCCTTCTCGAGGCTTTTATCAACCTCCGGGGACGTGTACGCCCTGGCGAGGTAGGGCCGTAGCGCGTCCCAGGTCCAGCCCTGGTTGCCCAACGTCTCCCAGGCGTCCACTAGGGTCTTGGTCGGCGGGACAAAAACGCGCGCATTGATGGAGCTTGACCCGCCCAGCGCCTTGCCCTGGTTGACAGGAATCTGTCGCCCGTTGAGTCCGGGCTGCGGTTCGGTAGAGAAACCCCAATCGGCGTCCGTGTACGCCAGAGCGCTGTACAAAGCCGGGATATGGACGCGCGGGTCGGCGCTGTTGTCCACGCCCGCCTCGAGCACGAGGACCCGATAGTCCGGGTTTTCTGAGAGACGAGCGGCCACCACGAGACCGGCGGTACCGCCTCCGACGATTACATAGTCGAAGGATGTAGTATCAGCAGTCATGTTGGCTTTCATGAGTTGATGAGTTGGTTGATGGATGGCAAAAAGGGGCGAGAGAAAAGACGGGAATGTCGTGAAGAAACGGAGGCAACGCCGTTTATGTTCGTCCTTCTGGGATTTTGTTGGTTGGCTTCTTCCTTCCGTTTGCTGACCGACCCTTTCTGGTCTCATGCCGGTTGACAAGCATGCCCCGCAACGTTCGTCGCAGTGTCAAGGGGGTGGGGGGGGGGGGGGGGGGGGGGGGGGGTTCTCGCCCTGTCCTCCGCTTGCCGCTCTGTGCCGGGTGAACAGCACCCGGCTTGTTTCCCCGTCGTGGGCAAGTGAAAAGCATCCCATTCGTCGTTCCATCAGTGACCGCGAAGCCCGGACCTACCGGACTAGGATGTGAATCTGGGTTCGCAACCAACGTGCATAGTTGGTACTATCAGTACTACCTGCAGGACGGTGGCGGGCCACGCCGTCGCCGTCTACCGACCTGTCACCGGCTAGATAGGTAGATACACGTGCCGCGGAGCTTTGCAACAGCTCCCTCACAAATTGGCCTACAGTTGGGACGGGTTATTTATTAGTCCGGGGCCCCAACAAGTCACACACCGTAACAGCGGCCCAGACGCAGGGAACTCCGGATGTCAGCAAACCACCTAAGCAGCAATGCCACTCACCGCAGTTGACACAAGTATCCCGCGGCTTGCCAATACCGAAATGTTGTTGGTCTGGCGACGAAATCCGCGCACCACCACTCCACGTCCAAGTACGGTGCGTCTTGAGATGCTACAAGTCTCAGTGACACTACAATCTTGACGGCCGCAGAACCAAACTCAAGCGCCCGACTTTGCCTCCCATCCAGTTAGATCATGTCTCACAAGTATCCTGCGGGTTGCCAGTACCGGAATGTTATTGGTTTGGTGATGAAATCCTCCCACCGCTAACCCCACCTCAAAGTACGGTGATGTGCGTGTTGAGACGCTGCAAGTCTCAGTGACACTGCAATCTTGACGGCCGCAGAACTAAACTCAAGCATCTGACTTGGCATCTTGCGCAGTTAGGTCATTTCTAGGAGCGGGGCAGTCGCGAGGAAGTGCGCCGCCTCGCAAATTCGTTGAAGGTCGATCCATGGCCCCCACGTCGGGGGGACTCGCGGGAGAGATGGCATGAAAAGGGCTCATCTAGAGCGCTTGGACTCAATGTTGATAAGCGAGAATGCTTTGTGCTGAGGATCCTTCGTCCTTTACTCCGCTCAATATTACTGTAAATTCCCTGATCCCTACCCACGCTGCTAGGCTAGCTACATGAGCTAGTTTCCTCTCCCAATCCCACGTACACACATGGGCAAGACATCGATTCCCATTAACTCCACTATCGAGAGTCCTACATACAGTTTAATTGGTCTATGGTCTATCTTGGTATGGCTCACTTCCCGAGGCGGCGGCTTGGGCCAACCACCACAGGCCACACCCTCCTGATGCCTGAGTGCCTCCCTGAGAGACATGGTATAATTCCCGTAGGTTGGGTTGTGCGGTGCTGCCCGAACGTGGGATCCGTTTGACGGATGGGGGCTCAGCATGGTCCAGGTTTTGAGCACCGAGTCTGAGGAACAAAGTATATTACGTGTCAAAGATGTCGGCCTCTACTCAGTACCCGAGGCAGTGAGAGCAGCCTCAACCTAGCCGGCGTTCTCAAACCCTCTCAACCATCGCCGCACCGACGCACTCTCTTGCACTGTGGCTACCTACTTTTGATACATTCGATTGCTTGAGCTTGAGACGACACGGACCAAGGTGCCGACCACGACAATGTCCATCATGGCATACCACGCCAAGACGGCGTTCCTCTTCACTAGCAACAATATCAACGACATAGTCACCACGGGCGTCTTGTTCGGCGCCCTCCATGGCCGGGTGGCAGCCAGCATCTCCATGGGCCCCTCATTGTCCTGGACGCAGATCCTGGCGGCAACACCCGCCATGGTACTCTGGTCGTGGTGCAACCTCTTCCTCTTCAACCTGCACAACCAACGCCACCCCTCGGCGGTCGCCGAAGATGCCCGGAACAAACCTTGGCGGCCGATCCCGTCCGGCCGCATAACGCCGGGGCAGACAACCGCAGTCATGCTCTGCATGTACCCCGTGGTGCTGATGGTCGCGCTCGCGGTCGGCGGGCTCGGCCCGTGTCTGCTCCAGGCCGCGTTGTCCTTGTGGTACAACGAGCTGGACGGGGCGTCCCACCCGTTTATCAAGAACTTGCTGAATGGCCTCGGCGATGCCTGCTTGTTCGCCGGACCCCTCGAGGTGGTCACGGGCCGTTCGGTCTTCTCGGGACGAGGCGAGGCAGCCCGGTGGCTGGCCATCCTGGCTGCGGCCATCACCACGACGGTGCATACCCAAGACTTCCGCGACTGCGAGGGCGACAAGGCTACTGGGCGCAGGACGGTGCCTCTCGTGATCGGGGATACGAACGCCAGGTTGATGGCGGCTGCGGGCTTCGCCATCTGGACTGCCGTATCGTGTTGGTATTGGGGGATCGGCCTAGGAATATGCAAGGCCGGGGTGGGCGTCTGGGTGGCGGCTGCGCTTCTTGTCACGAATCTGTTCCGCGATAGGAGTCAGCGTGGGGATTCGTTTACATGGAAACTCTATGCGTTGTGGCTCTTGGGCCTGTTTGCTTTGCCACCGATGGCACTCCAAGGGGGCCTCTAGCCCCCTCAGTGAAAGGAGTCGATTGTTTCATGTAAGGCTAGCCTCTTCACGTTGGTTACAGATAGGCAGCGGGGGTTTGATTTGAAAAGCTTGGTCCCTAAAACTCACCTGTAATTAAGAAGACGAAATAGATAGGTACCTAGGTAGACAGGTAGCTATTGACATTTAGCTGGGTGAGGGTACCTACCAGGTAGCTAGGTACCTCCATACCTCGGCTATACAAATTTGACTACGGTGCTGTAGAGCCACAAACCGCGCCACCGCCCCGTCATCTGAGCTGTAGGGCTCAGCACGAGATGATAGCTACCTAGGTGGATCAGTACCTAGGTAAGGTAGGTAGTTTGGTAAATCACCTACTGGCTGCCAGGCATGACCACCGCCGCCTTGGTAGTAATGATGGTTCCATCTGTAGACACCTAGGCGAACCCACACTGTGACCGAACCTAATAAGTTATCCTCCCTACTCCCTTAAATTCACTGTGCCGCGGGTCCCAACTAACAGATCAGTGGCCTAGGGACCGATTAATCGACCATACTCTCATCTAGGGCTACCACGGCATTGACAAGCAACAACCTGAATATACCGCCGCCGTCACCTTGAAGCCTACCTTGTTCCTCAGCTCCTCCTTTTTGTTTTCGAAACGGCGATAAAGCTAAACAACGACTGAAATAAAAGGAAGCAGAAAAAGAAATAAGGGAAAAAGAAAAAGAAAACGAAAATGGCCCTAACTCCGGGTGCAATTCCGGTGATCGTGGTGTCGTTCATCGCTACAATTCTGTCCATGGTTGCCCTTGTGCTACGGCTATGGTCAAAGTACATCCTGCGCCGTCGCATGGTATTGCATGACCACATGGCTTGCGCTGCGATGGCGTTCACAGCGGGCACCTCGTCTGTTCTTCTCGCGGCCGGGTTTTCTGCAGACTCGGGACTGCATCCCGACCATATCCTAGCGACCGACCCAGCTATCTTTGCGTTTAATCTCAAGGTACGCTCATCAATCAATACTGCGGAAAATTACAAGAGAACTAAGTGCGAGATCATCAACACAGCTATTCGTGCCGACACAGCTTCTCTGTGTGGCCGCCAACACCTGCGTTAAGATTTCGATCCTGTCGCTGTATACGTCCCTGTTCCCCAGCTGGCGATTCACCCTGCTGTGTTACGCCACCATGGCGGCGTCGTCGGTAAACTTCTTCGCCGTCCTACTCGAGATGTTCCTGCTCTGCACACCCGTCCAATTTACCTGGGACAAGTCAATAGCCGGCACTTGTGAGGGGCAAGCCACGGCGTACCTAATTGCGGGCATCTCTAACCTGGTGATTGACGTCTTTGTCCTCGTCATTCCCATGCCCATGCTCTTTGGGCTTCGTATGCCGCTGCGGAAGCGGCTGGGCGTGGTTGGCATGTTTAGTTTGGGAGGGCTGTAAGTCTTTCTCCAAGCACCCAACCGCTCCCCCCTCTCCCTTCGCTCTCCCTGTCTTTCTTTCTTTTATCTCTTTTCTTTTTCTTCCCTCCTCTAATACACTCCATATTCAGAATCTGCATCGTATCGATGCTGAGGGTAATCGGGGTTCACAACTGGAACCGGACTCGGGTCGACACGAGTCGCACGACTTACACAGGCACGCTGGGCGCCATCTATACCGTGCTAGAGCCCACGCTCGGCGTTGTGAACGCCTGTCTCCCAACCATCAAGCCGGCCATCATCAGGATAATTGGCCGCCAAAGCGCCCGAGACCTTCACCCTAGCAGCAAGAACAATAGCAGGGGCTTAACGGACAGCAGAAGCCTTGTGCTGCCGGAAACTCCTGATCGTCTCTACGTGCGGGGGTCCGACTTTAACAGGCTGGACGACGACATCACGCTCGTCAATATCCGCTCCGAGCCCCTGGCAGGCACGAATTCCAGCAACACCAGCGCCGACGGGCACATCACTGTGTGTCGGGAGTGGGCTGTGCGCAGTGGGTGATGGAAGCGTGAGGGCAACTGGGTGATTCGGTTTGCAAGATATCGTCTCTCCAGTTTCCAACCATGGGCTTGGGCAGGACGTATAGGCCACAACGTCTGACTTTGTGAGAAGCATTGCTCTCTCACTCTAATAGCACACGCAGCGTGTGCAAGCCGACGCTTGAGCTCTTGGTTGCCCTCCGCTTGACGGTGCGACTGGGTGATAGCGCCGCCATTCTTGTCGCGAGAGCATCATAACCTTCCACCGGAAAGGAGATGCGAGCTCGGTTGGTGGGCAGCGGTTAGCGGTTTAATGAGCTCAGGGGCGAGCCACTAATTAGTCGGGGTGCAGGCTTCTAGCAAAAATAGATGGAGCGCAGCGTTTCTTTCGTGAGATCTCGTTTCCCACGCGGCCTGTATGATGTTGACCGCGACACTTTGCGCTGGTCGGCTCTTGGAATGGTAAGCGTCGACCTCGACAACTCTCTACCAGCCGCTTGCTTGTTGGGTAGGTATGAAATACTCGGGTGATAGGTTGGGAGGTATTTATATATGTGACAATTTCAGCCTTCCGGCAGCCATAAGCTTCAACATGATGCAACGAGTGCCATTATGAAAGGTAAACGAATTATTGACCCTTTCTACTCATTAACGAGACCTAGATATCTATATAGACAAAGTATAGAGACTCCTGGTTGGATGATGCTTGGTGAACAAAATTACCTAGGCACCTACATAGATCGGCGTGAATCACACAATGCACCTGGAGATGCAATACGACCTACATATCCAGAATGCCATTATCAAAATGATCACAAAACAGGTACGAAGTACGAATAGATGGTGTATTTCCTCTTCAAATAGTTCAGTTTGACATAGATTCAAAACATACATAAATGTTGTCAAACAACCCGCTCGGAGCAAACCGGAGACCGGTTCCCAAACAATCCCCACGGCTAACTGACGGGTCAAGAGGGCTCGAATCCATTACCAATTTGCCTAGCGGTGACTCATTCGCAAACAGGAAACGGGAGACGGACGGTAAGAAAGAAACTTCCGCAGGATGGATCTCGCTTGGGTGTGAAGGATGATCGCTGATGCCCAAGGGCACGGGATCGCCAACACGTATGAGGACAGCAAGATGGCGAGTTGTCACTGGGTAACGTTGGCGAAACGCCAGGGTTGGGCGACTTTGACGAAGCCTTAAATACCTGCGTATTTTCCATGAGGCTGCGTTCTTGGTACCTTAGAGTTCGCATTAGGCAGCTCGGCTGTAAGGCGTTTAGAGGGGATCTGGTGCGGAAACTTCGTGTGGCTAAACATTCGACGTATCAACGTCCCTCAGATCGGAACGGGATGAACATGGTGGGATGGGAGGTTCGAGAAGACGTTGCGTTGGTTGCCGCACCCGGAGTGGAAACTGCGCATGGACTGCTTGGAAGCGGGGCATTGACGTGTGGAAAGCGGGGCAGCGGCCTTTGAGGATCCACTGCAGGCGCTCCGTTCGGACCCACATGGTCGAATCTCCAGGGCTGACGACCCACATCTGAATGCTGCGTGCGGCATGTCCCTGTTGCAACCAGGAGTCGGCGAATGGCGAGCGCTTGTATTCATTCATTGACAGAGCAGGAGGCCACGAAGTGTTTTGGCAATTTGCACCGAGTCCATGACCAAGGACTGCCACGTCTGGCAAGCCCTCTCGTTTGCCGCTATATCACCATCGCCGTTTCCGTTCCATCGCCTTTTGAAACTTCCCGTCTCTTTGACAGCACCCAGAGCGAGACCTCGAGGCACTGAATCGACAAGGCTGACCCGAGACTGCAATTGACCGTCAGTAGCAGCCGTTAGCCGCCGCCGCCATAATGTCCGACTCTCCGTTCACGACACCCAAGAGGAAACGCAGCGAGATGCTCAATAATGGCACGCTCAATCTTAACACTGCAACTCAATTCACCTTCGAGATCAATCCCGCCACTGACGACGGGAATGCGAGCCCACGCACTCGGGTCGCACACCGGTTCCGGGGTCTCGCGCTAGGGGGTGGGAGCGGGGCTACCGGATACTCGGCGGAGGTGAACACGATCGACAATGACGCCGAAGATGCATCGCGGAAACGAATCAAGCTCCCAGATGTCGAGATGCGGGATGCCGACACCCTCCCCGCCCCGGCGCCAGTCCGCCCCGGTTTCCCATCTTCCCCACATCGGGCCCGGTCCGTCCAAAGAGGCAGCCCCAGTGGCCGACAACATTCCCCGAAATCCGTTGGCATCGCCCTCGATGATGCCGTGGTCGAACAGTCCGAAACGGTAGCCAACACCAGCACAGACGAAGTCACCGATAGCACCACAACCACACCACCATCTCTCACCCCGCCAACCCCTCCGCCCGTCACCATCCGCCCGCCTCCCCAACCCCGCAACCGCATCTCCAAGCGAGCCGGAACACCACCCTTCCAATTCCCAACAGCCACAAACAAAACCCCATCACGGAACACCGCAACAGCAGCAGCAACAACCCCAACAACAACAACAACAACAATAACCGACCCGGTGCGCGCATCACTCACGTGGCACGACGACGAGATCACCATCTACGACCCGGACGACTCGGACGACGACGGCACGGGCATCAACGGCATCGGCTTCAAGCCGACCCCCGCCGAGGCCTACGCCCGCACCGTGCGCCGCCGCCAGCAGCTCGCCGAGTACCGCAAGCGCGAGGAGCGCGACGCCCGCGCCAAGCGCAGCCTGCGCCGCCGCGGGGGGAACAGTCCCGCGCCTGCTGGTGGTCCTGGTGGTGGTGGTGGTGGTGGTGGTGGTGGTCTGCGGGGGGGTGAGGCGGTGGGGGGTGGGAAGATTGGGAAGGGGGAGAGGAGGCGGGTGCGGTTTTTGGATAGTCGCGTGGAGGGGGAGTTGATTGGGGTTTGAGGGTTTGGGTTGGGTTGGGGTGTCTTTGTTTTGGCGGCGTTGGGCTTGGAGTTGGGGTAATTTAGTGGGATTGCTATCATGAGGGATGACTCTCCGTGGCTTGCGTACGTTGCTTGGTTTAAACTCGAAATTACACTTGACGGCAGGGCCGGGAAGTCGGCCGATTGGTTTGGGGATGGCGTTTGCACCGGGATATTGGGTTGGTTTTGCACGGGTGGACACCCTGGAACTGCTTCTTTTTGTATACAAATGGCGTTTGCTATGGCGTGGTGCTGAGAGCTGGTCTTCACTTGAGATACGAGCTACACGGCCGACGGATATCCCACCGGGCTTTCTTTTGTTACAATACGATGACACCTTTAACACCCCTCCTATCAACCGCATGCCGATTAACCCCCCTCCAAACGTATGGTGACTGCGTATCATACACCCCCCTCCCTACCAACCTACCAAAACCGCCACCACCCCCCTTTCCTCGCCGCCATCTCCTCCTCCCCCCTCTCCCTCTCCCTCTTCTCCTCCTCATACTTCTCCCTCTTCTCCCGCGCCTGCTTCGCCGCGTACACCTCCACCACCCGCTTCACCTTCTCCCGCTCCTGCATCCGCTTCAGCTGGCAGTACTCGTACTGCGCGATCGCCCCGAGCGCCCCCGCGCCCACCGCCCAGTTCGCCGCCCGCGGGATCGGCAACCCCATGATCCACCGTATCCCGCCCATCGCCGCCCCGGCCCCGATCCCCGTCAGCAAGCCCGACCGCGCGCACGGCGCTTGGTGGAAGGTGAGGAAATCCCCTGGCTTGATGCTCTGCGCGGCTTCGCTTAGTGTGGGTCGGCGTGGGCGGCCGTCGCCGGGTTGCGGGGGGGTTTGGGGTTGTGGTGGGTGTGGTTGCGCTTGGTCTTGAGATGTTTGAGGAGGGGTTGCCTCGGTTTGTTGGAGCCATGAGCGGTTGGGGTCCGCCGGGCCCTGGTCCCGGGTCGGTGGTTGTGGTGTTGGCATGTTGGGAAGAGCTTAGACGGGGGTTGGGGTGTGGACGGAGCTCCTAGGAGCAGAGGGGGCGGAGGAGGGTGTTGGGGTCTACGGCGTTCGGAGAGTGTTGGAAGATCGTGTGGCCATCCACCTGGTATGAAGGCCTATTCTCTACATCCTCGCTCCGTTAGCCATTGGCCTTTTTCGACAGTGTGGTGGGGTTGGGATTCAGTTAGACATTAGTACCCTGCAATGGCAGCAATTGAGCCCGCTTTTGCTGTGCTTTGCAACCTGCGAGATCCTCGATCTCGAGCTGCGGTTCGGCCCGTGCTTTGCCGACTTCTTCGCGCCAAAGATTGGATGGAGTCAGGGTTAGGGCCAATGCCTGCTGTAAACAGCGGCTTCCCTGCCCCTGTGCCCCGCCAGTCGCGTCGCGACGCGGTCCAGCGCGTCGAATGGACAATTGAGTTTAATGGGTTTTGCCAACGCAGACGCCGGTTTCTAGTCCAGTGAGCACACCGCAAGCTGGAATTCCCGGCAACAACGCCTTCTCTAACCTCCGACATTCTAATGCGGATCTTTTTATGACGGATTTCTCTTTTCATTTCAGATACCCTCTTTTTCCAGCGCCTTGTCTTGACAGTCTCTTCAACATACCCAAACCGAAACTCCGCAAACACGACAAAGCCTGCGGGAACCTTCTCCTCCAGTTACGACAATGCCCAACACATCCCTTCGACGGCCCAGGGGGGGTTACCGCCGTGGCGGGAAAACTGCATACCATGGCTCACGAACCCGGACATTTGCGGCATCGTCCAACGCACGCGGCGAAGCGACATCAAACGACGAAAAATGGGAGCGGACAGCTCTCGCACACCAGATCGACGAGAACATGGGCTTCGGGCGTTATGACGCAGGCAAACGGCGTGAAGGCTGGCTCGTCAACATACAACCCACCGCAATCGACGACCCCAGAGTACCCGGTGGTGGTGGACGTGCTGCGCTCGACTGCTACTTCATCGAGGAGGACGGGTCAACATTCAAGGCAACAGTGGAATACGAGCCATACTTTCTCATTGCCTGTCGCAAGGGGCACGAAGGCGAGGTCGAGGAGTGGTGCAAACGGGTACCGGGCGACGGTGTGGTCAAGGGCATCAAACGGATCGAGAAGGAGGACCTGAAGATGCCAAACCACCTGCTGGGGTATCGGAGGACGTTTATCCAGTTGACGTTTCACAACGTACAAGACCTGTTGGCAGCCAGAAGGGACATCATGCCCATCGCGGAGAAGAACAAGAAGGGGATGGATGCCATGGACACATATGCCGAAGTCGCAAAGTGAGTGGCGGGTGACATTCGAAGGGAGGCGGGCAATGGCTGACCGGGACACAGCGCGAACGGCAATTTCGATCTTTTTGATGACGACCCACGAACTGATGACCGGCGGAATAATGCATCCTTTGCTGAGGCGAGCGACTTCATTGTCGATATTCGTGAATACGACGTTCCATACCACGTTAGAGTAATGATAGACTTGGGTAAGTTGCGCCTCTGATGCTGGAAGGGAGGGCCCTTGACTGACGTGTTACAGATATCCGAGTGGGTAATTGGTATTTTGTGGAGGCAAAGAACGGCGTCACAACTATTATTCGGAACGAGGAGCGTTTGGCGCCGGCAGACCCGGTTGTCATGGCCTTCGATATCGAGACGTGCAAAGCACCCCTGAAGTTTCCTGACGCTGCGGTTGACCAGATCATGATGGTATCTTACATGATCGACGGTCAGGGTTTCTTAATCACCAACCGCGAGGTGGTCTCAGCGGACATTGACGATTTCGACTACACCCCAAAACCAGAATACCCGGGGCCATTCATGATCTTCAACGAGCCCGATGAGAAGGGTCTTCTCGAGCGCTTCTTCCTTCACATCAAGGAGGCCCGACCCACAGTGATCGCCACTTACAACGGTGACTTTTTCGACTGGCCCTTCGTCGAAGCTCGCGCCAGCTTTAACGGCATCGACATGTATCACGAGATCGGGTGGAAAAAGGATTCCGAAGACCAGTACAAGTGCAGCTACAGCGTGCACATGGACTGCTTCCACTGGGTCAACCGTGACAGTTACCTCCCTCAGGGTAGTCGAGGCCTCAAGGCCGTCACCGTCGCCAAGCTCGGATACGACCCTGATGAACTCGACCCTGAACTCATGACGCCATACGCCAACGAGCGGCCACAAACGCTGGCCGAATACTCCGTCTCCGATGCCGTCGCCACATACTATCTGTACATGAAATACGTCCATCCTTTCATCTTCTCTCTGTGCACCATCTTGCCTCTCGGTCCCGATGACACGCTGAGGAAGGGCACAGGAACGCTCTGCGAGATGTTGTTGATGGTGCAAGCCTACCAAAAGGAGATTGTGCTACCAAACAAGCATATGGCGCCGAAGGAGGCCTTCTGGGATGGCCACTTGTTGGACTCGGAAACCTACGTTGGTGGGCACGTCGAGAGTATCGAGGCCGGCGTCTTTCGGGCAGACATACCGGTGAACTTTGCGGTCGATCCCGGGGCCATTGACGAATTGCTGCGCGATTTGGACTCGGCCTTGACCTTCAGCATCACCGTGGAAGAGAAGAAGTCGATGGATGATATCACAAACTACGAAGAAGTCAAGCAGCAAATCGCCGCGAAGCTGCTTGACCTCAAGGAGACGCCCAACCGCAACGAGCGACCTCTGATTTACCATCTCGACGTCGCGTCCATGTACCCCAACATCATGACGACCAACCGGCTACAGCCCGACTCCATGATCTCAGAATCCGATTGCGCTGCTTGCGACTTCAACCGCCCCGGCAAGACCTGCGACAGGAGAATGCCGTGGGCATGGAGAGGCGAGTATCTGCCAGCGAAGCGGGACGAGTACAACATGATCAAACACGCCCTGGAGAACGAAAAGTTCCCGGGCAAGTTTGCCAACAGCCCAATACGCTCGTGGCAGGACCTGAGTTTGGAGGAGCAGGCCACTCTCACCAAAAAGAGGATGCAGCTGTACTCCCAAAAGGTCTACCACAAAATTCGCGACTCGACCACCATCGTACGAGAAGCCATCATCTGCCAGCGAGAAAACCCCTTCTACATCAATACCGTCCGCGACTTCCGTGACCGCCGCTACGACTACAAGGGCAAGGCGAAGGTTTGGAAGGGCAAAACAGAGGCCCTAAAAAGTTCAGGGGCATCATCCTCCGAAGTTGACGGCGCCAAGAAAATGATCATTTTGTTCGACTCCCTGCAACTGGCACACAAAGTCATTCTCAACTCATTCTATGGCTACGTCATGCGGAAGGGCTCGCGTTGGTACTCCATGGAGATGGCGGGCGTGACCTGCTTGACAGGAGCAACCATCATTCAGCTGGCCAGGTCTCTAGTGGAGCGACTGGGTCGCCCCCTTGAGCTTGATACAGACGGTATCTGGTGCATGTTGCCGGCCACATTCCCAGAGAACTTCGCATTCAAGCTTAAGAATGGCAAGAAGCTCGCCATCTCTTACCCCTGTGTCATGTTGAACCATCTGGTGCATGCCAAGTTCACCAACCACCAGTACCAAACACTGGTGGACTCCAAAACCTTCAAGTACGACACACATAGCGATAACTCCATCTTCTTTGAAGTCGACGGCCCGTACAAGGCCATGATTCTCCCCACCTCGAAGGAGGAGGACAAGAATTTGAAGAAGAGGTATGCTGTGTTCAACGACGACGGCAGCTTGGCAGAGTTGAAGGGTTTTGAAGTCAAACGGAGAGGTGAGCTCAAGCTCATCAAGATCTTCCAGCAACAGATTTTCAAGTTCTTCCTGGATGGCACGACTCTGGCCGAGTGCTACACTGCCGTGGCAAAAGTCGCCAATCAGTGGCTAGACGTACTGCACAGCAAAGGCGTGACACTAGCCGATGAGGAACTCATGGAACTCATTTCCGAAAACCGCAGCATGACCAAGACACTGGAGGAATATGGGAGCCAAAAGTCAACTTCCATTACAACCGCCAAACGCCTGGCGGATTTCTTAGGAGAGGGCATGGTCAAAGACAAGGGCCTGAACTGCAAATTCATCATCTGCGCGAGACCCAAGAGCGCTCCAGTCACGGAGCGTGCCGTCCCCGTCGCCATCTTCTCGGCGGAAGAGGAGACGAAACGCCTGTATCTGAAGAAATGGCTCAAGGAGGAGCCGGCAGACACGGACCCAAGGGCACTGCTCGACTGGGACTACTACACCGAACGTCTGGGCTCAGTGATTCAGAAGCTCATCACCATCCCTGCTGCTCTGCAAAAAGTTCGCAACCCGGTACCACGTGTGCCACACCCAGACTGGCTGCAACGCCGTATTAACATCAAGGACGACAAGATGAAGCAGAAGAAGCTCACGGATCTCTTTGGACCAACAACCAAAGGTGGTGCTCTGGAGGAGATTGCTCCGAATCTACTTGGCGATGTCGAAGACATCGGCGCGCTCCTCAAGCCCAAGACGGTCAGCTCGGCCATCTCCGCGTCCCAAAAGATACCACGGTCCCAGAAACGCAAGTCCCCTGAGCCTGCGGAAAACCAAGACCCCTTTGCCACTCTCCCAAAGAAGATGCCTTCACCCAGTGAGGACTACCCAGCTTTCTTAGAATACCAAAAGCTGAAGTGGAAGCTGCAAAAGCAAGCACGGGCGCGGCGGAGGCACCTCTTTGGTGACAGGCGCGGCAACATCCAGAGCAATATCCAGCAGACGTTCCGAAACCAGGCCGAGATAACCTTCAGGAACACCTGGCAGGTCCTGCAGCTCCGGGCTACCGACAGCCCCGGTATTGTGCTCGCCTATGTGCTCATCGATGGCAAGATCCACGCCGTCAAGGTCAACGTCCCGCGGCAGGTCTTCCTCAATCTGAAGAGCAAGGAGCTGCCAGACATTGAGGTCGATGGCTGCCAAGTCGAGCAGGTCTACCACACGCTTCCCAACGGGCATTCCTCGGTTCACTTGTTCAAGCTCACGGTGCCCGAGGAAATCTACTTCGCCGAAGCCGAGAAGTTCTCGCTACTTTTCAACCACCCCAGCGTTGAAGGTGTGTACGAGAAGCAGCTCCCGCTCAATCTACGGGCCGTCCTTCAGCTAGGCAACCGCTGCACCATCGATGACAGTCAACCCGGCGTGCTCGGGAAGGGTCTTGACCATGGTTTCGACCTGTCCAGCCTGACAAAACCCACCAAGCCTAGGCCATACCTTGACGGCGCCCGCATGTCATACATCTACCTCTCGCACATCAGCGCGGGCGACCGCCAGATCTTCGGCGTGTTCTCGACAACGGGTGACAAGGCACACATCATCATACAGCAGAAGAACAAAGATGGTGGCCAGGATCTGCCGAACATCACCAAGCTGTACTCGGACTTCTTCGCGCGTAGGAACCGCGAGGAGCCCGCCGACTCCAACTGGCAAGAGTGCTTCCCGTATCAGGAGAAGCTGGTGTTCAAGATTACCCAGGTTACAACACGCCGAAAAGCTTTCCTCGAGGTCGGTGACGTTGTCAAGAAGATGAAGAAGGAGGAATCGGGGGCAACCATGATGGTCATCCAGTCGTCGCAGCGGAACCTCCTTGTGCACGACATTCCGGTTTTGGGAGAGTTCCCCGTCCTACCATTAAGATATGACCCAGCCGATAGCTCCTTGCCGCCGCTGGGCTGGCAGACCGTCGTTGCTCGGCGCCTGGTCAACCATTACCTCAGCCTCGGTTCCTGGATCAACCACTTGACTGCCCTGGCCAAGTACGGCGAGGTCCCCTTGTGCAACCTGGAGCGCGACGATCCGCGGTTTTTGATCGACGTTGCCTACGCTCGGCGTTTACAAGCCAACAACGTCGTGCTGTGGTGGTCGGACAGCCCGCGGCCCGACCACGCCGGGTACGAGAAGGACGACGTGGCTGGGCCTCTCGACCAAGTTCAGATGCCATCCGTCAACAATCCGGGAACCTTTGCGTCTGTCTGCATCGACCTCGAAGTCCGTAACCTAGCCATCAACACCATCCTAACGTCATCTCTCATCAATGAGCTTGAGGGAGCCGATGCCATTGCGTTCAACCCCGGCGGTGACGGCGGTGCAGAGGGCAATGACGCCTTGTTCGCCGATAATGCATTTGCCAACGCCGGAGTGCAAGTCCTCCGAGAGATGGTGAAATCGTGGTGGGCCGAAGCTTGCAAGGGCTCGACAATGGCCGATGTCATGGTCCAACACTTGGTCCGCTGGGTGGAGTCCCCGGCGTCCTGCCTTTACGACCGCGCCCTGCACTACTATGTTCAGATGATGAGCCGCAAGGCACTTCTCCAGCTCATGGCAGATTTCCGCAGAGTTGGGTCACAGGTGATTTACGCGAGCCCCAACCGGCTGCTCTTGCAAACCACCAAGTCCGAAGTCGGCAATGCCTATGCCTACGCGCAGTACATTCTAAAGAGCATCAAGGGCAAGCCCCTGTTCCACTTCATAGACCTCGAGATCAAGGAGTATTGGGATTACCTCGTGTGGTACGATGAGTTCAACTACGGCGGCAAGGCGTGCCAGGAGGTGCTTGAACGAGACGAGCAAGACCTCCAGATGATCATGCATTGGCAGATGGCGACCTTCCTGCCCATCCGACTTCAACCCACCTTCCGCGACTGGGTCGTCGAGTTCATCGAGCTCATGCACGGCATCAAGCGGCCAGCAACAGGGAGTGATCCCACCGCCACCCCACGCCTCACTCAACTCCCCATCCGCAACAGCAACGCCGGGCTTGCTGAAGACGCTCCCAACCAAATTATCCTCGGGAATGCGTTCGAAAAGCCGCTCAAGAAGGAGATCACCTCCCTAGTCGCCACCCAGAAACGGGAGCTCCTTCACCCGGAACTCGCAGCCGATTACACCTTCCCCTCTCTCCCCGGCTCCCACCTCGCCCACCTCACCCCCCAATCCACCACCACGACCACCACCGCCACCAGCACCACCAACAACAACAACAAGAAGAAAGCCACCAAACCCACCGCCTCCGCCAACCCCATCCTCGAGCTGGTCAAGTCCCTCATGCAGGTCCTCTCCCTCGACAAGAACATCACGCTCGAGGCGCGGCTCCTCCGGAAGGAGCTGCTCAACCTCTTCGACGTGCGCGAGTTCTCGCGCGAGGGCACCTTCCAGAACCCGTCCGAGTCCCTGCGCCTCGCCCAGCTGAGCTGCGACAGCTGCACCATGGCGCGCGACCTCGACCTGTGCCGCGACGAGGACCTGCTGCCCGCGTCGTCGGCCTCCCAGGGCGGGGAGGGGCCCGAGGAGGGTGCGTGGAGCTGGCGGTGTGGGTATTGTCAGCAGGAGTATGATAGGAATGAGGTGGAGGAGAGACTGTTGGGGGATGTGCAGGCGCTGGTGGTGCAGTGGTCGACGCAGGACTTGAAGTGTGCGCGCTGTGGTGCGCTGCGGGTGAATGAGTTTATGGAGCACTGTACGTGTAGTGGGGAGTGGAAGGAGAGTGTGAACCGGGGGGAGGTGATGAGGAGGTTGGGGGTGTATCGGAATGTGGCGAGGTTTTATGGGCTGCGGATGTTGGGGGGTGTGGTGGATGGTGTTTTGGGGGGGTTGTGAGTGTGTGTGGTGTGTGATATGGCAGGGCATGTGTGTGTAAGTCGATCATGGGATCCGGCGTTGTTTTTTTTCGGGTTGGGTAAAGGAATGCATATTTGGCTTCGTCTCGACTCTTCGTGTGTTTACTTCCAGGTTCCTTCCCCCATTACCAGTTATTTGCTATGCCCTTCCCGCTTCTTCTTGGCTTATCGTGGACGATTGTCACTGTTGTTCCCTCTCTCCTTTCTTCCCCTCCTGTGTACGTCACAGTACGAATCGTGTGCAAACAACAACCCCACCACAGGTCCACTAAAATGAGTGACGCCGTTCATTCCAGTGCCGCCCGGCGCCAATCGGATCGTCAAAGAGAGGCTGTTTGTGGAGCACGAAATTATCTGCCTTCCAACACCGCTTCACTCCGTTTGCTCCCAACCTGCCACGACGGGCACGCGTCCAATGTGGTTCTTTCTGCCACTGATGATTTTAGTAAATAAATTTCCACGGATGGGCAGCGGCGCCTGCGACCCAACCCACGTACCGTTGTTAACAACCAGATCGGTATGTGGATTGTACCTTGTTGTTTTGGTCGAAATGGAACACAATAACTGACATTGGGTAATTAGCACACTTAGCCTCTCCTACGCGATGCTCAACGACCAGGAAATCGAGCGGGCGGCGGCCCAGCTTGCCGATTACAAGAAAAGCGACGCGTTATCCAAGCTCCTGGATCAATATTCGGTTCTGATCGATGATTACAAGCGCCTAAAGAGCGACTACGAGGAGGAGCGTGAGACTCGGGAAAAGTACAAGCAGATGGCCAAAGACCAAGAGCGCAACCCATTTGTGTTGGTCTTGGTCGATGGCGACGGTTATGTGTTCAACGATACATTCCTGTCTCAACGTGCCGAGGGTGGCGGGCCTGCCGCCCAGGCGCTTAACGACGAAGTCAAGACCAGTCTGCGGCGCAAGGGACTCGAGCATTGCCAAGTCATGGTGCGAATCTACGCCAACGTCTTTGGTTTATCGAAAGCCCTGTCTAAAACCGGCGTGGTCGGTGCAGACAGTCGGTCGCTGGCCCCATTCATTGCCGGCTTCAACAGGTCTTATGGTCTCAGTGAGTTTGTTGACGCCGGCCAGCTGAAGGAGAACGCCGACTTTAAGCTGCGAGCCATGCTCCGCCTCTACGCCGATAATAGCCAGTGCAAGCACATTTACTTTGCTGCCTGCCACGACGTCGGCTACATCTCTGAGCTTACACCCTTTATGGGGAATAGCTCCAAGTTTACACTCATCAATACCCCAGGCGTCCGCTTCCACAACGAGTTCACGAAGTTGGGCATGGGTATTGAAGAGTTCCGCGCTGCCTTCCGACACTCTCCCCTTGACGGGTTTACCGCATACCGTCCCCTTAATAATGGTGTGGGCACCGCGGGCAAACCCTCCGTGGGACCGCCTCAGCCAGCGTCGCCCAGTAAGGTGCCGGCGAGTCCGACAATGCACGATGTATCCAAAATCCCGTGCCTATTCCATTCGATTGGGAAGTGCCGATCCGGCAAGTCGTGCAAGATGTTGCATGACGGTCCGTCGAACGACACAAGAACTTCCCTGCATTATTCCGATATGCCATCGCCCATCAGCCCGGCAAGCACGACAAATGACACGGCATCCGTGGCTTCGCAACTGGTCAACCTACCGAGGGCATATACGATACCCGATGGCCAGGTTTCGGTCAACGAGAACAACTACCGCCTTGATCCGTACCTGCCGGCCATCACTGCCGATGTGATGAGCCGCTTAAAGGCACGCGTCGACAAGCGGCGGGTGTGCAACAGTTTCCATCTGCAAGGGTTCTGCGACGCCGGCGATCGCTGTGAATACGATCACGAGCCTCTCGACCCAGAGGTTTTGCCGGCCCTACTGTCGCTCGCCCGGTCCCAGCCATGCCCGCGGCGTGGCGCATGCAGGTTGGATAGTTGCTACCACGGACACATTTGCCAGAACCTCGAATGCAAGCATCGGGGCGGCAAATTGTATTGCAAGCTGCCCTATCTGTCGCATCTCGAGCCTGTGACCGGCGTTCACTACGTCCCGGCCGTTTCCAAGCCAAGCCGCAAGACAAACGGCGGCAGCGCAAGCAGCACGACTAGCCGTTAGATCTTGTGATCGATCGGCGTGGCGATACATGCGTATCGCCATCATTCATTGTTATAGTACTCGGTCTGGCTCGGCGGGCCCAGGATATTTCCAGCTCCACGACTGCCAGGCCACTCTCCCAGCAAGCAGCCCTGAAAGGTAGCCGAAAGGGCGGGTAACAGTCCCAGGATGATGGGCGGAAACAGCCTGAGCGTGTCTGCAGTGCAAACAACGCAAGCAGTATGCCGCCAGGCTTGTGTTTCCGTTCAAGTACCAGGACCTCGAGCAAGGATCCGGTCAAGGTCGTTTCCTAACAGCTCAGGGAGGCCGTCGGCGGGTCTAATCATCAGCATTTCTCGGAACAGCTGTGGGCGGGAAGAAGCTAGAGAACGCATATCTGCCGAGAGTATCACCATGTAGGTAGCAAGCAGCTTGCTAATGTAGCTCAATGTCAGCGTTCTATGCACCCCCCAGAAGCCGCAATATGCAAACGCCTCGGAGACACAGTATGTCGAAACAGAGTAGACATCGACTGAAAACATGAATGAAGTCAACACATCCATTCCTTCTCCCCCATTATCCATGGCCCCTCGCCTCCTCGAAATACAACCCTAACCCCACATCTGAAACAGCCCACAGGCCACTTGCCCTTTTCTCTGCAGCCTCACGGCGTATCTCGACGCTGGTTGGTTGCAGGCTAAAATATCCTGCCCGAAACTCGGGCGATACCCGGCCCCACCCAGGCCGGGACCACGCCGCCCTCGGCCGTCGTTGGCCCACTCTGCCCTCTTGTCTCTGTCTCATGTCAGTGCACCACCCCAACCCACCGGCCCCGGAGGTCGATATTATGGGCGAGCTGAAGTTTCAATTATCTGTAGTTCATGTTGCCGAGATACCCTTTCCTTTGTACGACAGGAGTCCAGATGCCGATACACCCTCCGGCCGGGCCCGGGCTCATAGTGATCAAACCACCATCCGGGTCACCATGGTATGGCTGCATTGTTTCACTTGAGGGTAATGGAGGGTAAGGGGAGAATAGCCCCCAGATTGACGGGTGTAAACCAGTATAAGACGGTCCGCTGATCACCACGGATCCTGCTCTCATCTCATCCTCTCCATCAGACGATTCAGCATCAACATCAGCATCCACATCAACAACAACACCAACCTTCATTTCTATCATCCTTTCAACTCCAATCCACCCACCCCAACCAACCCATCCAAAATGCACCTCTCCCTTCTCCTCACCCTCCCCCTCCTCGCCGCCGCCACCACCACCAGCGGCAGCGAGACCACCCCCAAGAACCCGCGCGGCATCACCGACAAGATCAAGGGCGCCTTCGGCGACGCCCCGGCCATGGCGCGCGAGCTGTCCGACTGCATGGCGCTGTGCGTGGAGTTTGGCATTTACGATCTGGACATGGACAAGTGCAGTCTCGACAACGGCGCCGCGGGGGTCATGGACTGCTGGTGCCAAGACGGCGACGGCGACGGCGGCGAGGGCGCCGTCGGCCAGGCGCTGGAGAACGGCGTGCGCGAGTGTTTTGAGACGATCAAAGAGGGCGGGCGGAGGGCCGCGATGGGCTGCACGCTGGAGGGGTATGAGGAGGGCAAGATGCTGGGGATTTGTGGCGCGCTGGAGGGGGAGAGTGGCGAGAAGAAGAATGAGACGGGCCAGGCGATTGGGGAGAGGCTTAGGGGGGTCCATGCGAAGGAGGAGGAGCGTGAAAACGGTGGGGGGCGGAAGGGGGCGGTTTCGGGTGGGAATGGGACGGGTGAGGGACAGGGTAGTGGTGCGGCTGCTGCTGCTGGGCCGGGTATGACGGCTAGGGTTGCGGGTGCGGCGTTTGCGGCAGCGGTTGCGTATGCTGTTGCTATGCTCTGAGGTATGGGGTTGCAAGGGGTTGGGGTGTTGTTTGACTTCAGGTTCGTTGTTGGGTATTCAGGCGTTTCATTATAGAACGGGGCTGGCGTTGGTTTGAGTGTCCCTTTTGGGTCATCGCGAGGTTTGCCTTACTTGTTTTTGTTTTGTTTTGTTTTTGTTGCTTTTGGGCTATTTTACATTTGATTTTGATTTTGGGTTGCGCACAATAGACATTTTTTGAGAGCAGATTTGTTTGTTATCATTTTGTGGCAGGCTCATGGAATTCACGAGTCACGCAATCCAGTTCTAAACATCTTCCGAGGGAGTTCTAACCTCGGTTCAGTACCGAGGTAAGTACCTAGGTAGTTTACACCTGAGGATTCAATCTCTTGCCATCAAACCTAAGCCTTAGTATTGTTCCAAGTCTAGGTACCTACAGCATTCTAGCTGGCCGCGATGATTCAACAGTATTATCACTGACACTTAAACCATTAACAGTCCGAAGTCTTGGACTGCCCAACACTGAGGAAGGGACAGAGAGTTTGTTCCATGAGGCTGAGAGGACTGAAAGTGACGGTGATGCAATAACCGCAAATGCTGAACTGAGCTGCCCCGAAAATAGAATCTCGGCAACAAAACCTTCTCACAAAAGCAACGAAGTACGAGGTGGGGGAGGGGATCGCCGATGGTCGCAGTGGCAATACTACCCCTCAACGGAGACAAATTCCCTTCTATCACGCAAGAACGCCCTGGCTGAGCAAAGGACACCACCATATCACGCAGACCAACATCGGGCAGGTGGGTTGCAGACAGATAGCTGGCTTACACCGCCGTAGTGGTGTGAAGCAGCCAAGCTCGAAGCTGCACCTCGGCCAAAGTCAAAGATATGCACGTAAAGAAAAGGTCACGGGGCTATCTGATACCCTATTTTTGGTGAGTCACATGTGACCGCTCTCAAAGCTCAGAGGGCGTTGGCCGGCGAGCTGCATTGTTGGATCTGTAGTTGGTGTGCTGCATACATAATACAACCCTGCTCTCTGAGCTGCAATACGACCCTCTCCGAGCTCAGCTCATGCCGCCATACCTCAGCTGCATTCAGACTACATATATGCATGCCAAGAAGCCCATCGACAGCACATCAAGGCAGCTTAGATATCAAAAGCGGGGGAGAAGGACGGGTGGTACAGACTCGGCCGAAGCGGCACGGCACGTTAAGTAGGTGATTAATAGTAAGCACTTTGATATCCCCCGATGTACGAATACATGGCCCCCAGCCTTAACTCCCCATGAATGCAAGTACCAAACGCCGAGATAACGACGCACTTTTCCCGCCCATTTGTACAACCCTTCCCCCAATCTATCCTTCCCGCCCGTCTTGCGCCCGCTGTAACACCACCTCTACCTCGTGGGGATCCATGCCGGTGTGACGTTCGTAATACCGGCCTCATATTCAGCCGGGTAAGGTCCCAACTGATCCCCCGCCCGAACTTCCTGAAGCAACGATTCAGAACTCGGGTCATACCTCCCATCCACGTTAGTGGCTGCGCCGAAATGCTGCATCCCGAGGTCGCTGGTTGATCCCATCTCACCACTGCGCCTGGCGTTGGGGTGTAGGTTTACTGATACTATCCTGCCGCCGGGCTGGATGTAGTAGGCAACAATGGAATCTCGCCTTGCCAACCCTGTCGTGTTGTCGTAGGCCACGTTATCGCGTGTTTGCCATCCCATCTGCGAAACTTGCGAGGCGTTGGCGCTTGAGTATGGGCTGTCAGCCCCGAAGGCGGATTGTGTGTAATTGCTGGAATGAGTGCCGTTGCTACCGGGGTGCGAGTAGTTCGCTGGGGGCACCATGGTTGAAGAAGAAGAAGCCATGAGAGGCGCTTTCACTGCTCGCCCCCCTTCAAGCGTGAAGTCGGACTGAAGACCTTTGTCCATGCTGAACCGTTTGATCACCAAACTGATGAAGAAGGAAGCGATGGCAGTTGCGGTAATTGTCCAGTAGACTCCTTGAAAGCCCGTGACATCTGAAAAAGTGTTAGTGCTCCAGTAACCACCTCGAGTAAAGGGGTGATAAACTTACAGGCTTGCAACGAAGCGATGCGGACGGGATCCTCCGGATCCATTTGGGACAGTGCCTCGACATAGACCTCGGAATTGTGCGCGATGCTCTCAGGCAGACCCAGCTCGGCAAGCTCGTTGATCATCACGTTCAGGAACACAGACCCGCCGACGGCCACACCAATGGACATGCCGAGAGCACGCATGAACGCATACATGGCTGCAGCGCGCCCGGCGTCTTCAACGTTGCTCACCGCCTGGATGCCAATGTTGAGACTGGTAAGAAGCATGCCGTGGCCGATCCCAAAGACGATGAGAATAGTAGCCCAAGCAGCCGTCTCCGTGTCGGCGTCGAGCAGGACAAGGAGGCCACAGCCAATGGCCGTGATAACCCATCCGCTCCAGATCGCCCACCGGTAGCGGCCCATGCGAGTCGTGATTAGCGAGGTGACGATACTGCTAGGAAGTAGAACGCAAGTGGCCGGGAATATGTCCAAGCCGGCTTGTACCGGCGATTCGAACTTGACTGCAGTGAAATAGAAGGGGACGTAGTAGAGCGCACAGAAGAGCTGCGGGAGGGCAATGTCAGTAGAGGAGAGGGGCACAATGGACCCAGGGTAAACATACAATGAAGCCTTGGAACAGAGCACAGACGTATGTGGCGAGGGCCGAACCTGACCTGAATAGGGATGGGCGTAGAAATGGCTCTCGGGCTCCGTAAATCTCCCAAACGATGGCTAGGACGACGCCGGCGGTCCCAACTATAATTGGGCCGATGGTCTGGACACTTCCCCACGCATACTGAACACCACCCCATGAAATACCAACGAGGAAACTGGTAAGGCCACCGATGAAGAGGAATCCACCGATCCAGTCGACACGGGCAAGTTTGGAAACCAGGGACGACTTGACCGTGGTGAGCTTGACATAAATTGGGACGAGAATAAGACCGATGGCGCAGAATGGGAACTATGAGAGCACAATTAGCAAGTGTCTAGTGTCATGTAAAGGGAGGGTAGCAACTATGCGCACATTAATGTAGAAGCACCAGGCCCAAGTGGCGTGTTCAACAAATAAACCCCCAATCAACGGTCCGAGCACGCTCCCCAATGCCCAGGAGATTTGAACCAGAGCGAAGAACTTGGGGCGTTGGCGGAGGGGAACAATATCGGCGAAAATAACTTGGCCCAGGGTGATGATGCCACCACCACCAATTCCCTGGATGGAGCGCCCGACGAAGAACACGGTGAAGGTCCGAGCAACGGGGGCGCAGAGAAGGGTCCCCAAGGTAAAAAGAAATATTGACACGAGGAGCAGCTCCTTTCTCCCAAAGATGTCGGACAGCGCAGCAATAAAGGGTTGGCAGACGGCCGATGTCAACAGGTAGGAAGTCCCGGCCCAGAATGCATCTGTTGCGGTACCGTTAAGATCAACGGCCAATGTCTGAATAGGTTAGCTTGGACACTGTTGTTTAACTCCGAGCGGATGGACCATCACTCACGGGCAATACCGAGACCAGAATGGTCGCATCCAGTGCCACCATCAAGGAGATAATGGCAAGAGTGGCCATGACGGCGTACTCCTTACTGCTGGGCTTCCATTCGACTTCGGGAAGCATGCCCTTCTCCAGATGAGGATCATATTCGTTTGACGATTCCCTCGTTTCACTCATGACGGGATACCCCACGTCTTCCGCAGGCCTACTGGCGCCTTGGTAGAAATGAGCCATTGCTTCGACTGGAAAGCCCCACGACACCGGCGATAATGGGTATGAAAGGTATGAACTAATGAAGCAGAGGAATAAAGTGCCTCCTGCAACAGAATGAGAAAAAGAATAGAATGAGAAGGGGAATGCTCAACTTAGGGCATGGCTCGAGGCGTGAGGGTGTACACACAACCTCCACAACAACATCGCCATGTGCCCGGACGCGAGTCGGTCTTTATGAACGCCATGTTTCTAGAAGGACCAACAGCGACCCGATCGGGCGATAGCCTCGCACCATGTTGGTTATGGGGCGATGAGCCTATTTCTGGTACAGGCCCGCATCCATGCAGACCATGCCCATTACCGGGGACTTGCGGCCCCCAACGGCGACTGTTGGGTGGGGTCAAGGTGTGTGTGTATGCAGCCAAGCGAAGCCCGGAAGGAGAGTCAGAACAGGAGCGACACCCCGGTAGTGAGATGAGATGGCAGGAAAGATGTGGCCGATGTCGTCCACCCGGTAGAGGCATCATGTGTTTGGAGACAATCTTGGCAAGGAAGGGATGTGTCCCGCTGCGAGTCAAGACTCAAGCGGCAAGCCTTCCTACCACCCCTGCAAGCCTTCCGGGCGGCAATGGACCAAGCGATGTCACCCCATGCGTTTATCGTGTGTGTGGGCGATCGATGGCTGCCGCACCGGGTCCGGGAGCACAGCCACCAGGGGGGTGAGTTGGGGGAGGTCGAATCCGGAGGCCAGGTCTGGTTGGGCTGTGTGACAGCTGCAGGGTGTGCTTTGGAATCAGGGTATTGACGACTCAGCTGAGTCTTGGTTGTGTGCTCAGATATGGGAGAATTCGGTTCCAAGATTCGGGGGCGAGTAGGCTCCCAAATGTGCCCCCGGTTCGCATTTGTTGATTTTTACCCAGTGCTGGACTCATCTTTCCCGGTTCGGGGCTTGGGCTGACGACACTTTGCAGCTTGCACACTGAACAGTGAACACCCCGGGCCTCGGGTAAGCGCCCGTCGGGGCTACCGGAGGTTGAACGCCGTCAGACTCGAAATTGCCCACACAACTAGTGGACGTTAACGTGTGTGCATGTGATTGTGCCATGATGGTTGTGGGTGGTGTTCTGACTCGGGTTCCTTCTAGATCTGGAGTTAATTCCTAGCGGTTATTTCTTTTATTATGGGTAACCACTAGTTCTGACGAAAACATGAAACCGTGTTGGTTTGAATCTCATTGGAGAGCTATTTTCCCTTGGTCCCATCCCCAAAGGCAAGGTGATGCAATAACTGAAGATGGAAGTATCAGGCAAGCACGACGGAATAATATTTCCTCAGCTCAACCTATCCCCGGGAAAGCGCACAGTTGGCGAGCAACTTGAACGGCAGCTGCCATACCCGCCGGCCAAGTCCGCAGGCCAAGTCCGCAGGAAAGGTTAGGTAGCATCCGCGTTAAGCAGGAGCGGACGAAGACCCCGGACAAGCTTCCCTTTTCTGACTAGGCATATGCACCCCCACGATGCGTCTCCCAACTGCATACTCAGTCCAGGGTGGAAGTCGTGGACACGACGCCATTGGACAGTGCCGCATCAGCACCTTTCTTTCTCGCTATACATACATGCGCCTCACAGCCACAGGCCGTCTGATGTACACCCGTTGGCCCATGGCCGGCCTTGAAGCTGGTCAAGATCTGATGGCTTTCAGCCCCCAGCCCGGACCCGTCGGGCAAAGGAACGAGGGTGTGGTCGAGATATTAATACCCGAATTAGGTATGGCGGCACGGCGAGCTGCGACCGGTTGTCGAAATGTTGGTTTTTAGTTCGGGAGACCTGCTCTTGGCTTACTCTGTGGCCGGTGGACCATCTTGGGCAATTCAAGCCCAGGAGGGCAGACCGGGCTGCATAATTCAAATACAACCGCCCTAATCCGCCCCAGCGCATACTCGTGTCGACTGTGATTCGCGTTATGCAGGCCTTGCCTGATACCAACAACCATGGGGAAACAGACCTCTGGCTTCTCGCTCCCGGGCTTCGTTCGCCTTGCGCCGTCCATCTATGTGCAAGACGCAAAGCTTGGGCTGGGAGGCTACAATACCAACCATGAGCCCATGTACTCCAACTCCTCGTTCTGTCTCCCCGCCGGTCCCGCCGCCCAACTCAGCAGTCGGAGCCGTGACACTCCTCCTCCCGGCCTGATCATCATCACCTCCTGGACGGGAGCGGCATCCAAGCACGTCGCCAAGTACACCGAGGCATACAACACGCTCTACCCGGGCGTGCCCATCCTCGTCATCACCACCGTCGTCGCCGACCTGGTGCTGCACTCAACAAACCACAAACTCCAAGTCCTAGCCCCGGCCATCGACTACCTCCTCTCACACGAACCCATCCCGTCATACCAACCAGACCACACCAGTCTACACTCCTACGACGCCTATTACCCACCACCTCAACCCCAAACAAGCAAACCACGCTTCCCCTCCCTCCTCCTGCACGCCTTCTCCGAAGGCGGCGCGCACAAAGCCGTTCTCCTCGCCCGCGCATACCAACAATACCATCAACAACACCACCCAAACCCCCCCAACCCAACCCCTCCCCCCCCTTCCCGCCTCCCCGTCGAAGCCCTCATCCTCGACTCCACCCCCGGCACAGCCTCCTACACCCGCGCCACCACCGCCTTCGCCCGCGCCCTCCCCGGCGGCAGCCAAGGCACGGGGCTCGTCGGCCGCGTGCTCGCGCCCGCGGCGGCGGCGGGGGTAGTCGGCGTGATGTGGGCCGGCCTGCGGGTGCGCGGGCGCTATGGGAACAGCGACCTGATTGCGGCGACGAGGCTGGCGCTGAATGATGGCGGGTTGTGGGATTTGGGTAGGATGGCGAGGACGTATTTGTTTGGGGAGGGGGATGCGGTGGTGTGGTGGGGGGATGTGCATCGCCATGGGGTGGAGAGCGCTGCTGCTGCTGGGGGTGGGGTTGGGGATGGGGGTGATGCGGCTGCTGCTGGTTTGGGTGTGGAGGGGGAGGGGGGGGATGGTGGTGATGGTGGTGGGGTGGGCAGTTTGATGGTGAGGTTCAAGAGGACTGAGCACTGCGCGCATGCGAAGGGGGTGGTGAATGGGGCGGTGTATTGGGCGGCGGTGAGGCGGACGTGGGAGATGCGGGAGGATCGGGGGATGGGCTTGCGGATGGGGTTGGGGAGGCGGTTGAGCCTGGATTCGCTCTGTCGTGGGGAAGAGGACGAGTATGGCCGGTAACGGTGCGTGGTTGACTCGAGGCTCTAAATCGGTCCGAAGAACAATCCGTGCTGCAGGGTCGATGCATGTTGTCTCGTGCTTCGATCGTTCGGTGGCCTTTCTATTCCTCACTGTGGACGTCATTCATCCGATCTGTCCTGGTTCCTGGAATATCACATGGAAGCATGTTCTCGAGGGGTAGCCTTGTCTACCCCTTGTTCATCATCAAACCAAATTATTCTTTCTGTTCTTGCTAAATATGACAGTCAGAAAAATGTAAGCCACGGACCACAATCGTTTCCTGGCTTCCGTATGCCGACTGCCATTTGCGTAGGCCGAACGGCGTGGGTGAGTCGCATATATCGTCATGGACTCCATCCCTAACGGTCCTTTCAACGGCGTGGTGGTTGGGAGACCTATCCCGGCCGCCCTGCCAACGTTGCGCGTTGGTTGTAGTCGAGTTGGTTGTCACTCGACTGCTTGGCCATTTCTGACATCACCGCTGAAACCCTCCTCCGGTTTTGGCATCATAATTTCCGAGCGCGGCAGGCTGGAGAATAATGGCAAGAGGCCCTGAGAGGAAGGATTTGTGACTGGGACCAACACCGGGACCAACACCGGGTTCAGCACCTGTCCCGTGAAAACGCAGTTTGTGAGCTCCCCTTCGCTCGCCAGCCATAAAGCATCGATGCCAAACACCAATCATGGCGAGTTCTCGTTAGCCCTAACCGTTTCATGTACACTCACAGCCAACGCCGACATAAATACAGCCTTCCGCCCAGGGTCCGATATCGTACACGGATACATTCGTAACTCATCCCCCTCCCATCATTGCTCGTTCCCCTTGATCATCCCGGGGCCCCGTAACACCTCAATTTTCTAATGGTTTTAACTGGCTGCTCTCTCGCTTTGGCCACGCGGGGTTGACGCTCGGTGGATATGATGACCCATTGCCGGACCTGGACGAGGCGGCGTCGTCGAAGGCGTTTAGATGGCCGTTCAGCTGAGTGGGGGGCGGATACTTAGGCTCAGCCCCGACCTGCAGCGGATCGCGTGACCGCCTGCCGTAGCCGCTGGGTGACCGGTCCTGCGATCTCATCTCGTGGTCCGGCCGTGGTTTCCCCGCTACCGGCAGGTCGTCCAGCCCGTAGTCCGCCCTGTAGGATCTGTCCTCCATGTCTTCCTCCTTCTCCCGTCTCCTCCGTCTGAAGTGGAAGAATAGCAATACCGACGTCGTGGCGACGACCAATAAGCCGCTACGCAATACGTCAGTGGTCCGGATCAACAACCGCGCTGCCGGGGGGATTCAGGCTTACACCACAACGCCAACAATGATCCATGTGATCTTGTTCGACGAGACCCATGGCTTTTTGCAAAGGTCGATGCCCGGCTGTGGGTGGCAGTCCTTTTCCTCTTCCTCGCGTCGGACCAGCATGTCGACTACGGCACGTTTGACGGCGGTCGCAAACGATTCCACTGGTGGGATGATGCCTCCCGCTCGCCGCTCCATTGATACTGCCATTGCCTTGTTGGTTGATTTTATAAACAAACTTCCGCGCAGTTTGCCGTCTTCGAGATCGCCTTCTCACGTTGAAATGTCGAGGATGGTCGACCTTAGCCCGCGCGATTGTTCCCCCCGATCAATTGATTGCTCTGTTTGTTTCTTGTCGCCCCAATGTAGCCGGAAGCGTGGCCCAGCCTAACTTGTCGCCGTTCTGGCGAATTGTCAATCGCAAGAACGTTGTCGATCGTGGGGCTGGGTGGGCGATTGAAGCCGCCCGTGTTGGTTGTCGCGCGCTAACGAGTTGTCGGAATGCCGGTGCCGAGGGACGTGTCGAATTGGCATGCAAAACGCAACAGTGGCTCCTTATTGTTGCGCGCTTCGGACCCTGCCCTGTTGATCGAGTCCACACGGTCGCCCTGGTTGGAGAATTCGTAGTTTTTTCGTGCAAAACGAGTGAAGCTGACGTCGAGTTTCTGAGACGGCAAACAAGGGAATGTCAGATAATAAACCCCTGGGGTCGCAAATTCAGGAAGGTGACGTAGGAGGAACGGCCCACTGGCGGCCAGGGGTTCCAACAAGCCTAGCGTGTCAAGGGACATTTGCCAACCGTGTCGACCAACTGAGAGCCACGATTGCTTGTTTTGTGGAATGGCCGGCCCCCAAACCCGAACCAAGCAATTCTGCCGCTGTAACGTTCTGCCAGCGATTGGAGCAAGGCCTCCCCGGGTTTCCTGTTTCATGCTGAGTGCAGGAACTTGACGCCGAAGCTCGTCCACAAGGCAAATCCCGCACCACCGGTCGTTACACGGAATATAAAATGGTGGCAAGGCAACGCCTGCAGAAACCGGATGGTTGCACGTTGACTGTAACGACGTACCGTCATGGATACGGGCTCGGGGAAATGAGGATGGGAGTCTGGCTCGAGTCTTGCTCGAGTCTGGCAATTCTGAAAGTACTTACCCACTAGTTATGCCTTTTCATTTGTCCAACGTCATGATATTCCGCCCTTACTATCGGGGAGACATGTTGGCTCATGCCAGAATTGTCGCCCGTAAAAGTGAAAACTCGTATCGAAGTCGGGCGGGCTGAAGCGCACCCGACCGCCGGCATTCGATCGTGAAGGCTCGAGCTGTTTCTGTGGAGCCATTTGCAACCCCGCGCCGAGGGGCAACCGCAACACGAAGAGATGCCATCCTGTCACCCTGTGTAATCGGTTGCACTCACGCCGCCTCACAAAGGGCATAACGGGGCGGAACAAAATCAATATCACCGATGAAACAGCGTTCACAGAGAAGGGGGAAGAGGAGTTCGTGGCGTCGTTGTTCCGTGGTTCCGTTGAGCGACAAGACCCCGCCTGTCTGAACAACCAACTGATTGCGAGAATGGCAGAGTGGACCGGTGTGCTCAAGCGTTGGAGTTGAAATGTGATGAATGTGTGGTCCGTGCGTTAGTTAATACCGCAGCCAAGCCGAATTTGAGCCCATGAGGGGGTTGATTTTCAATTGCCGCGGAAAGTTCCAGCCCATCATATGATCCACCGTCTCATTGGCGGTGGCTTGCATCTTTCCACGAACTGACCGACTGGTCCCGAAAATTCGGTGCGGGAGTTGATCAAGGCGCAAAAAAGTTTATTTCTAAACCATCTACAGTATTACCGCAAGGACCGAGCACCACCGCCATCATGTCGTCAGTCAATGCGGGGACCCTCCGAGGCACTCCGAACCGCAGCCAGGGGCGCGGTTCTGTCCCCTTTGCCAACACCACCCACAACACCACCCACAACACCAGCCCGGCAGGTCCGTCCTCGGCAATCCCCCGCCCTGTACTCGAAAATACACCGGCGGCATCCAGCGAGGTCGGTGGCTCTTCTCTCAGCGCGAGCCGGCAGAAACAGACCAAGAGAGATGAGGTGCGTTCTCTATGCCTCCATTCTTGCTACCCCGCCCTCCTGGAACCAATGGTACTAATTTGACTGCACAGGCAATCCGCCGCAAGCTGGAGAATGATCTCTCCAAGAAGAAGCACCTCACGGGCCGCGCCCGGCAATCCCGGAAGGCGCCCCCGGGAACCGTCCTCGCCCTCAAGCCGAGCCAGGCACTCCAGATCAAACCCCAAACCACCGTCGCCGAAGCCGCGCAGCTCATGGCTGCCAAGCGTGAAGACTGCGTGCTGGTCACCGACGACGACGACCGGATTGCTGGTATCTTCACGGCCAAGGATCTCGCATTTCGTGTCGTGGGTGCGGGGTTGAAACCGAACAATGTCACCATCGCCGAAATCATGACCAAGAACCCACTGTGTGCTAGAACCGACACAAGCGCCACTGATGCGCTGGACCTGATGGTTCGTAAGGGGTTCCGCCATCTGCCGGTCATGGACGAGAACCAGGATATTTCGGGTATTCTGGATATCACCAAGTGCTTCTACGATGCGATGGAGAAGCTGGAGCGCGCCTATTCCTCCTCCAGGCGGCTGTACGACGCCCTTGAGGGTGTTCAGTCAGAACTTGGCACCAGCCAGCCGCAGCAGATCATCAGTTACGTCGAGGCTCTGCGGTCGAAGATGTCGGGCCCCACCCTTGAGTCGGTGCTCAACGGCACGCCGCCGACGACGGTGAGCGTCCGGACGTCCGTCAAGGAGGCGGCCCAGATGATGAAGGAGAACCACACCACCGCGGTTCTGGTCACGGACCAGGGTGCTATCACGGGCATCTTCACCAGCAAGGACGTCGTCCTGCGCGTGATTGCCCCGGGCCTCGACCCGGCGACATGCAGCGTCGTCCGCGTCATGACGCCCCACCCGGACTTTGCTCCCATGGACATGAGCATCCAGGCTGCCCTGCGCAAGATGCATGGTACGTGCCGATACCTACCCTTAGATGCAGCATAGATATCGATCTAACAATACCACAGATGGTCACTACCTCAACCTGCCCGTCATGAACGACGGCGGTGAGATTGTCGGCATGGTCGACGTCCTCAAACTCACATACGCCACCCTAGAGCAAATCAACACGATGGGCACGGGCGACAACGAGGGCCCTGCGTGGAACAAGTTCTGGCTTTCCCTCGACCACGAAACGGAGTCCATGGTTTCCGGCGACGGCTCGATCCAGCACACAAATCACGGTCCCCGGTCACTGATGTCTCCCGATATGGCCCGCAGCGAGCGGCTCGTTAGTGATAGCCTCGCGCCGGGCGATTCGGCGAGCCACGTCGGCGTGGACTCGCCACGCCACAGCGCCGTGGGCATCACCACGCCCGAGCTCCCGCCGGGCGAGGTTCCCTTCCCCTTCAAGTTCAAGGCCCCCAGCGGCCGCGTCCACCGCCTGCAGGTGACGGCCGCGCACGGCATGGCCGAGTTCGTCGCCAGCGTCACCTCCAAGCTCGGCGCCGAGGTCGACGCCATCGGCGGTGCCCCCGTCGTCGAGGACAACCAGCTGTCCGGCGGCTATGCCCTCAGCTACCTCGACAACGACGGCGACTCCGTCTCCATCACCACCGACGAGGACCTGCTCGAGGCGATCGTGCTCGCGCGCCAGGGCCACCGGGACAAGGTGGACTTGTTTGTGCACGACCCCAGTGAGCCCCCCGTCCCCCCCGCGCAGGTGCCCGCACCCGAGTCCACGGTCGTGGCCACCCCGCCTGTCACCCGCGAGCGGAGGAAGGTCGTCGAGGAGTCCGAGGAGGAAGACAGCGACGAGTCCGAGGAGGAGGAAGTTCACGCCCGCCGCGGCAGGCATGGGCATGGGCGCACGCGGACGGCGCCGCCGCCGCCGGCCCAGGAGATCGTTGAGCAGGTCATTGCGGGTGTGCCGAACGAGCTGCTGCTTCCGGGGGCGATTGCGATGCTGGCGGTGGTGATTATGGGGGTGTTTACTGTTTCGAGGTTGTCGAGCAGATAGAAAAGTAGTCGTTGGAGGGTGGGGAGATGGAGGGCCGAGAAAGAGGAGAAATGGAGGGGGATGGGGTTTTGCCGCGCTGGGCTCTGGGAATCATCACGATGTCTCCCATTTTTCTGTCTTTAGAAGGTAGGCTGGTTGTAGACTCTTTATATCAAGCATTCGCGGACTAGCTGTTGATTCCATACATGTTATATCATCCAATAGCGCTGTCACTCTTTTTGCACTTTCTGGCGTTGAGTTCCTCAACCCTCTCCGGTTCTTGGTGGGGCCAGCAAAAGCGGATCTGCATCGGATTGAGGGTTGTAAGCGGGCCGGGCTGGTGGTTTGGTGCACGGGCCACGCCTATCAACACCGAGAAAAGTTGCTCGACGGATCCCAGACTGTGTCGCCCAGCAATGAGTTGGTCGCAGGTATTTTCACCATGATCCTCAGGAATTTTGGTGTACGGCACGGTGAGTAGGATTGTACTACTGAACATACTTCTGCCCGCTAATTGACCATGTCCAGCCCGCCAGGCGTTGGCGGCACCTGTCTCCCGATCATGCCTCCGAACACTCTCATCCTCGGCGACACGACCGACGTCAGCCCCGACAACCGTTGCTGAACCGACTTCGGCCGCGCCCCCGGTGACGACTGCGACTCATGCCTTCACGGCTGCCCAGGTCGCCGCACGGCAAGCCGAGCTGGCGCGCATCCCGGAGAACTACGCCGAGTACATGCACCAGCGCGAGCACACCAGGGAGATCGGCTCTCGCGTCGAGTCACGCTACCACCCGGACCAGATGCTCGTCGACCCGCCGCAGGACGCCACCCTCGAGATGTTGATGGCCGCTCAGGTCCACATGGGCCACCACGTCTCTCAATGGAACCCGGGCAACCAGCGGTACATCTACGGCGAGCGCGCGGGCATCCACATCATCAGCCTCGAGACCACCGCCACCCACCTCCGCCGCGCCGCCCGCGTCGTCGAGGAGGTTGCGTACTACGGGGGGCTCATCCTCTTCGTGGGCAACCGCAAGGAGCACATGCCCGTGGTGGTGCGCGCGGCGGAGCTGGCCAAGGGCTATCACCTGTTCCAGAAGTGGACGCCCGGCGCGATCACGAACCGGGACATCATCCTGGCGAGCGGCGAGCTCAAGATCGTGAACGAGCGGGACAGCGAGATTGACGGGTTCCAGACCCACCTCCGGGACCGCCGGCCGGTCATGCCCGACTTGGTGGTGTGCCTCAACCCGCTCGAGAACTACCCGCTGCTACACGAGTGCGGCGTGGCCAACATCCCCACGATCGGCCTCATCGATACCGACGCCGACCCGACATGGGTGACGTACCAGATCCCGGCCAACGACGACAGGTGAGCGGTGATGGGTCTTGGCGAAAGCCTGCGTTACGGTGGTGGCTAATCTTTTCCGTTGTAGTTTACGATCCGTCACACTTCTCGCGGGTATCCTCGGGAGGGCGGGCGAGCGAGGGCAGAAACGGAGGCTGGCGATGGCCGATGACGGGGTCAGCACCTGGCTAACCCCTCGCGATGTTCACACTTTCATCCAGAAGGACTCCGCGGCCAAGGCACAGGAAGAGCTCCGCGCTATGGAGCAAGCCCGAAAAGAGGGAATCATAGACGACAAACCTGCACAGAGGGAAGACTTTTTGACGGATGATGAGCTGCTGCGGGAGCTGACCGATGGTCCGATCCCGTCGCCAAGGCAATGAAACTTGCGCCGGGGGGGTGCATTGTAACATACGAGGTACTATAACGACTACCTATAGAAGTTCTACTGTAAAACACTGCTGTTTTTAGTTACTTGCCATGTCGGTAGGTTGAACTTTGGACTCCATGGAGGGTTCCTTCCCGTGCTTCCTTCCACGACTTGGTCCCCTGTTGGCTGACTCAGCACCCACGAGCCCCTCCAAATCCTGTGCGCAGTTCCCCTCCCAAGGAGCACAAATCATCACCACGAACATTTCAGCACAGCATCGGCCATTCCGTCACGTCACTGCACCCGACCCTGTTCGTCTCACACCACGCCGGGCTGGAATCATTCTGATTGGTGTACCTGGCCACGAGGTGCTCAGATCCAAACGGGTCCCTGGATCCCAAGCAAAGCACCGGATTCGATCCGGGCGGCAAGTGCGGGTGCAGGAGCCGACAGCCATTCTCTTCTCGAGGCTCGAGGTTGGCTAAAGCGCTTCTTTCTCATTTACACACCTGAGTCCAGGTACGGCCTCTCTTATCCTTGGCCTTGACGCAGCCCCAGACCAGGGTGCCATAGCTCGTGATGGCGCCGTAGCTAATGCCGTGATGCAGGGGCCTCTCGGGTCTCCTCGCTTTGTCTTTTCCCGGCCGGCATCGCCGTGCATTGTGCGTGCGTATCAGTCGTGTGTGGATTCTTGGGAGCTTCGAGAATGTCGGCTATCCTCGACGGCCCGGCTCCGGGTGTGCCGCCGCCTATCCTGCCCCGCCATGTAACACTCCGTGATCGTCAAACGGTTGCGACTGTCGTCCCGTTTGCTTCTCAGCACCAAGTCCCCGAATCTCTCCTCCGCTATCTCAGTGACCAGTTCAACAAGGAGATCGAGGGCGGAGACACCTACCCGATGCTGGAACCAATGGCAGCCGCCACCTTCTCCTCGTATTGGTTCCAGAAATTCGGCGGCGTCATGCTCCTCGGCCACATCGAGAGCGCCGCCGAGGTTGTCGAGGGTACGGACTGGTCGAAGGAGTGTCTCGGTACCTTTTACATCAAACCCAACTACCCAGGCCGCAGCAGCCACATTTGCAACGCCGGTTTTGTCGTCACCGACGCCGCCCGTAACCGGGGTGTGGGCCGGCTGATGGGCGAAACATATTTGGAATGGGCGCCGAAGCTGGGTTACAAGTACTCCGTCTTCAACCTCGTCTACGAGACGAACGTTGCATCGTGCAAGATTTGGGACGCACTGGGCTTCAAGCGCATCGGGCGCGTCAAGGGTGCCGGGAACCTCAAGAGCTACCCGGACCGGCTGGTGGACGCCATCATCTACGGACGCGACCTCGGGGACGCAGCGGGCGGCGCGGGCAACGAGGAACTTGTGAGTGAAGAGCGTTTCGACAAGATCAAGTTCTACCTCAAGTACGGCCGCTATCCCAACGGCGCTGACCGAGCCGAGAAAAGCAGGCTACGTAGCGCTGCTACCCACTACAAGCTCCTGGAGGGCGACGTCCTGATGCTCAAAGACAAGGAGGTTATTTCGGACCCCCAGCGTCAGTACGAAATCGCTAGGAGCGTGCACAACCAAGCCCACGGCGGCATCAATAAGACGACGGCTACTATTGCGGAACGGTACCACTGGAGTCGCATCAAGGAAACCGTCTCAGATGTAATTAGGAACTGTTCAGAATGCAAAGACACGAACAAGGCCTCGTCCTCCCAGGGCCAGCAGTCCTTCCCGGGGGCCCCTCTCAACGGGCTAAAGCGCCCCAACCTTGATGGCGCCACGTCGACGGCTTGTAAGCGTGCCTCCCCAGGCCCATCCGGGCCAGGGGCTGGCATGCAGTTCACGGGGGTTCAGCGGTCGATGGCCGATCCAACCCACCTCTCCCCGTTCACCTTCTCATCCCACCTCCAATTCGCCGATCCCAGCGCCATCTCAATCCTCCCTCCCCACCCCCTCCCACCGCCAACCGATACGGCCATGGCCGGCCACGACACCATCGGCCGAGATACCCACAACCCGATGCTCCAGTCGCTCCACTCAGATCACCACCCGCAACCCACACACCCCGTATCGCTCCGCACCTTGGCCCCGAACCCACATTCGCACGCCGTCTCGGACTACCAGCCGATCGATCCGCAGATAATAGCCCAGTCCTCCGCAGGGACAGACTTACACCACCACGCCCATCACCATCACCACACCCACGGCCACTACCCCTTCTCGCCCCCATCGCCACCGACGCATCACGCCCCCGCACACCACCACGACCCCGACACCGACGCAGATGCAGCTGATGTAGAGACCTTCCAAGCTCTCATAAACGCCGCCGTCACGGACGATGACGACGATGACGACGATAACAATAACAACAACGCCAACGACGCCAACAACCACAACGCAAACAATCACGTCCCAACCACATCCCGCCTAACAACAACAGAAATATCAAGGGGCGTAGATACCGTCAGCACAAAACCCGGACACGACGCACCCACCGCCCTCATATCACCCACCCATCATCACCACCCCCATGCACCCCCACACACCCACGCCAACCACCCGCCACACGACCCCAGAGGCACCAGCCACGACCACGCGCGCACAACGCAAGAAGAGCAGGATGAGCGCGACGAACAGGCGGCGGTAGACCGCGACCTCGAGATGCTGATCGAATCTCCCGCTGACGATGACGAGGATGGGGACGGCAATGGGGATGGTGACGGAGATGGGGATGGAGATGAGCCGATGGTTATGGCCATGTCGGTACGGCATGGGCAGGGCCAGGGGCACGTACAGGAGGGGGGTTGTGAGAGTCCAAGAGGTGGGTTGGGGGGGGATGTCGATATGGATGGGGATGTTGTTTCGCTGGGGAAGCATGCTGCTGTTAGTGGGGGAAGGGTGGATGTGGTTGGGTTATTGGCGGATGGGGGAGTTACGAGGGGAGGTGTGGATGGGATGGGGGATGGGGACACCTAAGGTGGGCAGGGGGTGGAAGGGGGGTTGGGGAGCGTTTTTTGGTGTTTGGTGTTTTGGGGTTTGTGTCCATACGGTCCGTGGCGGCGGTCCTTTGCGGTATAGTTGAACGTCCTGGTCAGGTAGACGCGGAGATAACAACCGGGCTTACATCCTTGATCTTTCTCTTAGTCTGAAGCCCGTAGCGTAACCAATGATATCCTCGCAGTGCGATGTAGCGAGTGTGATATTGCAAAGGTATCGGTCGCGGGTCTTGGTTTTAAGGTTCTTGTCGGGACAACAAACATACACATGCACACACTTATTACGCCGTACTGCGCCGTTCTATGCATTACCCGACAGGGATGTTTCATTCCTCATATCAAGTTACATAGTCTACCGCCTCGGCATGCCACGGCCGCGGCCGCGCCCACGCAGCGCCCGCTGGGCGGCACCAGGAGGCAGAGGCTGGCCCGGGGCCTGCGGCGCCTGGCTCTCCTCATTGCGGATCGTCTCGTCAACGCCCAGAATCAGGCACGCAGCCTCCGTCGCAGCCTGGAGGGCATTGACCTTGACGAGGGCCGGCTCCCACACAAAGCGCTCCATCATGTCGGCAACGCCCTCGTTCTGGAAGTCGACACCCGCCCACGTGTTGCCCCGCCTGTGCTCGACACGCAGCCTGTTGAGGATGTCGGTCGCGTCGAAGCCGGCATTGTCGCACAGCTGGCGCGGGATGACCTCGAGTGCCTTGGCGAAGCTCTTGATGATGGCCTGTTGCTTGTTGCGCACGTCCTGGTCCGCAAACCGGTGCAGGTAGGCCGATACGTCCATCTCGGTGGCTCCGCCGCCGCCGACGATGGTCTTGTTGCGGATGGCGCGCTTGACAATCATGATAGCGTCATGCAGTGACCGCTCAACCTCGGCAATGAACTGCTCCGCGCCGCCACGCAGCACTAGCGTGCATGTCTTGGCCTCCGGGCAGTCCTCAAAGAAATTGAAACGCTCGCCGCCAATCTGCCGCTCATCGAAGCTGCCGCAAGTGCCAAGATGCTCTGGGCGAATGTCGGAGCAGGTGCTCTGGATGGTGGCACCCGTTGCCTGGACCACACGCTCCATGTCGTCAGCCGACACGCGGCCGGCGCAGAAGATGTCGCGGTCGGCGAAGTACTGCGTCGCAAGATCGCCAATGGGAAGCTTGGACAGCACCACCTTGGCGCCCGTCTTGTACGTCGCCTCAAGCTTCTTGTTGATGATCTGCCATTCGGCGTCGACAATGGCCTGGTATTCCGAGACCTGCTCCACACGGACTTCGGCGTTATCCTTCTCGGCCTTGAGTTCGAGTTCGACGTTGAGGCAGACGATCTTGGGCTTCTTGAACGACTTGGGTTGTTGCTCGAAACCGGCGTACGAGAAAGTCTTCTTGAATGCCACGCCGTTGACGAAAAGCGACTCGGTCAGCGAGCCGCCAGGGATCTTCTTGATACCTATCAAGTTTTCGTTGAGGTCTTCTTGGTCGAGGGACAGGACGGCATCGACAACCACTGGTGCTTGTTAGTTTCGGGCTCAGCCATCTACCATGGTAGGGGGCTCACTCTTGGTAAAGAACTCGGTGTTGCGCTTGATCAGCTTGCTTGTCATGGCGGTCGCGGCCAGCTTGTTGAGCGTGTCCCTCCTGTTTGCCTCGTCTGTGCTGATCTGGATCTCCTTGATTTTGTTCACCGCCATGGTCGACGCTCTCCTCAGGCCCTTGATGATGATCTGCGAACTGACACCGCCTTCGACGTGCTCCTTGATCTCCTTCAAGATTTCGCCGGCCAACACGACCACCGAGGTTGTCCCGTCGCCCACTTCCGCATCTTGAGACCGCGCGATGTCGACGAGGATCCGGGCAGCAGGGTGGACAATGTCCAGAAGCTTGGGAGGGTCAGGATCTGGGTAGACACCGTGTGGGGGGGCGGGGTGGAAGGGGGGTTCACACCTTCATGACAGTGGCGCCATCGTTGGTGATGGTCTGCTTCCCGTTTGCATCCACCATTAATAAATCGCCGCCATAGGGACCGAGTGTCGATTTAATCGTGGCCTGCACGGCTAAGCAAGCGTTGATGTTCGAAATGATCTGGCCCTTGCCTTGCGAGGTGTCGGTGCCTGCAAGCGGCGAGTCAGCGGGGGACCGTGTTTACCAGGAAGGAGGGGTTCCCGACCCTCTTTTAGGACGATAATCGTCGGTGTCTGGCCTCCGAACGACATTTTAAGGGCGGGATGGAAAGTCGTGATATTTGTGCGGGTCACGACGGAGCTCCAGGCGCGGTTGCAGGGAGAAAGAAGGGCGGTACGGTGGTTTCCTGGTCTCTGGCGTAATCTCTCTCCTTGGGCCCCGCTACTTCCAAAAAAAATATCGAAGCCTGTCGATGAGCGCCAAGTTCGAGCTCATCGGCCTGCAGCTGGAGGACTGAGTTGCTGACATAATGGGATCAGCTGACACATCATGTGAGCTTGCCGTTCTTTTGAGGTTCCCATGCTTTCTCTCCTTTCTCCTACCACTTAGCAAATTTCAAAGGCAGTGACTGTGATGTATGTTGCCAACACAGAGCCCAAGCAAACAATAAAAATGAAAGAAAATAAGAAAAGAGAAACATGTTCGGTTGCCATGCGTGTTCCGATGGTGATTCGACAAATCTCAGCGGCTGTTTCAAACGTAAATATCAATTTGGCACCTAGACACGATTATCAACCAAAATCCTTTTTGTATATACGTTTTTCTCTCCACTGGACATCCGTTACATTAGTTTCTCGCCTCGCCAGAATCGGTTAGGTAGGTAAGCTCGGTCTTCACGGCCTCGACGGGCACCCCGACTCACTCCGGCCGACAATGGCGGCCCTTCAGTTTCTTCCAAATGAGATCCTCCTCGCCATCGCTGGTCATTTGGCCGACTTCCAGGACCTCGCCGCCTTAGCCTTGACAGGCCGACGGTTGTTCTCTGTCGCCAACCCGGGGCTCTATGCCACTGCTGCCCGCGACTACAAAACGGCCCTGTTCTACTGCGCCGAGAATCGTTTGATTGAACCGATCGGCTCCTTGCTCAACCACGGAGCTGACCCGAATCAAATCTTTGCTTCGCCCATTCCCCCGGATTCTCTCAATCATGTCCTCGCAGCTCAGGGCCGCCGCCCGGGGAGACGACCGCTTTTTGACCAGAAGCTGGCCCTCGCGGTTATGGAGTCAACCCTTGGGCGCAGTGTTAAGGAAAACTCTGTATCATATCATGAGTACTTTGCGATCCGAGCACCCGATTATTATATGTACCCCTGGCGCTATCCAAAGGTTCATTCCCGGATGCAAGCGCTCTCGAACCAATTTGATTGGAAATGTCCCGCGGTTAGTACATGGAACTTTGGGGATAGGAACCCAGGGCCTGTCCAGTACACATGGACGGCACTACATATCGCAGCCCAACATGGCGACGACGCGCTTGTCACTCTGCTCCTCGACAACGGCGCTAATATCAATTCCGCGCTCCATGCCACAGGCAAGTTTACCACGCCCGAGAGCTTCCCCCACCCTCACAGCTTCGCCTCGACCTTTTATCCCGACCCGCTCCTTGCGACCCCATTACACCTGGCAATATTGGCCGGGCACAGCTCGACGGCACGGCTTCTGCTGGCCCGCGGGGCTTCAACTATCGTTTCCTATGGCGGCATCACCGCTCTTCACGTCGCTGCGTGGTACGGTAATTTGGAGCTGTGCAAGTCACTCTTGGACGAAAGTCCTCACCAGGCAGTGGACTCACGGACGGCCGCACAACTCACCCCCTTTCACTATGCCGTTGCTGGCGGCCAGTTGCAGACGGTTGGCCGCTTTCTGCTCCAAAGGGGCGCCGATATTCGGGCCGGGTTTAAAGGACCGCAACTTGATGGATACATCCCCTCATACTTTTCATATCATCTCAACAATGCTTTCACGTATGCTCTTTGGGCCCAACAACACGGCGATGCATCGATACTCCTGGATATGAATCCCGATTTTGCTGCAAGTGGACACATATCCTACCCTCACGACCCTTTGGAGGGTTGCCTTGTCTCGATAGATATCAACCGGTCGGGCGACGGGGAAGAAGCGGTCGCCTTGCTTCGACGATTGCTCCTGAGTTCCGATCATGGTACCGACACCGCATCCAAATCATTCTGGTACTATTGTACGCTGGCCCTATCGCGGGACCTCCCTCAATTTACGAAGCTATTGTTAGAATCTGCTAACGTTCGGGCGCCACCGCTTCGGAACATCGAGTCCGGGGTACCTACGAGATTGATTCAACATGCCCGTTCCAACGCAGGCGTCGATGCCGTCATGGCCCTTATCGAGTACGGTGTCTCGGTACAGGGCATGACTAGGCCTTGCCTCAGCCGTGTATTTCCCCCCCCGACCACGGGACCCGTTGGCAACAGACTCCCGGCTTACCATGAGGGAATGTCGATGCCGCAATTCGAGGCCAGGCTCAAGATTGGAAAGCTGGTGTACCAGCGTCTTTCAGCAGGCCCCGAAGGTGTCGACGATAACGACTTGCGCGTCGCCCTTGTCGGCGCTTGCCAGCCGGGCGGGCTGAGAATGTGCGAATGGCTCGCCAGTATCGGCGCGTTACGCGCGGTGGCCAAGGCCGATTTGGCCATCATGTTGTATCGGGCGGCGAGCGGGAATGACTCAAGATTAACTGAATGGGTCTTGGGCCAGACGGAAAACACAGGCGATAAGTGTTGGGTCATGAATAGGATCTCGGTACGGGACGTGATATTCAAATCTGGTGGTAATGAGACCGCACTTATGCTCGCCCGCCATGGCGCAAATCTCAAACTTCAAGTTGAGTTTAATGATGAAATGCCATGGAGCCTCGGGTGGACCCGCCGCTTGTTCTCATGCCGAACCCGCCAGCGCATGCCTATCCATGCCTATTATGACGGTAAAAACGGCAGCAACGTGTTCTTTCTAGTCTGTGGAAAACCAGACATACCTGGAGCCGTCGAGCTGCTTCAGTTAGCCATTCAGGCGGCCGGAGAAAGTGCCAAAGATCTCGTCAACTGCAACCTTCTGACGTCCCACCCCTACAGAAACCTGCCACCGGTCAGTCTTCTCTGTTCTGCACGCCTTCCGTGGTCCCGTCCTCGCTGGGATCACCGAGCCACCATAGATCGTAGGCCCGAAGAGGCGAACGCGCATTCTGAACCGGCGCGGCTAGCGATGCTACAGATGCTCCTCGATGCCGGGGCCGAGGTGCATACACTAGCGGAGAGACGCGATTATAGACCGGCCGAAGATTCTGAGGAACCGACGGAATCCTTGTGGCATGCTCTCGCCTCGGAGGATAGGGACGAGATCAAGCGTCAACAAGCCTTTGCATTAGAGCGGGGCCCGAGCGTTGTTTGGGGGATTTACGACTGGGGGGACGACCCCATACGATGCGCCATACGGAGCGGATTCCCGACGTTGGTTCAAGCAATTCTTGAGGCAAGGCCTCTACCAACCAGAAACCATCCCGCAGCTCTGCGTTACTTGAAAGCCGCCTGTGATGGTGACCCGGATGCATATCACGAAACTCGCCGCCTTTCCCCCGAGGTTCTCAACATCATCCTCACCATGACGAAGTTGGACCATGCAGACTTTCTCTATCCAGACCTCCCTTCCCGCCCAAACCGTGAGACAGCATTGCGGAAGGTGCTACAATTTTACGGGTGGAACGACAGCAGCGACCACCACCAGTGTCGGTGTGAACCCGACCTTCTCTGGTCTGCGAAAGAAGATTTAAGCAATATGGTCAGGCTCCTCCTTCTTCACGGCGCCAAATGGAAGACCCTCCCTTCGGATGGGAACTCTGCAATTGATAGGCTGAGAGACTTGATGTCAAGGAAGCCTGAGACGAGGAGCTTAACTATCTATAAGCAGCACAACCTGGCAGAGTTCAGTAAGCATATCATCCTGGACCTCAACTCCGAGGCGGCGTGCAGCCCTGACAGCTTCATGGACTTCAACCCCTTTGAGATGGGAGACATCAAAGCAACAGAGGGGAGTTATTGAGTATTCCTGTTTCTTTACCCCTTTCAACCTCGCCCGGAACTTCCCAACTTTAATGTACCCGAGGCCTTGCAGCTGTCAGCTTAACCTGAGTTGCACCGCGACATATCTGAAGGCGGGATTGCATGTGAGAGTACGGTGTCAGAGTAGTTACCTCGCTAGCAGCACCCAATATCACCCGACTCTTTGTACTTTATCAAGAATAAACCGAACATAGCGCTCTCTCATTGCCCTATTTGTAGCCTGGTGAAAAGGAAGGAAGTAGGCATGACAGAACAGTAAACAACCACGACATCAACGAATAAAAAGGGGCACCATCAGGTCCAGCCGCTCAGCTTCCCGCCCTCCAACACCCTCACTGCTTGAGAATGTGCCCCATGCACTTGGAATTGCCGCAGGTGTGCAGCGCGAACTTCTCGATGTCATCCGCGTAGTGCGTGGAGGCGGCGCTGTCACAGCTCCAGTTCGCGCGTGGCCCGGCCGTACGCTCGGGTTCGTACACGCAACGGAAGAGCTGGGCGGCACTCAGGACGTGGAATCGAGGCCACCTTTCCTTGGCCTTGCTGTGCGTAGTAGCGGTAGTCTGGGACACGGCGACATTGGTTGTCTCGGCCGGCTTTCCGGCTGCGTCGGTGTCGCCGGCGGTGCTAGCAGGAGGAGTAGCGTGGGACACGGCAGCATCGGCTGTCTTGGATTCCATGACGGGTGAGTTGGTGTCGTTTGTAGTCCCAGTGGAGCTTTCGGCGGCGCCGGGCTGGTGGTTGAATGTTCAGAGCCTTGGGACGAGCCATGTCACGGTGTCAGCGTCCTGATTCTAGGGAACCCATGCAGGGAACTTCTAGAGCCTCGTATAAAAACCCTCAAGAGACGCTTAGTCCCCGAACATTCACAATGCCAGAGATTCAGGGGGGTATAACAAGGAGTACTAATTGCTCGAGGCTGCCATTTCAGCTAATTACCATATCCTGCACCAGGACGAGAATGAGTGCATCCAAGGGAAATGATCAGGGGTAGGCTCGCTTCTATTTGCCATATTGATCTCGTGGATGGTGAACGAATCACTTCCCATGATTCCGCGCCCCGTAATTTACAAGTCACCAACCCGATACACCAGCTTTTTCCCAGTTACGTTCCCCTCTTCCAAGTCTTTCAACCCGCCCGCAATATCTTCCAACCCTCCCCTGACGTCGACCGGGTGCGGCACAACCTTCTTCTCTTCAAAGAGCCTCGCCGCGACGGGCCCCCATCTCTTCGCAAACTCAAAGTCTTGGGGCTGCGGATCCAGTTTGAGTTTGCCGAAAACCTCACTTGCCTCGTTGCTGATGGTGTAGGTAAGCCTGACAATAGTCTCGACGTCCTCGCGCGGCAACGGGTTTGGATTGGTGGTGACATAGCGGAGCGGGGACTCAGAAGAGGACAGGGCGTCGGCGCAGATCTGACCGGCCTGTCCCTCTCCGAACGTGTCCCACACGTAGCGGAGTCTGTTGTTGGTATACTCGCGGATATCGGACCCGACAGTGGGGGACTTGTAATCGAAGACCTTGTCTGCGCCGAGCGACTTGACGAAGTCAAAGTTGTGGGGCGAACAAGTGGTGATGACTTCGAGGCCAGACCTGGTTTGCGTTAGGGGTCCGTTCCGCAGTTTGTTGGTGCAGAGGTAGGTACTCACAGCTTTGCCATCTGAATCCCTAGAGATCCCATTGTCGTGCTCCCCCCATAAATCAAAACCGGGAAACGCTCCTCCGCCTTGACAGGCTCTATCGGCCACGGTAGTCCTAAGCTCTGATATAAAGCCTGGCCCACCGTGTACACCTGCACCCCGAGGGATGCCGCCTCCGGAAAGCCCATGTGACTTGGGACTTTCATGGTGATATCCGCTTTCGCCACAAGATACTCGGCAAATGCGCCATCCTCGGGCTTCAACGTGTGGCTTCCGTGCACGGTGCCGCAGACTCGGTCGCCGGGCTGGAAAGGCTGGGTGACGCTGCTTCCGATTTCCTCAACGACGCCGGAAAAGTCGCAGCCCACGGTGAGCGGGGCCCCGCGGACGTCTACGACTTTGATGTGTTTCCAGTCTGTCGGGTTCAGGGCGACACAGGCGACTTTGACCAGCAGGCCGTCGGGTCGCAGCGCGGGCTTGGGCACCTTTACGACGGCGGCATTGTCTTGTGATAGGAGCTTGTAAGCTTTCATTTTTGATGATGAACAAAGAAGTCGAATGAAGGGTTGGCTAGAGCCTAGAGGCGGAGGAGTTGTCGGATGTCTCGGTGGGTATGATTGCTGGAAGCAAGTGGAAAGCACAAGGGCATCTGAGAGTCATTTAAGTGCCTGCATTATCCGACTCTGGCCGACAAACCGACAGGAGGTGATATGGATCCACCGCCGGACAGTCTATCCCGCCGCCAGACGACGTCGCGTTCCCCCGTTGACGTAGGCATGATGAGTTTGGCTGCCCATAGTTCTTTCATTCCTCTTTAGTCCCCACTGCTTCTAGAGTTTGAGAAGTGAATACAATCGGGAGCATCATCGGAGACATTACCGGAGACAAGCTGTTCGGAGTGCTAACAAGGCAGCGGTGATCCGCGGGCCAAAGTTGCGCCGGTTTGTGGGAATGGAACAACCCGTTCCGCTGCACTGTCGAGACACCCGAGAATGGCGGCACTGCTTGACCGGCTAACCGAATTCGGCGGCCAGAAGAGTAAATCTCTGTACTTTATGTATAATTAGAGACAGTGTTCCTCCCAGAATATCCCATAATCAACCCAAACCCATCCTTGCCATGTACCGTTCGTTCCCTGTCGCGCCAACGCTTTAATACCAACCATGCCGAGGAACCCAAGTATCCAAAACCACCACAAAAGCCATCCCCCCTTCAACTCTTTCTCCCATCACCCCCTTCCCCCTCATAGCACTCAACCCCCCCTCTCCACCACCGCCGCCACCCCCCCAACAGCCTTCTCATCCGCCACCCCCCTCGCCGCCTCCACATCCTCCCCACCACTCCCGTCCGCATCCACCTCCCCCTTCCCACCCCCGCGTGTACCTGTATCCTCCTCCCGACTCACCGCCGACGAAGTCCCCAGCCCAGCCCTCCGCAGCGACCACCAGGCCTTCCTCCCCCCGTCGCGGGTCGCCCTGCTGCCGCTGTTGCCGTCGCTGTCGTCGGCGAGGGTCTCGGCGTGGAACGAGGAGGAGAAGGGGAAGGAGGCGGCGACGCGCTTGTCGAGGTCGGGCGCGAACAGGAAGAGGTTGGGGTAGAAGCGCTTGGAGAAGGCTTTCAGGCAGGGCAGGCAGGCGCAGATGATGCCGACGTATTCTTCGACGAGGCTGGTTGAGAGGGGGGGGGGTTTGTTAGTTTTGGTTGGGTTGTGGTGCGGGGTTCAGGGGTATGAAAGCGGAGATGTGGAAGGGGAGAAGTTCGGGGGATGAACGATGAGGATGGGGGGAGGAGGGAACATACCACCAGATCAGGTTGATCGGATAGTGCCAGGTGATGTCCGGGTTGTTGGCGCCCGTCATGGCCGTGACCATGCGCATCAAGCTCACGCCGCAGACGCTAGATACCGCATTAGATGTGCAGGGTGGGGGATAACGGGGCGCGGATCACGTACAAGCCTCCAGCCATGAGAATCAGCAAGACACCGAGCTTTTTGATCAACGGGGCGCGCATTGGGCGAAGCAGCCAGATGGGCAACAGCAGGATCATAAAGTCGGTTACCATGTTCAAGATGTTGCCCGCGTCGAAGATGGCTTGTTGATTGATGCATGTTCCGGGGATGCTCCAGTCCCAGTACGATCCGATGGGCGTGCAGACGTAGAGAAAGAGAAATATCTGCGGTACGCTGTAGCCCACCGAGATAAACATGACGACGTAAACGGCCAAGCGAAAGGCTCTGTCCATTGAGAAGCGCAGGAAGAAGCTCAAGATGGACAGCTTGATGAACATGGTGGTGAAGCTGTAGGTGAAGGCGCCGCCCAGCATCATGATCTGACTTGTGTGTGAGAACTGGGTAGCTTATGGTCATGGGGATCCTCCTCACCTTCATTGTTTCGCTAAATGTGACGTAGTCCAGCTCCCAGATGTGCTTGCCCATGCCCATGGTGGACTCTGCGGGGGATGGTCAGCAACCCCTGACTGGGAAAAAGGGCTTTCTCGCAGGTTGAGCCTTACGGATGATGCAGAGAATGGCATTTGCCAAAGCAGAAGCCTAATAAGCAGCAAGCCACGGTTAGTTACCAACTTCGTCTAAACATGGGGTAGGTCGAGCGTACAGAGGCAATGCAAATCAAGTCTATCGCTAGGAGTTAGCAACCTCAATAATTCCGGCCACTCATCGGTCGGGGCGGGTCTTACAGTCATCCGGATGCCATTTTCGAATAATAAACGTCGCCGAGTATAGCCGTGGGATCAAGAAGAAGAATGATAATACAGGGAATACCACGGATACGATGATTAACTGATGACTGCTCGACTCTGGGTGCTCAAAATTCGGCTCCACGTTCGGGGGCGGAGGGGCCGCGGGGATGAAGGATCCGTCAGAACTCATATCGGCGGCGACGAAGAGAACGGTAGGTGGAGGGATCCGTCGAAGCGGTGGTCACCGGCTTTGTACACAGTCGCGAAGTGACCGCCGACCTGTGGAGAGAGCAAATCGCGTGGGAACAGGCGGGAGCCTGGGGTAGTTGAGTCCCGCCGGCCCGGTCTGGGCATCCTGAACAGGGACAGTCTCTCAAGCTCAGACGGCAGTGAGTTTATTGACTCCCCACTTCGTCGGCGCCCCGGCATTGGCTAGCGGGACGGCCGATGTGCATCCCCGGGCGAGGAAAGTCCCAACACTGCTTGGCGCAAGCGGGATGGAACGTGGAAAGGGCATGGGAGCATGGGGGCAAAGGAACGACTCTCGCGACCTTCTGTTGGTCTTCTGTTTCTCTCTACCCCTGCCCTTAACGGGGACCCTGGCTCGATATTCACCAAGTCACCGCTTGACAGGCAAAAGAGTTCGCCAACGAGGGAGAATCGAGTTGCACTGGTGCCCCAAAACACCATGATCATAAGTTGTATTTTCCCCCGACAAAAGCTAGTGTTTTTGAAGCCGAGAAAGAGTCTCTCGGTAAGTCGCATCCGAAGCCGCCAGTGAGCAGCAGGCAAACCAGGGGGATCATGTACCCGTGGCGGAACCTGGCACCTGAGGGTCCATGCGATGGATGGAAGCAGACTAATCTGTATTCGTAACGTGAGTGTACAAGTATGTACGAGACCCGCTCGATGCGGGGTGTGCGATTTGAGTTTGTCAAGCTTCGAGCTCATGGGGTCAGGGAGGTTCGTGTCATCTCCCATGTGTTCTTGGCTGTCGCTCCTCTTCCCCTGCGGCTGAGAACGAGAGACTGGACTCGGCAGCCTCCACAAAGGAACTGCAACGGGCCGAGAAAGCCACCCCGCTCGGACCTGAGACCCGTGAATTGAAGGCTGAGTTCAGGAGCAACCGGTGAACCGGTGAGCCGGTGGTTCGAAGTTGGAAACCGGGACAAGGTTCGCACTCGGGAGGTCAGATCCCCCGGGATGAGATTCCAATGCATTTTGTGCCAAACTTGCCGATTGGCGGTGGGCGAGGCGAGCATGCAGGTCGCTCAATATGTGACCTTGCATGGCGCGTCCCTCCAACCTCCTCGACCCATGATGGTCGGCATTTCTCCGGTGCCGCATTGTCGCCAACGGCAGCCGAGAGTCCTCTGTATCCGAGCAAATGTAACCTTTCGCGGAGAATGGAGTGCGTTGTTTTTGGCTATGATGGAGGGAGGGAGTGCAGAACTGAATAAAGTTTTATCTCATGATTTGGGTGTGCCATGCGCACGCAGAAAGGCGTGAAAAACGCGACCAAGCTGCCCGGTTCAATTTCCGACCATGCCCCCCTTGTGAACACCTTAATTTGCGAGATTCGGCATCGCGTGTAGCCCGTTTAGTGTCTTCTTTGGCATCAACAGAGCTGGAAGGGGGTGGGGTTTGTGTCTCGGGCTCCGGCTGCTGGGACCGCAGAGAGTGTGCTTGTGCGACCACCCACCCTCACGAGCCTCACCAGCCGCACCAGCCACCACGGTAGCTGTCGGGAGTTGCCACGTGGGGACGGGCATTTGTGTGGCACTTTTGGCTCCGATTCGGACCAGAACGCAGAACCAGACAACTCGAAAGGGAATGTGCCTGGCCGCAAGACATCTGTTGTGAGAAAAGTATGCGGGTGTGTCTTGGCATCGACGACAGCAAATGGCACTCATGTGCACCGGATTGTCCACCTTGGCGACAGACGCAGAATCGGACATTCACTCGGGGTTGGAGCCCCCGTATTTCCACACAAGTGCTCTGAATTGGTTGGTGACTATGGCGCTATGAAGCCCATTGATTGGGCTGAAGGAAACCCCATTCGGTTCCAGCGGTCGCCAGGCTTGTCATGCAAAGCCGAATCATGACCTCGTTACTTTTGGATCATCAAAACCACGCCCGAAGCCAGATGCCGCCAACTCAGAACGCCAAAGCAAGAGAGCGAAAACCCGTTTAGGCCGTCTTAGGGTTCTGGGTAGGAACCACCTTCTTGCCATCCTTGTTGTAGCGGACGCGCGGGGGGGGAGCCCGGTTGCGGCGGCCCTCGGTGGAGCGGACACTGTGAGGTCTCTGTCAGCGGGTTGTGTTCGCGGACCGGGGGTCGGGGCAACTAATGGCGGAGGTTCGACCAAGGTTCTTCTCAGCCGCCCGCGTCGCCGAGATGGCAGACGCGGTTGTCCCCGCCAACAGGACAAACGTACCGGACAATCTTGCCGTGAATCGCGCAAGAGACGCAGTACTGCAGCTTGAGGTACATCTTGGGAACCGTGTACTCGGAGAACACCGAAGCGTCCGAGATATCACCTAGTCGCAGTTAGTTAGCGGAAATGAACCACGGCCGACTGGGCGAGAGGTGGGGGGATATCGTCGCCGTCGCGATTTCGAAGATACGTACGGATCGCCGCAGACTCAACCATGTTGCGGATGGTGAACCGCTTGATGGCCTTGTCCTTGGGGGTGCATCGCGAGCAGTTGGAGCACCGGATGGGCTTGACGTGGCCGCGGCCTGCGAGATTCTCAAGTCAGTCCATCTGGGAGACAAGACACACAGGGGACAACCATCAATGCTCACCCTTCTTGTTGCGGCCGTTGTTCTTTCTCTTCTTGACCATTTTGACGGTGTCCTGAGTGTGCTGGTTCTCAAGAGGTTGTGTGGGAGAAAGGCAAGCAGTTCAGAAATTCGACTGGTGCTGGAAAACCCTTGGTGAAGGACCCACTGCGACGTCGAAAGTTTCCCCACTCTCAATCACCACCGGGGAAGTGCGGCCCAGGGCAACTTTTCCAGCGAGCCCTAAGAGCAGGCACAGAGTCAGCTGACCCGCACCATCCAGAGTGGGCCCCTCCAAAAGTTCAACTCCGCCAACGCCGTGGCTCAAAATCCTGCCCTCTTTTTCCCAAGCGCAACTTCACAACATCTGCAGCCTGCTGAGGAAGACATTGTGTCTAGGTACGTCTGTACGATGTTGCGAGCCGGCGCTTGTTTCCTCGTCATTTACGACGCATCATGATACCCAATCTTGTCCTCGCTGCCTTTGCGGCGGCCGACTTTGAAATCCGGGCGCGCGCGACTTGATACGTCGGCGAGCTCAGATTTCGGTCGGCTTCACCCCAGCCCCCAACTCGCGCCGGCTCAGCTTCCTCGAAGCCAATATCTCCCTTGCGTCTAACACTTCCTCACCACTTCTCAGTAGGCAACCATGCAGATCTTCGTGAAGACCCTCACGGGCAAGACTATCACCCTTGAGGTGGAGTCGAGCGACACGATCGACAATGTCAAGTCCAAGATCCAGGACAAGGAGGGCATCCCCCCTGACCAGCAGCGCCTGATCTTTGCCGGCAAGCAGCTCGAGGATGGCCGGACCCTCTCGGACTACAACATCCAGAAGGAGAGCACCCTCCATCTTGTGCTCCGCCTGCGTGGTGGTGGCAAGAAGAGGAAGAAGAAGGTCTACACCACCCCGAAGAAGATCAAGCACAAGCGCAAGAAGACCAAGCTCGCTGTGCTCAAGTACTACAAGGTCGACAGCGATGGCAAGATCGAGCGTCTTCGTCGCGAGTGCCCCAGCGAGGAGGTGAGTTTAGCTCTTCCCCCGTCCACATGTGGGTTCATGCTGACATTATCTAGTGCGGCGCCGGTGTCTTCATGGCCGCCATGCAGGACCGCCAGTACTGCGGCCGCTGCCACCTTACCTACGTCTTCGAGAAGAGCGCTTAAAAGGCTGGCTTGAAGCGAACTGGGCAACTCGGGACGGGAACGGAATTGCAAGGAGTCAGGAACGGGCAACGATCTTTCATGATATCGGCGTTTATGTACCTTAGAGTCGGGCATATGCGGACTCGGACCGGCAAGGAAAATGCAATTTGGGGGTGCGATGACAGACCGGGCCACCTCGACCACTGGTGTCATCATCTCAGGCTGTGTAACTGGGTCATGCAGGCAGCTACCTAGCTTATCCAGTCAAGTTCCCGTCCCATTCTAATTATTGGGGAACCCGTCCCTCAGGTTGTCGTACTTTGTGTGAGGGTATGTGATACAGTTCTGGCGCCACTGGAGCGAATTGGGACCCCCGAGCACGTCAACCACATTCCCAATCAAGCTCTCTGACCCCTCCTTATCAGCGCTGCTCTCCCACCACATCCCACCGCCCAACCCGCGATGCCTAATGTAATCGGCCTTCGCCCTCGCCATCTCCACGTTATCATAACTCACGAGCACCCTGCGGCCGTGGTGATAGCAGTAACTCGCGCCGGCGTCGTAATCGGCCAGCACCTCGGCGCCCTCCAGCGGCAGCTTCTTGTAGTCGTGCACGCCATTCTCCCAGGTGCCCTCGCCGACGCCGTTGAACGGCCGGCCCAGGCCGTCGGTGCCCTCGAACGCGCGGCCGTACAGGGGCATGCCCATGACGATGCGGTCGGGCGCGACCCCGCGCGAGACGTAGGCCTGCACGGCGGCCTCGGTCGAGAAGGGCGTGCGCGCGGCGTCGTGCCCGCACGGGTACAGGTTCGCCTGGTGGCCCGCCACCGAGTCCCACGACCCGGCGTAGTCGTACGCCATCAGGTTCCAGAAGTCCAGGTACCGGTCCATCCCCGCCATGTCTAGGTTGTTGTAGTTGTGCGCCCCCGCCGGGCACGCCACCGTCAGCTCGAAGTGCGGCGGGTTGGCGCTGTCGACCGTTCGCGCGTGCTGGTCGAGCGCGCTGCGTACTTCGGCGAGCAGTGAGACGAAATCGGCGGCTTCGGCGCCGTTTTGCGGGTACTCCCAGTCGATGTCGAGGCCGTCGAAGCCCAGGCGGGAGAGCTGTTAATGCAAGGTTGGTTAGCAAAAGCGTCGTGGGGGGTTGGAATGGGGTGTGGTGAGGGAAACGAACCAGCTCAACGGCAGACGCCGCAAAGGTGTGTCTGCCCTGTGGCGTCGAGGCCGGCTGCTTGAAGTTGCTACTGTAGGTCCACCCGCCGATGGACAGCAGGACCTTGAGGTTGCGGTTGCGGCGCTTCAGGAGGTTGAGCTGCTTCATGCAGCCGTACAGGTTGGTGCCCGTGTCGTTCCAGCTGTCGCCCTCCCAGTGGATGTCGGTGTCGGCCCACGAGTCGGTCATGTATACCTCGCCGGACTCGGGCCGCACGTTGGCGAAGGCGTAGAGCACATGGGTCAGGTTCTCCACGGGCAGGTCCTGCGGACGGTGCTTACGGGCGTAGATGGCCCAATTGACGAAGTAGGCTACCGAACGGTAGCCGCCAATAGGTCCGCCACCCATTGTTGATGTTGTTGACGGTGTTGATGGGGTCGTCCGGAAGCTGGGAAGGGAGGTTCTGGGCCCAATGAAGATACCAATTAACACGGCTAATATGGTGAAAACGATGGAGAAGAGGTAAGAATATCTAATGAATCCGGGCATACGGCAGCTTATTATATGTCACTCCCTTTGCCTTGCTTCTTGTTTGCTGTCAGTCCGAGCTGTCTCAGAGGACGCCCATTGGGAGCTTGGGGACCTTGGCAGGCGAGGGGGAGGGGCAGGCCACGCCAGTGGGTCCACCCTCACTGAGCTCCGCCACTACCTCCATGCCTGCACCGCTGTTCAACTTCACCGTGAACAGACGAGCTGTAACCGATTTCTGGTGAAGGAACACCCGTCGAGTCCGGCGGAAACATCCCAAGTCAATCTCACCCTCCTCGATGGCCCGACTACCATTTTCTAAGCGCAAAGCGGTGAAGACCGGGTATTCCGGCGTCGGGTTGACCTTGGGAAGTGACGGTGCTTGGCAAGCCAGCGCCGAGATGCTTCGAACTAACCGCATTGACACGCTCGGGGCAGTGCAGCTCTTCTTGCCACGACCTTTCGCCGCCTCGAGCTCACAACTCCCATCCCACTTATTCCGCAACGAATTTGAGCGCGAGACAATCACCGCCCGTACAAGCTTGTCAAAGGAGATGCCACTATCCCCATTACCTTACTTCTTGTTGTTTCTAGAGTCAACAACCGTGTACTGAGTCGACCTCGATTTATATCGACGCGGGTTGGAAAGCAACACCTATTATTCCATGCTGGGTACCTGTGACCTAGGTGTAAATACAACTAAAAGTAGGGAAAATATGATTTTGAAGACACTAGTAATACAGTGGTTTCCCATATCGTATCGGAACAAGACGAGTTCAGTTAGCTATAAAAGAAAATGAATTAGATCATGATTATTCCTCAAATCCCGTCCAATATTTACTTTGCTGAATTCTCCCACTTGTGGTTGCTAGTCTCAGACAAACTGAGCCTGAACGGCATCATGTTAACGTGAACAGTTGGAATAGCATATGATAAAGCAGCGGAATGTGTTGCAAGTACCGTACGTCTCGGGTTTGGTCACCAATAATGACCACGACTTGTCATAATTAGCGGCCTTCGTTGACTGCGGGTTATGGCCCCCTAAGATACGTGATGTTATTCGTTCCCAACAGCATAAAATGATCTAGAGAATACCTCGGTCTGTCAAAGCCCCGTGTTCTGAGATACAATCCATTACTTGTCTTCACATTGTATATTTGGCCTAAAAACCTTCGGGGTGTCCCTTCACCCACTCTGCAACCTCCTTGCACGGCGCAACCCATATTTCCCCATCCTCACTGATCCTCTTCAAGACCGCCTTCATCACCTCAAACTTCTCTTCACTTGTCTGCAGGAACGGATGGAACAATATGGACATGAAACCACCCGTCTTGACAGTCTCATCAATCTCGCGCATCAACCACCCTTTAAACTCTCCAGGACTCAGCAATATCTCCCTCTCCCCATACTCTTTCCGAATCCCACCAAACTTCTCCATATACCAAAACGCATCCACCGCCCTCCACTCAAACGGCAACACCACCACCCCTTCCCTTCCCATCCCAAACTCTCCCAACGGCGAAACATACTCCACCCCCCGCTCCCTCAACAACCCCCAACTCCGTTCATTCACCACACCCCCAGGCGGCCTAAACCCCACATACCGCACCCCCTGCGCCTCCGCCGCCTCCCAACTCCTCTCAAAGCTCTCCCTTTCCTGCTCCTCACCCAGCCCACCCCAGACCTCATGCTGAAACCCATGCCACGCGACCTCGTGGCCCGCGCGGGCCAGGGCCTGCACGGCGTCCGGGTACACGCCCAGGCTCCAGGCCTCGGCGAAGTAGGTGGCGCGCACGCGGTGCTCGTCCAGCAGCGCCAGCATGCGCGGCAGCTGGTCGGTCACGGCGGGGTGCGTGCCGACGGGGCCTGCCCAGGTGCCCTTGAGCATGTCTTGCGCTTCGCCGAGGTTGTCCATGGTGAAGGAGATGGCGGCTTTGTAGGGGGGTGGCCAGCGCGGTGGGGGGGGCATGGTGGATGGTGGATTTGGAGGGTTGGATGAGTGGGGTTTTTGGATGTGTGTGTTGGTGGTTGGGCGATGAGGGTTTTGGGTTGGGAAGTTAGGATCTTAACGAGTGGAAGGCCAGTGGAGGCTAACCTACATGTATCCCCTTAGCAGTGATGACATGGTGCCCTCCCGACTGGTTCTTCTCAAAGCTCGGCAGTTGCAAACTTGTGTCGCTCGGCGGGGAATTCACGTCACCCACTGCACCATTTTAGGCAAGAGGGGCAAAATGGCCATCAAAAGGGTGAGAACTGCCACTAAGATGTAGGTAATTACCTGGTACCTACCTGTTCTTCCGTCTTCTAATGACCATTCCCACTTTTATCTTTCGGACCACAAACAACATTAAGCATTTGATACAAATACCACTCTGACAAGAGTCCGACTACTTCTTTCGTTGCGTAATAGATATCGAAGTACCTCGGTAATTATTCCGACTAGAAGACCACTCTAGTCGAGAAATTCCATTGTCTCTCCGCCGTTGTACGTACATAGGTACCTACCTACTTGATACCTCCCGCCCTTAGTACCTAGGTAGGTGTACACAGCATAATATTCGTATACAGATAGGTGTCTACGACCTACTCGGCCCGTTTTCCAGGCTCCCGATCGGGTCTCGGGTATTTCCACGCAATCCGCTAGACTATCGCAAATCCAAACAACCCCGCTCCCACGCCTCCTTTTTTTCCACGTCAATCTTCTCAAAATCTCTCGCAACATGTTGACGTTTACGGGGGTTCGTGGCCGGAATTCCAGCGAGACTGGTGGGGGGTCGAGGGCGTGATTTGCGCAGCGGCCTGCTGCCAAGACGCCGACTGCGCACAAAGCTGCCAGTGCCAGCCCCTCCCCTCCTCAGTTTCCCCCGTTTCCATGCCGAGAAGCAGAAACCGGACCCCAACAGTACCAACCGAGGTGCTCTAAAGTGGTAGGCGAACGGCGCCATGGCGGACCCCCTGAGTACCATTGCAAACGTAATAGCGGTACTCAAACTCGCTTCGGCAGCGACCAAGTACATCAAAGAGGTCAAACAGGCATCGTCAGATCGCCTTCGCCTCCGAGATGAACTCCGCAGCACCACCTGCCTGCTTGAGATGCTCAAAGACAGGCTGGAAGACTCGCAATATTCCGAAGACAGCGACGCAGAGACGTTGAAACCCCATTCAATCGCTTCGCTTGAAGGAGGAGATGGCCCGCTCGAATTGTTCAGGCAGGTGTTGGAAGACATCATCAGCAAACTAGCGCCCCAGAACCGCCTCAGTCGGCTTGCCCAGTCTTTCACTTGGCCATTTGATAAGAAAGACGTTGCTGAGCTCGTCTCTACGCTGGAACGACTCAAGAGTCACTTCACCTTGGTCATGCAGAACGACCTCGTGTAAGAGCACCAACCAACTTGGTCACCATACTTCGCCCGGTACTGACGGTTCCTGAGCGAGCTCACAAAACTTTCTCATCTCAAACTCGACAACATTCAACGAGAGGTAGAGAACGCTAGATCAAGATCCCTAGACAATGAGAGCCAAAAAGTCATCCTTTGGGTCAGCACCCTGGCCTACCGCCCGAGACACCTCGACGTGCTCGAAAACGCACAGCCCGGGACTGGGACTTGGTTTCTCAGCCATCCCACCTTCAAAGCATGGGTCGATGGGACAGCTGGCGACGTGCTTTGGTGCCCAGGAATTCGTGGGTAAACCCGAAGAGCTTACCGAGCTTACTTTCCTTGCGCATGCTGATGATGATCTACCCGCAGCCGGAGCTGGCAAGACGATATTAGCGTGGGTATCTCGAGCGTTTATGCCAGTCCTATTTTCTTTGCCCTCAAGCACGCTAACCGTGACTTTGTTCTTCAAGGTCCTTGATCATCGACAACTTGGAGCGGGAGCACGGCTTTCACGATACCATTTGCACCTATGTGTATTGCAACTACACTAAGAGACAAGAGCAAACTGCCGTAGCGTTGCTCTCGAGTCTACTACAGCAAGTCCTCCAACACATCACCACTACGACTGTACCGGTGGAAATACAGTCACTTTATCAGCTACACAAGAAACACGGCACCCGGCCGACCCTCGCTCAGGTTACTGACATCCTGCGGATTTTAACTGCCAGCTTCTCCGTCTTTCGCGTTGTCGTCGATGCGCTAGACGAATGTGCTGAGTCCGACGATGACGCCCTCCGTTTCATAGCTGCCGTTCGGTCCTTGGGCCCATCCGTTCAGCTCCTTTGCACCTCCCGGTTCTCAACTGTGTTTGAAAGGTACTTTGATGGGGCTCAGAGGATCGAGATATCCGCCCAGAGTGAAGACATCCGGATCTACTTAGACTCGCAAATACAGCAGCAGCCGGGCCTTGCACGGCACGTCCGGGCTGACTCGAGCTTGAAAGACGAAATAATCGACGCCATCGTTGGGGAATTTCATGGAATGTACGTGTTGCCCGCTCCATTCTTCGAAGACCTCGGACTTTTGCTGACTACCTACACGTCTGCCAGGTTTCTATTGGCAAAGCTTCACCTTGAATCTCTCTCCAAGAAGATCAACCGTAAGGCCATCCGCGTCGCTCTCAAAACATTGCCGACGACCCTCGACGCTACATATTCCGAAGCGGTCGAACGAATCTACAACCAAGCTCCAGACCTTGTTGAGGTCGCTGAATCGGTCCTGTTTTGGGTCATCTGCGTCAAGCGACCCCTGACGGTGCTTGAACTGCGCCATGCGTATGCCACTCGGGAGCTTCCTGATGATACGCCTCTTGAAGACGACGACTTGCCCGACGGGGAGATACTCACCAGCACCTGCGGCGGCCTCATCAAAGTGGACGGAGAATCGCAGACGGTGCGAGTAGTCCACTATACTGCGCAGGAATATTTCGAGAGGTCCCACACCCAAAACCTCTACGCAGCTCGGCGAGACTTGGCAAGTATTAGCCTTGCCTATCTTACTCTGCCAAACCTTTCCGACGGTCCCTGCTCGACAGATAAGACCATGGCTCGGCGGCTCGAACAGTACCCCTTCCTGGACTACGCTTCAACCTACTGGGGCGAGGACATTGGTAAACTGTCTGACGACGATCTTGAGGCCATGCGGGCCAGAATAGATCGGTTTCTCTTCAACAAGGGTTCGCTAGAAGTCGCCTGCCAGGTTCAATACCTACCGCGCATCCGTTATTTGCGTTGGAGTCAGGAATATCCGAGGAACGTTCCACCCCTTGTCGTTGCCGCAGGTTTCAGCATGCCGCAAGTTCTCAAGAGGCTCATAACTGATGTGGGCCTCCACGTCGAATCCCGTGGAACTGACCGCGTGACAGCCCTCATCCGTGCCGCCGTATGTGGCATTGCCGACAACGTTAGAGCCCTTGTTGAACAGGGGGCTGACTTAGAGGCTCGCGATTACATGGAGGAGACTGCCTTACAGAAAGCCGCGGGGAAGGGAGCCGTCGATGCTCTCAGGACCTTGATAGATGTGGGCGCAGATGTCAACGCCCGATCACCCGACTGGACGTCGCTCATGAGCGCTGTTTCCTCCAACAATGTGGAGGCTGTCGAGATGCTGGTTTTGGCAGGGGCAGACACTGCGACTGAGACCGTGTGGGGTGAAACCGCATTAACGCTTGCATTGCGCAACGGTCAGGAACCTATCGCGAGCTTTCTTACGAATCAGGGGGTCTCCCTTCCGCGGAATCCCACTGGACGCCGTGCTTCCGTAACCGCTTCACGCAAAGGCATGCGCGACCTCGTACGACGCCTCACAGCTGACTATGGCGCTATCGCCGCGAGGCCACTACAGCGCCAATCATCCAGAGTAGCCGCAGGCTTGACAAGGATCCAAGAGGAAGCAGAGCCTCCAGATGCAATTGCAACACGGGTACCTATACCAGGGCAACCCGCGCGTCCCGAAATCGACGAGGGAGACTTCATGGGTTTATTAGAAGGACTGGAGTACAGTGTTGGTTTCACGACCATGTATGAATTAGGGAATTTGCTTGGATCCGGTCACTTTGCAACAGTGCGCTCGTGTATCAACCGAGTAACAGGCGTGGCAGCCGCTGCCAAAGTCTTTCACGACGTCGACAAGTGGGAGGGCTCAGCCGAGAAGCTGGCGTCTGTGCGAAGGGAGGTTACAGTCCTATCGAAGCTCCGAGGAGGGTCACATCCTGCCATTATACAGATCATGCATCTTTTTGCTGATTATAACGATCGGAGAATACTCCTCGTCACAGAGCTGGCCAGTGCAGGAGAGCTGTTCCATTTGATCTCACGCCGCCAGAAGCTATCGGAGCAGCAGACCCGCACAATCTTCGTGCAGTTGTTGTCGGCACTGGAGTTTCTAGTAAGTTGCAGAGCTTTGCTTATATCGCCATACAACAGCTAACTGGTCCATAGCACGACCGCGGCTTAATACACAGGGACATCAAGCCAGAGAATATACTCCTGACTGACGAGGAGAGTTTATCAATAAAGCTAGCCGACTTCGGGCTAGCCAAGCAAATTCCTGACGATTCAGGCCTCTGGCATTATAACGCGACGCTGTGCGGAACGCCGAGTTGTACGTCTGGCCGTGGTGCTTTTTCTTTTGTTGCAAGCCCGACTACCTGATTGATGTCCGCATCTGCTAATGTTGACTCTAGATGTGGCCCCGGAGATTATCTGCAAGTCTCATCTCCAACGGAAATCCGGAACCCCGACAGACATATGGTCCTGTGGTGTTGTGCTGTACATCTGCCTTTGTGGGTTTCCACCTTTCTCGGATGAACTCAAAAGAGAGGACTTCCCCTACGACCTGGCCGATCAGATTCGGGCGGGGATGTTCGACTATCCGTCCCCTTACTGGGACCCCATCCCTGATTCAGCGTTGGACTTGATTGACAGCATGATCGTTGTGGACATGGAGAAGCGGTTTTCTGCCCGGGAGTGCCTTGAACACGTGTGGATGGCAAACGATGCACCCACGATACTAGAAGGGGAGGGGGGCGTGAGGTCGGCCAGCCCTGAACCACTCAACTGATGTACCTACACTGCACCAGAAGAACCAAGCGTCGAGCAACACCTTCAGAGAGCGCCAACTTACTGGCATAATCTCGGAACACAAAATCCTCGCTACTACTTGGACGGTTCATCTACTTGCGCTTTTAGTATACTTCCGAAAAGTATAGGGTGGAGATGACCTACCTGGCCTTTGGTGGTCGACGGGAGAGATGTTCCGGACGTGGTAATATCCTCGCTTCTGACGGCGGTGAAAAGGTCTTTTTGGGAACATTGTGGTCGTTAAATGAACCGTTTTGTATACAGGATTGGTGTTTGGGACAGACGCGAGCACTAATGGGTCGAAGAGGCTTGGGGTAGGGTTCGACTTGTCTACCGTGGGATTAGATGGCCGAAGACACTCCCGTTGAGCCAGCTGCAGGGCGGTCAACTACTCACCGGCTGTGGATTCAGTCAGGCATCATATCAAGTTGCGGTAGTCTAAAGCAAGGGCACGGCTCGTATTAACGGATGAGGAGTAACACAACGACACTGTTGTTCTACGGGACTCTTGTCGAGTATACGCCCTCGCTGCTTTGTCCCCCGCACAATGATATGTCCCTGGTGAGCCTCCAAATCCCGACAAAGAACTTAATTACACACAATACGCCCCTTGGAGCCATGTCGATCGTACCCATTCTACATCTGTGGGGGGCTTGTCCCGTGGACAGGTGGTTCCAACAATTTATGATTTGAGTCACAGAGCAACACAACACTTATTGAAACAACAAAGGAGGACGTTCTGGGTACATGGGCCCTCTCCACTATATATAAACGGCCGAGAATTGTGAATTTGTCAATGACCCAGGATTACTTCGTTGATCTACCGCTACTCAGTCATCTTCTAACAAGCAGCACAGGAAAGGAACATCGACGAAAATGTCTGACCAACCTGCTCAGCCTTACCAAGCTGGGAGGGAAGCTGGCAAAGACGACTCCTCCAAATCTGCCACCCCCTTCTCGCCACTTCGTCCTGCCACGACCTTCGCTGAGATGGGTGTCCCTTTCCACCAAGACGTGCCTAATCCTCCGAAGATTGGTGTACTAGCTTCTACTGTGCGAACTATCACAAACCTGAAGGTGAATGTGAAGAAGTCAAAGGCCAAGTCTTCCGAGGCGGAAAATAACAAGAAGACTACTCCGCTGGCAATGAGTCGTGGCACTAACAGCGTTCCCAACCCTAAGTTGCTCATCCCAAAACGTCCGGCCCCAGGCGCCCCCCAGATCCCGCCTCTGAGGCTCCCCTCTCCGGAGTCACCCATGAGCAACAGCACCAAGGATCCTATCCCCAATTACTCTCGGAAGATTTACCCTTTCCTTGATGCTAACTAGACAAAATATGAGGAGCTATTAGAACTCGGTATATTGGTTGTAGCAACCCAATCTGAAAACTGCGGGGAAAATAAGAAAGTGACATGCTTACTGCCACCTGATTCTCTTGATTCACGACGATCTGTGGTATCTGAATGGACCATGTGAGGCCCAGCTTACCTATTTTGTATGTTGGAGTCCCCACCTCAGCCCTGTTGCTCCCGTCCGGCGTCCTCCGCCATAAGCGTGGCAGTGTGGATGTCTTTTCGTTGGGTGCGAGTCCTCAGCCAAGCGTTGGCGCAGCCCCCAAGTGCCTGCAAGCTGCAGGCACAGGCATGATCAGGAACCAACAAGCCTCGAGGGGAGCGGGCCAACAAATGTTTAAAACATGCCTATAATTACAATCTTGCCTTGCCTTGCCTTGCCAACAGTTTTTGCCCCCATGCCGCGTCTTATTATTCCCCTTGCAATGCCTAACAGCCGTATTTAAGTATCTGAAGCCCCTATTTCTCTGAACTCTGCAGGCTTCTAGGATAATACGTACACGACGTATTCTTGCCGAGAAATTTGAACCGATCAGGTGTTCCTCTTTAACCCAAGCAGAACTCGCACTACCCCCCAAATCACGATCAACACTTTTCAATGGAAGTTTCCAATGCCGACCCTCCCTCGACCGAGGCCGCCGCCGCCGCCAACGCCTCGGATCTTGACAGTCCTGTCCGGGTATTGGTCCAGACCCAAACGCACCTCGTCCCCGGCGACAAAACTACCCATTTCGGGGAGAGATACGACGCAATGGTCAGCCTGATCTGCCAGCACGTATGGCAGCGCGAGTACGACCAATTTCGCGAGCGCGACTGGAGCTACCACTGCCACTTTGCCGTGGACAACGTCGAGTGTTGGTTCCTTATCGACCACCACGGCCCGGACCCGACTCCGCCGCCGGACCCGCCGCTTATATGGTATCGATGGACCGGAACAAAATTGTTTGTCTGCCTCAACCTCTCCGGTTACCTGCTGCTGTGGCTGTTTAACTTACTGCTGCTATAATAGTATGATAGTCCACGGCCGGCCCCCTAGTGGCGTGCGTCGTGAGCTCCAGTATTATCCATTCGAACGGGTTGCACACTATATCCTTACAGAGGAGTACCCTAGACGACGAACTCCAAGGGTTTACAAATCCCGCGACGAGGAAATACGTGTGAAGCGCCATATGCTCCGCCATACTTTGCTCAGTAACCTCTGCTTGACCGAGGAGCTTCTACGATTTGTAAAAGATTTTCCTGACGCGGCAGAAAGGGTGAAGGCACGGGTTCCACCGGAGGCTTGGGCGAGGCTCGAGGATCCTTCGGAGTTCGTGATGCCACTCGAGCCGGACGAGGGCCATACCTGGGCTGAGTCCTCAGACCGGGTTGAATGTCCGGAGAGTTAGACGGGACTCCAGTACACACACAATCATATTTTCGATGTGTTCATCATGGGCTGGCCCCATTGGGTGCCCTAGCAGGTAGACTTGGAACTCGGAAATCCCGCTGTCGGTACTGTGGAGGAATCCTCCTTTAGCTGGTCTAAAACATGAAACGGTGTGCCCTAGCACCTTGGAATATCAATGCCCCTGAGCCAGTCCGTATCTGAAAAGTCCCCTAACCCGGTGCCAACCATCAGTTATGTCCCCAGCACGGGCATGTGAATATCTCACGGGTTGCACACTCCACCGGGGTTATCTAGCTCCCTAGGCCCTGGCTGGAAGGAGGAAGAAGAGAATTTGATTGCAAGCTTCGGTATTCTCTTGATTTAGGGTCCTTGAACAAAGCCGTGGCACCACAGCCTGGTATTTGTAGACGGAACAATTTGCACGATTGAGTCAGGTATCCTGTGACGAGACATTTCTATCCCATATTGGTTGAGGCGTGACGCCCTTCACCAGCATCAACAATTCATCCCCCACTGCTGTGACAAAGCACTATAGGTATCAGGCCAATGTTACGCCTTCTCGACGCGCCCCTGTGAATTTGAGTTGTGGGCGCGTGTGTGTGCATCGCCTCCATTGTCTTTAAAAAGCCGCCCAAACCTTCTTGGAGTAGAGAGTCCTGGCGTAGAAGACAACGGCCGATCCAGCGAGAGACATGACACCTCCAAAGATCTTGACGTGCAGCCAGCCATCGTCAACCGAACTCGCGCTCCGCAAGATGCGCCCGCCGATGGGCGCCATGGTGAGGGCGGGAAGCGAGAGGACGAGCATGACGACGCCGATCCGGTAGCCGATCTGAGGCAAAGGGGACACGGAGGCCGGCAGGGCCGCGAGGAGGCTGACGAAGGCGCCGGAGAGGAAGCCGAACGTGACGGCGAAGCCGATGGCGGCGGACTGGTGTGTGGCCGGGATCCAGAGGGCCAGCTCGACGATCCCCGAGGCGGCACCAGCGATGACGAACACGTTCCATCGGCCGGCGATATCAGACCAGTATCCAGAGCCCAGACGGCCGAAAAGGCTTTGTAATGTAAGCAAGGTCAGCCACCTGTCAAGCAAACCCCAGTGTTTCCAGCCCAAGGTGGGTACGGGGGTTGGACTCACCTCGCACCGTTGAAGATGGCCACCAGGTAGAGCGACATGGACATGTGAGCCTGCTCCAAAGCCTGCAAGGCCAAGTAGTTGACAGGAATGAAGATGCCGTACATCAGGATGAACATTCCCAGTAACATGACGACGAAAGGGAACTCCTTGAAGGGAGCGGCCAGGGTTGCGGCCGGCGTCTTCTTGGGCGCTGGCGCTGTTCTCGGCCGGAGGGTGAATATTGCGACGATTTGCGAAGACAAGATGAGAAAGGCGGCGATCCGCATGGCCCAGGGATACCCGGTGCTCGGATTCTGGATCAGGCGATTGATCATGATGGGGAAGACGACGCCGCCGAGAGACGAGCCGGTCACCATGACGCCCATCGCGAGGCCTCTCTTTTTATGAAACCAGGTTGCGATAGTTGCAATCGCTGTTGTGGGTGTGTATGTTGTTAGCAAGGAATCTAGATTTCCCGTGTGAGGTCAAGGAGTTGGAATGGACCACGAGGTCGTGGGACCTGGAATTTGAAGAAACCTACCGGGCGAGTACAAGAAGCTAAGACCGATGGCACTACAAACGCCCTGGGCCAAGAGGAACTGATAGTACTCGGTTGCCAGGGATGCCATCATGAGTCCAAAAACATGCAAGAAGGTGCCGACCAAAATGAGCGGCGTCGGGCCATACTTGTCAAACAAGAAGCCGACGGCAGGCCCTAGGAAAAAGAGGAAAAAGATCTCGAGCGACGGGATCCATGAGATGGTGCTGCTGTCGTAGTCCCTGAGAGGACCAAATTCGTAATAGCTTTGAAAGACGCCCACGCCTGCCAAAGGAGTTAGGGTCTGCACCGATACCAAGAAGATGTCGGTGCCAGGTAAATGCTCCATGTCAGCTTCGGGACGGGCCGGTAAAGCTTACTTACTGTTCATCCAGCCGAAGCTCGTGAAGGAGCAGCACCAGGCGCCGAGAACAGCGAGCCAGGCGCCTGTGCCGCCATCAGGGGGACCGTCGGCTTGCAGCTGCTGTACCTCGTTTTCTGAATTGTTGTCAGGACCATGAAACAGCTGTGATTCGTCGGATGTTTGGAACACCCCCTCCCTGGTATCACTGTCGGTTGGCGCAGCCTTTTCCAAAGACATGTTTTCCTGCTTGCGAAGACCACTTTGGGGAACGAGAATTGATAACTGTGCGAGTCAGAGACAAAGGATCTCGAGAAAAGAAAACAAGGGATAAGTTGGTGACGGCGTTATAAAGTAGCTGGAAGCCTTCCTCTGTTTTCGTTTAACGGAATGTCCGCGGCAGCTGTCCGGAGGCTACCCGGCCTACGTCTGCGACCTCGCTCGCTTACCAACACGGAAGCAAATGGAGCGGCACCCGGGACTTTACAAATACGAAAAACCAGCTTCCGCTGGAAAGGTATCTAGGTAATCATCTAGGATCCGGAAGCGTCTTGGGGTTGCATAAAGACGCGGCTCGTGATCCCGGACGGAATTTGGCCGCACTTCGTCCACAATCCCGGTACGCATGGTCGTTAACATCACCAATCTCGCCAGCCTGCGCGCCGCCGTCACCGCGATCGGGGCCGACATGCCTCCCATCGGCGGGGTGATGAACGGGGCCATGCTCCCGCGAGACCGGCTCTTCCAGAACATGCCGTGGGTCGACTTCGCGGCCGTGCTGGCACCCAAAGTCGCCGAATCTCGGAACCTGGACGCCGTCTTGTACGAGGACGAAAAGAAGGAGCCACTTGCCTTCTTCATCTGCCTCTCGTCCATCACGTCCATCGCCGGGAACGTGGGGCAGTCGGCATACGCGAGCTGGCCGCGTCGGTGCTGCACATCGCCATCCTGACGTGCTCCGGCTGCATTCATCGCAGCGACGCCGCGCACACCGAAACCATGAACAGGTCCCTCCGGACGCGCTATCACAACCAGGCGGAGCCGGATCTGCACGCGATGATGGCCGAGGCCGTTGTCGGCGGCCGTGACAGTGACGGTGACAGTGACGGTGACAGCAGTCACAGCACGGCCAGTGGTAAGCTCATCACGGGCCTGCGCACCGTGTTCGAGGGCGAGAAGCAGCGGCCACAAAACCCGCATCTTGCGCTCTATCTCCGGGACGACGGGGGCGATGATTTAGACACCAGAGGAGAGCGTGGTGCGGCGGCGATGAGCGTGCAGGCACAGCTGACCGAGGTCGGCGCCGATAACGACGCGGGCCAGCAAAGAGCCATGTTGAAGAAGGCCTTCGCAATCGCTCTGGGCAGGCTGCTCGAGATAGACCCGGCTACGATCGACCCGGTGGCCGACACAGTCGGGTACTCTCGGACCTCGTCCAAGGTCGTGTACGTCGTACGGGCATCAAGCGATTTCGACTTTCCTACATTTTCAGAGAGGTAGCCATATCATTGTCGGCAACGCAAATGGTGCTGCAGAGGTGGTTTCGATAAATGCTGCAGAGGCTATAGGCTTGAGAGAGAGCCAAAAAAAAAAAAAAAAAAAAATGAAAACAGAAGGCGAGAGCCTCTGCAGGATGGCGAGGTTGCCCTCGCCGAGGCGAAGCAATGGACCGTGGGAGCAATGTGAATGGCTTCAATTACGGCTTCCAAAAGCTCCAATGTTACCTCTTGAAGTGGGATCCACGAATCCTGCCCACTGGTGTTGTTCTGATCGGAGACCGGCTCGCGCGCCAAGACAGTCCAAGCGCTTCCAGGCTGCACCACACTGCCACAAACACAGCCACCCCCGCCGGTGAGAAATAAGCCTTGCCAAAAACTCGGGTGAATTGAGGCCACAATCTCACCAAGGAGGCCTCTACTTCCCACGACAAACAATAATTTGCAGCATAAAATCGGCATAGGCTGTGGAATTCTTGTCCACATCCACCATCCAAATACCCGTGTTCCGTAATTCGGGTCATCTATCCACGAGCCTTTGCATTTCATTGCACAACACTGCAAGTTTCACAATGAGCTCGCAGCCACCTTATTACGGTCAACCCCCGCCGCCGCAAGGCTACGGTGCCCCGCCTCCGGGTGGGCCCCCCAACCCGAATGCCGCCTATCAACAATACCCACCTCCCGGACCTCCGCCGCCGGGCCAAGCACCGGGCCAAGCGCCGGGCCAGCCTCCGTACCAGCAGCCGTACTATGGCTACCAGCCTGCACCCGTAAGCCCGCAACCCGGCGGCCAGTACCAGCCTCCCCCGCCCGGCGGCCAGCCAGGCCAGTACCAAAACCAGCAGTATCCCCCGAATCCGCAGTACGGACAACCTCCTCCTCCTCAGGGCGCCCCGTATGGCCAGCAGCCTCCTCAGGGTGCTCCGTATGGCCAGCATCCTCCTCAGGGCGCTCCGTATGGGCAACCCCCGCCTTCAAACGCGCCATATGGGCAACAGCCTCCTCCCCCCGGCCAGTACGGCGCGCAGCCTCCATACGGTCAACAGCAAACCGGCTATGCCCCTCCACCGCCCCAGGGTTATCCCGTAAGTATTTCCTCGAGTCCTTCTTGACCCCCTACCCGTCGCCCGGTCCACCGGCACTAACAACCACAATAGCCGCAGGGACAACAGCAGTGGCAGCAGCCTCCCCCGGGACACCCTCCGCATGGCACCCCCGGATATGGCGGGCCACCCGTTCAACCAACGCCGGCATCCCAAGGCTACGACATGGCACAGAAAGCCTGGGCCCAACCGGTCAACACTGCTACCGACGCCGAGGACTTGCGCCGCGCCATGAAGGGCATGGGCTGCGACGAGAAGGCGCTGATCCGAGTCCTCACTAGCCCGCAGTACGCCAATCCCTGGGCGTTGCAGCAGCTTGTGCGAGACTACAACAGCCGCTTCATCCGTAACCTCACCGAAGACATCACGAGCGAAACCCGCAGCGACCTCGAGACGGCGCTGCTGGCCCTCTTGCGCGGGCCCCTCGGGCACGACGTGTTCCTCCTCGACAAGGCGCTCAACCGCATGGGCACGGACGAGGACACGCTCATGGACGTGCTGCTGAACCGGAGCAACGCCGACATGCGCGCCATCGTGGCCGAGTACAAGCGCACGACGCACCGCGAGCTGCTCACGGACATCAAGGAGGACGTGGACGACGCGCTGTTCCGGCTGTGCAGCATGCTGTTGGCGGGGACGCGGGCCGAGGACGCGGCGCCCGTGCTGGCGCACGAGATCGACGCCAAGGTCACGGAGCTGCAGCGCGCGACCGAGGGCATGATCGGGGCCAACGCCGTCTCCGTGGCCCAGATCTTTGCGAGCAGCAACTCGGCCCAAATCGCCGCCCTCGCCGACGCCTACATGCGCAAGTACCACCGCCGCCTGGAGGACGTCATCGAGAAGGAGTTCCGCGGCGACATGGAGGACGCCCTGCTGCGCATGCTGCTAGCCGGCCAGAACCGCGCGATGGCCGACGCCCTGCGCCTGCGCGCGGCACTCATGAAGAGGAAGGATAAGTTGTTCATTAACCGGATGATCAGCCTGTACTGGGACTTCCCGCGGCTGGCGGCAGCGAAGGAGGCGTATAGGAAGAAGTACGGGTCGGCTTTGGCCAAGGATGTTCGGGATGTGTTCAAGGGGGATCATGAGGCCGTCCTACTAGCATTGCTCCGGGAGAAATAGTGGTCGATGGTAAATAGGTAGGTACCTAGCTATTACGGTTGTCGCGTCTGGTGTTGTGGGCGTCAAGAAACTCTTCGTTCTTCAGTGCCTCGGCTCCTTTTGCGAAGTGGTGAGTTGATTTCGATGTCGCCCCACTTTCCACCTTTTCACGCAACCCAAAGACCTTGAGTCGCTCAATTCGTCATCAACTCTTCACCAAAACCCATCAATTCGGTTTCGCACTCAACGGCCAACCCCAAAATGGAAGAACTCGCCATCCTCATCCTCGGCGCAGGCTGGACCGCGACCTTTCTCATTCCCCTCCTCGAATCCCGCAACATCTCCTTCGCCGCGACCACCACGACGGGCCACCCCGTCGCCGGCGCCCCCACTCTCCCCTTCAAATTCGACCCCTCCGCGCCAGAGGACCAGACCCGCGCCGCCATCGCCGCCCTGCCCCGCGCCCGCCACGTCCTCATCACCTTCCCGCTCACCGGCGCCGGCCCGAGCAAGCTCCTCATCGAGACCTACACCAGCACCCACCGCAGCGGCGGCGCCGCGCCATCCGCCCACCCCTCCTCCTCCTCATCATCCTCATCATCACCATCCTCATCCACTCCGCGCTTCATCCAGCTCGGCAGCGCGGGCATCTGGCAGCCCGGCTCCCCCTACCAACTCCAACTCCCCCAGTCCCAGTCCCAGTCCCAACCCCAATCTCAACCCCAACAACCCCAACAACCCCAACCCCAAGAAGACCATCCCCCCCCCTGGAAAACCCGGCACTCCCCCTACGCCACCGCCAACCCGCGCGCCATCGCCGAGGACGAGCTGCGCGCGCTCGGCGGCTGTGTGCTGAACCTGGCGGGCCTGTGGGGCGGGTCGCGCGCCGTGCGTGGCTGGGCTGGCCGTGTCGCGCCCGACAAGGCCGCGGTGAGGGGGAAGGGGAGTCTGCATCTGGTTCATGGGGTTGATGTCGCGAGGGTGGTGGTGAGGATCGTGGAGGGGGGTGGTGGGGATGGGGGGTGGTGGGAGAGGGTGGGCAGGGGCCAGCGGTGGATGGTTACGGATGGGTTTGTGTATGACTGGTGGGCGCTGTTGGCGGGGTGGGCGGAGGTGGAGGAGGGGAAGAGGGAGGAGGGGGGTGGGGTGACGGAGCAGGCGGGGTGGGTGTTTGAGTTGATGAGGGAGGAGGGGGTGAGGGCGTTGCCGAGGTCGATGGAGGCGTTGGGGAGGTGTTATGATACGAGGGAGTTTTGGGAGGCGTTTGGGTTGGTGCCGTTGAAGGGGAGGGTTGTGTGATCATGGTGGTGAGCATGGGGGACGGACCCGGCAAAAGAGTATTGTTTCGCATCAATTGGAAAACTGCATTGGTGCCTACTCTGCACATGAACCAAAAAGACCAACACAGCATGTGCATCTGGTTGGCCGAGACGGAGGGCAGCCGTTGGGTTCTCGCGACTTTCTAGTTTCACCCAGTCAGTTGTTCAAACAAGCAATGTCAAAAAAATCTGGTGACGATGTGCTGCCAGCAAAAGAATGCGTCAGCCGCGAATCGAACGCGGGGCCCATCGATGGCAACGATGGATTTTACCACTAAACCACTGACGCTGTTTTCTGATTGGATGTTGTGGGGTTTCCGTATTGAGACTGAACAAGACCATCTTTTTGACGGCACCAGGCTCAGGGACTGACGGCTCAGGGGCTGACAACAAAGGCAGCAGTGGCTGTTTCGGGAACGGTGGCTGTCACAAGCCCCCTAACTCCGTCGGCAACAGCCACGGCACAAAGTTTAAGAGTGCATGCAAGATGGGAAAACAGGCGAACGCCTGAGTCCGATTATACGCACACTCTTGCCCCCTTTTCCCTTCCTTAGCCGCTTGAAGTTACGGAGAATAGCTATCTGATCCATATGTAAATCCAGACCATTCCGTTGTGGCTGGCCCAATTCAGAGCAACGGCTGGGCTTCCGCCGGCCACCCCCGGGGCTGACCACCCTGGTAGCCACCCCGTCTCACGACGCCCTTCTGGTCCGCAGCCCCTGAATCGGCATGCACAGAGAACAAAGAAACTCTCCTCTCCTCTCTTCTCCTCTCTTCTCGGGGGATCCAAGAAACTGGCGGTTTCAACAGCCCCACCTCATCACACTACTTGTCAAAACTGAGCACAAAGAACTCCCATCGCTCTAACTACAAGGCATTGTTCAAGGGGCGTCTTGGCAGAGATGTGAGTGGTCCATCCCCTATCACAACTCCGAGAATGTGAGAAGTCCATCAGAAATGAGCAACCGTGGGCGCCGGTGGAAGCTCGAAGCTAGAGTTAGATAGATATAAGGTAGCAAGATGCAGTCCATCTTCTTGTCTGGTTTCAATCTCAACCAACTCAACTATCGCCCCCTATCCCGTCTCAGTATTCTCTTCTGTCGTGTCTTAGTTTGATACTCGTGATATGGGTATCCTAACTTCAGACGCATTGCGCAACAACACTGGCGCAATACTGGTCTGGGCTGCGGTCGTGCAGAACAAGGCCAGCAGCTGGCCCCCGAGCCTTCAAGTCGGGAGTCCATCGCCAGTCAGATCCCGAGCCCTGGGCGGGGAATCTTATGTGCGTGTTAAACTTCCATCATCACTCTTTCTTGGTAGTTCAATTGGTAGTAAATACACTTCTGGGCCTCTGACTAACACTCGAGACATCAGTACTACTGCTCCGGTCTGACCGATAACCATCCCAACAAGCGCATTCCGGTTTCAGCCATTGAACGACAACTGAGATATGCGCAGCAGCTCACGGCGAATCAAGCTCAGCTCAAATCTCACAAAGGTGTCTCTTACCCGCATCGCTTCTACAACTACCCCGAGGAACTGGGCTTGACAACCAACGGCCCCTGGCTAGAGTTCCCCCTTTTCACGTCCGGGGTATTTCAAGACGGCGGTCATGCAGGGTTTGTGAGGGTCATTTACCCCGAGAACTCAAGGGATGGCGGGCCGTATGATGTTATCTATCATGACCCCAACAATGAGAGGGAAGTTTGTGTTAGAGGCGGTGGTAAGAAAACGATTCGGGGGTTTTCGGTAGCCGTTCGTCAGAGGGCACGATACAATGGATCGTGATTGGCATGTCGCATGGGGCTTGAATGAGTAACTTGATACTGTTTTTGGTTATGATGTTGCTTGTTGCTCTCTTTGCTACCAATGAATCTTTGATGGCAATATGGAATGAGGGAGACGATCACGATCTAGACCAGTGTCTTCATTCATGGGTACCTAGCTAGGCATTCTAGCTTGTCAGCTTAGAATATACTCGCTGCACGAATCGACGAAGGTTCTGCAGGCAGATCTGTAAACACATCTACTCATTTCGACCGGTGACTAGGTGCGTGACCCCTCTTGATCATCGGGTCACAGATGCTTGTTTTAGTGTTAATCCAGTCTTCCAACTCCTTACTCCGTTACTTCCACCGCTCCGCCACGTCACTAGGAGAGAATGAAAAGTGTAACAGGTGCCCGCCAAAATCGTGCAGTTTCGCGGTTCTCTATTCCGACTCAACCGTATTGAAGCGAGGCACCAAGCAACAAGCACACCGCGCCGCACTGTCCAACCCCCCAAACTTCCCGCGGTGGCGTGTGCCGCAACAAGAACATGATACCCTGGTAGCTAGGTAGGAGTTGTCTAAAACCTATGTTTTATCTCACCGTTATCATCTCCCACCATCTTTAGCTCTTGTGTTGTGACACTACCACGCTGCTCACGTCTTGTCCCTTGAGAAAGGCGAGTAAGGCCGCTGAATCATCCACCTCCCCCTTTCGAGCAACCGAAGGCCCGTCCCTCCTATAGAACGGCATTTCAAAATTGGCGGGATAGAATCCGGCATACTCCCAGTCAATGATTGCCGTAATTTTCAGGGTGTTCGGATCCACAATAACGTTGTGCTGCGACAAGTCGTTGTGACAGAAAACATATTCCTTCTTCTCGGAACGGCGCAGATCCCAGTCGTCCTTGGTTGCCTGCCGCATCACCCGGTACGGTGGAATGACAATCCCAGAAGGCCCGCCTATGTGGTCCGATCGGAGCCCCTGGAGAGTTTCCAAGTGCTTGTCAAGCTGCTGACGCACCACCGCCATCTGATCGTCTGGTAGGTGGGCCATGGAGATGCCCTTGACATACTCGACAACGAGGTAGTAGGCTTCGTCGTCCTCAAAGTCGGCGTACACCGTCGGGACCGGGATGTCGGTGTGCTGGCGGATGTAGCGTAGCGTGTCCGCTTCGTTCTTGATGCGCTCCCCGTTGATGCGTGGGACATGGAGATTCCCCCGTTGGTTGGTGCGGAATTCCCTCGGCCGCAGGCTTCTCTTGATGAAAGCCCCGCCCCGGTGGTAGTACTTCCTCTCAAAGGTCGTCGCGAAGCAGCCTTCCTCGTAAAGCTCCTCTGGCTGTGTGGTGGGCATGGTTTATGTGTGGATGCGTTTGCGAACGATCGTTGAACGTTAGTAGCGTGACTTTATGCCGGGGATGGGATAGGTAAGGCTGTTCTCAGGGAAGTGAGATGGTAACGCAGAAGAACCCCAGCCGCGGTCAGCTAAGAACCCGGGTTTATAAAGGCCAGGCGATGACGTGAATAACAACTGGCTTGTTGTTTAACGGGTGTCGGACTAGATGTAGATGACATGAATCTAGGTTGAAGAACTAAAGTAGGCTGTTGGCCTTTGTGGTTCTTTGTTTTCTGGGTACCTTCACTTAAAGTTGTCACGGTTCTTATTAGGTCGCATAAAATTCATTGCAAGTGGTAATTCTGTTTCTATTTTGAGCGCCGAACGCGAATGCTATTATGCCTTTGTTAGAGGCATCTCCTCAACCCTGCAGTCCAAACTTGATAACCCAAGCCTTTGACTGCCACGAAAGGGAACATCCTCCTTCTCTCAAGCCTACGCCTCGAAGCTAATAACCCCCTCTCAACTCACCCCTCTCTACCTCCCCAGCAACCCACATCATGCTACGAGTAGTAGCTTCGTTGCTAGTATGTACAATCGGTCAGCTTCCAAGAGTACTTAGTTCGGTGCCTGGAAACAGCTGGGGCACTCGGACTGAGTGCTGGAGATCTTGGTACCGCACTTCTGGCACGAAACTACTTCGGAAGGCATTTTGATGTAGGGTTTGGGGGTGTAGATGAGGCGGGTGGTAGGTGAGTTGAGATGAAGGTTGGGTGGGATGTGTTTGATGTAGAGGATGATGATGGTACAGATTGTAGTTTGCAAGAGTGGGTTGTTCTCATTATATATTTCTCGTGTTCTTCCGAACCATGCATGGTCGGTTCTGAACAGTAGCGGCAACTCCAGTCAGCATTCAATGCCGGCATTGTGGTGTATTATCATTCTTTGTGGGTTAGACCATCTTTAAAACTTTGCCCCAACTCTGTTCAGGGAGAACATTGGTAGTTGTGAAAGACACCTTACATTGGCTTTCATACGTCAAATGCCAACGGAGTTACTAGAATGGCGAGGGATAAACCTGGAAAGAACACGGGTTTAATGGTTGTTCGATTTTACTTCAGCTCATCCTACATCCCACCTGCCGAAGTTAAACACGAGCTTAGCGAACAAGGGGCAATTGGATCACGGGGAAATAACCAAACTTCGATCATCCAAGCATAGATCTCGACGCCCGATGGCAATTAATGATAGTAGTAGGAAGAACGATCCCACAAAGTCCGCGGTTTGACGGTTTTGGATTGTAGAATAGATGTGGGTGATTAAGACTAAACGCAGTGATGATTATTTTTCATCTAACTTGAGCATCATGCCAAGCAACAAGACAGAAAGCCTAATTATGATACTCCGTGCGTGGACAAGGCCATTACCAAGTACACTTGCAACATGAGCATTATGGACAGAGAAAAAGACTGGTGTATCGTATCAGAACTACAAAGTTGGAGGCTTGCAGTTGGAGACTTGGAGTTGTCAACAAGCAGCAGCAGGTCTTGGCCAGGCACCCGGGCGAGCTGAAAAGTGATGCCCCACAGAAAGTGGCCCAAGCTCCCTCTTCGCGTCCTGCTTGACCAAGCGCGGCGAATTTTGAGGAACTCGAGCATTCCATGCAATTGACGGCACCCATCAACAAACTCGAGCCCGCTAAACTCCCGCGGACTCGTGCGACTACGACCCTGACCTTACATCCGACTCAGTTTCTACCATCGAAATATCCATCTGTGCTGGACCAACCCAATACTATCCTGTCATCGCCCGCATCCCCGCGATCGCGGCCATGCAGCCCGCTCCCAGAACGCGGCGCGCGCCGCAAAACACCCAACATACGTATGTCCGTCGCTGTGTCCCGAATGTGCGCCTGTTTGGCTAACCCTGGCATTTTGGGCACGGTAGGTACTCGCTCGACCGCCGGATACATGATGTGAAGACATACCCTGTCCAGTCTCCCCAGGGAGCGACCATCTTGATCTACGGCCACGAGAATGGGATCACAGTGGTTTGGCGCGGCGGCCGGCGGCTCAAACCTCCGAAGCAGTCAGTAAACGATAAACGGAACGGCGCACACTCGGGCGATGCGGTCATGATTATCGATTCGGACGATGAGGAGCCGACACCCGACGCTTTCGTCGACAAGCCCGAATTCCAAGATAGCCCGACCGCCGGTGCCGCGGTCCCCGAAATCATCCAAACTCTTGATCTTGCGCTGGGGACTGCTGTGCTTCACGTGGCGGTTCTGCCTATGCCGGCAAGCGCTGCTGAGGATGCCGCCTGGAACGGCGCCGGCATCCTCAGGAATAAGATCGTTTTTGCCGTCACCTGCGCAACCACGGATGTTTACGTGGTTACGGTGCCATTGACACCCCCTTCGCACGAGAGCAAGGCGAGGCCAGAGCTGCGGAAGAGTTTGTTGGCGGGCAATGCAGGCACAGGCGTGTGGGGAGAGACGTTAACTCTGCTGACGGGCCAGAGCCGCCCTTCCGGAGGACTTGCGCTCACACTAGTGAAGCAAAAGCCGGCGTCACGGAGCAGGTCATTGGAACGCGCTCCCTCCCAGGCGGCTCCCGTTACCCGGGCAATTGTTGCAGCACATTCGCGGGAAGCCAGTGGCATATTACGGCTCTGGGATGTCACCTTGGACGCGAAGCCCGGGGCCATCAACCGTGTAGAGCCATTCCAAACCGAGTACCTCCCGGCGCCGCTGACAAGTCTCACCTTCAACCCGACACACATCACCCAACTTCTCGCCATCACCTCCTCGCAAGCCGCCCGCATCTACGACTATGCTACAGCGGCCCTTCCTTCTGACGATGCCTCCGAAGGCCCGTTTCCGACACAAGGGTCCTGGCTGTTGTCGCTCTATGCCCCATTTGCCAGGGGACCTTCAATGTCGACTGCCCGAAAACCCATAGTGAGTGCTGAGTGGATTGCCCAGGGCCGCGCCGTTTTGGCTCTCCTCGCCGACGGACAATGGGGGATTTGGGATATCGACGGCGCCAGTCCTTCGGCCGGCGGCTCCGGCGGGCTCTTCAGCAAGGCGAATGCCGGACTGCGGGGCTCAGGAATCACAACTTTCTCTGTTTCGGGACAGCTGGAAGGGACCAGCCCACTTCGGAACCCCGGGACCCAGAAGACGCCCGCCGCGCCAGGGTCAGCAGGGGAGTTTGTGCCCATGACACCTCACTCACGACGCGACGCTATTGTCTCAGCCGTAACGAGCGGGTCAGAAAGACTGGCGACCGTACGTGGTGGTGTCACTGTCGCTCGCCTCACGCCACAAGGAACCGATCCCGGCGATGAGAGCGCTATCCTCTGGCTGGGGGGTACCGACCCTATCGTCTCGGTCATCCCTGTGATCTCTCGGTTCTGGGACTCCCAATTGCGCCGCGCCGTCGGCGGCGGCGTCAACCTCTGGAGCGGCGCCCAACCCACCCGCATGCTCCGCCTCACGGACCTCGGAGCGGGGCTTCTCGGCGAGCGGTGCACCGGTGCAGCTGCCATCCCCAAGTGTAGCGGGACCCCCAACACCAACAATAGCTCCTCTACAGCAAGGGAGGGCAGCGGCCCGAGCCACGCCGAGGGTCTACCCGTGGAGGTACTCCTCCAAGGCGAGAGCCGCCTCGTGGTCGTTCACGAGAGCGAAGACACCGGCTCGCTCACCAACCGCCTCCTCGGCGCCCGCAAGAAGCAGCGCGCCGACCTCGGCCCGACCAGGGCGATCCTGGCCTATCCGCCCCCGGAGAGACCGAACAGCACCAACGTGTCGTTCAACCTCAGCATCGCGCCGCGGCAGCCCAGCCAAACCGGCGGTCTGTTCCGGCCGCGCCCGCGCCCGTCGGTCAAGGGATCGTTCGACCAGTCCATGTCCATGGATGTGTTGCCGTCGACCGAGCTGCCCGACGAGACGCAGTCGGCGCCGTCGAGCCAGCAGGGGCTGATGTTTATCAACGATCTCAACTATGCTGCCGACCAGCCCGATGACGAGTTCGAGGTGGAGGGCCGCGATATCGAGCAGGAGCTGATGGATATCATGGATATTGATCGCGAGTTGGAGCAGCTGGAGCATGAGCGTGAGAAGGGGACGAAGAGGGTTTTCTTTGAGGGGGACTAGAGTGTGGAGGGCGAGGACTAGCGGGAGGAGAGACCCTTGCGCCGTGACACCGCCATTGCAGTCGGAGGTGTCTGGCGAGGCTGTAGGATACCCATCGGGCTACTAATGTTCTTTAGCGCGATCACGAGACGGAAATGAAGCATGTTTGAGTCAGCCAGGGGCACCGCCCCTGCAACGTTCCCTGTTTCCCTTCCATCCCCCATCACCTCTTCCCCTCCTCACGAACATTCCGCACGGCTTGGTGGAGCACAAGGCGAGATCCATCCTTGATCCAGCTCTGTATTCCGAGCGGTAGAATGAACACGGCTCGATCCGGCTGCTCACGCGGCGGGTCGGGTCTGCCGGCATCACTAGAGCGGCTGCTGCGGCAGTGCGCTGTTGCATTCTTGACCAAATGTTCTGCCCCGGCCTCGATCTGTCTGCTTCCGTCCTTGGATGGGGGCGACGGGGTCACGAGGCCGGGGGGTCGTGGTGTCGGTACATTTCTTTTTTCCTTCTTGACTACTGACTCGAGGGGTCTCCCCGTTTCCCATTTCCAACGTAGTCACCCGAACGTGTTGCATGTCACATGCATCCGAGCCAAACGCATGTCTCGATAGTCACAGCCCAATGCTCTTCAATCCCACGTAGCAAGCAGTAACCAACCAACCCACATGCATTTTACGAAGGCAAGCAAGCCTCCCCTACCCCAGAACTCCTGAGCATATCCTACAGCCGCCACCCGACTTCCTCCCCAAAACAGGAAACTCTTTAACACTCAACACCCACCCACCACTAACCTAACTCATCTTCTCCTTAACCTCCCCCACCTTCGCCTTCGCCTCCCCCGCCATCTCACTCGCCTTGCCCTTGGCCTGCTCCTTGGCACCCCGCGCCTCCCCGGCCAGCTCGCTGGCCTTGCCCTTGGCCTCGCCGGCCACCTCACTCGCTTTTCCCTTGGCTTCCCCAGCCACCTCGCTCGCTTTGCCCGCCGCCTCGCCCCGCAGCTCGGAGGCGCGGCCGGTCACCTTGCCCTCGGATACTTCGGAGGTGGCTTCTTTGATCTTGTTGGCGTACGCGCCTGTTAGGTTGGGTGGGGTGGTTAGGTACTGTCGGGGTTTTAAGGAGGTAGGAAGAGGGGGGGGGAGGCGGAGAGAGGGGTATGGAGGTTTGGGAAGGGGATAACGTACTGCCGATGTTGATGCCGTCTACGAGCGTGTCCGAGACCTTGCGGTCGACTGTCTTGAGTGTGTCCTTGGCGGCCTCGACAGGGTTTTTTTGACGGCGGGTGGTGGTGGTGAAGGCGGCGCGGGAGAGGGTGGATGTGGGGGTGGTGCTTGCCAGACGCCGGGTGATGGCGGCGGTTCGTGATGTGAGGGCTGACATGGTAGGTGGTTGTGGTGGTTAAGATGAATGTCAAAATGGAATTGGTTTGTGATTGGGATTGGTGACTCTAGTTGATGGTATTCCCAGTGATGGATTGCAATAAATTGGAAAGAGAATGTCTCTTGGGAAGCTTGGGTGGTGATTTAAAGTCCTCGAGTTTGGTATCATTCAGGAAATGTGTGGTGATGTCATCGGTCATTGATTGCCATGGTGTGTGTTGGTGCATTGCAACCAAAACCATACAGTGGCGGGTTCTCCAATGACGTTTCTCGGTGGGGGCGAAGAGGAAAGAGCTGCTCCAAAAGGCAATGGGAAATGGTAGTAATTACTAGGAAATAGATGTCACTCTGTAAAGCAAAGGATCTCCTCGAAGCTCTCCCCAAGCTCCAGGTTCAGCTTCGAGTAAAAGTGGAGCAGGTCTTGAGAGCTTCAACATCTCGGTTCAATGAGTTTGCTGAGGATCTTCATCAGACAGATATTGGACATGAGACGAAAAGTAAACATAATGTATAGATACATGATGCGTAGAACATAACAAACAAAAAAAGCTCACCGGCTAACTCTCTTCCCGTCGGTTGAAGAGAGGTAGCCGGCTACGAAACCTACCCGAAGGATCTATGGTTTGCATCGTTGGGGGTGTTGTGTCAGGCCACGACTAGAAAATTTACCACAAGACTCGAACCCTCGAGGTCTTGATCTGGGACTATCAGGTGCGTGCCTGGAGGACCAGCGCCAGTGCCCATTAAGCCGCTGCCCCCTTTGCCGTGGTCCTCGTTGGAATTCGAGAGCGCACACTATCCTTATGAATGGCCGTCGAGCACTGGCATTTCCGCTTTACTCTGTTCGCTTTTCCCGCCGTCATTAATTCATCCAGCCACACTTATGGCACCGCAATCACGAACAAGACGAAGCACTCAAGCCATCCGACCACATCAATTGCCACAACCCCCCACATCACCTCCCCTTAAACACAGGCTTCCTCTTCTCCGCAAACGCCCTCAACGCCTCATCCCGATCCTCCGTCCTCACTACCCTCTGATACATTTTATCTTCCACCGCCTCGCTCGGCTCCTCCACCGCCCGAATCGCCGCACGCACCGCAATCGGCCCGCCCTCGCAAATCTCCCCCGCCAACCTGACCGCCTCACTCAGCGCCGACCGCCGCGCCAGATCCAGCACCACCTTTTCACGCTCCTTCCCCTCCATCGCCTGCCACTCTTTCGCCTGCTCCTCACTCTCAGGCGCAATCTCCACCAGCCGGTCCGCCAAACCAAGAAAATACGCCTCGGGCGCCGACACGCGGCGGCCCGTCAGGATGAGGTCGCGCGCCCGCCCCACGCCGATCAGCGCCGGCAGCCGGTGCGTGCCGCCCGCGCCCGGGATGATGCCCAGCCGGGTCTCGGGCAGGCCGACGACGGCGTTGGAGGTCAGGACGCGGAAGTGCGTGGACAGGGCCAGCTCGAGGCCGCCGCCGAGCGCGAGGGAAGAGATGGCGGAGATGGTGGGGACGGGGAGGGCGGAGAGGGCGGTTAGGGTTGTGCGGAGGTTGAGGAGGAATGCGGCGGTTCTGTGTGGGAGGGGGGTGTTAGTTGAGGGAGGGAGGCGGGGTGGGGTTGGACGGGGATGGGGGTCGAGCACTCACTCCTCCTGGGTGAAGGTCTTGCGCTCTTTGAGGTCTGCGCCGGCGCAGAACGAGGTGTCGACCGCCGACGCGAGGATCAGGGCCCGTGTCGGACCCTTCTCATCCTCGCCTGCCACGCCGCCGAACCGTTTGTTCCATGACGGGGTCGGGATTTCCTCGCCCGTTGCGGCGTCGTACTGCGCGTGGACGGCGTCAATCTCGTCGCGCAGGGACGACAGCAGCCCCCGGGAGATGGCATTGCGTGCCGCCGGCCGATTGAGTTCGAGGATGCGGATGTGACCCGAGTTGGGGGCGGGGAGGTCTGTGACCCGAAGTAAGGGCCCGGTGTTGGCCTCGGTTGAGTACCGCGCATATCGGGGCGCCAATCGGCCGACGGCGCGCATGGTAGCCGACGCATTGAGCGTCAAAGTAAATCTCGGTGGCATCTTGGGTGGGTTGATTGACCGGCGGCGAATGCTGCAGTCGGCGACTTGGGGAGATATGGAGGGGGAGTGGGTGCTGTGTTGTTGAAGCCCACACTGGAGCTTTCCCTTGCGGCGGGATGACGTCTGGGCGGGCTCGGCTAACGTCGGCGACCACGCAAAGAGTGTTGCCGCGCCGACGTCCAAGATATCACCAAATACCCCTAAACGAGAAATGCTTCACGGCTTGAACATCGACGGACGAACGTTTATTCGGGTTGATTAGGTCCGACAATTGCATTTCTCAGCTTGAGTCGAACGGGGGATGAAACTGCCCAAGCACTAAAAATGAGGGTCGCGATCCCGTCGCCGCGCCAGTCCCCCCTAAACCGTAGAGGGGTTAATGGTGATTGCGCTGCGGGTTTTCCGATTTGCGTTGTACATCTCAAACCCTGCTCCCTCCATGGTTGGATGGCATCCCATACCTGAAGGCCGCCTTAGACGAGCGCAACTCATGTGTATTCATTCGCTGTCTCCACGACATCAAGCTTCCACAGTTGACATCTTAAAACGCCTGTGGGCCGGACCCGGATTCCCGACAGCCGGGCTCCTGGGACGGCGGGAGGAAGAAACGCAGCCCACCCCGCTTGTCCACACATCCGTGACTTGGGGTTTCGAGAGGCTCAGGGGATTTGGAAGCAAGCATGGGGCAGAGGTTGACCTCGTTAGTTAACTAATTAATTTTGAACAGCAACGGAGTCTCTTCCTCCACCCCGTTGAAGCAACCCCAGAACACAACCCAGGGAGGTGAGATTACAGATTACCATCGCGAACCCCCCAGATTCATTCCCACGGCGCGGCACAGTCTGAACCCTAACCCGTAAGATATCGGCGCAATACCTGCCTTGGCGAAAGTACCGTTTCACTTATCTCAGTGCTCAGATTCTCTTTTGTTTGGGTGCGTGGCTGGCAGGTGGACCGGGACGCCTGCCCACCCAATTTACCTGTAAATTTGTCGTACCGTACAGTATGGGGCCCACTTTTACCCAGAATTCCGAAAAGAGAGGTCTGAGAGCATTTTCAGCCCAGGGGGGGGTGCGAGGAACACGTTCCCATACAAAAGTCAAAACCGAAAATCAGACACTCGCAAATAGCTCTACAGCCACACATCGCTATATAAATTAAGCTATATCATAATGACGAGCGTCCATTTCTACGTAGAATGGCCTCTTTAGATATTTGGTAAAATAGACTGTTGAAAGATAGTTGGCTTCGCAAAATAGGGTACCGCGAGGAACACGTTTGAACTTCAACAGATAACCCCCCTCAAATATCTGCAATTTTGCTCTAACTGTAATGCAACTTAGTATGGAGGTTAAGATAGCCGGTACCAAACTCCGGAGCTAACTTTTACTATAATATTCCACTATCTTCTAGCTAAACTAGCATCATAGGGGTAAATAATACAGTTGGAACAGGGTTAACAGCTCTCTCAACAATGCAATTTATACAATAGCAGCTATAAATTAGTATTGCTAGAAAGCCCTGAATAAGGCGATTCAACAAATACCTCTATAGTAGTTATAGCTATAGTTGTGGCGATACTGTTGTCGTACGTGCAATTCGCCCTGCAGAAGTGTTCCTCGCCCCCCCCCCTACATCTGAAAATGCACTCAGACCAGCATTGGCCGAATTCAGGGTTGTGGGGCAAATGGGTAGATGGAATATTCTAATTGGCTAATACCAATACCGTACAAGCAATCCTGAAAAACGCTGTTCCGGCCAAAATGCAGGTCTGAGCACTGAGATAACGTTTCACCGTTCCCGGAGCCCCCCTCCCTCATCGGACACTTGAAACGACGAAACGAACGAAAAAACAAGGCAAAATCCCTCGCCAAAGCCCACAAAGCCAAGGTGAACACGAAACCTATTCCGGATCAGCCGCAACGCAAGGTAAGAGAAAATAACACAGCCCCTCGGATGCCTCGCGACCTCCCCAGCACGCGGCCGCAACACACCCCAAAAATACCATTGCCACACAAGCAACAAGCAAGGACGAGGACGGGGCGGTTGCGATACTGCCGAAGGGGCGCAAGGGCGCTTGGGATCGACATACCGCATTAGCAAAAGCCCTCCCCTCCATTTCCCATGGGGGGAACCGAACCGAGCTGTGTGTGCAATTGTGGGAGGTTGGAAACAGCAAAAGCGGGACGGGAGGGGAGGGGGGGACCGACGATCCGGGTATTACAGGTGATCTGCTGGCCTTTTTGCGGATCATATCACACATCACGGAGCGGGAAGCGGTAAGAGGGGCAGCGCCAACGTCGGTCGCGGAGGGGAAGCGAGGAGGCAGAGGTTAACGTTAGAACATTGTTATTCGTACTGAAGTAGGCTCGCAAAGCACAAGAAGTGAAGTGGCCGTTGTAGGTATTTTGAGAGACTCTTAAGGAGAGAGAGGTGCCCTCGTTGCGCAAGGAGTGGTCGACCACCCCTCATCTGGTGTTAATTAAAGCAGCTGGGTAAAATGCCGTTCCGGCCGCAAAAACGACACAACATAGCAAACAAGGCCCCGATGAGTGGATTCTGCGCCCGTGGATTGTTTCTGACTCGTTCTGAAAGAAGTGGTGAGGCCCGACCGTCATACATGAAGGATGGCGTCGGAGCTCGGGTACTGGTCTAAAAAGTGTAGCGAAGGAGAAAGGGAGAGCAGCACAGCAAGCCGGGCCGGCCACACAGCAACCCAATTGTGTAGCCCCGGAGATGCCCGCGCCAACCGTACAAACGAAAAAAGAGAGACGCCCCCAGGTAGGTTTCGTTCGTGTGATGGCTTAGTCGATCCGCCACCGAGTGCGCGACAAGACTTGTAGAATAGCCTTCCCCCCACCACCCTTCCCCAAAACGCCGGTTATGCAAATGTGAAATACAGGCGAATTCGTTTGTCGTTATCACTGGGGTGGTGCGATCACGCGTTGGTGACCTGCGTTTGGTTAGCAATAACTCTCGGGCGCCTATGGGACGTGGAACATGGAACGTACGCGAAGGATCCTCCTGGAGTAATCTTGGTTGTCGGCGATGCTGCCGTCGCTCATCCTCCGGTGGGCCATCACTGGGTCCATCCGGGAATCTGTCGTGGAAGTGCCCCCGCTGCTCCTGGGAGGCTTGCCAATAAAGGCGTTGACTGCGGCGTTGCGACGGTGCTCTTCCTCAATCTCTTGGTTGCGCTTGCGGCGCATGTATAAAAAGCCACCGCCGATTGCCGACGCTATGACAACGACGCCCACGACCACGCCAGCGGCGATGCCAGCTACGTTGGGGCCAGAGCTGTCGCTCTCCGGCTCGCTGGTGGGTGACTCGGTGACGACGACGGTTTCTTGGGGCTTTGACTCGGTCTCGGTCGCCTTGGGTGAATCGGAGGAGCTTGTCGACTTCGGCGGAGAGGCGTCGTTTTTGACGGATAGAGTTACGCCGGTGTGGTAAATGGTCCAGAAGTCAATGCCGCCGCCTAGCCCGTTGAGTTAGCCGCAGTGCCTTCAACAATTCCAAACAGGAGAAACTCACATGCGTGGTCGCCAAAACCTGTGCAACCAACATCGCAGTTCTTCGAGTCCACCAAATCATCCTTGGGCGGGTATGTGTTGCCGCACCAGCACTGGTTCCCGCCTGTCGTGCCGCCAACTTTGAAGCCCTCCGCACGGCAGAGGTCGTTACCGCATGAGCCGATGGTGTTCCACTCGATTACTTTCTGGAACTCGAGTTTTCCCGAGGACTTGTAACACCCTTGAATCGTCGAGCCCGAGAGATTGGGTGGTTCTATCGGTTGCTGCACACCCTTCACATAACGCGCTGCGACCTCGCCGTGTTCGTGCTTCGAAGCCACGGACATGAAGTTCCCCGGCAACGCGTCGGCGAGGGCGACGACCGCAGCGGTGACCAAAACCATCGACTTCATCTTGAATGCGTTGCAGGAGTCGCTATTTGAGTGTCGCGGGATGGGCGAGCGAAAGGACCGTCACAGTCCCGCTTGGAAGGCAACTATGTGTCACGAATTGGGCGTCTTGGTATCGTCGGCTTCTTCGGAAGCTGGTGGTTCGGCGGCAAACGTCTCGGCTGTCGTCGACCAGCGGCTCACAGCACTTTCTGAAAATGAGTGCCTGTGTGGCTGGAGGCGAACGAAAAAAGAACGAACGGGGTTGTGTCCCCGGTGAAATAAATCGCAGGTTGATGAACGAGTGTTGTGTGGTCGGCGGTGGTTGCCGATGCTTGTCTGCGGTTTCCTTTTTTTAGCGGCCTGGCGCTACAACTGAGGGGACATTTCCTGGCTTTCCGCAGCGTGCTGAAAGGCAGCGATGCAAGTTGGAAGCGCCGAAAATGACTTTCCCAAGGTGGAGTGAGGACATACACGATGGCTCAAAGGAGTGACTGGAGAGAATGACTGTCGTTTTGTTGCGAGGACAAAGTCAGGCGAGAAGGGAGACAGCGAAACCCACAAAGGCCTCGTCCTCCGAGCCACAGGGGAAGCGAGAACGAAATTGCGCTGGGGACCTCGGGATGACGCTGGGGCAGTCCTGCACAAGGACCCCTGCTCTTTCGGCCGTTCCTGACCACAGAGAAGCAAGGCACCGCTCGTCCGCCCCTGGAACCAAGCCGCTTTGGGCGTAGCCGAGTGGGTACTTCGGACGGCAGGTTGGGCCAATCATGCAGTGTGCCATCCACAAGCCATGTCCTGACAGCTGGCCATTGGCCGGCCAGAACGCGCCAGCTTGATCCAATTTCAGGGGAATGTCGATCGCTTCGAAGGAAGGCGAAGTCGCGGCAGGTGCAATGTGTTACCGGCGACCAATTCCTGTTAAGCTTTCCGGCAAATTGAGGCGCATTGCATATTGCATTCTATCAGCGAGCACCATCCGAATGCCCAGAGTACAGTTCTCGTCTCGTTTGCGAGATGGTTTAGTTATCGGCACGCCACCCGCCTCCAATTATTCAAGGTGACACCTGTCGAACATGCACAAGCGGGTTGTGAAAGAGGGCCGGATAAATCATGGCTTCTGGCCACTTGGGCCGCAGCTCGCTCTTCGAGTCTTAGCCAAAGGGCCAGGATGTCCCGTCCCTGCAGACAACGTGTTCTGGCCTCGATTCTGGGCTTCGAGGTGCAGCGCGACCAGGATTCGGCAACATGAAACAAGAAACACGGGGAAGGGTGGGGGAACGATTCTTCTTCCGTTCCCCTCTTTTGGCGGTGAAAACTGCAGAAAACTGGCTTCACCTTGCCAGACCTTGGAAGAGTCGCGGTCAAGACGACTTCCCGCCCTACATATTTAGCAATCGCTTGTGTCGCGTTGCTTCCGGTCGTCAGACACCAAGATTGGAAAACGCGAACGAACACGAGCAAACACCATCGTACCGAATGCCGGAAACGGCTCCACGGCGGGGTGGCTGCATAATTCGTTCCTGCGTGCACAGCCTCAACAACGCAAAGCACCACGGAAGCACCCGTCTCTGCCTCAACTGATGTTACCCAATTCCAAGATTGCCGTTCAATCCCCTTTCAGGGGCTGGTCCCTGGCTGACCTCTTGACTGAGTTTTTGCATGATGCTCGGTCAACTTTTCGGTCAACTTTCCGGTACAAGACGAAGGTGACTTGATTCGGGGAAATGCAGCGTTTAATAATAGAAGAGAGCAGTGAGGGCCACGCGTCTTGCCCGGTGTTTAAACGCCAAGTACAGAGTTCTCTTGTCGGTCGTCCCGGGTAAGATTGTTCCAATATTGGTTGCGTGTCTTGTTACACTTGAAAGAGAAACTGGCCAACAGATGCAATCGTGTGAACTCACCAGCACAGCAGCAACCTTGCTCTGGGTAGGTAATCTGACAAAAATAAGACGTTACGATGTCCAAAGCGAATTGCATTCATGGGACAACTTTGACCATAAAAAGTTATTTAACTACTTGACATGAAAGACTATACAACATCCGGGGGAGGGAACCCCCTCAGGCCTTTGGTACGACCCTCTAGTTAAAAACAGACAAGAAGTCCAACTCACTTCTGAGTCCGGGCGACGGCCGCCTCACACTCCACGCGGTGCCTCTTCCAGTCCTTCTTCTGGCACTCGGCCGAGCAATACTCCACCACGAAGCACCCCGTGCACTTCTTCACCACCACACTCCCCGCCCTCTCCGGCCTCCCACAGTTCCGACACCGCCTCACCCCACCACCACCACCACCACCACCACCCCCCATATCCTTAGCCACCGCCCTCGCCAGCACGGGATCCACCACCTCCTCCACCATCCCGGACACAAACACCGGACTGATCGCAACCCGCGTCGCATACCGCGCCGCCGCCTCCCACCCGGGCACGTCCACCACGAACCCCTCCGGCAGCGCACCACACCCGCAGCCGCACAGCACGGGCTCGCCGTCGCCCAAGCCCAGGGGCACCGTCGTCCCGCCCTCCGCCGCGTACTCACACTCGCCCGCCGCGCCCCCGGCTCGGTGCATCCACGTGCGGCAGCGCTCGGCCAGCGCCGGCAGCGTGCGCTTCCAGAGCGCGAGTTCGTCCGCGTCGATGGCGAGCGTGCAGCAGGGGACGCCGCGCAGACCGCGCAGGAAGGCCGTGAGCGGGCCGTCGTCGCCCGTCGCCGTCTCGCTCTCTGCTTCCGCGGCCGGCTTGGAGGTCAAGGCGGACGCCGAGTCCGAGTTCGAGTCCGAGCCCGAGAATGAGGCCGCGTCTGATCCCGAGCCTGGGTAGTCCGAGCCCGAGCCCGAGCCCGAGCCCGCGCCCGACAGCAGCGGGGGGTTTTCGTCCGACCTTGTCCTTGAGTCCGCGCCAGGGAGGTCCGGCTTCACCTCCACCAGCTCACGTGTGAGTGGTAGCACAGCGGCGTCCAGCACCACGCTGCCGTGGGCGCCGTCCAGCCGCACCGCGCCGACGAACAGCAGGATGTGCACGCCCGTGTCGGGCAGGGAGAGGGCGAAGAGCTTGGTCGGCTGTGCCGAGGCGGATTGCCGGCCCGAGGCGAGCGTGAACATGGTGTAGAGTGAGTCTTTGAGGTTGAGTCGCGCTGAGGGTGGTTGACCAACCTGGGGGGCGGTGTCGGTGGCAGTGTTGTTGTTGGTGGTGCCAGAGGCTGCGAGGCCCTGTTCCCGCTGGAGGCGCTCGCGCGGGGAGAACATGAGCGAGGCGAGGGTGGTGAGGAAGCGGGTGCGGGACTTGTCGGTCAGGGAGAGGACCGGCAGGGTGTCGAGGTTAAGGTGGGGGATGTTGAGCGTTGCTGGGGGTTGGCCCGGGACGTGGTTGGTGGTCGGCAGGAAGAAAGTGTCGAGCACCTTGGAGTCGGTGTCGGGCTTGGCCGGCGGCGCGATGACTTCGATATAGGCCGACTTGCGCGCGATGCGGGTTCTGCTCCTGTCTTTGGCGACCGGTGCCGGGAAGGTCAGGGGTATGGTGATGCCCTCCATCTTGCTGCCGATGACGACGTCGAGGGTGAAGGGGGATGCCTGTTCCACCCGGACAGGCGCCTTGTCCGTAAGGAGCTTTCTGCCCTTGGCCGACGTGATGTTGATGCGGCCGGTGATTGTAGTAATGTCTCCCAACTCGGTGCAGCTTGCACTGAATACGATGGCCGACGGCGGCGCTCCATCCGTTGGTGAGAATGTGCGCTGAAGCTCGCGTAACGATCCTTCATTGACGCCTTGGAAAAGTTGCCCCGGTCGAGTTCTCGTGATGAAGACGTGGCCCTCGTCCCAGATGGGCGTTTCGTAGTCACATTCGGGAATTTTCATGACCTGCTTGAGGCGGGCTTGGTCGGTGGAAACGCGTATCGTAGTAACGCCGACGGTCCCTTCGTTAAACATGACTTCAACGAAGTCGGTGGGAATATAGTACGAGACGATCATCGGGGACGTCCCGTTCCAACCCGCTTTGTCTTCCTTCACATGGACGGTGAAATTCTCGTGGTCGCGGGATCCCACCGTCGTGATGGTTCCGAAGGAGATTTGAACGTCCGAGTATACCGTGGTGACCCGTTGACTCTGTCCACCCGCGTTGTGGGTAGTTAAGTGGCCTGAAATCTCAAGAGCAGGTTCCCTGCTTTGGCCCGTACGCGCATCTGCGAGTGCCTTGAGTCCCATCCAGCGTTCCAGGGGTACAACCACGGTGATAGCAAGAGCCCTCAGCCTCAAGCTCCACTTCTTAAACGGAGGCGCGACTACACGCCTCGGTTGCTTCGCAGCTAAGTTCTGCGACAAAACGAGGGGAAGAGGCGGTGCTTCGAACATGAAGACAGCCATATGGTTCCCAACGCCACGGTTTGTTGAGTTGTGCTCGACAAGATGCATCACGCACCTGTGCCACAACTGTTCCGCGTTTGCATGTGATCTATCGCCGATGGTGCTAAGGAAAGCCCCAATGGTGGGTGGCTGGTGCGTTGAAATTGGCGTATACTTGACGTGTAAGAGCTCGGCGTCCTTTACCGACGATGTCCAGACCGGAGGGGAACCGCCAAAGAAGGTGCTGCAATAGACGCTGTAAACCAAGTTTACCAAGTCAGGAATCGCGACGTGTAGTGTGGGGAGCGACTGCTGCCCAGCTATATGCTTGATCTGCTTCCACGAGATGCGAAACCTGAAGTTCGGCTCCTTGTCTTCCCTTGTCGCCGCTTCATCAGACGATGCTGTGAGAAGCTGGTCGACTAGTGATACCGCCGTGGCGTTGGTCCAGTACTCGGTTGGCACGAGGCCTAGGAGAATCGAAATACACGTCGACTGGTCGTGGAGCAACCTCTCAAAGTTGAACTCTCTGCGCGTTCGAAGGTCTGCGGTGTACAGTGTCGAGGATGGCCCGTCCTTCAGAAGAGGTGCGGCCGAGACGAGAAAGTTAAGAATGCCGACGCTCTGGGAGAGAGTAGATGTGTCTATAACATCGAACTGGTTAGGCGCCTTGCCGGTTTCGCCGTACTCGGACGCGGCTAAGTTGAACACCTCGAATCCATGTTTTCCACGGTAGTACTCGCAGCTGGTGTTACCACTCGCCCGATGAAACCGGAGAGTGTAGCAGAGAGCAAAAGCCTCGCACGCAGTATAGCGGATGACAGTCCTCGGCGCAGCCTCGACGAAAGCATCTGTCCAATCCGCGAATTGCATAAGTGCCGAGTTGAACATTCTCTCTTGGGAATCCGAGGAAGATGCGCCCTTGTTGTCAATGTTAAGGGGAGATGAGTCGGTTAAGTTTGCTTGAGCTGCTCCTAGGTGGAAACTCAGGAGTGGGTTGGTCGGTGGGTTCAGCACACGGGATGTCATGATGGGGCGGCCAAAGATTGGGTTCGGAATCCCTGGCTTGTCGTTGCTCGAAGCGGGAAGAGGTTGAGTGTTGATCAGGCCCTTTTCCCAGTGTTGGTGAGTGGTAAAGAGCAATTCACTGGCCATTTCCATAGCCAAAGGGGCACACGACCGTGAGACGTTCTGCTTGGTTGCTTCAAGTTGCTTTTCGTAATGCTGCCTCGTTCTTGCGTTATCCCAAGTGTGTCGAAACGCCTTTTCGTGGTAACGGTTAGTCCTCATGGTGGGACAAGCTTCCTCGGCATATACAGCCCAGGCGTAATGAACCAGGGTGATAGTTGCCTCGTCACAGAAACGGAGAGTGGCCCCATATGGGCTTTCTTGCCAGTCTCGCAAGGTGTGCGAGAGCTTGACTAACTTCTTTGCCTGGGTCTCGAGAATCTGCACTTCCGAGTCGTCGAGGTAGAAGTTGTAGTACATGTTCCAAATCTGACGCAACGAAACATTTTCATCGTCGTCGAGAAGGATGGTAAAGAGTAAGATATTCCGTGCTAGATGGTGTTGTTAGTGACATTGGACTTTGAGACTGGTTACTGGGGATAATAATAACCAAGGTAGGGAGCCTCTTACCAATGACAAATTCATCAATGTCGCAAGCGGTGATGTCAAGGTTGCGCTCTGGCATCCCTTGTTCGACAAAAGATGTGTAGATGATATTGCGAACATCACCACACCCGAGAAGGAGGATATCGGCGTCAACTCCCTGGGGAAGATCTTCGGTGAGACTAACAGCCGGTTCAAAGCTGCCTGCGTGAAATGGCTCGAACGGTTCGACAACTGCTTGAGTATACATTTCAAAAGACTCTTAAGCACCCGCTTGGGGGCAGAACCTCTGTCTTCTTTGAGTTGTTTTGTTGAGAATTGGTACTAGTTGAGCGTGTTGACCAAGGAGGTTTGTTTGTGTAGATGAAGTCCGATGGGTTGGGAATTTCGAGGACCGGCTTAGGTACACAACCTCAACAGGGAAGGGCAGTTAAGATAGCTTCACCGTGTGTTGTGAGAATAGACACAGTTCTCACACAGCTGGTTGTGTTGGTGTGTGAGGTTAGTTACTGTTCAGAGGGAAAGATCACGGTGTTTCTCATGTGAAAGACCATTGCGATATCGATTGAACAGGCATGTGAATCTCAAGGCGGCATGTAACAAAGATGAACACGATGTGAATTTTGAAGCAGAGCCAAATGGCAAGTAGATATCCAATCCGGGGCGCCAGTCATCCAAGCCCATCATCTACTCTCGGAGACAAAAGAAAACGCTATAAGTGGTAAGAAAAGAACAAATAAAACCCTCCAAGAAGCCATCTTCTGCCGAAGATCTTATGGTATCCATACCCATGGAAAGTCCCACGCCTAATTGTACACACCCTGAAAGGAAGGACCATATGAATACACCACACCCCTTACAACCTCCAACAAGAGGTAGCCAGCGGCGCATGATGGCAGCGTCGCGCTGGCAGAAAGCCAATAACAAAAGAAAAACCGCCGGCTGGCGCCCAAACTCCCACCACCATATACCGATCCCGAAACCCAAACATGAACACAACCCGTCCTTCGTTCCCAACACACACACACACCCCTCACCCATCTCCCAACCCAAAACCCAAACCCTAAACCGTCCCAAAAAAAACATCCTCCCCACTCGTAAACATACTCACCGGATCAAACCCCTCCTCGTCAAACCTCTCCCCAAACCCCCCTTTCTCAAACCCCCCCACCAACCCCCCAAACCGCTCAAACTTCTCAAACTTCAAATCCCCCCCACCAAACTCATCCCCGCCCAACAACCCCTGCCCATGCTGGCCCTGAAACCCCAGCACCATCTCCAACCCCCCCGCGGCCGCAGCCGCGTGCGCCGCCGCCGTGGTCCCCAACCCGATGCTGCTCGCATCCGACAGCGCGCTTGTATTCCCGGCCGCGTCGGACTCGTGGTTGGGTTGGTCAAAGAAGCGCTGCTGCTGCTGATGCTGCTGCTGCTGCTGCTGTTGGTGGTGGTGGGCGGGGGTGGCAGTGGCGGAGGGCGAGCGCGGGGAGGAGAGAAGGTCGGGCGGGGTGTGCGGGGCGTGGGTGGTGGTGGTGTGGTGCGTGTAGTGGCTGGAGACGGACTTGCTCGGGGAGGGGGGGTTGTGGAGTTCGGCGAGGGAGGTGGCGTATTCGGGGTGGTGGTGGAGGGGTGGTTGTTGTTGGGGTTGTTGGGGTTGGGACTGTTGTTGTGGGGGCTGGGAGGAGGTGTGGGAGGCATGGCTGTAGTTGCTCATGGCGGAGGGGGAGAGCGCGGTGTGGAAGACTTCGGCCATGCTGGTGGTGGTGGGTATTGAGGCGGCGGAGACGGCGAGGGTGGAGGGGTTCATGGTGGCGGTCGTCATGGGGTTGGGGAGGGAGCCGATGGAGGCGGAGAGGATGTCGGGGAAGTGGTCGTCGTCGAGGAGGCCGTCGAAGTCGTTGCTGGGGGAGTTGGCGCTCGAGATGTCCGAGTAGCCGGACTGGCTCGAGGCCGAGTTGGCCGAATTGAGCTTGTTCTTGCGCCGGGTACGTTCCGCTTTATCCCGCCGCTCATCCATCTCCGGCCGGATCTTCTTGGGCCGGCCCCGTTTTACGACCTTCCGTACGACCCCGTCGAAGGCACCGATGCACATGCCTCGTTGCCTGTGGCGAGTGAGGGCGTCGTGCCGAGCGAAGCTGTTGCCGCACTCGCATGGATAGGGCTTGATGCCCGTGTGAATCTTGGCGTGTCGTTTAAGATCGTGCTGCCGGACGAAGCACTTCTTGCAGGTTGGGCACTGATATTGCCTGTCGTTCAAATGTGTCTGGACGTGGCTCTTGATGTTCTCCTTGCGGCCGAACGGCTTGTTGCATCCTTCGTAGAGGCACCGCCACTTGCCGTCGGATGGGTCTGGCCCCTGGATATACGCTGCGATGTCGTCGATGCTCACTCCCGTCTCGGTCTTGGTTTCCTCGATGTTGATGTCCGCGATACTCGCAGCGCTGGTTACCGAGGCTACCGATTCCGTTCGCCGGTGAGGGGATCCGCGCCGTGATGGTGACTTGTTGATGGGGGATGGTGGGACGAGCGGAGGGATCGTGTTGAGCGATTCGAACGTGAGTGGTGGGAATTCCGACTTGTCGCCAAAATTGTCCGACTTCATGAAGGAGAACATGGACGGCCCATCTACCGGGCTCGTGGGGATGCTTCCATAGCCGCGCTCAAACCTCCTCAGCTCGGCACTGATGGTGCGCATGTTCATGAACTCGGGGGTTTGGAGCCCGGGGTTGGGAATCGCCATCGGGATCGTGTTCGCTCGGGGCGGCGTGTGTGCCATGGCCTCTGCTTGTTGGCGGAGGTCTTGGAAAATTCCCGAGTTTCGGTTGTTGTTTTTTGTTCGCAGGGGCTTGAGGGTTTCCTCCATTGACTCATCATAGCCCTCAGAGAACCTGTTCAGTGGCTGCAAGGGTGTGGTCTCGTTCTTTATCGAGGCCTCAACTGGGGTCTGGGAGAAGTACTCTATGGATAGTTAGTATCGTCTGGTACACTGAAGTAGTCGATTCCCGGTGCATACCGTTGGTGATTTGCCCGCTGGGGGTGCATGGCCTTCCCGAGACTTCGAAACCACCCGGGGCGGCTTCAAACTTGGCGCCCTTGTCCATGATCCCATTGCTCATCCGCCGCGAAGACCGGCGCGAGTGGGTGCTCGCTGTTTCTGTCTCCGAACCCCAACCGTGACCATCGCCGCCAGGGCTAGAGTCTGGGAAGGTCATAAAGCTCGGTGTTGAGAGGCCGCTCTCGGGTTGGAAAAAGTCAAACTCTCGGGAGGGATCGATGTTGGTACCGTTGAGCGGGTTGACAGTGCGCTCAAAAGAGCCAAGAGGCCCTGAGTACGGATCGAATTGTAGGCCATGCGCGCCGGTCAGCGGACTTTGTCCTGGAACCGCGTTGGTAAAGCGGCGGCTTTGAGGGGTGACCTGGGGGGAAATCAGGAAGTTGTCGCTTCCGTCTTGTTCTGCGAATGCGGGCTGGCCGAGACCCGGGTGGGTTGCTCGTTGCTGCTGAGCTTCTCGGAGCATTTGCTGTGGTGTCGCCGAGGACCCCGTGTTATTTGGTTGGATACTTATCGGCGCGTATCCTCGCCGCACTGCCGCGTTTGTTGGTGCCGGAGCGAGTGGGTGCGCCCGTGTGTCTAAACTCAGGCCGCGTCGGTGGGACACAGGCCGTCGTTGCTGAAGGCTGGGTAGGGGCGCAATCTTCACTGCATCGAAGGCGGATGGCGTCGAGTTTTGTCGCCTGTGTTGGCGTTGGCGCGAGTGAAGGCCGCTCATATTGGGCGGATTCGACAGCATGGGTAATGCAGGGCCGCGCCCGGATGAAATAGATGGTGTTGTAGTTGATGTCGCAACTGCTGCTCTCAAAGAGCGCCGGCGGGTACGTTTCCAAGACTGCAGCAGGTTCCATGTCAGCCACCGTTCATTCTTTCCATATTTTAGCCCTGACCTGATGGGGATGAGGCGCACTTTACAGTATAGTCCAGGCGGTCGGGTGGTGGACCTGATGGGAGGAGCTGCAAGCCAAGATGGAGCCGCTTTTGGCCGGGTTGTGTTGAGGAGCGGCCTGGCTCGCAGACAGTTTCTCGTTTCTTCTCAGCTGGGAGAAAGCAGAGAAAACACAGGTGATGTTGTTGGAAGTGAAGACTCGGGATACTCGGTGGTATCAATCGGACTTAGGGAAGGCCTCGATCGACTCTGGGAAAATAATTCCAGCGGATGATGATGGCAGAAGTGTGGAGTTTGGCGATGTTTGCAAGTCCAGGGTGCTGAAATCGGGTGAACATACCCTGATGGTTACAGCGAGTTTTGTTTACCTGCACCGGCGCAGCGCGTTGCTAGGGACAACACCGGAGTGACTGCCCGATTCGGTGAATTGATTGGAGCGCAGTGAGATGTGGGGACTTGTCTCATCCGACGTCATTCGACTTGCTGGTGCCTGAGCTCGGCCCGGGCTTGGCATCCCGCGGGCACAGGCGCTTCAGCCTTGCATGGGCCTCGGAAAAGAAAAAGATGGCTCTTTTAGCGCGCGCCTTCCCTCTCCTCATCACCGCAAAGTCCTGACTTTCCTCGGTGCAGTTTCCGCTTAGCGCTGTTTCCAGGAATAAACAAATTTCCAGATTCTCGTTCAATTTCACAACAATGGCCCCGCTTCAAAACAAGAAGTTCCTTGCCCTGGACCGTGTGTTTTTGAGTCTGACAATCGAAAGGCTGCATCCGCCTAACTACCGAGGTATCAAGCAACTAGGTGTTCTTAATTGACGACTTTAGACGAGCATCTTGATTCACGACATCAACACATGGTCCATTTACACGATGTGGGGTATCATTTACTTTCATGGAAGAAGTCAGACTACTCCGCCGCAAAGATCCCGACAACACTCCACCAGGGCCATACGAAGTATCCTTCTCGTCCTCCTTCCGGTTCAGGTCTTTCTCCACGCCTTGTCCAGCATTTCTTTCACCTTCAGCGGCTTGATTTCCGGGAACGCCTCGTTCAAAAACTTTGCCGGCCTTAGGTCGCAAATGCCTTCCTCGAACCACAGGCCGAAAGTGGCGGCCATGCCCTGCTGGCCCTCTTTCGGGAAGAATGGGTACAGGGGAATTTGGGCGGGGAGTTCGGTGGTCTGGCCCAGCTTCAGTTTCTCGATGCTGTCGTAGCCAACATTGAACTTGGTCCCTACACCGCGTCAGCATCCGGCACAACGAGAGACAGGTCGGAGACACGTTACCCTTGGCCTCCTCGGCCCAGTGGAGAAATTCATGCCACGTCACTCGGTCGCCGAAGACGTAGGTATCCGGTTCCCATTTCGGGAGGTCCAGGCTAGCAGCAACAAATCGGGCGACATCGGCGGTGTGGGTGAAGATGGCGGGCGTGTTGCCGGACCCCGGAATCGCCGCCGCGTTGTTGGCGATGTCTAGCCAGAACACTAGGGGCATCCGCGCCAGCCACGACTTGATACCGGGGAAGCCCCAGTAGTCCATGAAGTAGCCGTTGTGGAAGACGGTGTACTCTAGGTTCTCCGTCTTCTGCAGCTCTTTCTTTGCATTGTACTTGTGGCGTACTGACGCGATCGCGCTATAGCTGTTGGGGCTGCGTCCGTCTGATGTATCAGCCATTGCCTAAACCGGGGCCGAGAAACCGCGGCAGACTCACTCGTCCTTGACGGGCGTGCCCCACCCGCTCGAGATGAGTCGCCTGGTGGTCTTGGACAGGTCCGCGGCTCGGATCAGCTCCGTCTCATTCGGCGTGCTGCCGTCAGCGCTGTGCATGGCGATGCCCGAGATCACCGTGTCGATGTTGTTGTCTTCGAGTCCTTTCACGATGGAACCAACGTCGGCATAGTCAACCGGGATAATGGGCGCACCGATCTCTACTTCGAGGTCGGGATTTGGCTAGGGTGTGGTCAAGACGCCAGCAGGGGTCGGTTGGGGGCGGGCTGAGGAGTGGCATGGGTGTAATACCTTTCGGGACAGGATCTTGACTTCATACTTCCCGGTGGCAAGGATGGCCTCAACGATGGCCCTGCCTACGTTGCCTGTTCCGCCTGCGACCGCGACGATTACCATGATACGATGATGCGGTGGGATGGTTAGTTAGTTGAATTTGTATTCGATTTGGACAGTGATAGTTGACTTTGTGAAACAGAAACCACAGATGTCCAAGACATATATGTTACACTTTATACGGTGCGTGGCTGACATGACAGACGAACGCACCTCTTTCGGATGCAGATTGGTTCCGGCTTTCCCGGCCGACCCCGACCCGGAAGCTTACCAATGGAGCCGAATGTGTCTTCGGATTCCGCTATTTCTCAGCATCTTGGCGTAACTCGCAACAGCGGAAGCAATTTGCATCCGGCTCGGGGGGAATGACCGCCGGAGTCGTTCTGCTCCCGAACTTATAATAACTTACACACCGCAGCGTCTCAGTATCCCAAACGCAACGGATATCCACCAACTGCCACTGCCCTTAGGCGTTCTACCCTGGGGCCATGTTACCCAATCGCCAATCGTCAGAGTCCGAACTCGACATGACCCAAGACACCACCCCACCGGCGGCGAGGAGAACACGCGGACCACGCGTCTCCCGGGTAAGCACCTGGGGTGTTGATAACGTGAGACTGCATGACTCCTTACCAATTCGTTTAGGCTTGTGCGCGATGTCGGTTAGGAAAACTGCGATGCGACGGCCAAACGCCCGCATGCGCCCCCTGTGCCGATAGGGGTCATAGCTGTGTTTATCCGGCCACCCAACGAATGCGCGGGCCGGGAAAGAGGTAATTCCGTCTTTAAGGGTCTCGAATAATGGTGTATTGGCTGTGCTCACAAACCTATGTAGTAAACAACGCATCGAAGCCCTCGAAGGGCGCTTGGCCGCTCTGGAGTCCAGGCTTCGACTGGAGTCGAGGACCGACCTGTCAGAGATGGCTCTTAGGTCCCCTGAATCGATGCCGAGTACCCATGCGAGTTCTTCGCCTCCCAACTCAAGGGACATCTCGGCATTTGGAGGGTTGATGCTTCCCTTCCACCAGCTGTCCCAGCGTTCCACGGTCGAAGAGTGCACGAAACCTCTCGACCGGCTAGTCATGTCCCCCCTGAGTGTAGAAGCATCCGACTTGGGGCTGATAGAGAAGTTTATTGGCGATGTGTGCGCAGAGCTTCCATTCATGAGGCCACAGTGGTTCATCGATCAGATCAGTCTCCCCGGGGCAACCGGCGTATCAGAAGCATGGTGGCAGGGCATCACCAACGCAATTACCGCCAACGCCATTTACTTCAAGGCACCCGACAGTCCTTTTCGCGAGGTGGCCGCGTACGCCTGGGCCTTTTTCCGAAACGCCTACGCTGTCCTCCCCGAGCTCATTCTCAACGGGAATAACTTGGGTGCTGCGCAAGCCATCATGGCTATGGCCATGTTCATGCGGCAGTCAGCAGACACAAGGGCAACGGCGCTCCTGTTTTCGCTCGCCGTTAGGATACAGCTCTCCGCCGGGTTGGATGTGAAAGCCGCGTCAGAGAGTGTTACGTCCCCAGTCGACGAGGAGAATCGTAACCGGCTCTTTTGGGCGGCCTTCATTTTCGACATGGACATGGCCGTGAACACCGGGCTCCCTCCCGTGAACGCCGATGAGGTAGTTAGGCCGGGTCGGCCAGGCGGGCATTGTCCCCAACATGGAGCATTATCCCCTCCAGATGCGCTTAGCCACGGGGGCTGGGAGGATATTGTTTTCAGGCTTAGGGTAGAGCTCGCCGGAATCCAGCGGCGCATCGCGATCCAGTTCGTTGCTGCCAACCAGGCTGAGCTCTTCGCCCTGGAGTCGGAAATTGAGGCATGGAGCCTCCGGGTACCAGTCAGCATTCGTCCCGACTGGCCTGACAAACCCCAGAGTGCCAGCAGCGACGACGAGGTCGCGGGCGTGTCCATCGCCATGTTACACTTTGCGTACTACAACAGCGTGGCCATGATCTGTTGGGCCGCGATTCGACATGTCGCATCGCAACTAGTGGAATCGCCCCGAACCCTTGATTCTCCTATCGACTCAACGGTAAACGACCGGATGGGTGGCCACAAAAGCGTCGCCAGGGCCGCTGCTAGAGCCTCCATATGCTGCATGTCACGATTCCCAACGCAGGTGTTCCCTGAACTCTGGTAAGGATGCTCCCGCGGTCCTAGTCTCCCATTAACTCATCGCTAACCACCACGGTCCCAGGAGAGCATTGTGTCACCCGGTTGCTGCTAGCATAGCCCTCATGGCCCTCGTATGCAAGGAACCGACACACCCAGAAGCCCAAGGTGATTTGTTGCTGCTTTCCTGGTTCGCTGGGTTCCTGGAAAGAATGGTACGCGACGAGGGTTACGATCTCGAGAGGATGCGAGACGGAATCTGCACGTTTGAGAAGGTCGCGACCCACGCTGTCAGCGCGGCCATGACCTCTGACATGCCTGTGAACCCGGCGCTGTGGCCCCTGACCCTGGCATCAGGCCATACCGGCAAGGCGAGTAAACCCGGACCTTAAGCCCCAATTACCTACCTGAGTATCTTCACCTACTAACCGTTCCAATCTAGGCCCTTGCTACGATGCTAACATGCGCCTCGTATCACCCTATGTATATCGCCCAGTCCTTCATGAGCAACACACCAAATCGCGACCACGACAATGCGAAGAAACTCGCCGATATCCTGGGTCTGCAATGGGGCAACAATGATTACGGCCCCTTCGTGCCGGACTCTTTGATGCCCTCCACTTATGGGTTCACGTTTAGCTCCAGCGGTCTGCGGTAGACGACATTTTATGAGGGTAGGTGTCTACCAAAGCTGGGGGCTCAACGACGAAGGGATCGTCAACCGGATTCCACGGATAAAGCTAGAATGACGCCGCGGGGATCGATCTGTCGAACCTAGCAGAGGCGAGGGCGGGTTTATTCAACTGAATCCGAAGGATACGGATAAAGGTCAAGCAGGGCTCAGAGAGAGAGACTAAAAAGGCCTTGAACACGGATCGAATTTATGCCACGGGGTAGGGAGGTCGTAGCAGGTTTGTTGATCACGTTGACGAGGCCGGGGGTTTGAGGACTCGGTTTCCGGACCAGGTCATTTGGGAGGTATATTTGGCTATTGTAAGCGTCAACAAAACGTTATAACACGGAAACGTGGCTAATAAACAACGGCATAGTGTTCCGCGCGGTGATCGCCGTGGCATATCCCGATGCCTTCCAACGGCCCGAACGGGGGAGGGACCGGAGGGCGGACCATTTGAACGTCAAGGCGAGGCGGAGAGATGAGCCAATCGGGGTCAATGGGGGTCATTTGGGGCGCTTGCTTGCTTGGCAGGAAACGCATTTGGAACATGAACCGACGGCGGGTGAGGGCCAACGCGGGCTTTCACCGACCTCGAGCCGACCAAGAACTGGCCGCCGTAAGCTGCCAAAACCCAATGCACACCATCACGCGAACGCCCTCCCTCCCACCCCGCATGGCGCCCCTCTTGACATGGGCAAGAGGTCTCATACGCCGGGCCCCATTAGCCCCTTTACGATTTCCGACAGCTGGTTTTGAGACCGTTCCCACAAGTCGACTCCTGGAGGAAGAAAGACTCGATGAGTTTAAGGCGGGCAATTATTACCCTGTCAACATCGGAGATTTATTCGCCTCGAACAAGTACCAAGTTATCGGCAAATTAGGTTTTGGGTCAACCTCGACGGTTTGGCTCGCCCGCAATCTACAGTACGATTTCTGAGCCCTCAGTGATTGAGTGACATGGAATAACGGGCCATCCTAGAGATCATGACTTCGTTACCCTAAAGATATTTGCGCGGCATCACGGGGAGACTTGTAGAGATGAGTTTTGGATTTACGAAACCATCGGCAAGGCCAATCCATCTCACCCCGGGCATCGGCATCTGAGAACCGCCTTAGAGACATTCACCATTGACCGTGCCGGAGAGGAATACCGATGTCTCGTCCAACGCCCCATGTGGGATAGTTGGAAGGATCTGCTCCAGCGAAATCCGGCTGGGCGGTTCTCCGAGCCGCTCCTGAAGGGCGGCCTCCAACACCTCCTCCGTGCCCTCGATTACTTGCACACAGAATGCAAACTTGTCCATACAGGTACGTTTCCGAGGCCATTGTACACTCAAACATTGTCTAATGAAAAGACAGATATCAAGGCAGACAACATTCTACACGCAACCGTCGACCGTGGCATCTTGGACGCCTTCGTCAAGGAGTAGATGGAGACGCCGTCGCCACGCAAACACGTCAACAACCACCCCATTTATATGTCCCGGCGATTCGGTCTTCCTGATGATTTCGGGATAATCGTGCTCGGCGACTTTGGGGGCACCGTGAAGGGCGATCTGAAGCGGAACCATGACGCACAGCCAAATGTTTACCGATCACCAGAGGTCATGCTCCAGGCCCCGTGGAGCTACCCTGTCGATATCTGGAACGTAGGCGCCATGATCTGGGACGTATTTCAGGGCCGTCACCTGTTTTATGGCCAGGACCCTACAGGCAAAGGCTACACAACTCGCGCGCACCTCGCTGAGGTCGTTGGGCTGTTAGGACCGCCGCCGTTGGATTTGCTAGAGCGAGGGGTCCGAAGCAAGGAGTTTTTCTCAGAAAATGGTAAGTTACCATTTTGTATTTGAGTACGAAAGAAAGGAGTATGCTGATGGGTTTGCAGGCCAATGGGTTGCAGACGTCCCGATCCCGCAGGGGAACAGCTTGGAAAACGCCGAACATTTCCTGGCCGGGAGGAACAAGACGATGTTCCTCGATTTTGTGAGGGGAATGCTGGCGTGGCGGCCCGAGGACCGCAAGACGGCAAAGGAACTCCTCGAGGACCCCTGGCTGAACACATGGGAAATATCCGACTAGACGAGCTAATGGAAGAAAGAAGCAACAATGTAATACTACTCACTACCTTGCCTACCTATGGCTGACTCCCCTCTAGCTGGGCCATGTTTCGAATGGCTTGCATTTGCGTGCCTCCCGCTTTGGGATTGGCTACCTTTATCCTTGCCCTAATTTGTTTTCGTGGTTGAAACCCGACGGAGCTTGGAAGTGGCGACCATTCGGGACACGGTTTCGACCGGACATATCATAGGGGGATCCCGCTCACTCGCAGCTTTCGGCATCCCCCCGAAACTCCGAAAGGCCCGGACCACCGAGCTGAAACGTACTTTCCGTCGAAAATCTCCATTTCGATAAAGCAATCTCATCCTGCGTCGTCTTCCAGCTCTCGCATTCCCTCTCGTACTTCGCAACACAAACACAACAAGTCAACAACTTCCGACGGCAGCCACAGCCCTTGTACACAACTTGAGACATCAAAAGACCCGCCTCATTTATCACCACAATGGTTCTTGCTATCCCCTCCGCAAGCCTCGAAGGCAAAGTTGCCCTGGTCACGGGTGCCGGCCGCGGCATTGGCAAGGGTATCGCCCTCGAGCTCGCCCGCCGCGGAGCTTCAGTCATTGTCAACTACGTCTCTTCGGCTGGCCCGGCCCAGGAAGTGGTCCAAGAGATCGTGTCTTACAAGAACGGCGCCCGCGCCATCGCCATCCAAGCCGACGTGTCCAAGGTTTCCGAAATCGACCGGCTGTTCGCCGAGGCCAAGAAGGCATTCGGCCGCATTGACATCGTCATGTCTAACAGCGGCACCGAATCGTGGGACAAGATTGAGGAGATCACCGAGGAAAAGTTCGACCAAGTCTTCAACCTCAACGCGCGCGCCCAGTTCTTCGTCGGCCAGGCCGCCTTCAAGAACCTCGAGCAGAACGGCCGGCTAATCCTCATGACGAGCATCGCCGCCGGCCTGATGGGCGTCAAGAACCACGCGCTGTACAACGCCAGCAAGATGGCCGTCATCGGCATGGTCAAGGCCTTTGCCACCGACTTTGGCGTCAAGGGGATCACTGTCAATGGGGTGGCGCCCGGCGGTGTCAAGAGCGACATGTTCACGCAGAACGCCTGGCATTACATCCCCGGTGCCACGCCCGACACTCCGGCAAAGGAGATTGAGGAGTTGATGGCGGACTTTTGCCCACTAGGCCGGTGTGCTGTGCCTGAGGATGTCGCCCGCGCGGTGGCATTCCTGGCGAGCCAGGATGGTGGCTGGGTCAACGGTGAGTGTGCTTTCTCGTGTTGGGTTGCCGGCCATGGGCTAACTGTTTCGCAGGCCAGGTCCTTACCATCTCGGGGGGTTCGTCCCAGTAAAAGCTTATCATATTGCCGGTTCAGCTTCTTCCATCGCTGAGCTATGAGGGAAGTTTGTGTAAAGTATTGTTGAAGTGGTCGTGTTAGAAAAAGGAAGACCGTAAGAAAGTTATCATGGCTGCGGTTGTACTTTGGGGTATTATCGTAACACGCATCGGTGCAACTAGAGCTCGACCAGTTCAAGCTGTGTTGGACCATATATAAAGGACGAACCACTCCCCAAAGGCAACGCACAATTTCGGGTAGAACGGCACATCGCAAATCTTAAACTAGGTACTAAAGAAAGGGCAAAGTTGTGTCCAACATGTGCTTCAGGGCCCTAATGACCAAAGGTTCGACGGGGGAAAATGCTGGTCGTAAGGATTTGAGGGTGTATCGTATGGGATCATTTCCATGGAGATGAGGTGTCCACAGGGCACGGCACCCCATCGTCCCTCGGCCATCCCCAAGCCGTTAACCCAGTAACCGATCCGGCTGTTGGCTCAGTTTTGACCACCTCTTCCCCCTTGTCCTCATTGCCAGTTGTCATCTCCGTATCCTCGTTGACAACAGTCTTTTGGTCCTCCACGATATCATCAAGACCACTGGTAATCTTGAACTCACCAACCCTCTTCATGACCTAACCCACAAAACACATGTCAGCGCTCACCCACACGACACAAGGAACAGGAGATACCCATCAAAACATACCTCAGCCAACAGAGCCTCCACCTCGCCCAACTCCCCCGCCGCACCCGAAGCAGCAGCAGCAGAAGAACCACCACCACCACCAGACACAGCCATCGCCTCCCCACCCCTCCCCTTCCGCTTCTTAGCCCTCTTCCTCCCCTCACCACCACTCCCACCCCAGCCATTGTTATCCCCACCACCATTCCCACCACCCGCACCATAACCATCACCAGAGGCAACATCCCCCGCCACCTGCATCTGCTCCTGCCAGCGCGCGAGGCCGGAGACGCGGGCCTCGAGGACGCGCACGCGCGCGCGCAGCTCCCCGAGCCCGCGCTCCGCCTCCCCCAGCCGCCGGTTCGTGTTGCGCAGCCTGCCCGCCGCGTGCTCGTCGCTGTGCACAATGGTGGTGAGTTCTGCGACGCGCTGCGAGAGGTGTAGTAGGAAGGTGTCGTGCAGGGACGTGCGGTGGATGAGGTGGTCTGTTTTGAGGGTTAGTTAGTGTTAAGAAAGGAGGGGGGGAGGTTGGGGGATGGGGAGGTTTTCTAGGGAGGGGACGGTTGGGAAAACAGCGAGAGACTTCGGTCGCTGGACGCCCGACTAAGGTGACGGTGCTGTGCTCTTCAACAGCAGGGGATGGATTCATATCGTCATAGCACTTACAGTCTAGCTCGCGAGGGACCATGGGATCGGAGTTCTATAAGGTTAACCCGCCGGTCAGTATATTTTCGAAGAGATGGTGATGATCGTAGCGAGAAGGGGATGGAGATGTCACAGACTACTCACTGGATCCAAGGTATCAAGAGCCATGGCACACTGTCTGTCGTACAGCTCTTTCGCCCTGGTGAGCTCACTCGCCGTGGGGTTGGCAGACTCATTCGTGATCTCCGCGAGCCCCTCTTCGAAGCCACGAACAAGGCGCTTGTTCATATAGTCGTCAGCAATATCCATGTTGTTTGTTACCTCCATGTTGAGATGTTGGTGGAAGTCTTTGTGGGGGGAAGATGGTTTTGGTAGGTAATTTGGGCGAGAAAGTGTGTAAGGGTTTGTAGGAATAAATAGGTCAATTCTGAAGCGCACGTGTACTTTCGAGTCACAAAACTTAGCAATGACGAGAAGGATAAATTATAAACAACGCCAGACAACGGTCCGGGGCCGTGTACCTGGGCTCTTAGACACAAGTTAGCCATTCCTATTCATCGAGAGTGAGCCCTTGGTCATATAGATGCCATGGAATTTATCATACTCATACTAGACTAGAGCAGACTAAACATGGAATCAGTGTTGGGTAAAATGGACATAACTTTGTGAAAAGCCCTGCTAGCACAGAAGTAAAAGGGGAGCACTACAAATTTGGACTCACCTTTCAGTTCAGGTATTCGGTGAACATTTAAGTAGTTTGTATGCCAGGTAATCTTTCCCTTTGAGCCTGTTATACTAATGTGTGAGGGCCATGTGACAGAGTTCAACGTGCCTGTCCAAGAATTCTTCATGGCTGTTTCGTCGTCAGGCGGCGAGATAGGTTTTTTACTAACGAAACGACCAACACAATGTGAGCTTGTTATCGCTTTCCTGGAACTATAGAAGGCGACGAAATAGTTCCACAGTCCAAATGCTTCCTTTTCTGCTACTCTACCTATTTCTTTTAACCCAACTCTACTCTCCATATTGTCCGACCCAATCTTGAGCTTGAAATTTCTTCCAACCCAACCACAGGTGAGCCTTCCCTTGGAACCTCGCCGTCATTAACTCAAGAATGTTCTACTTTACTTGCTCCCCCATACCTCTTGTACCCACATTCAAACGGCCGAAGCTAATATATCGACATTTAGCACACTCAATACAATGAGCACCATATTGGGCCAAAGGCCGCGAGATCCCCATACCCCTCCGCCTGTCTACATAAGCCCGACAACACCTGTTCTTGCAGTGGAAGACAGTGACAAGCGAGTTCTTCGGGAACAGCTAGAGACCATCGAGGCCCAGGACTTGGATCGACTGGAGGATGACCTGAAAAGCCTCTCGGGTCTATTCAACCAGAGTCTCCAGACCATCGTAAAGAACAATCCGTCGGACGCTGCCGGTGCCCGGCTTCCATCCATAAGCCATACTGATCCCTTTCTCGGAAAGGTACGTGATCCCACCTTGACTTTCACACCTTCACTTGCATTTCCCACATTATCTCGACGTGTCTCGAGATGTGACAGAGGACAAGTCCCTTTTCATTGCAGGGTTTTGATATGCTCACTAACAGTCGGTGACTTTAGAAAATCACAACCCCCACCCGCCCGACCAATACCGTTGTCACTCCCATCCGGCCGACGCGAGATTACTACCCGCCTCCGTTGCCTGTCCTCTTTAACATTGCCGCCCCGTATACTGCCGCCCCGCCGGCCCCGTATTTCCATCCCGGCCCTCCGATGCCTCACCAACCGGCGATGGGGCCGTTCGCTTTCCCGCCCGCCGTCACCGCCGCTCCCCAACCCGCCGCGTATCCCCCAAGGCCACCCCCTGCATACCCCCAAAGATACCCTCCGCAGAACCCGAGCGGTCAGGCACCGCAGCCAAGCGTGAGACCCCGAGGGCGAGGTCAGCGGCCGAACGGCCTGCCCATCGCGAATTCGTCCTTCGGTTCTTCCCACGCCGGGGCCCAGGGCCACAGCAATGGCGGCAGCAGCCACCCGTACGGCGGCCGTGCCAACGGGAGCACCCCATATAACCACCCCGCCGGCGGCTATCAACAAAGGGCGCCGAGGCCGCCCCATGCCGGTTCCCGTCCGCCTCTACCGGTGGCCCAGCGACCCCACGCCGGCTCCCGCCCACCGCTTCCAGTGCCGGGAGAGGCCCGCGCCGGCCAGCGCTTCCTCGCGCCGGTCTTTCAACCCGGCGCATCCTTCCATCCCACTGCTACCGGCACCGGCGCCGGTGCCAATGCCAGCCGGCCGGGCCTCGGCGCTCCGGGTGTCGGCCGCCCAGTTCCCAGCGGTCCAAGCATGAACGGACAAGATCCATATGCCTTTGGTCCGGGGCTCGGCCCCCAGGGTTACGGGATGCCGGGTCCGATGCCTGGGTATCCGCCGAGCTATGCACCAAACAACCCGTCGAACTATATACCAAACCCTGCACAACCTTACCCGCCGACCCATGGGCTGCCCTACCCACCACGCTACCAACCAAGCTACCAACCAAGCTACCAACCAAGCTGGCCCCCAAGCTACGTACGGCCGGGCTATCCAAGCTACGCACCACCAAGCTACGCCCCGGCCCCGCCCCCCGCCCCCGCCCCGATCATCCTAGGCCCCCTCCCCGGCCGTCCCGGCGCGCTGGTCTGGTACAACATGGTGCAGGGCCAGAAGGGCCCCGCGTGGGTGGCGCTGCCGCGCAAGGGGCGGCGGACCTTTACGCCGAAGCCGGTGGGCAATTCGGCTAGGGCGATGAGGGCGCGTGGGTCGCCTTTGCCGAGGAGGAGGAGATGGGCTGTTGCGGGTGCGGGTGCGGGTGCGGGTGCGGCTGCTTGAGGAGAGGGTGGTGTTTGTTGTGTTCAACTTGGTGTGGGGGTGGGTACCTATGAATGAGGGTTGAGGATGGTATTTGGGGTTGGTGTGGGAGTAGTTACGAGGGGATGCCTGTCTGGTTCATTCTGCGGTTTTCTTATGTTTTCTGGGGCTGTTTGCGGTTTTCTTTTGTTGCCCTATTTTAGGGATTGCTCTCTTGTTGTTAACATTCACTAAGACGGGTTAATCGACCTGATTAGGTAGAGTAGTAGTATGATCGTGAAGTACGAAGGGTCGGTTACCTTAGGTAGTGACGCGGTACATTAGGAGAAGAGTGCTCTAGGGTTGCTAAGCTAAGTAACTAGATCCAAAGTTAAAGAGTCATATCAAGTCCATAGATATATAAGATAAGGCTATGCTAATCGTGCTCTCTTATTGATATTAGTAGTAAACGCGAAAGTACCTGAGTCCCTTCTTGTTGTTCAGCCCGACGCAGCTAATACGGACCTCACACCACTTTAACCGCCGGCTTTTACTGTACGGGTACTTACCTATGTACTTTATGTAAATTTAGAGACTAGCAATCAAACTACTGCAAGTAGTCTACATCCTCCGCCGTACATCTGAGCATCATCTTGTCCGGTCTCAATAAAGCATTCCCCAACCAGGCGATGCCGGGCATCGATCTGTCCGTAAGAAGAGGACATGTAAGTACGGCCATTATAGAGTCCAACCCCACGGACTTCTAAACAATTAACTCTCTGCAGCATTGCTTGTGACCATACAGCCGGGCCGGGATCCTGGCGAAGGATGTATGAACGCAGGCTTGGGAAGATCTTGGCCGCAAAATCACCGGGCCGCGCATAACATGGCACCACCGCAAGAGTGTCATGCTTTCTGGGCTGGGGGGCCAGGACGGCAAACCGCCGGCCTTGGAGTGGAGACGCACTATCCGCGCCTTCAAGGTAGGACATGAACATGGCCCGAAGACTCGTAGACATGAGTCGAATTCGATCGGGTGATACCGCTTCCATGGTCCCTCGCTTAAATTGCTCCAAGCTATCCGACTTGAGGTTTGGTTCCTGAGATGTTTGGATAGCTTCGCATAGCTCGGCCCAGTCCTCATAGAACTGGCGACTAGCAGCAGCAACCACGTTACGGTCGCCACCAACAACCACGTTACGGTGGTCACGACCGTCCGCTACGAGTGGTACTCTTGAAAGGCTGTTTTGGCACCTCTTCCGTAGAGCCGGGGAGATGGTCGAGGGGGCGGGAAAGACCGGGCTAAGCCCTTGGATAGTGGATGTCGTCCAGCCAAAGCAGACCAGGATTTCTAGCTCCTCTATAACCAAGCACCACGTGCCCTGGAATTCAGATGGGGGTGGGTAGATCCCCGCATACGTGTCAGGCAGTGACATCGGGTATCCTGGCACCAACGTCCAGTCGGGGACCCACGAAGGAAGACTAGGCCTAGGTCTCGCTTCCATTGGGGTGTTGTTGTCGGCCGCTGCGAGAAGTGACTGGAGGACACTCCACGAGGAAGACTGGAGGATGCGGTGCGCTGCTGTGGTGTAGATGCGCTCGACCGTCAGATTGTAGTCTATCAGGTCCTTTGGCCACATTTCCGACTTGGATACAAGGCCCAGAATGCCGTAAATCATGTCTCGCGGGTTTGAGGCTTCGGCCGCGCGGCGAGCGCAGAGGATCTCGAGTAGGGTGTTAGCGGTCTGGTGGAACTTGGATCGGACGCTATCCATGGCCGCGAATGCCTGGAGTTGGGGTGTCGTATCAAGGCGCGTCATGTCATGCGCGGGGGGGCTACCTAGGAGCAACGAGCGAAGGTTCATCCACCGCGTTCGCAGGCGGCCGCATTGCACTAGCGGGTCCCTCGAGAGGGCCAACTCCTGTAGGATCCAAGTTCTCGCAAACCACGGCCGACGCAAGATGTCTTTCTCGGCTAGCGCAATAATCTCATCGCGTTCGCCCCTCTCCAGCTCGTGCCACCGGGAAGCTCTCCGAAGCACAGACTCAGCTTCGGATGTGAGGAGCCCGAGATAGATGACGGTGTGGTTGGCCGCCTCGTAAATGGAGCCCATCAGGGGAACCTGAGTATTCTTCTCCTCGATCTTTTGCTGGTCGATGCATATGGCGTCGACCCAGACGCGAAGCACAACAGAGCTATCCCGCAGATTGCGTAGAGCGGCCTCCAGCGAGGCGGTCAAACCAACTCGATGCCCGTCTAGGCTAATGGATCCCTTCGGAGCCGGGTCTCCCCAGTGGTAGGAGAGGGCGATGAACCCGCCACTGATGTCGTCGAGGCATGAGCGAATTGTAGTGTGGGCAAGAGTCCCACAGAGTTCTGTATCAGGTTGTTCAGAAGGTTCCAGCATGAGCAGCCGGATGGAGTCCGACTCTAGCAGTGGCTCGTAGCGGAAAGGACTCGGCCCCATTCTGCTCTTTGTGTAGCGTACATGTACGTGTGGGGCTGGGTTGTCAGCGAGACAGAAGCTTGCTTGCACTGTTTATTCTTTTCAAAAGGAAATAAGGGGTAAATGGTAGACGAGAAGGTACGGCCCGGGAGCATGATTGGATATTTTGGCATCGTTGATGGACGGAGAATGATTGGTTTCCCCCCTTCCCGCAATTTGGGCAGCGGGCGAGTAAGGACTGAGCAGGGTTGATGCCCAACCAGTTACCTCCCTCTCCGTGCTGCAGCTGACGGCATCCTTTTATGTACAAAGGTAGGTACCCTTGCCAATCAGCAACTGGCGAGACAGAGAGGAGAAGGGGGGTCATTCAGGATAATTAGTTGGCTCGACGTTGAGCTACGGGTATACTCGTGTCAAAGATCAAGTCTCTTTTTTCATCAACAAGGAAGACGCAGCTTCTAACTCCTCGGTACCTAGACTGCGCATCTAACGAAAATCCCGATTACAGATTGTTTCCACCTGGCACAGAATCACTTGTGCTGAACCCCTCCAAATTAGCAGCCTTTTCATTTAATAATCCTCTCTTCCCTCTCCTAGGCATGTTATCCCAACTCCCAACTCCTCACCCCTTTAGTTACCTAGCTAACACAAATTATGATATCGAAGTCCGGTAATAACATCAATGCTGTTAACCTTACACCACTACGAGACAAGGCACTCTGAAAAGATTAGCTAGCTTAGGTTAGCCGGCCAAGTCCGATATAAGGCCTGGGGCCCGATCGAGATATTAGCATATGATTACTTATTACCAGAACAAGCTAACAGCAGACAATCTAGGTTTTGGACTCCCCGTTCGGCAAGTCAATATTAATCCAAAAACTCCAGCTCCGCCGAGCCCCCAACATTACCGGCTGCGACAGCAACCACATTTTTCACCCCACAATACCATCCCCCTTTTCATTCACCATTACATCCACCACTTTCTTCCACAAAAAGCCACATAAACAACATCACCTCTTCCTCCTCACAGTCCCCATCCTCTCCAACAGCCCCAGATCCCACCACCCCTCCACCATCATCCCCCACACCGTCCTCCTCTTCTTCACCGGACTAACACCAACACCCACCCCCTCCCCAACCCCATGAATACTCCCCCTCGCCGACTCCACCGCCTCCCCGCCAACCTCAACACCCACCCCGCCCCGCGGCGGATGCACCACCACGATCGGCGGCGGCCGCCTCTTCTCCCTCTTCTCCCTCTTGCTCTTCTCCCTCCTTGTCCGCGTCGACGTCGACACCGACGCCACGAGCCCGCCCAGCCCCAGCCCGATGCCCGACCCCAGCGTGCGCAGCGGCGAGAGCGGGGAGCGCGGGATCAGGCCGGGGATGCGGCTGTGCTCGGCGGGGATGGTGTCGGAGAAGGAGGAGGGGGCGGGGGGGGAGTAGATGGAGGTTGGGGAGGGGGCGGAGGTGCTGTTGGGTAAAGGGGGGATTTGGAGGGTGGGGAGGTGGTGGTGTGGTTTGGTTGTTCTGAAGGCGGTTGGTCGTTGTGTTGATTGTACTGGCGGGGTCGGTGCGGGCGGGGGTGGGGCGCGCGAGAGGAGGGGGGAGATGCCGTCGGAGTCGGAGTCGGAGTCTTCGGGTTTGGTGTTGTTGTTGTTGGGGTGGGTGAGGGACCGGGGCGGTTTGGTTTGGCCGGTCTGGATTGGTGGTGGTCGCAGGCCGCGGGGTTGGGGCGGGCTGTTGTTGGCGGTGGGCTCCGCGGCGTGGTTGGAGTCGTCCTCATCCGAGTCGCAGCTGAATCGGGGCGGGGAGGTGGTGATGATGCGGGGGTTGGGCGGCCGGTCATGGGCACGGCCGCGGTCGCGGATGGGCGCCAGGGGAGGAGGCGGGAAGTAAGGAGCGGCAGCGGCGGGAGCCCTGTTCCACGCCTCTTGTTTTGTCTTCTGCTTCCCTCCCGTGGCGCCCGCGCGTCCCTAGCCCTCAATGTCCTTTGGCTCAGTGTTGGTCGCCGCTTCACTGCGGAGACGGTGCCACAGGCCGACGCAGACAAGCGCGGAGAAGGAAAAGAGCACGCAGTGGGCGATGGACAAGCCCCAGACGGCCTTGATCTCGTAACACGTTGTCCGGTCGAGCGTGACGAACGAGGGATAAGAAACTGTCTGAGTGATGATGGTGGCCCGGATGGGGACGCCAGCGGTGGAGATAAAAGCCGTGGTTGTGCCAGCGAGACCAGTTGAGGTGGGGAGCGCAGCGCAGTTGAGCTTAGAAAGGGGCTTCCCGAGTAGCGAAGCCACCACGATGGATGCGATGAGCAGTAGACCGTCGAAAATGCCGGTAAAGAGCAGCGGGAGCATGCTATCGTAATACAGGATGTAAGTGATGACGACGTAGACCACCGAAGTCACCGCCTGTACCAGAGTTAGAGGACTTGGTTGTGTAGTGGAGCAGGAGACGTACTACTGTCAGAGTGCCGATGAGCTCGGCTGGAGGGTCGTGCTCAGCAGTGGTGATCCCATTGATGAAGTTGGCACAGAGCCCAATAACAGCAATCAACGAGGCGAACTGGCATGCCCTCATGATGCTGAAGGTAACGCCCATGGCGCCTAGTTGGGGGGCTTGGAACCGCATTTTCAAGGGCTCAGCCGAGTCGAAGTCGGTGATGAGCTCAAGTGCAGGTCGTTCTTTGCTCGCCGTGCGCAGGGGAAACCGTGGTTTGGGAAACGGTGCTGTCGGGGGCGGCAGGAAAGAAGTATTGGCGGAAATGTTGGGCAACGGGTTGCTTCACGCCGAGTAGCGTGAGGATAGCTGATTTGGGGTTGGAGATGTGAGACAGATCAACTGCCACGAGGACCGGCCTAAGGTGTGCTGCTGTTTGCTAGTCGTGCTGGATAGGAAACAAGGAAATCGAGAGAGTTGACAAGGAAAATCGGCGGTAAGTCGTGAGAAGGAGCTTGAAGTCGTGATGAAGAAATCGAAGACCCTAACCCAGAGGAAAGACGAGATAGAGAGAGACTTAGGAAACAGGAAATAAGGAGATAAGGAAAAAACGAAAGAAAAAACCTAGGAAACTAGGAAAGAAACGAGGTGTGGTTTGTTTTGAACGTGATGTCGAAACATCTCATCTGGAGGGTAGGCCGGGAGGCATCCCATCTTTATGGCCTTCACCTTTGTGACCGATGACAAGGCGGACGCGGTCTGGACCATCTCCCATGTCGAAATCCCATCATTCCCATGTCCACGACATCTGCTTCAACGCAATCTCAAACAAGCGCGTCGACCATTAGCGCCGAAGCCATGCGCTGCACGACATGGTTTGGCATTGTCTGACATGGCCTCTACCAGCCGATGACACGGCATCGATCGTCGTTCAACTTATTTTGTTCCTATTTTTTGCTGCTGCCAGGAACACCGACGTTGGCGGGCTTCAGCAGCCGCCGTGGTCTCCAATCGGAACCCTCAGGTCTTGCCCGCGGCGGGTCTGGCCGCTCCACACCCTCAGCGGCTCTTGGGACCCCGGCGGCCAACCAGATCGGAGATCGATCGTTTCGCAGTTTGTGGAATTTGTTTGTCGCGGCTGCGGTTGTGGGCCTGGGCACGGCAGAGAAGGCGGGGCCCGGGATTGATTGGGTGTGGAACAGAGATGGATGGAACGAGACCCGGGACTGGGGAATTAAGGGACCATCTCCGAGTCTCTCGCGCATTCACTCTTTCCTGCCTGCCTGCATGTTTGTTTACGCTGCAGTTGTGGACCATTGGCGTTGGCATTGGCAGGGTCATTTACCCGGCTCGCAAAAGGAACGAACTGCCCAGCGGGCCGGTTGTTGATGGGGCTTCAGAGCCTCTTTCGGAGTGCCGGGCAGTGATCCCGGGAAGTCCGTCAAGATCGTCAGATTAATTAGAAAATATTTTCGTGCAAACACATGGAGGAAGGAAGTCCGACAAATGGCGCGCAGGTGGAGCAGCGGAAGAGCTGCAAGGGAAAGAGGGGGGTTAGGGTTGGTCGTGGCAGTGAATTCAAGGAGTGTAAACACAGGAAATAACACTGGCTGAGTTAACGGGCAAGATATAGGAAGTCGAATACGCAGGTGGTATCGCGGACACGACAGTAAACAATCGACATTAAACTAGATATCTTGGTTGTCAGAGAGATTAAATTATATTTGTTCAAGCCTCGCTAATGACGCCAACCAGCCAAAACCATATCGCTCTTAACTCCATTGCAAACGCCACCCTAACCACCTTTTGTCGACACAAAATCGCATCCGCGTTTTAAAGGTAGATGTAGCAGAGCGGCGATCCACCCTGACCAGTCGTGCTCATGAGGTTCTTGATCTTGATCGGAGAGCCGATATGGCCAACGTCGACGGTATCCTCGACAGTGGTGTTGGCGCTGGGGGGTTGGTTGAGCAGGGTGTTGGTGCCAAAGACGCCCTGGCGCTTTTGGAAGTCGAGCATCTGCCAGATCCAGTAGACACGGTCGATCTGGGCGTGGTGGAGGTAGAAGGCCGGGTCGCCCGACGAGATGAAAGCGTCCGAGCCGGGGTCGCCACTGATCATGAAGTGACCGCCGCCATGCACACCGAGCGAGTTGGGGATGTAGCTCGGGTCCGCCTCCATGGTAGTCCGGAAGATTTCAATGTTGGGCGAGTTGATGATCAGGTCGGTCGTGTTCCGGAAGCTGGAAAACCTCTTTCCGGCATCCGCGTTCAGGTCGCGCTTCAGGCAGCGCGGGTTGTCCGCGGTCGGGTCCGGCTGCGTGATGGGGCCCAACCGGACCGTCATGTCGGCAAAAGGGCCCGTCTTGACGCAGCCGCCGCCGGTACCCTTCTTTAGCACGAGGGGCTCGGTGTTTCCCGGAATCTCGAGCGCGAGGTCGTCACCAGGGATGAATTCGCCGTCACCACTCATGGATGTGTCTGACCCGTCAAAGATGGGAGAAAGATGAGGGGCGTTCGCATCGAAGCCCCACTCCCAGTAGGGAAGCGCATCTGTAGCTGTTAGTTGGTAAGGGATACTCACTGCAAGAGCGAGATTACATACCGTTGTAACCACAGGCATTGAGCTTCTTTTCGTACTCGTGGATGTAGTTCCGGTGCCAGATGAGGAAGTTACCCTAGAGATCAGTCAGCGGCGGTCCCCTGATACAGCACACCGTGACAACCAAAAAATGAATCAACTCACGGTGAAGTGGATGAAAGGCGTCGACTGCAGGTGCACGTAGACAAAGTCGTCGAAGAGGGTCTTCGAGCCCTCCGAGACACCGGGAGCGAGGAGGCTCGGGCTCTCCTGAAGACACTGCACCGCCTTGATATAGCTCTTGCGCTGGGCCTTGGATAATGTTCTCCTGTTTCTCGAGTCAGCACGACTGCATCGGCGAGGTGCCGGCCGGCTGTGGGATAACGTACCACTCCCTGCGGATCTTGACGTTGCCCATGTTGCACGACCCGCCGTACTTGTTGGCCGACTGCAGCAGGGCAATGCCGTTCAGACCGGCCAGAGCCAGGCCTGAATCGATGGCGAGCTGCTCGAACGTGGGGAGGTTGAAAGCCGAGGCGCCCATGGCCGCAGCCAGGGTGATGGACGCGGAAAGCTTCATGGTGAATTGTTTGACCTGTGCCGGAGTGAATGTTGCGAGACAGTTGCGTGGTTCTGGATTCTCACCCAGGACGGGACCAACCAGTATCTTATACCGGTTGGTTCGGAGTTGGAGCGAACCACCCCGAGGGGACCCCGGTGCACGATCATGGCGTCGACGAGGGTTCGCCGCAGTTCGGCTGGCAGCGAGACATCGCCTTTCCCAACTGGCAACCACGGCTGGGCCGGGGGGGGGATTGGCTGCAGGCCACTGCGACCATATCATGCAAGGCCGGGGGTGGTGCTCAACGCCAAGAGGTCAAAAGCGAAGGATTCAAAAGGTCCCACTGGCCAAAGTGCTTCAACCCCTGCAATTCGAGATGCACCCAGCGTTGCTGGGATCATGGATTCCATCAAGGGACGGGAGGCAGAATGGGGGTTTTCTCCGCTTCATCTCGTGGCCGAGCCTTGTCATCATGGAGGGTCTCCCGCCATCAGTCCCGTTGTTCGTTCCAGGTCCCTGATCACCGACACTCAAAATAGCTGACGACGACACGAGCGGTAGCCCAAGCGAGAGAACGCCACATGAAGACGCGGGGTTGGGAAACGACTAGTTCCTCTCGGTGCATCAATAGTAGCTTCCATGTTCCAGGGTATGCGTAGTCCTTGTGTCCCTTTGTTCTAGCCGGTCGGATTGGTGTTTGGGAAGGAGGTCGGCCCAAAATCTGACAACTCTCAGAGATGATATCAGTCGTGTCGCACAAGACTGACTTGTTCGCGGGGAAGGAGTCCCGAGTAGGCAAGGTAAGCTCCCATCACGGCTATCATGGGTCTCCATCAACCAGACTCTCCAAACTTCACTCACCGACGGCTGTTTTGGCCGTTCTGCCGGGTTTCCGTTCTGCCGCCCTTCGAGAACCCAACTGCATCATGCAGACTGCAGAAAGCTCGCCTTGGTCGACCGAAGAAAGACGCGTGTTTTTTTTCTTCATTTCTCGCTTGTTGTGCAGCCGAAGTTCGGGCCTTCCATAAGCGAGAGACTCGCCCGGGTTGCGAAGCCGATTCCTTCACAGCCAAACACATGCAATGCTGCAGCCAAGAATCAGGGGAGGCAACTGCCAACAGCATTTCGCCTGCATGAGGTGGCTGACACCTTCCCGCGAGTTTTCCAGAGCCCCTTCGATTGCTTGGCACTTTCAGCCCAGGCCGCCAGGCTCCCCCAAAACGTTCCACGGGCTTTTTCTGAAGGAGGAATGGGACCGAGACAGCGGATGGGAGAGGGACGGGGCATGTACCTGGTAGGGTACCATCTGTATCAGGAAGGCACTCACTTGACGGTGGCCAATTTGGACAATAGATTGGATTGCAGTTTTGGAACGAATCCACGAACCCGGCTCGCTCGATTCCGAAGCAGCGCCGCGAGCTTCCATCCCATGCGGTCCATACTCTCTGCATCGGGCTGTTGGTTCTGCGGCCAAGCCCAGAGGTCCCGAAGCACCGCGATGCGATGCAAGGGTCCTTCCTTCCCACATCGTCGCCAAAGTCGGGGCTGGGACGCAAAAGACGGGATCCAAGGGCAGCATCCGGGAGGGTTTCCGCCCGTATTCTCGCCATCCGCGAATAGAATGTTGGCGTTTACCACATCCGAAGGCCTGCCTCATGCTGCATCGCCAATTCGATAGTCTGCGGTCTCGCACGCACCCAGTACCACGGATTCGCTTCCTGCCTTGTCTCTCGGCCTGCGGCGGGACACACAGACAACGGCACCTGGAAGCCACAACGTGGCATGCCTCGCTGCCGGTAATCAAAAATTCCGAACCAACTGCCTTGCGTTGGGGGGCTGACCACGGCACACGGCAAACATGCCGCGCTCACCCCACCAAAAAACATGCAAGACATCAATACACGGCCTGCACTGCGACGATATTCTCACCTTTACCAGCCCTCTCGACAGCCTCCTCGGCTGGAGATTCGAACAGCGGGAGGCTCGCCAACTCGGCGAAGCGTCCCTCCGTCTTCCTCACGTCTTGGTTTCCGGTTCCGATGAGCTGGCATTCCCTGTTCAGCAACACCGGGGTCCCTTCACGCTGCCTTCCAATCGCCGTCGCCGCTAACATTGAAGCTTGTCCCAATGCCCCACCCCCACCAACGCCAATCCGCCCGGGGATGGGCTTGCATGCCCGAGCACCATCGCGGAGGTGCTCAGCTCGCCCAGTAGTTACAGGGGTTCATCGCTAGCGCTCACTTTCATGACGAGATTTCTTCGTTGCCGGCTCGCCGAACATTGATCCCCAGACTCGTGGCTTTTCGCTAAATAGCACGAGTTTTCCAGGATTATTCGGACGGCTCGGTTCATCGGCAATCCAACCATCCCGGGATCCGAAAGCACGTTCGTGGCGAGCACCTTCACAAGCGGTCGTTCCCTCCAGTCCGGGACACCCAGACCAGGCCCCGCTCGGTGTCCCCCTCTGTCGACCCCGGTTCCTTGCCCTTTTTGTTAATCATATCACCGTGACATTGCGGTCCGAAGTCAAAGCAAAAGAAGGTCACTTTTAGCGCGGCGCTACCAAGAACAAAGTTCTCAAACTCTCCGACAAGAGGAGGCGGAGGTCACGGTTTTATGTTCACTTGCGGAAAAATACCGAGGCTAAAAAAAGAAACCACTGTGGAGGATGGCGGCCTCGATAAAATTAACGGCCTGTTGATCGCGGATCAACACGGAACGAAGGCCCGTTGAATCTGGGGCAGGTGATGATGATCCCTCTGATCCGTGATCAGGGTCCACGTCACCAGAGATCGTCGATCGCGATGTCCTGACCAGGACGCAAACAAACGTGGTCGTGGCGTCGGAAAACTTTGGAAGGTTTCCTGGAGCTGCGGACATCGCCATCTTGACTTGGCGACCCCCAGACGGTCCGTATTCGGTATCCTCGTCCGGGTATGCACCAACGGCTTCCCTTGCGTTCCGTTCGGGGAAGTCAATGGCTCTCGGCGAGTGGGTCACAATCCGACTTGGCTGTCCGAGCGCTGGTCCCGGTCTCTACATACCCTGTCGCCGACCAACCCGGGCCCTTGCCGGGACCCTTGAAGCTCATCAGCGAGCTCCGGAAACATCACGAAACCGACAAAGGGAGGCCTGATGGATGCGAACCCCTCCTCGTCATGGGCTCGAGTCATCCGATGGTCTCGAACTCGCCCAATGCCCCCCTCCAAGCTGTGCTCTTCGAGCGCGGAAGCCAACCGCCTCGCCTGGATGCATGGACATGCGTGCACATGGCCACATTTGTTCGGCGATTCTCGTTTGCGGGCGCCGGACACGATGGGGCTTTGGCGACTCGCTCGCCGAATGCTCTCGGCTGCGGTTGGGTCAAACTCGACAAGGGGTGGTGCGACAAGGGTGCAGAAGTTCCTGAGAAACTCATGCCATTGTTCAGCCTCTGCCACACTCGAGTTGTGGCGACTGAGCATCCAGATAGCTCCTCTTCGTTTGTAGTCGTCTCCTCGGCATATCTCCCTCGTGTGCCTAATATTTCCCCTACTGTGCTGGACCTTTTGAAGTTCTGGCACCCCCCGTGCAGTTCGGCTGAGGTTCACGCTGAAACTCCTGTTTAGCAGTGTCGGACTTGGCTGTCCCAAAATCCTCGATAATGACGGCTGCTATGGCCTAGGGTGATCGGACTATGAGTCCGATGATGGTGGTGGATACGGGGGCATGCATCCAGATACTTGTGAGGCATACTAGGAATGGTCACGCTTGACAACTAGAACGGGGCTGTCAAACGGGTTGCCATTTGACTTTCATGCATATCAGCAATGTCTCGGTAACAGCAAGGATAGCTAAACCCCATGAACCCCAAGTATTCGCACATTTGCTGATACCTAATTGGGACGAAGTTCACACAGCGTGCCATCAGTTCTGACGGAGATTGGAGGGAGCAAAATCACAAACCTCGTCAATGCGATGGCGCAGCACGTTCTAACCAAGGAGATGTGACACAAAACAAAAGTCAAATTAGTGCCTGCCTACCTTCTAAGCCCACCCAAAAGAAAACCGTCCGTGGACATGACCCTCCGGCACCCAGGAATCATGCCGAGGTACCTAAGGAATGCGCAAGGCGTCGCCCCAGCCCCCATCGCCTGCCCACTGATGGGCGGATGTAACAAGCAACAAGAAGTGGACGAATATGATGTCGACCACTTGAGGGGAAGGCACCGGGGGACACGATACGCAGAAGGGCCGGGGCTTAGACTAACCGGCCACGTGCGGCGAAGCGAAGTTGGCCAGCAAGGATATTTACGGCGGCAATGGACTGCTACTCGGCAATGCAAGTAAAAGGGAGCCGTTTACTGCCGCTTACCATGGTCGGGAAACAGTGAGTAGGCAGCTCTGAGAGGTAGGAGAATGTAGATTCATACTAAAGTCTGGGGGGCTGAATCTAAAATAGGGTTATATAAGACCTGAGTTCTTGAAGTTTAAAGCGGTGCGATGGGGTAAATGAAAGGGAAGTGAAAACAGGGATGTGGACAAGGAGGAAGGAAAAGGAAAAGAAGGAGGATAGAGAGTAGAGGGTTGGGAAATATGTAAAGGAGAAGAAAACCAAAAGCATTAACAAATGGGGGCAAAAAGGGGAGAGTGCCGCGCCTCTCAATCTTGACATCTTTCCAAGGAGGGCCGAACTGTAATGGAACTCCTGAACGGGAATGTACCCCTTTGTAAATGTGCCTCACCCATCATATTTCGCCTCCACGTCTCCCACAAGACGCATCCTTTTTCCCTTCGCGCCAATGCGTCTAAGTGCGGGCCGTGATTTACAGACGACCCAGTAGATGATATAGGGACAGCCACTCTTTTGTCCGGATGGATAGCCCAGTTCATAATTAGTCAATACCATGCTGGCCAACCTTCGGCACCTTCCTCATTCCTCATTTGTCCTCATCATATGTATTTTCCTGCATCTCCTTTTACCCCCACGATCCCCACCTTGGCCTGTCCTGTCCCTAGTTTCGTATTTCTGAAGGTCAGTTTCTACCTTGATCCCTTGACACGCTCGACCACTCCGCCACATGTTGCATCTCATCGCGATTGTTAACGAACTCGCACGTGAGGACAGCAAGGTGAAAGGAAACGATGTGGTGGATATTACAAGGGTAATTCAGTCTCATAATGATCCCTAGCTTCTGCAACTCCCTACATTCGTTCCGGAGTTGTTGGTGGTTGGTAGGGCTAACGAAAGGAAGCGCGCAGCTACGCTAATTTTGGTAGGCATTTGATAGATCGAAGCTCGATGGTTATTGGGATATGAATGTGTAACGCGGAAGTCCCAGGAGAGTTCTGCCGGTTTCATGTGGCTGAAGTCAATTTAGAACCGACACACACCTCGACCGACCGGCGATCTGAGGGAACTTGAATATCACATCAGTCGTGACAACCAGTGGAGGACCTTGGAAAGCACGCGGGCTTTAACTGCAGGTGCTAGAGAACCGGTATGGGATCTTTTACCCGTCACTTCTATCCAACGCTTTCATAACCGTTGGCGGTGGACTCCGGGGCTGAGTGGATCACGGCGCCGGTGGGGGTCCGGGAGGGGGGCCCCACACCGCCGGGCCGGGTCCGCGTTCCTTCCCTATTAGGAAACTGGACGTTTAAGCATTCATTGGGGTGAATGTAAAGCTCTAAGGCTAGCTGGTAATAGTTTGCTATTTTTCCGGTCACATCTTCCTTTCGTGCCTCTGGGTTATTGTAGTGTTATCCTGATACGTTGATAACCCTGGATGTAATATCAACGATTCGGGAAATAAGTCCGGCGGAACTCGGGGTGCCGCCGTTACGAGGGAGAGATACCGGGCTTACCGCTATCTTATTGGACACGACTTGTTCTAGAAGCCGGTGGTGAAGCGGTTGCGAATAAAAGTCAACCCGAAGTGGAATGCTGAGCTCGTGGAATGGGGTCGGTCAGTGGTTACACATAAACTGCATCATGGTTCAACCCGGCGCTCCCAAGCCCCGAGCGGTGAGACAAACAATACAATCTAGGGGCTAGACCGCGAGGGGCGTGTGACTATTGCTCTTGAACACGATGGCCGCGTGCGAACAAGATTATAGGGTTAGAAAAGGGTGAAACAGACGTCACACACGGCCGCCACTTTCCCGTCAAATAACGCCGCAACTGCACCGTTATTTCGAGAAGAGTGATGAGGAGGTAGATGTGGCCAACACGTCACCAAACTCGCGGCAGCTTGAGATGATGCGTTCGATCCGATGGGTCAACGACCATGCAAGCACAGCCGCAACGCCCGTCGCTCCGCCAGCGGTAGTCGTCACCAGGCTTGCCCAGTGGCGGTTGCGGCCAAACCGGAATGGCCGGCAGTGTGGGGGTCTGATATCTGCCGGAACCCGCAGCAAACGGTGGTTCATCGGGCTCACTCTCAGAAGCTTCGGGGCTCGGAAGGCTCCGAAGAGCGGGCACCCGCCATGCCAAGAACCCGTCCAACACAAAAAACGGTACGCATGGGGTGTGTGGTTTTGACATCCGACCCAATCTTTCCAAGTGTTATTTCTGCAGGGGCGATGGGTTGAGCTGCCTTCGCGCCCGAGCTTCGCTCCCCCCGACGACGGACCCCTTGGGGCCCTTATCGTCGGGCCACGGAAGCAAGGGGAAAGCACAAGACATCCCGCGTCGATGTTGGGCGGAGCGGAATGCCAAGCACCTTGATCAACAAATGTAACAGCTTGGCGGGTTCAAAGTCTGGGGACAACCGGATGCCAAGTGTGGCCATGGCGGCAGATGAAGCTTGGCGGCAACACAACTGTTGCTTGTCAGTGCTTGTTCGTCACAGTTTTGGTGGCTTGGAGCTCAACACGAGTGGTTTGCGGTCCACGTACACGCACCTGAGCTCTCTGCGTTCCTCGATGCCAGCGACCTGACCGATTGAAGTGAAGTGGTTGTGGGATAGTAGGTAGTCTCTTGGCGGTGAAACACCCTCCTGAACGACATCGCGCAAGAAAAAAGTCAGGCAAATTTGACCTCTGACTGCCGCCGCCCCCCCCCGCCAAGAGCTGGTGTCCGGCCGATCTGAGACGACTGGAGTCTGGCCGGTCATTCAAGCGTTGCCAAGAGGCCGGTGGCACGCACCGAGGGGTCATTTCGAGAAAGAGGCTCCGACAATGATGGCTTGCTTGGGGCGCACAGCCAAGCTACCCTGGGCGCAAACCAGGTAGTTAACGTACGTAGTTATTGCGCGGACATGGACATGCGAGGACGGGAAGTGGTCGTGTGGACCCAAGTTTTGTCAAGATTGCGGCGTGCAGGTTTTCAGGAGAGTTGCAGAATTGGCAGAATTGCGCAAGACGACGAGGGGCACAGCCTCTGATTAGCAGACTCGTGATCTTGGCGCCAGCGGTGTGTGCAGCTGTGATTTTACCCACGTATTTCGTCGACCAGTCAAGGCGGTCCTGAATGGGTGGTGACGGCGGATGTTCATGGTGCGCTCACCACTAACTTTCCAAATCGGGCCGCGATCGATGCCGAGACGATCTGCGTCGAGGATGGGCGACTTGGCACAGGGCCAAGCCTTTGAGGTGTCGCGTCGCGGCGGACGTTTGAGAGAGAAGGGAAACAAGAGACTCCGGATGTTTCGCGAAGAAAAAAGGAAAGCTGTTCGGTGGAGCGGGCAGATGCCCACAATAGGTACCGGGGGCCTTGGATTTCCGTTCGCTGTTTCCAGGTCCGCACCCCGGCCACTTGGAGGTAAGGGAGCCCGTGCTAATGGAAGCTTTGGGCTTTCTTGATGCAACCTGGAACAATGTCAGTGGGCACTCGGCGAACTGGCATGGATTCTGAGTTTCTGAGCAACCACAAGAGCGCCGGGCAACCGACTCGTAAGGTTCTCAGCCCAGAAGAGAAGGCGCAGAAAGGCGCAGACGACAACGGCAAGACTGATTTATGGAAACACGCCGACGCACAAGCGCCAAGTTCGCACGAGCGCCTTTCAAATTTACGCCGCAATCTGATCTACATTGCTGCCACTTTCTCAATCGGTCGGTAAATGGTCGCCAAGAGTCCAAGGGGCACACTCACCGGAGCCAAGCATCGTCTGCATCTTCCAGGTTGTGGACTGACTTATCGTCCAACCGCGTCTTACACATGTCTGAGAGTCACCGAAATAATAAATATCCTAGGTTGCCTCTTTTAACGTCGACCGATAAACTACAGCTTCTAAATGTAGTCTTTGCCATTTCCCGAAATCCTCAACTTCTGGTCTCCTCTTCTCAACTCGCATTCTCGACTACGTTTCCACATTCTCACACACTTGCTCCTTCCTTCCCGGCTCGCTAATTTGCGCCATTTTCATCCTCCCAATCCGACCTGTCATCGTCGCATCCACTTCACGGCTCCATTCTCCATTCGTACCCCGCAAAACCACACCAACCAGCTACTACCTACCTACACTTCTCCTCTTTCTCTTCTCCGCGGGATATCATCGATATGGGTTCCGCGCTTTCAAGGTGCACGTCGAGGAGCTCGGGGGGCGCTTCATCAAGAATCTCGGAGATGGGAGAGAAGATATTCGACAGGCAACCAAACTGGATTATCCCACCGGCAAGATCTTGCAACCAACACCCGGTTCGCTACCGCACTCCTACCCCGTACCCAAAGGACGACAGGAAACGAGTCGCAGAGCCCGCCTCGGCCGCCATCGTTGTCGTCCCGGAGAAGGCATTCGTGGTAGAGGCACCGGTAGTGAGCCATGTCGAAGCGACCGGCATTCGCAAACACCGCATCATGAAGCCATGGAAGCCGCACGCCCACAACCCGCAAACGCCTGTCACAATAACGTGGGAAATGTCCCCACGTTTGAACCGGTTTGAACGCGTAGCCTGAAGCGAGGAACCTAGGTTGAGGACTGGCTGCCTACCGAGGCGACCGGTTGTGGGCGCGCATTCAACAGGACGGTGTGAGCAGCACACCACGATGGCACAAACATACCATCCAGGGGGAGACTCGACACACTTCAACAACACATCAACCGCCATGAAAATAGAATCAAACCCCACAAACTCCACAACCGGGGTATACAGCATGCACGCACAACGGTAACACCGCACGCACGCGAACAAGCAACCCAACCAACGGCCAAGGCGGAGGAGCACACACACAACCCCATCGATAACAGCAAGTCGAACCGAATACAACTCCCCGCCCAACGGCAAACAAGCAAAGCAGATCGACAATCCCAAAGCATCCCGCTCCCCGCGCGGCAATCCCCATCATCCACGACGCAGCGCTTGGCAGCCGAACCAGATCGAACCGATCAAACTTGCGCCCAGCCAAGACGTCATATCCGAGATTTAGGCAGATTAGGGTTGCACGCAACACAACGGGCGGACAGCAGCAGCAGGACAACACACACACACATACAAGCGCGCGCCGGCCGTACGGAGTACCACACGGCAAACCCCCCTTGGCTCGGCTCCCGCCCGAACCATGCCTGGCATGTCATGTCATGTCGTGTGAGCCGGAGTCTCGCACCCGCGCTTACAGTACCCCTTCCCCCCCCCCCTTTCCCCCCCTTGCCCACCAACCATACCCTACCTTACCTGTCCCGTCCCCATATCCATCATTGATCCATTACCCATCCCCATGCAGTCATCTCCATCCCCATCCCTACCTCCCCATCTATCCCACACCCTACTCTCTACCCCATACATGCCCCCCCCCCCCCCGAGCAGCGCATCCTCTGCCGCCGGCGCTTGGCGCTTGGCAGACGCAGCACCCCACATTTGCATAACGTGCCGTGTCCGGGTCTGACTGGCGGCGCAACAAGCTTGTTTTGCCCGGCGGCGGCTTGGCTGCATGTTGGGGTTGGGGGCGGGTGAGCGGGTGAGAGGGAGATAGGGGGTTGGGGTTCCGAGGGCTGGATTTGGCATTCGGCGCGTGGTGGGGGGGGGGGGTGCATGGGTGCGTGGTCTGCTGTGCTGGGGGGGCATGCAGAGGTATATATGTATGGTGGATGGGGTAGGATGGGGATGTTGGGTTGCTGTTGTTAGGGGCGTGTGTGGCGGCGGTGGTGGTGGTAGTGGAAGACTACCTACCTACCTTGCCTACCTACCACCTGTCTTGTGGGTTTGTATGTATGTGGCCTTCAGGGCTGGGATTGGGACGTGTGTGGTTGCTTGGTTGGCATTCGGGTCAGCACCGCCCGTTGTTCAACCACGGGCGCGAGCCCCCCCCCTTCGTTATTATTCTTTTATGTCGCTTCTCTTTGTCGGTAACATGGATGCCAGAGGACGTTTCGTGGCCAGGGGTTGGTGGCATGTTCGCAAATTGGACAATACTAGTTAGTAGCTTGAATGACTCGGATGACAGGTGACTGAATTCAAATACTTGCTCAAATTCTCAAATTGGATGTTCTCGTTCAACAAGTTGGTTGACCAACGTTAAGTGTGCTTTGGCAAGCTATATCTAGCGTCAAGTTCAAGGTCACACACTCTACACCCTCCCCTGATGGTGTAATGGGCAGGGAAACGACTAGATTTCGAGAGTGATTAACGCCGAAAAGTACTGAACTAAAAGTTGATGCCATCTATGCGCTGTCAGACGTGAGCTCATACCAAAGCTGCCAGGTGCTCGCTCTCGGCTCAGGTTTGGCATTCGTCACTGGAACGGCGCTCGCATCTTTACCCCGTACATATTCCTCGCCGATCTCTTTCATGTGTTGGCGCATCCTATCCAAGAACCCGGGTTCTTGTGCAGCGCGCAGGAGGGTGTCCTCGTTCCATCTCTGGGGGTCTACGGCCTCCATATAGAACCCCGCCAGACCGTCCTCCATCACCAAGGCTCTCAGAGGGTGCATGATGAACTTGTTCCCATTCAAGATATCCGTTGCCTGAGTCTTTGTCGTGCCGCGGCGGTGGGCCGGTGGCCTCATGTAGTAGTCTGCCATTATGAGGCGTATGGTCAGCGCAGGTGCGTTGACCCGACTCTGAATCCATCTAACTGTGGCTAACCAGTCCCAGGGTGCCGTATGTTCCTTCCGTGGCCAGCCGTGCGGCACATAGGGGGGGAACACCAGCTCGAGGAAACGGAGATGGGCGAGGCAGCCGGCGGGGACGATGTCTCGGAGGAACTCTGAAGCGGCGTATCGCTCAAATGGGTAGTATTTCTCGGGACTGGACATGTCCGGGGTCCCGAGTTTGCGTTGCACGGAGGGGATCGTCCAGGGCTGTGACGCGTGGAAATCGTGAACGATGAAACGGTTGTGCGAGAAAAAGACGAATTCGGCTTCCTGGCGCAGGGCGCGGCCGACGAGAAATAGGTTTGTTGGCGGACACCAACAATTGCAGATGAGGGAGAAGGCGGCGTGTCGACGGCGGCAGAAACAGCCGGGGGATGGCGCAGCGTCCTCGACATGGTCATCGCCGGGATCGCATCGGCTGAGTCGGCAGCCATGGTGGACATCGGGACTGTTTCCGTTGTGGCAAGGTGGGCGACATACTTGATAACCCCGGTCCTGTCTACTCCATGTAACCTCCTTCCAGGGGGTTATAAGGTCGGTGTACTCAAGTATGCGAAGGCGTACCTCTGTCGGGAGCTTCATGAGGGCTGACCGTATCTCATTTGGCTCCAGCCGGAGGGGAGATGATCTACTATGGTCTTGGAGAACGGCTTCTTGGGCCAGCTGCTCGAGCGGGTAGTTGGGTAATTTGCCAAGCCTGACGTGGCAGCCTTTTAGCTTCGGGAAGAGGGCGATCGGGGCGATGGCAAGCCGGGCAATCTTGAGTGCAGCTTGATGTCCAGGGTCGATATCGCAAACGAACAACAGTGTAAGACGTCCGACGCCGATATGTGGCGACAAGTAAGCCGCGATATCATGCCATTCGGCCATGATCGATGTAGCTTGGGCTACTCGCTCGGCTGATACCAGGTCTAAGCCCGGGGTAGAATCGAGTAAGGGGCGACGGTGTCGGTTTCCATGTCGCCTGGCGCAGTAACCCCTCCATGATCCTCCGTCTCCGCCGTCAGAACAGCAATAAGGGGCCCTTTGCCACATATCGGTTGGATCGTGACAAGACGACTCGTTGAGGACGATTTTGAGGCTGGTTAAGGATGCGAGAGAGGTCGGCGACAGAGCCCGAAGGGGCCCGAGGGAACCTTGGCTGGAGTAGAAGATGACGAATCGGTGGGCTGAATATAATAAAGCAGTTGTTTCGGCGTATAGAGTACGACAAGACCGTAATAAGCCCATGAAATTACTCGCAGGAGGGGGGTCGGGATGGTTGCCCCCGATTGGGATCCCGCCATCGGGTGGTGCTTTGCGGCCATCCAAGTAATGGGTAAATGGGTGACCGTCAAACCTTGCCACACCCAGGTAGTGGTATATGCAGCGACGGAGATTGGGAGAAAGGCTAAGAAGCCCTGATGCTTGGGCTAGTTGACGTTCGGGGTCCCGCGTCATTGTTGCCAATTTGTACCCTCGGTATCGTACGTTGGTGGACCTGAGTGGCTGACTTTCTCAAAAGATAGACTGTTGCATGGGTGAATAAGCAAAGGAAGAAGAAGATGCGAAACCGCCGATGAACCATGTGTGGGTTTCCACCTGCAGGCGCCAAGTGTGGGTGTGGGTGGCTGAGACTGCCGTGGGCGGTCTGGGTGTGGACTAAGCCCCATAGGTACTGCAGTGACAACAGGGGGCTGATAGTTGCTTGTTGCTTGTTGGCTGTTGGCGGTTGGTCGCTGTCGGAAGAACACCACGCAACGGGAGACAAATGTGGTCTGGTGAGTGAAGTGGCTGGCTCAGGGGCTGGTGGTAATCACCCACTGAGTGGGCGGTAATTAGGTACCCTCTACGGTAATCGCTAGGTCTGTTAGAAGCCCAGAGAAAGAATAACGGCAAAGATGCGATGCTAAACAAGCTAGGGTACCTCGGTACTTTAAAGACAAAACTTCTCGGCGTGCTGTCGATGGACGTGATCCAAGGTGGGGGGATGCTCTTACGGCCATCGAGGGTACCGTCGCTACCTAGGTATCTTTCAGACCCGGCAAACCGCACGGGCGTTGAGTCATAGCTCTCACTTGCGACCCAGTACTACCTAGATTCCAAGACTGTGCTGCTGAAATAGAACCTTTCGACGAAGCCCAATAGCGGAGGCAGTCTCTTCCCCCGGAATGGGGTCACGACATGGGCGAGTTTCCTTGCATCTCGATTTGTCTCGTTCTCGGCGTGGCCTTTGATACCTTACCAACCCTTCTGCCCATGCGAAAAGGGTTAGGGAGACGTTTTGGGTGGCGATGACGGCACCCGAAGGTTAGTATTTGTGAGCCAACGACCTTGAAAGGGTCGCTAATAACTTGAATTTAACGGGCAGCCGTATGGTGCCCGGAGCTGCTAGAAGAGTCGGAAGTGGAATAGTTCGGGCCCATAGAACTCGAACCCAAAGGCTCCTAGATACCTAGGTAATTATGCCAGCCCTGTTGACTTCGGTGTCAACAACGGAAGGGCAGGAAGAGACATCTTCAGGGTGCCTTCTTTCGTCGGGTCCGCTAGGCCCACAAAAGGGGCTCTTCTACGACGGCCTTTTCTGGGAGTTGTTCGGCCAACAGACCTCAACCAGTTGACTGTCAGCCCTAAGAAGTAGCAATGCGGCTCCGGGTGTTCGGCTCCATGGGATGGAATGTTTCGGTCAGCAGGCACGAGGAGTGAGCTGGCAACCGCGCCGTTAAAATGCATACGACGCCAAGTGCCCAGCTGCCTTCGCACCAGCCTTTCGTGCTGCACGACCTCGAGACAACTACTGGTGTCCTTTAACCGGTTCGTGAAGGAGCCCGATTTGGCCCCCACAACCCCTCGCTACCTGCCACCGGCCATGGACACAGTAACACCGCCATTAATAAATGTGGGTTATTAGAGACAAGATAAGCACTAGTTTGTTTTGGTGTTTGTCTCCTTCCTATCTGGAAAACGAGGGGCTTGTGCGTATGCAAGGTACGGGCTATTGCAAAGCAGAGTCACGACGGAGTGTTGATGAATATGCAGTAGCTTAGGTAGTGGAACTTGGAATTTCTAACCGCTACACAATTCCCTGACAATAACCTTGCTACACCGGGCGTCGCGGTCACTCCAGACTTGACATCAAGACTCCCCCCCAAAAGCCTCATTCATCTGTAGTGGATCTGGTAAGACCTTGCGTTGTTGATATTGACGCAACCGCCGGTGGCAGACAGCGTAATGCCGCCTCCGCATCCCTCTGGCTGACGGAAGATGACCTCTGTCGCGGGGTTAGTCTAACTGGATCGATATTCAGACGGGAGCACGGCAGACTCACTGCTCTGGGCATCCTGCGGGTCCTGCGCGGTGATGACCACGGATTGGGCGTTGCCAGGAATGCCGCGGCACACGTAGTTGGGAGGGTCGACCACGGGATACTGCACTCCCAACGGGGCGGACCTGCAGTTCTTCCCGTTGTAGAAGCTTAGCCTGTATCCCTCAGAGACCGAGATCAAGCTGGCGGCAGCCAGGGCTAAGCAGGAGATTTTCATCGTGGGAATGAGAGGTGTAGTTTCTGCTGGGAGTTGTAAAGCTGTGGGATGTTGTGCGGAGGGTGAGGGCAAGGTGTGTTGACTTCGGGATGGCAGGCGACGCTGGTGTTTATATAGACTTTCGGGGAAGACATTTACTGTGGTACACGGCTGGCTTGACCGATATCGGGCCGGCCATGAGGATGATGTTGCCTTCAAAGGGTTGCAATATTGGTTACCATCGCCGGTTGGTAACATGGAGTTACTATAGACGTACAGATATTGAGGCACAGGAACCATAAATGTGGTTTGCGCGGCCCTTGTCTCCATAGCCACGATTCCGTATTCCGTCCATGCATATTCGTCACTTCTCGTTATGCAGCATGCAGTCATGCTAAGCATCCGGCTCCTCAAATTCTCGTGCGTGGCTGGGAACGCCGTGGGCCACTTCCTCCTCCCCCCCCCCCCCCCCGCCCTTCTTCCACAAAGTGAAGGCCTGGTCGAGGACATCTCGGGTAGGGCATTCTCAGTGGCTTCAAGTTGGGACACTTCCTGCAGTTTAAGGAGACCCGTGCATATGTGTTTGCGGCACACCACAACCCTCGAAGCGGTCTTGGAGGTACCTTGCGGTTTCGTTCGAGCCATCCGCCCTTGAACAAGTCCAAGATCCCGGCACCATTCGCAAGGATGTGCCATCGCGGCCAGACTCCTTTCAATACGGCCCAAGCTCGCCAGGCCAGCGGGTAATAAGTAGCATTCGTGTTGATCAAGAGAGGGCGTCTAATAGAGGGTAATTACGTACTGAGACAATCTCGCCGGTGTTGGTCACTTGCTGATGACCTTGTGACGAAACGTCTCCCGCAGGCTGTGGTACGCACCCAGTCGTATGTACCCGATTTCGATGATTAAACCTGGACATCCGTGTTTTTCGGGCAATAAATTCTAAGTGGTTCCAGGCCTCTATCAGCACTGAAGTCCGACTAGCCGATGCCCGCCGTGCTTCCCGAGTTTGGAGCCCACGAAGTTAATTGTTGCATTCAAGGAACCTCGAGAGCAAGCGCTAACCATTTCCATTAGATGTGCCAACAGGTGCCCGAGATCTACGCGGTTAGAGGAGACTCCCGTAGTAGTGGTTCCGGGTTGAAGTGCGAGCCGGTGACCTCGTTATTATCCCGTGGGATGGGCATCCGAGGGAGAGGGCAAGGGACCTCAAAAGCAAATACCGAACCCCTGGGGACCGGGGCTCGTATCCGCCATCCGCCTACTAGGACCTCAACCGGCAATACCTACCTCTTCGCCCTCCCGATATCCTTGAGTTTGGATTTAAGACTACGCATTTTTGGATTGCTGCATTGTCTCAACCGTGGAGGTCCTCTGCTTTCGACGATTGTTCCTAGAATAGGTACCTAACGAATGGGGGACAGCATTGACGATTGGCGTCTGAGCAGTAGAACATCGCGCTTGAGCTTGGAGAAAGAGCTAGGAACTCCACGCAACATGACAGAGCCGCTATCGTGTCATGTTGACGCTAGCTAACTCCTTAATGTCCCCGCTGCTTGGACGCGAGTTTTCGTTAGAGACAAAACAACATAGCACACAAGAACGAGCACTCATCAAATGGGAAATAGGGTCGAAAACAGTCGCCCTTCAGATATCCCAAAACTAATAGATGGTTCCTTCCATCAAAAAGATGATCGGAGGGGAGAGTGTTGGCAGCTGGCACGGTGAAGCCTTGGTTGGTGCTGTGCGACTGCCACCTTGTCCGTATCCCGCCCAATAATATCGTTGACGGGCCGAGAAGGATTTCTTGGTTGCCAATACCTCGTCCCATGCCGCGCGTCTTCGGACATGATTCCGGCAGGCCATGGTCCTCCTACATAAAACATAAGTCTGGAAGAAAAAGCAAGGAAGAATAGGTACCCTCTGAGACTCCTCCCGTTTGGCAACTTACATGTTTGCCGGCGTGGAGAAATACGATGGGAGGTTTGCGACTTCAAGTTGCGAGAGGGAGCGAGGCATCCCATGAGTCCCATGAGAGGGGCAGCAACAACTCGGGATTCTCGTGCCAGGCGAATCAGAGCCTGACGGCAGCTAGGCTGAGCCGGCTCAACTTGCCGAGTGCCCCCCGCCCTTCCGCACCTAAGCGAGGTGAATTGGGGTCCGGTCAGCCGGGCTCTCTGCAGTTGGTTCATGCTTACACACGAGCTGAATCGACCTTCCTTTCTCCTCTGCATTGGCGAACGGCTTGCGTAAAACAGCTAGCCGATGCACTGATCCTGCCTTGGCATGAGGCCACCACAAATTGGCTGTTGGTTGGTGGAATGCTGTCGCCAGGGACTCGAAATATCACAATGTGTGCGGCCCCCTCTCTCCCCGTCACCTTCCCGCCCCAAAGCCATCACTTCTCGCGAACCATAGATGGGTTACTAGGAGATCGGAGCGCACACGATTCATTATCAGAAACGCCAACCGGAGAGAATGGATTCCACTTACGTCCCTCAGGGGACAACCACGCGTCTCACACCCGCCGACTTGGATGCCTCGGACGAATCTTCCCGGAAGAACATAGAGCAAAAGGCCTTCTGCGAATGGCCCAATGAAGCCGGGGTAAGTAATCGTGGATTCCCAGTATGAACATATAATACTGAATTGTTATCTGATTAGTTTGACGGTCTGTCCGAACATCGTGGCCCCATCGAGCTTAAACTCAAGGGCACGATCCCGACCTGGGCGGCCGGGTCGCTCTACCGGACTGGCCCTGGCCAATCCAAGGTCGAAGACACCAAGTCGGGGACCTTCCACATTTCGCACTGGTTCGACGGGCTCGCTCATACTCACAAGTTCGATATCGTGGCCGAAACAGTCGCCAATGAGCCAGTAGTCCGAGTGAAATACTCCTCTCGCCGTCAATCCGATCAGCTCGCTGCAGAAATCAAAGCCACTGGCACCTTGCGGGGTATAACCTTTGCTCAGAAGTTGGATCCTTGCGTCGGCATCTTTGGGAAGTTTATGAGTGTCTTCCGCAAACCGTACACTCCCCTCAATGTCAGTGTGACGGTACAACGTAATATACCCTCATCGAACTTGAAGACACCCACAAAGGCCACCGCCGACACGCAGGGCCACCGCGCCCCGGCCCTTGTTCTAGGTACAGACAACAGCATGATCTGTCAAATTGATAGCGAGACCATGGAACCCATTGGGTTTCCAAACCAAACGACCTTCCACCCGGATCTCAAAGGTGGTCTTAGTGGCGCCCACGCACAATTTGACCCGGAAACAGGCGACTATTTCAACTACAACCTGGTCCTCGGCAAGGACGCCGTATACCGCATTTTCCGCGTTACCGCTGCCACCGGAAAGACCGACATTCTTGCCGTCATCCGGGCCAAGGGCGCCTGGATCCATAGCTTTTTCATGACGCAAAACTACGTAGTCCTCTGTGTGCCCGTGTCACACTATGCGCTGAACGGCGTGAAGCTTTTGATGGAAGGTAACCTGCGGAACGGTTTCAACCCCTTCGACCCATCCGAGACTTGCCGGTGGTATGTGGTCGACCGTCGCAATGGCAAGGGGTTGGTAGCCGAGTTCGCATCGCCGGCTCGCTTCTTCTTCCATACCGTCAACGCGTTTGAGGACGACAAGACTGGCGATCTCTTGTGTGAAGTAGTGGACTATCCAAACCGCTATGTTATTGACGGCTTCTACTACGACGTCGTCTTCAACCGGGATGGCGCGGCCGACAAGTTCTGGGACGGCCAGCTCCAACACCTTTCATTCCCACGTCTCTCGAGGTATCGCCTACGGAAAGAGGACTTCGTCACCGGCCGAGGAGACGCCTCGCCGGCCCCACAGCTCGTCATGGAGATACCGTCCCCACACACTGGCGACTTGCCGACCATCAACCCCAACTATCAGTGCCGGAAACACCGCTACGCCTATTTCGTCATCTCCCGTATCCGCAGCACCTTCTTTGATGCTCTCGCCAAAGTCGACACCGAAACGGCCGAGGTCCTCCAGTGGGAGGGCCCGCACGGTCATACCCCCGGAGAGGCCATCTTCGTCCCGCGCCCGGCAACGGACGGGGAAGAGGAACCGAGTGAGGATGACGGTGTGCTGCTCAGCGTTGTTCTTGATGGCGCAAACAAGATGAGCTACTTGTTGTGCTTGGATGCGAAGACCATGACCGAGCTGGGCAGAGCGGAGTGCGAATTTGCTGTGGCTATTGGACTTCACGGTTGTCACCTTCCTGCTGCCTGAGATTGGTTACGGCGGGGAGCATGACATGGAGTGGGCTGGAATTTCCTATTGCTGGATTTGAAGTTAGTGGGTTCTGCGGGTTCTGTAAAAGAAATATAAACTTCGCAAGCGCATTCGGAAAGGAGGTCTGCTGGCGAATGAATACACATGACTAGGTACCTAATAAGGTATAGGAAGGTACCTTAAACACTTCCTCCTCAAACTATCCCTTTACGCCCTCGTTACCCCCAGAGGCTTCGTCCCGAGGCGCGTCCACCGCCTGCCATCATGTCTTGATTTGGCTGATGTCTGCCATCGTTGCGGGTGACGTTGATAACGAGGGCCATTGATCACGCAGCCCAACATAGATACATGTTTCGCCGGATAGAATAGTTCTTATTGCGACGATAGGGGATTGGGGTAGGTAACCACACTGCTACCGCTTTCATCGTCTTAAGTACTATTTCATTACGTGTTCAACAAGGCTATCAGCCCTACGTGGCCCACGCGAAACCTGAAATGATGTGCTTTGAAGCACCGGGAACCGCAACACCCCCCTTTTTGCCGTTTGACTTGCTACCCTCGTTACAACTGGAGACGTACAGTACATGTACTTATTCAACCTATTTAGGTAGGTAACTTAGACCTCTACCTACCTAACCTGTTAGTTCCCTGGCACACTACACAACCTACGAGCACCAAGGATTCGACAACGAGGACCAGTAATCACACCAAGATGCCACCCACCATTGTCTTCATCCGCCACGCCCAAGCGGTCCACAACCTGGGCAGTGAGTTAAAACCCCCCCTTGCCTCGGACATACAACAATACGTGAGCTAACACACCCGGAAGAGGCCAACCATGTCCTCCACGACCCGAACCTCACTGACCTAGGCCGCCAACAATGCCTGGAACTCCGGGAGCACCTCCAAACCCACCTCCCCGCAGACCGCAAGATACAGCTGATCATCACAAGCCCCATGCGGCGGGCGATCCAAACCACCTTAATCGCGCTAGACTGGCTGATCGACTCCGGCGTACCCGTCATCCCCGATGCCCGCTGGCAAGGTAAACAACCCCCTAATCAAAATCATAATCATCACTAACCCAGCACCGTCCACACTCAGAAAACTATCCCAAACCCTGCGACACCGGCACCCCCGCCCCCACCCTCGCAACCGAGTTCCCCCAGCTCGATTTCTCGACCCTCGACCCCGTCTACCCGGACAAGACCTCCCCCGCGGGCGCGGCCTACCACTTCTCCAAGACGGCTGTGCTGGCGCGCGGGCAGGCGGCGCTGGCCGACCTGTATGCGCGGCCGGAGGATGTGGTGGTGGTGATGTCGCATTCGGGCTTTTTGAGGACGGCGGTTGTGGGGCGGTGGTTTGGGAATGCGGATTATAGGGTTTTTGATTTTGTGGAGGGTGATGGGGATGGGGATAGGGAGGGGTTGGGGTTGGTGGAGTGGGAGCTGACGAGGGGGAAGGGGGGAATGGGGGGGAGTAAGGGGGAGGTGGTGGCGCTTGGGGAGGGGTTGCCGGAGGAGTGATGCGCGTTGTATGGGAGTTGGGGAGGACGCGTTTGTACCTAGTGGGCTCGTTAATTACGTAGTTCGAGTCTTGTGAGAGGTGGGGCCTTCCCTGGCCCACCTCACGTGCAGGGCAACCGCCCACATCCTCCCGCAGTGGCAGGGCTAGCTAGCTTTTCCTCCCACACACAACATTCCAAGCACGTTTTCCCACCGACTCTACTATCGCGAGTCCCACAAGTCTTGGTTTCTAAGATGGTGTCTGCATTGTGACTGCACTCTCTAATGCCATGTGAGTGGTGCTGACCAGGTGTCATTTGTTTGATCGTTCCTGGGTGGTTGGTGTTCTCTGGATTTCCTTGACAGTCACTCGGGCTTCGTTTCTTAGACAGTTACCCGTAACTGCCTTGTTGCTGTCAAAGGTCAGACTGGTAGGCTTAACGTCGATGGTAGATAAGCCAGCGGCTATTAACTGTACACGCTGCTTGATGATGATATTCTGATCTTCTTAAACGTGCTTGTTGTTCTGCTACCCCTTGGTCCGCATGCAACCCCTTCTACCCACTCTAGCCTCAAACCCGTTAACAAAAGCAAAACCGCTGCATCCTGATACCATACTCCTCGTCATTATCCTCGAACGCCGGGCAGTGCTCAAACAGCTCTCCAAACATGAGTCCATCGACATATGCCTCCCCCACCAACAGAAAGTCGCCACTTTCGTCTTTGCGGCGAATGACGAGCGGCACATCAGCCCCGGCAAGAACAACAACAACATCGCCAGTCTTCATGCACGATGGCCCGAACCCAAGCCACCCACCAGCAGTGACAAAAGGACACCCGGCGACAACACTATCCATGGAGTGATACACGAGAGACCAACCATCCGGAGTAAGCCTGTCCACGTGCCCACCCGGCCCACCCCACAGTACGTTGTGGATGTTGCCCACCAGCTGCCCCGGTGTGTTTTTGTGAAGGGCGTGCAGGATCCAGTCGCGGGCATCTTCAGGGGGTGGGGCCTGGAAGGGGAAAAGTTTCTGGTTATTCTTCCAGAGGAGAAAGTCGGCAACAAAAGCTCGCCAGAAGGCCTCTTCGAACGGCTTGTTGACAGAGTAGTGCCAGGGCACCGCCGACTGAGGGTGGACGTCCGATCCGGACGTGTTACAGGGCTGTATCGAGGTTGTTGTCCAGGAACTGGTCGTCGAAGTGACGTGGTGCCGATACAAATAGACAAAGTCACCCGGAAGACACTTGGCTTGCTTTGGTGGCACCGGTGCCATGTTGGGGCTGTAAACGGGGTTGAAACAGGAAGCGAACACAACCGTAGGCACCGCCTCCGAACCACTGCCCCACCACCCTGGAGCGGGCCGGGCTTCGATCACACCTTCTGGACAAAGTGAGCAACGGCCACATGTCTTGGCCGCGCTGAGGAAGACCTTGGCCGGGGCGATGGCAGAACGACGCTTCAACTGGTCGACCGGGTCGGGGAGGGGCCCGACCAAGGTCACCGCATCGATGGGGATCCCGTACAACACCAACCGGCTGCCCTGTAGAACCTCGACATGTTCCGGAACTCGGAGGTCTCGTGAAGATCTGTATGCTGTCCCCCGGTGAAGACGGGGGTGGGGAAGCTTCCACGTCGGGACACCCTGAATGGGTTGAGCCGTAAAACGTGGCACCCAGGATGGGCAACCCGAGAGCGACGGATCGTGGTGGGCGTTTTCCAACCCCGCCACAGAGAGAATTCCGAGACAACCCGTGTTGTTAATGGCATACTCGACTGCGTCACCAAGGACAGTCGCCGCACTGCGGTTGTAGTTAAAGACCATATTGTTCCCTGCGCTTTGCGGAAACATACGGAGCAAGCTGTACACTTTGTTCCTCGGGTCCGTGGCTTGTACCACGGTTGCCGCCATCCGCAGCGCTTCTTCGAAGAGCGTCAAGGTCCCTGGTCGTGCCCCACGAATGAACCGGCGTATGCAGTCGATGTAGTCCAGATGCATCATAAGTCGACGGTCGGCTACTCTCCGAATCCGGATCGTTTTCCTCTCCAGTGTTAAATGTGGGCTTGATCTCTTCCAAAGAGCCCGTCGAAGGCGGCGGAACCCATGGCAGAAACAGTCCCAGCAAAGAGTGAATGGCTCAGGCTTGACTCGGCGGTAGAAAACTAACGGGACATTCCGGGAGAGTGCGACTTGTTGGATAATCCATGGTCCCCGGAATGCCGGCGCGTTTTTCCAAATGAAGTCCTCGATAACGGTGGATTGTTCCTTCACGGAGGGCTGGATGTCTTCGAGGTCCAAAGGGCAAGCTGCGCCGGCGTGCCCCCATATTGCTTTGACTGGGAGGACCTCTACCGTATTGAGAAGGCCGAGAGAAACCAAGACATTCGAGGACCTCGAGTGTATGTCCGGCAAGATGGCAAGCTGGGCGGTTCTCTCGGCCGGGTCGTCTTGGTTGACGCAGATCGAGTCGACCCATAACACAGATGTGAAACGGCTGTTTGTGGACTGGGTCCGAAACTGGTAGCGGAGACTTTCTAATGCGAGGTATAGTGTATTCGGTATCCACACGGGCAGCTGGTTGAGTTCCATGTGGTTTAATCCCCAGCTCGCGTCCCAGGTGTAAGACAACCCATCAAAGGGTTTCTGGCTATCGAGGGATTGAACAATGAGCCTCCCTCGAAGCCGGATCCCGTCGGGATCCTTGTATAATTTGAGGAGACGGAACTGTTTCTTCGCATGGTCCAGAGGCACAGAGGCGTACAGACGCTCCCGATTGCGGGTTGCCTGGGGGTATATTTCCAACCCCTGCATCGCGAGCCCCGGCGTTGCGAGCACCGGTCCATCCATGGGCTAAGTGGGTGGCAGGAGCCGAGTTGGGGTTTAGAGGTTGAAACGTTCCGTCGGTTGGGGCGCGTGTAATTGCTATAAGGTTGTATACTATCTCGCACGTTGGGATGCCGTACAGTGTTGAGGTGGGTAACTGGACGACGCAGGCGGTACATCAGCATTAGGATTGAGGTAAAGGGACCATATAATACCTATGTAACTCACTCGGTTGCGTTCGCTATTCGGAGCGGCGACAGCTATAATCTAAGTGCTGAGCGCACAGCAGCACGGCTTTGTAGACGCGGGTCTGGCCAAAATCAAGCCGCGCTGGGTTGCAAGAGGGGACAGTTTCCATCATAGGGTTGGTCGCGGTAACTCCTCTCGGGTACCAAGTTCGGAGGATGTTGCTTCCTCCTGAGTCGGAATTCATGCGTGGCTGCTTTATCCGCCCGTGGTTGCCATTTTCGCAGGCATGATCACGCTTGGTCTTTATTTCGTAGGAGGCAAACTCTCTCATTGATAGACTGGGAAGGCGGGACGATACCGATGAGGCCCGGCCGTGAACGAAAGCAGCGCTTTCACCAGGGCTACAGAATGCATGTTCAAGCTTGGGTGGCGCGAAGAGCAAAGGAAGCCTGAGTGGCGGGCAAGGCACGATGGATTTCGGATCAAGAACCTTGCAATAGCCGACAACATCGTAACGCAAAGAAATACACTTGTGTCTAATTACTCCCCTGAGCCTATCCCCGATGATACAAGGCCGTAAAGCAAAACCCACCATCTTCATACGCCGAGTAATAGTCCTCATCCTGCTTGATGACACAAGATCCAAACCCCAAACTTCCTAGCAACCCACTCCCTTGAGTCTTCAGCACCACACCTTCCCCCCACCTCGGCGCCACCACGCGAACAACACCCTCCCCACCTCCCTCCCTAGGCATCCCTCCCTACCCTAGGTACCTAAGGTCATTCCTTCACGGACGACCACCCCTCCTCCGCCCCTCCCCCGCCAACACCCCCTTCCCCCTATCCTTCCCCACCACCCCCAACCCCCCAAACCGCCCCTCCCCCCCGGCCGCCTCAGCAGCAACCACCCCCCCGCCCTCCACAAACCCGGCAACGCCCCCCTCCTCCACCCCATACCCCACCCTCACCCCCGCCAGCTCGTTCGGCAGATACGTCTTGGCCGCATCGGTCCCCACAACCTCGCGCAGCCAGGCGGTCTGCGAGCTCTTGAGCAGCTCGCCGAGGTCGGCGCCGCGCATGACCGGGATGCTGAGCGTGGCGTGCAGGTGGCTGGTGTAGAGGGCGATGAGGAGGGTTAGGGTGAGGGTGAGGAGGGGCGGGATGAGGAGGAGGAGGGTGCGGGGGTGGGAGAGGCGGTGGGTGAGGGTTGTGGTGGTGAGGAGGAAGGGGGGTGGGGGTGGTTGTTGTTGTTGTTGTTGGCCCGGGGGGGTAGGGGATGAAGGGGAGGTGGTGGTGGTGGTGGCTTGGGCGAGGGCGCCGATGGCGAGGCGGATGAAGGTGGTGAGGCCGTGGGTGGTCCAGGTGTTGGGGGCTGTGGAGGAGGTGGTGGTGTAGGCTAGGGGGAGGCCGGTGGTGGTGGAGTTGGTGAACATGGGTTGGGTGCCGTCGACGCTGGTGCTGGTCATGAGCGGGGCGATGGTGAACCAGAGGAGGAGTTCGTTGAGACGGGTTTTGTTGGATGCGGCCGGACTGAAGGTGAGAGTGTCGGTCGAGGAGAGAGTGTGCAGGGTGCTTGTGTCGGCTGGTATGGGCATGTTTCCCACCGAAAGTGTATCGTCGACGGCCTCGATCTCCACGTCACAGGCCACCGAGGACACGCTAGTCAGGTTGCCAAGGATAAGGGGCGTCGTGCTGCCCCCTTCGATGGTGCCGTTGATCGCGGCAAAGATCAGGGTGGTTCGGGTGCGCCGGTCCGAGACAAACTCAAAGTCGTCTGCCCATACAGTCAATTGGGCCTGGGGACTGATCCAGACCTCGGCACTGCTGTCCTTCTCGCCGGCTTGGGTCGAGTTGTTGTTGGTGCGCGTCATATTTGTCAGGAAGGCGTTCCACCAGACGTTGTCCCTGTTCAGCTGTGCAACCTCGTGTGGACGGCACGAGATGGAGGATTGGAGCCGGACGGCATTGGCGGTGAAGCTCCCTCTCTCGTCCAGAGCCTCCCTATCGATATACCAGTCTCGGTATTCCGGCATAGGTTCAGTGGATGGGTCTGTCGCCCATGTGTTGTACTCGGTGAGGACTCGGACCATAACCGAGGTTGGGGGGTTGGTTTGAGCATAGAGCTCGCTGATGCCACCGCCGGGGGTGTAGTTGCCTGCGAGTTGGACTTGTTGCCAGCTGGGAGAATATGCGTGTCCAACAAGCGGAGGCGCGGAAAATGGGAGTAGCGTCACAACAAGGGCGCAGGCGAGGACAAATCCGGCTGCCAGCGACCTCACCGACATGATGGCTGCAGGGGATAACATGATCGATCCGCGAGTCGTCGATAAGTAGGCATTCAGCCCCTTGATGGTGAACGACTGTTTGTGAAGCAGCGGCCACACCGTTGCCTCGCACAACCCAAGAGCAGCATATGCCAATGCTACCATGCCAATTAGATAGACCATGGTGATGATGCCCTGAACTGTCCCTAGGTTCTCAATCGTCCATCTGTCGGCCATTCGGCAGTAGTTTGACCACTCCGGGCACTCGAACATCTGCTTGGTGACCTCGTTGGTGTAGACGATGGCAACGACGACGAAAATGATACCGGCCACTAGAGCGGCCGGAATCGAGATGTGAGTTGCAATGAACGGCCACCATCCAAGCCGTTTCGGCTTCGGGTGGGCGCCAAAGACAAAATCATGGTCTGAAGCGAGACGCCGGATATCTCGAGGGGTCGGAGAGCTCGCCATGTCTTCCAGTTCGAGGTGGAGGTACGGCAACGAGTGCTGTGATTCGAACTCTTCTTGGAAGACAGACCTGTGTGAGCGGGTCCTGGAGAGGGGAGGGAGGTGCGTCGACGACATGAGCCTGTTAGATTTGGAGCTCAGAGATGGGGAGAAGGAATTAGAGAACCATACCGCCCCCACCGCACACTCGTGGAGGACAGATGAAGGAAAAACACCAAGGTTCAGGTGCACTAAGTTCGGGACCCCAAGCAACTGCTGGCGGTTGTGCCCTATCGCTTGGGAATTTACGTGGCAGAAACGGAACCCAATGGCAATGGGTAATGTGCAGTAGCCAGGACGATGTGTTGCCTATGCACGTAACCCAATTCTCATCGCTAGGACCTATGGCCAAGTTGGGCAGCGCGCAATCAGGGCTCGCGCGCCAGATGCGTGTCCAGTTTGCAGCCAGTGAAGTTGGTCTCTTGCCCTGCGAATGCCCAATCGGCGTCCGGCCAAGTGGGCGTCTGTCACACGGCCGGTGATAGGCCGATGAGCTTCAAGCGCACAAACCATTATCTCGAGTTCGAATCATTTTAAGTCATTATGGCTGAAATCGGCACGGAATGATAGGGGCGGGAGGTTGAAGGCCAGTCCGCAGGACCAACGCGTTCGAGTTCATTATATCCAAAACATCTCATATCAACAGCCAGTTGTATCCCTTCTATCATGAGAACCGCAAGCGCCAGACGCCTTGCCTGACCAAAACCAAGCAACCGACACCAAATGAATGCAGCCGCGCCATGCAATGCAACTTCCAGCACCCCAACTCCATTTTCAGAACAAAACCACCCCGATGCCTCAACAACCTTTTAAACAGCCGAGCGCTGGTGCATCTCATAACCCTGCTGCTGCGGCTCATGCGCTTGCACCGGGGAAGCCGCCAGTGGCCGCGAGTCGTAGGTCGGCGCCGGGGAAAAGGTCTGCTCGCCGTACGGCGCCGGGGTGGAGGGGTAGCTTTGGCCGTTATAGGCGTTCGTCTGGGCGATGGCCTGTTGGTCGTAGTAGGCCACATTGTCGGTGCTATCCTGGCCATACTTTTGCTTCGGTGGGGCCGGGATGTTCGAGACAGCGGGGTAGCCCGTGTCGGCGACAAGGTTGTGCACCTCGGGGTTGTTCGCCTGCACATAGGTGCCGCGGAGCGAGCCTGTGCGGTGCTTGTGGTAGACGAACGAGGCATAGATGAGGAGGCCGAGGAAGGAGAGGCTGGAGTAGGGGTGTTAGTGCGCGCTTTGCAGGTTTGGCGGACAGATGTGGGCTTACAGGATGAGGACGCCGATTACAACGGAAAGGACACCGTTGCGGGGACCGGCCATGGTCAAGGCAAAGTTGACGATGTAGAAGATGCTTTGGGTGATGTTGACGCCGAGGAAGAATGGTGGGGTCAACCTCCGCCTGGCGCGCATGATGATGCAGACGATGTCGAGGATCAGGCAGAGGAGGATGATGACCATGATGACGCAGGAAACGGCCAGAACGGCGTCGTATTGGAGGGTCGTGTGGTACTCATCGTAGAGTCGTTCCACGTCGTCCTTGAAGACGCTGAGCCCGGTAATGACCAATGCGTACAAGCCGATCTGAACGAGCATGATGAGGATTCGAACAACCCAGAAAGGGATCAAAACGCGCTTGAGAAATGGCGACGAATCGCCGACGATGTACGGGCGCGACATGGTTGCGGGATGTCGGGAAGTGCTTGCTTGAAGGTCGGGCGGAGGTGTCGAGATGTCGAGATATCGAGATGTCAGACTCCCCCCTCCCCCTCGACGGTGGGCTGGCGCGCCTTGTTAAATGGCAAGTGGGAATTTCCCACCCCCTGTCGGGCTCTGGCACTCTTCACGATCCCTCGCGGCAGGACCAATCAGTGGGTTTGTGGTTTCTCCATGAGCAACATGGCTGCGCTGAGCCCAGTAGGGCAAGCCCGGGTGTCAGACTTGGCAAGTCCCCATGGCAAGGCTTAATTGGCCTAGCAAGGGCGAACTGGGGCTGAAAATCTTGGTGCCTGTGCCCCCGTGTCTAGCGCCAAAATATCGAGGTAGGCAGGCACGGCAGCCACGCCGTATCTGGAGCTATCTGAGCTCAGCCCCAAGAGACAGGGACAAGCGGTGCAGACATCTGTCAGCATGCTCGCAGCATGAATGCCACCCTTGAATAATCGACCTACAAAGGGAAAAGTCAGGGATGGGTTTTGCTTCGTTTGGCGAGCTTGGAATTCGTAACCTTTTCTCGTCCCGGCGCAGCAGAGGCGCCTGCGCCAGCCAGCCTTAAAGCTTAAAATGCGGGTTTTCCTGTTCGTGCCACTTGGACGCTGCGGGGGCGCATCATCAAAATGAAGGTGAAGATTGACGAGGAAGAGAGTGCCAGTGTTAGAATTCCCTGACAAGAGGTGAGATGCGCTCGGGCTTTTGGCTAGCTTGGGAGGCAGTTGCAGCGCGGAACCGTCATGTCCATGGCGCCAGTGGTGGAAGTTGGTTCCTTGATGTAAATTCGGCTAGGCTCAGTGCCGTGTCGCGTCAAGCAGGTCCACATGGAAGTTGCGTGCCCTGCGTGCCCGCCCTGCAGACCCCGGTCGGGGGGTTACACAACGACGTCATCATCCCATCCGACCTGCAACTCGGAACACAACCCCCAAGTTGGCTGTTATTGAGTTTAACTTCAAAAACAAAACAACACTTAGCGCATCCTGATATCGAACCTACCTGTCCAACGCATAGGTACTACGAACTCCCAAAGCAATCCCGAATCACTTAACAAACCATGGCCGAAGTAGCAGCAGCGGCAATCGCAGCCGAACAAGTCGTGGCAACAGGCGTCGAAGCAGCAGCAGCCGTCGCCATCGCGACCCCGACCCTACCCCTCAAAATCGCACTCACTCACCTCCCAAACCCAGCGCCAGAAGGCTCACCGTATGCCCTCCCTCTTCCCCAACCCCTTTTCACTTAGGCAGTCCCCCAAACTAACCCCCCCACCCCCGCAGCCACCCCGCCCTCTCCCGCTCGCACCACACCCTCACCGTCCTCCGCAACAAAGCCTACATCTTCGGCGGGCTCGACCCCTCCCGCACCCTCTGCCCCCCCGGCATCCACACCATCACCCTCCCGTCACAACCCACCGCAACCGACCCCGCCAGCGCCGCCGCCGCAGCACCCGCACCCACCACCACCACCACCGCCAACCCCACCACCGACAACATCACCGACAACACCACCGACTACAGCACCGCCTACACCTGCTACCCGCCCTTCCCCCTCCAAGACGCCACCACCGGCGAGACGCTCCTCCCCACCCCACGGGCAGGGCACGCCGCCTGTGCGAGGGGCGATCGGTATGTGCTTGTGCACGGCGGGTGGGGGGCGGATGGTCGCGCGGTGGAGGAAGGCGGGTGTATCTGGCAGTGGGATTGTGAGGGGCTGAGCTGGGGGAAGCTGAGGGGGGATTCGCAGCTTGGGGTGGGGGCGATGAGGGGGAGGTGGGGGCATTGGATGTTTGCGGATGATGGGGGGGAGGAGGGGTTTTTGGTTGTTGTTGGGGGGAGGACGACTGGCGCACCGCGGGGTGGGGATGGTGGTGGTGGTGGTGGTGAGGGTGAGGGTGAGGGTGAGGGTGGGGAAGAGGGGGTTGAGCGGGAGGCGTGGATGTACGATTTCCACTCCATGGTGTGGACTGCGCTGCCGAGGATGCCTGCGACGCCGTTGGCTGCTGCGTACGCCGGTGGGAGGGTGTATATCATCTCGCAGGATGGGGATGGTGATGTCGGCTTGGGCGGGATGGTGCACTACCTTGATATGAAGGAGTCGGCGTTAGAGAGGGCGCAGCCGGGTGCGTTGGTGTGGGAAAGTGTCAGCTTCCCGGCGAATCCGCTTGCTCCGGGACCCAAGCCGAGGGCGGGCGGGGCATTGGTGCCGTTGAGTACGGGGCACGGTCGGAAATATCTCGTGTACCTGTTTGGATGCTCAGAGGAGGAGGAGGGGGCGGAAAGGGAATACTTCTCGGACATCTGGACGTTGCAGCTACCGACGCATGGGCGCAGCGCGGCTGCGATCAAGGACAAAATTAGGGAGAAGTTGCCTCGTACGGAATCGGGGGAGTTCAGGTGGGCGGAGGCTGAGATCGTTCCCACGGAGCAGATCACGGGTGAAGGGAAGATGCATCCTGGGCCGAGAGGCTTGTTTGCTGCGGATTCGTGTTTGAACGGGCAAGGGGTTGTGATGTGGGGTGGGACGAATGCCAAAAGGGAAGAGGAAGGCGATGGATGGGTGTTAAGGTTGGCGCATGGGTATGCGGACAACGACCGCTGGGAGTGAGCGTGGAGGATGGAACTCCGAGTGTGGTCGGACCTTCAGTATTTATTCTGGGCTAAAATCCTCACTAAAATGAACGCCAAAAGCTTCCACCACGTGGGTGTGGCCTCACTGCGACCGCCAAGCGCCCACCTGGAACCCAAAACGCCGGTGCGACCCGGATGCTTTTCCATTGGTGCATTTTTGTTCCATTTCCCACTTCCCCAGCTTCTCGAGTCCGAGCCCGTCCATCCGATGGGCTCCAAAGAAAATAAACAATGTTCTCAAATCCGCGCAGCTACCCCTGAATCGCGACCATGATGCGAGGGGGGCAGCAACATCATGTAGTGGTATAAAACCCGCCGTGATTAGTATTTGGCCAGGTTTGGGAAGGGAAGTCAGCATCACCAATCGACCTTGCGAAGTCTCTAACAAGTAACCTCGCACCGTCGTACAAGATGCGGGCCGACTTGGTTGCCCTTCTCACCGCGTCCGTTTTTGGACATGCGGTAGATGCGCGTGCGTGTGATGGCGACCTCACCGTGAATACCCAAGGGGGCGTGATACACGGTACATTCGACGATGCCACGCCTGACGTTCGTCAGTTTCTCGGCATCCCCTATGCCCGCCCGCCCGTGGACGACCTCCGGTTTGCGCCACCCCAACCGGCGCTACCGTTCGGGGAGTTGGATGCGAAGGAAATGACTCCCAGCTGCATGCAATACGCCAACACCGTCCCCAATATCCAGACCCACGAGGTCCTCGAGTACAACCTCGGTGGCCTGAACGGGTCCACAGGGCCCATCAGCGAGGACTGCCTGACCCTCAGCATCTGGGCGCCGCGTGGCAAGGCAAAGAAGGACCTCCCGGTCATAATCTTCTTCTACGGGGGAGCATTTAGCGCCGGCGGCACCAACGCACCATACCTCATCCCAGCGGAATGGATACAACGGACCCAAGAGCACATCGTCATCTCCTTCAACCACCGAGACAACATCTTCGGCTACACCAACGCCGCCGGCCAACCTCCAGACCAGCAAAACCCCGGTCTCCTCGACGCCCGCCTCGCCATCGAATGGGTGCGCGACAACATCGGCTCCTTCGGCGGCGACCCGACACGCATCGGCCTCTGGGGCGAGAGCTCGGGCGCCATTATCATCGCCTACTACAGCTACGTCTACCGCGACGACCCCATCGCCAACAGCGTCATCCTCGACTCGGGCAACGAGTTCATCGACGTCCTCAGCCACGACCCGACCCACGCCAACTTCACCTACGTCGCCTCCGAGCTCGGCTGCGGCAACCTGTCCCCCACCGACGAACTCGCCTGCATGCGCCAGGTCGACGCCTCCGCCATCAACGACTTCATCAGCACCTACGCCGCCGCCGGCCACACCCCACCGGTCTTCTTCTCCGCCACCGTCGACAGCACGACTGTCTTCGCCAACTACACCACACTAGCCCAGGCCGGCCAGATCGCGCGCTTACCCGCCCTCATCGGCAGCAACGCGCAGGAGGGCGTGTCCTTTCTCCCGTACGACCCCGACAGCGTCGACCAGGCCCTCGCTGACCAAATGACGGCCGCCTTCTTCTTCTGCCCGACCTACCAGGCGGCGCGGGCGCGCGTTGCCGCGCATGGCGGGGAGGTGCCGGTGTACCGGTTTGTGTACTCGGGGAACTTTACGAATGTGAGTCCCAAGCCGTGGATGGGCGCCTATCATGGCGCGGAGATGCCGCCGGTTTTTGGGACGCATAGCCTGTTTCGCGGGGAGTCGAGTGAGTTGGAGTGGGCGACCAGTCGGGCGATGCAGGACGCGTGGGTGGAGTTTGTGGCGACGGCCGGGGAGCGGATGGTGACGGTGGAGGGGTGGGATGCGTGGAGGGAGGTGGATGGGGGCAGGGTGGTGGAGTTTGGGAATGGGGTGCCCGCGCGGTTGATGGATACCGCGGAGATGGAGGAGCAGTGTCGGCAGCTGGGGCTGAGCTGAGAGGATTGTCGAGGTTGGGTTGGGATTGTCAGGACTATCCGGAGATGATAGGATCAGAGCTCGTTGTATCCGGGGATGGAGGAACAATATCGGCAGCTGGGGCTGGGTGGATTACCTTGAGACGACAGGGTCAGAGCTCGGTTGTGTTCGGGGATACGGCAGCAATGTCCGCAGCTGGGGTTGCCTACGTTGAGTTAGGATTGCCATGGTAATCTATCCAGAGATGATACTAGTAGGATAGGAGCCGGTCGTACCTCGTATCCAATCCTATCAGGTGTTCGTTGCCCTGTGGTCTTTGACAAACGCCACGATTTGCGTCAAGGCAACGGGGATAGTAATGATTCGCGCGTACACGTACTGCCTTTGGTTGATTGTATGTACCTCGAAACTCGGGGATGGATACCTGAAGGTTGGCTCAAACTGTTACGCAATCAATACGCGAATTCTGACGGTGGCAATTCCCTGGCAAATAGAGACACTGACCTATAATTCCTAACGGGGTACGGCCAGGTACCTCGGTACCGAGGTATTGCTTTGGCGAACATCATGTGCCAAGAGGGTTGAAGAACCCGTCTCTTTGGCTGAAAGGTAAGGCAACCTGTCGACATCGGAATGAGAAACGCTCAACCGGGTTCTAACAGGTGGCGGGGAGACCGGCGAGCCACAAGCAGAATGGCTGAGGGTGATCATCTTGCTTCCATCAAAGTATGGTTGATCATGGCACTCAAATGGGAGAACAAACGAGAAGGAGTTTCAGTGAGATCAGACTGATCGGTCGATGAACTCATCAAACTTACTACGGCACTGTGTCGAGACCTAGTTGCAACATCTCTTTCACAGACACGTCATCTGTAGACATGGACCGCGCAGTTTGATTCTGTGCTCCATGAGATGCTGCCCAGTTACTGTATCGGGCGAATCCTGTCAGCGCTACTGCAGACCTCTCCCGACCCGTACCATGCCACAAAAACGGGGAAGCTTTCCGGTAGAGATCGTCGCGTGACTTGGGGGCCGCAGTTCATAAAAGTTGTCATATTCGACGAGACGAAGGGAAATACCGGCGGTGTGCGGGAGACTGCTCTCGTCATGTCGTTGTAAATGTACACAGGACACTGCCTGAATGCATCCCGTTTGATGGATGCCGCTTTGAGAAATGAGTGAGAGCTCATGTTAGAGCCAGATGACAAGGTTCAGCGAAGATCGATTCTCAGCCACTGGACTTATGCAGCCTCCTTCATCGGGGGGCAAAAGAAAGACAAGAGACCAGCGAACGAATTGAATGAGACACAATGCTCCAATTTTACAAAATGCTGATGCTTTGTAAATGGGAAGCGCACGAAAGTGCCTATTCTGGTATCATGAAGTAGAATGCTCACGCCACTCTATTGGAGACTTCTGATTCGTTCCCTGATATGTTGTGATTCGGCCAAGGAAGACTCTGAGCAGATTGGCCAGAGGCCAATAATTATTATGCATTGCTTTGCATTGTTTGGTTCCCGGGGCTGGATTTGGTTGACTCAGGGGCTTCATAGCCATCGGCTGCGCACTGCCCGACTGTGTCTGGGGTGGACTGCTTACACAGTACGCAACGTCACCAGCCGATCTCTACTTACGTGATACCAATCATCGTGTGCTGGCGGACATCGCGGCTTGAGAGAACCTGGAAGGAGAACGCTGGTCTCTTGTTACTGGGTGCTCTGGTGACGGACGTGACATGAGAAGGATTTCGTGGCTTCTCATCCGCCATGAGCCGGAGATGGTCTGGTCGGAAGGATGGAACAGAGTCCTTGCCAGGTGAAGGGCATGAAGTCCGTGACAACCCGGACGAGGACAGGGCGGACGGCAGAATCTGTGTCTCGAAGAAATATAAATACCCGAAGACCTCTCCTCCAGATAGCCAGGACTTTTGGTCATCAAGCCTCTCTCCACACTCACCTTCACCTACAACCAACAACTTTCCAGCAATACCAACACCGCACTTTTCAAAATGAAGGTCTCCGCCATCGTCTGCACCCTCATGGCCGCCGTCGCCGTCACTGCCTCGGCCGCCCCCAAGATCCAGGCTCGCGACACCTGCGGCGCCGGCTACGGTGGCGACCAGCGCCGCACCAACAGCCCGTGCAACTCCTCCAACGGGGACAGGCACTTCTGCGGCTGCGACAGAACCGGTGTGGTACGTCTATAAACCCACCCAAACTAGACCCCAGTCTATAATGACCACCGAGCCGATACTAATCTTTGTGCAACAGGTCGAGTGCCGCGGAGGCACCTGGACTGAGGTCGAGGACTGCGGCTCTTCCACCTGCCACGGCACCAACCAGGGCGCCGCCGTGTGCTAAATTCCAAGGCACCAAGCACATCGTCCACATGGCTGAACTGGCCAAGTATGTTTATCCAATCCCTTGCCATCATTCAGGCAGTATGTTAATGGCACCTTGGCTGACATCGATCTCGGGTAACAGGTCCAGTGGTGAATTTACCTTGGAAAGGGGCGACATTCTGGGAAGATTCAACATCAACTAAATGGAAATCTCTTTCTGGGAAGACATCACTTCTGCTCCAGCTCAGTCGAGGACACTCATGTTTCGTTATGAGATAGATAGCTCGCAAATTCTCACGTAACTATTGGCCAACTCATTCATTACCCAACTATAGTTGTGAAGTTGTGCTGGTCTGCTTCTGGCGCCGTGAACGTCTCTTCATGTGGCTACCTCGATACTCTATGTGCTAGACCACACGGGGTTACTCCCATACGTTTCACAACTCGGCAGTTTCTTGCCCCGTTCCAGAGGGTTTGCCGTACTTCTAAAATATTTGTTCGCAATGGTCCCCGAAAGACCGTGGAGTTGGGGGGTGGAAGAATGATCCGTCATGCCCGCTTACATCGGTACAAAGCATCGTTTTCGATCGAATGTTTTGTTTTGTCCCGACTCCGGTCTTGCCAACATCAGGTGATTTACTCGTGGAGTGTTTGCGTTGTTTACTTCTCGGCTTCTGCTTGTCGTCATGCTGTTTTTAAAAACATACTTTTTGAATTATAGATCTCCCCCTTCTTAGACCACTAATGTGTCATGGCCTCGCCCCCCCTTATACAACCACAGTCCCAACCATCACCCCTGGGGCCCTATTCTTGATTCCCTCGGAGATGTGAACGGGGGTAGCTGGAGCACAGGGCGGCGAACGGCTCAAAAAGGAATCGCCGAGATTCAGGCACAACGTTGTGCGGCCCACTGCTGTCCCGCAAAGGATGCCTTTGACGTACTTCGCACCCGGCCAAATCCGCCATGAAGTACCGATATCGCACACAGCGCCAGGGGTAAGTGGCGACGGCATTGCCAAGAGAGATTATCAGATTTTTCTGAACAAGATTGATAAAAGCCTCAGTGGGCCTACCCCACCCCTCCAACGGGCCATCCTTCCTCTTGGGTCATGATCTTGGAGCCAACCCGGCGTTCCGGCATTCATATCGAGCTTCTCGCGCCGTGATTGGCATCGGGCTCCGGTATGGATGAGGTGCGCAATGTGCATTTCCCGGCTATGCCACGCCATGCACGGGATGTGATGCGGGTTGCAGGATCTCTGATCTCCCGCCATGAGCCAGGTACATGTAATCAAGCATCCGACGCAGTGGTTACTTGTAACTTGTACGATGGAACCTGGAAATGGGAACCCGACCCGAACCTGCATCTCGCTTTTCGGGTGCAACACCGAGCAGGCGCGGGTCCTGCTGTCCCACCATCCATCCACGCCATCCCACTCTCGAGGTCCCCACCTGCCGCGAATGCAACACCAGACGTGATAAAAAAAGGGTTGTCCCCTTGTCGATCCCTCGAGTGAATCGCCCCCTCACCCTCTCTCCTTCTCGACTTCCCCCTTGGACCAGCCTTCAACGCCAGCCCTTTTCAGAAACCCATTGCGGTAGCTCTCACCTGGACGTCTCGTCACCATTGGTATCACTTCTCAGCATCCGTTTATCACCATGATGAGAGGGCGTCTTGCCGCCCTGGTCAGGCCACAGGAAGCGCCGGTCGTCGAACAGGAAGTGTCACACGAGAAGGTTGCTACCGACAAGGAAGCCCACATCACCGCTAAGGATACGCCGCAGTCCCCCTCAGATGCCGACCATGACTCGGATGCCATTTCTCTGGACGCCCAGGCCGGCATTCAAGATGTCCAGGCCCTGGCCAAGGTCTGGACAAAGTCCAATCTCATTCTCGCCTATGTTACGTAGGTACTTGGAGTCGGAGAACGAAAATGATCTATTGCTGACGTGCTGCCTCCTGGACCAGAATCTGGTGCATCTTCTTCATCGACACTATGCAGCAGGGCATGTCGACCACCCTGACGCCTTACGTAACGAGCGAATTCAAGAGCCACTCTCTGACCGCCGCTACGAGCGTGTTTTCCAGCCTCATCGGTGGACTCTTCAAGCTTCCCCTCGCCAAGATCCTGGATATCTGGGGTCGCCCACAAGGCTTCGTTATCATGATGACCAGTTTGACCATCGGGCTAGCCATGATGGCCGGTTGCAACAATGTTGAGACATATGCCGCCGGTCAGGTGTTTTACTGGGTTGGCTACAACGGCGTCTCATACACTATTTCCATCTTCATAGCCGATACATCGGCGCTCAAAAACCGGGCCTTGATGTTCGCATTCGTCTCTTCGCCCTACATCATCACCGTGTGGATCGGTGGGCCGTTGGCGGACGCCTTCTACCACGGGCCAGGCTTCCGATGGGGCTTTGGCGCCTTCGCCATCATCACCCCTGCCATCTGCTCACCGCTGCTCATCCTATTCTACATCAACTACCGCAAAGCCCATAGGATGGGCCTCATCCCGGAACGGAAGAGCGGCCGTACCTGGGCCCAGTCAGTCAAGTATTACGCCATCGAGTTCGACGTGGTCGGCCTTCTGCTCATCACTGCCGGCTTGGCCCTCTTCCTCCTGCCATTCAACCTCTACGCCCAACAGGCCGAAAGATGGAGGTCGCCGATGCTCATCGCCTTCTTCGTCGTCGGCGGCGTGCTCATCATTGCCTTCGCTCTGTACGAGAAGTTTGTCGCGCCCAAGACCTTCATCCCTTACGAGTTGCTCATGGACCGTACCGTCATGGGCGCCTGTATTCTTGCTGGCGTGCTGTTCATCTCATTCTACATCTGGGACAGCTACTTCCCCTCCTTCCTGCAAGTCGTCAACGGCCTCGACATGACCAAATCGTCTTACGTTGTCAACATCTACAGCCTGGGCAGTTGCTTCTGGGCACTCGTCGTCGGCTTTCTCATTCGCGTCACTGGCCGCTTCAAGTGGCTTGCCCTCTACTTCGGCGTGCCAGTCACGATCCTCGGTGTCGGCCTCATGGCACACTTCCGCCAACCGGACGTAAACATTGGATACATCGTCATGTGCCAGATCTTCATCGCCTTTGCGGGAGGAACATTGGTCATCTGCGAGCAGATGGCCGTCATGGCGGCTACCACCCACCAATACATCGCCGTCGTCATTGCCATCGAATCCATGTTTTCCAACGTCGGCGGTGCCGTCGGGTCGACCGTGGCCGGTGCCATTTGGAACAGCGTCTTCCCCCAGAAACTGGCCGAGCACCTCCCACAGGAATCGCTGGGCAACCTGACCACCATCGTTGGCTCGCTCGAGACACAGCTATCGTACCCCATTGGCTCGCCTACGCGAACGGCTATTCAGCATGCATACGGCGACGCGCAACGGATCATGATCATTGCATCTACGGTGATCCAGGTCATTTCCATTGTGTCGGTTGTTGTGTGGCGCGACATCAAGGTGAAAGATTTCAAGCAGGTAAAGGGGCTGGTTGTGTAAGTCGTGTCGTGGAGGGTGGTACCTGCATATGGGACTGGCGGTGGTGATGATACCCAGAATAATGAAGCGAATATAACATATTGTTTGATTGAAAAGCGTGGATGAGAGCAACTACACACTGGAGATCGTGCGCAAGCATACGTCGTTGTTATGCCCCTGAATCTCCGCCACACCCGTGAGTATCCCCACCCACCGAACTCACGACCTTGTTGTTCCTGTAGCATCTGTTGCTCACAAACACCGGCGTCCTGAACGTCACTTTCCACTCCATCCCGTTGGCGTCGGGCTGGTCAAAATACTCCCAGTGCCACTTCGACACGCCGAGACCAAGACATCCCTTGGACTGGGGCAACAATGTCTCTTGACCCCAATCCCAGCTGCTAAAGCCAGCGCCTGTGGAACTGTCAGTACGAGAAAGCAAACGAACGGTGCGAAGAAGCGGGGAGATACGTACCATACATCTCGAAATCACTAAACAAGAACTTATACTTCCCCTTACACTGCCCATTCGGCGCCGTCATCAAGTTCCGATTCCTCCTCGGGCTCAAGTCATACGTATACTCTCCCTTCTTCCACCTGCCCCCAAACTTCCAATTCATCGGATTATCGCTATCCCCCGCATCGCACCCATGCACCACCTTCGTAAACGCCTCCACGCACTCCTCCCGATTCACCACATCCACCTCCCCGCCATCCAAAATAAACTCCATCTCATCCGGCGTCCCCTCATGATACACCTTACTCCTTCTCCAATGCGTATACCCACCCCCGGGCCCCTCCACACCCGCACAAAAATCCTTCAGATTCGCATCCGCCCGATCCGCCGTCACGAACGCCGCCCTCCCACCCCCTCTCCAACAACTAAACTCCTCGCCTACCTCACAAACCTCGGGCGCCGCCCCCAACACCCCGGCGCGCAGGTCCATCGTCTTGGCGATCGCAAAGGAGGCGATCGCGTTGTGGCCGAGCTCGTTGGGGTGGAAGATGCGGCCGAAGAAATCGGGGAGGAGGGCGCCGAGGCTGGGCAGCCAGCTGTGGGAGTCGGAGGGGCAGCCGGGGACGGCGGGGGCGCGTGGGTTGAGCATGTGGAGGGCGGCGGCGCGTGGGTTGGGCGAGTGCCAGAGCGAGGTGCGGTAGATGGCGCGGTTTATGCCGTGGGAGTCGGTGTCGGGTGGGGGTGGGGGATGGTGGAGGGTGCGCAGGCGGGCGGCGAGGATGGGGTCGATTTCTTCGAGCGAGGGGTCTGAGAGGGGGGGTTCGGTCATGGTGGTAGTGCCGTTGGGGTGTTCGAGGTGGAGGTTGTCGTCGTCGTCGTCGTCGCGCTTTTTGAAGGGGAGGGGGGAGCGGAAGAAGGTCTTGCGCGTGTCGGGCTTGAAGAAGAGGAGGTCGGGCTGCCGTCGGTCGGGGTAGGCTCCTGATGACGCCGGCGAACACATCTGGCCGTCGACGCCTTCGCTTGGCCAGGGGTCCCAGTTGGAGAAGCCGATCTTGTAGTTGACTTCGTCGGCGACATCGTGCACAACCTCACGGATTAGATCGTTGAGGCCTGCGGTGAGCGTGTTGAAGCGCTGACGACGCGCGATGGTCAGGGGTAGCGGCGTGGACCGGATCCCGAGCCATGTGTAGCCGACCCAGGGGAAGAGGCCCCAGTCCTGGTCTGTGGCGCATTTCTCGTCGTTTGTGTTGAAGAATTGCGCGTAGCTGTTGTACACCACGATGCCGTTGCTGGCCATTTTGGAGTCGAGCGCGAGTAACATCTCCTTGATGTTGTTGCGCATGATATTCTGTAGGTTCTCCTCGGCCTTCTGCAGGATGGCGTTGCACGTCGCCTCGTCGTAAAACGCCAAGACGATGCAGTCTTTGATGATGTCCACTAGACACAAGTCGTTTCCGCCGGCCGTTAGCGTCACCAGATCCAGGTTCCCCTGCAGGCTGTTGATCTGGTTGAAGATCTGCCAGGTCTGGTCACCCGTGCAGGCGGGATACTGGAAGCTCTCGATGGATGCCCCAACATACTGCCGCATCATCATCGGATAGGAAAGGTCGTAGCGGGAGCATGTCCAGTCATTGAAGTTGTGGAAAAGCCCACCCAGCTGCTCGCCGGAGCCTATGCCTGCACTGTAACTGTCTCCGATAGCTGCAAAGCGGCGAACCCACGTAAAAGACGCGGGATCCGAGGCACCTTGCCGTGTCTCGAGCGCATCACGCGGTGTGTAGTTGGCATTGTTGCGCGGGATGGATAGGGCAGTTGCGAGGGTGACGGCGAAAGAGAGTGAAACGAGCGACGAGAGAGAAAACATGGTGAAAGACGAGTGAGGGTGTCTTCTCGTCTGCCAGCGACCGGCTGGCCCAGAGACGCCGTAGGTCGAGCGAGAGGAGTGTAATATGAGATGAAAGGAACGGAGTGGACAGAAGACCCTATGATGGCAACCTCAAAAGGGGTGGCATAAAGGGGTTTTGCCTGATGTAATCGGGTGTGGGTAAGATTGGGCAAAGTCATGGTGAGGTATCCCCTATGATCACATATCTTAGTCCACATCACATCCCGCACTTCCGAACCCAGGCTCGCCGCGGTCCCAGTGCATTGCTCGGTTGGTGAACGCAGCCTCCGAAGAATCTCACGAATTCGTTCAGTCCCCCCACTGGTCCTTTCTCAGCACCCATCGCCGCGCTACTACGTCGTGGAAAGAATGGACACAGTGCTCAGATACGGTGTTACCATCTAAAGGAGAACCCACGATACTCGGCCGGTGTAGTGGTGAGATGGAGTGGTGGGATTAGGCAGAGGTTTTCGTGAGAAGGATCACGCATCCACCTTCACGACTTTGGGAAAGCAAAACGAGCATGAAATCGCTAGTTCCATGCGGGTATGCAAAGTGTATGTCCCTGCGGAAGGCTAGCTCGTTGTCCCGCGCGGGAACATGCATGAACATGTACCAGTACCTCCTGCACAACCCCTGTCCGTTCCTGCAGCTGGGTGATATTGTAGCAACGCCATCTTTCCACTCCGAGATGGGAGTGAGATTATAGCGCCGCGTTTGGGCAACACGATGGAGCTACAACAGTCAGCGACTCACGGCTGCGTCGATGATTAGTATACCATTGGGTTTGGCACACTCACTATTAGTCTATTCTCCATGTCGTCGTCGCGTGACGGCGTCGAGTTTGGATCAATCTCCGATATCCGCCAATGCAAGGCACGCTGCAGAACGGGAGCCGCAGTGGAGGTGCGCTGATTCAGCGCGCTCGTTTTGGTCAGCTCGGGACGTCAGGCGATACCCAGAGAAATGAAGGTATTCGGTTACACGGACTAACTTGGCCAGGGGGGAAGTTGTATTGGACTCTCGAGCAAGCACGTTGAAGAGTCTTCAACCTCTGGACCCTGAGGCGAGCTCATCGGCTCCTGTCGTCCCGGCTTCTCAAACTTTTGCCTCCTGATTTCGAGAATGTTGTTCTCGAAGACCACGATCCTCTCCCTTCTCGCTGTGACCGCCGTCGACGCGGGAAACCGTGCGTGGGAGCCTCCCATTCACTACGCCAAAGCGGCCATCGCCTCTCGGGATCTGTCCGGCGTCAACAACATCTATTTCAACGGAACCAATGTCTCGTCTCATCACCAGGCTCACCAGAAGCGCTTCTTCGGCCTCAGCAACCCGGCCACCACCGGCGCGTATCCCCGTCTCTGGCCCAACGGCAACATCGATGCGTGTTTTGAGCAGCGAAGCCATCTCCATCAAGGGGTCAACAAACCCACCCGGCAAATATTATACGACAACCTCATCACAGCACGTGAGCTATGGCGTCAAGCGGGCTTGGAGGACAATAACGGGAAATTCCGGTTCAACATACTGCCAGACGATGACGCCGGATGCGAGCGGAACCAGCGTTCAACGCACTTGCTCATCATGTACGCCGGGGAGAACAACCGCAAGATGAGCACGACTGTGGGAGTCGACTCCCCGCAAGCCGCCCCCGAGAGCGATCGCCCTGACAGCGAGCTCGGGCCGGTGATGACGCTTAGCGATGTGATCGATATCGGTATGGGCAATGTAGTGGCTAATTATGCGCATGAAATGGGGGTAAGTGACCATGCCAGGCATCCATGTGACATGACCAAGGCTGACCACGATTGCCAAACTTACAGCACTCATGGGGCCTTCACCACGAGCATCAAAACCCCAAATGGTGGTCCGAGACTTTCACCGGCGTCGAACGTGCAAATTACTTCTTCGGCGAGGAAAACTTCCATTGCACAAATCTCCGGGACTACGCTACCGTCATGGCCCCTTACGACGGCCAACCAGACTACATAAAGAATGCTTACAAGAATGAAATTTGCCGCGACCGCAGCAAAGCCAGCAGGGCCAAGTTTGCCGGCGGCTTCAACTATGTTCCCATCACAGATGAGCCCGGCACCATCGATGACGAACGGAATGAGCCGGACTGGGAGTCGATTATGCTCTGTGAGTGATGTTGGTATTGAACGCTCAACAAATTCCTAACTGTGTCATCAGATCCCAGTAACGCTGGAGGCAGGGTTGATGCATCTGGTCAGAAGCTGAACGTCCTCACGAAGCGTAATGGGGACTTGATCGATCCTGTGTCCAAGCCGAGTAGGCGCGATATCGCCGGCCTCAAGAAGATGTATGGCGTCAAGACGAGCTTCTTCGCCAAGCTCCTCAATGACAAGAGCAACCCGCTCAGGAATATGTTTGACGGAATCAGGAAGAAGGACCGGGACTCGGGCTGTTCCTCTTAGGTTATGAATCTTGGTAACAGACGTAAAGATATGGCAAATATAGGGCGATGGAAGAGTAATGGAAACGCGCGAGGTAGTGCTGTTCTGTTGGCTTTTGGTGCAGTCCTATGACCGTACATACCTACTGAATGAACCTTTTCCCATATGTCGGTGGACTATGCCAACATGAATACGAAGGCGAGGGTCCAATGAATATACGTGAAAACCAAGAAAAGACTGAAGACGGAAAGGTGTGAATCCCCAAGAGTTGGGGTTTGGGACGGTATGAGCAGCGCTCTCCACCACAGTTGCTTCTATTTAGCGGGTTGAGTGCCATGATTGCGTGTGCTTTTTCCAACCGTTGGGGCCTGGACTTGGGCATGAATCTAGAGGCTAGGGAATGTTATCCTTCTACATTGGTAGGTATCTAATTCTCCACATCATCACAAGGGAGCTGATTGCCCCCGTTTTGTACGAACTCATCAAGGAACTTGAACATTGCATGTGCAGTGAACCTGTCAAAGGCACCTCTTAAATACATCTCATGCGTCCCAAACCACCCCAACCGCTTAAAGCTCATCCCACTCGGTTTCAAAATCGGGGATACTGGGGGGGCGTTTCGTTAACTCGTTCTTGGGTCTCGAAAGATCGGATCCAAGCGCGTTAATTAACGTCCCATCGTCGAGGTCAATGGCCCAAACCATTGTTCTGTCTTCAAGTCAGCGGCAGGTGTGAAGTTTCTCGAGGATAGGTAACTCACCCTCCAAGACACCTCAAATTTGCATAATCCAACTTGGTTTTGAGTGTTGCCGCATCATCGTAACTGACCCACTGGTTGCTATCCCACGTCACAATCTGAACCCCAGCCACTTCATCCGTCGTGACAGTGGCGCCATTGGCAATGATCGCGTTGATCTCGGCCGCAGACAGCACGCCTGGCGTGCCAGTGCACTCGCCTCCACGGGCACCATCAGTGAACTCACAACCTGAGTGCATGCAGTCAGGCGACTTCATAGTGAAACTGCGGCCATAGAAGCCTAGACCGAGGACGACGCGACCGGGATTAATGTTGTTACGCCAGAGGAGTTCGAGTGCTTGCTGAATCTCTGTCATGTTGGTGTGGGCGTAGGCGTAGGGACCGATGGCTTTGACGGTGCTATCCCAGGTTCCGTCTGCAATACAACCGTATAACGTCAACATATTGACACGGGGTAAAAGGGAGCGCAACGCCCAACTTACGGATGTCGTAAGTCATGACATTGAACCAATCGAGCCACGGCTCTAGGTCTTGTAGGTTGAAGCCGCGGAGATACCAGTATGAGGCGGGCTGGAACAGAAAAGTCGTCAGAAGGCTATCCTCATGGATACGCTCGGTTTGATGATTGCTCCACTTACCAAAGTGAGGGTGATGCCATAATCACGCCCCGTCCGATTCAGACGCTCGCGCAAACGCCGAACCAGAGTGATAAAGTTGTCGTAATCCTCAGGGATGCCACCGCGATCATCAGCCACGGGATACTCCCAATCAAGATCAACGCCGTCGAAGTTATGACGCCTCATAAAAGTGATGAGAGACTCGAAGAAGGCGTCTTGAGCAGCTGTCGACTTGGCCAAGTCCGAGAAGGTGGTACGGTACGGGCCCGGGTCGTTCATGGCCCATCCGCCAACAGCTAGGATACGTCAGTGTTCGTCTTGCTGAGTTTACCGGTAACCGAGATCCTTACCGATCCAAACCTTGAGATCAGGATCCTTTGACTTGAGAGCTGACACTCGGTCGTACAGCGCCGCCGTGTCTGGACCCATATCTTCTATGTGGAACGTCGTCGGATTGACTAACGCAAAAGCAAAGTTTATGTGCGTGTAGTATCCCAGAGGGATATCCTCCGGGGCCATGCCTGTGCCTCTCGTTAGCGGACATTCCGGACAGAAGCTAGCGTTCAACTCACGTCCACACGACCTTCCCAGGTTCCACCCTTCATAATACCCAATTGTGCGCTCGTCGGCGCTCTTCCCGCCCGGACACTCCGGCGAAGAAACGGTCTTGCCATCACAAAAGTCCGCAGAGGTCCCGCAAAACCCGAACTTGGAGCAGCAGACATTGAGCGGACAATTCGTTGCTTGCGACCACTCAAGCCCCCAACCCGGATCACACTCAGATTTGGCGTTGCACTCGCTCGTGCAGTTCCCCGCGGCACAAAAGGTTGGCCCCATCCCACAAATCCCTGTCCCAGTGGTTTGGTCGCTACTCATAGCGTCAGTTGGTGGTCATGGAAAGGGAACGAGCTAAGGGGACACAGACATTGGACCACAGCAGCCGAGCGTGCATGGCTTGGTAGGCGAGCAGGTGTAATCAGGCGTACTCTGAGTGAAAATAGGTTGCACGAGCAGGAGGAGAAGACCCCCAAAGAGGAGCACTGCTAGTTTGGTGAGCATGATAAAACCGTGCCGAGCTGGCTGTGCGAGACTTGGTAGAGTCCCCTTCCTCTTCAAAGAGGAGACACAAAGTTTGGGATAGGGAAGTTGGAAGGCAACCGAGAGGCGGGATGCTAGTAAAACTTGAGATTCTGTAAGGGAGGGGATATTCGACTCGTCAAAGTATTCTATGCGTTCGCGAAAAAGGGGTAAGCCGAACTGAGACCCCTAACCCTAAGAATGGAGCTTATCTCCAGAAGACTATTGGAATGTTGTCCAACAATGTTGTTGTCCCCGATGTGGACCGGAAGAAGTGATGACATGTTCTTGGTGTGTGGTATCGAGATGGGGTTGGGATGAGTAAACCGCGGTGACACGGGTTAAGAGGTCGAGGAGCACATGGGCGACCGACCATTGACATGCAGATACATGTACATGTACATGCACATGCACCTTGCAGCTTGCATTTGGCGATCTTCTTCAGGGGCCGAGCCGCCAACGTGGGTGATCCGCTTCCAGGTAGCTCGGGGACTAACTCGACGCAGCCCTAACGTATCCCACGCGAGCTTCTAAGGTCGCAGTAGGCACCCTTTTCAATAGTTTCTGAGTCAGCCCCTCAACGTTAAGAACTCGGCTCCCGTTTCCTACTCCACATTTCTCCACGACTTCTGGTCGTTCAGGTCTAGTGTAGATGTTACCCTTGTGTTCGCCATGTGCTGACTGAGCACCACACCTCCTTGCTTAGGAACCAACGCCACAATGTAACCCGACGTTCAAGTAGCTGAATCGCGAGCGGCCCCACCGAGACGTGACTCGTGAGCATACAATGAGGACCCTTGCGTTAATATTGTATCCGCTAGCAATGACTTTGGCCGATTATAGGGCAGGACAGAACTGTCAAAAGGGTCCTAATGGGAATTGGGCTTACTCAGGTTGGCAGCTATTGACCCAAAATATCTTACACAGTATGAACTTTAGTCCTACAGATGCAAGGAGCTTTTGCATCGTTGTCCATGAGATCCAATATCACGATGGCGTTGAGAATATTGCTCGCCTGACCCCCCACCAAGCAAATATCAGTCCCTACATGGGTCTAAGCTCGAAGTTATGTGACTAAGACCCCTGAGGCAGACACTACGAGCTTTGGCAGACTCCAAGGCCTCGGATGTGTAGACCGCCCGGCTTTGCTTCCACAGTCCCCGTTCATTCCGCTTCTTTACGACGAGCCTTCTCCTTCTCGTTCCGTCGTTTCTCCAGGTCTCCCCAGGTTGGCCTCACACTCGTTCTTGAAGATGTTCCCTCCTTTCAATCTCAGGGGAGCCCTCGGCCTACTAACGCTGCCGGCTATTCAGGCGCAGGATTCAACACCTAATGGGCCGACTTTCGCCAACATCGCGCCCAACTGCAATGCCTACCACACAGTTGTTGACGACGATGGTTGCTGGTCCATTTCCCAAGCGTACGACATCACGGTCGAGCAGTTCTATGAGTGGAACCCAGACATCGCCGACGATTGTGGAACCAACTTCTGGCCTGGTTATGCGTACTGCGTCGGCGTTGGGCCACCGCCTCCCAGCAGTTTGAGCCCTACACCGGTCACCTGTACCGAGATTTGCAGCACCAGTACCACCGATACCAGCACTAGCGACAGCACGTCTTCGTCTGAGACAGCATCCGAAACTGAGTCTAGTTCAACTAGCACCAGCACGGAACCGTACACCCCGTTGCATCCCATCACCAGTTACACCATTACACCCACGACTACTTTGCAGGAGTTTCCTCCCAGCAAAACGCAGGAAGGACAACCAGCAGATTGCGATGACTGGCGCTTGACCACGGCCTGGGACACGTGTGACAGCATCGTCGCCAGTAACTCATGGCTCACCATGGCAAACCTGTAAGCCGTCGCTCGCCCCTTGGGCACAGAGAGCCACATTCTTAACTCCCATTACTAGACTTGAGTGGAACCCGGCCCTCGGTGCGGATTGTTCGGGGCTCTACGACGGCTGGTGGGTTTGTATTAGCGTCCGCCCTGCATCCAACATCGACATTGGGTGGACGACAACGGCAGGAAACGTGGATATCCCGACGATCACCGCAAACTACACGCCCACAGCGGTCTCTCCGATCGATTCTAGCTTCACCGCGTCTCCCACTCTCGAAGGTCTTATCAGCGGCTGCAAGTCGTTTTACCAGGCTAAAGCTGTAGGTTTTCGTTCTCCTCTCTTGCATTGTTTCTCTTTTCCCGGATTTCTTTCGCCGATTTTAATGCGGCCGGTGGAGAGTTGGTCTAATGAAACCCCAGGGAGATACCTGCCGCGCAATGGTTGACGGCACGCTGCTAACCGAAACCGACTTCTTTACCTGGAATCCGAGCCTAAACGGCGACTGCAACGGCCTCTGGGAAAACTACTGGTACTGCGTCGTCGGCCCCGAGGGAATCACCGCGATGCCGCCCACCGTCACGGCCACCCCAGCCCCTTTGCCGCCCAACCAAGTCGGCACCTGCAAGCGGTGGTATCAGCGGGACGGTGAATCATGCACCGAGATCTCCGCCATGTTCGGCACCTTTTCGGAAGCGGACTTCATCTCCTGGAACTCCAACGTCGGGTCAGGTTGCACCAACCTGGTGGACGGTTGGTGGTACTGCGTCGGGATCCCGGGAACGCCGACCACGCGCTCGGAACCGGTGCAGACGACCGACATCCCGGATGCCACGCCGACGCAGGATGGCATGACGGAAGACTGCGCACGGCTATGGCTTGTTGGGCCGTGAGTTGTTACCCCTGTTGCCCCTGGCCCGTCTTAGTTAAATTGACCAGAGGCTAACAAATGTGGAAAGAACTGATACGTGTCAGTCGATCGAGGACGCAAATAGCATCACCGAAGCGCAGTTCCTGGAGTGGAACCCGTCCCTGGGGACAACATCGTGTGATCTGACACGGGACTTTTATGTCTGCGTTTCCGTAGATGGGCCGGCAGTGACTATTACCTCGGACCCGAGTTCGACTTCCACGTCGGCGACTTCGCCCCCTGAGACGGGTACTACGACTCCTCCAGGTTCCTCGATCACGTCGACTGCACCCAGTACGACCACGTCAGCAGGGAGTGAGCCCATAACCACTCCGACGCCAACCCGGGTGAGTGTAACCTCCGCCCTGCCCTGAATGTTCAGCCATGGGGCTCTAACGTAACGTCAGGACGGCATGACCTCCGAGTGTCGCCGATTTTACTTCGCCCAAGACAACGATGGGTGTTGGGCCATCGCGAACGCGGCGGGTATTGATTTGAAGTAAGCGTCCTGAAGCCTGAGAAACCTTCGGGAAGACGTGCTAACATTACGGGCAGTGACTTCTACGCCTGGAACCCTGTGCTTGGGACTGATTGTGGAGGGTTGTGGCTGGGTTACTACTACTGTATTGGTATTGCTGGGCCCGTGACTACCATCTCGACTGGTCCGCCTGTACCGACTTAGGATAGGGAAACAGTCTTTGGTATGGCTTGGTGATAATACTATCAAACAAAGTTCCATCTGTAGTGGGGTCCTTTTTGGAGGGTGATGTCAGGGGCAGGGGCAGGGGCAGGGGATGGGCTCCCATAGACTGCCGAGGTTTGACCACACGCTCGGTATTCGGAATAGGCAGCCTGTGAATGTTTCTATTCTCTACCTATTGGGCCAGCCAGTAGCTTTTCGCTCCCCCTAAAACGCCTGCCTCCGGAAAAATGTCACCTTTACTTACTTAGGTAGCTTACCTACCAAGCATGCTCTTCACCATGTCCACAATCTCTTTGTGAATTGCCGCGTCGGCGGTGATCACGCCCCAATGGCTCTTCATGTCCCTACCCTCATCGTACCGCAAGGCCTTCCCGTGCATATCGGTAACCTTTCCTGGACCAGATTCCGTGTAGATCAAGGGTGTGCCGACATGGTCCCAGATAGACCACTTTGCCTTGGGAGCGTTGGGCCAGCGAATCTGGACGTAGCTGCGGTCACCCAGGGCCATGGCCATGTAGCGAGCGTGTGAAGAGTACAGCTGTATCGCATTCTTGTAGTTGGGGCCTGCAAAGAGCTTGACCTTATCCGATAGGGTCTTTGGGCTCTTCTCAGAGTCCACGAACTGTAGGCCGGAAAACTTGCTCGGACCGGCCTGCCTCTGGTCGATCTTGGGCGCGGGTTGCGATGCGCGGTTGAGAGGAACTGGCGGCAACAGATCTCCTCGGCCAATGGGCCGGGCAATTGCCCCATGCCCCTTCACGGCGGAAATCATCGTCCCTAGATTCAATGGTTCGACGTCGTACTCTCCAATCCTTGCGCCATCTATGACCACTTTGGTGAAGTTGATGTTCGGCCCGGCTGACACGCCCATGATCTCCCGTCCGTCCCGAACGAGTCCCGTCGCGACGACGTACTGGCCAAGCTTCATGAACGCGGACGTCCCATCGACGGGGTCCATGATGAGATATATCTTTCCTGGTTCGGCGCTGGAGACGCTTCCACCACGGTCGATCGTGTCCACCATGTCTTCGAGGCTCGTTGGCTTCCCGAGCAGGCGCTCGCACGCGGGGTCCGTCAACTTTGTGTTTTTGACAAGTTCCCATATCTTCCCCACCATCTCCGCGTTCTCGGGCTTGCGAAGCTCGTCAGCGTTCTCTTCGCCGAGGACGCCATAGTTGGGGAAGGCCTTGCAGAAGCCAGAGATGATCAAGGCCTGCGCGGCAAAGTCGGCGATGGTGACGGGGGACTTGTCATCCTTGGCCAGCGAGCTGGTGTTCTTGCCGGCAGTCGCGGACTTCTTGCCAGCCGGAGCATGCTGTACCTGGCTGATGGGCCCAGTCCCCGCGCCGCTGTTCTTGAACTGGTTGGGTGCGTTGAGGACCGTCTTGGTGGCGAGGACGGCACGCTGCACGGCGAGCTCGAGGATACGACGCTCGTCGGCGAAAGTCGGGGCCTTCTTTGGAGCAGCCGTCCCCGTAGTCGGCTTCGTCTGGCCCGAATTTCCGGTTGCGTTGGTGTTTTTGTTTACAGCCGCCGCGGCGGGCTGGGCTCTGGGTGGTCCTTGGGCGCCTGCGCCGGTGCCACGACCAGAAGTCTGGGCATTATTGGTCGCTGTAGTGGTGGGACGCGCGGGTACAGGTTTGCTCACAGCGGTTGGGTTACCGGTGGTAGAAGTGGAGCTGGGTTTGGTCGAACTGGTAGCGGTAGGGGTATTGGTGGCGGCGGCGCGTATAGTCCGCTTGGCTTGGGCGGGAGTCGTCTTGGTTACGGGAGGCTTGTTGGTGTTTGTACCGGAGGGTCGTTGAGGGTTCCTGTTCGGATCCATTGTTAGGTTGCGCAGAGATAAATGGTGATTCGGATTGTTAGGATTCAAAGGCCTGATCTTCGGACGGGTGCTTTACTAGGCAATGCTGGTGTAAAAAGTAGATTGTTCGATAGCGTGTCCCATTTCATTCCCAAGGCACCCAATATGTAGCATTCAGGAAGCCCTCGCGTGGAGCCCTTTACCTTGGCCCAACACAACCAACCCTCCCCCTGCATGACCTCGCGGCGGAAGGTGAGACGACTCGGACGCCATCCGGCCCATACCACTACCGAGCCGTGGCCGGCCTATCCCTATGACCAAGTCCACGGCAAAGACCCAGTCATCTAAATACGCACCTTGGTCTCATCTAGGGGTCTCAAGCTTTAGAATACATGGTATAATCCATTATTAAGCTAACAGTGTCTTGCATCGGCTCGGTGTAGTGGTCTATTTGCTGTTGAACTGGTCGATGTTTAAAAAGTCTCCAGTTTGTGTCGCACAGTGATCCACATACAATCATCGGCGGTATACGAATACGGATTCAGGTACCAGACGCGTATGACCTGAGCTTTAACCTGGAAGGATTATGTTTCCACGTCCTTCCTTCTCAGCGTCGCCCTCAATACCACGTGAGAAATGACTGTGAAGGATCTCTTTGCTCCTTTGTTTCTAACCTCATCCTCCATCCCAGCTTACCATGCGGCTGGGTCGTCCGTTATCTCCACGTTAGACGGCTGGCCTCGTTGCCGTTGGCCAAGGCGCGCCGCACTCATTGCATTCCATTTACAAAAATCATTGCAGCGACATACCAGCATGCGCCGCAGAGCTCAGACGATAGCCCGGCCAGTGGCCTCGACCCAATGACCTCTCAGCTGGTTTCATCCGTTCGGCCTTGGCCGTTTCGACCCTGATCCTGGTGGAATTAGGGATTTGGAACGTCATTCCTGTATTCCTTCGCTGATTGACAGCACAGGCCCCCCAGTTGTGAATGCGTCCATATAGACGCATATGTAGCCCGTGAAAGCCTGGGGCGTTGTGGGCAAAATGCACACCCATCGTCAAATGATTCTAAAATCACACCGTTCCGGGCGTTCCCCATCCCCTTTTCTTGTTTTATTCATTACCAAGATCAGCCGTGGCATCGATGCGTCGGGTCTTGCATCACTGCCTGGTTTCTTGCTACCCTTCTTTATTCGCGCATGCGCAATGTGGGTAGGTGGTACCTAAGGTGTAGCTACCTACCTACCTAGGTAGGTAGGTAGGTAGCAATAACCCGCGGGTTGGCTTGCGGCGAGAGGTAACTCTGTAAAAGGCGATAAGGGGAAATACTGCCCATGCAACATGGGGAAGGTTTATGTAGTGAATTTCCAACGAGGACCACGGATCGGGTAGGCACGCGGTTCCTGGTCGTGGTCCTCCAGTTCATACCGTCCTGTTTTCTCGGTACCATCCTACGAGTACAGCTTGGGAGCCGAGTCCCATCATTTACAGCTTATCCGCCATCTCACCCTCCTCCCCACCCCCATCCACCACCGTCGGCACCCCCAAGCTCCAACTCCTCGGAAACTCCATCCCCCACCTCCCCATCAACCCCCTCAACTCCTCCTCCGTCCCCGGCACCACATTCACAAACACCCGATCACACCCAATCCTCGGCTCGGAATGCACCGCGCCCTCCCTCCCCCCCAGCCGAAAAAACACCATCTCCCCCTCCCGCGGCTGCACCACCTCCCGCCCCTCCAACCCCACCCTCACCTCCTCCCGCACAACCTCACTCGTCCGCCCGCACGCCACACACCTCACCCCGCAACAAACATGCTCCCTCCCCCTCTCCGCCCTCCTAACCCTCTCCTTCACCCCCCTCAACACCCTCCTCGCCCCGCGCCCGTCCACCGCGAACAGCGTGCCGGGACCCTGCAGCGTGGCGCACAGCTTCCAGCACCCGCGCGCGGCGTCGCTGCGCGCCGGGTCGAAGAAATCGTCATCGGCGTGCCAGCGCGGCGTGTCAAAGTCCCCCGTGGGCTGGGAGGCGCGGATCGTCAGCCAGTAGTGCTGGCGGGCGTGTTGGCGGAGGAAGGTGTGCACCGCGCGCAGGAGGGTGGTGAGGCGGGGGAGGAGGTGCGGGGCCGAGATCGGGGTGAGGGTGTGGGCGCACCAGGCGTGGAAGATGGGTGGGAGGTCGGTCGTTGGTGAGGGGGGATTGCTGAGCGGGAGGAGCGGGCCGCAGTAGGTCCAGGTGGAGGTGTGGGTGAGGGTGAGGGGGGGTGGGTTGGCGGGGGTGTCCGGGATGGGGATGAAGTGGAAGTCGCGGTTTGGGAGGGGTGGTGGTTTGGAGGAGGATAGGAAGTTCATGGTGCGGCTGAGGCTGGACAGTGAGCCTGAACCTTCCTTCTGCGCAGGACAATCTATGGATGGCGTGTACTTGTTGTCGGAGTTGGGCCGATTTGATAGTGGCTCAAACAAGATATCGGACCGCAGCGGTAGCTTCGAGGGTTGTTGAATACCGCCCGATTCCTCTGCTGTTCACATAGTAATTGAGGGATGAAGTTTCCAGATTGTGCCAATCTCGTCCCGGACGAGCCCCTTACGCGCCTCCGTTGCTTTCAGCCGCGCCGGCCAAGCTGAATTGTGGGCCGCGCACGATCCGGCCTTGGGGGGCTGCATTCCGAAGACAGGGGGGGGCATCGAACCAAAGAAGATGCCGACTGGTCCATAACAATCTGAATGCAAGTTGGTTGAGAAACCGAGCAATGATTGGCAAGACGATTCGTTTTTCATTCAGGTACTGAGAGTTAGTTAGGGTTAGAGTTAGAAATACTACATCTATCATGTTACGAACCGCGACCTTGGGGACGGTCGGAAGAGCGCCCGTTTATTCTCCCCAATAGCCTGGCCAAGCGAGACACCCTGCCCTTGCAACGACCACAAATACAGAATACACGCTCGGCCTCGACCGCCTCTCCGGCACCCCAACCGAACGCTTCCCCGACGTCCCCCAGGAAGGCTCTCGGGCAGCTCTCGGAGATGAACGTGGTATACGGGGGAAGAGGAACCTCGGGGGTACCTTAGGCACGCTCGGTCATCTCCGGGATTGTATATCTAACGAGGTATCACGGAAACCATGACCAGATTAGGAACCTACTTCAAGAATGCCAAACCGACTGTGAACCACGTCGGGTACTTAACAAGGTGCGTGTACGAAGGCTCCTAGAGTCAAGGGGTGAGCCACGAGGAAGTGACCGAGTTCCTGGCACTTAACCAAGGTGGACCTTCACAGGCACGACGATACTTGGATAGGAGAAGGTACTGACGAATAATCAGGGAACACATCACTAGACCACGGATGGTACATGCTAGAACAAAGTGAGCCTGCTTTGCTCGTTGCTGGGCAGGACAACTACCGGTGCATCGGCTACACCACTATCGGCCCTAGCTCTTGGCGGCTTACGAAGTTCTTTCCTGACGCAAAAGTACATGGTGCACCATCAGATTCACTCTATCCAGATCGACAATGAGCCCGACCTGTACGAGGATTGACCGGGCCTCCTCCCTTCCAAGGCACTTTCAACAACCAACGAACGTCGGAAACTGCACCGAGCATACCGCTGCCATTCGCGAGGGACCCGTCCGGGGTTCGGAGGAAAGGATGTCGCCGTGCCGACTTGAACGGAGAACGGTTGGTGTTGCGGACAGAGAAAGGGCCGGCGGCCATGTGGACTGTTATAAACTTATAATGACTCTAGCGGCCCAGAACCGCGGGATGCTCGGAACTGTGTGGCGCAAGCACCCGACATTAAGGCCTGCCATTGATCATTTCGAGCGTAGAAAGCTTGTATTCCTATCTACATCTGGTACTTTCGCGTCGCGAAATTTAGCAGACTGCGTGAGACTGGAAACCCCAAATTCCTGCACCTTCTACTGCTGCCCCTACACACCGGGCGCTTCGTCGCAGACAACCTCTGAGCCCGGCTGCAAAGGTCAGTACCTAATCATGTTACAGCGAATACGAGGGCGTGGCACTTACGAACAGTGGGGTCACACAGCAACTGGCAACCTCCCCTTTCTCGGCACATATGTCCCTGAAGTTGGCCGCATTGGTAGGCGTGTCCGACGCTGCAATTGGGGGTTAGCATTAGCGATAAGAGTGGCTCGTTCTCCCACTTACGGGTGGAGCAGCCGATGCGAGGGATCCCGAAGGCATCTCTGTCGCAGCATCGGGCGTTAGAGTAGATGCCGGCCGGGCAAGGAACGTATGCCTGGCGCTCCTCGACCTGCGCAGGCAGGGCCGCAGCAAGGGTGAAGCAGATGGATGCGAGAGCGGTAGCGAACTTCATTGTGAATGTTGAAGGAACTTGTTGTTGGTCTGTCGTCCCAATTCCTCTGCGCAAACAAGCCAGCCTTATAACTGAATGAAACCTAGGTACCTAGGCCCCACTTGGTGGTAGCAACGGATCCACCATGTTGACGAAGACAGGTGGATCGATGAACGATCGGTCGTATGTACATACATAGTTAGATCTAGGTAGATCGCATGGACCTAACCTTGAGAGATGCCACTCATTTGCCATACCTGATCAGGTCCTTTCCTATTCATATGGAGATCGGCGGCAGGACGGGGCAGCTGGAGGAGGCTGGACGGTGGCCGGCGAGTTCAACAAGATTTGAGTGGTCGACCCTGTCAAGAGTGGAGATCACAATGACTCGCTCAGCTCAGAGACATGGGCTAAACCTGAACTAACTGTCTCTTCAGCTCTTCCCATTCAAGCTACTATGGTGGTAGGGGTAAGTTTCTTCCCCCTGGTTGGGTACCAGCAGGGGTCCTAACCAGGGGGTGCCGCAATTGCCGCTAGAGAACAAACACCATCAATTGTATTAAACTATAGTACAAAATACTAGTATTTGATATTGTGACGAACCTGTCTCTGGACCCGTCCTGTTAGGGTTCAGTATCGGTCGAAGGTATTCTCTCAAGGGTGCTTAGGTTCGGTGCAGCCAAAGGGTGCACAACAAAGATTTGTCTCAACAGTAGGCTCTCGAGCTTGTAGCGAACTGTAGTTGTGATTGCTAACTGGAGAACTCCCAGAGCTCTCCAGAACGAGTGACTATATACTATCTAAGTCTTGAGGTATCTCCGTACCTTGCTCTGTATGCTCCGTGCCAGAGCACCCAGAGCGTCGTGCTCTCCCTGCTCTGTGCCAGAGCACCCAGAGCGTAGCGTGCTCTGTCGTGCCAAGAGCAGAGCACCCAGCTGGCCGCCGGTGATTGGCTCGGGGCGGCCCGCGCCCCGTGGTGGCATGTCTCCAGCACGCCCCTCGTTGGCTGTTCGTGACACGATGCCCCTCCCTGTTGGTCTTCGTCCCGAAGACCACGCGCTTCTTTCCGTCCCCGAAATAGATCCAACAATTTCCTACTCTGTCCGTGGTGAGTCTTCTCCTTCACCTTCTTTTCGTCATGTCGCGCGTTCGCAAGCGCAACAGTACTGACCGCCGTCATGATCAGGTCGCCTGTGCCGACGCATTTGGCTCCGTCATGTCTACTTGCTCGTACTGCCGTAAAAAGAAATTAACCTGCACCGCGGCGGACAACGCTTCCAAGTGTCGCCCGTGTCTTGCTGCGAACCGCACTCGTTGTGACGTTCACGGGGCAGATCGTGAGTCCCCCCTTGCCTCGTCAAGTGTCTTCTAACATGGTAGTGCGTGTCTTCATCGAACGGAAACGTCAACTGGACAGTGAGCGCCAAGCGACCCTGAGCAAGCTCCTCCGCTTGGAGCGACAGTCCCGCGCCCTTGAGGAAGAGGCCTTGGAGGCGTTCCGTCGCGAGTCGGAGCTTCTGGACGAGGAGGAGGAGAAAGAGCGACGGGACGCTGAGTCATCCCGGGCGGTGGCCTCCTCGGTTCCCGTCCTGTCCCCTGACGGCACTTCCCTGGTGCCCTCCTGGCCGCAAGGGTCCGCCCTTCCTGTCGACTCTTTTCCTAGCGCCTCATCCGACGATTTCCTCGCCGGGTTTGACTTGTCCGTGGGGTTTCCTTTGGTCGATCCGGGTTCCTCTGGTGGAACTCCTGAAGTTTCTCGGGGCAGTTGAGATTCGTAGCTGGTTGCCATGAATTGTCTTCTGGGCCAAAATCCAGCCATTTAACCAAATACTCCAACTGTCCTTTCGTGATGCGTGAGTCTAGGACTTCCTCAACGTCCCATTCTTTTTCTTCGTCCTCCGCCTCGGCGTCCTTGTCGAGTCGCGCGTTCTCCGGCGCTGGTTCTAGAAGTGAGATGTGGAAAACGTTGGTCCGTAGTCGCATTGTCGAGGGCAACGCGAGAGCGTAATTGTTCTCCGAAATCTTTTTGTCGATCTTGAACGGTCCGACTTTGCGAAAGTCGAGCTTCCTGCTTGGTCGCTTCGTGCGAAGATTTCGAGAAATGAGGTAAACTTTGCCCCCCTCTTCTAGGCGAGGTCCCTCGAGCCTGTTTCTGTCGTAGAACTTCTTCATCCGTGTTCGTACGAATTCGAGTTCTTCCTTGAGCATCGCGTGCAGCGAGCTCATTTTGTCGGCTTTGACTGCCGCTCTGGGCACCGAAACCTCGGGCCCTTGTCGCAAATCTGCTTCGTAGCCGTAATTCGCGAAGAATGGTGTGACCTTCGTGGTCTCCGTGACGGTGGTGTTGTAGGCGAGTTGTGCCGTTGGCAACAGCTCGACCCAGTCATCCTGCTGGAAATTGACGTACAACCGTAGGTATTGTTCGACAACCTGGTTGAGTCGTTCCGTCTGTCCGTCCGTCTGTGGGTGGTAAGCGGTTGAGAGCTTACTTTTCGTACCCAGTCTCGTCATCAGAGCCTGCCAAAACTTTGATGCGAACTTGGTGTCTCTGTCCGTGATCCATTCCTCTGGCCATCCGTGGACCGAGGTTATGTTGCGATAGATCACGTCTGCGAGTTGTTCTGCTGACCATGTTTCCTTGTAAGGGAGGAAGTAACTCCACTTGGTGAGTCTGTCCACCATCGTGAGGATGCTGTCGTATTCCACTCCCGTTACTGAGTCCTTGGATATCGGCAGCTTGGTGATAAAGTCCATCGTCACCGAGCTCCATGGTCGTTCTGCGACTGGCAATGGCTGTAGTAGCCCGTACGGCTTGTGTCGTCCTGGCTTGCTCCGCTTGCAGAGGTCGCATTCCGCCCGGACCTCTTCTGCCGTCTGCTTGATTCCTGGGAAGTCGTAGTTCTGCTTGACTTTCGCAATTGTCTTGCTGATTCCCATGTGTCCTCCGAGTCTCGACTCGTGGATCTTTCGAATGAGCTCCTTTTGGTCACCCAGCCTGACATAGGCCTTGTCGTGGTACCAGAGTCTCGTTCCTTCAAGTCGCAATCCCGCGATCTTGGATTCTGGCTCTTCTTGCCATGCATCGCGTTCGTCGTCCGCGATGATTCCTTGGAAGTCTTGTTCCAATCTTTGTTCTCTGAAGGTCGCACAACATTCTACAAACGGCTGCAGAGGCCTGGCTTCGGGATCTTCCGACTGCTGCTGAAGTGCTGCGATCTCGTAGTCTTCAGTCGGTTGGGAAGCGTGCCGTAGCGATCCGTCTGTCTGTTGATGTAGCAATGGTGGTGAGGCTTCAGACGTGTTGTCGTGGTGATCCGCTCTCCTACTCAAGGCATCCGCTCGTGCGTTTTCTGAGCCTTTCTTGTAGTGGATCGTGAAGTTGAATTCGGACAGAAATTCTGCCCACCGAGTTTGTCGTCCGTTCAGCACCTTGGTGGTGGTGAAGTACCGTAAGTTCTTGTGGTCCGTGTACACCTGGACTTCGTGTGTCGTGCCGCTGAGGTATGGTCTCCATTCCTGGAATGCTTCAATGATTGCGAGAAGCTCCTTGTCGTGGATCGGGTAGTTAAGCCTTGGCCCTTCGAGTTTCTTGGAGAAGAACGCAACTGGATGAAGCTTGCCGTCCTCGTCCCTCTGACCAAGTTGTCCTCCGATCGCGAAGTCCGAAGCATCAGCCTCGACTTCGAAAGGTGTGCTTGGATCAGGCAGCATGAGCACCGGGTCGGCGATGATCGCATCGCGGATCCGCTGGAAAGCCTGCTCGTGCTCCTGCTTCCACTGGAATGTGGCATCCTTTTTGGTAAGTTCGTGCAGAGGTCTCGCGAAGTCGCCGAAATTCTTGATGAACATTCTGACGAAGATGGCGAATCCGATAAATCCTCTGACCTCCGTGGCGTTCGTCGGTGTCGGCCACGTCTTAACAGCTTCCAGTTTCTCGGGTTCGATCTTGACCCATCCCGGGGAGATTTCGTAACCCAGAAACACTGTTTTCTTCACATGAAACTCGCTCTTGTCCTTGTTGACTGACAATTTGTGCTCGTGCAGTGCGTCCAGCACCTGCCGCACGTGTTTCTTGTGTTCTTCGAGTGTCTTGGAGTAGATGAGAATGTCATCCAAGTAACAGACTGCGAATTTATCGAGGCAATGTCGAATTGCGTGGTCGATAGCGGCTTGAAACGTCGCTGGTGCGTTGGTCAACCCAAACGGCATGACGAGGTACTCGTAGTGTCCGTAGGGTGTCCGAAAAGCCGTCTTCCATTCGTCTCCTTCCTTGATGCGGATGTGGGCGTACGCTGTCGGAAGGTCGAGTCGTGTGAAGTGTTGTGCTCCTGACAGCTGATCTCGAAGCCTTGAGATCAGTGGCAGTGGGTAGCGGTTCTTCACCGTCTCGTTGTTCAACTGCCGGTAGTCCACACACATCCTGAGCCTTCCATCCTTCTTTGGGACGAAGAGGACTGGGTAGCCCGCTGGAGATGTCGATGGTCTGATGTGTCCTACCTCGAGGTTCTTTTCGAGATAGCTCCTCAACTCTGCATCTTGCTTCTCGTTGGTGTGGTACACCTTGAAAAACTTCAACTGGGCTCCTTCCTTGAGTTTGATCTCGTGATCCCAAGGTCCGTGGTCTGGTAGCCCTGCAAGATGTTTTGCCGTGAACGCCGGGTGCCCCTTGTAGTCGTCTGGGATCTGCCCCGTCTTTGCGTTCTTCGCTGTACCCTCGTAGTACGCGAACTTGTTGTTCCCAGGCTCGATGCTTGCTGCTTCGAGTTCCCTGACTTCTTCTGCTGCCAGCTCGATGCTTGCCGCTTCGAGCTGATTGACCCATTGTTCGTGTTTGAGCATTCCGTGCTCGTCGACTGAGACGACGGCGATGGTTCGTTCCTCCCGTGTCTGCTTCTTTCGTCGTGTGCCGCTTCTTCCGGATTTCAGAGTGCGTTCTTCTGCACTGGCTGCTTCCTGCGGTGGGCCCGTAGAGGGGGTTCGTTCTGACCCGCTGCTCTCCCGTGGCTCCTGTTCTGCGCGTTCTCCCATCGAGTTGGTCGGATGCTCTCGCTGTTCCCGCGGTCGCAGATGGCCATCTCCCTTCCAACTGATGTCTGGGTCGTAATCCTCATGCCATGGGCGTCCGAGAATCATATCTTTCTCTGGTCCCATGTTCACGATGTCGAATACCACTTGGGTGGTTTTTCCTTCCACCTCGATGTCGAGTGGTTCTGTTTCTCGTCGTACCCATTGCGTGTCGAATGGTCCTTTGACGACGTGTGGTTGCTTCTTGATCCTCCATGGGATTCTGAGTTGATTCACAAATGTGGGCGCAATGAGATCCATCTGCGCTCCTCCATCCACTAACGCGAGGGCTTCGATCTTCCCCCATCGCGCTGTGATCCAGAGCCTGTTGTCTGGCTTGGTGCTTCGTACAGCAGCTACTTCGTGTTCGTCTGCTGGGAGGTCGTTGTAAGGCTTCTGCTTGCGCCAGTTCTTCCTGTACTGCGCAGCCTGTCTCCGTTGTTGTGGAGTTAGAGATTTCCGGGCCCCTCGGAGGGCCCTGAGCCGTTTCCCAAGCTCGCGTAGTACTTCAAGGCGTCCCTGTCCGCACCTTGGCTTGCGGCATCAATCGTCTGGTGTTCTTGGAGCCATTGGGCCGCCCATGTCTCAACTGGGCGTCTCTCGTTCCTTCGGAACGCTCTTGTCCTCTGGTGTGGCTTCCTCTGGGATTGCTGTTCCATGTATCCCCAGATTTTCTCGTCGGCGTGTGATAGGCAGTCTGCACTTCGGCATTCGTCGACTCCTACGCCTGTCATACAGCGTCGGGGCCAGGCTGCCTTGGGCTTGACCCTTAGCCTGCCCTCGTGAGTGCGTTGGGTGTCCCACAACATGCTTGCGGGAGCGTCGCCGCTGTCGTATACCCATCTGATGGGCAGGGGTTGCATTCCCTTTTCTTCTCTTGTGGGCCAGAAACTGTTGCGAAATTTGTCCTGGAAGTGGTACCGACATTCGTGCGCGATGCACTGGAACCAGGGCAGGTAGATGTGACTTTCTTTTCGTGGGTCCACCCGCTCGTGGTCTTCTGGTAACAACTGGAATCCCTCCGTGTTGTTCTCGCCCCGAAAACCCCACCATTCAAGGTCGGAGGTTTGTCGTCCGGCGCGCACGATGTGCTGATGTCGCGTCCAGTATTCTTCCCAGCTCTGCTGTTTTCTTCCTTTCGCCGCATTCTGTTCCTGTGCGTAGTCGAAAAGTTGCTCGGGGTATCGTACTCCGTTTTCGTATCCTTCCGCCTCTTCGGTGGGTCCATCCCACGGTGTGTGGTGCGGAAGTGCCTGGCGGATGTCGTCCTGCAAGGCCTGTGCCTCTCTTAATGTCTTTTCGACGTGATCCCCGGCCCTGTTGTTGGCCTTGGTGATCTCTTGGACTCGTTCTCTGGCGAAATCGAGTTCCGCGCAAAGTTGTCCGTACTGGTCGTTCCTTCTTTGGAGAAGTTGCTCGAGTTCTTCTTTCTCTCTTGACAACTCCTCGATCCTTTGCCGTTGGCTTAGGACCTTCTGTTGCAGAAAAATGAGGTTCGGGCTGACTCCTCCTTCACCCTCGTGGGTTCGCCATTGCCCGTCCTCTTGCTGAACCAGGGTGATGCCCCAGTCCTCAGCGACTTGTCGGATGTACCGCGGGGGAGCCAGTTCTCCCTCGTCATCCGTTTCGATGAAAGCATGGTGGGCGGTGTCGTTTCCCTCCTGGTGGTTGCTGCTCATCAAGTCTTCTTGATCCGAGTCGGTGAGTTCATCGTCCTGCTCGATGACTCGGTCAATGTCGATTTCGAGGTCGTCCTGCGTGTAGCTGGCGGCTGCGACCTCCAGAAATCGGGTTCTTCTTCCGACCGTGTCTTGGTCGATGGTGGCGGCTTCCTTCCCTGGAACCGGTCTCCACTCTTTCTTGCTGCGGCAGTCACGTTTGAAGTGACCCTTCCTCCCGCAGTTGTAACAGGTGATGCCTGATTTGTCCTTGGCACCATCTCTCTTTCCTGCCCACTGTGCCTGGGCAGCGCTGACGTCCATGGGTCCCGAGTGCGTGCCGTACGCCGTGCTCTGGTGCTGGCGTTTCTTTTTGTCGTTGGGCTTGTGGTAGCCTGCGGATCGCTGAGTCTCGCTGCCCTTCTTCTGTTGTTTGCGGGCGAACTGTCGGTCGTCAATCTTGACAGCCATGGCGATGTACTCGTCGAGCGTGTCAGGTCGGCTCTCCTTGTAGAGCTCGTCCTTGACCTCCTCCTTCAGTCCTCCGTAGAACAGGTGCATCAGCCCCTCGTCGTCTATCTCTGCCTTCATGGAGTCTTGTCGGAAAATCGTGGCGTAGGCGGTGGCTGACCTAGTCTGCTTCAGCCGTCCTAGCCGTTCCTGGGCGTGCAACTTCTCGTCCTTGTCACCGAACACCTTCTGAATCTCACTCTCGAACTCGGAGTAGTTCTCGAAGACCTTTTTGGTGAAGGGTTTGTGGATTGCTCCGCCGAGGAAATCACTCAGTGTTCCCGTGAACCACTTGAGTGCCTTGTCCTTGAGTCGGGCGGCGGCGTATCTGGTCTTGGATTCCTCGGTGGCGAATTGGTGCGAGTTGTGGTCGAGGTAGTTCCGCATCGCCGTGATCCAACCTGGCAAGGCTTCCTGATCGCCCCCGTACTTCTCGGGTTGCTCCAATTTGACCTTCGTCTTGGCCGGGTCCTTGGTGTGGACCTCGGTCGCCGCAAGTCGGGCTGCCAATGCCGCGTTGCTGGCCTTGGTCTTCGCAAGCTCTTCTTCAGTTTCATCGAGTCGTTCGGTGACTCTCTGAAGCGCGGCCGTGATCTGGCCCGGCGTCGGTTGAGTTGCCATGTCGTTTTACCTTCGAGCCTGAACTGTAACAGATCAAAGGGAGTTAGCAACGTGTGACGAACCTGTCTCTGGACCCGTCCTGTTAGGGTTCAGTATCGGTCGAAGGTATTCTCTCAAGGGTGCTTAGGTTCGGTGCAGCCAAAGGGTGCACAACAAAGATTTGTCTCAACAGTAGGCTCTCGAGCTTGTAGCGAACTGTAGTTGTGATTGCTAACTGGAGAACTCCCAGAGCTCTCCAGAACGAGTGACTATATACTATCTAAGTCTTGAGGTATCTCCGTACCTTGCTCTGTATGCTCCGTGCCAGAGCACCCAGAGCGTCGTGCTCTCCCTGCTCTGTGCCAGAGCACCCAGAGCGTAGCGTGCTCTGTCGTGCCAAGAGCAGAGCACCCAGCTGGCCGCCGGTGATTGGCTCGGGGCGGCCCGCGCCCCGTGGTGGCATGTCTCCAGCACGCCCCTCGTTGGCTGTTCGTGACAGATATGCAGACCGTTGGCATCAATTACAGCCTGGCAACGCTGTGGCATTGAAGCCAGGAGTTCCCCGAAATAATCCTCCGGAAGTTCCTCCTACGCCTCCTTAACGTAATTCCGAAGTTTGTTGTAACTCGGATTTTCTTCCATCCTGTATTTATCCTCGATAAAATCCTTTATCTAATTCTAATAAGATTTAATCGGGTTTAGATCTGGGGAGAAAGGCGGCCATTGGATAACGCGAACTCCTCGTTCCTCAATATCCAGCTGAGTCTCGTGAGCTGTATGTCCGGGAGCATGGTCTTGTATAAGAACGAGATCCTCTCCGAAATCCTCTTTATACTGATCTATCTAGCTATAAATAACTGGAAGAGTATATTCCCGGTATGTTTTTATATTAATTATCCCCTAGCTTTTCTCTTAGAAGATTCCTAGACCTTTCTTTATACTAGTAAAGTAGCTCTAGAATATCTAACCTTTTTTATATTGATACTTCTCAACAATATAAGTTAGGTTCTATTCCTTATTAATTTACCGAATAATATAAGTTTTTCGATAGGGGCTACTCTTAACCTAGGTTTCGTTGGTCTAGAGGATCTTTATCTATTGTTTAGGGGTCTAGTTGAGGTATTTATATACCTAAGTTAATCGAAGTTGTTGGTTCTTTTTAGAAATAGGAGGTTTCTTTCTCGCAGTATACCGACGAAAGCCCAGACGGTAGAGCGCTCTCTTGATTGCCCAGACCCTAAAGATCGCTCCGAAGAGAACTATTGATAGCTGTAAAAAGCTCATTCTTCTAGTCTTACGAGAAGAATAAACAAATTCAATAAGCTCCTCCTCTTGCTAGGTATTTAGGGTATGTAGCCGACCGGAACGTAGGGTAACGGTTGTAGTATTGGATCGAATCGCATAACGAACTTAGTCTTTCGAATAGCCAGTAATATAAACAATTTCGGTCTAGGTATAGGGGGCATTATAGTAAAGAGTATAAATATGTACCTTTACTTCGGCAGTAAGGTGGGTAGTATAGGGGGAGTCCTGATTGCGAGGTATTTTGCAGATGCGTCGGTAGGTGTTTGGTGAAAAAAACAGTGTTTTGCTATGTAAACTGGGAGTATTTTATATGGCGCCCCCTGGACCGGGTCCCCCTGTCGGTACCCACCAAGGGGGAAAAAACTTAAGCACCATACCATAGTAGTTATGCCCCGCTTACAGCGAAGATCGACAGCCACATCATACCAACAATCGAGAATCGTTCCGTGCTCAAGAAGCGGTGGACAGGTATTGACCGCAAGAGGAAAAGGAGAGATGCCGTGATGCCGTATTGTGGCGGCGAGCGGAAACACGCGTCGCTGCATCCCAGACCCGCACCGTCTTGTCGCGACTCCCACGGCCGTGACGTGTGGGTCCGAGGAGGTCTCAAAATGCACATGGAGGCAAGGCGCTTGCTCAGCCAAGGAGCCAACCAACCTTCTTGTCACGGGCTTTGAATGGAACCGGATTCCAGCGCCTCCCACAAAGTCAACCAACCTAGCAAACCTCCCACTGGCCGAAAATCTCGTGAGAGGAGAGAGTTTGGCCTCCTTCCTTTTAGTTAACGATCGTGAGAAATACCTACACTAAGTAAAGCAACCGCAAAGTCCCAACACCAATACCCACACATGAACTCTTCCCCATCCGTCTTTTCTCAAGCCCACATCTTGTAGAACAGGTCATCGAACTCGACCTGAACCCTCTTGAACGCCAGATAGACCTTGACAAGCGACGGGGCATCCGGATTACTACCCCGCGTCAGAGCAGTCCCAGTCTGTTCCGTCTCATCACTCCAAGCCTTCTCCGACTCCGCCTCCGACTCCGAGCTCGAGGACACCTCCTCATCCTCCCACGAATCCACCACCACCTTCTTCTTCTTCTTCTTCTCACCCTCGCCCGGCGCCTTCTTCTTCCCCGCACCCACCACCAACGTCGAAAGACCACCTGCCGCTCCCGCGTCAGCCCCTTCCTGCCAACCACCATCCCCCTCCTCCGGACCGCCCTCCATATCCGCCAAGTCCCCATCCCCACCCCCAGCGCCAAGGAACCCTTCCAAACTGGCCCCGATAGTAGCGAGCACCAGCGAGAAGTCCTTGAGCCGGAACCACAGATCGCCAGCCGCGACGCGGTTGTCGCGCTTCAGCGCCTCCGCGTCGCCGTTCTTGAAGAAGTCGAGCAGGTACGAGTTGAACTCGGCAGTGCCGTCGTTAACAGGCGCCCCTGGCACGACGCTCCCCTCCAGGGGGACACCTGCACGCACCGTCTCGCACAGCTCGGCCGTGGTGGCGAAGTCGGTGTCGCCGAAGCCAGAGAGGGCGGTGAATGGGGAGCGGATGGTCACGGGGGGCAAGTGGGGCAGCGGGGAAGGAAGGCCCGTTGTTGTCAGGGCGGTCGTGCTCGCCGAGATGGTGTGCTGGGTCAGTGGGAGGGTGGTGTCTGGCGTGCTGGAGAGGTGTTGGGTTACGTAGGAGTGAACGTAGCCGCGGAAGATAGACAGGGTTTCCACGTTGTGACGGGCGAGGAGCTCGTGCGCCCTCTGGGGTAGCGGGGGAAGGACAGTCCTGCGGGAGGTCTTGGATTGCCGGGGGCGGGTGTATGGTATGCGGGCGAAGAGGTGGCTAAGCGTCAGGACCAGTTCGAAGGCTATGTCCCGCCATTTGGCCAGGCCCATATCCGGGGAGAAGCCGGCGCAGACCTCGTGGAAATAGCCCCCCCGTAGCATGGTGTGAAAGGCGAAGGCGCCGGATTCGGTGTAGTACAGGTGGCCTACCAGTCCCGCGAAGTTGAGCGGCACGCCGGTTTCAGAGAGCATGTTCTGACGCCGGAGGTAGTCAATGGAGAAACGCAGATGGTGGGCAATGGACATCTTGGCCTGCGGACCTCCAAGGTAGAGCCTATTTTGTGTAATCAGGGACTTGACCGCGTCAGCAGCAAAACTCGAGTTATTCGTCCCGTGGAGCAGGATGAACAAGCGCAAAATTAGCGTGACCGAAGCCGGGAACTGGCCGCGCAGGTCGGGAAGTTTCGCGGACATAACTTCGAGCGCGCGGTGCGGGGGCATGTCGTGAAAGACAACATTACCGAGCATGTCGAACCCACGCCGGCCTGCACGTCCAGAAGCCTGCCGGTAGTTGAGAGCCGTTAGAAAGATGGAATCCCCTGTGAAGATGACCGTCTTGCAGGGCATGTTGATACCCATGGCCAGCGTCCCCGTTGCGACGACGACCGTGAGGTAACCCTTTCGGAAAAGCATCTCAACCCTAAACGGAACAAACTCTTGGTCAGTACCGAATGCCTGCGCAGAGCAGAAAAAAGAGGAGTAGGATAAGACTTGACTTACACTTGGCGATATTGTCGATTCATACCGGCGTGATGCACACCCACACCGCGGCGCAACGCGTCAATGAAGGGCTGCCGGACGGAGTCGGCACGTATGGTCCGGAGTCGTCCCTCCAGCTCCTCTTTCGTGATCTTGGTATTGTCCGCAAAGCTGAACTGGGCGAGTGGCGCGTTGGGATCAAAACTCTCCCACTTGCTAACATCACGATTTGCCGCGTCGCGTGCCGAGTTGGCTTTTCCCTGATCATCTCCATCATCTTCACGACGCTTAGTACTCGCCTTCTTCGGGTTCTTCGCTTTACCGGCCTCCTGGGCCTTTTTCCAGGATTCAAACGCGGCCAGTTTGGCGATCCAAGCTGAATTTGTCGACCGGTATTTTGTTTCCGCCCTTGTCAGAACATCAAAGAGCTCAGTGCCAATCGCTTCACACTGCATGCGGTCGTAGTTGAATAGTATGGCTGGCAGTGCCCCACTCGAGCGCAGGTCGGTCACCAGGGAGAAGACAGAACGGGTCGATACCAAAGGCCATTTCTCCGCGGTATCGACAGGAGCGTCGCCGCTGTCCGAGGAGCCCAGTTCCGTATACGACTTGACCAAGCGCGAGTACCGGTGGCCGCGCAGTTCCTCTTGCACGGCATCGAACGGGGACTTGGAATCGAGCATCCATTCGGCAAGATGGTCCTTGAGTGCCGTCTCCCATCGAACGACGTCGGCTTTCCGAACAACTTCTGGCAACGCATCCTCTGGGTCCAGGGACGGGGGCATTTTGTATTCGGCGTTTGCATGTTTCTTCATGCACCTCCAAAGGCTCAAGCAGTCTTTTGGCTCCAGGCTGGCGTCGCTCAGTGTATCCCGGTTCCTGTCAACGAGGCCCGCGATGGGGTGAACAAACAGGAACGGTGTTGGGTCACTTTCCGTCAGCTCAGAGTCGAGTCCCGGGTAAGGCAGCCGCTCGACCGGGGCAAGACCGGTAAATTCGGAGAGTGATGGTGCCGGGTCGTGGATGAACTTGCGGAGATCCGAATATCTCGACGAATGTACGATCATCTCGAGCTCGAACCCCTTGAGGTTCTGGGACTGCTCCATCCAAGACCGGAACTCATCCACGTTTGCGATGGTCGCCGAAAGAGCGATGATCGGGCACGGCGCAAGTAGCAGGAGCTGCTCCCAGATTACGCCCTCGTCCGACTGCCCGATACAGTGCACCTCGTCAAAGATGATACGCTTGATCCGACGCGAAAAGTCCGTAGGCTTCTTGGCGTTTACGGGCGCCAGCAACAGGATCTGCAGAATCGAGGGCACCGTCACCAGAATCTGGCATCCCTTGTGGCTGTTGACACGGTAATCCCTCGTGTGGATCGCCCATACAGACCGGCCTTCCCGATTGCCGTACTGCTTGGAAAAGCGCGCCTGGATCTCAGCGGCGATCTGGTTGACAAGTGCCTTGGTGGGTGCCACGTAAACCAGGATATCATCGTCGTTCGCTTGCAGGACCTTCTTCATCGCGTAGAAAGAGATGAATGTCTTTCCCGCTGAGGTCGGCGCCACGGCGAGCACGCTCTTGTTGGCATCGATGGCGTCGAGGACCTTGCGTTGCCAGGCATCAGGGTGGAAAGATGGAACGCGGGGATCTGGCGCAGAGTCGAAACTCCGTTCCAGGTACGGTCCGCAATGTTCAAGCAAGAACTCGCGTGAAGTGGCGCCCGACGGTAGTAACTTCTTTCCCTTGAGTGAAAGCGGCTTGAAAGCCGGAAGTTGGCGCGTTGCGACAGACAAAGCAGCATCAGGTCGAAATTCGATCTCCAGAGACTCGTGTATCGCCCGAAGCTGAGAAGCGACATCCTCAGTGAGCGGCAACTTGCTGGCATCATTACATTTCGACCAAACCATGGCGAGCAGGGCGGGAACTGTTCATCAGAGTACAGAGGTTATCATGGCAATCCCGGGAACAGGAGGAGGTTGAGTGTATGCTTACCAGCGGATTTCGGAATTTCCGGGCTGCTCTGCATCTGCAGCAACACATCACCAAGATACAGGAGCACCTCAGCGCCAACAAACTGCCTGTGAGAGGACGACAAAGCAAAGAAATACTTCTCAGCTCTCAGATACCGCTTGACCAAGGACGGTTCTTTTGCGAATTCCAGACACCGTTCTTTCCAACTAGCAACAACCGACCGAGATACCACAACTTGTTTCTCTAGCATCAGAGCTTCTGCTTTCTCGTGCGCCTTTTGCTTATTGGTCTTGGGAGCTCCCTTCGTCTTCGCTGTCTTTTCGGGTTTCTTGGTGCTGTGAGGTCCTGTCGCCGAGGTCTTGGGGTTCGCCGTCGAATCCTGGACGATAACGGTTTCCGGGTCGATGTTTTTCCCAGAGGCGCCCGTCAGGCTAGCTGAGTAGGCGATCGTGTCCGACATGAACTCTTGATGCCTCTTTTTAGCGAAGAATCCCTTGGGTTTGGCAACGTGCTTCGGGTCAAGCGGTGCCTTAGCGTTATGCCAATGGGCCAGTTCTTCGAATATCTTCTCCGAAACCGCAGAGTCGGACGTGACCCCAGTCGACTGAAGTTGGACATTCGCTAGAAGCTGATCCATGATGGGGTGGCTGAAAGGAAGCACGGTAGACAATGGCTCCTGCGAAGTGTCCCGGCTTTGGGAAGTCTGGTCAATACTGCTCGCCGAGGCGCTGAACAAGGCGTCGATATCAACACGGCTCGAGACCAAAACTCTAAGAAGCTTCACCATCTGGCTGAAGCCCTGAGAGAGCTCTTGTGGCAACGGGGTACCAAACAGCGCCGCAGAGACGTTGAGGTAAAGGCGGCCATCGAAAAGGTCGAAAGCGTCCCATTGCAAGTTTACAAGGCTTCCCTCGAACCAGGCGGTGAGTCCATCTCGGGCGGCTTGAAAGAACTCGGCAAGAAACTCGGTGTTGGTTGTTGCGATGGCACCGGATTCTTGCTTGGCGAAGCTTCGTTGCGGAAGACCACAATGTCGTAGCATAACAAGATGAAGCAGAACACTGGCAGCTTCTCGTTGCTGCGGCACCTCAATTACTCCAGTTTCTTGGACGATGGAAGAAACCACAGTGGCGAGCGCACAGACGGAGATGAACTCCCTCGCGGTCAGCTCATCAGCAATCTCTGATTCGGCAGCCCTCTTCATCATCTCCGCCATACGAGGTGAGGGGCTAGAAGGGATCTCAAAGTGTTCTCCGCGCTCGGGTAGAGGTGTGACGTTCCCTCTCGGTGTTGTCAAGGAAAGGTATGCCTGCGGATAATCCGGTGGTTAGGGACAATACGGGCGATAGCGCTGGGGTCGGCGAACCTTTGAACTCTTGAACTCGACCCCTTCAAAGAATGCCACGCAGTATCCAGCCGAGGCTATCAGATACAGCATTTCCAGTGGGGTATGCTTGTCAACGTCTGACGATTCATCATGGGCCTTGGACCCGAGGAAGAAGTGCAGGGTATGACTGTCGAGGTATTCGCGGAAAAGGCGGCTCTCGAAGTTTGGGAACACATAGCTGAACCTTGCTGCGTTGGGCTCTCCGAGGCTGGTCGGGCTGGAGAAATGCTGAATGAGCACGGCGCGAGCAAGACGGTATTTGCTGGCACGCGAGCTGTCGGTCCGTATTTCGGTGGGCATACAGGCGTCGGCCTCGTTCTCAAACCAGAAGAGGTTGAACATGCATCCTCGGTCCCTTAGCTTGACGAGGAACGCCTCAGCAGCATGGACGAGATGCAGGAGTTGGAAGCCGTCTATTATTTAGGTTGTCAGCGAGCCCGCGAGAAAATGAAACGGAGGCTTGAGGTGCGGGGTTGGAATACCCACAGTCGAAATCAACCCGTGCATTGCTTAAGCAATGGGTGAGAAGCGCCTCTCCATGGATAGCAAACACGCCCCTGCCAGCAAAGTCGCCGACAACGTCGACAACGAGTGGGCTGAGCGAGGCTCGCCATTCCTCGAACCCAGACATGTTGAAGCAGGTCCTTGATGGTTTTGTCGCTTGAGAAATAAATACAACATACAAAACCAGGATGTGATGAGCGGAAGGTCCGAAATGTCGATTGTTGGTGGTGCAGAAAGAAAGACTGAACTTTGAAGGTTCCAGAAGAGGAAGAGGTGCAAACAGAGCACACGAGTTTTGCTGAGAATTATGCGGGGTAGGCAGGCCTCACCGCGCATGCTTTGTGCCTCCCATTTTTTTCGGTTTGCTTAAAATCTTTAAATGGACGTTCCGTCTGAAGGGGAAACACCCGACACTCGCTGAAACGGAGGAGGTATGAATACAGAGTCCCTCCTTCCCTTCCCCTTCAAGGAACGTGCACGTAATTGACTGCCTTCCCATTTCACATCAACAACCTCAATCTCAAATCATTATTTCGAAAGTTTCATTTGCCACGAATGAAACGCTGGAGTGAAATTCTCATCCTCCTGATTGTAATAAAAACCAACGGGCGTCCGCATGAGTGAGCAATCCACATGGAGTGTGGATGAGATGAACGAGCCCCCAAGCCAATCATTCCCAGTTCTCCGGCCAGTAAGAAGGCCTGTGGAGTAATGGTCACGTTCCATTCTCTGTGCTCTCTGCCTGCCGCCAAAGCATGGAAACGGCCCAACGGGCATTCTGTAAAATAGGGGGAAAACGCCAAGCCACTGCGAAAGGGAAGGGTGCCCAGCGAACATTGGGAGTGAAGATGCTAAGTTTCACGTTATTAGGTAGTCCAGACTGATTGCCGATCCCTTTCTTCTCTTTTCATCTCTCCTATCATCTCCCCGAAACGAGATGGACTTGAGAACTCGGCTTCCGCGACACCCTCTCCCCCAACTCAACATCATGATCCACCACACTCTCTCTTGAGCCACCCAAAAACGGACTCGGACTTCCCGGAATAGCACCCTCGCCAAACGGACTCATCACCATTCCAGCCCCCTCCCCATCACTGCTCCCCCTCCCCCCTCTCCCCGCACCAGGGCCCCTCTGCCGCGCCAGCGCCTTCACATGGCCCGCCGCCCGCATCCTCTCCATATTCTTCTCCCGCCTCAGCACCTCGGCCTTCATCGCCCCCGTAACCGTCCCCTCCCTCTCCCGCAGCCTATTCGCTTTAATCAACATCTCCCGCCCCACCACGTACAGGCCCGTCTTGACCACCACCCACGTCACGGCCGTGTTCCACACGAAGCTCACCGCGCTGCGCACCAGCACCACCCCACTATTCGCAAACACGCCGCTCGAGAAGGCGAAAAGGAAGGACGCGAGGATGATGCCCGCCGAGATGGGGAACATGAGCCGCAGCTCGGTGGCGAGCGGGAGGAGGGCGTCGGTGCTGAGCTCGGCGGCGTTCATGCCGAAGAGGGAGGCGCAGAAGGAGAGCGGGAGGAAGATGATGGTCACGATGGTGAAGATCATGATGGACTGGCCCTGTTTGAGGGTTAGTTGCGCCTGCTTGACGGCTTCGCGCGCCTCGATCACGCCGGCTTGTTGCTGTTTGAGGGTGAGCAGGTCTTTGAGCTGTGCTGGGTGTTAGTATGTGTGTGTGTCTCCTCGGGATTGTGTGTGTGTGTGTGTGTGGGTGGGTGGGTGTGTGTGTTTGTGTTTCGGGGTGGGATGTGAGGGAATAATGATTCCGGGAGGCGGGGACTGGGGGACATACTGCGACGGATGTGTTTCGGGCGTTTTGGAGGAGGGCGCGGAGCTCTTCGATGCGTTCGTCCACGTCTTGCAGGAGCATGTCGGCTTTGGTGAGGGTCCGCTTGGCGCTTTGGCGTTGATCTTCCTCGCGAAAGTGGGCTACGTCATCGGTGTAGGGGCTGTTGAGCTCGAGTGCTGCGACGTCCCATGGAGCGGGTATGGGAGCTACGGCGGGCCGGTGTGAGCGGGCAAGTGGCGTGATAACACGCCGAATGTGCTTGACAAAGCTCTCCATTACGCTCTGCTGCTGCTCCTTGATGCGCATCATGATGTAGAGCTCATCCATGATATCCTTGACCTCCTTGAGTAGCTCGCCCTCCGGATTGATGTTCAACAAGTGATTTTGTGACGAGTTATCCGTCGAGACATGGCGCTGGCGTTTGTAATCACGAGAGGCCAGGTGCGTGTAAATGAGGAATTGGTCGAATGCCGCCGTCTGCTTGTATGTTAGATCTCGGATGGCGGCGTTGAAGAGCTCAACGAGGTTGGGCTGTTTTGTGCTGATTTTGGTTCTGTCGAAGAAGACGCGCGAGGTTTCATCCACGATGACGAGAGCAAGGTCATACGCCGATGATATCTCACCGTGGCGCGCATTTCGGAGGCGTATCCGTAGGCTCTTGTGGATGGCCGAGGGGTCGGGTCTGTTCCTACTCCACCGGCGTGGGAAACTAGTGATAACAGTCTCTAGAAGATGTGGTGTCAGTGGGCTGAACGGTTTGGGGATCAAGACATGCTCACTCTCATCAAGCACCCATAACCACAGTTGATCCACCATCAATATCCGCGGCGTCTTTCGAATGTCTTCGTTGCACTGAGGGCAGGCGTCCATTCCGATACAATCATGTGGCTGGGGGGTGGTCCCTCGGTACACCACCTGATCTCTGTCCCTGGTGCCGGTGCTCCTTAAAGCGCCATAATAAGCCTGATCGAGTGTCCGTCTGGGATGCATCGGAGGTTCAGCGTGCAGATACTGCATCGTGAGCTGCTCCTCCATATGCGAATCCATGGCCTCGAGCAACGCAGCAGCGGCACGGAGGGCCTGGCCGAGAGCCACCTTCTTGTCCACGTTTCCAAATGCAGGAGGGGATGGTTGCGGTGCCCATTCAGGGGCAGCAATTGTGTCTCCCGTCTGAGTGTGAGATAACTGATGTTTCGCCTCTTTGATCACATCGGCGATGGAGCTCAAATTGTGCTTGCCCGCTTCTTTGGTGATCTCGGCAGACCGCACCCGTCCCCGGTCCGTTTCCCAGTGCAGATACGGCATGAATAACACCATGTTTCTAGGGTTTGGTTCGGAGCTGACTGAGTCAAGTGAGATGCCCGAGCAGAAAGGCCTCATATGCCTAGCGTGGACTTCGGAATTCGCGTCGAAGTTTTGTTGACCCCTCCAGTATCCGGGCTGAAGGACCATCTCGGTTTTTGATTCGGGACCCCGAGATCCGCCGTTGTGGAAAAGACCCCCCGGTTCCGGTCGCTTCTCACGGTAGTAACGGGCTATGACCTCTTCCACCCAAGCCATGTTGTTGGCGGGAAGATGAAAATAACGGACGACGTTGTCCTCGGCCGGCTTCATGATTGGGTTTCTCGTCTCGTCTTCGCATAGCAAATCCGCCATGGGAATCTTCTGGTGTGGGAAGCTTTTTGCGAGGTCAGGCACATCACATGGTTGCCCGTTCTTGAAATACATGACAGACGCTTTGGTGTGTATGTCGGCCGGGTGGGTGGCTCCACCAAACGCAGGGGTTGCCGGAGTTTGTGATCGTGAAGCCGGACCAGATTTGGACGCCGCGGCGTGCGGCTGGGACGAGCGGCCAGTGGCAGCGCGCCATTGAGCCATGGCGTGCTTGCATTCTCTGAGGCGAGCACCAGCCGTGGAGTCACGTTCCGTTGTCTCGAGACGGACGCGGAGGCTGGCGACTTTTTCGTTGATTCGCGCGATCCGCTGCTGGCTTTCTGGGTTGAGGCTGTCGTAGAAGCGCCCCAACCTCGCGGCAGGCAAGCAGCCATTAAAATGAACGGCGGCATCTGAGACACGGTTGTCGTGCGGTTTGTTGCTGAGGCATGTCGACGGAGCGTGGTGAGGCATGTCCACGGTTCGGTTGGAAGCCTGCGAGTGGTGTAAGCCGGGAAGCAAGCGGATCAGATCTGAGATACAGAACAAAACAAAATCACGATTGTCGGGGCAAATACATGGGAGAACGAAAGGTAATCAGATCCGTCCCAATTCCCACAACGCGTTGAAGGAAAAAAAAGAAGGAAAATGAAAGCAGTCAAGCTTTGCGGCTCGCCGACAGGGCTGAGACCACGCGCGCGGGCCTGGTCCCCTCCATCACGCGTGCAAGGGTGACAAGCAGTGCCTTTCAATGTCACCCTATGTGGCATCGCGGCACCTAAAATAGGGGTTCATTGATATTTCTGTCACCATGGTGCAAGCCGCTGGGTCATCCCCGGCTCTCGTCAACCATGGCCCGGGGTCGATGGGAATTTGGGATATTTCCACAACGGGATTCGCATAACTCGACAAAACACGACACCTCTGCAGCATCTCAATTTTTCCTTGTTGTTGTTGTGTTGGTGACGTTGAGCGCGACGCTGGCAACGCGCCTCGATGAACCGAAGATCCTGCCGGTGTTGAGTTTCGCCGTCTGACCGTGACACAAGACAAGCTTCTTTCGTCTCGTTACGCTAACGTATTTAGGTAAGCTACCCGAGTTCTTCAGGGTTAGGGCTCCATAAGGCTGAAATCGGTAATCGGGCACGTGCCAACCAGCAGCCAAGCCCTTCACGTGGATTAGGTACCAAGTAATTCATCTCGAGGTCAAGCTCGTCCGTACTCGTCTCCGCATGTGTTACCCTCACCCGGGATTACGCCATGACATGGGAGACATGCATCAAGGTACTTTGTATGCGGGACTTCATTCCGTCTCTCTCTCCATGATCCCTTCGCTTGGTCCCTTCCTCCTTGCCTCCCTAGAGAGGTTCTAGCTGAGCCCGTAGTAGCGTATCGGGCCGCTGCCATCCCGCCGGGGTCCTTTCAACGAGCGGCTCCCTGGACAAATATGACTTTCCCACACGCATTTCGCCGTCCAATAGCCTTTCACCGCACAGCTTCTCGTTGTACCAAAGCAAATGCATCTTCCTCGGGTTCGAAGCTCGCCAAACGCTTCCATCGTCGAGCGCACTTTCCCTAGTTTCCAGTCCCCATTTCGCCACCAGTTGCACTGGAAGCCTTAGCCCATTCCCGGCCGTGGCCCACCCCGTTTGGCCCTCGGCTGCGTCAACAAGTGCGGCCGTGTCTGATGAGATCACCTCTCTCCCTTCTCCTGTCCTCATGAGCCACGCGGTTGGTCCCCGGGAGACAAACGCAACGGGAAAGGCATGGGAGGTTTGGCTGGCTATGTCAGCCCTGATGAGAGTGACGTATTTGCTTTTATCGGAATTGTCCTGCGGCGTCGAGGTCAGCACGCAGAGGTTGGCCGTAGGCCTTACTCGGCCCGGTTCAGTCGCCAGTGTCTGTAGGCCATGAGTGACGGAATCCCAAGAATCCCATGCTGGAGTTGGGGCTGGGGTTTGGGCTGACGCGGCGCAGATTGGTGCGGTCCCCCAAGCACGTTTGCAGTTTACAAGAAGGCCCTGCATGTTTGGCAGAGTAATGGGGTTGTAGGGTGAGGCATCACTCTGGGGCAGAACAGCCCCAGTGCCGAATAGGGACGAGCACATGGTTCGCAGGCTCAGACGGGCGTACCGCATTTGGGGGAGGACAGTGCGGAGTGTCTCGCAGAGATGGATGGGTGCCCCGGACCCCGGGCCGGTTGTTGCATGGTCGAGGCCGGCCGTGTCGATTTCAAGGCTCACGCAGCTTTGTGGGAGTGATTCGATGATGGAAGCGATAGCGGTCTGCGAGATTTCGAAGTGATGTCCCGAGTTGTGTGGAGGGACATACAAGGAGAAGGCGCACAGCCTGTTCAAAGGCGCGATGGCGCCCGCGAGGCGTGTGAGAGTTTGCTCGACTTGCAAGTTGTTGGTTTCCACATCCTGTGGTTCGTGCGACAACAAGGTTGTTTGCGTGAGGCGCAAGGTTAACGAACGCAACTCCAGATTTGAGGCTGGACTGGCCACAAAGCTGTCGATGTCGTCGTACAACAGTGCCATGTCCTGTGGTTCCATGCTTGTGTGGGCTAGTAATATTCCAGCCTTAGCGAGGTGCAAGTCAGTGAAGACTGGAGACCAGAGAAGTAAAAAACGTGTGGAATTGGTGCGGGGATGGAGCGAATTGAGCCATCGACCCCTGGGCAACCCGCCCCCTCACGCCTTGGTGCTCCGGATAGCACATGAGGTACCGTTTCAGCCGCCAAAAATACGACGTGGAACACTTGGAGGACCGCCTTCATGCGCGACTACTCGCAGCCCGACTGACTGACCCACGAAAACCTGCAGAGAAAGGGTAGGTGGGTAGGTACCACCTAGAGAAAAGAAACCATATGCTACCTCGGTACCTAAGTTACATGTACCTTGTCTAGCACCTTAGGGACAAAAGAAGCTGAACTCTAAGTAGATGTCAACTATAGAACTTCAAGTCCTTGACTGTAGGAACAAAACGAAAGCTATCCTGAATCCCAAAGATAGTGGATTTACTCCATATACTTTTCTTTTATTCATCTTTCTTTTATCCCCTTTTCTTTTATCCCCTTTCTTTTCTTCTGCTTCTTTTACTCGATTTCCCTTTATTTGTTCTTTTCCCCCGATTTCTTGCCTTCTAGGTTCCTTTCGAGTTCGGCTTTCTTTTTTGGCAATATCCTGCTGCTGAGCAACAATCTCCGTGGGTCGAACCCCCGCACACAACGCAGATACCTGTTGTCGGGCCATCAGCCCACTACCGCTAACGTTTCCTGTCCTTCTGATGCGTCTGCGCCTTCGCCGCATACTTCTTCGAGCTGGCCTCTGCGTTCTTGGCCGCCTCTACATGGCCCTTGTAGATGTCCCTGCCCCTGGCCACCAGCACGTCTTTATACCGCTCGTTGAATGCGCGGCGTTTGTCGGCATGACTACATGTAATGACATATCCCCCCTATGATTAGTTCCGGTTACAACTGTCTCGACACCGGGAAAACATACATCTTGGCGCTCTTATAGGCTGCCGCCGCCAATGGGGCTAGCTGTTTGTGCGTTTCCTGCTCATGTGCACCGTTGACCTTCAGTTCGTTGGCCTTTTGGTTATAAGCAACTCTATCCTCCCCGGCTCTTCTATCAGCGGCCTTGTACTCCATATACTTGTTGTGGATAGTGTGCTTTGGTTGGTATTCGAGCTTCTCGTTGAGGGCGCCGCTCTCTTTCAAGGTATCGATGACGGTCTTTATCGGGCCGCTTTTCGTCCATCGGAAACGATAGAGCAAAAGAGAGGGTAGATGTAAGTGAGGAAGTGAACGTATATAAAAGCCGATCGTAAAAGTTCCAAAAGTTGTGCTAGATGTAGGAAGAGAGTGGTTTCGATTGTCTGGCTGTTTTCTGTGTCCTGTTCCATACCTAAGGTATCTATGATAGACGAAAAGCTGCCTGGCGCGGAGCGGCCCCGCAACAAACGTGGCAAGTGATGACACAAAGGAACGAGAGCGTGCCCACTACCTATAGTAGGGAGCGGCCTGTGCGGTCCAGGCTCCAGAACGCGAGCGCTGGTATTCCCACGAACTCCTGCTTTCTGCTTTGCCCGTTCACTTTTCTTCTGCATTCCCGCCGTTACGCCTGACACCCCCACCACTCGCACCCCGTAAACTGCCACGATGCCTTTGGTCACCAGGCTGTCCCGCCGGACGATGCTAAGGAAACTCGGCCATCACTGGTTTCCCGCCGCTGCTTTCCTTGAATGTCGTCATTTCTCCATGTCCTTCAAGGAAAACCAGGGTGTCGATGTCTCGATCGTCCGCCCCCAGATCGCGCCTGCCCTTCTTCCATACAAGATCGCCTTGACAGAAGCGTCGCGTCTACCCCGTCCCTTTGTCGGGAGTTCGGTCATCACCTTGCTTGATAAGCTCTATTCCCGACCAGATCGTCTCGCTTCCTCTACCCACCTACCAGTTGGCCTTGTACAACAGATAAACTGCACCTACGACAAAATGGACGCTATGGTAACCGACTTTGCAGTTTGTGCTTTGAAGCGCATCTCACCAAGGGACAAGGCTAGATCGACGAGTGTACCACTTTCTCCCGCCGAGCACTTTCGCTTCTGTCGCGCCTTCTATCGAGTCGAGTTGTTTTATACTCTCTTTCAGTGCGGCGCATTCGATGACGATATGAACCGCTGGTTCTTCTCGAGGCATCCCCCTTGGGAGAATGAGCAGCTTGCTTGCGTCTACCAGTACCTAGGGACCAGGCTTGATCAAGGTTCGTTAGCCTATGCTAAAAGGGCTAGTAGCTCTTCTGCTACAGCGATCTGACACTGCCTTGTAGCATTAGCCGAACGTCACACGGACGGTTTTGAGGTCCACGAGCAGGACAAGATTGATGATAGGAACCTGATAAACTCTTGGGTTCGTTGCTTGAGTCTTGTAAAGCCCTTACTTTGTTATGAAACTAATAACGCCTAAACTGTAGCTATCTCGAGGTGTCGAGTTCATATACAACTTGGTCAACGCCCCCTCTCCCAAGGCTAAGCGGAGCATCTTGGCGGCTGGCATCAGCGCTTCTTTCCGCGATGCACCTGCCTTAGAGCTACCTGAGGTTCTGCTCGATGTCTATGGCGGTGACGAGGACTTTTACCAGAGGTGCAAATCGGTAGCCCTACATCAGTATAGTCAGCCTAACGACGAGGATACCGACTCTGGCCCATATCAGGCGTGGCGCAGTGAGAACGCAAGCGATACGGTAACAGAATCGTTCATGCTCAGCGACGATTGGCTTCGCGACTGCGCCTACGTGTTTTGGGATAGTGACCGGGTGCAGACAATGGGTAGGTTTCCAAAGGAAGAGAGTCATGTAAGAGACCACTGAAGGGATGGGCGGCCTCGACGAGGACTATATCTAGAATGTTAGGGAGTTGGAATTCCCTAAAAGTCTTGGTCGTCATTACGGAAGATTTAGGGCCATGCTAGGCAGTTTTAGGTGGTGGTTGAGGGAGTGGTATTCCAAACTCCGACTTTATAGACGCGTAACGGAAGAGATCCGCGGCGGGTCCCCTGTTCGCCTATCGAGTTGTCGAACGTTTTTATACCAATGGGACTTCGGCACATACTCGACAGCTAATCACAAGGCGTCGGGTATGTACATAAGGTACATGTCACCTTCGGATTTCTCTTTTTCCATGAGATATTGGGTTTTAACGACGTTCGTGTGATATGTCGGTGACGATTTAGGGGAGCAGTCATCCAACGCGACCGCCCTAGTTCCTGCCGGTCGTCAAGCGCCTGAGTTTCTTGAAAAATGTCCCTTGTTGCCATTCGTCGACATTGCACGCGAGTTCATGACAGACCGGGAGGGCTCATCAGCTGCCTCTTACCTTGAAAAGGTTATTAAGGGCAGCACGCTGAACGAAATGAAGCCGCCGTCCAATATCTGAACCTCTTGGGTGCGAGGTGGGGGGAACTTTGCCATAAGGAGTATCAAACTGAAAGTGATGTAGGTAGGTACATATTAATCGTTGCAGATAACCCAAGACTGCTAGATGACTTCCATTCGAGGTGACGCTACTGCGTTGTGCGGCAAAATAGTCTCGGTGGTTCTGTCAAATGCCCGTTTATTGTGTGCTGCGAGTATAGCAATACCAAAATATAGGGAGACTACCTATATAAAAGCTCTCAGCCTTGGAGCGACTTGATGATGTAACTTTTGAACTGAAGAAGGGATGCCGGTTGACGGCGTGACGCAATGGGGAAACCGCCAATATTTGGTGGGGACAGTCTGATCGCCAGTGGGCCCAGGAGAACTTAGAAGAAGCAACCTACAAGCAGTCTATAACCGTCTGTTCTAACGCGGAGTAGGGATGCTTGGGGCGAGAGGCGCCGCCTTGAAAACATGCAACGGTCGAGCCCTCCCACGAACTTCCTAGAAGTACCTCCTCCAGTTCCCCCCCAATTCCATCCAACACTCCACTAACTCGAGCGACCGACCTTAACAATCCACGGCTTTTGGTCTTCTTCGCAAGCCACGCGTCATTCGGAACCACCAAGGGTCGAGTCATCGATACGGACCGGACGTTCCACTGCCATGCCGTTCCTCGACCTTCCAACGGAGCTGCTCATCCACATCCTCGCCTCTGCCTGTTCCCTGACCGATCTGCGAACCCTGGCGTTCACCTCGCGCAGGACCTACGCCATCTTCCAGGACGAACAGGCGGCCCTCATCTACCAAGCCCTTGCCAACGAACTGGGGCCGGTCATCGATGACGCCCTCGGCCTTTCCGACCTCGAGGCTTTCGGCCTGGCTGCCCCCGATTACTTCAATGACGACTACCGAGCCGCCCTCACCAAATACGGTGGGTATCTCTCAGGCCACGGTCACCCATCCCCTCGCCAGCTGCCGCTGGACTATGTATTGCGCCTGGTCCGCTCGTATCGGGCCATGTCCGAACTGAGCGGAATGTACATTACCAGCGCATTCAACCTCATCAAACGCGAGGCCCTACCATCGTCTGTTCCCACAACCCCACCTGGCTTGACGGCTGCCCCAAGCCGCTCGGAGTGGCTCCGCGTCCTTCGGGCACACTATCGGCTACAGATGGCTCGTTCTAGCTATCACGCTGGCGCGTCCGCGATCGAAGCCAAGTCGATAGAGGACGCCCGAAACGGCAAAGCTTTGTTGTTTGAACTGTGGGGCCCATGGGAAGTCCAGCAGATCTTTTCCGTCGGTGGCTTGTATAAAAGACTTGAACATCGCCTCATTCATTCGCCGAATATCGACATGTCAAAGGAAAGCTGGTTTACTCTGCCGCTCGATGGTTGGCTAGAATCCCTCAAGAGGCTGCAAAGGACGAACGAGGCCGGGTGGCAGATGGCGCTTGAAAAAACCTCATGTTTCAACGTTGATAACTCTACGTCCCGATCTGCGGGCGACGAGGAGAAAATAAGCCTCATCTGGCACCGGCTTTACTAGGGTGAGTGGCGCATGGAAAATGGCGTTCCTGAACGATACAGGTTCCCGACTGCCCTTCGTTTCGATGGCGACGACGTCGCGGCCGTGCCATTCGCTTGGGTAGATGCCTTTGATGGGTACTACGGATACCACTATTGGGGAGTCATGCCCGGAATCAAGCGCGGGGGGCAAGCAGCTCAGGGGCTTTGGTCGCTCTTCGGGTTTGTCCTCTGGGATGCGCCACGGGTGGAGGCTTTAAAGACGGCCTCTTTTCTGTTGTGTTGCAACACGGGCTGGCTGTCTTCAAGCAGCCGTCAGTAAACATTGTCCCGTTTCGAATTGAAGAGTTAGTCCCGGCACTATACCATGGGACCTGGACCAAAGTGTTGGAGGTGGTGGTAGTGGGGTATATCAGTACACAGATCCGGCAGGTCCCCTCACGGGAACCGGTCTCCGTTTTGGGACTTCCGATACAAAGCGACCGGAATAGAATCCCATATAGTCTAGCCATTCTCCTGAGCTTTAATACAATTTCTTGAAAATATGTATTATTACCTTTACCTTGCTAATCACGTAGACGTCGACTGATATTTATCAAAACAGAAACCGCTAGCTTATCGTACCTAGGTATATTTCGGTTCCACGATGCCTTGGGTTTTGGACCCCACATGCTCCCCCCTATTCTGTTGTTTCGGAGTTATGGCCTGTTGTGACTCTTTGCCGCCGCTAACAAGCGAGGGCATCCCGTAGGATTCTGCCAAGAGCCAAAGCCAAGCCGCAAGAGTTTATATAAAGTCGGGGACGTGTCGCGTTGAAAAACTCGACCCTAGATCCCACCACCTCGCTCCTCCACAGCAATGGCGGGACAACAGTTTTCCGGGTTTCTCGCGTTCTTGGCCATTGCCAACCTTCCCTTAACCGCCGGATACTCCCGGGGTTTCGGGGGCTACGGTGATTCTTCCGGACGTGTCGGCCCGTGGGACGCCAACTCCACAAACTTTCTCGAGGCCGTCGCGGCCTCCAACGCCACAGGCGTCTACAAGATCCCCGGCTATGACGTCTCGAAACCGTATCCGGGCGAGCCCATGGACGGCTGGCGTCTCCGCCTCGCCCTCCTCGACATGTCGCAGGCAGCCTACTCCCCCTCGCTCAACAACAGGGACCCCTTCGTCGGGTACAGCCTGACGATCGAGGCGCCGCCGGCGCTGCTCAAGACCGACGCGGACGACGGCACCAAGGTGGTCGACACCGACCCCAGCTGGGGCATGTGCATGTGGCACTTCGGCCACCCCAACCAGCTCCGGAAGGAGCGCTACAACAACCTGGACAACAAGCCGCTCGCCGCGGACGGCTCGTGCCGGGGGTTCCTCTCGGACGCGTGCATCGCCGCGCTCGAAAAGGCCACCGAGGACGAGTACGAGATCGCGTCCTCGGCCAACGCGACCCGCGGCGGCCACGGCTCCCTCGCCACCTGCAGCCGGATGGGCACGCCGGACGAGTGCGGCGGGGGGTACGGCCCCGGCGGCGCGTCCCCGGTGTCGGTGCCGGCGGACGCGGGCGTGCCGGTCCGCTTCCTGAACGGCTCCGTCACCACGTCGGACGGCTGGGAGTTCGAGCACACGGTTCACTACAACTCGACCGAGGACCTGCGGGAGTACTGGGACTCCAGCGTGCTCAACTACTGGGTGATTGTCACCGCCATGGTCAACGCGACGATGGATCCGGACAGGTCGGACAGGTCCGGCCCCGGCTTGAGCAGGGTGCACTGCGTGGCGCCGAACGGGGAGGGGACGGGTAAGGGGTTTACGTTCTCGGGGGTGGTGCCGGCGAATTCCCTGAATGGTGATGGTGGAGAGGGTGAATCGGGTGATGATGCAGGTGCTGGTAACGGTGGTGGGGATGGGGGCGACGGTGACAGTGGTGCAGGGTTGGTCAGCCCGGGAAAATGGCGCGTGTGGCTGTTGTTGGCTGTGCCAGTTGTTCTCGCTGGGTGGGTGTAACCCGTGCAATGACCGAGGAAACGTCGAAACGAGGTGAATGTGCCGACGTGCTTATTCGTCATTGCAGTACGGATTTTTATTATCATAATGCATAATATATACAACAGAGCTCTCCTTACCGCTTTACAGGGAACTGACCCGATAAAATTCCAGGTTAGGTAGGTATGGAACTACCTTGAACCCGTCTCTTCCATCGTTGTTGTTTTTCTCTTTCTTCGCACCGGCAACCGGCACCTCGTGAGAAATTAGTGTGGGGACACTCCGGACTTCCCCACCAACTGACTCCATGCCAAGAGACATGCGAAAGGCGCCTCGACCTTCGCGGAATCTGCCTTGGTTCTGCCGCCGTCCCGTCTTGGGTTACGTTTGTTGGTTCGGTGACCACCACCAACACACTCGGGAGATGAGATGCTGTGTATACCTATAGATCTACAACCTTGCCGGCGTAAAGTGTTGTTGTGCTCAAGTCCGTAAATCCACAACGTTGAACTCACCCGTCCTGACCAGGCAGCAAAAATGAAACTTTCGTTTTGGGCAACCGCCGCATCAGTGGTAGCAGTGTGTGCACAGCAGACTCCAGTGACGCCGCAGCAGGTCGAGATTGACATTGTCTTTCCCCGAAATGAGACATATAAGGACCTCGGCGTATTCCCCATCGTTTTCGCAGTACAGAACATAACGGCTCTCAGGAGGGGCAACTTCCAGCTAATATGGGACTTTATGGGGTTTCGCCATTCTGGGGGCTCGCCCACCGGGGCTGTCTTTGCACCTGCCTAGGTAGAGTTGGGGATGATGCATGAATGGAAGGCAGGTGTGTTCAGTTGTGGTGTGGCATGACAGGTGCAAGCGGTGCACTTGTTCACTGGTTAACTACCTAGGTAGGAAAGGGGAGGCGGGGGCTTGTGGTTGACCACTGGCAGGAGTTGGTGGGTGTATCTACGGAATAGAAGATGGTTTTCTGCTAGAAAACGTAGGGCGTTGACATGCTATACTTTCGTAGGAGTTACTCTCTTTCAGCACTACGGCTCATGCCTGCCACGCCCGCAGCTCCTCTTCCTAGGCTTCCGCGCGCCCACCCTCTCCAAATGGCTCCGCCCGGAGTAGGTACATCGGCACCGGGGGTCTCGTCACCAGGACGAGGCTCGAGACGTCCTGGGTTTCGATCGGGGGTGTTGTAGTCAGCGTCGTGGCTGGCACACATCTGATCCCAATCGTAAATACACTAGATAGGTACGGACAGTGATAGACGATACCGGGGTTCCATAAGGGACGCTTGTGATATCGCGTGAGGGGAGCCGTTCGGGCCGAATTACGGCTCCATAGAGTCAAAGGTGCCCGGATCGTAGGAGTATTCCAACGGCGCAACTTGGATAGCGTCCTCGGGCGGGCTATTGCGCGTCCAGAGGAGTCGCTTGCCGGTTGTGGTACATCATGGCCCGGAAAACCCACTCTTCGCCACTACTGGCGGTTACACCGGCGGTGTCCATGGAATTGATGGGCGGTGTGCGCCTGCCTAGAACAACGGCATTTCCACGTGGAGGCATATATTACCAAGTGTAGTAGGGATATGCATGAATGCGCGATCCTTCCATGTGGCGGCAGTTCGTCCTGTTTTCACAGCCTCAGTCTCTCCGCCCGATTTTTGAGTGCGAGGGGGCGAATGTGAGGCGCAGGTGCTCGGCATGAGTGGGACGCTCCTCCAAGGCTTCCTTGGAATTACCACGGGACCGAAAGTATGGAACTCTTGCATGAACAGGGTCGCACCGCTTAAATTAGCGAATCCATAAAACGCGTAAATATCCAGCAGGTACCACCTCAACCAAACCTGAAATCTTCTTCACCAACTCGTCATTGCTCCTTCCTCCTTTTATCTCCCATCTTTCCTCTCAGACCACAAACGCGCCTTCTCTCACAAACCACAACTCTACAACCTCCAAAATGCACACCACCACAACCCTCCTCACAGCGCTCACCAGCGCCAGCCTCGCCCTCGCCGGCCCGGCACCCGCACCACACCCTCCCCTTGTCACGCCGGCGCCGATGGTCCAGGCGGTCGCCGCCCGGCTCGGGGTGCGCCAGTTCCGGCCCTCGTCCGCAGAGGCCGACTTTTCCAAGTCGACCGAGTGCCTGCGCGAGTACACCTCGCTCGCCGAGTCGGCCCCGCGCGAGACCAGCAACAGGGAGCTGGCGCGGTGGATGGTGTCGGCGGCGTCGCCGATCGCGGACGCCGTCACGGCGACCGAGATCGACGACTCGCTCACGTCGGTCTGCGACGCCAGCGTGACGGCCATCACCCCGCCGGCCTCCCTCTCGAGCGCCTACTCCACCTACCGCGAGAGCGCCGACTCGTGGCTCACCAGCGTTGCGCCCTCCGCCAGCAGCGTCGCCCAGAGCTGCGGCGGCCAGATCGGCTCCCTCATCCAGCTCCTCGTCATCACCGACGGCGAGAGCTGCACCAAGGCCGTGCTCGGCATGGTCGACGCCATTAACGGCGATGACGGTGCCACCACCACCACCGGAGGCGATAGCGCTTCGGCCACGCAGACGACTGCGCCGGAGGAGACGGAGACGAACAGCGCGGGCGGCGATGGTGATGATGATGCCGATGATAACAACGATGGTGATGACGACTCGGGCAATGGAAACGGTGACTCGGACGATGGAAACGACGACGCGGATGACGGCTCGGCTGGCGCTGCCGAGACCACAAGCACCTCCACCGCCGGCGTGCCGAGGGAGACGGGCATGATGGGCGTTGCGGCCGCGGCCGCCGTCGCCGTGGCTGGTGTTGTCGCGGCGCTCTAAGAGAGCTCGCTTGACTGGGCTTTGGGTCGGCAGAGGGCTGTGCGGTATTGGCGCATGCACTCATGATCTTGGGCACCCCATGGCTGTTATCTCAGACGAATCTCGACGACTTACAGCAACCATGGCTCGCCACAACTCAAACAAACCAAATCTGAAGGCGTATTTGACTTGATTGGGCTAATATTTGATTGGAGTTGACTAAATTTGATCTGTTTAACAGCAGTTAACTAAATCCTAATACTATATGTAACCCTAACTCCCATTATACGCTCATGCCCTTTCTACCTTAACAGCCATTAAATACGCGAAACTATATAAAAATGAACTTGAATCAAATAAGATTATTTTATTCCAATATCAAGGGTACCAAGTAGGACGCCCTTATAGATAGTTGGATGACTGGTTTTGTCGGTCCAGCGAAATTCGTCATGCAAATGTCTGTAAAGCAAAGCCTGTTGTGACAGGTTTAGGGTGCCACAGGGCGTGAGTTGTGGTGGCTGTTTGGTCGGCTGCTAAATATGAAGTGGTCAGGTGACCCACATTAACCTTTCCATCGTGTCTCTTTTGTCTTCCAGAACTTACGTTTCTTTCAACTTATTTTCGCCGTTTCAGTCTACAATGTCCTCACGGATGGATTCCCCCGGCACGCCAAGGCAGCGACAGGACTTGGAAGTATGGCGGGAAGCATGGGAAAAGGAAATGGAAAAACTCCCTCCGGACGGGCGGTTCCCGTTTCCCGATCCGCGCAATTTCAGCGTCGCAACTCAGGCGCGTAAGGTCATCGACCTCCTGGAGGAGCATGGAATCCCTTGCTGCGTCATTGGAATCAAGGCGCTGTGTTATTACGGTGCTCCAAGAATCGGCTCTGTATGCCCCCTTCCTGAACCTTATTTCCTACTGACATCTGATGACCGACTTTCCCATGTCTTAGGCGCTGGAATTCTGTGTACCCACCGAACAACTTGCCGCTGCCGACTCCGTCTTTTCTAGCGGTCCGGAAAAGGAAAACTATACTGCGTGGAGAGGGTTCCAACCAGGGGCTGAAGCCCGTGTGTCGGGCTCCCTTTACCATACCTTCCCCCGGTACCGGTTAAACCACGACGGGCCTCTCTTCAACTTCTACCTTGTTCCTTCCATCGACTGGCGCTTCAATTGCATTCCAGAGAACTTTGAATACAGTGCCCAGCACCACCTCCCGTATCCAAAGCTGCATTTGTTTGCCCAGTCTCTGTTGGAAAGGCAAAGCGTCGGCGACCTCACCGACTTGGTCGACGGCATGGACCTGACCGAGGAATGGGGCGAAGAGAACCTCAAACTCGAGGACCCGGGCGAGGATCATGCGCAGTGGGTGGCAAAGAGGAACGAGAGAATCCGGGCGGCGATGCCACAGGAGGTCAAGGACGACCCCATCAACATCATGTTCGGCACCGACGTCTACGAGCTGCGTGAAGGGCCGCAGGAGTTCAGGGACGTGTTCGCCGACGTGGTGCGGGCGAAGCCGAGGCGGATCGGGCTCGAGGCTCCCCCGGGGCTGTATGTCACCAAGTACCGGGCCAAGGACTCGCCTGATCCGCGCACGAGGATACGGTTTCATGTCTGAGACTCCAAGTTGAGACTGATGTCCCAATCGGTTGTTCGTCAGCTTTTATGTCATTTTCCTTTATTCTGACGCTTCTGGTGGGGTTACTAAATTAGAACCGCACGGAGAGAACTTACCTAGGTAGACAACTTTCTATAAACCAATGATAACATTCATACTAAACTATCCATATCCCATCGTCTCATCACCTAACGTCCGAACAACTCCCTACCACTTTCCCCAACACGATAGCCTTCGAACGACTCCCTGTAGCTTGGTATGGGCGCAGCGCAGCCTAACCGCAGAAGGCCTTGATGCTGTAAAACGCGTGAACGTCGTAGCAGTTTCCGTGGTAGGCCTGGAACTCGGCCCCATCGCAAGACTGGGATGCGTAGATGAACACTAATGGTACGGGGAAGGTCAGTCTCGACTTTGTGTTTGTACTTCGCACACCCGGCATAAGAAGACATTATAGCAACTCGAATGAGGCTATGAGCTGTGGAAAACAACTAAGGGTCGATATAGAAAGCAATAAACGACAGAAACACAAACCTCGGCAGGTGTTGGCGATCTCGCGGATCTTGAACCCGTCCCCGGTCGGGAGCAGGTAGCAGCCGCCGTCGGGGGCCATGTACGGCGCTTCCCAGCCGCCGCACGCGCGGCCCTCGTACTCGGTGAAGCGCACAGCGGGGTCAACCGCTCGGGCCGAGATGCCCTGGGTTTCGTTGAAGCTGGCCACGTCATCTGGGATAGCGTGCAGCACCGGCGCGGGGCCGTCGGTCGTGGTGCCGGGCAGGACCGCGCCGCGGGCAACAGCGGCCAGGCTGGTTGCGGCTAGGAGGAGGATGTGGGTGAGCATTGTGATGTTGGGTGTTTGGGTTGGTAGCTAAGGTAGGTAGGTAGGCAAGGGTGGGATGGCGGTGATGATGTTGAGGATGATTTTAGGGGTTCTAAGACGGGGCAACTGCGAGTTCAAATAGACATAACGGGGGAGCGTCTTCAACCCCCCCCATCATTCAACTTCGCCGCCTAGTTCGAGTAATCGATGATCGGGTCATTAGGCAGGTCGTATGCAGCATTTACCTAGTGTCCATGTGGCGCATTCGGCATTCGGTGTGGTTAATACTCGGATCCACTGGACTTGACAACAATTATCGACTCCAACTTGTGTATTGTCATCTGAGATCGAGTAGTCGATTAATTACAGGGCCATTATGCAGCGTTACATCACACTAAGATACCTATCAACCCAGGCCTCACCCATACTCAGATCCCTCTTCGATGAAGGTCCGGTAATTAGCCTAGTGGTTAGCGTTCATTGTACCTAGGTACCTATTCAGGTTAAACGCTACTTCTCGGCGAGCGCAATGTTAGCGTACGTTGCACAATCCCTTTTTTCTCTTTCTTGATTCTCGGGAGAACCTGGTCCGCCAGGGGTCAGGACTCACATCGAGCCCGACTCACCCGATACTCTGCATCCTCAAGTCGTACCCCCGATCACAGCCGATTACTTTAGATACTGTGGTATAAAGATGTCGCGAACATAAGTATCTATTTTGACACCCTCTTCCCTCAAGTGTAAGAAACACATAAGCAGTAGATATAGTCCACGGTCTTATTTACTTTGGTCGATCTCCTGCGAACAGGCTCGGCGCCGATCACCAACATCCATCAGCCACGATAGGTACCACCAGGTCCCCAGACGTTCCATGAATGCCTTGGTTTTATTCTCGCGGAAACATAGGCTTCAACCTCTCTACAAGGTTGATACGGCAGCATTCCGCGCTCACGAGTAGCCATTTCAACAAAGGAAAGGAAATATAGCGTATGTTGACGCCAGGGACCCTTGGTGAGTGTGTCACAAATTGGTTCCGTGCACCTCGGGTCGCGGCACAACCTATAACGACCATTGGCGCCACCATAGGCATCGACATGGTCTACGCTGCTAAGCGCGGGACATATGTTCTCGAGAACGGGCGTATCCAGCTTCAGACAGGCAGTTTGTAGCATGAGAAAGTCGTCCATACGTTCCGGAACGATGTGTTCTGCCACGAGTAGGATATCGAGCAGCCGCCGGATACTCGCGGGAGGGGGTTGCGGGATGTTCCACAGGACTGGAATCCAAGAAAAAAAGACGACATCCAGAGAGGGGTTAAAATACATGCAGGGGCCAAGGTTCCAGTCCTTGTAGCTCGGGCAGTCGAGGTCTCCAACAATGGGGTGGTAATGGCGAAGCGTTTCCTGGCGGGCCTCATCGTTGAGATGTGCGGTAACTGGTAGCGTGGGAGTGCCATGAACTACGTGTTTGAGGTTTTCGTCCACGCGAAAAAACACCGAGGGCGATACCGAGTGCACTGTAATCTTTCGCGCTTCCCAAGTCGACCTGTAGATCATGAAGCGAAGCTCAGGAGGAAGACTGTACCAGCCTACTCCCTGGGGAGCTTGGCCAGATATGTTTTGACTCATGTTGATGTTGTCGTCGTTTATGTGATTTCAATAGTGTCGTATGCAGCGCAGGGCCATGGAATGAAGGTACCTAAGCTGGAGAATGGAAGAATAGGCCGTGTGTGTTGAAGAAGTTGAACCTAACAGAGGAAACGGCGCGCAGATGCGCAAGGTTTTATCTTCCTCTAGCTCACGTGACGTGGGCTCTGCCCAGTTCCATGCAGGGGCTGCGACAAAGAGGTACGTACCTCGGTAGGTCCCGAGGGATGTTACGAATTACCTCCCGTCTGTACCTCGGTTTGTATGTACTGGGGGAGTCCCGTTCCTGAGTGCCCGCCCGTGGAATTTGTTCTTATATATATTATATATCCTCAAGCCACCCAATGCCGGAGCTTTGACCTTGTGAACAATCAAATGTTACCTTAGTTTCTTTCCTATTGTAAAATCTTCCAGATTGTTCAAGACTCGGGTTTTTTATTGGAGTCGACCGACCTCTTCCCGATTTGGAACTGAGAGCCCAAATCTGGACCGGAATATCTATGTTCCTCGGCTAAGCGGGTACGGGGAATGGATGCGGGACTTATTGACTCGGTGACGTTCGAGCAATTACCTAGGGAGGTACGTTCTTGCTTGAGTTTGTTGACGATCGAGGCAAGAGAAGGAGATAAGCAATGGGGGGTACCTTACCCGCTCGGTTGTGGGTGGCATTGAGAGCGGCAGTCCATCAACCAATCGAGGCGAGTCCGCGGGGCAGAGAGGCGCAGCGGTGTGGACCCCCTCAATTGCCCCGCGGTTCGAGGCCCCTTCTGTGGCACAAGGCAACACCACAAACACGACCAACAACACGTGCTGATCTCTCACGTCAAACCGCAAACCACTCGATTCTTACCATTCCTCGCCGGCCTCTCTCGCCACCGACCACCATGTAAGTGTAAGCCCGGATATCGAATGAACCCTAAGGTCTAATACCTCATTAACCTCAACCCTAGGATCGACCCCTCCATCCGCCTCCGCCGGGCAATCCACTCCAACGATGCGCTGCTCGCCCGGCGCATCCTCAAGTCACACCCCCACCTCCTACACAACCCCGACCTCTCGCTCACGGGCAACGCGAGCTCAAACCTCCACCTGGCCGCCTCGCTCGGTCACCTCCCTATCTGCAAGCTGCTCGTCGAGCTGGGCCACGAGGCCGACACGCCGGCACTCAACGACGACCACCAGACGGCACTGATGCTGGCGGCAGCAGGGGGCCACACCGAGGTGGTGCACCTGCTGAGCGAGAACGACCCCGGGTCGATCCTGCGGCAGGACGCGCGCGGGCGCGACGCCATCATGGAGGCGAGCCTGCACGGCCACGACACGCTGGTGCAGATCCTGCTGACGTACGCTCCAGGGGGCGCGGCCGCGGCGCTCGCCCAGGCCGACGTCGACGGCAACACGGCCCTGCACTTTGCCAGCAGCAACGGCAACCTGCTCGTGCTCCGCACCCTCCTGGCCGCGGGCGCCGACGCCGGTAGGATGAACGCCTGGAGTTGGACCGCCGAGGCTTACAGCGCCACCGTGCAGGCAGAGGTCTACCTCAAGACGCTGGTCGGGGAGGTGGAGCGCCGGAAGCAGGCTAGGAGGGAGGGCGAGGCGGCCAAGACGGGCGGGGCGGTGAGGCTGGTGGGGCAGGAGGTGGGGGATTGAGGTTCAGGTGAGGTTCAGGTGAGGACTGAGGTGTGTATGTATCACTTGACTTCTAGGAATGAGAAAGGATGACCGGTCTGGTGCCCAAGATCAAGATTAGGGAGCAGGGTGTGTATCCTAGTATTTTGAAGTGTGGGAATGAGTCAAGAAGGAAGTACAAGCATGTTGGCAGTCTCGGAACCGGGAAGGGTATTCCGTGATCACTGCAAAGCATTCTGTTCCAAAGGGAGCATTACACACCGACATCATCAGGTCTTTCGCGGTGGTTTGCCAACCTAGTTTCTAAAAGTCCATGAAACTTAGCACTTCAATCGTGATACCTCAAGCAGCACGAAACAGTCAAAAGCTTGTACTGGCAAAACATCGATTCGCCACCATGCGATTAGTCGGTATCCCCTTGCAGTTGCGTTTGCATGTGTGATCTTCAACGGCCGCGTCGACCTAGCCCTTGGGTCCGCCGAGCCCGCTTGCGACATGACTGTCTGATCTGATGAAGGGACCCGCAGTTGCCGGCGTGGACGTCTCGTGACTAGAAGGACTCTGAAAGCATTTGGATCTGAATTTGTTGTATCCTTCTTTGCTCGCTCGGCTCTCGAGGCCTCAGAGGAAGTGGGGCTGCACAACGCAAGAATATCATGTCGTTAAACAAGGGCTCAAGCTCTTTGTCAGGGAGACAACAAATGACTCTCTTTTCGTCCCAACCCGAGACGATGACAACACATCGAAGATGGCTGAACCGAGCATGTGCCCCCGAGCCTATGGCAGTTCCTGCGATGACCTCCAGAACAAGGGCGAATGCAACATTGGTCTCAGCTTTTACGGCCATGCCACAGTTACTCACCGAAACTGAGTCCACCATGCGTTAACATTGCGTGATACAAACAAGCCAGCTCTCCGCTTGTTTCGACCTGTGAGTAACAGCATAGTCAGACAACCCCAAACCATCCTCTCACACCTCCTTTCTCTGGGTGGTTTTGATTCCCCACTACGGTAGTCATGGTTGGACTTTATGCCCGCCAACACAAAGGCTCTTTCGAGAGCAGCCGTCTGGACTCTGACTCTCAGCACCACTAGCGATTTCATGCTTTGAGTCTCGTTAAACCGTAGAACTCAACTGTCTCCACCAGGCTTCATCCCAACTCCTTTTTGATAGTTGTCATTGATACACGAGCCGCGGCGGTCCCAAGTCCTCAACACCACAAAGATTCTCGTGGTGCACAACAACGGCCTCTGATACCGATGGCCTGACTCACAAAGGGAGCATCATGGGGCTCCCAACTCATGATGCTCCTGGAATGTCGAGATGACTCTACTCCTTAGGGGGTATAAAGATTCTCCTGCCTTCCCAGGTTTCCCCCTTTCTCACCATCCATCCACCGGTTCCTATCAGTCCTGAGCCCATCAACATACGGCAACAAACACCACCAACAACCTGACAAGCAAACAATAACACCCATCATCGTCATCTGCCCAGCAATGATCCTCTCTGGGGCAGGCAACAATCCCACCTTCGGTCGCGATCCCGGCCCACCTCCCCCTTTCGTTCCCCTGACCGGCCCTCCTCCGCCCCCTGATTTCGGTCCTCCTCCTCCCGGCACCATCATGACGGTCCAACCGCCCTACTACCAAGTCCCCGGCATGGGAATGCCCCACATCCCCGGTATGGCCATGCCGCACCACATGCCAGGCATGCCCGGCCTGCCCGGCGTGCCGCCGCCGATGTGCTACTACAACCCGTACTACCCGTCCGCCCCACCCCCTTACACGGCCGCCGCCGCCGCCGCCGCCACCGGCCCTCCCGGGATGGGCGCGCCACAGCAGCTCGGCACAGCCATGGCGCTGGACGCGCAGGGGATGGTGTACCAGTACATTTCGGGGCTGAGCGGGTCCGGGCGGTTCCCGCAGCCGGCGCCGGTGGTGGACCCTGACTTTCCCGCGGCCAACCACATCAACAGCACGGGCGGGGCCGGCGCCGAGCCGGGCTTCAACTACTTCTTCCCGACCGAGCACGCCAAGATCATCGTGCTCAAGTGCGCCGTGCCGCCGTGGACGCTTGTTCCGGGCTCGTATGGTGATATCCCCTTTCATGCGGCCAAGGTTCCCGCGAATATTACCATGGCGGAGTTGTTGGTTGGGTTTGGCGCGGAGAATCCGGATAAGGCCAAGAATCAGTTCTGGGAGGTCTATCCGCAGGGTGGTGGGAAGTGGGGGTGGAAGGAGCATTGTACTGGGGATGACGAGATCATGATGGCGCGGACGGTGCGGGACATGGGTTGGGTTGAGAAGAGGGAGGGGACGGTGCCGACGGTGTATTTGTGGATTAGCAAGGTTTGAGGGTGGCGTCTTGGGGGAAGCGGTGGTGTCGGGAAGTCTGAGGGGGCCTGGGGGAAGGGAAACTTAGGCGGGAAGGGCGGAGGATATATACGGTATCTTCATAGTTGAGAAGGGCTCCTTTGAGGCCGGGGAGACGGAGGCGTTGGGGAGACACCAACGCATGCTTTATTCTTTCGGTTTTCGTCAATTCTGGTGGCAAAGGAACAGTAGCCGTGCTCTGCTTGTGTGTCATGTGGGTTACCAAATAAACAAACACCAATGGTGGCATGACTAACGCCGTTGCCTCCCACATCTTGACTTCTCATTGACTGTTACTGTTGCCTTTTGAACAAGACTCACCCTGTGCAGCTGCACGTGTGCAGTCAGGACTTTGTAGCTTATGCTTCGAGTTAGGTAGTTATCGAGATCCACGTGACGACATATTGCCATCGCTGGCCTTAGTTGTGTGTTCCCCATATCCCACTGCATTGAAGGTTGAGAATAATGAAGAACCCCAAAATAATTGTGAGCGCGGGGAGCAAAGAGAGCAAGCATCATGCTCGATCAAGACGTCGCCCCGCCGGATGAGAATCATGAGATCCAACGAGCCAACCCGTTTCGGGCAATCGTTCCTCCCTCTTTGCCAAGTGCAAAATGTGGAAATGTGGGGCCGAGCGGCCACCCCTGCCTCGGAAACTTTCCGACCCTTGGAATCTTGCTGCAGCCGCGGACCACCAATGCCGCCGACTCCTCGAAATCAGGTCGGAGCTGGCATGTGCACCGAGCCCAGGCAGAGGCATGGTTTGTTGGGAGCCAATTTCTGTTGAGGGTCTTCCAGGTCGTTAGGGCCAAGTTATTTTTTGCGTTGCACATCGGGCCAGCAGCCCATACTCGCATCATTCCAATCGCCCAAGCGACAACCAGGCTCGATTCCGATTGCTACTTCGGCGCCATCCCGAGACATGGCTTCTGAACGCCGCAGCGATCGCGGTGACCAACAACGGCGTCGGAGGAAGATTCCGTTGGCTTGTGAGCCCTGTCGCGAACGCAAGTCCCGGTGCGACGGGGCGAAGCCGATATGCTCCACTTGCCAGCGCCGCTCACTCCCACTGCATCTCTGCGTCTACACCCTCGACAACGCCCGGACGGCAAGTAATGAAGCGTAAGTATCATTCGTGTATTGTGATCATTTCACTGTTGATGCCGGGAGGCTGGAGCCCAGCTGACACCGGCTGTCAGCTACATCAAGGTTCTCCACGACCGGATCCGGCTGCTAGAGAAAACATGCGCCGACCATGGCGTCCCAATTCCTCCCTTGGAGTCGGGAGACCCCGAAGATGCATCCGTGGGGCCGAACCGGACCCCCGTGTCTCCACTTCTCTCCGGGCCGCAGCAACGGAGTGATACGACGCTCCCGGGCCCGAGCCCAGCTCAGGGCCTCCGGGATCACGCTTCTTCCCCGGGCTTGCGGCCCCCAGTCCCGGTGACCTCCCCCGACCACGATCGGCTAGACGCAACTGAGTCAACAGCCAGCGTCACTGCCATGGGCACTGTCACCACCGAACATGATGTATCTGAGACATTCGATGCAGCCAATGAGTTCTACGGCAGCTCTTCTGCCGCCTCTTTCATGAAGGAGGCCTACACATCCGTCAAGCCACACCGACCGCGTTACCCAGGCCCCAATGTGCCGGGGGCCCCAGCCTTCTCCATGAGCTTTTCAGGCTCAGAGCCATTGTGCAATAAAAACACTCAATTCGCGCAAGCAGACAAGTTCGCCTTGCCACCGCGGAATCTCGCCGACCACCTCCTGAGCCGGTTTTGGGAAAGGATCTATTGGTTACACCCCCTTTTCGACAAGGCCACGTTTATACAGGCTTACGAAACTCTCTGGCGGCCCGCTCACGAACAGTCAAACATGCCCGCAGTCCCAGGCTTAGGACTCGGAAGCACCCCAGGCGCAGATGCGGGGACCATTGTTTTCCACTGCGCTCTGAATACGATTTTCGCCCTTGGCGCCCAGTTTTCCGATCTTAGTCTCAAGGACAAGGCCTCGGCCATTGAGACCTTTTTCAACAGATCCAAGGCGTTTGTCGGGCTGGACTTCATCGATATGAACAATGTCGGTGTAGTTCAGTCGCTACTACTGATGGCACTCCTACTTCAGAGCACGCCGTTCCCCAACCGGTGCTGGAATGCGGTGGGTTTGGCGTGCCGTGTTGCTCAGGGACTTGGCTTGCACACAGACTCCGGCAAAACCGCTCGGCCTCAGTTGGAAACCGAGATTAGGAGGCGAACCTGGCATGGTTGTGTGATTTTAGACATGTAAGCACACCACCTGTTTCCACTCTCGGACTTGTACTCATACTCTGGCAGGATCGTCAGCATGACCTACGGACGGCCCACTATGACCGCTCATTTGCCGGACTTGCCAGTGCCCTCAACTGTTGGATTTGGTGAATCCCTTACTCCCCAGTCTCAAGCCGCGGGTGGAGAAACCCCATCCAAAATGTGTTATTACGTGGAGTACATTCGTCAATGTCGGATACTGGGCGAGATCCTTTCCAATGTCTACCAACCCTCTGCTGGAACGCCCGCTGGTGGCCCACCATCGTGGCCTGACCAGAAACCGCATGGAATGGACGCCATCCTAGACCTTGACGCCAAGCTTTCGAGGTACGAGGCAGCACTACCTCCGATTATGTCCTGGACATCGCCCTGCGATATTAGCGGCCTCGAGGAGGAACGCAGATCGGTCATTACTGCGCAGAGGACGGTTCTTCGGGGAAGGCAAGTATGGCAGCTCCCTACTCCCCGCGGCCATACTAACATTTGCCCTCAGCTTCCTCTACCTGCGCCTCATGCTCCACCGCCCGATTCTCACGCAACTCTGCGCGGACGCTAGCGCAAATCCCTCAGCAGAACCGAACTCGCCAACGCGACCAGGGGCCGTGTCGGCCGGCCAAGAATTGTTCACATCGTTCGCTGCGGGTTGTGCTAAGATATGCCTCGGAAGTGCGGTAGACCTCATCGAACTGATCCACGATACCTACCTCACGAAAGCCACGGGCGGGTGGTGGTGGGATGGATTGTGTATGTCTCCCGCATGCCTCGATGGATTTATAGAATGCTAACGTTCACCGCCCGTGACCAGACGCTTTCACCGCAGGCCTGGCCGTCATTGTGGGATACCTATCGCCTACACTCCTGGCGTCGATGGACAAGCAGCGACTCGAACGCTCTTGGATGTTGTGCCAGAAAATATTGGCCCACTTTACTTCGTTCAGTATCTCGGCTCAGAGGTCTTTAAGAGTCCTCCAGAAAGTGCATGCGGATGTCATGTCTCGTTCCACAGGCAAGTTCCAATTTAGCCCGAGTTTGCTCGGTGACAAATTCTAATCCCCAATCCCATTACAGCTGTGTTGGACAAAGATCAAGAACTCCCTTTGCAGCCTCCAACCATATCCGCCGCGACAGCATATGGGGAACCGACTGGCTTAGGGCAAGAAGCGGCCGTCATGCAACCTGACGACGCGCCTCTGGACCTGGGCAACGGTTTCCAATGGCAGTCACCCGCTGGTAACGCCGAGATGTTTGGGGCGGGATTGGTGTTTAACTGGGATCAGTCGCTCGACATGCTCTCTGGCGGCTTGGGGATGGATATTTATCAGTAGAGATGGCATTGGTTAATGGTGTCGGCGGAGCTTCTCATTTACTTTGGATACCCTAATTAACATTCTTATTTGCCTTGCCTAACCGCGACAGTTGATGCCTGAACACTGATTTTGCGTTTTCATAGATCATATAACCACGGGTTTGGCCCGCCCATCGAGTCAAGCGGCTGTGTTTCCTGTAAGTGATATTTTTATTTTACACGCAACAATCCAAATCTACCTATCCAACATCTTTCTATCAACAAAGCGGTACCGAATCTCCCGTCAGTTTACACAATGCAATCCCGATCGTACGTTCCTTGGTTTTTGATACATTTTATCCTCGTAAGCCCTTGGGTCCTAACGCATTAATTCTGACGCAACTTAGGTAGCAAATCCAATGCCCACGTCTTCCAAGCAGGTAGCGCTGCGGCCTGTACTGCGACCAACGTGGCGAGCCGAGAGTCTGGGTTCCTCTTAATCCACGCAAACAAGCCACCGACTACTAGGACGGCAAAGTTTAGGAACCAGAGTCTAACACGATGCCGTTTCACAAGGACCGGCTCCGATTTGCCCTTATTTTGTCAGCACCCCGCAACACGCCACAGTATTAGAGGAAAACTTACAGTAAACTCCCAGTCCTCCCACCTGGGGAACAGACTCTCGTACCAGCACCGCGCCTGGCTCCATGGGTATGTCATGGCGTTCCACACCTTGCCTTTGGGCCCGCGGGTGTACCAGTTGTTGCACCCGGTCCAAACGGTGTCTTTGAGGGAGGTCTGCAGGCGGTTGGTCCAATCTTCCTCGGCAGACCGCTTGAGGCAAGCCACAGCAGCGCGCCCTTCGAGGACGGGTCTGAGGACGCGCAACGAGAAGTTTACTGCGTTTTCGATGGCCATGATGGCCGAGGTGTGTCCGGTGGCGGTATTGGGGCCTAAGATTTGTTATTATCCACAAGACGGTGAAGGAGGCGGGTCACAACTTACCAAGGAGGAAGAACATATTCGGGAAGCCGCTGACAGAGGTGCAATTGTACGCCTCGGGCCCACCGAACGACTCCCAGTGCTCCTCGAGCGTCTCACCGCCACGGCCGACCACCTCAACGCCCCCGAGGTACTGGTTGGTGCTGAAACCGTTGGCCATGACAATAACGTCCGCCTCAATGACCTTCCCACTCTGCATGCGGATCCCGTTGGGCAGGATCTCGGCCACGCCCTCGTTTGTCAGGGTGAGGTTCTCGGCGTGGAGCGTCTCGAGGTAGTTTGTGTCGAAGATCCGCCGCTTGCACCCAATCTCAAAGTCCGGGATGAGGATGTCGTGGTACTTCTCCGGTGCCGTCTGGCGCATGTACCTCTCCACCTCCTTCCTCTTGTTCTTCCGGAACCTCGCCCCGGCCTCTGTCAACTTGAACCCCTTCCAGTCGATCTCAGCCATGGTATAGATCAAGAACCGCTGCACCGTCGCCAGCCCCGGCACCAGCCCGAGCAGCACCCGCGCAGGCTTGGGCATCCGCTTATCAATCGGCGGATACACCCAATGCTTCGACCGCACCACCTGCGTCAGATGCCTTGTCTGCCCAACGATCGCCGGCACGATCTGCGCCGCCGTGCACCCATTCCCAAACACCACCACCCTCTTCCCCCTCAAATCCACATCCTCCCTCCACCGCCCGGAGTGAAAAACCTCGCCCTCAAACCCCTCCACCCCCTGAATCCCCAACTCCCTCGGCCTTGTAAAATGCCCCGCCCCGGAGAACAAAAACCGACACTCATGCACGAACCCCTTCCCCCCCCCCCTCCTTCTTCCAGTCCCTCCCCCACAACCGCCACCTGCCCAACTCCTCCACCCACACGCACCGGTAGATCTCCACCCCAAACACCATGCGCTCCCGCACCCCGTAGCGGTCGGCCACGCCGGACAGGTAGGCGTGCAACTCGCCCGCGGGGGGCAGGACGCGTGTCCAGCGCGGGTTGGGCGCGAAGGAGAAGGAGTACAAGGCGCTGGGAACGTCGCAGGCTGCGCCGGGGTACCGGCTGACTGTCCAGGTGCCGCCGAGGTCTGAGTCGCGCGAGAAGAGGGTGAGGGATGGCGGGGTGTTGTTGGGGGAGGTTTTGGTGTTGGTGGAGAGGGGGGTGGTGCTGAGGAGCTGGTGCCAGCGCTCGAGGGTCGCGCCGAGGCAGATGCCCGAGAAGCCCGTGCCGATGCAGGCGAAGGTGCTGAATGTTGGTGGGGGGTCCATGGTGGTTGGTTAAGGGGTGGCGGGTGAGCAGATGGGTTCAGGTTCAGTGCTCGGCTCTCGTTCAAAGAAAGGGGTAATGGCTATAAGAGAGTGGTGCCACGGGAGCGAAGAAGTTCACCTGAACTGAGAAACCTGGATCTACGAGTAAAAATATATCATGAGAAACAATCCCCTCGCAATGTGAGGTTACCTACCTACCTATTGGCACCCTCTGGCCAAAAAAAGCCGAACTCGAAAGGAAAGCAAGAAATCAAGCAAAAAGAACAAATAAAAAGAAATCGAGAAAACTGAGTCAAATGAAAGAAAGAGGGTAAAAGTAAAGGAAATGGAGCAAATAGAGTTTCTTTGGGCTTCTGGATAACTTCCGTTATATTCCTCCAGCTGAGGACTCGAAGTTTCCATTACCGACATTCGCACTTGGAGTTCGGCTTTTTTTGTCCATGAGGTGCTTGGATAGATCATATTATATCTCATGTCAAAGTGCGGTACACGCTAACCGGGTTTATCGGAGGCTTTCCGCTGCCTCGGCTACCGATGGGGCCGCACCAAAGATGCGGGGAATTGGGGACGCTAAGATCGCCAATTGGGGGGTCACAGGGGATGGCGTTGACGGTAGTGGCGGGCTCGGTGGGTTGGGGTGATTGCACTGTGCCGGAACGGTCCCGAAAGGGGATGCAGTGAGTGGATTGGAAAGTTCCATTCTGGGCTTTGAACTTTCAAGACAGGGGCTAGCTAGAATCTAGTGTGGCGTCAAATCACCGAGGCTAGGAACGAACATGAACGTTGCTATGTGAATGTAGCTGCTGGCTAGGTCAGTTCGTAGGGCGGTGATGGAGACAACATGGCTGACATCAAGGGGGCAACAACAATGACGGCGTGTAGTGAGAGTTAACAACGTTAAAAGTAACTAGAAATATAGATGCTCTATTTGATTCAAAAAGGATTTCGCTTGTTGCTTAACTGACCAACAAAGTAACACCATGGTCATCAGCTCACGGTTTCTTGTCAACGGGCTGCACACCCCCCGTCTCATCGATCCGCTGGCGCCCCTTGAAATCGATGGCCAGACGAGATGTGGTACCCGCGATGAAGGTGTGAATAAACCACTCGGGAGCGGCCCTCTGTGGTTCAAATTAGCAGATGCTCTTCTAAAAAGGAGGCAGAATTTGGAATCCCTTACCAGCATGGCAACATATCTCATAACTCCGGGCAGATAGATCACACCTCCGTACCCGCTGTAGAGGGCATCCACTATCGCCTCGCTCACCGTCTCGACATGCAACATCGGCATAACGAACTGCGGCTGCGTGGAGGTCCCGCTCACCAACGGCGTCCGGATGAAGTTGAAGACTCCATTCGTCACCCTCACTCTCGGCGCGTTATAACGAGACCGCAACTCGTTGCATAACCCCTCATGCAGCGCCTGAATACCGGCCTTGCTCGCCGAGTAATCCACGATATCCGGCGGCGGCATGAGCGCGCTGGTCGAGCACACGTTGAAGATGTGGCCGTGGTTGTTCCGAACCATGTCCGGCAAAAGCTCCTTGATCAACAAGAACGGCGCCGTCAAGTTGGTCTTGAGCGTGACCTCGACATCAGCATAAGAGCCCTCGATCAGCCCAAACCCGCGCACCAGCCCGGCATTGTTGAGCAGCACGGTCGGGTGGCCGACCTCACGGCGCACCCGCTCGCACACGGCGCGGATCGCGTCCGGCTTGGACAGGTCCGCCTGGTAGTAGTGCAGGTTCTTCCCCAGCGCCCCCGCCGGCGGCGTCCACCGGAGCGGCGCAAAGTCGATGATGACGATGCGCGTGCGCTTGTTGCGCGCCAGCAGGCCCTGCACCACCTGCGCGCCGACCCCGCTGCTCCCGCCCGTCACCACCACGATCTCGCGCTCCCAGTGCGCCCACTCGCCGGGCCGGGAGGCGGTCCAGTTGTTGGAGGCCCATTTGTTGAGGAAGTCGTTGGCCGAGAGTAAGAGGCCCGCGCTCCCGAGGTAGAGAGCCACGCGGCCGAGCCAGGTAAGCCGGAGGTATGTCAGCCGGATGTTGTAGCGGCGCGCGTACCAGAGGGCCCGGCGCAGATAGCCGACCGAGTTGGGTTGGCGGAGCCAAGTAATCACCGCCGCGGCCGGGAAAGCGAGCCACTCGTTTAGGAGTGTGTTCCGGATGATGCGGGCGACTGTGTCGATGTGTAAGCCCCCGTTCTCGCGGAGGGTCGCCATCGCGGCTTTCTTGGTGGTGTCCGACCGTGTAAGTGAAGTGGTTCCGAAGGCCGACTTGATTCAGGGGTTAGGGGTAAGTAATACCACTCGGTTGCTCAACTTGGAATGCGGCGATGGGGGTTCTTCGGCCTCGTCGATGTGCCGTCAGCGTAACTTTAAACCAGCAATGGTACTTCCTCACTGGAGCTGTTGGGAGCAGAGTGAGCGGTTTCATGCAGTTGGCATCACTAGCGCGTCCAGTTTGAGTCAACGAGGTCCTTTTCCGCATCCTGATTCGGACTGCGTCGGTTTCTCAAGTGGCGTTCTGCCGCTTGGCAAGAGGGTTCTGGGAAGCACGGTGTAACCCAAGGCCACATGGGGTCGGAACCGAGCCGCGGCATCATTTTTTGGGAAACAGGTGCTCGATCAGCTGCGGTGGAGGTGCCTTTCAGGAGGTATCCCTGGAGCTGAGGTCCCCTAAAAAAGGCAGGTCATCCGCCGCTGCTCACTCCCATTCCCACCATTCAGGTTCATGTACAATCAATGTTGTGTTGCGCCAACTGCAGAGTCCAAGAGTATGTAACACATGCTGTGCAGAGTAGCAATGGTGAGTTTCCCATGCATATCAGCAAATAATTCAGCCCTGGTAATCCGCCGATCCGTCGCACCGGCGCAATTTACTGACCCCCATCACAGACATCGGCAACCAGAGCACCAGGGCTCTCCCTCGTGGGAGGAGCGAGCCTCGTCTTCAAACTGCTGTTTTACGGTGAGGCCCTCATGCTCACTCTTACTCGACTCACTTCATCTAATAACCGTTATCTTTTAGCACCACCAAAAATCCTCTTCATCCTCCTCCGCTGCTACACTCTCGCCACACTACGCGGTATCTCCCTCAAGCACTGGGAAACATGCGCCTACTTCCGATTTGCCCTACTGCATCTCAGCCCGAGCCAGATCCAGTTCCTGGCCCCGTCCACTCGCAAGACCTACACCTCCTGGCTTACCAGCCGGCAGTCCCGCGCCGCCAGGCTCACTCGTAAGGACCCCAACGACAAGGAAGCCAGCTTCCTCGCCTCCCGCCTCAAGATCGACACCGAGGCCCTCCCCGACGGCGAGTCCTCCCTCCTCTGGATCGGCGACCGCCACAAGGCGACCAAGTTCGTCTACTTCTTCCACGGCGGCGGCTACGTCGCGCCCGGCCGCACCGGCCATATGGAGTGGTGCACCCACGCGTACCTGCTCGCCTCGCCCGCGGCCGGTGGGCGCGGCGCAGGAACTGCCGGAAGCGAGGAGGTTGCCGTGGCCATGCTGCAGTACACGCTCGCTCCGGGCGCCAAGTACCCGACCCAGCTGCGGCAGGCGGCTGACGGGTTGGCGCATCTCTTCGCCTCGGGCCGGGTAAGGCCGGGAAATTTGGTCATTGGTGGGGACTCGGCTGGGGGAAACCTCACCGCGCAGCTGCTGAGCCATTTGCTAAAGCCTCATCCGGCGGCGCGGGAGGTGGTGCTGCAGGAGCCGCTGGCTGGTGCGTTTTTGGTGTCGCCGTGGCTGAGTACCTCGATTGAGTGGGCGAGTATGAAGAGGAATAGCAGCATTGACATGATCTCGACCAAGGCCATGCGTGCAATCAAGGTGGACGTTTTGGAGGGGGTTGACGCGTATGTGGTTGAGGCCAGGGAGAAGAAGGGGTGGGTTACGCCGATGAATCTTGAGGATGTCGAGGGGTGGTTCAAGGGGTTGGACCGTGTGACCAGGCAGGTTTATGTCACGGCTGGCGAGCAGGAGATTATGCTCGATCAGGGGGTTGCCTTTGCGGATGCGGTGCGACGGGGGAATCCTGGGGTTGAAGTGAGGTTGGACGTCACAAAGGAGGAGGCACACGATTGGATCTTGATCGAAGGCGAGAAGGCACTCGATGGCGATGCCACACAGCGGATGAGGGCTTGGTTTAGGAATGTGGTTTGGCCATAAATAATGGGTAACTCCATGTCCGTGGACAAACCTCCTCCTACTACCCCGTGTATAGAAGCCCCTGCAGAAAGGATGGCACCCGCGAAGATGATCATTAGTTGCGTCTTAAGTTTCTCGTTAGTGGTTCATTGACATAGTTATCAATTTACACACTGTACGGACGTCCATTGGATCTCTTCCTCTCAAAACCTCGATCGGAATGATCCCGCTCCCTTACCGCAACCTCCACCCCTGACCCTTGCGCCCAGCCCCCAAACAAAGCTTCAATTCCATCTCTTTTTCACATGGAGATTAGCAGCGGGGAAACCTGCCTCGGGTCTCCATGTCACCCCGCATTGCTTCTTTATCCCTTGACATTTGACCCCAAACATGTCAGGGGTGAGCCAAGAGATCGACATCCAGAAGCGTCACGGGGAAGGCCGGGGTGCAGGTGAGGTCGCATCCCGGTCCATCCGCCGACGACCTGGCTAGTCCCATACTCGGAGCCTATTTCGACTGGAATCCCCTGCGCGTCGGCGCGACTCAACGAATCCACTCACAACTTGAAGCTTCTGTGTCCTCACAAGCACTCGAGGATTACACCTTGATCTCAAGAGGGAAAACAAGAACTCGAAGGAAAATGGCGACCACAATCGAGACCGCGCCGCTCTCGGCACCGGTGCATGTTGACATTCCCGACGCGCTGGATATTTTCAATGAGGCCCAATGGAGCGTCCTGATGGCCCTCATGGACACGATCATCCCGGCCATCCGCATCCAGGAGTCAGGGCAAAACACCAAAGGCCGAGACACGTCAACCATGTATCTCCCCAGCAGCGAGTACTCGGACGCAGCCATCAAGCTACGAAACGCCGCTACGCCTCTCAACCCAACACCAGACACCCTCGAGGCATACCTCGCCGAGCGGCCCTCCGAAAACCCAGTCTTCGCCCAGGTCCTCAAATCCGTCCTCTCCAACATTCCACCCAGCAAGCAACGCGAACTACGCATCCTCCTCTCCATCCTCAAGCAAGCCCCCCCCCCCCCTTCCCCCCTCTCTCAACCACCCAAATAAATAACTAACCCCCCATCAGCACCCGCCCGGGCAGCCTCCTGCTCACCTCCCACGCCACCCCCTTCCCCACCCTCCCCCTCGCCGACCGCGTCAAGATCCTCCAGAACTGGTCCACCTCCTCCCTCTGGTCGCTCCGCACCCTCTTCAAGAGCATGACCACGCTCGGCAAGCTCGCCCACATCCGCAGCAGCGCCGCCTTCCCCGCGCTCACCGGCTTCCCCGCCGTGCCCGCCGCCTGGGCCGGCGGCGCGAGCTCGCATCCCTACGAGTTCCTGCAGTTCCATGCCCCGGATCCGGCGAAGCCGGTTGAGGTCGCTACCGATGTGGTGATTGTGGGCAGTGGGTGTGGGGCCGGGGTGGTGGCGAGTCGGTTGGCGGGGGAGTTTGGGGCCGGGGTGAGGGTGTTGGTGCTCGAGAAGGGGCGGCATTTCGATGCGAGCCATTTTCCCATGTCGCAGGCCACGGGGCTGGGGAGCTTGTTTGAAGCTGGGGGGGTGGTCGAGTCGGATGATGGGTCGGTGACGGTTACGGCGGGGAGTTGTTTTGGGGGCGGCGGGACGGTGAATTGGAGTGCGAGTTTGCAGCCGCAGGATTTTGTGAGGGCGGAGTGGGCGAGGGAGAGGAAGTTGGGGTTCTTTGAGGGGGAGGAGTTTCAGGGTTGCTTGGATCGGGTGTGGGAGACGATGGGGTGTACTGGGGATGCCGTTAGGCCGAATCATGCGAATCGGATTCTGGTGGAGGGGGCCAAGCGGTTGGGGTACCAGGCGAAGGTGGTGCCGCAGAACGCTGGGGGGAGTGACCATTACTGTGGGTATTGTACACTTGGGTGCTGGAACGGGGACAAAAAGGGGCCTGTGAATGGGTGGTTCCCTGAGGCGGCGAAGCAAGGGGTGAAGTTCGTAGAGGGGATGAAGGTTGACCGTGTGATCTTTGAAGAGAAAAAGGGAAAGATAGCTAGGGGAGTGAAGGGGGTGTGGACGTCTAGGGACGGCGAGAAGGTCCAGGTTGTGGTGAGGGCGAAGAAGGTGGTCATTAGCTGTGGCACCCTCTGGAGCCCGGTGGTGCTGATGAACAGCGGGATCAAGGTGAGTACCCCTCAGACGGCTGTGTAGCCTGATACTAACGGCGAGCAGAACCCCCAAATTGGCAAGAACCTGCATCTGCATCCTACCAATTTCGTCTCTGGCGTCTTTGACGAGGACGTTCAGCCGTGGGAGGGTGCGTAGACTACCATCCCCTACCTATACCCCAAACCCAGCAACTGACTAACATTCCCAGGTGGTTGTCTCACTTCTGTCGTCGGCTCTTTCGAGAACCTCGACTCGAAAGGCCATGGCGTGAAGCTTGAAGCCATGTCCATGATGGTATGTTCCCGCAATCTATCCCCATCAGGACTCCTCATCGCTAACCCTATGCCCAGCCGTCCTTCTGCCTCCCCTTTCTCCCCTGGGCCTCCGGTATCGACTACAAGCTCCTCGCCGCCAAGTACCGCCACCTCAATACCTTTATCGCCATCTGCCGGGACCGCGACACGGGTACCATCTACCGCGACCCGACCACGGGCCGTCCGCGCATCACCTACACGCCGTCCGACTTCGACCGGGCCCACACCATGCGCGGTGTGCTGGAGCTCTGCCGGATCCTGTACGGCCACAGCGCAAAGGAGATCCACCCCTCCATCGCCGGTTTCGCGCCCTTCGTCCGCAAGGAGGGCAAGGATGCAGAGGCGGAAAAGAAGGACTTTGAGGCCTGGCTGACCCGGCTAAAGGCCCACGGGAACAAGCTTCCCGTGTCGCCTTTTGCGTCGGCACATCAGATGGGGACGTGCAGGATGAGTGCGAAGGCTAAGGAGGGCGTGGTGGATTCCAAGGGCCGAGTCTGGGGCACCCAGGGGTTGTATGTGGCGGATGCGAGCGTGTTCCCGAGTGCGAGCGGAGTGAATCCCATGGTTACGACGATGGCGATTGCGGATTGGATTGGGAAGGGTGTGTGTGAGGATTTGAAGGGCGAGGGGTTTGCTGCGAGGCTGTAGTTGTGATGTAAACTGGACGGGCATAGGGCCGTGTACGAATAGGTGTCGAAGGATCGAAACTCTTACTTCATGCAAGTTTCCTTCCCTTACACAAATTAGCAGGTGACACCCATATCAAAAAGTGTAAGTAAAAGTAAAAAAAAAAAGAAAAAGAAAAAAGGAAAGAGAAAAAGAGAAAAAGAGAAAAAGAGAAAAAGAGAAAAAGAATAAATTAAAATAACTTCGCTTCACACTTGCTTGGGTAGACCGGGGGCGTAGGTAGCAAAGTTCGGTATGTTACTATAATTCGTCGAAAATACACGTGCTTGAATAGTGCAGTCTGGTGATATTGGTTTCTTTCTCCCTGTTAACGACCGATCCCTTTTCCCCCTTTGGATACCTTCTCCCCTCAGAACATATGAACCCTCGTCGACGAGTGAAACATGGCCGGTAAGAAACTCTTGTTGTCGTTCATGTTCTCAACCGCAGTCCGCAGGGCCTTTGGCGTCCGCTTCAGCACTGCCGCTGCGAGTGTCTTGTCCAGGTGATCCGCACGCATCTCGAACAACTTCTCCGCCACAGCAAGCACAGTGTACTCACCCAGTACCTTCACCGCCAATCTCCCTTGTCCCAAAACCTTGTCGACAAGATTTTCAACTCCTTCGTCATCCGATTCATCACCACCTTCCTTTCCATCGCCTTCGGTCCCAGCCGCCACCTCATTCGACCCCTTCTTCAACCCGGGTGACCTCAGCCCCTTCGACGCCATATCCAACCCCTGCTGTGCCAGACTCGACCCCTCCTTCAACTTCTCCCCTCCACTCCTCGCCGTCATCCGGCTCCGCAAATAATCATCCAGAATATAACACATCTTCCGCTTCTTGCGATCCATGTAGGTCTGCCAGGCACTGACCAGGCCCGGCTCGGGCGTCGAGTCACGGAAGTCGATGGCGCCCGCGGCGATGCGCCGGCCGTAGAACTGGCCCGGCACGGGCCCCAGTTCGAGATGACATAGGAACCAGTTGGCGCCGGGGGCGCCTGAGAAGCGTGCGAGCACCCACTCGCCTGCGACGAGCGCCAGTTGTGGCTCCTGGATGAAGTCAATCATGCGCCCGACGAGGCGTTCTTCTTCGGTGTTTCCTTTGTCTGTGTTCTTGGGGACGTCGGGCTCTTCGGTGGCCTTGGGGTTGCCTGCGTCCGCCTGGCTACCTTGATTCTGGACGCCGTGCTTGTCCGGTTGTGAGGCGGTAGCGTTGGTGACGGACAGGGTGCTGAGGATTTTGGTACTTCGTTTTTCATCCTTGTCCTTGCCTTCCTCCCGTAACACCCTTGCGTCGACGGACTCGATGACATCCAGCTCCTGTTCTAGAATGTGCCTCTCGCAGGCAAAGTTGGTGATCACTCTTGCAAAGCCGGTGCTGATCGAACACCAACCCGATATCTTGTCGTGCGGGCCAACCGCTTTGGCAACTTGTCTGCGTAGCTTCTTGGCATCTATCATGGTCACGACAACGCGCTGGATGTCGAAGAGACCTTCGATGCCGGAGTTGTTGACAATGATGGGGTTGGGCGAAATTGTGTCGAGGCTTTCTCCTTCCAACGAATCCTTGGGGACCTTGAGACGGTGGGCAGCGAGCCGTTCGCTTTCGTCAACCTCAAACTTGATCGACTGGAGCTCGGGAGGTAGGACCTTGTCCAACCTTTGAGTGGCCGCACCCGTTAGATAGTCCATCACCTGCCCATCAAAGTCTTGCCATGATAGTTGCGTCGACGGAGTCTCAACTGCGGCGTAAGGTGGCGGTGGGTCTAGGGTAGCATCAGAAGTTTCCACGGGAGGTGTTGCTGCGACCTCTACCACTGCTGGCTCCTCATCCTGCGCCGAACTTCCGCCCTTCTTGGAGAAACCGAAAGAAGAACTTTTGAGCCCTTTTCCGAGCCCAAACTTGGATGGCTTCTTCGCCGAAGTCGAACCCTCTTCCTCCTTTTTGGGTGCTGCCGAGCTCATAAGCCCAGACAGCGACAGGGAGGGGGTTGACAACGACGGAACCGATGGCATCGCCGGTCTCTTTAGCAGTGAGCTTCCCTTGGCGGTTCCAGGAGAGGCTGCAGATTCGGCCAACTTTGCCGCCTTAGCTTTTGCCTGCTCCAGGCTCTCTCTTCTGCAGTACTCTCTGACGTATGCAACAATCTTTTCAAAGCCCTCTTGCTGAGGTCTGAGCTCTCTGAAACCATTTAGACGGACAATTTGCACTATCCGCTCAATCCAGTTGATAGGGAGGCTCTTGCGTTCCTTGTCCTTGAGGAAGTCGATGGTGGTTCGCAGGGTCCGGATAACACTATGATACGTTGCCACAACATCGTCCATCTTGTCCTGAACCCGCGCGGCTAGAAGAAGATTGTATCGCTTACCGCGGTCGATTTCCTTCCCATACGCCGCGGGGGAAGAGGGGTACATGGATCTGCCTCGAATAGGGCTGCCCATCTCCATCCCGATCCAGTTAAACACCGAAATGTCGTTGCGAGTTATCACCACCTCGTCAAGCAGCCGAGCCAAAGCTTTAATGGATCCCTCGGCGGGGAAGGTAGGGAACCGAACGTCTAGAATACCCATCAACGCGTATGACTTGTCGGTTGCAACAGTGGCCGTCCGCGTCCCGGATAGTTCCAACACGCTCTGAGCGGAGAACCCCGCTCGGCTTGTCCCTCGCTGCCACGCTGTAAGTTGCTGGAGCTTCCCAAACTCGGCAATGCACTGCCGGTCTACGAGGATGAGGTCCTCGGTTTCGGCAACTAGGCATTGAAGCACAAAGTTGAGGGCGTGCTGGGCAACCTCCTCAGCTACCTCCTCTTCGCTCATCTTTGCGGAGAAAACCGTCAAGTCCGGTTCCGGGAGGCATTTCTTGAGCCGGAGATAGTGTTCTCGCCTTTTCTTCCCTTTCTCGCTCTCGCTAGTGAGGTTAGCTGAGGCAAGGTACACGGCTCGAGCCACTTCAGAAGTCGCTGTTTCCATGGTGAGGCTGCTGTGAATTCGAACCCCAAGGACGTCGAGAAGAGCGATCAACTGCTGAGCCGTTTCGACTCTAGAGATTTCGCTAAATTCTACCCCTTTTGTTGAAGGACCACCGGCCTGGATGTTCTTGTGGAGTTGTTCGAGCTGACCTGAGCTTTCTGCGTTACTTAGGACTCCTTTGAGAATTTCAGAGTCCCAGAAGCCTCGAGCCGTCGGGCACAGGGAGCGGTAGATGTTCTTGGTGTCACTCCCCGTGTAAAGTGCGATGAATGGGATCAGGTAGTAAAAGTACCCCAAACTCTCCACTGGTCGGCTCAGGGGCGACCATTCCGAGTTGACGTAGAAGGTTGTCTTGCTCATGACCAACTCTTGCAGAGTCCAAGCCCGGGTGGACCATTCCGGCTTATACTCCTTCACGTTCCTGAAATCCAGGATATTGGGCTTCTCGTTGATCGGCTCGCATTCTCCGCCTCTCTCCGCCTCGAAGCGGCGCCAGTCCGTGACGGCATCCGCCTCACGAAAGGGGGTGTCAAGTTGCACCAAGGTGTACTCGGCGTCGGCATACCAGTCTCCCATGAGCGACAGCGACTCAGAGAGCTCCCCGCCGTTCGACTTGTCAATGCAACATGGGTCTGTCCACAGATAACACTTCTCCCGGTCCCGGAAGAGCTTGGTCTTGAAAATCCGGTCGGCTTCTTGAATGGCCCGGTCGATCTTGATGACGGACTTCCACCTCTGTAAGCGGCAGACCAGTTCGTCGAGTGCATCGCGGAGATGAAAATGTTGCTGGAAGTACTCGATGTCATGCCGTACCGAGCCGTGCTCATCCTCGGCTGTTTTGAGGTTGTCCGCAGCCGCTGTAACCTCAGTTTCGGCCTCTGTCACAACCTCGCCGCCCAATTTCGCGCGACGTGGTTGACGAACGGATGTGTTCTTGGCCTCAGCTTTACCCAAATGCGCCTCCATTTCCTCGTCCACCCGGTCATGCATCTCCTTGACAAGGTCGCTGAATATCTTTTGCTCCATCCGCGCAAAGCGGAGTTTAGTTGTTGCTTGGTCCTCCTTGTCCTTTGCTTTTCCGAGCATGTACTCAGTGGTGCGTACGTTGAGACGACGGTCAAGGAGCTCGGCGATGTTGACTGGTGCGGCTTCTTGCCCAGTTGCCTCCCCAAGTAGTTCCTTGATCAAACCTTCCTGCTCCTCGATGTCCAGCCTGCATTGTTCCATAACCAACTCCATGTCACTTTTCCTGCTGTTCCTCACACCCGGCTGTCCATCTCTAGCCGCCTCCCTCGCGCGCTCCAGCTCCTTTCTCCGAGCCTCCTTGATGTAGCCGAGGGAGACTTCCACACCTTTCCACCGATGGGACAACATACAATACTGGCCTCGGACACCGATTGCCGGGTACTCAACCAAGTTGCCCGTCTCGATGTCGAACATGCGGTACGGGAGCTGTCCTGGAGGTAGGTCCGCAGTCCCGAGGAACTCGACGTCCCGTAAACCGGCAACGGAATAGTCGTGATCCGCCGCAAAATTTGGTTTGTGCCAGGGTGTGAACCAAAGGTTCAGCAGTGCTCGCAGCTTTTCGGGACTCTCGCCGACATCCTTGAACACTTTGGCCAGGGTTTCAGGGGTCAGGTCCGTCATCTCAAGCATCTTGGAGACAGCATTGCCTTGGATCTTGGTGGCATCTAATGAAAGAGATATCGTAGAGGTATCCATGTTGGCTTTTGACGTTGTATTGGAATTCTTCGATGTGTGAGTGGTCCGTAGAACTGACGGGATAAGTTGTCAAGACCAGTAGTTCAAGTTAGACGTATAGAGAAGCTGGGACTAAACCGCTAGGGAGTCGAGGTGGTGCTGCTCGAGTTCTCACAACCTCGGGATGCGATGACATTCCATTGATCGACGCGTTATGGGCGCCCAGGGAAGAATATTAGGAACACGAACATGGGTCTATGAGAGCCTTCCCGAGCGGATGGATGCAGCAATTGATCAAGGTGTTTGGTGCAACCAAGCACAAGCCGAACTCGAACCAATAAAAGAATCTCCTTCTTCCCCTGGCCTGCATGCGGCGTATCACAGACGTTGATCAGGGCCGTGAGATGCCTCGTTCGACCAGTCATCTTTAGCATCCACACCCCCAACTTCCCGTTCAGCTGCCATCGTGCAAGCCTAAATCCAATGGATCTTGAGCATCGTCGGCGACCTAATACTGAATAAGGAACGGAGTTGATGCCCGACGCCCGTGAAGTCGTACCGACCCGGACGCGGGGGAAGTGAGGTGTCCGTGTGTCGAACCAGCGAACCCGATGGCCCTCCATTATCTGTGGCTGAGCCTGCTTATCAGGAAATTGAAGACACGGCGGCTCTGGCTCTGCTCTCGACAGACGTTGGCAGATGTGGTCGTTTGTCACTTCTGAACACCTCCAGCTCCCTTGCTACCTATCTTACTCCATTTCTTTTCGGCCTGGCTGCTGAGCTTCAGTTGCGTTGCTAACCTGACATGGCATCCTATCATCGAGTCCTCGGCGTACACGGTCGATCAGTCAAACAGAAGAGCATCGAGTGTGACTAGTAAGTATTTACCGTGCAACCCCCGAACCCCAGTGAACGGCGAGAGTGTGTGTCTAAAACGGGCAGTGACATCCACCCGTGGGACATCCTGATCAATGGCGAGAGATGGGCCGGCAAGGTTCGACTTGTGGGCTTTGTTGATTCGTTCTTCCTTATCTGCTACTCGGGCCAGTCCCGGTTTGAGCATGGAATTGTGGTGTACAGTGAGTAGCCCTGGATATTGAGCTATGAATGTTGTGTTGATTCCACTTGATAGAGGACGACGATGCAATACGAAGCACGCTACACAATGCCGGCGTGGAAGCCGTAGATATCGGACTAGACGCAGTGAACAAAAGCAAGATGGCTGAAGGGAACACCGGTACGTCCTGCTTTCACGCCGCATGTGTGCAAGGTAACAACAACTAATGCCATATTGGACCGCCAGAGCCGCCAAAGTACTTCCAATTTGAAAGCCAGAAGGGCGGGCTTGACTACCAAATCACCAGTCTTGGCCACTCGATCGGGCTGAAGACAGAGTATCCCAAATCGTCGTTGAGGAAGTATGAGATCAAGCTCCGAAAGGGCAGGGACGCAGTGATGAAGAGTACGTGCCATGTCGAGACTGAGCCGGATGTTTCCTCTTTGCAACCAAGAACCCTAACACAAACGCACGGGATAGAAAGGATCAAGCGCGGAGTCAGCCAGCATGACCTGTTCGACATGATGCATGATGCTGTCCGACTCGGCATCATCACACACGCCGAGCTAATTGGGGTTATCATCGGCAAGACATACGGAGGCACCGCCTTAGACGACGTCACTTCCAAGTACTTTGACGGGCTTGCTGGTGGCAAGGGAACTAACAGCCTGTCACTGGCGGGCAAAAAGGCGTAAGACGGGACGGGGTTCAGCAGACAAAGGAACGGATGAGGTCGGGAAAATGGCAACGAGCATTTGTCGATCTTGATCAAATATTACACCCCCGTTCACCATTCTCAAGATGGCCCCTCAACTAGTAAAAATAGCCGTAAAGGAAAGTACACCCATGCCTGTTGCGTCCTTTCGTCCACTTCCTCTGTTGATAAAACCATACCCTGTAGCCCTATCAACAACTGCCGCCATCCTCGTCATCCTCCTCGCTATCCGCCTCCTCATCACCCGAATAGTCACTATCATCATCATCCGCTTCATCACCATCCTCATAGCCTACAGCATACCCCACCTCCTTCCCCATAACCACCTCATACCCCCCCAACAGCCCCCTCCCTTCCTCCCCAATCCCCCTGCAATACCTCACCACCGTCTGCTCAAACCGATCCAACCCCGACTCCTGAACCGCCCGCTTCTCCAACAACCGCCAGACCCCCTCATGCCCGATCGTTTCCGCTAGATCCAGCGCCTGGCCGAGAGGCGTGTTGCCCCGGTCCGTCCGCGCCCCGTGGTCCAGGAGGCAGCGCACGATTTCCTCGAACTCGGTTATCCCCATGTCGGCCTGGTACTCGTGGCTCAGGTGTGCGTCGTCGAGTAGGGTATAGAAGCCCCAGAGGGCGGCGAGTAAGGGGGTGAACTTGTATTTGCCCCGTCGGCTGGCGGCGATCCTGGCGTGGAACCGCTCCCAGGTGGCGAGGAGCGGGGTGGACACGGAGTATTCGTCGAGCTGGTTCACGTCGGCGCCGCCGTGCGTGATGAGATAGGACACTGCGGCGGGGTGGAGGTTGTACGCGGCTGCGTGTAAAGGGAGCTGGCTGCTGCTGCTGCTGTTGGCCGAGGTCAGGGGTCTGATGCCGTGGTCCAAGTGGAGGGCGATGGCGGGTAGGGAGCCGCATGCGCCGGCGAGGGAGAGGGTTTCTTGGGTTGGTAGGATGTATTCCATGATGAGGGCGAAGGCCGTGTGGTTGTGGGCTATAGCGGCTTGCCACAGGCCTCCGCGCCAGGCTGAGTTCCAGATGTCTTGGCCTGAGGCGGTTTCGAGGAGGAGTTCCAAGATGGCGTGCTTAGCGGGGGACCACTCGCCTTCACAGGTACTGGCAATGGCATTGGGGAGTGAACTTGCCCCGCTTGCGGGATCAAGGGGTCCTGAGATCGCTGCCCCGCGATATATGAGCAGGTCTGCCACTGATTTGGAGCCCTCCCGGCAGGCCATGGATAAAGCCGTTGAAGGGAGTGGCTCGCGTCCTTGTTGTCGGAGACGGACGGGGTTGCTAGGGGGATGCGGGCGAATCGGGCGGGAGAGATTGACTGATGACCTGCAGGACCGGTCCTCCTCCCTGTTGAACTGCTGGTTTGATTCGGCTCCATTGTCAAGCAGCAGCTGGACGATGTCCATATGTCCACGACTCGCAGCCGCTATTAGAGGGGTGCCTTCGTAGACGGCCTGGCTGACGTCTGCACCATGCTTGATCAGCCGCCCCGCAACGTCCGCATGCCCGTTGAGGCATGCAAGGTACAAGGGACCCCCTTCATCCTTCAGGAAGTCAGGTGTGGCTCCCATAGCCGTTGTTTCGAGGAGACAAGCAACGAGGTCTGCTTGGCCATGAGCGCATGCAGCAGCCAAGGCTTGCAAGTCAACTTGCCCTTCCATAGTTGCCAGGGACCGCAGCGTTTCTAGATGGTTGTGCTTCACCGCCAGGTCTTGGGAAGACATTTGCCATGGCATGAATCCTCTCCGCTGAAGAGTTGCTCCTCGGTTCACGAGGATCTTCACCGCTTCCACATGGCCTCCCTTTACGGCATTAGTCAGTGCATTGTTGCCTGTCTTGTCGCTTTTTGCTCTGGCTCCTGCGCCAAGCAAAGCATTCATGACACCGAGGTGGCCAAATCGAGCGGCAAAACCAAGAGCTGTGTCCTTGTATGGGATAGTGGAGGTGCCGTTCACGCATGCTACATGTTTGAGTAGCGACTCGACGAGTGCTTGATCCCCTGCTGTTGCGGCAACATTCAAAAGAAGGCCCAATACCACCGTATCGACATCTTGACCAGGAATTTCGGCTATAATGAGCGCGAAAAGCTCTCGCATGCCGCTGTCCAAGAAGCAACGGGCATCTTCAGCCGAGAGAGTGTAGGAGGCGTGTATTGTCATTGTGTTCAGTTTAAGAATGGTCAGTGACCGTTGTAGTGTGGCCACCATCTCCGTGGTCAGTTTCCGGTCGTTTGTTGTCGGGAGGTTTGCCCCGGCCCTAAGGAACGCCAGCACCACACGGAAGGCTGTGGCCGACCTGTTTTGGGAAGCCAGCCGAATGCAGGTCTCCAGCAGTCGGGCCTTGTCCTCGCAATGGGATGTTGGAGCAAACATGCCTGCGTCAAAAAGTCTTTGCACGACACGTTCGTTGGCCCATCTAGCCGCCATCTCAATGGGAGACTGCCCAGAGCCATCTGTTGTGCGGGGATCACAACCATTCTCTAGCATCATGAAGACAAGTCGCTCCTGTCGAATGTTGATAGCTTCTTCATCTGTGGCCGGCAGGCTCTGTAACGCTTTGGAAAAATCATGAGGGCGACGGAAGCCTTTGAGTGCCATGTGCAAGCCATTGCCTGCTGGTCGGTGCGATTGTCTCGCGTCGTGGATCGTTTTAACCGAATCAACGGTTAATCCAGTGAGACTCCATTCACAATACCCATGCGGTCCGTCCCCGTCGAGTCCCATGCCTAACAGCTTTCGGAGGGAGGCCTTGTCCTGTGGGCTTATTTCGACTGCCGGTTGCCCCTCCGGGTCGAGATATACCATGTCTTGTCCCAGCGAGACAAACGCGGAAATGTCGGCGCCTGTTTGGAGGCAGAAACGAACAACCTCACTGTGACCAGCCTCGGCTGCGGCCATGAGAGAATGGTTTACGGTAGCCTGCATATTGGAGATCCCGTTTCGAAACCGTGGCGTGCCAACCAAGGTTTCCAAGATATCGGTGTGGCCATGCCTGCCTGCGCCAACAAATGCCGTGTCGACAACGGTGGTGCGAGATAAAGAGATGCCCCTCTCGAGCAGCTCATCAAGCAAGGCACCCAGTACCTTGCAATGCCCGAATATTGCCGCTGTGTAGGTGCCGATAAAAAGACTCAGGGGCTTCAAAGCAAGCTTCCCGCTTCTCCGGCTGAGAAGGGGCCTGAACGCATGCGAACCGTCTCTGCATGCCGAAGCAAAAGCAGGCATTACTGAATCGAGTGCGAAGCCTCGCCGCTCCATCGCGACAAGCAGTGATTCTACGGCATCTGCATTCTCTGACCGCAAGGCGGCGACGAGCAGTTTGCCAAACGATGCAGACGCCTGTTCGTTTAGATCCATCCCGTCCAACTTCCCGCAATTCGGGCCGTCGGTGTCGATGACCCCGTCCAATATCCATTCCCACAAGGCATGGACTGCTGCCGAACGCTTTGCTGCGGTTGCCACTCGGATTACAGAGGCCAAACCTTCGAGAACAGCTGGTGACGGCCTCGGCCGGTTGCACTCGAGAAGAGCGCGGACGGTTATGGTGTGTCCGGATGAGGCGGCTTCCCTGAGGGTCGAGACCCAAGGTCCTAGGTCGTTAGCGTCTCCGACTGCCAATATTTGGCACAGGAGCCTGACGGACTGGGGCTGGTTGTATTGTGCTGCAACAAGAAGCGCCTTATTCAGGAAATCCAACTGCTTTGGTGCTCGACGCAACAAGACCTCCAGGACCTCAACCTGCCCGGTAGCCGTCGCAGCACAAAACGCCGCTTTTAGATTGTCTGAGGTCCCACGTAGAAGACATTGGCGTACTTTAGAAATGTTGCCGATTGCTGCGTTGAGCTCGAGTTGGCTAATATCCTTGTCTGTGCTCCCCATATATATATCGACATTTTGCGCCACTGCATCGTTCTCTCTGCCCCCACTAGAGCTGTCAGTCCCGAGATCGTCTCTTGACATTCTGCCTGAGCCATCGTCCTTGGCACTGGTATCATCGTGAGTCGTGACTACCACGGGGTGTCCTGTTCGCACCCTATGTTCTTTCTTCTTCTCCCAGGGGCGCTGTTTTCGTGGGCGAGGAGGCGGCCCCTCACAGGACATGGAAGGCTTCCAGTCTCCGGGAGGCACATTGTAACCTCTTTCCAGGAACAATAGAGCAACCTCCCGATGGCCCCCCTCAATAGCTGCATGCAAAGCATCCTTGGACCTGCCATCCTGGTACATGCTGGCCCCCTGGTCGAGAAGAAGCACGACAGCGTCTCGGTGGCCGTAGTACGCCGCGGCCTGAAGACAGGTCCCACAAGGAGGCCCGGGCTGGTTGCAGTCCGCACCCTTGTCCATCAGCAGCCTCATGATCTGTGTATGCCCGTTCTGCGCCGCCGCCTGCAGTGCACCACCCAACCTCGCACAAGCAGCCGTAGGATCGGCATCCCATGACAGCAGCAACCTCACTACTCGGTCATATCCCATCAGGCTCGCGCTTCGGAGCGCCGTCCCAAACGGGCCCTCGGCTGTGAGATCCATACCGCCGACCTCATCATGCAGATACGACAGCATTTCGTCGTGACCGGCCACCGCCGCGAGCGCCAGCGCGTTTGCTGGCACCGCGTCCTTCCACTTCTGCCCCATTCGCAACAACGCCCTGACAACGGCCACCTGGCCGTTTTTGATGGCCGTCAGAAGCAAGTTCCGCTCTCTCGTCCCTTTTCCATCATCTTCTGACGTCGATGTCCCCTTCGGCTTGACCTCGGGCCCCATAAGCCACGCAACCAGGTCCCTAAACCCAGCCGTCACCGCCTCCTTGACGACGCGGTCATACTTTTGCTCTGTATCCCACAAGTCGAGGCCAAGACGATGGTTTTCCTTGGCGAGCAGGTTCGCCACCCCCTCCCTCCCGCCGCGGCAGGCGTGTGAGTACGCACTAGCAACTGCAGTTTGGATGGTTTCGCTGGGGGACGAATCGAGGTGATCCAAAAGAGCCCTGACTACGCCTTCGTGGCCGCGGAAAGCGGCGACGTTGAGCGGTGTTCCATAGGCGCCGCAAGGTGTCGACAGCGAAACTGGCAGGAGATCCGGGAAGTGGGACAGCATGAGCGTGATAAGCTTCGTGTGGCCCTCTGCGGCCGCCAGGTAGAGGGGTGTATGTTGTGCTGGATCTGAGTTCGGTTCGGAGAGGCCTGCGGTGGGGGATGGGTTGGTGTTGATGAGGTGCGAAAGGATAGTTGGCACACCGAAGACACAGGCGGTGTGGACTGGGGAGAAGGATGGATTGAGGATCAGATTAAAAGGAAGCTTCAGAGGGTGGTAAAGCGGGAGCGAGCCGCCGGTTTCGCGGATCCATTCGAGCCAGACGATGAAGGCTGGGGTGACTTCGGCGGTGCTCTCTGCAAAGACGACGTGGAGTGTTTCGTGAGAGACTGGGTCCGATGAGGTGTCGGTGGCAGTTGATTCGGAGTGGCAAACATGCTCGTGCCAATATACCGCCGCGTAGTGGTAGAAGTCTTGGATTGGGGACGGGTCCTGGACGAATGGCAAGCTGCCTGGGCCTGCGGTGCACTGGCGGAGGCAAGCCGTGGCCAGGAGCTGGTGTGCTGAAGCCGGCGTGAATATGTCTTGCTGCAGCATGAAGTCTCGGATGGATCAATGGCATAACGAGAGCACGTTTGTGTCCTTTTCCAACATCACTAGGTTGTGACATACGTCGACGATGTTGAGTCTCTCGGGTTTTGACAGTTGGAGATGCTGATCAAGCCCGAGAATCGAAAAGAGGGCCTCCGGTTGAAGCCTTCTCCTGGCAAACAAAAGCCACGAAATGACCTGCTGAGCAACTTGCTTGGCCACCGAGTCCAGCGCGAGGATACTATTTAGGGCGTGATCATAGATCTGGTCGAGATGAGCGGATAACCCATGCTCCAAGGTCTCCAGAATGTCTTGCTCAGTCTTCATTCGACACAGGAAGTCGACTTGCAGCTTGACCCAGAGGAATCTGGGCGCCGGGGTTAGTAGGATAGTGTTAGGATGATGTTGGGTATGGCTCACATTTCCCCGGATCCCTTCAAAAGGACTTCCGAGATCTTATTCACGAGGTCCGTGGACGCATTGCCGTTAAGGAGGCATCGACTCTGTATGGCTTTCTTTACTTGCACCTGAACGAAAGCTTTGACGTCGCCTTCGTTATTAGCGGGAGTCACACGGATCTTGGCGTCGGACTCTAGCAGAGCGTGTAGCTGGACATTATCTCGGGCGGTGAGGAAGACCTTGACGACGCTGGCCGACTCCGAGACAACACGGTTGAGTGCCTCAACGACACAAGCACAACGACACAAGCACGATCAGGTTCTGACAACTCGTCCACGGCGTCAATGCAGATGTAGGCCGGGTTGGCCGACGTAAGATCCAGAATGTGTCTGATGCACTCATCGACCGTCGGCTTGCTGGGCTCTTCCCTCGTTTCTTGGGCCACTCTGGCTTCTTTCTCATATTTATGCAGTTACCATGACCTGATTGACTGCACCATTCCCCGGAATGATCGCGAGCTGTTTGACTAAGCTCCTGAGGATACAGGCTGGAGACGCGCGTTCGGGCTCGGAAGCCAACTTCTGGCAGTAAAAGTACGCGCAGGGCGGCGAGGCCGCCGTGTTGGCTTGGGGTTGAGGGAGAAGATGGTCGACAATAGCTGAGAAAGCAGTTGATTTTCCGCAGCCTCGGACGCCGTGAAGCAGCAAGATGGATGAGGAGCTCGAGATAAGAAAGTCTCTAAAGTCCGGGTGTTGTATCAGCCATGCTGCAGAACCCTGGAGCCGCCGACCTGCCACGTCTTTGTGGTGGTGAGCAACTGGAACCAGAGACAACCACCCTAGGAGGGCCTTGAGTTTGTCCTCCTCCAGGGCTTTTTGCGTGATCGTGGATATATCCACCAGGCGAATGAGTTTTGCATCCAGGTCAGCAAAGGTGGTCGTGGTTCTGGTGCTGAGGGTCTCAATCTTGGTATCAATCCCACGCAATATCTTGGTATCAGCTAGGGCAGCGAATTTGAGGACCTCGGCCTCTCGGTTTTCGAGTGACATCAAGTCGTCGTCGTTGATGGGCAGTTTTACAGCACTCAATACTGCACGGACTGCGTGGTTCACTTAGTACGAGAGTCTCTCAATGTGTTCAGGGGTAGACTTACCTCCGGTAGAACGACCCAAGTATTTAATACACTTGGCCAACAACACCAGAGCATCAGCGAACAACAGGACAAGAGCTTCCTCCAACGGCTGCGCGAGGTCGGCCGGGCTGGACCCGCGGATATAAACCTCTTCGATGATCTTGCTGCGGGCCATGATTCGCGCGACCATCTCCAGCACAGTAACTACGAGACCGACCGCTTGAACGTCACCGCATGCCGTGTCGAGAAGAAAGCGAAATGCCGCCCAAGGCAACGCTGCATGGACTGTATCGAACTGGGACGCAACATCGCCAACGGCCTTGTACCGGTTGATCCAGCCCACAATCTTTTCAAGGACGTCTCGAGCGACGATGACCTTGCCGCTCGGGGTGGTGAACTTCCACTGCTTGCGGATACAAATCTGGCGCATATCATCGGCGGTCCGAAGCACGGCGCCGACAATGTCAACTCTGTTCATGCTCACCCAAGCGAAGGCTTGTCGGATGTCAGGGTCGAGGCGGTCGAATGCCTTCCGCCAGGCCTCGTCACCACTGTGAGCTTGTGTAACGGCCGGGGCCGAGCTGAGCGACATTGTTGTGGCTGCCCCTTAACTGTCGAATGGGAAGTCTTGAGTAGGTACTTTGGAACGGACTTCTATCCACCAAGGTGAAGACCATGTTGAGTGTCCAGTGTCTCTCCGCATTTTTTCAGGTGGGCTCGGTCACTTATAGATGACTCTCGAGGTTCTACAAAGCTCTACAAGGCTCGAGGGCCAAGACACAAATGCAGGCTGAGCCGCACCGGTGAGCCTGCGGGTAATACAACCGGGCTGTCACTGTCCTTCTCCACACACACCCACGAATGCCCCCCTGGAACCTGCATCTGGTGGGCTTCCTAAAGAACTGCCACACCGACAACGGGCGGCGTCGCCACGATGCCGGATTAGCAGTTGATGTTACTGTTGCACAGAACTGGAACCCGTTTTGACTCTCACCGTTCCTTTTTCTCAGTGTGAAATTGGAGTTATTATTACACATAAATTAGCTGGACTTGCGTCCTCAAGGCTCGAGCACCTTCCACGCCCCATGTATGTACAAGAGAAAAACAGTCCAAGTAACCCCCTCTTTCACCCAATCACTTACACTCCTTCGTCAGATGCACCTGATACCCAACCGCCTCCACCCCCTTGACCTTCCCCTCCACTACATCAAACACAAAATGATCCCTCGCCCCAAACTCAAACGTCGACCGATCCATCATCGCCCACGTGATACAAGAATTCATCGGCCACGCAAACAGCGCGTCCTGCTGCGCCACCTGCTCGGCCGTGTTCATGGTCCCCACCGCGCGCCACGACGTCTTTCCCTCCGCGCCCGTCGACGCCGGGTACAGGCGGTAGCGCATGGGCGGGTCGAGCGTCGGCGGCGTGGCCGGCGGCAGCGTGCTGCCCGGGTCGGTGCGCGGCACGTCGACGCCGCGGATGATGTACTGCGTGATGGCGACGCCCGGGCCGTCGTCGGCGGCGGCGGCGGCGTCGAGGGAGAGGGTCAGGGTCGAGTTGGTGCGCTTGTCGGTGTAGGTGCCCGCGTAGGCGGCGGCGGTCTCGGCTTTGCCGGCGGCTTCGATGGCTGGGAGGAGGGATTGCACGATGCGCGACATCATGAGGGTCATGGAGGTCTGGGAGCCCTCGCCGGGCCCGCTGGGGCCTGCCACGAGGAGGGTGACGACGATGTCGTAGTCGGGGATGAGGACCAGTTGGGAGTGGTAGTTGATGAGGTCGCCGGTTTTGGTGTAGAGCTCGATCATGCGGCCGTCCGAGGTGATGTTCTCGGCGCGGAAGATCTCCCATGGCGCGCCCATGAGGAGGCCGGAGGACGAGGTGGAGGTGAGGGGCTTCATCCACTTGCGGGTTTGGACGGCCGAGAGGAGCTTGTGCTGGAGGATGGCGTCGCCGAAGCGGTGGAGGTCGTTGATGGTCGAGAAATAGCCGCCCCCACTGGAGAAGTTGTTAGTTGGGATGGTTATGGCATGGCATGGGATAGTTGGGAATTTGGCACTTACGGGCCCTCGAAGCCCATATCGGCAGCCCACCAGACGTCGTTGGCAGGGATGAAGCCCAGAGCCTCGTCGGGTTGGGTGGCCGAGGTCCGCGCCATGTCGAGGGGTTTCCAGATCTCGTTGGTGACATAGTCGGTGAAGGATTGGTTGGTGATGGCCTCAACAGCGAAGCCGAGGATGGCGAAACCAATGTTGGAGTACACCGTCTGAGCCGAGAATGGAGCTTGTACGGGGGGCCGTTCCCCAAAGTGCTCGAAGAACACTGCTCCAGGTTAGATCCGAACCTTGCTATTGTGACGTTGAGGGAACCTACCAGTCTTGTTGCAACCAGGAGTCCCGAAGAACCCGGCGCAGCCAAGGAACTTGGAGCTGTTTGCTTGCGGGTATCCATAGGCCGAGAGGTCACCAAACGGAGCAATGTCGGTGATGTCTACCACCGTTAGCTAGGTCCAAGGGGAGAGAGATATTCACCACCGCAACACTTACAGTCCGAAGGAATGCCAGCCATATGCGACGCCAGCGCCCCCAGAGTCACCTCATCCCACTCAACCGCCCAGATCGGGCTATCCTCCCTCGCTTGGCTCTTAAGAGTCCTCAACTCCGGCACATACTTGGTGATCGGGTCTTCAAAATTGACTCCCCGATCCTGGAGCTTAAGCAGCGCCAAGGGAGGGAACAGCTTGGTCAAGCTTCCAATTCGGAAGATGGTGTCCGAGTCCACCTTCTGTACACCCTTCTCGTCCTTCTTTGGCGGCGTGTAGGCGTATTCGAAGAGGAGATCGGTTTCGTGGATGGACTTGACGCCGATTGCTATCGCGGTGGTGTTGTAAGATGCCGTCATCTGGTCGAGGATGTCCTTGATGGCGGCTGCTGCCACCGGTACTGCTTCATGTTTGCCGGGTTGTTTGGGCGGCGGCAGAACAGGGCCGAGAGGAGGGCAGTGGCCGTTGAGAGCTGCGAGAGCCCCCGTGCTCAAGCACGAGAGCAAGATGGAACTGGTCTTCCACATCTTGGAAATATGTGCCAATTTACCTAGGCAAGTAATGGAGTATGGTGGAAGGAGGTGATGGAATGGGGAGACAACCAGCAAGCCACCATGATCTCGAGCGTGATGACCGCGTCTTATACACAATCTCCGCGAGCCTGACATCACTCCCGTCGTCCAACCTGCATGAGCCTCATTTTACGTCACCATTCTTTACCACAGCCTCCAAATCAGGCACACTGGTGATCACCTTGGAAACAACATCAAGCACCCCAGCTTGTTGGGACACGTCCAACCGCGATGGCTGTGATTCGCTTGTTCGGAACCATGTCGCCAACGGCGGTGTCATGGTGTTCCACTGCGCTGTTCCAACTTCTACAGGGGTTCCGAGCCTTCGACAACATGGCCAAGTCTTGCTGGAACAAGCCGAGAGCACTCACGCTTAATTCAAACCTCAACGACTCGGAGGAGTGGGTCGGGGCTCGGATCGTCCTGATATTAGCCTCAACCGCGTAGACTGAATGCGACGTGGCTACCAGGGAGGAAGGGGCTGAGGCCTTTAATTTGACTTCTTCGATCCACAGCTCGCATAGTGCACGTGACTGAAGGCGAGGAATATGCTTGAAGTCTGAGAAGACAGGGCTAGAGCAGGTGAATTCCATCAGGCAACAACAATAGCAAGGGCATGGGACGTTGGAAGACTCGCCTGCCAGGGGTACACGCTCGCTACCGGGGTGCTGAATTATGCGGTGAACCTCCTTGGATGTATTGTTAATCGATGACCCAGAGGCATGGGCCCAAAGACCACCACAGAAATCCCTCTGATGGACCTTTGGCGACCGGCTCAGCGGCATGAGAAAACAATGTTGGGTTTCGCTCGACCTAGCTCGCAGGCTAAACCAAAAATAAAGCAGCACAAGCCATCCCCCACCGATACATCGATCTTCGGGACCGAGATCTTTGCTATCCCCAATTCACACCCATCCGAAAAGACGCCATCGCTATGCAGCCTGTTTCGTCCAACCTGGATCCGAGCTCTTCTGCGCCGATACCTGTCGGTGGGTTGCATCCACGCGGTCTAGCGGTCCTTTCGGGCCATCAATAACCCAACCGCGATGATAAACAACCCAACATAGGCAATAAAGGATGCAATCATCAGCCGATGAAACCCGTCGCTCGTACGCACAGCGCAACTCCAAGAACCATCCCCAAAAGACTCGTACCACACCGTACCGAACCAAGACGTACGAACCCAACGGCTGGTCTCGCCGGCCGGTGCCATAACATGAGGATCCCCGCCAGAGTCCCCGTCAGATACTCCGTCAAAGGCGTCCCCAGAGTCCCTGCCCGAGTCTCCAATAGAGTCTCCATCGAAACATCCGCCAGAATCCCGGCTAGAGTCTCCGCTCGAGTCTCCGTCAGAATCCCCATCAGAATCCCCGCCAGAATCCCCGGGGCCAGCCTAATGCCCGGGACGCAGGTCGCACACCTCGAACTCCAGGGTCCTCGACTCGTAAACGTGACCCTGCGGGTGTCCGGCCTCGACATACAGGTTGTCGACTCCGTGATGATGAAACGTCTCCGTCCGTTGACAGGACAGAATGTGCGGGAGCCCAGGCGGGTTGGTGAGCCGGAAGATGCCCCATCTGGCCTCATGTCAGTACACTAGCTCAGATTCAAGAGAGAGGTGGACGGAAAGGGACGACTCACGATGGCTCGTACTGCGGTGCGCACACGATCGCAACGCTCTCGGGCATCATGACCTGGTACCCGGCCTGGGTGTGCAGGTCGCGCGAGCTCATGAAACAGGTCTGCGTGGGGTGGGTGTGGATCCAACCGATTACTATCAGGTCGTTGGTGATGCAGTAGTCGAGCATGCCCGACTCGTTCTCCGTCTCGCACGTGTCCGATGTGCACTTTTGCTCCGGGATCACCAGATGCGAGATGAAGAGCGCGTTGTTGACCGTTGTGCCGCAGAGCATCCCGCACATCTCCAACCCTCGGCGCGTGTTATCCGATGCGATCGCCAAGAACTTTTGTCGCAGAGTGCTTGGGAGGAAGACGGGCCTGATAGGGTCGCCGTTCTCCAGGTATGCGGCCGGGCGAAAGGTAACCCGCTTCTGCTTCTCAGGCTCTGCGATGGCCTTCGGGGGAATCGCCGGTGCTTGTTCAGGAAGAGGACTGTAATCTGGCAGAGTGCTCGAAGGGAGTAGTTCCTTGCTCGGGCGGGGCGGTGGGAGTATGGGAGAGCCCCGTCCCAGGTCCAAGTCGTCATCGGGCCGCGGCGGTAGCCTGGCGGGTGGCCGGTCAACTTCCCGCTCTTTCGGTGGGCGCGGAGGTAGAACCCTCGGACCATCGGGGCGGTTTCGTGAGGCGGGAAGTTCGTATTCAAGTGGTGATAATTTATTAATCGAGGGGTAAGAATATGTGGATGGTCGGGCGGGGTCCCTCGTCCTCGTAACGCAGATGGTCGTCGGATCGATCTAAATGGCGCCGGGTGGCTTCCATCTGCCGCCGGAGTTCGTCGTCGTCCATGTATGGCGGTGGGGCCCTTCTGTCACTCTCATATTGCCGTCCATCCCGTTGTTTGCTAACTCGGCGTTGGTATTCCTCATCCTCCAGCACGCTAGCGGCCCGTCTACGTCGTCTCATCTCCTCCCTGGCCAGGTCGACTGCGAGATCTTGGTGATCTTGCGCGTCAAGAATGTCCGCCGGTGAGCCATAGTTCCATGACAGTGCTGGGTCGTTGGCAGCGTGCCTTGCGTATGGCGACGACGAGGCCAGGGACGTGAGATCCTTATTCTTAGCAGCATCCTTCCGAGCGGTTGTAATTTTCACCCATCGGTCATAAGCGTCGTCGAGTTCGGGGCGCAGTGTTTCCAGGATCTCAATGACCTTTGGGATGCGTTTTTGTAGTGGTCTCGTGGCTTTCCTTGCTTCGGGCTCTTTGGCTTCGGGATGTTTGGCGAGACATTCGAGGACCAGGATGGAGTATCGAAATAGAACAAGGTACGCCTGAGGGTAGTTGCCTTCTCGCAAATAAACTTGGCCCTGCTCGATAGCTTGTGCGTTAGCGTGGATGCGTACCTCGGGAGTGTTGTTGAAGTCGGGGCATGACGCACCTCGTGATGAATAGTCTCGGCGGCACGCGCCCAGTACTTGAAACCAATGCGTGGGTTCCATTCGAACTCCCTTGCTCTCTCAGTTAACTGCTTTGCGCTCATGGGCTTGCTGCCCATGCTCGCATCTGTTTTGTTCATCTTGATTGTGGCGCTTGGCAAGATGGGGCTGATGATGTTTGGAAGGGGTCGCCGGGCGGAGCTGTGATGCGGTAGCTCGACAAGTGTTGGCTACCGCGAGATGGTTTGAACGATGCTCGCGGTCATGGCCCTTCTTGAAAGAGAGGTGTTGCCCGGAATGCCAAAATCATGTCGTGCGCGGCATGGTCCTGCGACTTAACAAACGATGATAGTGACAGAAGGCACGCTTGCCAGCTGCCTGGTCGTGGCCGCGGCAGGCAGGTTGGGTTGGTTGACCCCGCCATCCCGCCGCGTCAACTTCTCTTGCCCGGGTCCAGGGCCGAGCTGCGGGGCAGCTGAATCAGCTCAGCACCGAAGGTCAATCCATGCACGGACCTCTTCAGAGCCATTTCTTGGCCATTCTTCCAATCTTCTGGAATGCATCCCGAAATGTTGAGTGTTTGAGCTGATGCCGGGCATGATTGTTTCAGCATTAATAACCTTAGAATTGATAGTGTTCAGCCTTGCGCGTAACCTCTCGGCCGTCGGTAATCAGCCGTTGGGTCATTGACTTGGTTTGACTCCTCCCTTCCCTTTCCAGTTCTTTCTCTTGGTTTGTTTTGTTCCTTCGGTCCGCTTGGTTGGTGAACCGGAATTACCGGCCACATTTCCGACAACACGAATTTCGCCTGAGAGATCCCGGTCTTAATCCACACGGATAGCATCGTCGACTCAACAGGCTCAGCTGGTGATTTGTTGGGCCTCTCGGGAATATTCGGGATGCAAACCTGGCCTTGCCCTGGCCCCGGAGCGGCACAAACCAATCTGCCACAAGGGCCGGCCCGATCTCAGCCTTGTTTTGTTTGGGTCATGGTGGTAACAACGAGGACCGGGCAGGGTTTGGGCAAAATTTTCGGTTGGATATAAGTTGGTCTGCTCAACACCGAGACGGTATTCCAGAGAAGCTTCCTCTTCACACTTGCTCCGTATTGGGCTCCCAATTCTTCGTACCTCCTGCCTCTCGTCTGCTCTCTGCTGCAACTCGTCACCATGACAGTGTCAAACACCTCGCCCAGGAGCCTCAAATGCCAAGGTGCTTACATCCCGATCCTTCTTACCCATCGCCTGACTGACACCCCCTAGGGAGCATTGAGGCATCCATGGACTTTCTGAGCCTCACCCTAGGCCGGCTGTCTATCCCATCAGAGACATGCCTGTTCAGCCTCCTCGGCCAATGCTTCACCAAGATGAAGCACATCTTCAACCTTAACGATCCCTCGAACATTCTCGCGGAGCCAGCCACTCTGGAGCGCATCCTCAACTCCATCTTCGATACCACTTCCGTCCCCTTCGTTACAGAAAAGTCGGTGCGGATCGCCGCTGGGCTCGATGACCACGATAGGTCATGTCTGTTTGTGGAGGCCGTGGCGGGCATGGTCCTGATCTTCCAGCGCCTTGACCTGACCGGCGGTGTGGTTTCCTCAAGGTTGTTGTCCCGGGAGCTCCAGCTTTTCGCCGAGAGCGAGCAGCGGCGGGTGGCTCTGGACAAAATTAGCAGCAGCGCCCTCTTCAGCTCCTGTTACACCAAGAACTCCATCGTCGACTTCCTGATGGCGGCAGTTGACGAACGGAATGTGGGCCTTCACGATGCCCTACCTCTAGGCACCGCTGGGGAGCATCTCTTGAACGACAATGTTGCTTGGGTCAGCGATCGGCCATGCAAGAACATGGGGTTGCCATGGGGGTTCACGATCATGACGCTGAACTAAGAATGGCGGAGTAGGAAAACTGTATAATATTGTCATCATCTCCATTCTGGGTAGAGCGTAGCGCGGCGTTAGGGTATCTGTCTTAGTTTAAAGAAACGAACCGCTCTGCTACCACGTCCCCCCTGAACCGGCCCGATGTGTTATTTATTGCGCCCTGACCGCTTGCGGAGCGGCTGCCTGCGCGCTGGTTTGGAGCTGAATAATTTCACCCTTTTTCTTCTCCATTTTGCCCTGCATCTCCTTAATATGCGACTCTAACCTCGAGCTTCGTGATGAAGTGTGGTTAGCTTCTTTGCATCAAGGTCGTGGGAGTTGTTGAACTTACATCTCCTTCTCGATAAACTCTAACCGGCCCTTGACGGTGCTCTCCGCCTCAGTGGTTTCTTGCTTGAGCAATACGGGCCCAATGAGCTTGTAGATAGCCTCCCCTTCCTTCAAGTTGGAAAATTCCTGGCAGATATCAGATTTCGCATTCGATGTTCATAAAGACTAAGATCATACCTTTTTTACCCCAAGGTTCTCCTGCATCTGTGCCTCGAGCTTTTGTCTCGACTGAACCGTGTCTTGGAGGTCTGATCCTAGCATGAGTAACTGTCGAGACTTACGGGTAATGCTGAGAATATCGACAAAATACCTTGTTGCAACTTGGTGAACTCCTCCGAGAGGGCTTGCAGCTTAGCTTGGATGTCGGCCATTTTGACAGGTAGGGATAGCAAAAGGATGGGCGAAAAAGCGGTGCCTTCCAAAAGATGTCTAAGTTACTCGCTGATGACGCGGCTCAAACGCTGAAGCTTCAGTCCACTTTAGGCAGGCGTTGATGTGTACTTGGCGGGGGAGTGAACTGTGAAGTGAAGGTGAGGGCACTCCGCAGTCGATTTTCTGGAGCCTGAGAGTTGAGTGTTAGCATTCAGCGCATGTTGACATATTAAACCCTAACAACGTCGAAGTCCGCCCCACCAACGAATGGAGGAGAGTGGCGTCAGCCCCGCGCTCCTGCTCCCTGGTCAACAACAGCCCCAGCTAGATTAAACGAATGGCTTCTTGTTTTTAAGTCAGCCTCAACACAAACGCAGTTATTTCTGCTCGGTCACCGGCCAACCTCAGCGACGCACCCCCGAAAAACGAGGGGCGACACCCTCACCCGCATCCTCGGCGTCTGCCTAACCCTCGACACAAAACCTCGTCTTGCCCGCCGATTTGCCCACCGCAGGCAGCCCGAGCTCGAACCGGAGAGCGAACCCAAACAACCGCCCAATCCTCGCCCCCAAAAACCCTCCTCACCCCCTGATCGAACCCGACCGACCGCCCACCATGTCCAACACCGACTTCCTCGACCGCGCGATCAAGCAGGTGCGCGTGGCGATCGACGCCGACAACGCCGGACAGTACGACAAGGCGTACCAGCTCTACTACCAGTCGCTCGAGCTGTTCATGCTGGCCCTCAAGTGGGAGAAGAACCCCAAGTCCAAGGAGATGATCCGGGCCAAGACGGGCGAGTACATGGACCGCGCCGAGAAGCTGAAATCCCATCTCGCCGACGGCGAGGCCAAGCGCAAGAAGCCCGGCATGGTGGGCGTTAACGGCGCCTCCACGGGCGGCACGGGGAAGGGCAAGGAGGCTGGGGAAGATGGCGCCGAGACGCTCGATGAGGATAGCAAGAAGCTGCGCAATGCGCTGGCGGGGGCGATTCTGCAGGAGAGGCCGAACGTGAGCTGGGATGATGTGGCCGGGTTGGAGGCGGCGAAGGACGCGTTGAAGGAGGCAGTGCTGTTGCCGATCAAGTTCCCCCATTTGTTCCAGGGGAAAAGGCAACCGTGGAAGGGGATTCTGTTGTATGGACCGCCGGGGACGGGTAAGAGTTATCTTGCCAAGGCGGTCGCGACGGAGGCGAAGAGCACGTTCTTCAGCGTGAGCAGTTCGGATTTGGTGAGCAAGTGGATGGGTGAAAGTGAAAGGTAAGACGGGCGCTCCTTTCCAGCTCACAAACTACCGGAGGCTGACACGATGATATCATAGGCTAGTACGGCAACTCTTCGCTATGGCTCGGGAGAATAAGCCGGCCATCATTTTCATCGACGAAATCGACGCGCTGTGTGGTCCCCGCGGGGAAGGTGAATCCGAAGCCTCTCGCCGAATAAAGACAGAAATGCTGGTTCAAATGGACGGTGTAGGCAAAGACAGCAAGGGTGTTCTGATACTGGGCGCCACAAATATCCCGTGGCAACTCGACGCCGCCATCCGCCGACGTTTCCAGCGCCGGGTGCACATTAGCTTGCCCGACCTTGCCGCGCGCACAACCATGTTCAGACTTGCCGTCGGCGACACCAACACGGCACTCAAGTCGGAAGACTTTCGTGAGCTGGCAAAGGCAGCGGAGGGATACTCGGGGTCAGACGTCAGCATCGTGGTGCAGGATGCGTTGATGCAGCCCGTGAGGAAGATCCAGCAAGCGACACACTTCAAGAAGGTACGTTTGCTCGCCCCCTGTTCCTCACGCAGAATCGATTTGCTGACCAGGCGGCCCTCAGGTAACGGTTGATGGCGTTGAAAAGCGCACTCCTTGCTCGCCAGGCGACCCAGATGCAGAGGAGATGACATGGGAAAAGGTGGCGTCGGAGGACCTGCTCGAGCCCTTCGTGGAGAAAAAGGACTTTATTAGGGCCATCAAGTCCAGTAGGCCGACAGTATCTCAAGTGGACCTTGAGAAGAACGAGGATTGGACAAAAGAGTTCGGTAGCGAGGGAGCGTGATCGGGCATGCGGTTTGTGGTTTGGACATCACTCAGTCGGGTGTTGTAGGCAGGCGTGCGGCGTTAGTAAACATCCACGGGCTCGGAATGTGGCATGGATTAGGAGCTGTCGGTTTGTCTTTTGTAGATCGATGTCAACACATACGGCGGGTCGTTTTGCCATTTTTGTTTAACTGCCGGCGCAACATTGCCCACATCAATATCGATCCATAGAATGCAGGCAGATTCGACATTGTTTCCATTCCACACCATGGTATGATACATCCCATTGCAGAAGATTGTGTCTCGACACAGCCCGAAAACTCCATTTGCCCGACCCAAACCCCACAAGAACTCCAAAAAAGCAGAGCAAAGACCAGCCAACTAAACCAACAAGAGACCTGGCCAACGCAGCAAGATAGCAACGGTAAGTCGACTATTCGGCGGCCACCGACTTTCTCTTCTTTTTCTTCTTCTTCTCGCCATCACCGTTGACGTCCACCATCTCGACATCCTCGCCTCCGACACTCTTCCGCTTCTTGTCCTTCTTCTCCTTCTTCTTTTCCTTCTTCTCCTTCTTCTCCTTGGCCGGAGGATGGTCGATCATCTCCTCGTCGATATCCATGTCGTCACCGTCGTCCATAACTGCCTGGATTGCCTTGCCCATCGCGTCGATGTTCTTCATCGGCTTGGTCCCCTTGGCGTACCACTCGAGCCGCTGCTCCAGCTGGTCGCGCATTACCTCGCCGAAGCGCTTCGTCGGCTTCTCAGAAAAGTTATCGATACGGCTGGCAATGGAGCACTTGTTGGCCAGGTACCGCGAGATGCGGCCCTTGACCTTGGGGCCGGCGCGCCCGATGAAGGAGCTCTGGTAGAGCAGACCGTACTTGGGTGTCGCACCCTTTGTCTTGAGGGCACGGAAGAGGGCCTTCTCGGCACCGAGGATCTGGAGTGTCGATGCGGGGTACTTCGCAAGGTTGGTCAGGGAGCCGGCGTGCGAAATGAGGCGGGCCGCGACAGGGGTGCCCAGAATGACCTGGAGGTTGGGGGCAACATCGCCCATCTTCTTGTCGAGCGACTCGGCGAGGATGCGCCTGTAGTCGGCCATCTTGGAGACGTTCGAGGCAAGGTCCTTGACCATGGCAAGGTCGGTGTCGCTGATGTCTTGGCCCATGGAAATCTTGGCGGCTTGGATGATCGCCTCGGCCTTGTCCTGGTCTTGGTTGAGGACGTTCGCGAGGTCGTCAACGCTCTCGTCGGTGAGGGACCGCTTGTTGCCGACAGCAATAACCAACTTGGCGTAGGTGCCATTGTCGGACACGATCCGGATGAGTTCGGGGAAATGCCACCCATACCACTCCCTGACGCGCATCGCACTTTGGTTAATGCCCTTGTCAAGCGCATCGAGAGTCGCAATGCCCTGGATAATGTGGTTGTCGTTCTTGTGGACGCTGAACTTGACCTTGGCGCGGGAGTAGGCGTGGCCAAGACCCAGCTGAGCACGGTTGATGTCGCCCTCCTGGAGACCCTTAAGGAGCTTGTTGGCGTGAAGACGGATACCACGCAGGAGCGCGGCGACAACCTCGGAGGTGTCGGCAGCTTCGCACTGGACGCCGGGGAAGGTGGCGCTAATCTCGCCCGCTATCCGCTTGTCTACAACACCCAGCACGATCTTGCTCTTCTTCCCGCTGGTCTGCGGCAGGTTGAGTTCAAGGGTGTTCTTGAGATGGTCGGGCATGATTCCCTCCGAGATAAGGTTGATCGCTTCCAAACCGTGGGCGGCAGAGCTAGAACCCATCCATCAGTCGGAAGAACGCACACAACGCGCGCGAGCAGCAAGCCATTGTGACGCGAACGCGGGGTCACTTACGTCCAGGGGTTGAAGCTGCGCAATTGGATCATCTTGCCAAACTTGTCGAGGCTCTTCATCGCATCCTTAACCTCGGGCAGCTCCAAGCCGACGGTATCGGCCTGGTGCACCACTTCGAACAGCGAGAAGCCGACGGCGCTCTCGAAGAGCAAATAATTGACCACCACCATCTTGACCAATTGTAATCGTTGGTCCTTGATGAGCGGTATATCGTGTCTTAGGGAGTTGGCGGCGTGTCGACACTGCGCAACGTATTTTAACCACTGATGTAAAAGATGCGGGTTGGCGGCTCTCGATATTTTCCTGGCGACTTTGAAAGTTTTCGAAATTTTTGCGGGAAGCTTGCGCACGAGCCATGTGGGGTCATCTTGGCTCATGCCGGTGCGATGCACCCGTTGTAGGTTCCGTCTCTTGAGAATCGCTGCTTGATCTTCCCAGCTGTCTGAATCTTTCCACCCGCCTGCCAGCTGGCGTCATTCCGAGCCCTTTTTTCCTAATCCCCACCAAACCCCGCCGCTCGCTCAGCAGCCAAGCACCCAAAAGAGCTCCATCACTGGCTCACTGCATGCGACTCCGGATCGGTCCAGTTCGAGACGGACCGCCGGGCTGTCTCAGCCCTACACAAGTCACCCCTTTTCCTGGCCCATCACCATGGTGCGCATGCTGTTTGGTCCGTTGTTCCCCGGCCACCCTCCTCGGTCACCGTGACCAGGCCGCCAATCGTTCCTCACCGGACCGAGCGTGCCGCACTTGGTTGTCTGACATTCGGGTCTGGCAGTGGCGACAATGGCAGCAATCCCGACAACAGCCAAGCACCACTTTGTCTCAGTCACATCAGTCACTACAAGCGATGAGATGAAGACTCTTCGGCGTGGCCGGTCATCCATTTGCTTGCTCCTTCCACAACGGGCTTCCCCATTTTATTGTGCGGTCGAGAACATACCTTGGTACCTACCTACCGTACAGTGTGTCGCGGACCCAAAAGAAGAGACCCGAAAGCTGACTCGAGAAGCTGACCGAGACGTTGCATTCATCCTTCTCGGGGTTCCCTGCTTGGGCTGCATCCAGCTTACGTTAATTTCTGTCTGGTCCACGAATAGGTTCGGCGATAGGTGTGCGTACGCGGTTGGATCATCGAATTTCCCGAGTGCTTGAGATGAGCCCAAGTACGAAAAAGGGGATTGATGTCCCCAAGATTCGGGTGACAGGTTGGGAAGCGACGGGAAGGGAGACTGCTGTAATTGGACGTCCTCGCTGAAACGGCGCACTTGTCCAATCAGCAGGCTAACAAGCTCTCCAAGCACCGGCCTGCAGTTCGGCACCATCCCGCTCTTGTCGGTCAGCCGCACACAGAGCAACGGTGAATCTCAACCCCCGGGAGTTATGCGCAGCTGCGATGAGCGATCCCTCACCGACCCCTTGCAGCCTTGTCCTTAACACCAGGCTTCCTACGTCATATAACAACGGCACGCAATGGCGTTTATGGCCTGGTCGCCTCCGGACCTTGTTCCTGGGACATCATTGATGCTCGGCGGTGCCCAGTTCCCCCGGCGTCCAGGGTTACGTGAGCCTACTTTGCTTCGATATCAGTGTCCACCCACGTATCTCCTTACCCGACTTAGTGCGCGAGGCGGGCTGTCTTCAACTTCTCGAACCTCGAATACCCAGCGAACCCCTGCACCTGGATAGGCCTGAAGCCCAACAAGATGGCCTCACGATATCCTCGGTCCGAAGACCATAACTCGCCGTCGACAAACGACATGGCAACAGCGACCTACGATGCCGAAAACGCAACTGACGTTGCCGCTCAAGGCCTTGGCCCTGTGATGTCTGGCGCGAGTCAGGTTGCTTTATCTCGTATCGCGAAAGAGACCATGGCTGGTCCTCCCAGGGAGGAATTCCCCGCCAGATCTAGCACGATCAGGGAATCATGGGTGTCCTTTGCATCGACGGCTGGCAGCAGAGATTCAGTGGTCCCTAGCCTGTTCTCAGTCAGGGCGTCAACTGTTTCAGCCTCGACACGGTACTCGATCCGCCAGTCCTCGATTGAGTCCCCCATCTCCGCTACCAGCCCCATGTACCAGGAACATAGGAAGAGCAGCTATCCTCAAAATCACTATTTTTGCACATTCTGTGATGCCGATTTCTACTCAAACACGGAATGGAAGGCCCATGAATTTGAGTTCCACAACCGGCGGGAACGATACCTGTGCAGGAGCTGCCCAGCAGTCTTCTCGGACGCGACACGCTTTTCTGACCACCTCAAAGCCAACCACGGTATCGAATCCGCCGAGGCCACGCCCAACCCCGCCGAGTATCGGCCTACTCGAAACGCATGGGGCTGTGGGTTCTGCGGGGCGGCCATTTCGGGGCGGGCTTCGTACCTCGAGCATGTCGGCGAGCACTACGACGAAGGAAAGCAGAAATATGAATGGCTGCACACCTTTGTTATCGAGGGATTGCTTCAACAACCCCAACTAGCATCGGCCTGGATGGCTTTGGTCGCCAGGGAGGAACAGTCAAGGGGCGCCAAGTTGCTCTTTCACTGGGATCCTGACACGACTGGCCGGAACTCCGACGAAAGAGGGCCCCACGGCTTACAAGACATGCTAGAATTCTTCCCCGCAGGAGTCCAAGACGCAGACGAAGTCGTGAAAGTTGCCTACAACAGCGCTCAGATTAAACTCAACACCGACGTTGGCGACCTAATCAGCAGGCTTGACCTACAAAGCCCGGAGCCGATGTCCAGCAATCCAGCCCAGGGCCCGTTTCAGTCACCATTGGAACTGCAGCCGACTAAACCGGCGATCACAGATGATGTGGTATCCCCAATATCCCCGTTGCCTGCACCCCTGCGTCCGCCCACGGCGCCGCCGCGGCTTTCGAACCCGTTCCCTCCACGGCCCGATTTGAAGTTACAACCTCCAGAACGTCTCTCCACGCCTTCCAGTTCCGGTTCACTGGGGCGCGGTCAACCAGCACTTTCCCACCCCTTCAGACCAAGCTCCAAAGCCCTCCGCCGCATCGATAGCTCCCGAAACCTCGGCCCCGCTAAGCAGATTGAGGCTGTCAATCCCCTTAACCAACAGGTGATCAACATGCCGCCCCCGTTAAATTCGTCTGGGGCCCCTCCCATCACGATTCGAAGAGCGGTAGAGTTACAGCCGCGTCTTTCAGGGACTCCGGAGGAGCCGTCCTCGACGGCTGACAAGGGAAAAGCATTATCAACAGCATTGTCCGTCAAGCCGCATACTAGCTCAAGCACACTATCCACACATACGAGAGACGGCTCCCACGGGTTTGGTGACAGTACTAGTGAGACCGTGTCAGACGACAGCCTTTCGGAGCCCGATTCTTGGCTGGAATCCGGCGGGATTCCCGCGGCTACCAAGGTCTGGAGACACTCGTTCCAACGAACCGTTGACCGGGGGATGACGCGGCTTTGGGTCCGGTACAACCAGGACTGGGATGCTCTCGTCAGACAGTGTGTTGGCGACGCAAACGGCGATTCGGGTCAATACCGAGAGTCTTCAGGGCGTGTGCGCAAGGGTGCATCTTCGCGTTACGCGACGAACAACGGTCTCCATCTGAATGCGCGGTCGCTCGGGCAGGACGATGAGGAGGAAGGTGAGGAGGGCGAGGGCTATCCAGGTCCATCCCCGCCGTCCAAGCGCATCTCGGGGTCTCCGAAGAAGTTCGCATGCCCCTTCAGGAAACGCGATCCCCTCACCTACAACATACAGGACCACGAAGTATGTGCGATCAGGTCGTGGTCTACGATCTCTAGGCTGAAGTACGTGCCTGCCAACCCTGCCTCAGCAAACAAATACTAACCCCTGAATAGGGAGCATCTCTACCGCAGGCATTACAAGACTCATTGCCAAAGATGCAAGTGCATTTTCAGCGATGCTAGGGAACTAGCGGAACACGAGATGCTGGTCACAGGCTGCGAGGTTTTGGATACCATTCCTCCTGGCGATATCACCACATACCAAGAGAAACAACTCAAATCAAGAAAGCACACCACGCGGAGACAAACGGACGAGGAAAAGTGGAGAGATATTTACCGACTGCTCTTCCCCAACGAAGAAATTCCATCGCCATGTAAGTGGCCCCATCGGGTGCCCGAACGCGAAGGATGGCGCACGGGTCGCTGATACGAGGCCAGATCCCGAGGCTGCAGAGGACATGGGGCCCTCGACCGCCGATTCCAGTGTCAGTTTCAACTTCCAGCACTTTCTCCTGAGCGAATTGCCGACCTTGTTCACCAGAACCGCCGAAGAACACGCCGGGAGACGCCTCCAAGCTCACGAGGGACTGGCGTTGGAACTCATCCCAGGCATCATCGAGGGCGCGCTTCACAAAGCATTCAGGACATGGGAGGCTAGAGGTAGCGAATTACCGGCCGGGGAGGCCTCGGTGGCATTGATGAGCTTTTTACCAGACACCCCAGCTTCGGCCGCTTACAGTTTTGGACAGTCCGCTGCCTATCAAACCCCGCAGTCCGCCGTAACAACTGATCACAGCTTCTCTCAGAGTCAATTCGGCAACACAAACTTTGGCGTCGACGCTCCGCATGTCACCAGCGCCGACGACTCTGGTTTTGCGGATGACACCTTCTTCGCGCCTGAACCTCTGCTCGACTTCAACAATTTTGCCCCGCAATATGACAGAGGCACGTGGGAATCAGGCCTTGGTGTTATGGGCGGGGGTGCGTTCCCGGGTGACTTGAACACAGGGGGCAACTTCGGGGGCTTCCAGGATGGTTAAGGGACAAGCCACTACTCTGCTGCTAGCCGAACGGTCGCGAAAGTAATGAACTTGATCTTTCATCTCACGTTCCCCATTCAACCAGTCACTGTTCAGGACCATACTGTGCCCTCTTCACCTAACGCCAAGTCTAAGGTTGGGAGTGGCACTCAACGCGGGTACCAGTGTGACTTCTCTCTTACACCAATGCTATCGACTATCCAAGCTGTATGGTAGGTAGGCAACAAAGTAAGGGAAACGACAACTCGGTACCGACCAACTGACACCGGTGAGAGAAGTGAATTGACACAAGCAGGGATGTCTACAACTTGTCCGTGTGCCGAAAGCAAGCCCGCTAACTCGAACAACATTCGAACGAGCGTCGCGGTGTTTCGTGCAACTAATTATCCGTCCTCTACCAACCCTCTCCCGTTCGACTGTTGAACCAGCTCAACCACCTTACATGCTCATGCCGGGAAGCTCGGTGACCCCTGCCATTGTCTTGTCAGCATGATCTTGAGGAAGAATCCACCAGGGGTAGTTTGGGAAAGAGGGTGGGGGTGAACAAGAAAAAAGCACATACACTGATCATAGTCCTCCCTAGCCGCCTGCTTGACGGCACAGGCACGAGCCGCCTCAATATTCTGGGTGCGCAGACTGGCGCACTGGGCGCCGAAGCAGCCGGAGGTGTCCATGGCGCGCTGCAGCGTGTCGTCCTTCCACCCGAACACGTAGTCGCCGTGCTGGCCGAGGCCGGTCGGGTCGCCCGTGCTGAGCACGAAGGGCTGCGAGCCGTCCGCCGGCCACTCGGCCTTGTTGTTGAAGGGCGTCGTGTCCCACACGACCTCGTACATCAGCTGCGGGATGCGCACCGGGTGCGAGGCCGGGCAGTTGCCACCGAGCGAGAGGAAGTTGGCCGGGCCCGAGGTCGGGTAGGCGACGTGGTCTTGGTGGTTGGGCGTGTCGAGGTTCTTGCCGTCCCAGCAGCTGGTTGGGGTGGGGTTCGTTAGCTTTTGTCTTTTATGAAGTTGTTGGGGGGAGGGTATGAGGGGGGGGCATACGTCGGGAAGTGGATGTTGGTGCGGATGCCGCCGGGGCAGACCTTGTTGGGCAGCTCCTCGGTGTCGACGCGGTCGTCCTGGCAGGGCGCGCCCGTGTCACCGCCAAAGTTGGGACCGGTGTAGCAGCGGTAGCAGTTCTGGCGCTTCTGGCTGGTGTCGGGGCGCGAGCGCATGTTGGGGTCGCCGACGAGCATGCGGAAGCCCTACAGATCCGTTAGTATGGAATGTGGGGTAAGTTGGTGGTGTTGGGGGCAGTGCTTACCGGCTTGAAGGCCGTGATCTTGCCCGGCTGGGCCGAGACGTAGTAGACCAGGATACCACCCTGGGTCTGGGTGCTGAACCGGTCGTTGAACTGGAGACTGTCAAGAGGTCAGTATGTCGGCATCCCCGATCATTTCGGGCCCCAGAACTAAACATACGCAGCGCCGCCCTGGGGAACACGCTTGTAGCTCCCGTTGCGGGCCTTGAAGTACAGGTTCGCGGTCCAGTAGTTGGAGAAGTCGTCGGCGAACTGGCAGGTCGTGCAGCTGGCGTGCTGCGAGACATCGTCGGTGGGCATGGTGACGTTGAAAGCGTTGCCGCCGACAATCTGGTGGACGTGTGGCGAGGGGACCTGGCCGGGGTTCACGAGAGGGTCGATCCGGTCAATGACGACCTGGCTGCAGCCGAACCGCAGCATGGTCATGCCACCGGGGCCGCCAAACTGGGGCGCCGCCTCGGCCAGTGCCGAGAGGGCGAGGAAAGCAGACTTTGCCGTCCACTTCATTTTGGGCTAGTCGACTGGTGATCGGTAGATCGAACGGAGGTTGTCAGCCTTGTCGGACCGGGGATGCAACGCCAAGGGGAGCTGGAAAAAAGGTTATGACTATCAGTGGAACACGGGGATGCAGCCGCGAGCGCCGTCCCATCTGCTCTTATAACACTTTTCGCAAGTAGGAGAGAGAGGGTATCGAACCCCACGCTGCCCCACGGACTTCTCCGTTTAAGGCGCGAACTGCCGTTCAGGCTCGGTGAGGCGAAGTGCCGAGTTCCATGGGGCCAGTCGGCCGTATAGGGCAATATGTAAATGTATATTGTCGCTATAAACTGGGACCTATCGGAACCAGTTTTTGACGCGGGCGAGCTTGATTGGGGTCTAGTGGGGTAAATAGGAAGGCAGGTAGGGTGATATAGGCGCTTCCACGGCAAATTCCCCTAGTCGACCAGGAGCAGTCCCCCCAGCGCGACGTCACCGGGGTGGCCGCCTTGCCTGGGCTGAGAGCACGGCAGATTTATGATAGGGTAGGAGGAAACGAAAAACACACAGAAGATCCAAGGGTGAGGGTGTGGGTTGCCATATTTGGAACCCCAAGGGGCCGAGAGCAACACAACCCGGAGATGGTGTAGCAGCCAAGGCCATGTGGCCTCCGCATTCATCAGTGATGAGCGTCTCTGATGATAATTTACCGGGCACCACATGCTCTCATCACTGGGGTGGCAGGATATGTTCTTCGAGGAGGGCGGACTAGACCGGGTTCTCGAAGTCTCTGAACATTCCATGATCCCTACGGCCTCGTGGTTGGCCTGCACAGTGAAACCCTGCCATTTCTCGGGCTGAGTTGGCCCGACTAAATTATGTGGCACGGCAGAGTAGTAGCAGCCCCCCGATTGCTGTATGGAAACGTCTAGAAAGGCGGAATGGCCAGTGCCGAAGACAGAATATGGTTGGTGGCATTTTTCCCACAAGGGGGCGTTAAGTGAGTCGGCCGAGAGGATCCAGCATCATCCAAGAGACATATAGACGCTCACTCGTTAATGAATATCCTTGCCCGTCCTAGCTATCTGTTCACTTGCTACGATGTCGCGATTTGACGTACACTATGTTGTGTTGTTTCTCCGAGGCACGTTCCTAGCCCCTATTTCGACAACTTACCCTGCTGAGCGAACACACTTCGACCCCGCTGCCTAACCATGACACCTCATCGCAAATGGACAGGGGGTAGAGGGAAGATGTAAACGTGCATTGTCTTTTATCGAGGGACCTTTCGGCATTGCTACACCCTGTCTCTGGTATACGGCAGGAAGATCACCACCACGGGTTCGGAAGATTTGAGAACGAACAGTGAACCGGGACACAAGGTACCTAGCTTCCCGGCCGTTTCTACGAAGGTGTAGCACGTGAGTGCCGCGGTGGTCACTAAGAGATAGCCCTGCCTAGGTAGGTAGTCGTGAGAGAGACGGGGACGAATTTAGGCAGCATGTCGCCGAACTGCCGTGGCTGGGCTGAGAGCGGGCAAATCCAGAGGGCTCCGGGTGGCAAAAGTAATGAAGAGGTAAACAGTAGCTGCCTGACGGGAATGGCCGATATTAGTTAGTTGGATGCCGAAAACGAGTAATTGCCGAAAGCCACATTCTTTCCATCGCTCAGCTCGGCTTCGACTACCACGGGATGCCGGAACCAAACTGTGAATGCCTTTCGGCAACCTGCAAATGCTTTTCCCTATCCATCCGCTATCTAACACGTCGCTGACACCCTTGCTTCCCTCCCCGCCCCTAAGATGAAACACCCAATTTGACCAGTTCCCCAATGACAATTCCGGTACAAGATACCGCAAAGCCACCTCATTCCCTGGTGCCCTGGTGTAAAAGAGGATATTTCCGATCGGAAAGGGCAAGGCAACCTTTCAGTGACCGGCCTTATGGGGCTCATCTTCAGTTTAGGTCATGCTGGCGGGACATAGCAATGATACTGGTATGACAGATCTAATTGTCATGCTAACTACCGGCAGGGAGCCCCTCCGACCAAGTTTGAGTTGAGATATGTATGATTGAACATGAAAACTCCCCATATCGACTACATCCCCATCATCAATCCTTTCCTTACCAAGTCACTGGAAGTTTGACGATGCCTACATCGCGCTGTAAAGGCGTGTATTCAATTTCTGGGATCGATGTGGCAAGCTTCAAGCCAGGGGCTTTCTTGAACAGGTACGCTAGTAGTCGCGAATCGTCAGCATTCCCAATCCTTCCCCTTTACTCTTTGACAAAGCTTTAGAAAGCAACTTACTAAAGGCGCTCCTGAGCTCAGCTTTGGACAAGTGCTCGGCGATGCAACGATGATCGCCAAATCCGAAGCCCAACGGGTCCTCCTTGGGCCACTTGCGGTGCATGTTGAACGTATCGGGGTTCTCGAAAATGTCCTCGTCACGGTTGGCCGATTGGTTCGACGCGATGATGCCCTGGCCTGCCTTGATGAGCTGTGGGGTGATACAAGTAAGCCATCAGATGACAGTTCAGATCAGTCAGGCTCATTACCTTTCCGCCAATCTCGACATCCTCCTTAGCCGTGCGCTTCATGGCCATTGCCGAGGCCGTGTGGTAGCGGCACAGCTCCTCCACGAAGGGGTCGACCCACTTGGCCGGGTCGGCCTTGAGCTCGGCCAGCTGATCAGGATGCTGAAACAAGGTCACAACGCCCTAAGGTTGGTCAGCTGGCTGTTATTATGTCACGATCCTTAATTAGAAGGGCCACTCACGAGGGAAATCATGTTGACCATGGTCGCGTTGCCAGCCACCAGGAGGAGGAAGGCCATCTGCACCGCGTCGGCCTTTTCGAGCTTCCCGGTCTTGACGTAGTTCGTCACCAGCTGGCTCACAATATCGTCCTTGGGCTCCTCCATGCGCTTCTCTGCCAGCGTAGTGAGGTAGCGGATCAGTTCACTGTCATCGGTCAGCTTCCCTCTTTGCACCACTTGCTACTTAGGTAGGCATGCTTACTCGGCCGCTGCGGATGCGTCACGCGCGGTCGCGCTGCCGTTGGCGCGAATCGAGTTCTGCTGCGTCAGAAATTCGAGGTCCTCAAAGGGCACGCCAAGGAGGGTGTAGATGATCTACTTTTGTCAACATCAATCTCTTTCACAAGGGAGGGGGGCGCCATACATATGACGGAACTGGCAGCGCGAACTCCTCCACCAAATCAACGGGTCCGTTGGCACATCCCTTAGCGACCATGCGATCCAACAAATCATTCACCGTCTTGTCAATGTACGGCTGCATCGACTTGACCTTCTCCGGGGTGAACCACGACTCGACCATGCCCCTGGATATAGCACGTCAGCGTTCGACCATCAACACTAGAATCGGTAACAATCTTACCGATGCCTCATATGCTCGGGCGGGTCCATATCCACAAACGTCGGCCGCTGCTTGCCAGCCTTCTTGCCGCCGTCACTGAACTCGGGGAACCCAGGGCGTTGGCGCTCCTATCCCAAACGAGTCAGTCAGCAACCCACTCTCGACTCTCACCCCTAACACCACACCGCACCACAACCGACCACCACCCCATCCCCATCCACACCCACACCCACACCCACACCCACACCCACACCCACACCCGACCCAGCCCCCCAACCAAAAGAAAATAGACATAAAGAAGAAAGGAAACAAACCTTCGACAACCGCTGATCCGTCGCCACCCGACAAACATCCCGATACTTAGTCACCAGCCACGCCGCGGTACCATCATACAGGCGGACCTGTGAGACGGGGTCGGCGGCACGCAGACGGGCGAACTCGGCGGGGGGTTCCAGCCCCGAGGCGCGGTGGAAGGGGAAGGCGGGCATTTCCTTGTTGGAGCCCATTGTTGGTGTTGCTGCTGAGGGGTTGGGGGTTGTGGTGCTGAGGGTTCGGGTGGTTGTGAGGCGGGTGGTGGTGGTGGTGCGGGCGTAGGGGAGGCGGGTGCGTAGTGATGGGGTGAGTGAGGTGCGCGCTGCGTTGGTTGCTGTTGCTGCTGCTGTAGCTACGCGGGTTGCGTGCATTGCGATGACGTGGGAGGGGGTTGTTTGGTGGAGGGCGGTGTTGGATGGGGTTATATACACGGAGTTAGGACCAGTGGAGTGATGCCTGGAACGAGGAAGGGAACGGTGTCACTGGGCTGGCATGACTCGCATGATGCTTAGCAAGCCTCGTATACCTCAGCTAATATAGCAGTTGAGACCGCGCCTGGGCCGTTCGGGACGGCAGGTGGGCACCTCAGTGCATCATCAATGATGCTCGGAGGTGGCTTTTCGGACATGCGAGTTCCCGAGCCGGGCCTTTCCGTTCACATGCCTCCTAGCGCAGTGAGCCCAGGTCACGTCACGGGCGCATATTCATGACAAGCTACAAGTGCCTGATCAGATGGGATCCTTGGGGGCTGCCCGGGGAAGCCGCGCTTCCGCGGAGGTCTGGAGGTATTTGGTTCTAGATCGGTTGACCGTTCTAGTGGAACTTGAAGTAAAAGTGCCTTCTCCAATCATGGCAGTTCATGAATATTACCGGACCTTCCATTCGTTAGTATGGGAGTGTTACTCATGACGGAGCTTGGTCTGCGGGGTAGGGGTAGCTGCGGAGGTGGTCTGATCTGTGGCGGCTCAAGTGCAGGGACGCAACCTGGACTTCCTCATCTTGTCAGACATCGCCCGCAGGCAGTCGCACGACGGTTCCCCGAGCGCACTCCGGTCGTTGCCGACATATCTCCTGCTGAAGCCCGAGAAGAGGTTGGTTGCACTTGAGGCATTCGGGAGGACTGTGATAATAAAGGTGAGGAGGGTAGCATGCACAAATATTTGAGGGGGATATATTGAAACTTTCCACCCCGCGATCTTGTGAAATCAAGAAACCACGGCAGGTTTCACTGCGCTGCTTGCCGGGTCGACTTCCCTTCAACGGCACACGCAGCACCCAACATTCAGCGCCCAGCACGCCGGAGATGCTCAATCTTCACAGCCCGGGTTCGGCCGAGTTTCGTATGCCAGATAATATCGTCAGGCACCGGCTCCCAACAGTTGTCGCTTTCGTGGAACGGCGGTTAAGACACAAACAGTTTAGACTCCGAAAGAGTTGGGGGCGCAGTATTTATAGCAGAGTCGATTACCTCCGCGGGTCGTCGCTTCTGAAGTTCTGGCACTGACAGCGACTCAAGACTGGCGACCCACTTAAACTGTGACATGACAGCTCCACCCGTGCTGCTGGCCACCTGGCTGCCGGCTGTTTCGGGGGATGCAGATCAAGAACCCCAAAACCGTTAAATCTGGGGAACCGGCCCACAAATGCGACCTGCATTCCCTCGCTAACCCAACCCTCGACCGCATGCCGCCGCAGATGGGGCCGCCCTCCCAGGCCTACGGGTGAGGTGCCATTTCAATATGGGCTCCGACCGACTGATCGACTTCGGAAAGTCAAATAATTTCCACTTCCAGCTCCTAATAGAGAAGAATGAGCGCCCGGCGTGATGGGAATCAGGGGTCTCTCACTCGGGCTTTGTATGGTCGGCGCACATCACTGACATCACGGTCCGTTATCCACCGCGCAGCGGACATCACGAGCATGATTACGGCCGTGTCCACTGCAAGGCACGCACTCTCTTCTTTTTGTATTTATCTTCACGCTACCAACCCTCGCTTGGACCCCAACTCTTCACTACCTAATCAGCGCGTCCTAAGCGCACTCAGACCTTTTCATTGACTCACATTTGTCGAACGTGCGCGGGCCGGTCTCGCCTTTCCTTCAATCCACGCTCAGCATTGGACCGAACATTCATTTTCGACATTCGTTTCGAACATACCATTTTTCGACATAACTTTTAATACACCCCAATAATCCTAATAAACACCACCACCACACCACAACGACCATGCCGACCGAAATCGTCAACCTCTCCGCCGCCGCGCGCAACCGGCGGCGCATGGCGGCGCGGCTCGGGTTCGAGTCGGTGCGCGAGCTCGAGAGCTGGGAGGAGGAGATCGTGCTGGACCACTTCGCCAACTTCATCTGCGACTACCTGGCCATGGGCTACACGGTCGAGCCCGACAAGCGCGAGCTGGTCGCCTTCATCGACCTGGACGAGGCCGTCGAGGAGCGCATCAAGTGTCTGGAGGAGCGGCGGTTCGAGATGGTGCTCGATCCGGATAAGAGCGAGTGTAAGTTTGTTTTGTTTTTGTTTTGTCTTTCTTTAGTGTGAGGGGTGGGTTGAGTTGACGGGGGGGCTAACGAATGTGTGTGTAGGGACTGCCAAGGACCATTACAAGCAGTTTGTGATTGGGGTCGTGGCCGATGATATCTGGCTGGGGAGGTATGGGGTGGATGGCGCTGTTCTTTGCAAGCGCGATTGGAGCGCGAAGGAGATCACCATCAAGATGGTGAGGTTTCTCGAGTTCTTGGTAAAGGAGTGGGTGGACGGGCCGGGGGATGCTTCCGACAGGGAGAAGTCAGGTCAGGTTCAGGTTCGGATCTAAGAGTACCATATTCAGTGGCGTTTAAACGGAGAGCATTTTGGGCCGGTTAAAACATAGCATGGAGTTGGGATGCATTGTTTGGGCGTTTAAGTTCCATAGAGGCCTCTCTGGCAAATTCAGGAAAAGAAGTCTTGTTTTGGAAGCTTTGAGGTATATGTGACTGTTTCGCCACGCCAAGCGTGATCTTTAAAAGTACATGAAACAAAAGAATCGAAGAACGTCTCCTATAAGAAGCGATACTTACTAGTACCCTACCCAACGCGCTAAGTTGGCCTTGAACATTTTATTTGTCCAAAAGGCGGATGAATTGGGAGTCGTCAAGGAGGTGATGTTGGGGTTGATGAGGGGGCCGAGGAGTGTGGGTGCGGAGACAAGTGTGGAAGTATGGTAGGATGGCCTAGAGAAGCCAAGAAAGGGAGTTGGTGTGAAGCCATGGGAGGGCGTGGTCAAACGTCGGGTTTCAAAAGCTCTCCACCCATTCACCAGCTCGCACTGGCAGGGCGAGCGGAGTGCCATTGGAGAGTTCGGGCTCTTCAGTGCTCTTGGGGAAAGGGTGGTGCGCAGGAATGGCTACACCGAGGTGAGTGTGGAAGTGGAGGTGTGGTAAGACGGTGCAACTAGAGATCAGGCATGGAGAAGGTATGAGTGTTTATGTAGACACAAGGTCGAGTGTTTTATTATGCTGTCAAGCTGTCTATACCCGTAACCACTATGAACCCCAATCCCAATTATGAAAACAAGAAGCTATGCCCGAAAGGAGTGGTACGAAGTGAAACCCAGCCATGCTCCATGTCCCATGTTCCGTTCATCCATGTTCCATGCATCCCATCATCCCAAAGTGCCCGATCCGTATCATGTCGTAAATGTCGTCCCGAGTGCAAGCCGAGTGCAGCCCGAACGCTCAGCTTAGACGCTGTCAACGCAGTAGGGGATGCCGTTGAGGTAGGAGCAGTGTGTGCGCTCGTGGCAGCTGCCGACGAACTCGAGGATGTTTTGGGTGTTGCAGACCTGGATGGCGTACGGGCCGAAGCAGTCGTACTTGCCGGCGGTCTGGCACTTCTCGCCGGGGCTCTGGCCGGGGCGGCCGTTGCGGGCCTTGACCTTGGCCTCGGAGTGGGTGCAGAAGGGGAGCTCGAAGCCGTTCTGGTCGAGATCCTCGCAGGTGGCGCCATCGAGGCAGGGACCGACGAGCTGCCACTGGTTCGAGACGTTGCAGATCTCGATGCCGGTGTTGGGGGTGGTGCACCGGTAGGTGCCGAAGGTGCAGGCCTCGCCGCGCTTCTCAGAGGGAGCAGCAACGGCCGAGGCGGCGAGGACAAGGGCGGCAGTGATGAACTTCATTTTGAGTTGTGGTTGTTGGGTGGTCTTGGTAGACTGTGGGATATTGTAGAGTAGTAGGTAGTGTGGTGTTGAGAAGATGTTGTGATGTGAATGTTGGATGTTGTGATGGTGAGCCAAAAGGAGAGAATATGGGTTGAACCTCGAGTGATCTTATACCCGAACCTCACCAGGCTTCACATCTCGGGCTCTCAGATCATTTGCACCACGAGACCTCCTCCGCGCCATTTCGGGCAAAGTCCACATGGCAGGTCCTCACCGGTAGCTTCGCCATGATGCCCCTCGTCCCTCCACGTCTCTCCACCGATCCCGCGACTGGGGACGATACGAGAGAGTCAACGCCACGAAAGTCCCATATCGGGAACAAAAGACGAGACTGACTTGGGTAACACGAGCATCAGCAGCTAGAAAGTTCGGACGTCCCAGGCAGTGCCGGGCGTGGGAAGAGGCGTTGAGACTTGCTGTTGGGCATGTTGTTCCGGTCCGGCGCCATTGGCCCATGTACAGCCCCGTACGTAACCACAAGACTGCTGGGTCCTATCAGATGGAAGAGGGGGATCCCAGTTCGCGATGGCGTCCAGGACACGAAGTCGAGCACACTGACTGCATAATACCCGGGCCAACGTGCAGGCGTCAGCCCTTGACAGCCATCGAATACGAGCCAGGGTTATTTTTAGGCTCCCTGTTCTTGGCTCCCAGCCCGAGCCTTTGGAAAGCGGGAATCATCAGACCCGCTCCACAACTTCTTGGTCCGTGGCTGACATGGCGGGGGCGGAGTCTGACTCCGCGGGATCGTGACCAATGGCAAGGTTGAAGAACCGAACATGTCCGCCAACATGGACTTGAACTCGAACTCGATCTTGGACAACGCAGACCTTGTTGCCGTTCCTTCGCCAACATCTCGCGGGGATTTGGGCTGAAATTCTAAAGCCATGTCTCAAGCAACAGAGCCCAGATTAGAGCGAGATCGTGATTGATGCTGACCGGAGCCCAAAGGAGCCGAAGACAGCCAGCCACGTTATTTGGTAAGGACGACAAAGAATTGATTCCAGCCGTCGGCGCAGCTCTCAACTCCGATGGCCCCGTTCGCCATCAATGGTTTCCGTCCCCGCAACATTCACACCGCTTCGAACGACAAAGCCCGAGATCCGAAAACGGTCGAAAGGCGACTCGGAGTGGAGGCTCTCCTTACTCGTGTTGACCAGTCTGGTGCGCAGTCCGCGATCCCGACTTATCCGTTCTCCGCAACCCGAGAGACATCTCTTGCACCCAACCAATGAACGACTCGTGAGATAATCCTCCAAGGATTCATGAGACACAATCCTGAAGATTTCTTCTGCAGTAATAGGTCACGGGCGCAGAGGGTTCCAGGATTTTAACTTTCACAAACAGTTGCGAGGTATGATTTGACGACTATTGCCAGTCGGGGGATCTGCGGTAGAGGGTAGAGCTGGCTTAGTTCTTGATGGTGTACATACAAGGACGAGTGAACCCCAGCCTGCGTGACGTTATCATTTCCGTGGTCTGAATCACAGCTGCGCACGAAGACCAGGCAAATGACCAGTAGTTTCGTTTCGACCAGAATGTAGTCACCAAACAGACCATAACAAAATCTGAGGGCATGGTAACGCAAACAGGACCTCTATCCGGTCACGGGCTTTTACAACCCCCGAATTTCTCGTTGATCATAGCCGCGTTGGTCGGATGATTGCGTTGGATACGCCGCGCATTATCTGACTCGATGGCTCAAGAATGACAGCGAAGAGTTAACGAGGGCGTAGGTCTCCTCCTAGTGTGTTAGAGTTCCGTTCTCATTTGTCCGACGCATTGGTCATGCAGGTTGGACCATGGACCTCGGAGGCAAGCGTGTAGTTAGGTCTCGTATTCTCTTGAGGGGGTCCAACAAGAGAGGCCTGTAACTTCATGCGTGTTGACCACGTTCCGTCAGTCACGTCGCCCAGTGGGGCATTCGTGGTGCTGCTCCGTTAGCGTGGCGTCGATGTCGGGTTGCCGGGCTGCCGACTCGGGACCCCGTCGTGTGCGTTTCCCCTCCTGAACTAGATCAACCGCATCCGCATATGTCGGTGTCTTGGTTGTCGGGGCCACCATCACTCCAATTGAACTACCAACACACTAAGCCTACAAACGGCCAGCCTCTCCCTTTTCCCTCCTTCTCGCCCTAAACTCGTCGACATACTTCTCCCCTGCTTCGGCCCGGCGAAGGATATACCCCAGCCCATGCTTCTCCGGGTCCTGGCAAATTGGGCAGTTTGCCACGGCCCCGTCGTCCTCACCCGGCCCCGGTTGATACTCTCTGGCATCATAGTAAGGATCACCGTCGTCCACGTCGAACCAGATGTCCCCATCATCATCCATCTCCGCTCGATAGCCAGCAAGCTGGAAAGCGTTGCAGAGGGCTCGGACTAGGGGAAACGTGGACATGTGACGTCTCCCCTCATCGGTGGCGATCGTCTGGCGGAACATGCTCGTGTTCTCGAAGGGTATTCCGTCGCGGCCATCGGCGACGACTCGTAGAGTATGTGGTAAGAACGGGGATTCCATTTCTTCTGCAGACAATCGTCGTTCCGTCAACAGGGCTCCCGGAAAGCGATTTGACCACGCGGCTCTGTTAAGGAGGAGCCCCCGACGACAAAGGACATCTGGCACGTCTGAGCTTAGCGCCATACCGAAAGACGGAATTGGCTTTTGGGCAAACGAACCTGGTAATTCTTCTTCATCAGGGCTGGACTGAGTCGCCTTCGCATTTCCGTCAACCGCTTTTACGTATTTGCTAACCACACCCGTCGCGGACCAGGTCATAAAAGGCGCCAACGTTTTCTCGGGGTCGTCTAGGCATGCGTTCATCTCCTCTGCAGACCACGCTATCCACCGCGGTAACGGACTCGGGTCCGAATTCCATGCGTCGACTCCGCCACCGTGCACCAGGAAAGAACGATCAGTAAAACTCCAAAGTTGGGCGACATTGCCATGCGTTATCCAATCTAACGGCGAGCGGGGACATCGGCGAGGAAGGTAGGGGTTGGTCGTTTCAACTTCCTCGGTATGTAGAAGGACGTGCCAAAGGATGCCTTCTATTTCTTGGAAGATCCATTCATCTCCTAGCAAGCGCCTGTCCATGCCTAACCACAGGGAGCGCCACAAAAAGTCGGCTTCTTCATGACGGATTAAGGTTGCCCCTTTGAAGAGTAGGTAGTGAATTGTAGCTCTTTCCGTCACCCTTGCTGCACAAATAATGAGAGGATCTAAGGCGCGAGCGGCTCTTGTTTGGACGTCTGGGTTCGTTTCGCCCCCGAGTTTGTGGAGCATTGACACAACTTCAAGTCTCCCGTTTGTGGCGGCGTCAGTGAGAGCTGGAGGGAACCGTGATTGCGAAAAACCGAGAACGTCGATGGCAATCATAACGTATTCCAGACTTCCCACCGCGCTTGCTGATGTCAATACATTATACCGCGCGGATCGGGAAGTCATTCTCTTATCGTTAGCCGTTGCCTCATCGGTCCAAGCCCAATAGTCTTCCCCTCTGAGGAAGTCGACTCCAGCTCTGAACTTCTTTTCGCTGCTGTCAGAGAGAAAGGAGCCGGGCAGGTTGTCCGTGTCAGTGTACAAGTCGGCGCCAGCTCTGAGTAGGAGCCGAGCCGAGTCCAACTTACCCTCGTAGAGGGCAGTGGATAAGAGGGGACTAAATTTCAAGTTCCTTACGTTTTAGCAAGCCCCCGCTTTCCCACCAAGTCAAACTCGAAGTTTGGTTGAGAACTCACAAGCTGCCATAGTTGGGATCACAACCAATATCTAGGAGGTATCGAATAAGTTGGCTGGGGTCGCGTTCATCAAGCACCGGCCACCGTAGGTAAGTATCATCGTAATATAACGATAGTCCGACCGCATACTATCGAAACATTGTCAATTCAACTGTTGATACCCTCTTGGATAATCGGAAAATGTCAAAAATGGAGTGGCAAGGGGTGAATGCTAACTGACATCAAGGATGCTTTGTTGATCATTGTCAGAGTCAGCCACGTCGTTAATGCTTGCTGCACCGCTCTCCAATAGTTCCTTGACGCGATTTAGATCGAAGGCTTGACAAGCGTTAAAGATAGCAGAGTTCAGGGCCTTATGTTAACTGATCTCACTGCAACCTCCACGGTTGGTGACAACCAAGCTTTGGACCGAATATGGACGGCAAACTCGAACTCGGCAACTCTTGGGCCGAAAAGACCAAACCAAACGCGGACTCTGGCGCGCAGCTTTTTTCGGTAGGCCTTTGATTCGAACTCAGCGGCCGCTGCGACGCTTCGAATTCGTGGTGAGCCTTCGCTACCAGATACGGGTGGCGAACGGGAGTAGTCGTCGGTCCAGCGGTATGTCCATGAGTGCTGAGCCACGACCCGGTTTGTATTGTTGTCCTGCGTTATCCTTTCGATGTCAAACTGATGATTTCCCAGACCTCCCTGTCGTGGTGGATAGTGGTATGGCACGGATCCCTCCGAGTCAATATTCCCTTTCCTGTACTCCGTGGCAGTCGTGGTGGTCGACTACCTACGGCTTCGGTTAGCAAAGTCAACTTGTCGATGGAGCCATCAGTGCAGTTGTCAAGTGGTCACCTTCAGTTCAGTAACAGTCTGGAGGATGGCCTTGAGCGTTGTCGCGTTTTGGTCAAGACCCTGGAGTTGCCTGTCTTGGAGCACATGAATATCTTTCCGCACGAGGGCCGAAGTCTGGCAATTAGTACAGTTAGTTTCTCGTAATCTTCCAATGATAGAGGCCAGGTGTAAAGTACTTGCTTCTTCAATCTTTTCACGCGTCGTATCATACGCATCAGAGGAACTCTGGATGCTGGACTGGATCTGAAGTGACGCGGCTTTCAGCGCCGGCAACATGGCAGTCTGTGCAGCCATGACTTGGTACATGGAGGATTGGTTGAGTGTCTGAAGGCGGCTACCATGGGGTCAGAAAAGCAAGATTAATGAGACTGTACGGGCTCACGTCTGAACGATGACGAGGCATGTACTCAGGCCATGCTCTAGGTCGGTGACGGCCTTGAGGACTTTCCCGGCCTTAGACTTGTCCAATACAGCCCACCGCATTCTAGATCTGAAAGTGTGGTGGTCTCGCTGTAGACTACGGAGCCGCTCTAGCTGGGCTGCTCGGCCCTCGAGTGCCGCCATGATGATGGTGCGGTGAACGGCGGGTAGCAAATGATCGAGATTCTCAGTCGCCAGATGACCACCGAACGCCTCGATCTGCTGGAGCAAAAACTTCAAGAATTCCATCTTTCCAGCAAGCTGTCGGAGCTCCTCAGGGGCATCGGTGTACGATTCCCAGAGTTCCTTTGCTGCTTTTGCCGACTTGGCACATAATGCGAGGAGCTGGACGATGGACGCAGCTGCTCCAATTCCGGTGATTGGATCCATTGCGCCGTTCGGAACGGCGGCCTGGCGCTGCCGGCCAGCGAGGCTCCAAAGATACTGTCCGATTGTTTGCCGAGTATCCCACGCTTCTCGTCGACAAAGGGTGTGTGCTGGTATGGGGGTCACGCGCTTGTGACTATTATCGGGAGCGACCGTTGCTGAAGCTAGAAATTAAAATCCAGCACCGCCGCGCCTTCCTGTCGCCTCCTCGCGACCCAATTGATGCTGCGGGCTCGGGCTGACAAATATTGGTAATGAGGCACCCTTTGGCCAAAAGAAGCTGAACTTCGAAAAAGAAGAAAGCAAGCAAAACGAAATGATGCAAGAGATCGAGCAAACTTCCGACCAGCCTTTCTTTCGTTCTTACAGTCGAGGTTTTGTCGACATCTGCACTTGGGGTTCGGCTTTGTTTTGGCGATGGATGAGTAATGAGGGCGATCTCAAGCTGACAGCTGCTGTTCGCACTTTTAATTCGTTCAGTCTCTCAATAATCGGGGCGCAGTGCTGGGGCTGCATGCACATGGCCCTGTCGCGACGGGGTCGACGGCGTTCTCACGGCTCGCCGCCATCGAAGAGGAAAACTCTCAGGTGGAGACTTGAGTCCCAAAGACGTCTTGTCAAGATAGGCACCTAGGTAGGTAGCGAGGTAAATCTCCACCAACGGCCCCTTCATGGCATGATTCCTCTTATACAAGACCTGTTAAGACCATGTCCAACGTTCGGCACAACCAGGCTGCAAGACTTCCCGCGCGCGGGACGGCACAGCAATCTACCTACCGATTCCTCTTCAATCACGGCGGCTCCCGCTTCCAGGGCCTTGGGTCTGAAGATTACGGCATGAACCATGAACCATGAAATTCAACATTAACATAAAAGTGTTGTCAATATCATACAGCATGCGCAGGTAACTGCTCGACCGAATGTCCCCTGGAATCCCCCTGCCCGGAATGGCTCAACGACCGATCCCCGGCAGACTTGGTCGACTCGGGCCTGCTCAAGTCCGGCAAGTCAATACACGTCTCGTCATCATCCATCTCCTTCCCCCGCCGCGAGAAGCGCTGGTCTGGCCGGTAGCCTTCCCCCTTCTGGCTCCTGTACGTCTCCGTCGGGTCCATGCCGCCCGTGCGGCTCATCCCCCCGGTCCCCGTGCCGCCCCGCCCGATGTAGTACCCGGACCGCTGGGCCTGCGACTTGTTCTCCGTCAGCGACACGCCCACGGCGCCCAGGCAGCGCTGGAAGATGCCCTTCATGGCCGGCACGCAGGCGGCGAGCACGCCGAGCAGCTGCTCCAGCACGGTGAAGGTGCTGATGGAGACGCCCATGGCCCAGAAGTCGCCGGCCGCCATCGGGTCGCCCCAGTCCTTGATGATGACCGTCTTGACGATGCTGAACACGCTGGCGAACAGGCCCATGCCCATGAGCACGCACACAAAGATGCGCTCGCGCATGGGGCGGTTCAGCTTGCGCAGGAAGGTCGCCGGCGACAGCGACAGCAGCACGTCGGTGGTGATGTTGATGGAGCTGCCGAGGTTGGAGACGCCGCGCATGACCTCGTACGACACGCAGCGCGCGCCGGGTACGAAGGGGTTCCACGCCGCCTCGAGCGGCTGGCACGCGATCACCAGGTTGAAGAGCGTGTTGCCAATCCCGTACACCACCTGCACGCCCATGATGGCGTACAGGAAGATGCGCCAGCCGCGCTCCTTGCCCTGGATCCGCAGCAGCGTGAGCGCGATCGACACCTTGATGCACGTCATGGACAGGCCCCACACCGCGATGGCCAGCCACGAGTTCTTGCCGGCCTCGGCTGCCTTGTCGAACGGCATGAACCCTGGTTGCGGGACCATCATCGGCATGAGCATTGCGTAGTCGGCGACCGTGAGGGCCTGGTCAGGGAGTGGGCCGTTAGCTGAGTTGGAGACTCGGATTTCAGGGGCAATGGGGTGTGCCAAAGGGGAGAGTAAACGTACAAAGCCGGCCACGATAAAGTAGTCATCCAGCCCGGCCTTCCATACCGGCCGTATCCTTTGGTAGATCCGGGTGAAGAAGGCGATGACGCAGAAAAGGAGCAGTACTGAGCTGACACCGATGTAGACCTGGGCGAGGTAGGCCGCCCTGTCGGAGATGGGGACGCCCGGGAGTACCGCCGTGCCGTTGGAGCCGGGGCCGCCGGGGCCCATTGGCGGTGCTCCGGTTGCGGCCGGGTCCGGCGCCGTCGTGGCGCTTGACATGTCGATGTTGTGGAACAGTGGGTGTCAAAAAAGCAAGACAAGCGGGGTTGGAAACGAAGATCTGGGATCTGGGGTAGGGTGCTTCTTTATGATCTGGAAGTCCTGGCTCCGAGGGGACGGTCTGGATCCAGTTTGTTGTGGTCCATTGTCACCTCGGATCGCAGGGGCCTTCCCCAGGCTCAACTCTCGACATGGTTTGAGTCGAAGAAAAGAGGAAAGTCGCTTCTGTTCTGCATGTGTTTCGCGCCAACGAAAGCGAAATTTCCCAAGTTTCGCGGGCGGTCGGATCCCCCGGTTGAAAGCACCAAGAACAGCCCGACCCCCCGTCACCGTATCCAGGAAGCTACTCCGTACCAAGCGAGCGGCATCTTTGGCTCGGGTGCAGATGCGCACGGGCGCGGGCTGTCAAACTGTCAAAATCCCGCCCTCCCCTGAGGAGAACGCTCGACTTGGCGAGCTGCAGTCTCGCCTGGAAACTTGCCACTGAATGGTCGGGGCATCGAGCCCTTCTGCGGGCCGGAACCAAGATGCCAGGATCCCGGCCGTCAAGGGGTTCGCTTGGCTGTTGGTGACCAGCCGAACTTGCATCTGCACTGCTTGCAAGACGCGTGATGTTAGTGCTTATCGTTACCGAAGCTGCAGGGGGCGTCGCGATGGCGTTTCCTGCACAGGCAAGAGAACTTTGAGGCCGGCACAGGCGCAGGCAAGAGTCGGCACGAGCAGACGGGAACCTCGGGTGTGGGAGCCACAAGCTTTGACCCAGGCGGCCGGCAGATGGCGGTTCAATAGAGATTATATTGCAGAAGAGCAGACCGTAATCTGCGCCTGCAGATCCCTGACGGCAGTTTCTCGCCATGAAGCCGCGCAAGCGAGCCGGCCCAACTCTCACTCCCGCAGCACACGGGACGGCAGAGCTGCAAGCGGAAGAGCTTGAGCTTGGACAAAACTCGAAAACATGTCAAAAAGGTTGTGGTTGCAAATAAAGTTGCGGCGACGTCTCCCAACCAGGCAAGGCGCGAGGCCCTGGCGCAAATCTTCCCCCTCACTCCCCCTAGCTCCTTGTTTGACACGATGGTTCCGTCGCTTCTCATGTCATCCAGCTTACCCCTGATCCCAGTTGAAGCGCAGATCGATCTGGGGACCACCCAGAACAGTATGGATATCGCTGATCTGTTTTTGGGAGTTCACGTTTAAATGCTGATTTTTTCCTATCCTATCAGAACCCTCCTTGCTGAAGATCTGTTGGTCGCGATCTGATCGGATGAACCACGCTACCACGCTGATTCCAGAATGTGCAGAATCGAGGACAGGATGTTGCCCCCTGTCACCACACCCCTTGTCCATGCCGGCCCCTGGCCACAGGCGGCCACACACAACGTCGGGGTCACAGCCCTCATCGCATCCCGCCCGTCATCAGCCCCGAGCGCACACTACCAGCAGGACACGGACCACAAGGTTCATGTACGCTTTGAAGGTGGCGTCCATGTCTCCTCACCGTTGAGCGGAAGAAGTCTAGAGAGACACGGGAGGGCTTTTACGAATCAGGAAATCACTGACGAAAGTTCTCACCGCATCCATCACCTGCGTTCTGCGTACTGCATGCAGGTCAGATAGATTCGAAACCAAAGCAGGAACAGGCAATTGGGCCCGTCGGTCAGCCCCTCCATCCCGTTTCCCTCTCCGTCACCTTTCCCTCTTCGGACAACTCTCCGGCACACCTGGGCGGCCCGTGCCCGCCTTGCCTCGTCTCTCTGCGCCAACACAAGACTTCTCTCCGAGCATTGGCACGCTACGGCTTGCGACCGTTGATTCCGCGCTGTTCTAGCTCCACTAGGGCCAAGTCTAACGACGCATCCTCTCGGGCTTGTTACTGCGGGATGGTCGGCCAAGAACGGTCTTCGAAGCCCTCTCGAGCGTAAAAACGCTTGGCTTTGTTTTTCGAGACCTCGGGTCGCAGTCCGAGCGTTGAGGGTCGGTCCTCGCTGGGGGGAACGAATTGTGTTTGGGGACGACAACCAACGTTTCCCGCTGGACGTGACAGTGACATGCATGCAACCACAGGAACCGTACCCGATTGCTAGGCTGCGGGACAAAAAGGGAAATGAACGCCCTTTTTATACACATCGCAAAAAGACTTAGAGTGGTGCGTTCAGTCATGTCCCGAATCACGCATGCATTTGACGAAGCTCGCCAAAGCTCGCCAAAGCTCAACGCCCGCCCAATCTCCGAGCCGGCCTATGCGGCTGGCGGAGCGAAAGGCTTCGGGATGGTCCCGTTCCGGCCAAGGACCTCGCTTTCGGAACCATGCAATGACCCTATGAGGCCTGCTCTGGTACGCACAAATTCGCGACATGTCGGCAACGTAACCGACGTTCTGGACTTGCTGCTCGAGCATTTGTCATGAGGCGGAGTGTCAATGACGTGCGTCTACCGCGAGGAACCTGCATGCCGTGGGTAAGGCAACGCGCGCCCGAGTGTGATGCCGCAAGCGAAGAGCATTTAAATTCCTCGGCTGAAATTCGCCTGACACGTCGGCCCATTTTCCGTACCAACGTCGAAATCATTCCACAGCTATACTCTCCCAAGCAGCGTCATGGGATTGGTTCTTTCCAAGGACCTTTGCAGATTTTGAATACAACCGGAAAAGAAGCCGGAAGGTTGCTCTCGACGGCCGGGTTGCTTGAACAGGTTACGGAGTGTAGATACAGAAGTGCAACAGGCAAAATGGTGCCCAAATTGAGTGAGGGAGGGAGAATCTCAGGGAAGAGCGCGTGGAGAAATGCAAGGGGGAGACTTCTAAGGGGGAGATCAGCTCGAAGTGATGAAATTCCGGTCCCTGCGGCAGGGACCACTGCCGGACAACTCGACGCTGAAGCTAACCCCCTACAATGCGATGCCTCAGGGACAAAGGGGAACAAACGGTCGTGCTAAGTGCTATGAGGTGCGATATGTGACCGAGAAGGGGAACAAGGCGTTGGGGGGGGGGGGGTTTGGTAGGTATTACAGGGGTGAACGGCCACTAGTTGACCGCGGATCTGACAGTACCCAAGGTATGTAGTAATGGCCCTACTCTGGCATACCTCCGTCAATGCCCATAGTGACTATATTCAGAACCACATCTCTGTAGCTCTACCTCAATACCCTCGGCGACTTCCTCTGCAGAGACGTAGTTTCCTTCCCAACATGCCGAGATGACACACCCGAGTACCACACCATCAATATCGCAGTACACGTCCTTGCGCATCAAGTCGAGTGCCATTCCGGTCTCTTCTTCCTCGCACCAGTGCGGGCACGTCGAGGTCATGATCTCAAATATGGTGAATCCAAGAGCGTGTATCTCGGCCCGGAGGGTGTCGCCCATCGCCTCGTCGTCGTCGGGATGGCGGAAACCGTCTTGGGCAACAACAGTATGGGGGATGTCGTCGATAGATGAGCCAGCGAAGCCACAGACCTTGATAGTTCTGCCTGCGTCGAGCAGTATATTTTGGCCGCCGATATCAACCTGCCGAACGTAGTATTCGTGTAGATACCCGATCACCCTGGCGAGGTCCCGTGCCCACCGGACACGCTCCTCTAGTCGAGGTGCCGCCCTCTTTGAAGTATTGGCTGAGGCTGTCGTCCTTGGCCCGCTCTAGGTGGATGCCTCCTTCGTCGATGCCAACGGAGTGGACGATATTGGGGTGTCTGCCCACCCACCTGTAGATGCGCTTCTCGATCTCCACGTCGGCGGTCGGGACAGCCTCGCTGAAGGGCAGTTTAGATACCTGGCCGGGTCGGCAAAGGTGAATATAGCCCCAGAGCTACCTATAGTCAACAGCCCCCCGATGGTAGCCATATTATATAGCTCAGCTCATTTGTTGTTAGTCATAGTGTTGAATGTGTGAACGGTCAAGGATAGTTTGGAATTGGTTTTCTTTTCTTTTTTTCCCCTTTTTTCCTTTTCCTTTTTTTCGGCTCCTTTTTGTGGCCGGCGCGTTCCCTAGGTACCTAGTGACCAACCACTTAACTCGATGCTGGGTGCCTATCTTGTGTACACTGTGATCTGCGGCCTACCTAGGTATGTACCTCCGTTAATGGGCAGTAGGTACAACGACTGGGCGTTCGGAAGATTGGATCCATGTGCGCAACTTTCGACATGCCCAGACTAGCCTAGCTACCTCCAGCTCGGTGGGAAAGTACTGGTGTCGTTCCGAGACTGTCAATCGGCGGCTCAGGTATAGGATGGGCTGGATTCGGTTCAGTGGGATTCTGGCTCCGTCCCAGTTGTCTCCCTCCAAATGAAATACCATAACCCCGATACCTTTCTTTGATGCGTCGATCTTGAGGAAGGGCGTACGTGTCTTGTCCCAATGGGTCAAATACATGGTTTTGCTGAGCTGCTTCTGTAGGGATCTCGAATGCCTGTCGCTCGTTGTCGGTTGGCGTGACCTTGGCCTTTGATGTGTGGTGTTTCCTGAGGACTTTTGAGTTGCCGACTGGTATTGTGCCGTCTGCCTTACCTACCTTGTTTGAGGGTTGACGCCTTGCGGTCCGCCGAACAAAAGGAACTGGACATGCTCACCTAGGGTACAATTGGACAGTCTGTAATTTACCACTCTCCTGCATTGAGCTCGCATGAATAAAGACACACCTTTTCCATCCGAACTCTTCAATTTTGGCTTTCGTCTGAAACTAACCCAGAGCTTGTGGTTGATGTTGGGGGGGAGTACAAAAACCTCAGGTTAATATTGACGAGTTATTAGACGGGTGCTGTTGCCAGCGAACCTCAGGGGCACGGAATGGACAACCGGGTATGCTCAGCGTGTAATGGCAAGTTGGATGGACAAATAAACAAACACATCATTCGTGAGCCCAGTGACTTTCAGGCCGAGGGGAAAGGAGTATGAATAGCTCTTCAATCTCCACTACGTTTGGCTTTAGAACTTCAAACCTTTCCACTCTCCCGTCCTTACTCATATTCATATTGCACAAGACCCTACGAGTACCCAGAGCTTTGAAGCAACGTTCTTAGGATACGGCTACCCGTTTGAATAACTTAGAAGAAACCCAACACATTCTCAACTCAACGACACAACTTCGCACCCAGCCCCTGAAGAACGCAAATTTAGAAACTTACCTAGATAGGCAACGTCGTAGCTACTCTAGCTCGAGGTCGCCATGGCCCCATCATGTACATCAAGAAATAAGGCTAGAAACTAACAATGCGAATCCAAATTTGCAGCCGATATTTTACAATTTGTTAGTTCTCTCTTAAGAGTCAAGACAACACGCTACCTATGAGCGTGTGGCTGCTGTCGGAACATACATGGCGTCGGCGGGTGGCGCCCCGGCCATGAATCAGCATGGCCCTCCACCCTTTGTCTGATGGCGCAATTGTGACCCTGACTGCGACCATCCTGTTTTCCTTCGACAATTGGCTTCGCGGGCTCTGGGGCCCCGCATCCATCGACATGGCGCCCTCGGCATCTCTCCACTGCGGCGGCCTTACCCGCGACTACAGAAAGTCTATCTCAACATCATCTCGACTTCCTACATCTTGTTCAGTGCATCCCACACCCTATGTCCAAGCCTGCGACCCTACGGCCCACCTAGACTGCAGCTAAACTGCTGCCCTACTAATCGGGACATTTGTTCACTGTTACCCCTCCCCAGCCCCTCACCGCCACGCAGATGGCTCCCCGCCGGACGTACGACAAAATCTCCCGAGTCCTTTGGGGCTCACGGGGTTGGTCCGCTTCCCAATCTCCGCATTCCCGCGGCACAAGTGGGGAGGTCAAAAAGCAACCAAACGGTTGCCTGTACCAATCCGACGATCGAATGGAATCATTTTGGATTTCTCAGCGGCCGGGATTATGGTGTAGAGACTCGGTGGCCCCCGGCTCCCAGAAGCATGAATTTGTCAGCTGCCGCCGCACGCGTTATGTACGAGTTACGCCGCACCCGCGATCCACTGTTCCGGGACCCGTATGTTGCGCTGGTGCGGAGCCCGAGAGCCGCGTCCGATTATTAATTAGAGCCGCGGTGAGCGACGTGACGTTCGCGGGAGGGGAAGTGGTGAGGATTGGTTGGTCTCGGCCGTGAAGGCGGGTCAAGCAACCGCGCCCCGTGTATTAGCGGAGGGGGTCCAATAGTTGCGTCGGACACTTTTCGCAAAGATTAACTGGAGAATCGAGGGAAGCTCCTTCCTCTGTGTTGAAGCGCCCGCACATAAGTACCCACCTTCCCCCGCCCGTTCAAGCGACCTGACACAAGCTCAGCATCATCCAACATCATTCAACATCCTCCAGCCAAAGAGCAAAGAAGACAACGCAAAGAGCATCTCCAACCTCCAAATCAACCGCTAAAATGGCCACCATCTCTCTCTACGATGCCTCCATCGGCGTGAGCACCAACGCCCTCCTCACTCTCCTCGACATCATGAAGAAGGCCCAGGCCCACGCCGAGGCCGAAACCCTGGCGTCATGCCGCCTCATCGAGGACATGCTACCCTTCAGCCAGCAGGTCCTCATCGTGAGCAACTTCGCCAAGAAGTACGTCGAGCGCCTGACGGGCCGCGAGCTCGAGGTGTGGGAGGATAACGAGACGACCCTCGAGCAGCTCGTCGCCCGCGTCCAGAAGACCCTCGACCTGCTCAAGACGGTCTCGCGCGCCGACGTCGACGGCGCCCAGCGCGCGAAGGTCAGCCTCAAGATCGGCCCCTTCGACCCCGTCGACGTCACCGTGCAGGAGTATGTGCTCGGCTACGGCATGCCGAACACCATGTTCCACTTGACCACCGCGTACGACATCCTGCGGATGAAGGGACTCGACCTGGGCAAGAAGGACTTTTTGACCCACTATACGGCGGGCTGGTTCCCGGTGCCGAAGTAGGGTGGGTGAAGAACGAGTAGGTGGAATGGAGAAAAGAATGCATGCTTAGCTAGGTGGGAAATAGGACCTGGAGAGCAATATAATTCGTATTTTTACATCGTCGCATTAAAATTCTTGTGTTTTTGTCGTGGAACTTCAAGTTGATTGTCAGTCACATCGCTCAAACCCCAGGATTCTGTTGGCCTCCGCAACCACGGCCTTGCCGCCGGGGGTATCTGCCTCTACCGTGGCGAGCTTGTCGAGGCCCATGGACTGGACACCGGCGGGGTCGCAGTACTTCTTGACATACTCCTCGGTCGCCCGCCCGATGTGCTTCGACTCGCCCTCACCACCTGGGAAGTCCGGGCCCGGGGTGCCGTCTCGGAACGCGGCCCGTTGCCGAACCACGTACTCGGCGCTGGCCTTGGTGGTCGGGCACACCGGAATGTATAGGACGCTAGAGTCGGCCGTGCCGTTGTGCTTCTTGTCGACAGCATGGATCGCTACACCCACGTCAGTATCATCTCCCTCGCTCTCCGTACACCACAAGGGGATACTCACAATCGCAATGCCAAACCACATAATCCCCCGGCCTGACCTCAGGCACATGCACCATCGTCCTATCCAGCTCCAGATGCGGGTGCGCCCCCTCGGGAAACTCCTGCGCACACCCCGGCATCGCGCCCTGGAGCTCACTATCCATCCTACCCCCCGCAGTAAACTCCCAATTCCTCTCCTCCAAATACCTGCCCCTATCCCCGCCCACCTCCTTCAGCCCCCTCCGCGCCCTAAAGAACGGCCTCAGCAGCGCGTACACCCCCGTCTCCCTCACCAGCGGGTTCACCAACAACGTCCCCCGCAACGGCCCGCTCTCGCTCATCGCCAACCACCCCTGAAACATCCGAAACATACTGCACGCCCCCAGCCCGCTATACAAATCCGTCACCGCCCCCACCCGTCCCGCCGCATCATACGCATCAAACCCACCCCCTTCACCATCCCCAGCAGCACCATCCCACGCCCCCCTCCACACAGCCTCATAAACCCCGCCCCGCCCATACCCCCCCTCCTCCCACCTTTCAACACTGCCCGCGTCCTGGTGGGGACCCAAGGCGAAGTGTGCGTCGCCGGGTTGGCGGATGCGCAGGCGGTCGGCGTAGCTGAGGGGCGTGTGCAGGGAGAGTGGCGTGGAGTGGTCTGAGCCCGTGTGCCAGAGGGATGTCATGAGGGCGCGCTGGGTTGTGAGGAGGGACGGGTGGCTGCGGGCGCGGAGTTGGGCGGGGGACCAGTAGAGCTCGAGGATTTGCGGGTTGGTGGGGGGGAAGCCTTGGGTTGGGGTGTTAGTTGGTGTGGGGTGTGGTGTGTGAGAGGGAGGTGGGAGGTAGGGAATGAGGGGTGGGGGAGGGGGTAGGACAGGAGGAAGGTGTGAGGGGGGTCGAATGGAGGGAGATAGGGGTGGGGGGGAGACTGTATGTAGGTATGTACCTACCGCGGGTTTGCGGGTTCTGGCGGGCGTATTCCTCAATCTCAAACTTGTAGGACCGGGCCTCGTCTTCGGGAATCACGCCCCGGATAACGGCCACACCACGTTTTTGGATCTCGGGCTTGAGGCTCTGCAGGTCGTCGTGGAGATGGCTGAATCGGACCTCGGGAACGATAGCCGGCCCGGTACGGGCGATTATCTCATTTTCTCTTTTGAGCGTGCTGAGGAGGCGTTTCCAACTCGCTATGACGGCATCTTCATGGCCGTCCACTAAGCGCAGCTTGAGCTCGCGGAACCGATCTGGGAGGGGCTGGGCTTTCTTCCCCGAGAGCGAGGCGAATGTGTCAGAGATATCCCCCTCGGCCTTCCCAGCGGGTGAGTTCATCGAGGCCATGGAGGTTGCATGGCGAGGGTGGTGCCGTGAGAGTTGGCGTGTGCATGTTGGGTTGGTCGAACCGCACCTAGCACTGCGGAGTGACCTGGAAAGCATTATGACTGGAGAAAGGGAAAAACAAGACGATGGGTTGGAAATGGACGCTGAAAAAGTTCACTGTTTACTGTTGATGGTATGGCGTGCCGATGGGCTAGCTGAAGAATGCATGGCCAACTCATTCCTCGTTCATGGAGGCTTTATATGATGCATATTGCACTTGAGGAAGGCACCGATTAAAGCCGAATAACCGTTTCCAAAGGCGAAGTTATTCTCTGTCCGCTAACACCTTCAAGCGGAAGTGCCAAATCGGGAAGCATGCAACGAGATCGACGTCATTCTTCCCGAGCTTAGTGCAAGGTCTGGGAAGCTGCGTTCGATCGAGCCCCGCAATGGGGAGAAGGCAAAGTATGGAAAGGCCCAAGAAGGGTTCTTATTTCGGCCCTATTGCCATCAACAAAGTCCCTTCCGCCCCATTTCCCACGCCTTCCGCGACTCCAGGTTCCTCCGCATTGAAAGCGAGGTTTCAAGGGCTTGAACAGAAGGAGCGAGTGGGAGGCGGAGTAGCCAGAAAGGGCAAGCCCGCTGTTTGGCCCCACTCTGATTTGTCCCACCTGCCCCACTGGCCCACAACAATTCATCGATTTTCGGCTTTCATCGACACGCGAAAGACAAAAAGTGATCTCATTCGGATCGCGAGACGGCACCTGGCGGCCGCAAAACCGCCTTCCACAACTGCACGGCGCTGCGAGTTAGCCCGTTAGCAATCCATTGTCCGACTTCGTGCCTCTCACTCCCCCCATACTCAGCATGGCAGCTACCGGCCCTGTCAAACCGGGAGGTGGGCACATTGTCAAATTTGTGGGGCACGATGCCATCGGACTGCCCGTGAAGCGCAAGCAAGTCCATCAAGCATGTCTCCCATGTCGGAAGCGGAAGGTAATTTGAATCGTCGAAACTCAATCACAATAGATGACAACTTAACTGACCATTTCAGAAACGCTGTCGCCATGTTGAAGATTCCATCACAGACACTCTACCAACAGACGACCCCGACCAGGAACCAAGCCATGGCGTTACCATCAACGGCGGGGAACGACGGAGCAAAGTCCAACGCCATACCGCTGCTACCGATAGGGACACGTCCGATGCCGCCGCCCAACTGCTCCGCTTCTTCCATCATGCCTCAGACACGGCGGCTAGTAGCAGCCCTGAGGAGGACCAGACGCAGCAGCCCCGGCCGATGTCCCCGGCGCCGCCATTCCTCGGAGATCTCAACCCCGAAGGCATCCTCATCGAAGCCACCATGGCCCCATCCAGGAAACCCCCGCCAGCAGATGAAGATCCGGAGCATCAGGTGCTTGGCTTCTTGCCGCCAACCTCTCCTCGAGGGCCTACTAGTAGAGGGCCACCGACCCGGCGGCACTCCACGGCATGCACCGGTAGCCCTCAACTAGTCGAAGAAGCATCCGGCCCGTTTTTCTCAGTCCCGCGCGAAGATGGCACGAGCCTCACGATACACGTGCAGGACACGGCCAAATTCGCAGCCATCGCCCAAACCCTCGTCAACCGCGGGCTCGCCGACAAGGTGATGCCCTCGGACACGGAATGGCGAGCCTTGAGAGACGTGTATCTGCTTAAGATCCAGCCCATCTTTCCCATTTACGAAACTTCCTGTGTTGTGGACCTGCCGAAAGAAACCGGCTTGCGAGAGCTCATCCAAGGATCCATTTGCCTCGCCGCAGCCACCGACCCAGATGCTCGCAGCCTGTTAACTTTCAAGTCTTTTGCGCAAGGATCGAAAACGCAGCGCGTGGTATCCTTCGACGAATATTCGCGAGAGATGGCCAGCTTCATCAATAAACGCCTTGTCGAGCTACAAGAGAGCCGCCAAATTCCCCTCACCGACCAAATTCAAGTCATGGCTCTGACCTGCTTTTACTGGCAGCCGGCGAGCCCCACTGAGAGGTTCGAACCATTGACCTTGTACGCCAAGCTTGTCAGCATGGTACATACCCATGGCGTGCATCAAGGGATTCTGGCGAGCGCCGCCGCCGAAGGCAGCGTAGAAGGACGAGGGAGGAGGCTCTTCAAGTGCTTATATGCCCTCGACCGACTGGTGGGCGCCATATCTGCGCGGCCACTCATGTTTCATAACGTCGACTTGATACAGGTCCCTCGTCCACACCCCGAGGACTCGCCTATCTTCAGGCTCTTCATATCTCTGATCCTTGTTCTCGATCAAGTAATCGAGATGTACCGACCGCGACCCAAGTTTAGCTGTGTCGACATACCCGTCTTCGAGCGCATGGCCATTGAAGCTGGGGCGCAGTGTGAACCGGAAATCCTCCTTGGTAAGTGTTATGTCTCATAAAGTATCGAGTCCGCGGGGCTAACAACAAGACCCTAGTCACACTCGAAGTACTCTACCATGCCATCGGCGTCCTCTCGGTCCGCATGCCTCGGCACCGTTTTCGAACGGCTCCAGAATGCGACACCCCCCAGGGGCCGCCTACGCAGCATTTACCGCCCAGCGGCATGAATGCCCGCAGATCACATTCCTCCGATCGAATTCTCGACATTATCAAGGATTACAAACTCAGCCCAATGCCCTTTGTACCGTACGCCATAACGCTGTCTCTAAGTGTGGCGTACCGTAAGTGGCGCTTCAGCCAGCTTCCCGTGTTTCGGACCAGGGGTGGCGCCGACTTCAAAAAGGTGCTTCCTGTGGTGCAGGAATTAGGCGCCATATGGAGCAGTGCCCGGATCAACGGACAACTTGGACAAGCTGTCATGTTGAAGCTGGATCGCAGTGAGATTTTGAAGAGGAACAGAAAACGTGCGAAGAAAACCGCCGAAGCCTCTGGAGCCAAGGGAGGACGAAATGGAGAGCTTCGTGGAGCGGAAGACCAAGAGGCATCGACCGGAGGTCTCGGTGGTGTTCGAGGTGAAGATGTCACGCAACCCCCTGTGGCAAATCCTGCGCCGACACCTAGTAGCAGCACTACTCCTCCTGGAGCGCCTTCTAGTCCAGTTATGTCCCCTGAACCGAGCCAAACGACTCAAGCCCAGGGTGCCCCGAACATAACCCTAGGACCATCAACCAGTCTTCGGGCACCTCTGCCCTCACCTGCAGCTTCATGTCTCACTGAGAGACAACAACCACAATCTCTGCCCCTCACTTGGACTACCGCCTGGACTGCCGACAATCACAACAGCAACTTACCCACTGGCCAACCATGTTCCGCACCACCCAATGACAACATCCCCCGACCAAACACGACTCAACAGCCAGAAGTCCCCCTCATTCACCACTGCAACCAGCCAGACGACCCCATTCCCTTACCGGGGGATTTGCTAACCCAGTCGGGTCCCCACGACACGCCGCCGCTGGCGGGACTGTCGGATGGCAGCCTCGAAGACTTCTTGGTTGACGACGACGCTCTGTTTCGGTCGTGGGACCCGCGGTTTGCTCAGTCGGTTGATTGCTCCTTCAGCAGTATTTTAGACCCGGGCAATCCTTTTGCTTGGCCGGAGTATTGTAATTACGAGTGAGTTGCGGGGGTCTCCTGGGGCATGACTCGGAGAACCGGATGTCTACGGCGCTACAAAGGGGAAAGAGGGGGGTGGAGGTGGCATGGTGTACGATTGAACGCAATGTTGTGAACGGATCGCAATTATTTGACAGGCATGGCAACAATGCTACTACTATACACCTTTCGTCTTCGCTCCCTCCCATACCCTGCGGCCTCTACAACACAACCTGACATGTTTAAACGCTCGCAAATACGCCACGGAACGCCCGCCCGAACAAAACGTCAGCCAACTTTATACATCCACCGCATCAAAACACATCACCGACTCCCACCACCGCTCCCTCCCCCACCTCGCCCTAAAACGCCCTCCCCGGCCCCCTCCCAGGCGTCGAAGGCAGCTCAAACCTCGCCACATACCCCTGCCCATGCGCCTGACCCTGCGGCTGCTGCCCATACCCAGCATTCGGCCACGCATCCAGCTCCTGCCGCGGCACCACCCCGAGCCCCACACCCCCCTGATACGGCTGCTGCTGCTGCTCGCCATACGCAGGCGGGTGATACCACGCCGCCGCACCACCCCCGTTACCACCCACACCACCCATACCGCCATCAGCCTTGTACTTGTACTCGCGGGGGTCATACCCCACACCCCCAACCCCTCCTCCCCCTCCTCCTACCCCTACCCCTCCTATCCCTCCTACCCCTCCTACCCTAGGCCCGGGTCCAAACCCCCGATGCTGATCCCCCCCTAGCCTCTGATCCCTCTGCTTCTCGGCCTGCAGCGCCCATTTGTTCCTGCGCAGCTTGAACACCAGGTATGCCACGGCCGCGAGCGCGATGGCCAGGACCCCCGCGCCGGCTCCGATGCCTGCTTGTGCGGCGAGGGGAAGTGTGGGGGCCGCGATCGGGTCGGCGGATGTTCCCGGGAGTTGGGTGTTGCTGGTGGGGGTTGATGCGGTTGGGTAGGGGGGTGGGGTGGATGAGTTGGTTGGAGGGCGTGTGGATGTGGATGTGGATTTAGAGGAGGTGGAGCTGGAGGTGGTTTGTTTGAACGGGAGGAAGGCGGAGGCGCGGTCGTCCCAGTTGGCGAGGATTTGGGGCTTGGGGGGGAGGACTTCGAAGCGGGCGACGCCCGAGTCGCAGCAGTAGGCTCGGTGGTTGTCGCAGCAGTAGGTCGTGTCGGAGCCGGTTACGTTGGCACAGGAGATGAGGTCGGTTCCGCCTGTGTTGGCCGCTGGAGAGGGGGGCAGTTAGCAGGGGTGGGTTGGGTGTGGTGTCTGCTTGGGTATCGGGAGTTGAGGGCTTAAAGAAAGAGAAAGTTGACTTACTAAGACAGAATAGGGCGCAGTCGGGGGAGTCCCATCTCTTATCTGTACAAGAGCCTCGGACGGTGTTCCCGTCTGGCCCACGGCAGAGCTTGTTGGACAAGCAGGTGGTGCCTTGCCCGCCGGCACAACATGGGCTATCGTCCGCATCGGGATCGCATGGTGAATCGTTCACTGCGATCTGGCCGTTTGGGTAGTAACACTGCTTCTGTGCCAAGCATAAGTGGGCAAGGAAGAGGAGTGAGATGATGGCCAAAGTTAGTGCCCTCATTTTGAGTTGCGAGAGCTCGTGGCACTGTGTCTCTGGTGGGTGGCCCAATGCGCAAGTCTAGAGAAAGTCAAGAAGAGAAGAGCGACAACGCGAGCAACTGGCCCCGAAGACGGCGAGGATGCTGTTGTTATCGTCGGCCAGTCACTGGGAGGCGACGGCCAACGACAGTAATCAAACCTCATCGAATGCAAGCGGTCAAGCGAGTTGAGCCGTTTTGGGCGCTTAATGAGGGTCGGATATCCATACTGGCGGTAAACTGTGAATACGTGGGAAAGGGGTCATGATGCTGTCCAGCCGTTGTCTCGGTTACTGGTCCCGGAGGGTCTTGGTGTTATTCTTCCGGACCCGACAGTTTGGTCCCGGCGCTCAAAACGTGCATGAGCAATTAGACGGCCGAATGTCTTTGGTTGCTTCTGGACTGTTGGTTCCAGATATGCTCCCCTGAAGTCAGGCGTCTCCGTCATTGGCTTCGGCGGTGACACCCCAGCTCCAGCCCCAAAGGAGCGTCAAATAACTCCTGACAATTGGCTCGCGCATTCTCCGGAGCCTATCCGGCGCGTCCGACAGCAATCGGCGCTCCATTGGTTGTCTCCTTGATGTTGGTTCAGCTCCCAACATCATCTTCCTGACGTGACGTCGACAATCCTCTCCTTTCCATCTCAAAAGCGCTCTCAGCCGTCCTCCTTAGCACCGCTCGTCGCAACCACCTCACACACTCGCGTGTGCGCTCACATTACCAGCCCGCATCGCGGGCTTATCGATCACCATGTTGTCGACATCGATGCCCAAGAAATGCTTGTTCCCGCTGCTGGCAGCCTTCACATTACTCCTGTTGATAGCGGGACACTACTCGTACAACAATCTCGGCGATGGTATGTTAGATTCCTCCATCCGGAGCTTTCTCGCGATCCTCTCGCGCATTTCATCACATCCCCCCTAAAGCTAACACTCGCGCAACAGGGAGCATTCTCCGCCGCCCCAACACCAACAGAGTGGCAACCCCATCCTCCCTCCTCAAGCAGTCCTTCCCCACCAAGATCTGGCAGAGCTGGAAGGACGACTCAGAGGACCCAACCGAACGCACAGTCGGCTTCCCGCACCAGTGGCGGGTCGTCAACCCGACCTGGCGGTACGAGCGCATCACAGACGGCAACATCGATGCGTACGTGGGGGAGCGCTTCGCGAAGACAGACCCGGCGCTCGTCGATGTCTTTACCGCCCTGAGTGACACCATCCTCAAGGCCGACTTCCTCCGCTACCTCATCCTGCTGCGCGAGGGCGGCGTCTGGGCCGACATCGACGTCTACCCGCACCGCCCCGTCGCCGAGTGGGTGCCCGAGCGGTACCGTGACCGTGTGAATTTGGTGGTGGGCATCGAGAATGATCATCATAAGAAGCCCATCTGGCCGGGCTCGCCGTACTCGGTGCAGTTATGCCAGTATACGGTGCTGGCTAAGCCGGCGCACCCGGCTGTGAGGGTGCTGGTGGACCAGGTGGCGGGGAATCTGCAGCGGCTGGTGCATGATAAGGGGACTGGGGGTGCGGTCACGTTTGAGGATGTCATGGCGACGACGGGGCCGTTTGCGTTTACAAAGGTGTTGATGGACTATTTCACCAATGTGACGGGGGTGGTGCACACGGGGGATGAGTTGGATGATCTGGCGGAGCCCCGGCTGATTGGGGATGTGCTCGTTCTACCGAAGGACAGCTTTGGGTGGCTTCCGCAGGAGCATACGCACGACAAGGGGGACCCGATGATTTTGGTGGAGCATTTGTTTATTGCTTCTTGGAGGGCGGGCCACCCGGGCTGAGAAGTGTGAGCAGTAGGCGATGATGCTACAACGACCGAGAGCATGGATGCGCATACATTCGCAGTGTTGGGGTATCGGGCCGCTTCTCCGGGAGGCCGGATGATACTTAGCGGGGACGGGACTAATGTGGTCAACCAAAAGTTGAACCCGGCGGAACACCGTTTGAAACGTGTGGCACAAGGCAAGGAAGAACGACGTGTTGCAAAGTTGAGCAGTTTGACGCAAAGCAAGCTGACTGGAGACTGCGTGGACACGCATGCAACATATCACGGTTCGCCAGGAGGGTTCGGCGGGAATTCTTTCAGCGATCGATAACTAAGGGGCGTCAGGTCGGATGGAGGGTTGGACTTGGAGTTAGGAGTATCCACTTGGGTATTGGAATGAATTCTAGGAATGAATTCTAGGAGTCCTGGTACGGTGTCATTATTGGATACATGTCTTTAGAGTACCCATACTCTTAGCCTGTTGGGACTTGAGGTCCAGAACCGTTTTCTTCGAAGAATCACACGCGAAATGGTCTCTCCTTGAATCGCTGTGATGAACTGCTGCGCCACAACTTTCACCCTAGCGAAACAACCAGCGTTGACATGTCACTCCATGATTCGTGACCGCAAGCATGGCGCAGGGTTCCGAGTATTTAGCAATTGTGGTGGGGGTTACCGAGTGCTAACCCCTGAGATGACGGTTGGAGTGGCCTCGGCCTGGTGCTGGCGGCCCAATATGATTTCGGTTCGTTCACCCAAGAGCAAATTCTACCTACCTAGGTAGGTAGTTATGCGGTGCTTCTCGTACCACTTGGTGAGATCCAGTAGTGCCGTGATCTTGTTCGATGCCCACCCAGTTCAACGGGCCTTCACCGAGTACACCTTGCGACCCCAAACCGCCTCGACGCCCCCTCAACATTTATTCTCGGATACTTTCTCCGACAATACCCTTGCCCGCGTAGTATAGTAACATTACTCCTCGCATCTCCAACTCTACCCCACCACCATCAGCATCATCACATCAGTTCCACTCACAACCACATCCGGACACAACACCACCTCCCTTACCAACTAATACAAACTACCTACCCACCAAAATAGCCGTCATCGTCAAAGCCTACTCAGTCCGCCACCCGTCCGTTCGCGAAGCCATCGTCAAGGCCGGCATCCCGCACACCGAGACCAAGAACGCGGCAAAAAGCACCAGGACTTTCACCATCCAGGCCCCGTCCCCGACCCACTACACCCCCAACTCGCTGGCCGCGTTATGCTGGAACGCGCTCAAGTTCCCTTACCACCACGCTGTGAAGAATAGGAATACCGTGGCTTGCTCGAATGTGTAGGTTGGGGGATGGATGAAGATGGGGGCGTAGGGTTGGGTTGGTTGGGAGTTGAGGGTGGAGATGGGACAGAGAGACAGAGCGGCATGCTGGTCGTGCCGGGATGGGATAGATAGGGATTCTTGCTAATTGGGACTGCTTAAGCTGTGCTTGATTAATGGAATTTCAGGGGTATCTCCACTCTTTTGACTTGGAATGTTGTGACATAATGGCCGAGAAGGTCCCTGGTCAGCAAACCCTGTCTATCCAGGGCCCTGGAGAGAACCGTGTTGACGACCACCCTTCCAATGATATGTTCTTGGAGTTGGATGTATAGATCCACATCGGGATGAACGGAGTGTTCCGAGGTAAAGACGGCTGGTCCCGATGGATTACCCCTTCATCCCTTGCATACCTACGGTCCAACTCTCTTCCCCTTTCCAGCCCTTCCGCTGCTCTTCGCAATTTCCAACACATGTTTGCACAGTACGCAACGTACACGGGGTGTGCAACAGCTAGGTCCAAACCGCCACATGGATCCCTTTCCAGCCAAGCATTTATCTCTACCAATAGATGGAAGTCTTTGTCTCGTGGCGCCTGGTGGGCGTGGGATAAAGAAGGACATGATAAGACGAGACCCCGCACCGCTGTCCTTTTTGTTTGCTCGCCATGTCTAGGACTCACACGTGGTACCCCGGATCGAGTAAGAGCTGAGCTCCTCGTTTGCGTGCTCAAAGCCATGCATGTCCCAGCTCCCAGTTTCGAATGCATTGCGTTCCTGATCGCCGCGATCACGCTGCAGGCAGTACAAGTGGCGTCTTCGAAGCAAACCTGATCGAGTTCGTCCGACGTCAACTCTGAGTCTGCAGTAGGCGAATGGTCAATAGTCGATCATGGATCGAGCTCAGATGCCCACAATCGCCAGGCCGATCGAGTACCTCCTCTCGGGCATATCGTCAACCTCGGCCATCATCACCCGCTTCATCCGTTCCGTGCGCGTTGCCCATGCTGACCTTGCTGCCGTCACTCGTGATTTATCCGACCTGCGGTTGATCTTGGAGCTGCTGAGAGACGAGCCTGGCATACCGTTAGTGCTTCAGGCGCAGATGCTGCTAGTGCTCGAGAGCTGCGGGAATACGTTGATACACATCGACACCATCCTCGCGAGATGCTCCGAACCCACAAGATGGATCGATCTCGGCAGGGTCGAGATCTTGAGCTGCCGGTCCAACCTGACCAGGTTCCGAGAAGCGCTCACCTTGGCCCTCGACGTGGCGAGCTTGTAATCAAGCCCCTACTCCTCGAGTTCTCAAAGTCCTAACGTCTTCGGTTTGACAGAGCGGCTTGGCCGGACGGTAACCTAGCGGATGCCGACGCAATTAGAGACAAGATCAACTCCGAAGTGCAGCGTCTCCATGCCGAACCGTCACCCACACAACCTAGCTACCACGATACCAAAGTAGTGATATCCCCGTACCTCGACGTCATATCAGATTGCATACAATCTCCAGTCGGTCTCACAAACCGTAGTAGCCAAGACAGCGGAACCAAGATAATGTACTTCTGACCTCGCCTAGTTGTTGAATAAAACTGACAACAGGTAGAACTCTCGCCGACGAGAAGGGGAACTTTGAACCTGGGACACAAACCACCCACATCAACCACGATGTACGCAACTCGGGCGGCAGCTGGAGAACACATGACGATACTGGTTTATCCTGGTCCCAACCAAACAACGGCACCCTGTTATCGTACTACACTGAGGAGCCTTCGTCATTGAGCCCTTTGCAGGAGGATCGGAACGCATCACCAGGCCTCCCGGAATCGCCCACATTGCCAGGAAGGGAAGGGCGCCCTTTGCCGATTCCTCAGAGGTCTCTCCCACCACCACTAACCCAGCCAGGTTGGAAGCACGGTGGTTCAGTCTCCATGAGATCGGAACCACCAATGTCCCCTGGGAATATGGAGTTGGAGTCTCCTACAAGTACTTACTCGCAAGACCGACCCCAAGACGCAAAAGAGGGATACTTTCATCAGGACGGCCGTGTAAGATCCTTTGCCTCCCGTGGCTCGGGAGGAAGTAGCAGTGGCTCTATCCCTCGTGCTTCGTTCAACATGACTCCGGTATCCGAGTACCGATCTGGTTCGATCAGTCCTGGGTTTGAACCGCTGAGCGCGTCTGCTCCCATTGCTCCATCGCCGTTCCCATCGTCACCGCCACCTGAATACCGCCGGACCTGGATCAACGCCCCCACCTCCGCGGGCCAGTTCATTGTGCCAGCTCCAGCAAGGCCGAATCCGAATCAACCGGGCATTACGGTCACTCCCAAACGGCACCTCACAGACAAAAGCAGAGGTTCTGAGGTACTCCACATCGACACCTCGCCGACTTCAAGTTATGTGGCCACGAAACACAGCAACAAGCTCGTCAAGATATGGTCCATCTCCAAGAACGCACTACATGGGACGATCAAGATCACATCATATGTGCAACCCCGAGTGCGGTCCCGCGAGTACTTCATCCGCAGCCACGCCATTCTATCCGAGAACGCCACTCTTATCGGGATCACCACCCACTTCGGGCTCACGCTTGAGATTTGGAACTTTGCGAAGGGCGGGAGCGGCGCCAAGAAGATACAAGTCATTGATGAAGCGCACCGGTGGGCAGCGAGTCAACGGGATGCTTTCCACAATGACTACGCCGGACTGGCCGTTTACCGTCCCAAGTACGACCGCATCGACCGCTTCTTTCTCTCCCGTCTCCCGAATACAAAAACCCCTTTCCGCGTGGATCCCAACCACTCCATCGAGCTCCTCAAGTCCAACCTGCCCTTCGTCCCCAAATTCCCGGAGCTCGCCTACAGCTCTGACTCACCCATCCTCATCGCCGCCGCCGGTCCCCGGCCGGGCGACCCTCCCCGTCCCAACTCCACCATCCTCATCGCCTGGCACATGAAGCCCGTCTCCGACAACAAGCTCCACGCTCAAACCCCGGAACAATCCTACAGCTCCCTCCCCGACGAGGAACGACACAAGCCCTACCGCGTCTGCGTACCGGGCTACCCAGCCCTACAGTCCGCCCTACCCGCCAGCCTGGCCTCGCACGGCAGCACCGCCGTCTCAATCTGGATCCCCGCCTCCACCGGCGACACCACCACCCCGCTCACCAGTCCCAGCAGCACCACCACCCCCACCGTCCCCCGCTCCTCCACCTTCCCCTTCACCACCCCCAAACCCAAACCACCCCACCCCCATCCAGACCCCAGCAGCAGCACCCCCGCCCCCGACCGCCTCGTCCTAACCTGGGACCTCCCCACCAACTCCACCCGCCTCTTCACCATCCCCGCGGGCGCCCAAGCCGCCATATCCTCCGACTGCGCGCGCGTCGCCTACTGCGACGCCTCCGGCGGCGTGTTCGGCATCATCGACGTGGCCAGCGCGGCCGAGGTGTGGCGGTGGCCCGACGCGGCGCGGTCCGCCGGGTTCGCGTCGTTCGGGCAGCTGGAGGGCGGGTTAAGGGGTGTGACGGTGTTTGAGTTTTCTGCTGATGGAAAACTGTTGGTGGTTGGGGATGCGGTGGGGGGCGTGGGGGTGTATGAGGTTGGGGACGTTGTCGGGGTGGGTGGGGAGGAGAGGTTTGAGTTGGGGGTGGGGAGCGAGGTGGCGTGGGTGGATGTGGTGGATGAGGAGATTGGGAGGGTGAGGGCGAGGAGGGGGTTGGGGGGGTGAGGAGTGGGAAGGGAAGAGGGGGGGGGGGGTGGTTGTTCAGATAGCCCGGGGTATTGTTGCGCTTTCTTGGTCCGCGGTTTACTTTCCAATCTCTCTTGGTTTCTTTCAGTTGGTTATGGTGTATTCCCAGTACTACACGTCCTTGTTCCCAACTACGCAGGTTATTTCTACTTTGCTTTCTATTCTTGCGGTTGTTGGATCCTTTCCGCAACCTCTGCGAACTCAATAGCTGCCGTTTTTCCAAAATTGACCATTTTTGAAAGGGCATCTGATGCACACCTTCGTCAATATCGGAGTATTCTTTAAACGGGACTTCATCTGTCACAGTATCAACCCTCACCGCGCCTTGATGGGTTGAGCCTCCGGCCCTAATCTTCGTCGTTCCCTGTCCGTTCATTTTGACTGGTTCATTCCCAGGAATATAACATGCCGTGGCCTCCAGCTATCGTTCTCTGAACATTAGATAATTGTTCATAGACTTGTGTGCAATAATTTCGGGCTAGAACTGAGGCGGGTGGATCTTGGTGCATGTAGGACGCCTACACGGCGATGGTTAGCTGGAACGCTGCTCCTTCTACTTGGAGGATAATATTTGGAAGCTTTCCTTCATTGGACCTAACCGACTACGGCAGTCAATTTACTCGAACCATAAGTGATAGGACTAGTAGAAAAGAGTGTTGTCTTAGGTATCATCCCCACGTTTTGCCTCAAAGGAGAGGATGATCATGCCTGTTGCTTGAACCACCGCATTAACAAAGTAAAACTGGGGAGCGGAAGCTAAATTATACAATAAACAGTCTCTTGGGTGTATTCAGGCAGAGGATATTGACAAACAAAACTCACATCCCGTTCGCACGGCGAGGTGGAAGAAGGGTTAGGGTCAACTCGACGTGACCCCTGAATCCCCTCCACCCCCAATGTTTTGTTACCCCTGAACCATCAACATCTCCCGCAACACCACTTTCCACCAGTCAAAGCACGTGCAAATGGCTACTAGGGTTTCACTTCATACGTAGCAAACCCACCTGGATTCCGGTTCACCGAACACCCCGAACATCAGTTCTACGCTGGTGTTATCAGCAACGAATGCACCGAAAAAGAAAAAAGAGGAACACCGGCATCATCATCTTCCTAACAAGTGGAACATTATGCGGAGGGAGAAGAGGATCTTGCAATTGTCTATCTTGTGCGGAGGCCGACAGCTTGCCCAGTGCCAAGGCCGTCGAGTCCCCGATGCTCTGTCCTCCAGAAAAAAAAGCTTTTTTTTTGTTTTGATGATTTTTATATGGATGCCGCCCTGCTTGTCCACGTATCCCGCGTTCTGCTCTCATGCAAGTGGCCAGTTTGAGCCGCAGTGATCGTTGTCGCAGTGATCGTGGAAAAGCAAGACATCTTTTGAAGAGGTCCATCAGGTGTTGTTTTTTTTTGGTAGTGGAATTGCCCTGAACTGCGTCGGAGCGTCAGGTTCCAAAAAGTCGTGGTTACGGTCGTAGCCGTACGCCTATTCCGCTCGCCGGACAAAGGCTAAAGCGGTGGGCGCCAGTCGCCACTCGTCCCCGTTGTTTCGTTCTTGAGCGCGCTGGTTCCGTCCAGTCGGACAAGACACCGTCCCGGACGATGATTCCGTCAGCAGCGCAAATCCGAGATCAGTTTCCTAGCATCGCAAACCACCGTCAACTCCTTCCCTCCACGTACCAACGCCGCCCATTGACCGTGATTGTGGCCACCCATTCACCACCAGGGCATCACTCAAGCCGTGAGGTCCGACCTTCTCCAGCCCACCAACACCACTCCATGGGCCGATGGCCAGCCACCCACGCTCCCACAAACCCTCGTTCGTTGGACCGGCTCCACGACCTTGCCGTGGGGTACCGGCAGCAAGATACCAGATACCAGAAAGAAAAGTGACGCGCCCGTGTCCCCTTCCCCTCCACCCATGCGCCAGCCACCAGCCAGAGACAGATAGAAAATGCCTCGATAAAAGCCGCAAACAAACCCCTGTGCCAAATGACAGCACCCATAAACGCCGTTTATATGAATCCCTGATTCTCCCCAAAACCCCAGACTCCGTCGTCAAAGGAAAGCCCGCCCATTCACTAAAGAGCCCAAGAGACTCCTAACCATGCCATCCGCGCCTCGTTCGTTTCCGTGCCATTCGTTTTTTAGGAGGGAGGAGACGTGGCATCCTGGAGTCGCCCAGCTGTATCCCCAACCAATCCATGGTGATTGCATCACACGAGGCCAGATCGTGAAGGCCTGCTAGGGATGTTCGTAAGATGAGGCCCAAGGAGGGCAAATGAGCGCAGCATAAATGCGGCAGCTGGGGCATGCTCCATAAGTAGTGAAGATCTGGAAGCCCATGCGCAGTTTAGTGAAATCTTTCGCCGTCTACAGCATTCAAGCGATGCTGAAAAGACGGATATCGATTGTATCGATCGTAAGAGATGGACGTCGAAGATCAGGCGAGAGCTGCGGAGAAATTAGAGGTATGATACAGTCGATGCCGCCGGCGATGAGGCTGCTCGCTCCCATGAAAACCCCCGAGAGGAACGTTCTCCAGCGACTGGCGGCTGTCGAAAAGATTTCATAAGAATCGGAGCCGGGCGGATTGGATAACCGGCTACTCCCTATCGGAAGGGATGCGTGTGGGGGGGGAAAAAGAACGAGCAATATGTACAATCCGAAACAGACAAAATAAGACACAGCCCCCTGACTCCTAGCGCCGCCTCCTCCCAACACCCCTGAGAGATGCGGAAGAAGGAAAGTTAGGCTTGCTGAGCAGGAGACGCGGGCTGACTCTGGCCCTGCGGACGACCGCCGCGGTGGCCACCGTAGTTCTGGCGTCCACCTTGTCCTTGCTGGAAGCCGCGGGAACGCCCACCACGGTGGCCACCAGAGGGCCCGCGGTGACCCTGGAACCCTCCGCGGCCTTGAGGGCCAGAACCGTTCTGACGGCCCTGTCCTTGCCAGTCGCCCGGTTGCGGTACTGGGGACTGCGACTCCACCGGCGGGTTCTGCGGTTGCTGCTGCTGTTGTGGCAGCAGCTGTTGTTGGTCTTGTTGTTGGGTTTGGAGTTGCTGGGGGAACTGCTGTTGCGGGAACTGCTGCTGGGGGAACTGCTGCTGCGGGGTCGAACCAGCCTTGAAGTTGGAGATCGGCCGAGGGATGCTCTCGGGATTCTCGTACACGTAAAGGCTCTTGTCAATGGTCTGGGGAATCGGTTGGATCTCGGTGCCGAGGTCGCGCTCAATGTTGTACAGGTTGAACCGATCGTCCCAGTTGATCAGGTTGATAGCCAGACCAAGATGGCCATACCGACCGGAGCGGCCAATGCGGTGAAGGTACGTCTCGGCATTCTTCGGGAAATCGAAATTGATGACAACGTTCACCGCCTGGATGTCGATGCCGCGGGTCAAAAGATCGGAGCAGACGAGGTTACGGCAGACGCCGTTGCGGAAGTCGTGGAACACGCGGTTACGAGCCTGCTGGGCCATCTTAGCATGGCTGTAAAAACATGAGTAGCCGAGTTCGGTGATCTTCTTGGCAAGAAGCTCGACGCGGTTGGTCGAGTTGCAGAAGATGATGGACTGGTTGATCTGTAGCTTGGAGAAGAGAGTGTTGAGACAGTGGACCTTCTGCTTCTCCTCGACATAGGCGTAGTATTGTGTAATTCCGCGCAGGGTAAGTTCGTCCATGAGGTTGATCTCGTAAGGGCTGGTCATGTTCTTGTCCGAGAAATCCTTGACCGAGATGGGGAAGGTGGCGGAGAAGAGCATGACCTGGCGGTCCTTGGGGTGGAACCTCAGAAGCTGCTCAATAACGGGCGTGAACTCCACAGAAAGTAGTTTGTCGGCTTCATCCATGATGAACATAGGGCATTCGCTGAGGTCCGCAACTTGCTTGCCAGCCAAGTCGAGGATTCTTCCGGGGGTTCCGACCACAATATGGACGGGATCCTGCAACCGGACAATATCGTCCCGAAGCCCAGTTCCACCTGTTGTGACCATGACGTTGATACCGAGATGTTTTCCGAGCGTCTTGCACACCTGGGATGTCTGCATTGCCAGTTCGCGAGTCGGGACGAGGATGAGACATTGGATCTTGGAAACCTTGGGGTTGATCTTTTCCAGGGCGGGGATGACGAAAGCGGCGGTCTTGCCGGTGCCGTTTTTGGCGCGCGCGAGAATGTCGCGACCGGTGAGAGCTACCGGTATGCTCTCTTCTTGAATGGGGGATGGCTTCTCGAACCCAGCCTCGAAGATGCCCATAAGCAGGTCACGCTTGAGACCAAAGTCCTCAAAGTCCAAGCCCTTCGTGTTGGTCACGTCCTGGGCACGGTAGAGTTAGAACAGGTAGGCATTCCAAGAGCACGAGAGTCACCTACCTCTGTCTGTTGCCTCGTGTCCTTCGCAGGAAGCCTTAGGTTCATCTTCCAGTCCTCAGGGCCCGAGCCATCGCTGGTCTGTCAGTTCGCTCTAAGAACAGGTGGGGTGACGGCCACAAACTTTAGAGTGGAGGCCTTGAGCTTGTCGATGAGGCTGTCTGTCATTGTGGTTGTTGTTGGGGTTGATCGGAGGCCGTGGGGAATGCGCAACCGAGAGTGCGCAACAGTGCGGTAATGTTGGGATTTCGAAAATTGGTGGGCAAATCACCAAACGCGATCGGAGAAGGGGGGGAGAATTGATCCTCAGGGATGGAGGTGTGCGATACCGGTCAAGCACGGGCGCGAGACGCAATGGAACCCTGTTCGAAGGAGGATATCGAAGCTTGGGAGTTGTGGAAATCGAGGAGATCGGTTGGGTAACAGAGTGGTGGTTGGCCCTAAGGGGTTTGTGCGTTCGTGGGATGGAGTTGGGGTCAGTTCGTGGGAGGGCGTCTTCGGGAAGCAGGAGTCGTTTTTTGCTTTTCGGTGGAAATTGGTGAAATTGTTGGTGCAGTGATTTTCTTTAATGTTCTTCGAGTCGGCGGCGGGGAAGGTGAAGTAGCAGCAGGGCTGAACCGTCTTTTTGCGCTCTTGCCAAAAAGTTGAGGTGAACCTCGGGGTTCGAGTGTCACGTGATAGACCCCTGCTTTCTATAGTGGGGTCCAATTGGGGTGAGGGGACCAGCGGGGACCTTCATGGGCAGGCAGTCCCGGAGTCCCGTCACACAATGTTCGTACTCCACGGGCGCTTCGACCTTCCCAGCAACTCCCGAGTCCTCAACTGCTAACTCACCAGCAAACTCGACCGAACTCCGAGTCGACACTCCCCATCCGGGTTCATTTCTCGACGTAACGCCGACACGATGTTATCAATTGTTACAAACATGACCGACCCAATCTAACAGAACAATGCTTCTTAATAAACGAACGAGGGTCCTCTGCCCGCGCAGTGGCGTGGTCTCCGCGTTCTGCGCCACCCAACACTCGACCTCGATACCGGCAACATTCCGGCCACAGGGTCCCTCAACCGCCACGCCCAGCTCGAGCTACCCGCGGCAACGGCAGTCATACGCATCCGTGCATGGTGGACAGCAGGGCGACAAGCACAATAGTGGCGATCAGTTGAAATGGCCAACGTCTGCGAATCCCACCCCCTACGAGGTACTCGGGCTTCCACGGGATTGTTCCTACACCAAAGCCCGGTATTTCCGGCTTGCGAAGCTTTACCATCCCGACCGTCAGCACCATGCTCCGGACGACGGTATTTCACATCTGACGAAACTCGAACGATACCGCCTCGTCGTAGCCGCCAACGAAATCCTCAGCAACCCACAAAAGAAGCGGATGTACGATCTTTACGGCTTTGGTTGGGCAAATCAGACAGACTCACAAACCCAGCATCGGGAAGCGGACCGCAAGTGGAGGCACGAGCCCGGTAACCCCAGCATGAACGCAACGTGGGAGGACTGGGAAGAGTGGCACCAGCAGCGGAACGGGGGCGGCGAGAAACAGGAAGAAGTGTTTACCTCAAACCTCGGCTTCATGACCATCATTTCAGTTTTCCTGATTATCGGCACGTGGAGCCATATGACAAGGGCTGGCACAAATTCGGTCAGATTACTCGACATGCAGGACCAGAAGCACGCCGCCATCAGCCAGGAGCTGCGGGAGCGACGAAACCAAAGAGTTCGGCTGGACCGAGAGGGCAGGGTTGAGAGTTTCCTGCGGCAACGAGAGTTTGAGAAATGGGGATATGATCCGCCTGGGCATGGCCTGCCAACCCCAGGGGACAGCAACACGCCGGACTGAGGTTAGTAATTGGCCAGTCCGGCGACACAGCGATATCGTCCGCAATTCGAACCACAAATTCCACGATGAAGGCTGCTACGGTCCACCGTTCGACACCCACAGGCTCGCGCCATAAACCACCATTGCGTGGCAATCGCGACAACAACATCAAGCCCTTCCCGAGCACCCAAAAAGTTCAAAGTTGCCGGGCATGTGTCACCTCATCCATCTCAAGATGGGGCACATAGAACGGGGGCCAAGAACCAGAAAGGGACGGGGTGCCACTAGTTGACAATCTGGTCAGTTGTGAGGGGAGCTTCCGTTAGACGGTGTCCTATTATCCACGCGCAACGCCTTCGGGAAGACACAGGCTGGGTCAGCAAACCCACAACCCAAGTGGGTTGCAAAAAAAAGAGTTAATTCGGCGTGGGACGACACGACGAACATGATACGCACTCGACATCTCGGGTGTGAGAGATGAGATGCATATTACAAACACTAATTTTTCTTGTCTTCTTTGCTCACCTCAATGAACGCAGTGGAATCTCAAGGTGTACTCACCCCATATTTGGGTGATGGACCTACAAAGGTTACATACGGTTACTATAGCGCGGGATGGAATATTAGTACCTCACCCAGGAGCGTCTTTTCCAATTGCTGTAAACGTGGACAAAGAACGCGAAGTTCGTCCGACTCCCTTTCCACATCCGGTTTCTTTGCGAAATCCTTACCTACCGGATTGGAAAGGGACTTGTTACGGCCACACATGTTCAGGAAGGTCTCCCGAGTTCAATCACATTGTTCCAGCCGTTGCCAAATCGTGCCGGTACGTTGCTCAACCGCCGAGTAAACAAAGATCAGCCAAGCCCGGCAAAACAAAGCCCAAACCTGACGCTATCGCCAGAACCCCATGAAATTTAAGAGCACAGCCTCCTCAAGGAACATTTCCATTTGCCGCCTTTGCGCGGTATCTTCTTCCTCTATGGCACAGTTTGCTACGGCTCACACAGTTGCGTCAGTCAGTGCATATTTATTCTCAAATATTCAAGGATTTCACAGTTGCTTCCTCCTTTCCTGATCACCCAACATTCCATCTCGTTCCATCCTCTCTATTTCTATACCAATCCACGAGCGGCCTTTAGAGAGGGTGTGAACTTATTTCCCATTCCACAATTCTCATCTTGGCCTCTATTCTTTGGTCGACCAACCCCAACGCTCCCATATTTCGACTCGGATCAAGTCTTCCACCACAGTCATGACTCGCACACGACCCGGGGCGCAGAAGGGCAAGAAACCCGAGGCGAAGAAGAGCAAGAAACCCAAACCGGCACCCAGGAGCCGTCAAACGGCTTCCCCGCAACCCGAGCAAGGCCCACGGTTCCCAAGGTTCAACTACCTTCCTGCCGAAATCCAATGGAAAATCTTCCGCGAAGTTATGAGCGGCGACCCCCAGTTCCATGTCCTCAAAGTTGGCCGTGTCGATGATGTCCCGAGCGGAACATGGAGGTTGTCCTTCTCCCCAATGACCAAAGAAAAAGACAAATCGGGCTATCGGATGTATGGCGCACTTTCCACCGTCAATCCCTCGGCAGCCGCAGCGGTGCGCCATGAGTTGACGCTAAGGAAAAGGAACCGATTTCAACGGTTGCCTTTCACGCTGTTGAACGCCCACATCAACGGGGCGACGGACCTTGTTGTTCTCGACTTCCCCAGAAGCACGACCCCGGCGTTTGGATACTTCCACGACGATCACCAAATATTGAATTGGCAAGAGAGAGTGTTTGACAGCGGCAGCGTCGCAAAACAGTTTGAAAACACCGAACAGGTCGGCATCTGTTTGACTGGCAAGCACTACTCCTGTCATGACATGATGGGCAACTTTCGCTGCGCCGACCGCGACGACGAGGAACACTCGAGCCACTCCTCAAATATTAACGCCTGGCTTATGTGCCCCAAGGAACTAGCTGGCCTCCTGAAAAGCTTTCCCAAGCTACGCGAGTTCTATATCATCCTCCGCCCCTTCCATCCCGGCTTCGCAAAGCAGGACGAAGCCGAAACCTACCTCAAGAACTACTTTACCTGTAAGTCCCCCCCCCCCCCTTCTTCACCCTTCTAACCCCCCCTCCCCATACACCCCCATCCTCAACAAAACCCCGTAGCCGAGCCTAACCACAACCCCAACCACAGGGCCCGAACGACACCACCACACGCACATCCAGCCCTTCACCGGCGTCGGCATGTCCTACATCCCACTCCTCGACGAGCTCATGCCCAACTCAGCCAGCAACGGCAAGGACGCCAACTTCACGCGGGGGCGCTTCCCCTCGCGGTCCGAGCTGCGCGAGATCCGCGACACGCTGGCCAGCCTGCACGGCTACTTCCGCCTGGATTCCTCCCCTCACCTGCGGTCGGAGATCCAGCGGGCGTACGCGAGGACGTACCGCCTCGGAAGGGCGGAGAGGGATGCGCTGGGGTTTCATGTGCTGCTGGCGGTGCCGCGGGATAAGATTCGTGAATGTGGGGGGGAGGTGGCGGGGTGATTTTCTTTTTGTGGGAGGGGGGGGATGCGGTTTGGGGGTTGGGTTTCGTTAAGAGAGTAAAGGGGGAGATGGGCGTGCCGGGGTGGGGACAGAGCGTTGAACGGGTGCTGGGTTACAAGGTTTGCGGAAGGGCTGCGATTCACGATTGCGGTGCAGGAGAGGTGGTTATTACAAAAGCACTGGGGTAATCTTTTTTTCCTTTTCTCACGTTCATCCGAGGTCCAGGGGCGTTACATTTGGGCGTTGCTCTGCCGAACTCTCCACACGCGGCATACATGTATACAGAGGTTGGGCAAAGGGCTTTTCGCATTGGACTGTGACAATTAGTGATATTCACACCGCGATAGGAGTTAAATTGATCAAGTCCCAACAAACCGTACTGGCAGATGATACTAATCAAGATATCAATGACGACCTCAGGACATAAAACTTGAGTTGTAAGTGTAGAAGCGCTCGAGTTGCATCGTTGACCCAGGGTTTCGGTCAAGGGGATGACTGAACGATAGCTTGCTCATTTATCATCTGAGAGAAAACTAGACGGGAAGTGGATTTCATTGTATGTAGCTCGGTGGCTAGAAGAACACATTTGGGTGCTGCGGCAATTCTTTAGATTTGAAACAATGTAACGGTCTCTGGCCTTTGTGCCTTCATTACTAGTTCCGTGGGTCAGCCGGATAATCAAGGGGTCTGTATGCACCATGCCCCGAGGTGGTCCCTACTATTATAGAATCTAGCATTAGGATCTCTTCCATGTCGCCACCGTAGGTACCTAGTAAGTAGGTAGTAAGTAACGGGGTAGGAACTGGGCGGATCTGGAAACTAACCCCTGGCAATCACAAAGTCTCAACCCCTTCTCAGACCAGCCTCTTACCAGGCATAGAGTTCCCGAGTCTTGATAATTAACTACTCTGTTCCCCTCTCAGCTTCCTTGTTTGTCTCCTCGATCCCGACCTGATTCAACCCCGTGTAAGGATCTTAGGCACCTGGCCAAAGGTGAACTTGTAAAACTTCAATGGCGACTGTGTATTAAATAGTTCCGTGCAAATCGTTTTTTCTTTCTCTAGAACCGTTCTTCTGAGAGTAAGTATATCAAAAACCTCGATATCATGGGTTCTTAGCGGTATCTTAAACTCGCCGTCCTGCAAACCCCCGATCTGCTTCAATTCCGGAACAAGAACCCACCTACCACGAATACCAAGACATAGGTGCGTTACTCAGTACATTACATTTTAAGATGGTAATCGCATTTCCCCAGTTCTCGAGACTGCCGCAACAAATCCAAGATGACATTTGGAAATTCACTATGGTGCACACTTTGCCCTGCGTGCAGCCGGTCGGGCTTTACCCTTTCCCCCCTGAACACTGGCTCGAAAAGCAAGGTCGGGCTGTGGGGAACCCGGAAACGGTGCATGACCCAGAGCACATCAACGTGATAAAAAAACAAGGCGAGACGTTGACGTTCTTGCTGCCCCGTCCCGAAATGGGCCGGCGCTCTGTACACTACCACACCGCCACAGAGACGGCGACTGCGTGCGTAGGCGCACGCCAAGTGTTTAAAGAAATGCTTGATGATCAAGTAAAGAATGAAGTTGAGAACCTGAGTCGCGCTGCTGCTGACCCCAACACTCAATACCCGTGGGAAACTGACGAGAGCCAAACTCCCTCGATCATCTTTGCCATGAACACACCGCGTTCACAAGACGAGCAAAAGCCCGTGTGCTCATCATTATCGGACCTGGCCATCAGCTCAAGGGCGCCACACGGGACCTTCCCCGTCCCCTTTAACCCAATGGTTGACATTCTATGGCTAGATTGCCCCTTTGTAGCAGGCAGCCACTATGATCTCACCCATAAAGGTTGGGAGCCAATCGATGACGAGAACCCATCCTTGGCTTTGAGTTCAGGGCTTGTTTCCGCGGGCTATTACAGCAGCCGCCTGGTGGAGGTCCGTCGACTTGCCGTTGAATTTGACAAGGAGCAGTTCAGAAACATGTGTTTTGAGTGCTATAAGACGAGGGTGGGACGTAGGAGATACCTTGATTGGCTCGAGGCATTCCGGGAGACAACGTCCCCTGAGAGACAGCTGACTCACCAGGTCTGCTTGCTCTGTAGTGTGCTGGAAACCCCAGAGTTTGCACACCTCTCGGACGGGCAGAAGCAAGAAGTCAAGGGCTGGCTGAAGTACTGCAAAATTAGACATCTTGTTGTGGCAATCAAGGAGGGGACGTGCACCAATAATAGCCTGTCGATCATATACGATTGCGATTCACCATGGAGCAACGGGTGGCGATATGGAGGCCGGTTGACAAAGGACAACTTGACGTGGTATCATGTCAACAGATGGTGGCCAAGGGAAGAGCGGCTCGAGACATTCGACTTGGAGGCTTTCCGTCAGGCCTTTCCCATAGTGGAAAAGGTGTACGCCGCGATACGCCGTGAAGGCAATGGCAAAGATCACCCGCTTTACGCCTGCCTTGCCGACTTCAACGGCGATACGTTAGCCTTCTACAACAACATATGTGCGGACTGGTGGTACTTCGGTGACAAGATCTATTCAAGCTACTACCCATGGAGATACGATGAAACAGCCCAAGGCACCATCTGTTTTGCGAGAGATGAAAACCGGCGCCTGCACGAGCGCGGGTGGTGCGATGAGGCCGGAGCGGTCGGCGAATTCTGGCCGGTGACAACGCCGCGTCTGTGGACGTTATACATCATCGACCGTGGCATCAAGCTGAGGCCCGGTGCCAGCATCCCGCCAGGAAGGCAGACATTCCAAGGGAATGGCTGTATCTACGTCGAGGTACGCGAACCTGTCAATCGTTCTCTAGAAGCTGGCGGCGTGGACGGCTTTTGGCAGTATCCTGACGGCGGTCCCTGGATGGAAAACGTATTTAGTTTTGCGCGTCACCTGTCTCAACGCATGGACGGACACCAGAGAAGACTCCGCTCTCGTTTGAGGACGGACGCGACTGGCGGGGGGCTTGATGGAACTTCGGATCGGTTTATTGAGGCTTGGACAGCTCGCGGAGTGGATTCTCCTCAGAACCGTGCAGTGCACACCGGCAGAGTGCCAGAGGTCAAGGTGCTGGCTATCGTGGAGTAAGGACTAGTGGACTACCTACTACCTAAGTTAAACTGCTCAACGGCCACGAGGAGCAAACTATGGCGTCGTTAATAAAATGGAAGGTAAAGAGGTATTGAATAAGTAACAATGAGTGAATAAACAAGAATAGAGACAAATAGAGGTACCGAGTTTCAGCATTCAAGGTAGGTACGTGACGGCCCGTGAGTGAAACGTTGAAAGCAATAGCTTTGAGCTATTCTGCGTAATACAAGGTCGCATCCTTTGCAGGTAAATGTTTTCCGTTGTTATTTGTCTGTGGTGGTTGGTCCAGGCTCAGGGGCTTCGGGCAGCAAGATTGAAGGTACCGTGTTTAATTGGCTGGAGATTGAAGTCAAGTAAATAAACACCCCAGTCCAGTCATGCAGGTCCACGTGTGGAGCATGGACATTGCTGCCTGCGAAAACCACATCAATTTGATGCCCGACCAGCAATTTAATTTTTCGATTTACCATTAAACGTTCAGAAGGTACCTAGCCTCGAAACTCTCTATCTCTGGCTTGTCTCGGTTTTGTTGTGGAAGGTAGAAATGATGGAGGGCGGCTCAGAGACTTCAGAGCTCCCCATCGCGCTGCGGCGCACACGGCGCAATCCGAGTCAACAAGTTCAACAGCGCACATTATCCAATACTGGCACCAGTGACAAGAATTCGGGCAGTCCAGGTCCCAAGCAAACACCATGCGCCTCACCTAAGCGGCCCGCACGCGGGAACCTGGCTATGAACACGCCAAAATCCAGGAAGGGGCGCGTTCGGTTCTCAGACCCGGGCCCGGATCTGGCTGGGAAAAAATACCAATCCTCAACAGGGTTGACACCTATGATACAACGAACCTCTCTTTCCGGCAGTCGGACACCACGTCGACGTTCCACTCCGGCCCGCCTGTTTCCATCAAACGGCAACGGCATTCCGGGCTTAGACTCACAGGGCTCTCCGTTTGGCGGCGAAGTCCACTTCCTCCCCCTCCGCCAAGTTCTGGATGGCCGTGTCAAGCGCCGCATCCGGCGCAATGGCCTGAGCGAGGAGATGAACACCATATCAACCGAGAAGAGGCGGCGGGCGGAGGAGACCAAGGCTGAGATTGAGCGGCTGAGGACCGAGTTGGCCGAGAAGGATGGGGAAATCGAGCGGTTGCATGATGAGACGGTAGTGCTCGATACGGAGCGTGTGTGGGACCTAGAGCAACAGGTTGCTTCACTGAAGAGGCAGTTGGCTAGTCGGTCGGGGGTCCAGGAAGTGCCGAGCAGCCCACCTGTTGGGTGGACCAGCGCTGCCCGCGATCCTTATTCCGACAATTTTATGGAGTTAGACGTCGAGGATTCCGGGGCGGAGTTCGGCGAGTCCACAAGGGCAGAACTGGCGTGCAGCACTCCCACCAGACGAATGTGCGCAGCGTTCCCAACGCCTCCAGCCACAAGCCCCGAACCGAAAACCCCCGAGACTCCTTGCCGACATTTGCCCACGCCGCGCTCAAGTACGGCCATTCAAACCTCGCTGCCAGACCCAGAAAAGCAGCACCTAGAAGAAGAGCTAGGGCTACTGCGGCTCGAGGTCGCCAAACTGACAACCACACTCGAGTCCTACTCCGCCTTGACCTCCCGGCTGTCAGACAAGCTCACCCCGATTCTCCCCCAAACCTCATCCGACGAACCATCCACAGAGGACCCAGACATCGAAACCCACCTCACCACCGTCCTCCAAACCCTCTCCGACCGCACCGCAGCCCTCACCGCGCTCGACTCCTCCCTCAAAACCCTCGGCTTCCCCGGCGCCGACGGCTTCGAAGTCCTCGAATCCCTGCGCGCCTCCCTCCGCACCGCCCGCCTCGAACTCGAATACCTCACGCCCGGCGAAACCCCCCTCCCGCTAACCGGCGCCGGCTTGGAGGTCCTCACCCTCACCCTCACCCACCTCCGCGACCTCACCCACAAGTTCCGCGACGCAACCGACACCATCGACGAGTACCACGCCCTCATCATCTCCTTACGCAGCCAGCTCCGCGCCCGCGTCGCCGCCACCGACAGCCTCAGTTCCCAACTCACCACGACAGAACACACCGTCCACACCAAAGACGCGCACATCGCCGCGCTGGACGCCCACCTCGCCGACGCCGCGCAAGCCCACACCCGCGACGTCGCGGACCTGGAATCGCTCACCGCGCGCCTCGAGACAGACCTTGCCGCAGCGCGTGCGGCTGCTGAGAGCGAGAATGCCGCGCACGCGGTTGTGGTGGCCGAGCTGGAGGGGCAGCTTGCTGCCGCGCAGGCGCGGATGGAGGGGCTGCAGGCGGAGATGGACGCGCTTGTGGTTAAGCATGGGGAGGAGAGGGGGGTGCTGGAGAGGGCGCATGGGGCGGCGCTGGCGGAGAGGGATGCGAGGGTGGTGGAGCTGGAGGGGGAGGTGGAGAGGGTTGGGGGGGAGTTGGGGGAGGCAAGGGGGGTGGTGGAGAGGTTGAGGGCGGAGAATAGGAGGTTGGGGGAGGTGGGTGTGAGAGAGAGGGGGAGGGCGGAGGAGGTTGTCAGGGGGATGAGGGGGGAGTTGGAGAAGGTGTTGAGGATGGGGGAGGGGTTCTTGAGTGGGAACCGGGGGGGTGGGGAGGATGAAAGTGAGGTGGTAGCGCCGCTGGGTGAGAGTAAGGTTGGGAGGTCGTTGAGTGACTCGGATGATGTGGCGAGTCTGTCTGGGAGGACCGGGAAGAGGAGAAAGTATGACAGTGGGTTGGGGTTCTTGGATGAGGAAGCCGATGCTGCGGATGTGTGAAGGTTGTCGTCGGACGAATAAGACCTGATGTGTGAGCGAGATCATGGGATTTGGATGGAGGAAGTCTGGATAGCTTTTCTTCTTTGTTATATATTTCTTGTATTCCTTCTCCTTGATTCTTTTACTTTGTTATCAACGAGTCTGAGGGGAAACGAGGAGGCTCTCGTATATTATATTATCATTACGGATAGTGTCAACCCCCGGTCCAACTCATGCAATGGCAACTCTCTGCCCGCAACCTCACCATACCCATCTCACAGCATCCCGTCCCTCATCACCTGAATCACCGGGTACGGCCCTGTCCCATCCCGCCGCCACTCCTCGTCAATCCCCTCAAAACCCAGCGCCCGGCTCAGAACCAGGTGGCGATCCAGCTCTTGCTTCCAACGGGCAAACGTCTCATCCACAGTCTGCCGATCGCCTTCGTGGGGCGAACCCGGCACCCGCAGCTCCTCAAGCCGCCGTAGCTGTTCCCCCCGCACGTCGTCGCGCACATCAAGAAGCGCATGGCGCTCCTCGTCGAAAAGCCCAAACATTGCCCCCCTCTGCGCCATATCCTGCCTCGAGTTCAGGTACCAATGGCCCATCAGCACCGGCCACGACCTCTGGCAAATCCGCCAGCGCGCCGCCGCTTCCGCCGCCGGCCCCTCGGAGGCCGTCTCAGGCCTATACCAGCCGATCATGTGCCCACACAGCGCAATCCGCACGCGACGGGCACCCACCCCGGGCCCCGCGACCAACTTGGCGCGCAGCTCGAGCCAGAGGTCGCGGTGCATGCGGAACACGTCGCAGTCGAGCAGCAGCGTGTCGGTGCGGCGGTCGATCCACCCGCCGCGGCCCAGCCACGCCAGGCCCAGGGCCTCGACCGGCTCGCGCAGCAGCAGCGCTACCGCGCGCGACTCCCGGCACGCCTGCGCGATCCGGCAACCTCGTGCGAGCACCTTGTTCAGCAGCACCGCGACGGCGCGGCTCGTCACGACCGGCTCGTGGCGGTCGGTTGCGGTGGTGTTGGTGCCGGCGGTGTTGGTGTTGGTGTTGGTGTTGGTGTTGGTGTTGGTGTTGGTGTTGGTGTTGGTGTTGGTGTTGGTGTTGGTGTTGCGGTAGTCGTGCCCCACGACCAGTGTGCTGAGCGGGATCAGTCGCCGCGGCAGGCAGGCTTCCCAGATCATGGCGCGGATCTCGGGGGGGAAGCGCTGGAAGTGGGGGAATGTGCCGTCGGCGGTCGGGGTGGTCTCTTGGGGGAGGGTGGTCCCTTCGGCCAGGGCGGTGGTGTCGGTCTGGTGGCGCATGGTGGATTCTTCCGGCGTGCCGCTTGCTCGTGACATGATGGCTTCGTCGGCCACGGTGGGTTCGTGGGGCTCGGTGGTGTTGCCGGGCATGGTAACCTCCTCGGCCATGGTGGTCTCCTCGGTGGGGGTCGCCTCGTCGGGTTGGGCGGTCTCTTGGGGGAGGGCGGTCTCGTTGGGAATAATGGCCTCGTCGGTTAGGCCTGTCTCATCGGGCTGGGTGGCTCTGTTGGGTTGAATGCTCCCGTCGGGTTGTGTGGTATTGCCAGGCGTGGGGTTGTCGTTAGCTAGGATGGAGAGGAGGGTGGCCTCGCCAGGGATAGTGGTTCCGTCGGGCTGAGCGGTAACGCCTGGGGTTGTGGTATCGCCGGGCGCGGTAGTAGAGTCGTCAGACATGGTGTTGGCTAGGTTTGCCGTGGTTGACTAGAAGTATCTAGGACTGTTCTTGGTAGATACTACGACGGATGCCGTGTTGGTTGGTGGTGATGAATTGTTGGTTATTATTGTTGGTCGTCCATAACTGCCGTCGCCTGCACTTTCTGAGTAGTCACTGGGTTTTCAAGGCCAGTACGCAACTAAAGGAGTACGCGAATAAGGGGGATACACGCACAGTCGCGTGTAGGTAAGTTATGCGGGAAACCACGTCCGTCAACGCACACCATCTTAAGAGGAAAGGTTCACCCATCGGAACTGACGACAGTGGATGCGAGACTCCTCAGGTAGGAACGACAAAGATCAGAAACCACGGGGTGCTGGTACCATGATTCGAGTTACCAAGGGCCCGGGTCAGCAGGTGAAGCGATGTTGACACCTATCCTAAGCCCGTTAAAGCAGTAATAGCCATGAGGTACCATTGAATCACTGGATAAGGCGCACAAAAGAGTATTGATAATACCCCGTGAGTTGGAAGAGGCCTTTGATAGTTGTCTTCAAACTCAAAGAACTAGTCACATTCGGTTCAGCAACCATGGAACTTATGGTCTCAACTCCCCAACATTCACGAGTCACCAGGGGGGATTACTTTACAAATGGGGGATGATGACAATGCCAGGGGAGAAAGGGCGCAGGAGAAGTGCCATATCGCCAACGCACACTACCTAGACTTGGAGTTTTATGTACCTACCTTAGGTATGAGACTTCTTTGGACATTATTTTACTCCTCAGGTAGTAAGTAGTTACTGTTTCAAATAACCACACATGAAATGAAGACAATAGCCGCATTCGTATTGAGGAAGGGCTAGACTCTCGCTCACCGAGTCGCGGTGGGATAGATGATAAAATCAGGGAATGCCTTCCCTAGCTTTAACCAGTCAGGCGGACATTCTGCAACGGAGTTACCAGCCCAACGGAAGATATCCAAGTTGAAAGGTCTATTGAGTCTTACTTTTCATCTGAACTGTGTGAGCGTCATGGTGGGAGTGTTGGCAACTTGGCTGCCAGGACAGTATGTGGTTGGTGGTACCGCACTGTACCCCAAGTAGTTGCCTGTTTTCGTCACCGCAGGGAAGGCGAAACCGCGGCAGCTCGACCTTTGAAATCTGATTTCTTTGTGTGGTTTCAACTCGTGGCATCGTGGCCTGAGAACTTTTGCCATTTAAAATTCTGTTTCTCCTTCTACCGTTTGATTGCAGACGGCAGCCTCGTCTCCAGCCGCGACATCTCAACCCATGCAGCCACTCACAGTCGCGCTAATCGGCCGACCGACTCGAAAAAAAGCCCCACTGACACGAAAAGCAAAAAAAGGAGCACAGGCTTGCAAAGGTGACCTCACGATAAAATCAACCTCAAGTTTTCATCACCTCGGTTTTGGTCTCTAACTAGCATATTGCTAATTCATGAGGCCAAATCAGTTACCGCCCTTTATCGCAAGCGTACCAACCGAAAGAACCCAAGCTTTCGCGGTATCAAGTTGAAAAGTAGTCGCGAAACGGTGACGCGACGGTCGCGAATCGATCATCGTCGCGGGGACCCGTGACACGGTCTCGCCAACAAGAGTCGTCAGAATGGCGCCACCACCCAAGGTCGAGCCCATCCTACTATACGGCTTTTGCTTTAATATACAAAAAGAGCAGAGGTTTAACCAGTCATGGGCTTGTGCGTTTCACACCAGCTGGTACACGGATGAGTTCCACTCTATGTGGGAAACCGTCGATGACGCCAGTAAGAGGCGCGAGATTCGATACGGGAACAACATTTATGTGCTGTTTCGTGCCCTTCTACATTGTAGAAAGTTCTATGGCCAGGACACGCTTTGGGTCGCCATCGGTCGGGGTTTCAACACCAGCGCTACCATCGCCAGAGTGACGGCTGAAATCCTGACCGAGGCCCGGAGGGCGCAGCGTACCAGACCATCAAGGGATGTGCCTGACACGGCACGCGCCGCCGATGACTGGATCGATTTTCTCGACAGCCAGGGCTCACAACCCCGTATGCTGTCCGACCCCGAAGTCCACAAGGTCGCCGATTCCTTCTTCAAGACCCAGGAAAAGAAATACGTCAACGCCGCCAAGGTGCCGGTAAGCGGGCGACCGCCTTTATATGACCCGAAATTCGACACGGCGCCCCGTGGACTGCTTTCTCCTTCGGCCAAAGCCGAAAGCCCGAGAGAAACTGAAAGGCACTGGCCGCCACAGTTTGGACGCAAACGCTCCGCCTCTCCGCCGATCGGTCCTAGCTCTAAATCTAGGCGTTTCGACCATGACGTTCGCCACCAGCCTCGGCTAGAGCCCGACAGGCATGGCGCTCTTGATGAGCTACCGAAGATTCAGCCGACGAGAAGCCCCCCACGGCCAGCCGCGTCGCGACCAGCCCAACCAGCTCACCCGACGCTGCCAGCGCAACCTGGGGTTCGACCAACCGTTTCGACCTTGGGAAACGAGGGGCCAGCCAGCTCGACTATGTCGGCGCGGGCGGCGCGGGCGGCGCAGCTCCCCCCCAAACCCAATGTTACAACTGATAGAGAGAATGCTCCTAGTCCCTCGGCTCCATCGCTCACTGCCCGAAGCCCGGCCGGTGTAGATGACAACTCGGCGCTGAAAACACGCATCGCGAGCCTGGAAAAGCAGCTGGCCGAGGCCGAGAGCAAGAGCAAGGTAGCCGCTGCTCCGGCGAACCCAACCGCCCCAACTGCTGTTCCCCCAAGTGAACTCGGGAAGGACATGATTGAACTGAAAAAGGAAATGGCCACAGCGACCGGCGCCATCAGCACCATGATGGAATCGATGCACTACATCGTCGACAACCTGGGTTCCATGCAAGAAGAGATCTCGGGCTTCTCAACCGAACAACAAAACTTGCAAGCCGCCCTCACCGCCCTCCAAACCGACGTCTCCCACCTCAAAACCAACCCCCCCACCCCCTCAACAACCACCACATGCACCCAACCCGAAACCACCCGCAACCTCGAAGCCCTCATCCAAGCCCAAACCACCCGCCTCGACAAACTCACCCACCAAATCGCCACCCTCCAACACCATCAACAAACCACCTCCCAAACCGGCACGACGCAGCCGCAGACCTTACGCCAGGCCATGGCCGCCGCCGAGCGCGACCTGCAGCTCCACCTGGGCAGGGTGCAGGCCTTCTACCACCGCGGCAGCAGCATGGGCGGCGGCGCCGGAGGAGGCGGTGCTGCCGGGGGAGTGGGGAGCAGCCGCGCGGCCACGGAGCGCACGGCCGACTTGCTGGCCCTGCTGGCGGACGGGGTGCGCGCCGCGCAAGCTGGGCAGGCGGGGGTTTAATGCTGGGGCTGGGGTTGGGTTGGGTTGGGGACGGTGCTGGGCTTGGGGCTGGGCTAGGGACGGTATGTACTGGACGGTGCTGGGCTGGGCTGGGCTGGGGACTGGACGGTGCGCGGCCTGGAGGGTTGCCGGGGTGCCGGACTCCGGTTGCTGCCGGATCGGGTGCCGGGTGCCGGGTGCCGACGACTGGGCTGGGGTGCCGGCTGTCGCTGGGTGGTGACGGGGTGGTGATGGGGTGGCGGTGGAATGTGATGGCGTGTGACGGGCGGTTACAGGACGCGTGCGAGCGGTGTACATACAGATTCCGGATTTGACTGTACGTTAGGTGGTAGTTTCCGAAGGGGGCTGGTTGGCACGTGGTTGGGGGACTCGGAGGTTCGCGTCCCCGGCTTGGGGTTGAGGTTTGGCTGCCGCTGAGTCAGCCGGGAGATAACCGCCGTCCTGCTGTGCGATGCAGGTAGTGGCGGTGAGATTCCCGGCGGCTGCGGATAGGCTCGCGGACTTTGGTGCGAGGTCGATCGTGATAATAACGTTTTGTTAATATGGGTTCTGGTTTGCTAGAGGGGGTGGCTTAGGGTCCTTGGCCCACACCATCGGCTGAATGGGGTCAATCTACGTTCACGGCATCGTCATGATGTAGGCTTTGAATTTACAAGTCTCCCTCCACGACGCATCTGAGCCACTATATTTGATAGATTCGGAGAGCAAGTGTGCCGTCCTACGGGATATCTTAAATTGGGCATTGTAGGCGCTGGGCGCAAAAGACTCGTCATCGTTTGGCAACATCCTCCACCTGCGGGCCGCCCCAGCCAGTGAGGTCGACCTCAACCGGGCGGCCTCCGGTACGGATAATCACCAAATGAAAGTCGGTCTCCGAGTTGTTTACTGCTTGGTGCTCGGTCCAAGCGGGGATGAAGGCGAAATCGCCCGGGCCGAGCTCATGCCGCTCCGGCTCCTCGTCGTCCCCTTTCGGCTGCGAGAGGAGCGAGCCCTGTCCCGATACTGTGTAGATGATGGTTTCTTACACCGGGTTAAGAAGGGTAGGTTGATGATTGGCCGGATCTCGCCTTCCGAATATGGCAGGGATTCTGAGACACACGTACCTTGTTCGCCGTGGTGATGCACTGTCGAGGAGGAGTTTGGTTTTACGATGAGGACTGTGAAAAGGGGTTCGTATCTCCAAGGGATAGGATTCAAAAATGTGACAGTTTCTTGCTTACTTGATGTGCACATCTTGTCTGTTTTGTCGATCACTGCATTCCTGCGAATGATGCGAACCTCGGGTCTATCCCCGTCTCCGCCGGCTTGGGTATCAGGCGGTAAGATATCTGCGGCTTTTGTGACGGCGACCGATGCCGGTAGGATCATTGGGAGGATGTCTTCGATCAACGGTATTAGGGATGCCATCTTGCTCAGATATCTGCCTGGGAAAGGCATCCGTAAGCGAGGCCGGGAGATAAAACGGTGAAATCTGGGTGATAAGGTAAGAAAGGGCTGATAGGAGTGACGGGCGGCCGTCTTGCCGAAGACAGATCTATCGTGGCCGGTTTCGGTATATAACTGTCCGATACGTTACACATGGACTCCGACAACTTGGAAATAATGAAAGGAATACCTAGGTAGGAAGGTACCCAAGGAAACCTGGTAGATGGATCATGGATGTGCCAGCGTTTTCTGCCAAGTTACCCAAAGCCAACACCGACCGTCTTGCGCAGCCCGGCTAGATTGCGAAAAAGCTCGCGTTTCTTTTGGGAAGAAACCTCGTGACAGGTAAAGTTTATTGGCTGGGTCGGAAATTATGAGCAAGCGATACCGAAGTCAACGTCGTCGACCTGATGGCGAAATCTATGTACGTCTGGACAAAATGTCAGAAAGGCGCAGTTCGGCGCGGGCCGAGGACAACTGGGCCCCCAGGCGCCTGTTCCATTGAGTGGAGACGGCCCACAAGGCGCCCGAGATTCATCGCCCCACAGCCAGCATCGGGAAATTGTACAGTGCGGGGCGAGGTGAGTCGACATGCATAACTCGATAGTTAAATTACATGCGAAAACGCGTGCGTAAGCATCTGCAGTGCAGCCCAGTTTGTCTCAGCCCTGGTGTTGCATTGACGAATCGCTCCAGAGCGGCTTGGTTCGAGTTTGCCTGGGCAGCTGTGCGTACCACGCACCAAGCTGTGTAGGTGTGTTCCGGTCGCTAATTACCAAGATTTGGGAATGTGGCACGTCGCTAATTTCGTATGGAGGTGTGAATACCGTGACCGTTACCTCTTAGGTACGATGTACTGTGCCTCTCCCGGCACTTGAGACAATGCAACTGACGTGGGGTGCGACATCATCTGTACATGCAGTACACCCTTCGTACCACAGTACGCAGTTCGGACGGGCGACTCGTGCCCCGCCAAGCTGCCCGCCCGAGCCGCCCTTCTTTCTGATCATGACGATCGAAGTCTGGCATCGCCCCCAATTATGCGCGTACAACATCAACCAGCGTGGTGAACTTGCAACGTATCCAACGGCAGCGATAAATATAGATACTTCCCAGCGACGCAACCCATTTCTCCCAGCAACGCAAATGACCACGACCGACGATGGCAGAGTGCAGCTTTGATCGCTACGGACCCCCTGTGTCGATCCTCCGTCACCACCCTGGTGCTCTTGACGAGAAACATGGGTTTGTGGATCGATCAATGGATGACAACACACACGATAATACTCCACTCAACGACGACCACGGCCTTTCCGACGAGAAGACCAGGTCGAAAGCAAGGGCGTCATGTGGGTGCGCTAGAACCTCAGACGTAGAGCGCTGGATAACTAACTGCTTGCGCGCCTGCAGACTCCGAGCCTGGCGCATGTTCCCTCGCTACCCTCCCCGCCGAGATACTCGCCAGCATCCTTTCGTACCTCGCCCCGGATGACCTAGGCCGCATCTCGGGAACATGCCGCGTCTTGTATCTCCATAGCACAGACGATCGACTCTGGCGACGGCACGTGCAGGAAAACGTACCGGGACAAGATATTACCTCCTCTCACCCTTACACCAACTTCCGCGAGCTATACTCGGCCCACGACCCGCACTGGTTTGTTCCAAAATATAAGTTTTGGTTCTCCGACACTGGCCTCCCCGGGCGCATCATTATCACCCGCTACAACCAGCGGGAAGGCACCATCGAGGGCTATCAGCTCCTTTGCCAGAACGTAAACACCAGTTTCCACACATGGCATGCGCCAGGGCCGAGCATCGTATCTGGCTTCAGCCCCTCACTCCATCTTCACCACCAGCTCCCGGCCTTCCGCCTGTCAGGACGCCCCCATTCTACCGATCCCGCAAATGCCTATGAATCCGGCTCTAGCAGCAGTAGCAGCGGGTCGGCCTGCCAAGATGAAGATACTCGGGGGAGGACTGGCTTCCGATCCGAGGTTCTCATGGAACCGTCTCCCACGAGCAGCGTTAAGAATAGCTTCAGCTATGCGCGCTGCCTTTCACCTGACGATCTCGCGGCCCGCGCGAGCCCCCGCTTTCCCCATAACCATGTCTGGCCGTCGCCGTTGATCGCCAGTGACCACCGCGTACTAGGCGCCGGCCTGGCACAGCCCATGACCCTGCGGCTCAAAGACCGCGCTCGTTCGCGGCGCGAGGTTTACGATAAGGCATTTCGCATCCACAAGTGGCTCATGGTGCAGCAGTTTGAGCAGCCCATAGGTATGTTCCTTTGGCTCTTGTTCCCGATACACCCACTACACCCATGCCATCCCCCCCGCCAAGTCGATGCCAACTCTCTCTTTATACCCTCCCCAAACCAGTTCGGGTTTGCTAACCCAACCCGCCCCCCAGTCGAGGCCGGCACATTCGGAGCCCATTTCCGCAGCGAACAGGCCGGGGCCACACCCCGCTACTTCGGGCTCCCCACCATCGCCAAGCTCGGCGAGGAGGTCGCGACCTACTCGACCCTCGACCCGGCCCAGTACACGCCCACGGCCACCAAGCCCTTCCGCGGCATCTTCGTCGGCGACTACGGCGGGCACGGCTGCGAGTTCGTGTGGATCAACCAGCCGGACGACGACCCGGCGGCCGAGGACGCCTTCGACCCGGCGAGCGTCGCGCGCCGCGACGGCGAGTCCGACGACGACTACGCCGCCCGCCAGCGCGACGCCCAAGTCTACCGCGGACGGCTAGAGGCTGTCAAGCTGACCGGCGACGTCAATGTGCCGCGCGGCGAGCACACCTTTGTGGTTGACGACCTCGGTGAGGCCGGGTTTGTGCGCGAGGAGACCAAGGACCCGTTCACGGGTGCGAGGGTGGTGAAGAGCAGGGCGCATATCGCGAATACGGGGTTTCAGAATGGTGAGTTTGGAGATGTGGTCTTCTCCCCTTCCTCACCCGTGCTTGACTGACGATGATGTAGACACGTACGCGGACGGCGAGCTGTTCTTGGTGACGCCTAACCTTTTGGCGCATAACTGGTTGTCGTTGGGGCATATTAGCTACTTGATGCGGGTGGATATTGACAAGTTCATCGTTCCCGGTGATCACGACGCTGGCACGTCGGTATGATCGGCCGTGGGAATGTGGACGATAATGGGGTGCTCGTGGGCTTGTGGCAACGTGGGTTCAACAGGTTACGTGGGCAAGTGGCGCATTTGGCTTAGGGGCCAGTATCTGGCTTCAAGGTTGGATATCTTGTTTTGGTTTGGGGCATAGCGTCATCGGCACGGGTGTGCTTGTTTCTCTGGCGTGTACATGGTGGCATGAGCCACTTGGTAATAATGGGCCCGACTTTAACACTGGGAATCTAAGTAAACACCTGATCAATCGTATTACATTAAACAGATACCTCACTCAGAAATGTCTCCCAAGCTGATACGCCACGCTCGAACCAACAACCTCAGCCTGTCCCGACGCCCGCCGCTCATGCACGAGAAGTAAACAAAACACATCACTCGCCACACAACCAAACACCCGAACCTAACTCCACCACCCCAGCAACACCAATCCCCACCCACCCTTTTTACCCCCTAACCCAAATCCCAACTAAGCACTCCCCCCATTCCCACCCCCACCCCCATTCCCACCCCCACCCCCATTCCCCCCAACAACCCCCTGCCTCCTCATCCCCTCCCTAACCTCCTCCGCCTCCTTGCGGAACCCACACCCAAACGTCTCCCCCGTCGACCACGTCAACCCACCCTTGCCATCCTTGCTACCATTCCCACCGGTACAGCGCGGGCAGATCTTGACGCGGTGCCACGCCGTAGCCAGGTTCCCACGCACGTTGTAGATGCCGCGGTGGCTCTCCGGTTGCGTGTTGTACGCGTCGTCGGTCGCCTTGACCACCAGCGTCGTGCACTGCTTGGGCGCCTTGCGGTCGTGGCATCCGCTGCCACTGCTGTTTTCTGCAGTGGTGGTTGTGTCGGTGGCGGTGGTGGGGAGGGTGAGGATGGGGAGCGCGCCGACGTAGCGCCAGCGCGTCCAGGCCCAGGCCTTGTTGCCCGGGTAGGGGGCCTCGGCGCGGTCGTTGACCAGCTCGGCTTGGTCCCAGGTCTTGCCGCCGTCGAGGGAGACGTCGACACGCGTGATGGCGCGCCCGCCGCCGGAGTAGGCGTACCCCTGCACCGCGACGGGCTCGTCGGCTGGGGTGGTTGGGGGGCAGGGGTTTGCGGGGAGGCTGTTGTTGGTGGTGGTGGAAGTGGGTTCGGGGGTGAAGCCTACTTTTTGGGAGACGGCGGCCATGTCGAGGATGCGGCTGCTGTTGGGTTGGTTGGGGGTGCCCGAGTTGTTGTTAGGGCCCATCCAGGGCACGCGGCCCCGGCGTACGCAGTCGCCGACCCACACGCCAGTGATGGCGCTGGTGACGGGCATTTCTTGGATGGAGACGGCGCGGTCCCAGTCGGGGTTGGCGCCTTCGTTGGGACCGAAGGACTTGTAGTCGCGGCGCTGCCATTGGCTCGTGCTCTCTTCGTCTGAGACGACGATCTTGCTCAGCCACTTTACCGAACGCGCCGCGACATGCCCCGGAACGACGGCGCGCAGCGGGAAGCCGTGGTCTCGGGGGAGGGACTCGCCGTTCATGCCGAACGCTAGGAGCACGTCGCCGCGCGGGTCCACCGCCTTAGCTAGCGGGATGGAGGCACCGTAGGCTTCAAGACCGGTGAACTGGACGTGGAGTGCGTTGGCGTCGACCTTGTCGTCAGTGGTGGGATGTTGGCCGCTCTTCCGCGTCGGCGATGTGGCATCACGGACGTTAAGCCCGGCATCCGCCAGAATATCAGAGAGCCGCACCCCCTCCCACTCGGCGTTGCTGATGGCTCCTACACCCCACTGCAGGCCGTTGGTCTTGCCAGCATGTCGCGTCATGTCATTCCGTCTGTTTCCGCTGCATTGTAACACAGCCGTGACCTTGTGCGTCGGGAACTTCGTCTTCAAATCCTCCAAGGTGTACGTTTTTATCTCGCCGTCCGGGAGCTCGATGCTCAGGAGATGCTCGCCTGCTTTCGCCTCCTCCACTACCGGCACCCACATGTGGTGCCGAACGTAGAACAGGTCATTCGGTGTGTGGAATGTGCGGTCGAGCTCCTCGTTTGGCGGCTCGGCGTTGCGCGGCTTGGCTGTGTGGGTGATGAGGCGAGGGTCGCGTACCGGATCGTCCACGAAGGGGTCTTCAATTGTCTCAGCTGCCGGTAACCCGTTGGGCCCAAGGTCGGCGACGTCGATGAAGCCAATCAGGTACTGTTGTAGGATCTCGCGCACATGTGGCGCCTTGTGGATGGTGAAGATGTTCCAATACGGCTCAATGCTTGCGCCGGCCGCTCGGAGGATCACGTCGCCACCAGGATGCGCAGCGATCCAGTCTGTAATATCGTAGACCTTGTCCTCGAATATTACCCACGGTTCCGAAGAGGAGGCGTCGTGTTTTCGAACGTCGGCGAGGCGGAAGCGGGGAAGGGAGGGATCGCGGTCGTCGGTCGAGGTAGAGCCCGCACTCATAAGCTCTGGCCTGTCCTCGGCGAGTTGTGAATAAGCCAAAAGGGAGGCGGCGACACCGCCACCAACTAACAAGCTCAATGGCGCAGCCCGGGCTTGAAAAGGCGGCGTGCGCCCTGTTGGTAGTTGAGGGTGTGGTACCCGCGATGGATCGCCTGATGCTCGACGTGGGGTTGTGTGTATGTGTCGCGGTCGGAGCCTGTAGGGGCGGCATATCGCTAGCTCGGGAGCATCGCGTCGGCCGAACTGTCGGAGAATGCCGGTCGCGAAGTGTTTTGAAGTTCGCGCAGCCATTGTGAGCTTTGGTTGGGCGCCCGAGAGGGAAGGCGAGGATCAGGTTCTTGCGCGCTGTTGCTGTCGATGCCAGCGCTGTCTGCGCAGCGCCCAGTTCGTCGTGTTCTCGCAGATATCCAAAGCGGACGGCACAACCGGAGGCGTAAGAGGTTGCCAGTGTTGCACAGTAACACAGTGAGACAAGAGCTGAGTGGCGCTGTCGGTATCGGATCTGTGGGCTCAGGATTTAGTGTTGGTTGGGAAACAATGACGGGGGCTTTGTCGGAATCTAATCCCCAACGTCTAACAATATCAGCAAACCCTCACCGCCTAGGGAAGGTACCAAACATGAGAAGGGAGTCATGTCTTCAACGAGCGGCAGCCACGAGGACCAGCCAGGAAGGAGCTTGGTGATTTGCGCAAGGGTTGTTGGCAGGTGCGTCGACCGATGATTGCCGTTACGGCAATCGGGGTGGATCTCTTTTACGTCAGGGTCTGGGCATGCTGCAGGCCGGAAAGGTTCCCATACGCTGGGGCTGAACACCATTGGCCAGCTGACCTCGCCTGAAAAATGCCCGTGGTTGCCCGTGACTGGCCGTGACTGAACCCCTGCAAGCCAGCTGTGGCCGAGACTCTGAGCAACCGATTCCCGCCGAGAACCGGAAACAATGATCCATTTTTGGGTTCGTTTCGATGTTTTCAACGGCTTCACGGCGGCACCGAAACTTTAAATCGACTCATTTTTGACGCAAGCACGCGATTTTAGGGATACAACAGTCACGATGACGGCATCCGAAAATAAAATCACGAACAAACGCAGAAAAAAACTCAAATCAATTGACTCAACAACGAAACTCGCGGAGAAATGAAACAAACCTCAAAAACCGCCATCGTTTTTATCCCAAACAACATCATCGACCCCGACCGCCGGACTCCACCCATCCCGACCGACCCGGCCCCGATGCCGGTCTCCACCACGGACTCCACGGCCGACTTGACCTCCTCCCATCCCAATGGATCTTCCGACCACACCCGTGGCCCTTAACCTCGCATTGCCAGCCTCGATAACAACAACGCCATGCCCTGAATCAATCCCAAATCACCCCACCCCCATCCAACCCTTCACCTCGGGTCGTCACTAATACCCCCACCGCGTCCCAACCCCCGCCAAATGGATAGCCGGCCCCAACCGTCGCGCCCCGGCCCCGCGCACCGGCGACGCCCCGCGCTCGAGCGGCTCGGCGTAGGACACTGTGCGCGCGACCTTGGCTGAGACGCTCTTTTCCGTGACCTGCTGCTCCTGCACCTCCTCGGCCTCCTGGTACTGCTGCTGCTGCTGCTGCTGTTCTGCGTCAGTGGAGGAGGGGGAGGTGTCGACGGCGGCGGCAGCTTCGGCTTCGCGCTTGGCTTGGTTGCGTGTTCGCATGGTGGTGGTGGACGATGGTGTGAGGGAGGTTTTGCGGGGTTTCGGGGGTGTGACTGGTGGTGCCTTTTTGGGGGCTGCGGCGGGTTTGGGGGTTGGGCGGGCTGTTGTGGTTTTGGGTTCGGGTGTTGCTGCTGTGGTCTTGGGCGGGGTTGTTTTGGCCTTTGGTGCTGGTTTGGCTTTGGCCGGGACCTTCGCTGGGGTCTTTTTGGGGGCCTTCGGGGAGGGCTTCGCTTTCGCCCCCGTTTTCCCGGCTGCCTTGGCTGGGGTTGCCGGCGCCGGCGCCGATGGCGGAGGCGGCGGGAGTGAGTGGGAGGTGCTCGGCGGCGCAGAGAGGGGCGAACTGCCCTCTGCCGAGGCCTCGCCAGCAGTGCTCGGTTGGGGGACGGTGATTTTCATTCTACCATGGTCAGCAATGCTGCGATAAGGGGCGAAGGGAACTAACCTCTTCGTGGGCCGCTTTTGGGCTTTAGATGCCACCTCTGCCGCTTTCTCGTTTCTACGGCGCTTGGTAGCTTGCTCCCCGGCTCGGCCGCTTGTTGCCGCAACACGACCACGACCGGGTGGGAAATAAGCCCGTCGCGCCATATCGATGGGACCTTCGGCATGAAGGAACGGTAGGTTGCCACATCCGCCAATGTGCTCCATACGAGCCTCGAGATCGTCGTCAAGCTGGATGCCGCACCAAGGGCAATACTGAGCATCGTCACGCCCGTGGCCCTTGCAGAAGGCGAGGTGCTTCGACCGGTAGATCTCGGAGAATGGACCTAAGGGGAGCGCGCACTCCTCACAGAAACGCTTCTCGGCGTCAGCATCCTCGCTGTCGTCATGGTCATGCACGCTCGCATCAGTAATACGATCCCCACAAGTGCCGCACGCCACCCAGTCCGACTCCTTTTCCTGCACGCCGGGGTAGCAGACATTGTCATGATGCTGCCGATCTGCGCCCACGTTGAGCATTATGTGGTGGCGCCCACACCGAGAGCAATAGATCCAGGACCCCTCGCGAGTGCGGTCCGTCCGGCCCTCGTCGGGAATTCGGACGCTGTCGTCCTCTCTTTCATGCACATAGGATCCGAGAACGTCCGAGTGCCTTTCCACCATGTGGTGATATCGCCACTCCGGCGTCCAGTGTGCAAAGAGTTGCTCGTCGCAGAAGTTGCACTTCTCTGCCAGGTGCTTTTCTTGCAGGTGCTTCTCCATCTTCTCCGCTTTATTCGCAGGATACACGGCATCGCAGTTCGGATATGGGCACCGCTGGATGCGGGACAAGGCTAGGTTTCGCATGTTGTGGTAATCCCGCTGCAGCCGACGGACCTCCGTAGGGGTCAGGACGGACAGGGAGACAACCGGCACACTGTCGTGTTTCAGGTCAAGCAACCTGTCCACCGGCGGCGCGTTGATGGGCACCGACATGTGCATCCGCACATCCAGCGGGTGGGCGTAGCTACGCTCCCGCAGGCGCTGACCCTTCTCGACGTCCGTCACAGGTCGAAACCCAAAACTGTTCATGGAGTCGTGGGGCGTCCGCACGTGTGCATCATCCGAGCGCAACGTATTTGGCTTCGGTTCTCGGGAACCTTCAACTGCCACAGGCAGCTTGGTACCCGGCGGCGGTCGTAAAGGAAAGCGCGTAAGCGCGTAAAGTGTGGAAAGGGGTATCGGCTGCTCCTCCCACGGCTGGACTGTGCCCAACTCATTTGAGACATGCTTTTCATTCAGCTGCCAGTCGTAATGGCGCTTAGAAACCGGGATTTTGCCCTGGTGGAGCTGGTGGTACAGCAGCGCGTCCGGCGTCTCGTAGATGTCGTTGAACCCGAAAGGCTGCTTGCTCTTCAGGTCTCCGAACCCTGGTCGTCGAGGTTAGCAGGTGCATCCGCCATCACGATCGATTCAGCTTACGAGGCAGGCTCTTTTTGTCGAGCAGACAGATGTACAGAATGTGGTCGACTATCATTTTGCGAATCGACCGCCACTCAACTTCTGTGGTCTTGGGGCCGACAAGGAGCCTTGGTTTGCTCTCGCTCGGATCACAGGCCTCGATGGGTCCCCCCAGAGGGTAGTGCATGATGGCAATCCATGACTTATCAGGTGAGTACAACTCCTTTTGTCCAGCCTTTGAGAACACCCGGCCGGCAAGACGCCGGAACTGGTCCACGGTTGTGGTTCTCGGGTCCCAGGGCAAAGGTTCAGCGACTTGTTCCTCGTCGAGGATGAGGTAATCCTTAAACACAGGTCGAAGTGACAGGAACTGGGGAAATAAGCCCAGCCCGTCTGTCACCGGAGCGACCCCTTGCTTTTCCTTCAGCCGATCCATCCATTTAACCATGAGGTCCACGACGGGCTGGAATGCCAAATCCATGGTTTTACCAGTCATCGGTATGGTAACGTCGGGAGCGTTTGCTGAATCGAGAAAGAACCCAGTACCCGGCAAATACACTTGGAGGTACTGCATGGCGGCAATGCTCGCTGCTGACATGAAGCGGGTCACCAGGGCCATGATCCTGTGTCGCACCACCACGACGTCGCCCACTTCGTTGTGTGGGATATACTGCTTCTCGTAAGGGGAGATATACTGCGTCTGGTAAGGGGAGCTGGTGCCAGGGAGGAAGAAGTGCCAACAATTGCTGCTCCCGTCGTCCCTCTCGGGGCCCGTTACGGCTTCAAGATTGACCTGGGCGGCCTGGTCGTTCTCCCATTTCTCGACAATTGCTTCCCAGAGCTGTGGCGGAAAGACTAAGCCGCCATATGCACCGATCTCGCTGTTCCTAAGGCCACGGCCTAGGGTGAACCAGGCATCTGGGACAGCAGGATAACCGGGGCGGCCGGGGATTCGGCCGGCGGCGAGTACCCGACACACATTGGCCATCCACGGTCCATACTGGTTCGTGTAAATGGCGTCGGCAGGATTCTCGGGCATTCGAAGGTAAGCAACGTCGGGCCGGTTGAAGCTACGTGCGTATGGCCAAGAGAGTGCAACTTTTTGAACACGGTGAGAAGCGTTGGGCTCCCAGGCCCAGGGGATTGGGTCGGCCGGCCCAGCGACGAAAATAGCCTTCTGGGATGCCTCCTGCTCCTCTTCGGTCACCCCGATCCGGTCGAGGAGCCAGTGCAGGGCAAACAGGTCGTCGCTGTAGTCACCAACACCGCTGGCCCAGACAGTCACGCCGTTTCCTTCAAGGTCGCCGAGGAACTCGTCCCGCTCGGCCTGCGTCGCGTACTTTTTGCGCTTGTCCATAAGGTACAGGCTGTAACTCACCCCCGCCCGGTTGTCGAGACACAGTAGCCTGTCGACGGCGTCGACGAATGTGTAAAGCATGTCCGTGCGGAACCAGACCACGCCTTGGTAACCGTACAGCGGAAGCCAGCTCTCCTCGCTGCCGAGGGAGGGACCCCCGAGGGTGGTAACAAGGGAGGTGGCGCGGACTCGGTGGTCCTCTGGCTTCTCAGGGTGGGGAGGTCCCGGAGCGGCCTTTCCGCGGCGGGCGCGACGGACGGCACCGCCGCGGAGCTCGAGCTCACCAGACTCACTGACCGAAGTGTCATCAGGCGTGTCCCCCTGGGGCGATGAGGAGTGTGAGTCGTCCTCGACCACTCTGCCGCCTCGCAGGCCGACAGACGGCACGAACCCCGAAGTCTTCGCATGCCCATGCCGCCTCTCCTTGACATAATAAGCCTCCATCTTCGGGTCCGGCACTACCACAACACCGACGTTAGCATCACGCTCCCCAGCACCAAGCAACACCCACAACAACAAAACTCACCTCTAACCCCCACATCCCTCCCATAAACCCTCTCCGTATACCCATTCAAAAACCTCAACGCTTCCCCATCCTCCCCCTCCCCCTCACTCCCACTCCCACTCCCACTCCCACTCCCCTCCCCATCCTCCCCAGCCTCCACAGCCCCCAACCCACCCATCGGCGCAACCGGCAACCCAAACCACACCAACGCCATCTTAAACCCCAGATCCGCCTTCCCCGCCCACCCCTCAAAACGCTTTGTCTTGAGCAGCTCGGCATACCGCCAGCGGTTCCGCTCCTGGATCGCCGCCAGCGCGCTGCTGCCGCCTCTGCCGCCACTCCTACCACTGCCGCTGCCGTTGCGGGAGCCATGTCGATTTGTGTTTGTGTTTGTGTTTGTGTTTGGAGGGGGGCAGGGCCGTAGTAGTTCCTGCTCGTGGGTGGTGAAGTGGGTGGTGAGGATGGAGTCGATTGTTTCGGAGGGGTCGTGCAGGAGGCGGTTGAAGGCGTGGTGCACTGTGGTGAAGGCGGGGGTGGAGGGGTTGATGGCGGGGTTGTAGCGGGTTGAGGGGGGTGCTGTGTGGAGGGGGCTGTTTGGGGTTGGGGGTTTGGTGGTGGTGGTGGCGGTGGTGTTGGTGTTGTTGCCTGGGTTGGAGAAACGGACGGTGGTGTTGGTGGTGCTAGTGCGGCGGCGTTTTGGGGTCGGGGTTGGGGAGTCGCTGGGCCGCTTTTTGGCGCTGGGGAGGATGTTGGCGAGGTTCCAGAAGGCCATTGCGGCGGTGGTTTTGTCAGGGTTGTAGGGTTGGTAGTCGTGATAGCGGGCTTGGTGTCGTTCACGGTGTGCTGTTGACGACCCCTGAACTGGACATGAACCTTGAAGCTAGTTCTGCGCGCGCAGGAGGTTGGACGAAGGAAAGAGAAGGGCCGAGCGAGCTCCCCGATTGAAGCTCTGCCATAAACATATCCGGAGTGAGTGACAAAGACCCTGGTTGGCTTTGATCTGAGCAACGCATTCCAGCCGAGCTACGCCGCCATCACCGTCCCAGCTCACCATTGTCCTTTGTTGGGAGCTCTCAGGTTTCCCGGAAGGCTCAATTGCGGAATGAAACAAAGGCAGGGCCTCTATATGCAAACGGACAAGTGCCCCGAGCGCCGCTGTTCAAGGCGATTGCGCATGTGGCAAACGACCTGCGCTGGGTTGATGGCTTCCACGATGCCGGAATAGGCAACTGTACCATTCGGTGTTTGGGGCTGACCGCAAACTTTGCCAGACTTTGGTGTCACCAACGAGGCTGCTGACACTCTTAAATGGTGTGGTTACTTCAATAGGTTCAAACTTGACCTTTCCTGGCAAGATAACCCTCAATGAAAGGCTCTTTTTGGCTCGGTTCCTGCCCGCCCCTTATGGGATGGCCTTGTTGCCACCAATACATGGGTACAGAACAACCCCTGATTATCCGCTTAGACGTATGTTAACCTAGGCTCTGGGTCAGGACGTAGGAGCTGGAAATACCGCCTAGAATGGTGATTCCTGAACCAACCACTGTGCTCGTCACAACCCCAGAGCTGTCATCCTGCAAAAAACATCGCGAACGAAGATACTCACCGCTGCGACAACCCCCACCGTCTTACCCTCTCCCCTTCAAAGCACCCTTCAATCCCCCCTCTAAACCTCCCCACTTCTCCTCTCCCTCTCCGCCTCCCGCACAAGCTCCTCCAACCGATCCTGCACATCCACAAAGATCCCCAGCGCCTCCACCAACTTCCTCTCGCACTCCCCTCCCTCAGCCCGGCTAAACGCCGTCCGCCAGCCCGCCTCATCCCCCACCAACCCCTCCAGCCTCTCCCTCTCCCCCCTTACCACCGCCTTCTTCTCCTTATTTTCCCCTTCCTCCTCCGCAGTACGCCTCACAACCTCCCCAACCCCACTCATCCCCGCCCACCCCTCCACGGGCGTGGCGGCTAGCTCGGCCAGCAGCGGAGGGGAGACGGTGATGTGGGCGATGCCGGCTAGTTGGGTGACCTGCTCGATGGAGGTGAGGGAGGCGGCGAGCACTTGGGTTCGGTTGGCGGGGGCGGAGCTGGGGTTGGGTTTCGGAGGGAGGGTGTTGAGGTAGGCTTGGGCAGCGCCGGTGAAGGGGAGGGCTGGGGAGGGGTCGGTGTAGCTATTGGGGTGTTAGTTGTGGGGGTTTTGGGGGTGTTGAGGGGGGTGGGTGGTAGTGGTTTTCAGGGCGTGTAGGTTGAAAGGCCAAAATATCTTACCCGGAGTCAAAGTGCACGCGCAGCTCGTTGACGTAGGGGGCGATGTAGCGGCATCCGGCGGCTGCGGCGAGGGCGGTCTGCTCGAGGCTGAAGACGATGGTGGCGAGGGTGGTTATACCCCTCTTTTCGAGCTCGCGACAGGCTTGAAGGCCTTCCCAGGTAGATGGGATCTTGATGCAGATGCGGCGGGTGTGGACGCTGCTGAGCTGGTTGACGTGCGAGATGAGCCCTAAAAAATATGAGCAGGTACCCGGAAGAAGATACGGTCTACACCATGACTTACTCTCGGCATTCTTGATGGTTTTTTGGGTATCATAAGCTAGTTTCGGGTTGGTTTGCACGTGGAGGTAGCCGGTGGTGTGAGGGGCCATTTCGAGGGAGAGGCCGACCATCTGCAGCCAGGTTGGTGTTTTGTTCGACGGTTGGAGCGGGACGGAGGTACCTACCATCAGCTCGACTGCCAGCTCCTCAAATGTTGCGTCTGCCTGCTTTTCAAATAGCCAGTGAGTAACATGCAGCGACCTCGTAATAAACTGGTTGTGAAGCGGTTTCCCATGGTCGTCGACCCTTGTTAACTCGGCAAATGCAATGGCCTACAGCGCGCATAGCCAGTCAGTTTAAATCCGTGTCCCTGCTAACCTCAACATGCAAACAGAAAATGGAAACAACCACCGACCTGGTTTGACGTGCAGTCGACAAATGGGCCAAGGCTCGCAGCCACTAGGGGACGGGAGTTAGCTGCTGTGTCACACAAACTGGACCCCTCGTGGCAGCTTACCGTCGGCATCAAGCGTGTCACAGTCCACGGCACTCAGGGTCCGCAAATGGTCGAGTAGGGTAGCGGTCATCTTGCAGTTGTGTGGGCGGTACGGTGCTGAATCTGGTTGAAGGTATGAGGAAGTGCGGGAGCCGCGGGGGTATTGTCATCTACTCTGAGCCCATCAAGAAATAGCCTCAGAGCCTTGCTTCACCACCGTTAAGAAACAACACATCACTACTCCACATCCTAGGGCACAAACACCGAATGAGCCGGGGCTCGCCGGACCTATCCGGGAATAGCGGACCGGGTGGAGTACCTCGGGCCGTAGACCGGGCCCGTGAACCGGGGAATATTCCATCTTCCGGACCGGGAAGGCAGCAGCGCCCTTTCACAACAACGAAGACGGGACCAAACGCTATCGTTGTGGGGGAGGTTGAAGTCGGGCCTAGTGGCCTTTCTTTTAGTCAACATTGCCGGCTCGACTCACGTGAACTCGCGGCAGGCCCGCGTGTTGACCTCCAGGCTCCGGGTTGTTCCCACAAACATCTGCCCCTCTTTCCCAATTGGGCTTCTGCATCTCGAATTTACCCCACGACTCGGTGCTCTGTTGCGGAATGGACATTTACGACAAACATCAAGATGGTGATGATCAAGGTGACGGCCGCCAGAGTTACTCGAGCACGCCCACCCCACAATGCCCACCGCTGCTGCCACCACTGTTGTCAATTAATCGACTCCTCGCGCTCCATTCCCGCGAACGATTGCTAGTTCATCCGCTGCGCTGGACTGACCGGCAGCCGGCCCTCCTTGGCTGCCGCATCCATTCCCACCACGACGAAGTCACCAACGCTACCGCCAAAGAAAACACTCGGGTCGCATCGTCCAAATCAAATCCCTTCACCGACCGTCTCGCCAAACGACTGAAGTGCGAAATGGGCCCGGGAAATTTGGTTGGCACCACCGCACAACTCCTCGCGCCGCTTGACGCTCGCCTGTGCGTTAAGCTAAAGTATGTCCGCCCGAGTCAACCTTGATTTACAAATCTGTGGTGTGCTTACCTCTCTTGGATGACTTAGCCGGACTGTCAATTTTTACTTCGATCGACGCCCAAGTACCTGTATTCGGGTCTGCTGTGTGTCAATTCCAATGCCGCAGCCCGACATTCTCACCTTGACATGCCTCGACTTCAACGAAACCATGTTGGAGAGAGAGTTCTACTTTAGCCCGTCGGAGAACCCTCGCCACATGGATTGGGCGGGATTACGCCGTGCTGACACCCTGATAAAACTCCATACCCCCAAGGATCCTCAAAAAGATCCGTTTGTGGTTGCCCTCGTTATCGCCGTCGCGCAAGGGGAGCGCCGGCATGCACCACAACCACTGCCTCCCGACTCCAGCTTCACACTGGGCCTCCTTCTTGACTTTTTCGAGTTATAACCACTAACCAACATCGGGGTTGTCTTCTAGGTTCGCATTCTCCTCACCGGAAAGGGACGGCCAAAGCCAATAAACCTCTACGTAGCCCAGGTGCAAGCTTCCTTTCTTGATAAGCTGGATTACCCCGGTAAGGATCCCGCGGTTAGCTCGAGCCTCGGCATAGACCACTGGCACATTCCAGCCGAGCCTTTCGAGACCTTGCCACAGCGTGTCTGCCAAGTCCTGAGGCCAGATGGCTATGGAAAGATACACGGTGGGAAGATTGGCGGGTCCTCGAGTCAGACCGTAAAGAAGCGGAAAATTGACATTGTTTCGAATGAGCCCACATCACCTCAAAAAAGAACACGTCGGGGACCTGGACTTCATCAACCGCAAAGTCAGGACTAGGATAGCCCCGGTAGAGCGCGATACGGGGAGAACGGCTGGCAGCGCCCTCCGTTGCCGGCCGGGGCCGGGACCCACTTTGAAGACCATCCCAGCTCCCTACCTAGGTACAGGTAGGGAGGAATGAATATATCTACATTTCCCCACCCTAGGTGCGAATGCGCAGTGTCTCGTGTGTGTCTAAACTGGTTCTACAGGGACACAATGAGTGCAGGCGACCGAGTATCGGGGACGCCTTTCGGTCCCCATCGGCGGCGCCGTTTGGAGGCGGCTCCAGGTTAGGGAACACAAACGGGCTTCTTCAACTCCCCGCTCTGACGTAAGTGGATGTCAAGAAGCGTTGACACAAGAGCGAGTTCGAGATGGGCCTGAAGTGCTACCATCAAGTAAAAAGAGAAACAAGATTGTAGTGAAACTGTAGAGGGAATGGACTTTTTATTTATTGTCCTTCTTTTATTATCATATCTTTAAGGGTGTTTGAGACAAGCTGTAGAGCGACGGTCAAGGTACCAAGCGAACTGCGCGGGGTCAGCCACACTTTTCCCCGCCAGCCACAGGAGCTGCCACACATTCAAAATAATTTGGCCAAGCGCGGCCGAGCTTCCCGTCGGCGAAGAGACGAACACCGGAACGCCAATTGCCGAACGAGATGGCGATGCCGCCCGCCCGGCAACTGAAATCCCTACAATGCGGCCGCCGATTCAACATGTCAGACTTTGGCCACACGTTTTCGAGAAGGTATGCTGGCAATGCAGCCATCGCGTGCTGCGACAAGCCGACCGACCGCTGAGGGGGGGAGCGCGGTTATTCTCCAATTCGGCTCTGCCCGGGGCCCCTGCCGGTGCTGCCCCGGCCGCCCTATCGCGACACCGGTTTAAGGCCGGTTACTTCCTCTCCAACACCCTCCTCGCTCGCTCCAATGGCACATCCGTCGCCTCTCCGGCCACCGATAGGCCAACCACAGTTGCCGATACACAATCCCCCGCGACCACCACCAATGACGTCCCCGCGACGTCAGATACACCCCTCCTCCCGCATCGCCGACGGCAAGCCGCGAGACGAGATGAGCTCCGACAAACGAAATCCCCAACAAACTCCATGGCCACCTCCCTACCTCCCGACGCCTCCTCTCGCCTCGCCGACACTGCCGCGCGCGCACCGGCCGACTCCCTCCGCCGCACGCTCTCCGCCCTCCTCTCGCTCTCCAAACCCCGCCTAACCGTCCTCGTCGTCCTCTCGGCCATGGTGCCGTACGCCCTCTACCCCGTGCCCGCCTTCCTCGCCTCCACCTCAGCAGGCCTAGCCGCAGCCGACGCCATCCCGTCCCTCTCCCCGCTCACGCTGCTCTTCCTGACAACGGGCACAACCCTCTGCTCGGCAGCGGCCAACGCGCTCAACATGCTGTACGAGCCGGACACGGACGCCAAGATGACGCGGACGCGCACGCGGCCGCTGGTGCGGCGGCTGCTGAGCACGCGCTCCGCCGTGCTCTTCGCGGCCGGGTGCGGGGCGGCGGGCGTCGCCGCGCTGTACCTGGGCGTCAACCCGACGGTGGCCTTTTTGGGCGCCGCCAACATCGCCCTCTACGCGGGCGCCTACACGCCGCTCAAGCGCGTCTCCGCCGTCAACACCTGGGTCGGCGCCGTCGTCGGCGGCATCCCCCCGCTCATGGGCTGGGCCGCCGCCGCGGGCGAGAGCGCCACCGGCGACGGCACCTGGCGCGAGCTGCTGTTTGCCGGGGATGGGTCCAGCCTGGGGGGTTGGCTGTTTGCCGGGTTGTTGTTTGCCTGGCAGTTCCCGCACTTCATGCCGCTGTCGTGGGGCATCCGCGAGGAGTACAAGGCGGCCGGCCTGCGCATGCTGTGCTGGGTCAACCCGGCCCGCAACGCGCGCGTCGCCCTGCGCTACAGCCTGGTCTTTGTCCCGCTCTGCCTGGGGCTGTGCGCCGCCGGCGTCACCGAGTGGAGTTTCGCGGTGACCAGCCTGCCGGTGAATTTGTGGCTGGTCCGCGAGGCCGTCAAGTTCTGGCGCTACGAGGGCCACAAGGGGAGTGCGCGCAGCCTGTTCTGGGCCAGCGTCTGGCATCTGCCTGTCATCATGGTGCTGGCCCTCGCGCAGAAAAAGGGCATGTGGGCCCGCGTGTGGAGCAGTGTCACCGGCGCGCCGGAGGACGAGGACGACGAGTTTGACGACGACGATGCCGAGTGGGTCGAGGTTGTTGGGGCCGGGTCCGGGTCTGGTGTCGGAATTGTGGGTCCCGCCGCTGGCAATACTACCAGTACTCGGAGGTAATCCGGGGTTTTGTTGGTCTGTAACAACGAATGTACCTTTACTGCGCAGCTCGGTTTCCCCTTTTGGGGCATCCATGGATCTCGGTGGTTCCCCTTTTCCGGGATTCAGATGACGCTGCCTAGCTGCGAGTCATTGCGCTGCGCGTCAGCACTGTATCTGACTCGGTTCCAATTCCACTCGATTGCTTGCTCTGTTTGGATGTTGGTCAGAAACGGCAACCTGTCACGAGCGGAGCATCTGCCTCCAACAAGCCTTTACACACTTTCAGGTTACACAAGATCGCGATCCAGCGTTGCAGCCGATGATCCCTCAGATCCCGCGCCTTGGCACTGCGACTCCTGCCCCGGTTCTTCCTCTCCACCAACGGTTCGAGAGCGATCGAGTTCCCCGCAGTCCGATGTTTTAGAGATCCGGGAGCCTGGAAAATGGATAAACATTCCAAAGCCGGTAATGAAGCCCGTTACGGAACGCCTCCATTGTGCCTCGCCCATAGCCCTCGGCAAAATGCCCGAACCACTTCCTTCACCTCCCCCATCCCCACGACCCACGTGGAACCGGTGAGACCAACCCTTTGGCCCCCAAAAGAACCGTCCCGGACCCGCTGGTGGTGGGATCGAGAACCATCCTCGGGGCACACCAACCCACACGGCCGGAGCACGAGCTCCATCCCCAATCTGTACCAAGACACCCGTGCCGCTGCAAAAGGTCAAGCAACACCGGAAGCTCAAACAGCGCAGAAGAGCCCCGCGCCGCACGCCGCCGTGGAACTCAGTCCCCGAGACCCGCTAACCTCCTACCAACAGCCGAGCGAGCTGTGCCTGCGCCTCACCTTTCAGCCCTACACCCCCCTACACCCCTCCCCTCAATACGATGTGAATGCTGACTGGTTGAGAAACACTGAGGCGGTCAGACAGATAAGCGAAAGAAGCAATGGAGATGAGAGAAATAACCAGTCCATTAATTGACCCATTTTGAACCTCCCATCCATCCAACTATGGATGGCGATGCACCCATGTATGCATGAGATTAGATACCAAACTGTGAGAACGGCCAAAAAACAGCGCAAGACAAATAGGAAACACAGACAGAGGAGACGAAAACGGCAATATAAGAATCATGGCCTAATATTCTGCGGCACGAACACGGCCGGTGCTGTTTCGACCCGGCCCTCTCACCCGATGCCCCACCACGACCCAACAACCCAACCGTAAACCCCCAAACCAACGCCCGTTTGTTGTGCGAGCACGATCATGAGTCAGTGTAGTGAGAGTGAGAGAGAGTGCGAAACAAGTGAGAGAGACCAAGGAAACCAACACATCGCCCAACTCCCGCGGGATGATGATGCCCCGTCACACACCCCCCAACGCCGTGCCGTGCCGTGACCGCCCATGACCGCCCACAACGCCAGTTTTGCCCCTCCCCCTTGCTTCGGTCGTATTGGTGGCCAGTTGGCACACTGCCCGGCCCCTCGACCCAATGATCCTCGTAACGTGACATGAGAAAAGAAAACAGATGATGCGCCATTGAACCCGACCCAAAACCCATGTTCCCGAAACCCCTTAGACCCAGACAAAAGAAACGGTTTGGTGTGTGCGTGTGTGTGTGTGTGTGATTAAAGAGTGTAGATGGAGGAGGAGGAAGGAGGGAAAGAATGCCATGCGATGCCATGCCATGCAAACCAGAGAGTTGAAACAAAAGGAAAAAAAAGAGAAAAGAGAAGAATAAAAGGAGGATAGAGCAAAGAGGTTATTAGCTGCCCTGCCCCCGATTAATAATGGCATCGATGCCCATATCCCCAACACTGGGCAGCCGCCCGCCATGCCCCATGTAGGGGCTGGTGCCCTGGCTGCCCGACCCGGACGCGCCGCCGCCGACCTGCTGCGGCGGGGCGCCGTACCCGCCCGCCGTGCCCGTGCTGGACACGCTGTTGCTGTACCCGTGCCCGTGGTGCGCCTGCTGGTGGTGGTGGTGCTGCTGCTGCTGCCCGTACCCGGCGTAGCTCTGGTAGCTGGCGGCGGCCGCCGCGGCGGCTTGCGGGTGGTGCTGGTGCTGGTGCGGGTGCATGGTGGCGAAGCCGCCCGACCCGCCCGACCCGGAGCTGCCGCCGGGGGTGGAGTGCGCGCCCGTGGTGGAGCCGCCCGTCTCTGGGGAGCTGTAGGACTGGTCGGCGACGTCGACGTCGTCCACGGGTGTCAGGCAGCCGAGGCCGCCGTCGTCGTCGTAGGCGGTGAGGGGTTGCCCGGATTCGAGGCGCTCGCGGCGCGCGTAGGCGCGGGCGTGGGACTGGATGTTTTTGAGGCCGTTGGACATGCACTGTCGAGGGGTTGTGAGCACGAATGTGGGGGGCAGAGAAGGGGGGTTGGTGGGGGGAGGGGGATGGTTGGTAACACACCTGCATCTCAACGACGTTCCACTTCTCACCGCACCGCGAGGCAAGCGGTTGCCAGATCTCCTTGCGCATGCTCATGTATTCCTTGCACAGACGCTCCAGCTTCCGGTTGTCAAAGTCGTTTTGTCCGCGGCGTTCCATCAACCGCTCGTGCCTCTTCCGGCACGCGTTGCCGGTCTTGCCCTGGAAGGCTTCCCTTTGGATCTGGTTCCAGTTCTTGCCCATCGCCCGCAGCGCCAACAATGTCCGGTCGTCCTCCTGGTTCCACGCCCCGGATGATGCCCGGTGTTGTGTCGGCAAAGGCCCGCCCACAGGCCCACCCATCGCGGGGCCGGGCTGCGGCATCTGGAGTGGGGGAACAGCGCTGACCGCATACGGGTCGTATCCCGGCATGGGCATGCCGCCGGCGCCGGCTGTGGAGAGATCGCCATAGAACCCGGGCATCTGCCGGGTGTTGTAATAAGACATGGCGGGGGCGGTCGAAGCGAGAGAAACGGGAATGTGTTGTTGGTATTGTTGATGGCTCGGCGTCCGGGTCAGGTCGGGCATGATACGAAGGTAGCCTCTTCAGCCGGTGCCCCTCTCTGGCGAGGGTGTCGAGCCGAGAGGGAACGGGAGCGGATCGGCGGTTCGTAGTCGGTAGGCGCGGTTCTCGGCGGGGTTTCCAGTCGATTAGGTTCTACTCCGAAGCTATCTCGACGACTCGGCGTCAAGCAAGGCCCCGCTTGGAAGCTTGGGAGCAAAGATGGGGATGCAATGTTTCGTGTCAAACGAAAGGGCTGACCAGCAACAACGAGCAAGGATAAGAAACGAAGGCGATACGAGAGTAAGAAAAACCTAAGAAAGAGAATCAGGAAAGAGGAAAAAGTAGGTCGCGAGGCGGCGGGTCGAAGGGCTCGAGGACTGAAGACTGGCTGAGAGGCCGGCCGGAGAGAAGAGGAGAGGCGGTCGACTTATAATATCTCCAGGCTGCGGAGGAGACCCGGGCGGAAACAACAAGATGAGGTGAGTGGAGGGCCGTTTCTGCGGGTCTCCGATCTGCGTAGAGGGTCCGGTGAAGAGAGATGGGCAGGACCGGGGTAGGAGATCTGAAACAAGGGTAGAGCTGTAGAGAGAGCCTGGTTGATGAAACTAAGCATGTGTATCTGAACGACCTCATGGGGCGACCAGCGGCCTCTGTTAGTGGCTGACGAGTTTCATGGGCGGCTACGAAGTTGGCCCTCGCTGGGTGGAAGTTGCCGGAGGGCGGTTAAGAGTTGAAGGGCCATGGGGGTCTGGCGCCGGGACAAGGGGGGGTACCGGTAGCGATGGAGCCGGGGCGTCCAGGTTCCATGTTTGCCGGCAAAAGAAGAGATCGAGGTCTGGCGGCAACAGACATGGAGTATGGAGCGCAGTGCCGCTGAGCGGAGCGAGTGTCAGGAACAAGGGCACGCGAGCGAGACGACAAGATCCATGGGCGGGTTTGCATTCATCCTCGTAACCGTCATGCCAATACCGAAATTCCCAACGGGGTTCCAGTCTTTCGCTTAGGGAATGGTGCGGTACCGTGCCGCTACCTCGCCATGGCGCTGTGCTGCGCAGGCGAAGCAGGTACCCAGAAGCAGGTACCGCGGATCTGAGATGCATGGCCCAATGCGGGAAACCATGTTGTGGAGTACAGGAGCGGGAAGTGTCAAAAAATAGCACAGGGGGCACTCAGACAGCGGCTCGGAAGAGTGGTGCTAACCGCCAGCCAGCCTTACGCTACGCGAAAAACCCCAAGCCTCGTCTCCGCGCAACCTCATTCGCCGTTGTCTCGATGCCTGCAATGCGATGGACCGCGAGTCCGAGGATGAGTAAGGCTGCTTTTTGCTCTCTTCGATTGCCTTTGGGAGTACTAGAAGTGGAGGGATTTCCATTGTCGGCAAAGCAATGGCAGATGGGTCAATGGATCAATCGATCAAGAAACAACATAACTAAAAGAAACATGAGAAACGGAGAAACACGAGGCCGGGCGGCGGCCGTTGGCGGCCGGCGATCGAGATCTGACCCAATCTGCGACTGGCCGCCCGCCGCCTTGCAGACGAGGCCGGCTACTGCCCTCAACGAGACCCCTGAGAACCCGACAGAACGGCAACCTCTCAGGGTGAGGGTATCCACAGACGCTCTGCTGAGCTCAAACAGCCGAGATAGCGACGAGCACTGGCGCGCGACAATCACGGAGGCGAGCGTCTCGCGAGATCTGGGCGGCTGGAAATTGCGAAGGGCTGCGACGTTGCAGCTCTTGGTATCAACGTCGCAATGGGCAGAAAATAAACAGGCGCCGGAAAAACAAAGTTCGGATCCGGCGGGGAGAAGAACTGCTGCGAGTTGTCGTGAAGGCGCGCTCTGGAGCCGCGGACGGGGATGGTTTTCGGTGGACCGAGGGGCAATCAATCGCTGGCGGCAACGCGGAAGAGCGCCGCGCTCAACGAACCATTCAGCGAGCCACTCAGCTCTGCTTGTCGGCTCCACTCAAGCAAATGGTAGCGCGAAAACATCCATCGGAAGATGAGATGAAACATGGCTTGTTGGTTCTCGCAACATGAGGAAGCCGTCGGATTGGCTCCTCCTAGCAAGGGGAGAAAAAGAGCGTGAGATGTTGCAGTGGAAGAGCCGACTGCAGAGGCGCGCGTCAATTCTATCGCTCGGGAAGCACCCGCTGTGGTGGGGGCCAGTTTCCGATTGGCCTTTTTCCATTGGCCGATTGAGCCGGGGTTCCTGCACAGCTGCAATGCGGACCCCACGAACGACCAGGAAAAATGAATTCACTAACCATATTGTGTGCTACAGCGCGACAACATTGTTAGCAGATATTTTGACCACTTGTTTGCGACGGGAGCGCTTGCCCCAGTTTTGACCCTTCCTTCTCTAGGTTGACACTGGCCAGATTTGATCGAGCCGCTCCAGATCTGGCAATCCCCCACATTCTCCCGAGACAGCATCCTGCCATCGAGAAATGTGCCGCAAACCCGCGATTCGATCTCGCGAGTAGGAAAAGCTAAGCGTCCATTTTTCATCGCCAACGACACGGCGTCTCATCTCCAACTTCAATCGCCGGTAACCCCTACAAATGCGCACGACCTTGGGATGTTTAGGTGCAGTGCCCGTTCCTCCCGGCAGTCAGAGCAGGGGCGCGGTCCTTTGCAACAATGCAAGCCTCGCATTCAGCGGCACAGAGACCACGCCGAGGAGACAAGCAGGCACGGTCGCTCACTCCTGACTCGCGCAAGTTACGCTCGTTACGGTAGTTATTCCCCGCCATTCGGCATTTGTGTCATTTCATCATTTCATCTCGAACCTTGACTTTATCCACGCCTCACTCAGCCGCAACCTCACATCCGCAGCGCACCCCGGGCAGATTAGATGGCAGGCCGAAGCAACTGCGGCCCCCATGCGTTCAGTGGCCGTTTTGTTTCGAAACATTTCAGACCTTGGTTTGGCCATCCCAGGCCATGGTTACATGGCAGGGCCAGTCCGCTGTGTGATCTACCGGGCGCGCGGTGATCGCAGGCCAACGTTGCTTTCGGAGGCCAAACTTCCAGGCTGGGCTGCCGAGGCCGAGGCCGGGGCCGGGCAGGCCGGGCCAAGCCCGGACCAAGTCTTGTGCTCCCCGAACACACACAACCCACCACTGGCCACCATGGCATTGCGTCATAGCCGATGAGCCGATGCTTTTCTTGCGGCCGATGGGCCCCTGTCAGCTCTGCGTCATCTTCAGACCTGTCTGCGCCGCATTTGATCTGATAAAGGCCACAATATTCACGCTAAATGCCCTGTTGGTTCGAGCCCTGCTTCAGCGACATCCTGTGACGCTCTCGGCCCGGCAGTGCGCGATTTACTCGGTTCAGTTTTATTTTAGCTCGCACCACGGCCCGGTGTTACGTGATCGAACCAACACTCCCGCTTCCAGGTGGTGGCTTGGTTTCAAAGCGTTCTGCAGAATTACACCCGTGAATTCCCACGTACTAGGAGCTGAGCGGAAATCTCGTGGTAGATATCACCAGGCCGCCAACCTGCGCCGATACGGACTCCACCTCCCGGTCCTTAACCGGCAAGTAGGCTCCGCCGGGCTCCGTTCTTTTCTCCGGGCATCAATGCCGGGGCCTGCCGTGCCTGCTCGGGACGAGCAGGCACACAGCAACGGCCGAGTCAACTGCCTCCACTAACTAACGGGGTAATCTTGCGTTGCGGATACTGCTCTCCTTCACTCCACAACATAATCATCTTTCATCGTCACCTAGCCTTGGGCTCCACGGCAGCTGCCGGTCAACAAGGTGGGCCTTAATGGGGGCTGCATTATGACCATGTTGGCCCTCAACCGTGGCCGGGTCTCAGATCTTGCAGTTCGCCTATCTCGTTCGGCGCATTCGGGACATGGCACCGTTGGGACGCATCTCGGAGGCGGAGGTAAAAACTCAAAACCTCGCCTGCGAGAGGTGCTGAACCCACCCTGCACCATTGCAGATTTGGGGTCTAGAATACGACAAATGAGTGCAGCCCTGATGATGAAGCTCACACCTTCGCCGGGTGTCCGCGTTGGTGTAACGGTGCGACGGTCCCGTGCCTCCGTGAGCCAAGTTACGGGGAACGAGTCCCGCCTGTTGGACTGACTGATGTTGGTCCCCGCCGCAACATCACGGTTACAGAGGGGTCACTTTTGGAACTATTCAGCATGTGGAATTACTTTCGTGCTACCCCAAAGCCGTGCCATGTGCAAGCACTCGGGAAGCTTCTGCAGCTGAGCCTCCTCGGGCAAGATGCTTTCGTCACGGGCAGCATTGGGGGCTAAGATGGGATCGGGTCTCGCTGAGCTGAGGTTTCGTGTTTTAATAGCATGCGCGACCAACACAAGCATGTGCGGAGATGACTCAGTTGAGAATACCGTAGGTTTCGTCATGAGCCGATTAACAATCACAAAGCTCGAGCTGCGCAAATCCAAGTCGTCTCATGAGGAAATCAGTTCAGAAAGCGGCGGGTCGAGACTTTTCATGCCCAGCACCTCTTCCCTCGGGACCGGAGATCGAGACGCTTCGCCGCCGAGTCCCCCGAGAAGTCCAACCCCAACAATAAACCCAGTTGAGGAAGCCAAATCGAGCCAAACCAAGCACTTGACTTGTTCGTTAATTGGTAAGCCACGAAGCCACAAGCTAAACGCCACCAACGGCTTCACCCCCGGCAAGAAAGCTTGACCTCCGCTAGCGCACCACCAGCCCGAGCACCCCTCTCCCCCACCCATGCGTGCCACGGAAAATACCCAAAAGGCCCGATGTCAGCAAACGCCAGGCCAACCGGCGAACGAAGGCCAGCCCGCGGACGGGACGCGCGCCAATGGGCTTGCGGCGGGCCGAGTGGGAGCACACATTCAGGCTAAATCGGCTCCGGCTAGGGTGCTCGGGGGTTGCCCTCTCGGAGCTTAATTCGTGCGGGACGCGGCCGGCACATGCCCCATGCAACGGGAATTTTTTAGCGGTTTGCGGGTGGCCTTGCTTGGCCATCGCTCGGCTGCTTGGCGGTGTGGTGGTGGTGGTGCTGTGCTGACGTTGATGCCGGCAGACCTGGGGTCGCGAGAAGTTGAGGTTGGGATGATGGTCACGAGGGGAGGCCAAACTGAGAGAACAGCTATGGAAAGTTCTTTTTCTTCGTCTCGGTGGATGGATGCGTGACGGGAATAACACCGAGATATCAGGATGACCCGGCAAAATAGACAGTCAACTGTCGTTCCGCCGGCACAGGCTCCGGGGGGGATCACCCGGCGATCAACAGCCCAGTCCAGCCTGGCCAATGGTACCTCTCAGTATTCATCCGGGGAAACAGTGGAACAAACGGGGTCGCTGCAAGCCGGACCGGTTCGCTGCTGGGGGCGGACAGACCGATGGGTCTGGGGGATGCGGAGTACCCCTCCGCGTTGGGGAAGCTCTTCTCCAACATGGCAGTCCACCCACTGGTAGTTCTCCGGGATCCCCAAGCTTGTCTGGTGAAGTTCCTGTTACACCACGCGCATCAAGAAGGGCCGGTAATATGTGGATATCCCCGACCGGTTCTAGGCTCATATGTCTCGTTCCCGGGCAATTGGATGACGGGGACGGGGGTGGGACATGGCATGGCACGAGTGGGAGGGATCGGATGGTCTATTGGGTAGTATCGATTCCCTCGGTCTTTCTGGGCTGGTGTTGCAACCTTTCCGTTCATCCAGGCGCGTGGTAGCAGAGACAGGGGTAGGGGAATCCCTCAAGAAGATTGCTTGTTTCTTCCCCCGCGTCTGCATAACTATCTTGCAGCTCCCGGATCCCTCTTTCGCGGTGCCGAGCTCGGTTTCCTTTCCCACCTTCACCCGACCGCCCTCTTGGATCGAACAAGAACACCAACCCGGGATCAACACCGGGCCGTCGACAGAGTCACGTACGCATCACCGCCAGATCTAACCGGAGAACACACCAGTCAACATGGGCGCCGGAGGTGACGCCGGCGGCGGCTTCTACGATGCCGCGCTGCACAAGCGCCAGGCCATGATGGGCAAGAGCGGCCCCGCGGCGCTCTGGAAGAACTTCCGCGTCTTCCGCATCGCCGCCTTCGCCTGCATCGGTGGTGTGCTGTACGGTTACAACCAGGGCATGTTCTCGGGCGTTCTGGCCATGCCGGCCTTCGGCAAGCGTGCGTTTCCCCTCGACCTTCGACCTGGTGTGGGTGAGACTGGGCGTGGTGCTAACGAGGGGCAGACATGGGCGACTACACCGAAAACGACACGAAGAAGGGTTGGCTGACGGCTATTCTGGAGCTGGGCGCTTGGCTCGGGACCCTTCTCTCGGGTTTCCTTGCCGAGGTGCTGTCGCGAAAGTACAGTGTCATCGTAGCCTGCACCGTGTTCATCATTGGTGTTATTGTCCAGGCTACCGCTGTTAGTGTTGGACCCAATGCTATTCTGGCTGGCCGTTTTGTGACGTAGGTATTCTTTTGCCGGGTTCTGGCGCTCTGGCAAGGAGCTAACAAAGGCCACAGTGGTATGGGTGTCGGAAGTCTCGCCATGATCATCCCCATCTACAACTCCGAGGTTGCGCCCCCCGAGGTGCGCGGAGCTCTGGTGGCGACACAACAGCTGGCCATTTGCTTTGGTATTATGATCAGCTTCTGGATTGACTAGTATGTCTTTTCTGTGGTCCTGTTGCCTACGAACAAATTACTGACTTGGAAACAGCGGCACCAACTACATTGGAGGCACTGGGGATGGGCAGACCGACGCAGCATGGCTAATCCCGATTTGCTTGCAGCTCGCCCCCGCCCTCCTCCTCCTCGTCGGCATGCTCTTCATGCCCTTCTCGCCCCGTTGGCTAATTCATCATGGGCGGGAGGAGGAAGCGCGCAAGGTTCTGGCAGACCTCCGCGGCCTGGACGCCGACCACGAGCTCCTCGAGATCGAGTTCCTCGAGATCAAGGCGCAGTCGCTGTTCGAGAAGCGCTCCATCGCCGAGATGTTCCCCCAGCTCCGCGAGCAGACCGCCTGGAACATCTTCAAGCTGCAGTTCGTCGCCATCCGGAAGCTCTTCCAGACCAAGGCCATGTTCAAGCGTGTCATTGTTGCGTCCGTGACTATGTTCTTTCAGCAGGTATGTCTGACCCCTGACCCCCCCAAACACACAAACCCCAAACCAACCCCCCTCAAAATCACCAGCAACTAACAACGTGAACTCCAGTGGACCGGCATCAACGCGGTCCTGTACTACGCCCCCTTCATCTTCGAGCAGCTCGGCCTCGACCTCAACACCACCTCGCTCCTCGCGACCGGCGTGGTTGGCATCGTCATGTTCGTCGCCACCATCCCCTCCGTCCTCTGGATCGACCGCGTGGGCCGCAAGCCGGTGCTCACGATCGGCGCCATCGGCATGGCAACGTGCCACATCATCATCGCGGTGCTGGTGGCCAGGAACATCGACAACTGGAAGGAGCACCCGGCGGCCGGCTGGGCGGCCGTGTGCATGGTGTGGCTGTTCGTCATCCACTTCGGCTACTCGTGGGGCCCCTGCTCGTGGATCATCGTGGCCGAGATCTGGCCGCTCAGCACCCGGCCCTACGGCGTGGCGCTGGGTGCCTCCAGCAACTGGATGAACAACTTCATCGTCGGCCAGGTCACCCCCGACATGCTGACGGGCATCCCCTACGGCACTTATATCCTCTTCGGCTTGCTGACCTACCTTGGCGCCGCCTTTATCTGGTTTATCGTGCCGGAGACCAAGCGGCTGACGCTGGAGGAGATGGTAAGATCCCCATTCCACCTAATCCCCTAATATGAACGCCGTGAGAAGCGGGTTGAACAAAGCTAACTTTGTCTGCACAGGACGTCGTCTTCGGTTCCGAGGGCACGGCAGCGGCCGATTTCGAGCGCATGGAGGAGATCAACAACGAGATCGGTCTCAACCAGATCCTGCGCGGCGAGAGTGGTGTCGTTGCGTCTGGCTCGGATGCCGAGAAGACCAAGCTTGACCAGGGTGTTTAAGACCTGATTGATATACCCGATATTCCCTCGTTTTTGGATGAGGAAAGGATTTGCTTTCTTAGGGGTTGTTTTGGCCATCGCTTAGCAATGTAACAACGCGACTTTGACGCGAGGTTATCACCAGTACTTCAGAGTTTGTCTCTTTGGGGATACCTCCATTTCAGAGTTTACTTTTTCGCATGTGATGAATGAAGAAAACTGTGCTCATATGCCGCTTGGTCTCAAGGATGGACAATCGTGGTCAACAGCTGAGAAACCGAAACTCGATGACTGACCGTGCTCGCTAGCTTGATACCGGGTTTGACGATCTTGATCCGTGACGACAACCTGATGGTAAGTGGCGGTCTTGGGAAGCTCATCAACAACCCCACCCACCACCACAAACAAGAATATCTTGCAGAGTGCAGTGCCATGTTCATCATGCTCCCCATTAACGCTATTCATACACCGCCTCCCCAACCGAAGGAGGACAAAAAGCAAATATACACACAAACAAAAACAAGCCTTATCCAGCCCATCAGCATCCCAAACACCGCGTTCCTAATCCCATGTACCAGACCGATGTGCTAAAAAACAAAGTAAAAGACAACCGGCAGCGGCCGGCCCGTCAGTCTGCGTTCTATCCGACGCCCATGGACTCCAACCACACACATCCCTCCCTCCTCCCGTCTATCGGTAAAGGAGGGGTTTCAACATGGTGTGGCGGTATGCAAAACGCCCGTCTCTTCTCAAGTTCCCCACCCACCCTGTACTCTAGGCGACCCCACCCCTCCCCAACCATAACTCAACGTCCACCCTTTCGGTTCTTCACCTCCACACCACACTAGGGCGCGGCCTCAACACGCTCCCTCCGTTCCCATTCCCACTCCCACCGCCATTCCCACCCCCACCCCCAGCATTCGGCAACACGCCCCCAGCGCCGATGGTAATCCTCCTAGCCTTACCACCCACCCCAGCAGCATCCACCTCCACACCCGCCCCAAGCCCCCCAGCAATACTCCTCACCGCGGTCGGACTGCCGCGCTCCCTCTCCGACCTGAAGCTCCCGCCCATATTCATGCGCCGCGCCTGGCCCGGCGTGAGATTCCGGCCCGGCCCGTCCAGCGCGTAGCGCCCCCCGGCGCCCGAAGGCGACGAACCCGCCGACGCCGACGCCGGCGGCGAGCAGGTGATGGGCCGCGGGGGCGAGCGCCGGCCGCGCTCGGTGCTACCTCTGCGGTGGCGCGAGATGCCGTTGGAGGCGCTGGCGCTGGCGTGGGCGGGGCCCGAGTAGCTGGCCGACGCGCGGCGGTGGGCGCCGTGGTGGTTGCTGTTGACGCCGCTGCCGCTGACGCTGCCGCCGCCGCCGCCGCCGCTGCCGGGGTTGGAGCCCACGGACGAGACGCGCTTGGCGCTGGAGACGGTCGTGCTGGGCAGGAGAGAGAGGCGCTCGCGGCGCTTGGCGGAGTGCAGAGCGGACCGGATCTTGAGCGGGTCGAGGTCCGACTCGGAGCCGGAGCCGTACGAGATGCGTGGGAGGCGAGACGGGGAGGGGCGGCGCGGAGGTTCGTTTTCGTTGCCGGTCTCGTTTAGAGTGGAGAGCAGGTTGGTGGAAGGCTTGGGGCTGCCGCTGGTTCCTGCTGTCGGCGAGAGCGAGTTAGTAGCCCGGCTCACAGGCAAGCTGCGCAGGGGCGACGGCTGGTCTTCATTGTTGGGGGAGCCAGTCAGGTTGAGGGAGAAGGTCGGTGGCACGGGCGAACTATTAGCACTTCCGCCCGAGTTGCTTTGCTGAGGTGCGCGGCCCTTGGAAAGGAAGCCAGCTTGGAATCGGTTTGGCTTGCTGAAGGACAGCGAAGGTGCGTCAGGAAGGTTCGGGGTCGGGCTAGAGCTCTTTGGCGAATCGAGGTGGCTTAAGTACGAAGGTACCGGAGGTCGACTTGGAAGTGCCTTTTCGGGGGAGGGCTCATCGGGCGATGCAAATTTCTGTGGTGTCTTCTCGAAGTCGGCCAAAGTCCCCTGCTCACTCTCGTCGTCGCGCCAACGCACACTCGGCTTCTTCTTGGCCGGCGTGAAGGCCACTGACTTTCGCGCGCCAAGCTTGCGACGGCGAGGAGATGCCTTGACTGGTGAGGCAATGGCCTGCTGTTGCGCGGCTGAGAAGATGGGGCCCGGGATGGGCTTGGAGTTGACGTTGAGAGACTTCTTCCTCTTGGGGGTGCCCCGCTTGGTTGGCGGGAACAGCTCGACGGGCATCATGGAGCCATCGGGCTTGACGACGTGGGATGCGGCCGAATAGCCGGTCTCAAGCAGGCGGGTGATCATGGTTTTGGCATGCGCAACCGCCTCCTCCTCACTCATGCTCAGAGTTTCCGACATGGAAGATAACATGTCGAACTGAGCAGTCAGAAGCACTTGCAGAACAGCCGCATCACCGGCCTTGTCCTGCTCCAGCACCTCCCTGTAGGCATCCCGCATGAAACTTGTCTTGAGCATCTCGACTTCCCTCGCTAGCGTATCCCGCTCCGAACCATCAACAACGCCCTCGCCTGTCGGCAGCTGGGAGATGCTATGGTTCAGGGCGGTATCCAGGGCGCGCTCCCAATTTGTCTTCTCCAACCTCTGGTGGATGTGGTGTCGGCTGCTTTCTAGCTCCATCAGGATGCCATGCGCCGTCTTTCGCATTGCCACCAGGTTGGCTGGCATCGCTTCCTCGTCTCCCCGGGCATCGCACACCGAGTCAAAGGCAGCGATCCAACCGGAGAGGAGGCCGATTCGTCTCTCGACAGCCTTCAGCTTCTTCATGAAGTTGATCTTCTCGAGCCGCTCTGAAGAAGCATGCTCATATGCAGCACGTAGACGAAGGATGCCCTCCCGTACCACGGCGTCCCGTTTGTCCATCTGTTTTCGGAACTTGGTGAAGTAGGTCTTCTCGGCATCCTTCTGCTGGGCTTTGAGCTCTTTGATGAGCGCCATCTGCTCGTCGATCTTGACCAAGAAATCCTTGACGTGTCGGTTGACGTTGAAAACGTTGCGCGTGACCTTGGTCTGGATGTTCTTGGCCCGGTTGGCGTAGCGCAGGGTGTTCTGAGTCTCGTCGAAATGCTCGCTCGACGGGCTTACGCAGACAATCATGACAGTCTTGCAGTTACCGCCGAGGGAAAACTTGAGCAAGCGAGTAAGTTTGCTATTGCGGTACGGCACGTGGTTCCTTTTGCGCGGATCGCACAGCGCATTAATGCAGCTCCCCAGGGCGAGCAGCGACTTGTTGATGTTGGCACCCTCCAACAGCCGCTCTCCCCGGTTCTTGGTGGCGCTAGCACGTTCGCTGCCCGCAAGATCGATGATGCTCAACGTGGCCATGGTGTGCGGCTCGTTGACGGCGGCATTGCGGTCCTTTTGGGCGATGTTGATCTGCAGCACGGCGTGGGACCGTGAAGAGACGGCGTTGGCTGCCGTCGGCGAAACTGTGCGGTATTCGTTTCCCTGCACAATCATGTCCATGACCTCCTGCACATCCTTCGGGTGATGGCTGGTGAGCCCGGCGACCGTGACAGCCTGGTTCGTATCCTCCCGCAACATGAGGCCCTGCTTGCTACCGCCCGGAACCAGCAAATCGCGAATGGTTTCGTTGTAAATTTCCAGGTAGGAGAGAGAGACCTCGGTGGTCTTTTCGGCACTCCTCTCCCCAATCTTCTCAAAGAGCTCCTGCATAGTGAGGAAGATGATGCCGGGGTGCTGGGAGGTACCGGTGATAGTGTGGGTCTTGCCGCATCCGGTTGCGCCGTATGCGAATACGGTGGCATTATAGCCGTCGAGGATGCTATCCAGCAGGCCCTTGGTCGTCCCTTCGTAAACGTCGCTCTGGCAAGCAGTCTGATCGAAGATGCGGTCGAATGCGAAAACCTGGTCCTTGACTTTCTTGCCGGCGGCGGGTACGACGGATCGGGTGAACTTTTGTACTGGGTTGTCTTCGGGGGGATCGAAAACTCTGTGTCGCGTCAGCTCGAGAGCAACGTAGGTGACTCGTCCTGTATGGGTCCATACAAGCACCGGTCGTCCACGACCTTGATGACGGGTCTCAGGCCACGCTGGTGTAGCTTGGGAGTGGGTGCCGCGGCCATCGATCCGTCACCGAGGAAGAGTGTCGTGTCGTCATTTTTGACTCTGTTTTCGTGTCAGCCCGCGGTCTGTGGTTTCGAGATGGTATGGGTGAAGAGGTGTCTCACAGTTGAGCAGCCTCTCGAATGGTAAACGGTCGCACTCGAACTGTGAACAAAACAGGTTGTTAGTCATGCTTCCTGGGAAATATCCAAGCCTAAAAATGCGCAATGTAGTGTACATACCTGCGACGGTGATCGAGGAAGCATTCGGGTCCATCTTGGCTTGTGGATGCCAGCCGCCCTCGAGGAAAACACAAAAGAAGAAAGCGACCGATTAATGAAGAAAAGCGAAGGGTTGACAGGGCGATAACTCTCTCCGCCGTGCCGGTCAACAATTGGATACTGGAGAAAATAGAGTTGGAAAATGTGCCCCCCGCGGTCGGCTGTTGGAATGAATGAAAGTGATGTCGCGGCTTCGAGAAGGACAAGCGAACGCGTGGAACGAAGAGAGAGCGAACTGAAGGAAATGACGTTGCTGGTTCAGGTTGGGCAGTGGATGGGTCTCTTGCCTGCAATTTCTCGTCCTGCGATTGGCGCACGGATATTTACTATTTTGGCCAAACTCAGTTTCCGGAGCGACCAAAAAGTGGCTCCCGCTTGTCCCTGAAACATGTGGGGTTTCCCTGCGAGTGTGCCGGCCGGCTGTGGTCTGGTGGGGCACAGACAGGGGCCACGGGCTTTGTGAACTCATGGTTTAAGGTCCTTGATTGTTGAGGTTGGCTCTTTCCTTGAAAGCAATATTCCCTTTCCGAAAACAAATTGGTAGCACCGGAACTCAAGTTAAGCTCTAAGAATAGGACATAATAGTTATTGTGGTTATTCTCTAATCCACACCGCGACGTTCATAGTTTCAGCTTCCTATCCCTTATAGATAAAATAACATAGTAACCGAAAGATATTGCAAATAAAGTTCATGTTAATAAATGTCTATTACGTTCTAGCCCACCTGAAGGCTAAAGAGGTTGAAGAACGCTTCGATAATAGGTAGCTAGTGCAAGTAAACAACACACATATAATCTCTCCAGTTTAGCAAGATCTCTTAGCCACTTTCATCCCATATTCACTCTACACCCAGTTTTTCTTCCTATCATCCCCCCCCGCACTAGATACAAAATGGAGGACTGGAAAAGCCGCGTAAAAATTATTTAGTTGAAGCAGCAAAAGCTCACCAGCTAGCTCCCCTTGCGGTCGAAGGGAGGTAGCCAGCTACGAAACCCCCTCGGTGAAAATCGACAGCGTAAACGTTTCTTCCTATATCGAATGTGCTGTCTGTTCAGGCATGGGCGCGCTCTCCAAACCCAACTTCTGTAGGTAGGTATGTTTAACTCTCACCCACACCATATTAATGAGCTTTTGTTTTTTCCCTATTATTTGTGTGTGACTGCGTTTGCTTTTATTCTCCCCAATAAGGCGGTTACGACTTCCAACCTGCCATAGCGATAACATGGCGATAGCATACCAAGGTTTCATGTCTAACTGTTGGTCGTTCCCTAAGTAGGCAATCAACAAAGAACGAAGTACAACCAGCTCGACCGCAATAATTCGGTTCCATTTATCAAGATGTTCCATTACCGACTACGATTATTCCCCACTCATCCATCCCTCAACAACAACAACAACAAACCACCCCCCCTCAACTTATCCCCTCACCCCGCAAAACTCACCCTCCCCCCCGCCCCAACCTCATCCCTCCCCACCAAAAAGCTCTCCGGCGGCCCCAAATAACTCGCCCTCACCCCACCCAAGTCCACCACCACCTTCTGCACCACCACCCCCGGCATCAGCGCCCACACCCTCAACTTGTATGCCCCCTCCGCCGGCACCGCAAAACTGCTCGTCGTGTACCGCCCCGTGCGGCCCCACACGCCGTCCGCCACGGCACCGTCCCAGCCTGCGGGCATGTCCCCGCCGACGGTGGCGCCGACGGGGCGGACGTGCTGTACTTTTTCGGTAGCAGTCCCATTGGTGGAGGTGGCGGGGAGGAGGGCGATGGCGTACTCGAGCGGGGTGCCTTCGCCGAGGTAGTTGAGCGCCGGGGAGAGGTAGAGGGTGATGTTGGCGGCGGTGTGGTTGGTGAAGAGGTACAGGTCATATTCGAGCGCGGGTGCCGTGGCGAGGGTGAGCTTTTCGGTGTTGAGTGGGATCAGGCCGACGCCGGAGCCGGTGCGGCCGTAGTGGGTGAAGGTGTGGTATTGTGGCTTTTTGGTTTTGGTTTTGGTTTGGGTGGCGGGGGGGTTGGTGCTGGGGGGGAGGGTGCGTGCGAAGGCTGCGCCGGGGAAGGCCACGTGCCCATCGGACTCGACGTAGCCTGACTTGAAGGAGGAGGGGATGGTGCGGGATTGGACGGGCACGAGCACGTGCGGGTCGTCGAAGCCGAAGCGGTTCATGCCGACGCAGGGGGTGGTGATGTTGATGGTGACCGTGTCGGAGAAGGGGGCCGGGGGCGCGGATTTCCAGTCGACCGACACGAAGACGCGCGCGTCGGGATGGCTGACGCCGACGCTGCCGTTGGACTGGGACAGCTTGAGCCAGGGCTCGGAGGCGGCGACATTCCAGGTGCAGTCCTTGGTGCCGCGCGCAAAGATGTCGATGTAGCGGGTCTCCGGGCCGTACGGGTCCATGGGCGGGAGCGTGAGCTCGTTGCCGCTGTTGCCGTGCCATCTGTCGTCGCCCTGGACCGTCGCGTTGGAGCCCTCGACGCCGACGCCGATCTCGCCGGCCAAGGCGACAAAGTCGGTCTGGACGTGCACCATCGCGGGTAGGGCGTTGCGCATGGGCTGTTGCCAGTAGCCGTCATATCCAAGATGAGTTTCTGAAAGATCAGCATCTAACTTCCAGCAGTGAGCAAAAGGGAAGAGGGCGCTTACGGTCCATAAAGTGCTTCCACTTGCCATCGAGCAGAGCATCCCAGCGGCGAGTGAGGTTGGCATCAGCCGACGAGTGGGCGAGAACCTCCTGAATCACCGTGTTGGCGGCATTACGCCTCTGGCCGGCGTAGAACATATTCCTCGCACCTCCGATGTTGATCTTCTGCACAATCTCACCAGCCATTGCGGGGTGCAAGACAGTCTCAAAGAAGGCAGCTTGTGTCTCGGCCGGCAGGTCGTCATAGATGGCCTGCGCGTCGGCCACCAACTCCTCCCACTGCTGCAGCACGGCATCGGCCTCGTTGTAGTTGATGACCGAGTAGACGTGCGGCTCGATCAGCTCGTACTTGCGGCGGGCCGCGTACATGCCGTACCTCATCATGATCTCGGCGATGTGCTTGGCGTGGGCGGACCCGAACTCGCGCGTGGCCCAGGCCTGCGCCCACTCGAGGGTGCTGTCGACGTGCCAGCGCTCGGCGTCGTAGCCGAGGTCGAGGAAGTGGCTGATGGGGATCTCGAGCGACTTCATGTCGCCGACGTTGACGACCCAGATGCGGTCGGCGCCGCGGGCGTACGCCATGTGCATCTGCTCGGCCGTCTTGCTCAGCTGGATCGTGTTGATCCACTTGTAGTTGCGCGGGCCGCCGACGTAGTCGAAGTGGTAGTAGATGCCGGCGCCGCCCACGCGCTGCGTCTCGTTCTGCATCGGCAGCCGCCGCACGTTGCCCCAGTTGTCGTCGGCCCAGAGCAGCGTTACGTCGTCGGGCACCTGCAGGCCCGCGAACAGGTACGACATGACCTCCTTGTAGAGGCACCACGTCTGCGGGACCGTCGAGATGTCGGTGATGTTGAGTCCTTCGACGAGGATCTCGCGCTGGCTCTTGACCAGCGCGTGCAGCATCTCCACGATGTGATCAACCCCAAGACCCTCGATGGCGGTATCGCCAGTTCCCCGCATGCCCATGGTCCACAGGCTGTTGCGGGCGTACGGCTTGGCGCGCTGGACACCGTACCGGAAGTAGTCGTCGATGGTCTCGTTGTTGAGGTTGTACGCCCAGGGACCCTCGTAGAACTTGCCGAACTCGTTCTGCGCACGCATCATGGGTTCCGTGTGAGAGGATCCGATGACAATCTCAAAAGCATCTGCCAGCGGTTGGTTGCCCGGGTCGTCAACCTCGAACATGGTCGCCCAGACGGTGGGCCACAGGTAGTTGGCACGGAGACGCAGCAGCAGCTCAAAGATGAGGCTGTAGAACGCGGGGCCGTAGCCGGCGCCGTACGGAGTATCTTCCCAGTGAGAGCTATGGAAGCTGGTTAGCGAGAACCCAGGCCTAGTTTTCACGACAGCACCTACGCAACCCAGCTAGTCAAGGCCGGCTGTTCATCGTTCAAGAAGAAACCGCGGTACTTGACCGACGGCGGGCCCTGGACCTTCTTCTTGTCGGTGACGTAGAGGTTCTCGCTCTTCTGGACCGGGCTGTCGGCCCAGAAGTACCACGGACTGACGCCGATCTGCTCACTGACGTCGTAGATGCCGAAGATGGTTCCGCGAGGATCGCTTCCCGCAATAACCAATGCCTTCTTGCACCCCGGCACCGGGTTCTTGACCACCTGGCTGGTGAAAGACTCCCACTCGCCCTTGACTCCCGACACATCGATGGACCGGGATGAAATAAGCTTGTCAATGACCGTCGAGTGGCCTATGGTGCCGGCAATGATGACAACACTTCCTGGTGAGGGGTCCGAGTACGCCGGGCCTGGGAAACTGGCGGTTCCGGTCGTGGAGAACTGCACGCGTTCAGTCGAGGTCTTGAGAGGCACGGGGGCGACTTACGTGAGTGTTGTTCATGTTGTTGACCGGCTCGTACTCGTACTCCGCCGCGGCTGCCTTCTTTTCGCCATTGCTGAGCGTGTAGTTGGTGCCCGTGACGCGCCCGAAGTCGACAGCGAGGTCGCCAGCTGCGCGGATGACGCCCCAGTAGTCATTCTTCGACACCAGAATTTGGCCCTTGCCTACATCGCCGCCGGCAATCTGCAGGTCACCTCCATGGCCCTTGGTAGAGATGATACGCTCCTGTCCCAGGGCGGCAGCCACCGAGGCAAAGGCAAGCCAAAGGGCCCCCTTCACGCCGGTAGTAAGCATCTTGGAGGTGGTGGTGCGCAAGCTATGTTGCGAACAGTCCAACCAAAACGCGGGTGACAGGTCACAATCACCTGTCCGAGGGGCTGAACAAGAGGACGGGGCTCGTGAGCGGGTGTGTGCGCGTTGGGATGCAGATCGCACCCGAATATAATATATCCAGCTCCCCGGGTATGCAAGGTACGGCGCTCCACCCGGGGCCGGGCTGCCATGAGGCCTTGAGGAGGTTCAAGGTTGGGCATTGGTGGGAAAATATATTAACCAGAAAACGACGACATCGCTACCAGCCCTGCAACCCGTCATGGCCGTCGTATTGGGGACCCCGGAGGGTCCATCGCCATATCGCCTCCAACTTTCAGTCTCTGTGTTGGAGAACAACTCCAAAGCCAAAAATTGGAGACGAGATACAAGACGGTTGCCCGCCGGGCTGACGGGTAAAATGTCAACGCGGGGAGAAGGGCCAGCGCTCTCAAGCTTGGCTCCCTTGAGTTGTTGAGGCCATGGGCTCGGCCAACGGAAGTGTGCGCAACTTTCTTGTTGCTTCACAGGTACTCGTTAACTAGTTGCAGGTTCACTCGAAGAGAGCACTGCCGAAGGAAGGGTTCGAGTGTTCCACAGCTCAACGGCGGCTGGGTCAGCTCCTTCTCCCCAACGTCAGCCAAGGTTTACCCCAGCATCCCCACAGTTCTCCCCACGCTGGGGTTAGGCGAGGAGCTTGTCCGGGGATAACCTGCTCTGATCGGGATCTGCGTTCAGGGCGGTGACCTCTTGTTTGTGTGATAATCGGTCTCCAGGTTCAGCGGTGTGTGAATGGCCCCTGGAGCTCCTCTGGATCGCCATATTGACGCGGGAGGAGATGACGTGGAAATACAACCGCGAGGTTGCAGTTGGAGCAAGTGGTAATGGGGAAGACGCAAACAAACTGGAAGCGAAGACTCAATGGCAAGGCGGGGGAGCGGAGGAGCAGCATGGCGCTAGACTTTAGCCGAGAGGAAGATCCACGAGCCAACTTCCACTGAAGGCTATTTAACCTTTCGGAAATGTAAATGGCTTCCATGGGACAAGGGTCTCGGGTGAGTCGATCACCAAAAGCTGGGTTCGCTCAAGCTTCCAGAAGCTGAGCTTCCTTGGTTCTCCCTTTGCTCCTCCGTCCCTCCATCGGCTCTAATACAACGGGTTGGCCGCAATTGTCAATGAACTGCGAGCCTGTGTCATCACTGGCACATGTGGGCTCAGAAATGATGATCTCGCTCGGAACGCCGGCCCTTGAGTTTGCTAAATCCAGATCTCAACACCGTTTGGGTCGATGCGTGGAAGCCGCCTGGTGGAAGAGATTTCTGGTTCCCGGTGTTTGCTTAACCTGAACGAACAAGTGTGTGGGGGTAGGGAATACCGCGAAGCAAGGTACCTTTTGGATGGCATTCCACCGCTCCTATTGTCAAGTAAAACCCCGATGTACTGTGGTGGCCGCCTGGGACAGCACCAAATGTCAGCGGTGACCCGGGATGGGCTGAAGACGAGGGACTAACCTCATCCTCGAGACCGGTAATCAAAAAGAAATATCATGCATAGAATCGCGAGGCGTTTTACGGTGTGTCGTGGTCATGGCAAGTGCGATGCATTTTCCTGTCCTCAGTATACACGGCAGAGCACATACCTCGAAGCTCCAAAGCCGCCCGACCCAACCGCCCTCAAGAACTCGTACAAACTCCGCACGTCAAGCCCGCAGGTGAGGCTTGGCGACGCAGGCGCTGGCTCCCTCCCTTCCTCTCAAGCGGCAACCCCTCAAGCAGCAGTCTCCTCTATCCACCGATACCGCGGCAGCATGGCCATCTTCTCCTCCGGGCTGACCTCGGTATCGCCGTAGACCATCCTCGTCCCCTTCTTCCTCTTCTCCCCCGCACCACCACCCGCGCCGGCCTCCTCTGCCGCCCCGGCCTTCCCGGCGCCCGGCCTGATGCCCGCCTCGGCCATTCTTATCATGTGGTCGATATCGTCACCGCCGGGGCCGCCCTGCCGTGCCGCATTCGCCACCAGCTCATCCACTGTCGACGGAGCAGCGCCGCCGTTGTAGAAATAGGGTGGTGCCCCCGGCGCGCCAGACCCGCTGGGAGGTCTGGCGGGTAGTGGGGTCGCGCCAGGCGGGAAGGCGCCGGCCGTCGGTGGGTAGCTCGGTGCCGCGGGATAGGGCGGTGCGGCACCCGGGGCAGGGTAGGGGTAACCCGATTGTGGAGCGGAGAAAGGAGGTGTCTGTTGAGAGAACGGGTGTGAGGATTGAATGGGGTGGTTGGGGGGGAAGGGGAAGCTTACGGCTTGTGCTGGGCTTTGTCCATCGGCTGGCGGAGCAGCGGCGGGGGCGCCGGTGGTTCCTGCAGCTTTCCGGGCGGCGGCGTTCGCGCGATGCTCGGCTAACCGCTTCTTGAGCTCCTCGGGCGTCTCGTACTTGAGTTTCTTGGCCGGACCCTGGCCGCCTGACAGTCCTCGTGGCGGGTTGCCTGTCGCGGCTTGCCTCTCGGCCTGGGCGGTGTAGAAGTTCTGGATGATACGCTGGTTGTGCTGTTGTATGATGTCGTCGGGAACTCCCTCCATGCCGAAGATCTCAATCTCGAGGCCTTGTCGATTCGGGAGCGCATTCTCAACACTTGTGAGGTTTTCCTTGTGGACTTGGTTCATGTGCACGGAGAGACCTGCGAGGCGCGCAGTCATTAGCAATGCTTACTTATTGGGTAGGAAGACGGGTACGTGATGCGTAGCGCCAGTCCTTGCATACCTCCAGCTGTGTTTAATCGCTTTCCGCATCGGTCGCACTTGAAGTGTTTCGCCTTCTGATGGGAGATGAGAAGCTTCAGATCCTCAAAGTCTCGCTCGCCTATGGCAAGTCCAGTTAGTATGAGCGCGTTGTATAGGGGATCGCGATAGGCGCACAGTAATAACACCATGGTCGCGAGAGGAGTTCCTCGACGTCCGGGTGACCGCGCTTCTTCTTGCCCATTGTGGTTGTTGGCGCGTTTGGTGGAATTAGACGTCTGATGCAGCTACCTCGACGATCGGGAATTCTTAAGCTAGCGGTGCGGTCGACAAATTTTAGGACGGCTGGGAATGATGTCGATGGATGCGATGGTTTCAGTCTCTGGTATGTTTGCTGTTGAGTTCCCAAATATTCAGCCTGCCGCTGTCGATGAGCGCCACATGGCGCTAGCCCTATTACAGACTAGCGTTACTTCCGCCACAGGCATGGACGATATATCACCCGTTTAGTTGCATACGACAAACATCGTTCAACTTAAACCTCCTCAATGGCACAAAATGCTTTCGGGATTCCATCACTTACCAGTTGAACTATAACCGTGGAAACTGTCATCCATTAACCCGCCAGGCCCCTAGAATAAGCCTTCAAACTTCCTAGCGACGAGTCGCTGTCAACTGCCGCCGATCTACACTCAGCCCGAGACGACAGAAAACAGTAAATTAAAATGTGATTGTAGCTAGGAATAATAATTTCATATCGGTGTATTTAGAAGCCTAGGCCCGTTCTGTGTTGGGCAATGCGATAGGGCGGTTCGAGTCCGAGTCAAGTCAAGTCATGTACCTCACGAACCTAAATTCGTACAACAGTTGCAAGCGATGACACGTACACCGAAACAACAGTTCAAGGTCCCGGCCGGCGTGAAGAGTATCATACTAATACAATTTTACATGTCCATCCTACATCCTCCGCGGTATGTACATTGGTTAGGTACCTAGGTAGGTAGGTACCTAGGTATCCAAAGACGGAGGATCACACTAGCATCCGAAATCAAAACCCTCTGTCTCCCTTGAAATGCCCCCCAACGGTATATTGTGGTACCACGCCGTCTCTTCTGGAGAGATGAACAGTGTGTGGACTGTATACCTGTGTTTTAATATCCTATCGAGCGTCAGGTGGAGAATTTGTCCAAGCACTTTTGAGGATACAACAGACACCATCAGGAGAAGATAACCCGGGGAGAAGCACGCACGGCTATTTTGAGATTCCGGGAGGCGGACAATGGTAGTAGCATGTGCAGCTGTACTGTTATTAGGAGCATCTGGAATGGTTGCCAGTCATTACGGGTGATACCACCCCGCAGGGGTGCTTCCGAGATGGGTGGACACTCTACTCTATCTTTGCACCGAATCTCGAATAGAGTTGCTTCGTCTTGAAGTTGTTAGGTTTAACGCGCCGCACCATGAGACTACCTACTGAGACGAGCCCCATCCGAGACGACCTGCTATTGCAGATGGTCTCAGCATGTTGAGCCCCCCCTTCAACCCCTGATGTCACAACAATCACCAAGTCAAATACCTAGCCCACAGAGCCTGTGCGATGCCGCCTGGAGTGGAATCAACATTCTTTGTATGTTGTATGGTGAGCGAAGATACCGCGAATGGTTGACTTCCATGAGAACCTTTTAATCCACATATGAGCTTGTGTATGTACCTACAATGCCGGCCGCCGAGCTAAGTGACGGTCTCGTCCTAACTGGCAGTAAGCAAAGGTCGAGTTTAAAAGTTGAGCTGACTAGCCCTTTGCCTTGCATAAGTGATAATTGCCACCCTCACCGTTACATCCATTCGGCCGGCGCTCGAGTGCATCCATGCTGTTGAACCCCCCCCTCCCCCCTTAACCGCAGCATTCCTAGGTGGGCTATGTTGCCACATGTTAGCCACCTACGCCTGAGCCCAAGGGTTACGACAATTGGATGAATCTTTTGTCAGGTTTTACCCATTCAAGTTTTAACAGATACTGAACATGTTGTTGCCCTAGCTCTTGTGTGGCATCTTAGGTAAAGCGACGCGCTTTGTTCGGCAGGCGGTACCCCCTATGTAGGTAATTACCTATACAGACAGAAATCATCCTAGCTGCGTTCTTTATGGAAGTAGCTTCGCCTTTTCCTGTTCCTTCCCACACTGGCAATCATGGTGCGTTTTGGTTTCGCGGTCCGGGTACCGTGATTACTACTCGCGACGCAAATGAATATTCAAACATAGATACTTACCTACTCAGGTACCTAGGTAGGGCTTCTTAGAAACAACTGAAAGAGAAGTATCCTGGGAGTCGTACGCCAAAACCCACAACCTTCCTCGCGACCTCCTATGTCGATGACGGTCGAAAGGAGAGTGAAGTCCTTCGCGGCGAGTATTGCAACAGGACCAGACGACCACGTCTCTGGTAAAATCTCGTATTCTTCCACCAACTTACCTCAGTCCTCAGCTCGTTGATCTTCGTTTGGTAAGTTTTTCCAACTTTTCAACAAGCGATCACCAAGGTGGCGTAAATTATCCGTCGCTTTCCCACGCCCCTCCCTCAAACATCGTTTAGGCTGCGTTCACCGTAAACATCCGCAACACTTCCGGAATTGGGAATGTATATGATATCGGCGACGAGTGATGGAGAAAAAGCCGCCGAGGGCCGAGGCTGAAGAGTGCAACCCAAGAATCGCCAGCTCTCGCGCGCTTAACGGAGCATGAAACAATGCCGATCAACAGCCGTTGTAGAGTCGCATCGATTGGGAAGCGCTCCAGTAGGAGGGCCTGTTTAATATCCGCACGTCGCATGTCAGTGGATTTCCCCCGGTGGACTCCCCGCACTACCGAGAGTCCGGGTCCGCACACCTATGCCGGCACTCCTTGCGGGTTACGAACTTGCCTCGAGCTTGCAAACGTTGTTGTTGATATTGGTGGAGAATCTTGCCAGGAATAGCTTGTTGTGACAACCCGGAAAGCCACCCCGACAGCCATCTGGGCGAAGCGGCGATCCTTCTTCCGGAAGCAATGATTTACATACTTACAACCGGGCGTAGCCGCTCGGGCCTCAGGGGCCTCAGGGGTATATAAACCTAGTGAGAGCTCGACTCTGTTTCGACCTTTCTGTGCTGTTCCACACCGTCACCGTCCGTTGATTCATTGTCCCAGCGAAGACCATCACCATGAGACTCACACGATCCAGCCTCGCCCTCCTCGCTTCGGCGGGCTCTGTCGCAGGACAGGGCTGCGACCTCCCCACCTCGTACAAGTGGACGTCGAGCGGCGTGCTCGCCGAGCCCAAGAGCCCGTGGGTCGCACTCAAGGACTTCACCGTCGTCCCGTACGAGGGCCAGCACCTCGTCTACGCCACGACCAACGACGGCACCAACTGGGGCTCCATGAACTTCGGCCTCTTCAGCAACTGGGAGGACATGGGCGCCGCGAGCCAGAACGCCATGAGCACGGGTACCGTCGCGCCCACCCTCTTCCACTTCGCCCCCACGGACGTCTGGATTCTCGCCTACCAATGGGGCCCGACCTCCTTCTCCTACATGACGTCGAACGACCCCACCGACCCCAACGGTTGGTCTAGCGCCCAACCGCTCTTCGAGGGCACCATCCAGGACTCCGACACAGGCGTTATCGACCAGACCGTCATCGGTGACGACGAGAACATGTACCTGTTCTTCTGCGGCGACAACGGCAAGATCTACCGTGCCAGCATGCCGATCGGCGACTTCCCCGGCAGCTTTGGCACCTCGTCGACCATCATCATGAGCGACACCAGGAACAACCTGTTCGAGGCGGTGCAGGTGTACAAGGTGGACGGCCAGCAGAAGTACCTGATGATCGTCGAGGCGATCGGTAGCGGGGGCCGGTACTTCCGGTCTTTCACGGCCAGCAGCCTGGGCGGCGACTGGACCCCCAACGCGGCCACCGAGAGCAACCCGTTCGCGGGCAAGGCCAACGGCGGCTCCAGCTGGTCCAACGACATCAGCCACGGCGAGCTGGTGCGCAAGAGCGCCGACCAGACCTTCACCATTGATGCCTGCAACCTGCAGCTGCTCTACCAAGGGCGCGACCCCAGCTCGGGAGGCGATTATAACTCCCTGCCGTACCGCCCCGGCGTCCTGACACTGCAGAGCTAAAGGCGCTCTGGGCCTTTTAAGTAACGAGGTGCTTTTCAATGGGGGGAAGGGGAGAGGTTCGAAGCCTTCGAGACGGATGTTTCAAATAGGAACTCGGTCGACGCTTCAAGTTGTTAGCATATCACAATAAAACAACCGTTAACCAGAATATAGTGTTCCTCCTCATATCCTTCTGTCAGGGGCTCCTAACTAGAAACTGAACTCTTTGAAGAACCGCTGAAGAAGATGCTTGCACACGCACAGGGCTGCGTGACTAAGGCGATTCACTGGCGAAGATAGACTCAATTCCTAGCTAAGAGCTCTCTCTCAGGTCCAGGCGTTACATAGGTCGAGAGGAGAACTGGAACTGATCCTTGGGGAGCTTCCCTAGGATTGGGCTCGGTCATGCTTAAGAAGCTCATTACTGAGCCTCATGACGTCACTACCTAGGTACTTCACTTTCTGGCTCTGACCCGTAATACCTCCGAAAGCTCTGCATCCACACGTCTATCCGAGACACGCAGCACGGAGAGGTGACATATACGCTTTTACTAGTTCAAACATCTCAACCTAGGTCATTCTGGTCAGGGTGCGGTTGATTGGCTATCTGGCTATTGGTAGGGAACCTGTAGATGGCCTTGAGGAAGGCACTACCGTCGCTCTTACCCCCTAAGAGAATAGGGCTCAGCGCACAGCACAGGGTAGAGAGAAAATATTTACCGTGTGTGACAAATCATTTTGAGCACCTTGACTCTGTGACACCCATACTTGTCTGTCCACTGTCCGGGTGTCGCGTCTGTCTCGTATCTCTGCGCCCAGTAGTCTTCATGGTGTTTTACTCTACGACGATGAGATCGATACGTTGGCCTACCGCCGCTGCACGCCCTTAGCCTACCCCGTACCCACCACGTCCGCTATGCCGCCAAGCAAGCGTCGCGATACCGAAGATGTAAAAGAGGCTGGTAAGACTGACATGTAACTTAGACTCTTGGTCCTAACACTGATATAGTGTTCTCTCGGCCCCGAAGAGCGGCCGCCTCCACCGCCAAGCTACCATGCAGTACGGAGCAGTATAGCCTCGCGCCTGTCGACGAACCTTCGGATTGGAGGCAGGGAAGCCAGGACCACCATGACATACCCGATACAATTGTGGTCGAGGTTGCGGGTAAGCTCCCTAGACCCCTTACCCCTAAGCACTATTACCTACGTTTCTTGTCACTAATACTGCTATCATAGATGACTCTGCCATTAACACCAGGCTGGCAAAGCGCGCCCGTACCGAGCCCAAGATTTCAAGCGCTGCGACTAAGCACTATGCTCAAGCTTTTGGCGTGGTGCCCCAACAAAACTTCGAGGGGCCTCCGGACTCCGACGAGGACTTAGCTACCAAGACGACGGGGAACTTCTACTGCTTCGAGACTCCGAAGATGCGCCCAAAAACGTTGCTGCGTCCAAGACCAAGATTTACCAGCCATAGCTCGACGACAAGGGACTCGTTCGAGTTGGGCCCCAACCAATGGAGGAGATCCCCTTCGTGCTTTCTGGCCCCACGGGCTTGGTTATAAGTCAAATGTCACACAATGTCCGGCGCATGCTCCGAAAAGTAGATGCAAAGTTTCCAAATGTCGACCAGGAAGAGGTTAGGACCCGTCATTCCAGGCTGATACCGCACCTACAGGGTCTTCTCGTCTCACACAAAGAGGACAGTGCAAGGACGGTGTGCAACTACCTACACGGGCATGGATATGTCTTGGGCTCCTGGCTCTCGAGGTTCCAGCATCGAAGCCTTCTACCCATTTGTCGTTCAAAACGACTAGGTATAGTACCATGTTCCTGAGAACGTGGGGCGTATTTTGCACGTTCTGATCTGGGTGAAGAAGGGGTCGCCGATTATTCAGCTTCCCTTGATCGCTCACATGTTAAGGACACAACAAGAGCCCACTTCGGTCGTCAAAAAGCGGCAATGTCATGGGCGTACATTGCTATGCAGAATGCCAACATCTTGGGACGGATCCACCATTGTTACAAGTGCCACAACGATCAGATCAGGATCTGGACAACATGGAGCCCGCAAAAGCAAAAGTCCGTGCTGGAAGACTTCAGACAGGAAGACCTGGGTCGGCAACTCGAACGGAGCTGATGCGCCGGAGCAAACAGTGGCTTGTGCGTGGCGACGGGTGGCTCGGAAATGTTCCCAGGGCGCAGAACTATGCAAACATATCCTGGACGACTGTCTTCCGTTGGCTCCAAACTATCGCGAAAGGTTACGGACTTCCAGCCGGCGAGTTCAAGTACTAATCATTGTACCGTTGCCTCACCGTCACGCCCGGATCAACCCGTCTTCTACCCGTTCCATGTACTGTCGCGCCCGGAGGCAGTGGACTTATTTTGGGACTGGAGCACACTGTACACAAATGCCCAACATATGCTATATGTTATGAGGTTTGGGTGCAACCGGCATGCGGAGTCGTGTAGCGAGGGAGAACCGACAATGGACGCCCTGCGCCTTATTGTCTGGTGGTGTCACCACTTGTCCGCAAGATTCAACTTGTCAAGCAAGAACAGCCCATAGCCTCGCCAGAAAAGGTCGCCTTTAGCATCCTCGACCGGTGGGGGTTGCCGGTTGTCCCGTGGCCGGGTAACCCTCTCAACGCATCCCTCTGCAAGCTCCAGGACCATGGCGTGGCGATGAAGTTCGGTCTCGTCTGGCCCGATGATGAGGACTTTGACCCAATCAAGCATTTCAACTTGGCATGCTGCACAGTGACCATCGACGCGAAGGCCACGAACCTGGCAATGCTCAATTACGAGACCTATACCTGGGACGGTATCCGCAAAATGCTCTCGGCTGTGCCCCTGAGCCACCCGCCTCTGGGACATTGATCCGGCTCTCGGCCTTCGGAGTTGGATAAGTAACTGGCACGCCGCCATGCCGTCGCCGCAGCCGCCATGCCGTCGCCGCAGCCGCCATGCCGTAGCCGCAGCCGCTATGCCGTCGCCGCAGCCGCCATGCCGTCGCCGCAGCCGCCATGCCGTCGCCGCAGCCGCCATGCCGTAGCCGCAGCCGCTATGCCGTCGCCGCAGCCGCCAACGCCGCCGTTCAAGATCCCTCTGCTGCCTATCGACCCCTGGGTGGGTGGCGGTTCCACGCACCCGCCGATCCGATGCCCGGAGTGTCCAGACCTGGCTGCGTTCTAGACAATGGGCTTGTTAGTGCGACATTGCGGCGTGCACCACGGCGGTGAAGGGGAGGACAACCTTTTCCTGACGAGATATGATTCGCCTAATCCCGAGCAGAACAAGATCGACGCCGCCTTTTGGTCCGCATTTTCATGTCCTTGGGACGGATGTACGGTCACTTACCAGGAGAGATTTCGCGCCAAGGCACATTATAAATCTCTTGGGTCCTCTGGCCACTTGTGCAACCAAGCCGACAGCAACTCGGTTTTCATCTCCCCTCTCCTCGCAGTAAGCCGATGCACGTCCCAGAAAACGTACCCCCAATCCTGCAGCACGGGCGGGATAACGTCCCCGTACGTGGTGCTATATCTGCCTCGCCAGATAATGACCCACGCCAGCGGCGGCGCCTCTTCGTCATCGCCGAGAAACGGCATCCTCTGTCGTGCCGCCTCCATTTGGTCAAGTTCCGAGGGGTAAAAACTGCGCCTAAAGTCCGAAGTCAACGACACCATGGTCTCTGGAATGGGTTCGCCCAAGCCCCAGGTCATATTTTGCTGCATGAGACGAATCAGGGCCTCGTGATCGGCCATTCTGGGGACGGCTTGGAAAAGAGGCAGCCCGCGTGAGATGGTGCCGTTCAGGAGGGATAGGCGATTGTCTGCGGACCGAAGTGAGCAATGAATCAAATAAAAAGGGAGGAACTGCATACACTCATTGTCAAGGTCAAACGCGCCTGGCGGCGTCATCGGGTTCATCTGTTCCCCAAATCTAGCGGCGTTCGTCTTGTGGACGTCCCATTTGATCTTATCGAAGACCTGGTTGTGTCTAGCTCTGACGAGGTGGTCTATGCAGTGAACCTCTTCAACCTCCCAGGGGTGGAAGATGCCAAAAAACACGGCTAGAACTTCGACATGGGAGAAATCGCTCCCCGTCCCGTCATTCGCGAACAGGTCTTGATAAATCTGGAAGCGATAGAGCGCTCTGAGGAGTCGGGTCCGTTCTATTTTGCGCAACGAGCCGAGCTCGGCTGGATTTTGGACTTTTAGGTTTTGCAAAAACAGGGTCGCGCAATCCGTCACCAGAGGCTGCACAACAGCCAGATAGAACGATGCCATGTTGGTGAGATCTTCTATGTCGCAGCGTTCCAAGACGCCGTCTCCACGCGATGCTCGTTGACTCGCCCTGCGGAGCTCACCGTAGCCCTCCATGACTGCTGTGATGGCCGGCCGGGAGCTACGCTTTGGCGCAGCGAGGCGTTGCTCGACAACGTCGGATGAGGCCAGGTGGATATAAGCATCGATGAGCACGCTTTCGAGCGTTCCTTTCAAGCATTGGGCTAGGAAGCGGTGACGGTTCAGCAGGTACTGTTGATGAAACACGGGAGAGGCGTGCACCACGGCGCTCAGGTCGTTCAGGTCGACGATGTGGGAAAGGATCTCGGTTCGAAGCTCGGCTGGTAGGGTTTCTAGAGTGGGTTTGGCTGGGGAAGCCTGTATGGAGGGTCTGTTTGACGCTGTCCCCGGGATGGGGTCATCGGCGTGGTCGTGCTGTGCCGAGAGCGGGTGCTTTTGGGGTCGCCTTTCAGCCGTTGAGCTATGGACAGAATACTTGAGCTCAGCCTCGGCTACACCAACCACCGCAGCGGCCTCGGGATCCTGAGTCGGTGTTGACCGTTTGCGCGCTCGTGCGGCAAGGCGGAATTTGGAAAATAGTTTTCGCATGTTGCTCAGTGTGGCTGCGATACCTACATGTACGGAGGCGGGTACTGGGTAGAGGAGGTAGTATGGCGCGATTTGGGAGTCATAAGTACCTTAACAAGACAGTTACGCAACTCGGGCTCGGCCTCCAGTTGGAGGAGTTTCGCGCGTTTTGTGCGATTTGTTCTGGTAGAATGAAAACAGGGAAGCGAGTAGGTAGTTCCGACAGGCAGGTCATTTTTCGCGTTGGGTGTTTAAAGAAGGGCGTCCACGGAGGGTTGGAAAGTGTGACTCAGATGGAGGGTCAGAGTCCAGGACAGGCAGGCACGGGTTGTTTGCTTTTGGTGTGCATAGAACGGTGGCAGGGGACTTTTGACTTTTCGTCGCACCCAACATCATTGGTTCGTGGGCACAATGATCAAACCAACACACGTTGAATGTACACAAAGTATGCGAGGCGCCCCCAGCCGGCTTTCGAGGATGGACTGATGCAACCTCGGAATTGACAATGTCTGTAAACTTTGTTGCAGCCTCCAGGCCCAAAGCCAATCCCAGGAACAGCCGGCTCGAGTAGATTCGTTGTAGTAGGTATCAACAATGATTCGGTGGTAGGTACCTTAGGTACCTAGGTACATGTAGGTACCGAGGTTTAGAACTCCCTACTTTCGCTATTTCGACAGGTGTGTCCGCAACACTTCCACGAGACTTATTCCGACGCATATACGGAGGAGGATGGGAAGGGCCACGCAAAGCAGAGACCCGAATGAGAAAATGAAAGGCTTGGGGCGCGCTAAGAGGGCAGTGGACTTCCACACAACCCGTAAGCACATTGGATCCATGAGATTTTGGGAAGAATATTGCCGGAGTTGAAAGGTTCACGGCGCACTAGTACTATTGGTCCGCAAAGCATCAGAACCACTACTGCTACAAGGACAGCGGGAGGAGGGAGAAAATCCACTGCCATGGAACCTTGCATTGCGAGTTGTTGTCAATGACCTAGAAAGGCGGGGTGATAACATGATAGAGCCGCTGATACGGGTTGGGCGAAGGCCGAGAGAGAATTATCTATTGTCATCTATTCGTAACCACTTTTCCTTCACGGGGAACTCTTCCCGCAGTGTCTAATTATAATCTCCCTCAAGCCGCACGGAGGCAGGACATCACAAGCCTGGTACCCTACTCCTCCTCCTCCGCCTCGGTGCAGCCCACGCCAGGCGCCGCGATATCAAACGCGTACACATCAATGGCAAAGTACTGGAGCGTGTCGCTGTCAATAGCCGACTTGGCCGGGTCGGTCTTGGCCAGCTCGAGAACGGCCTCGTAGTCCTCGGCGTAGTGCTCGACGAGGTTCTCGCTGATCTGCGGCACGTGCAGGACGCGGTGCAGCAGGTCGGTGGCCCAGAAGGTGTTGAGCGGCGAGCCGACGACGGTGTGGCCCAGGCCGCACACCGAGTCGAGCCAGCGCCGCTTCGCGTACGACGGCGGGCAGATGACCGTCTCCTGCGTCGCGTTGGCGCCGCGCCAGTGGCCTGCCCATTCTGTGTACGGTATCATGGTTAGTTTCTAGAAGTCCGAGAGACGGTATTAGTGGTGGGACGTACCATCCTGCGTCGCGCAGTTCTCATCCGGGTCGTCGCAGCGAAATGTCATATTTCCTCTGTCGCCTAATGCCACGCGGCTGAACCAACCCAGGGGCATGGCGGTCGAAGCCAGAGGGGTGCCATCGGTGCCGTTGCCGGTGCCGAAGTACTTCTGCACAAAGGGCGAGGCGCCGCCGAAGCGGAGGATGTGGTCACGCGCATGAGCGGCGAGCTCGACCGTCTCATCGAGAGCCCGCTCCAGTTGTCTCCGAAGAGTGCTGTTGCACGAGGAGTGGATGGGAAAGGAGGTCACGGCGCCGGCGGTGAAGTCGTAGGGGGTGGGGGTTGAGCTCGCCGAGGCGGTGGAGGAGGGGGTGGTGGTTGTGGTGTCTTGGGCTGATGAGGCGGGGAGGGCCGATGTGCCGGCCGCGAGGAGGCACACGGCGGAGAGGATGGAGGAACGCATGGTGAATTATGTGTGAATAGTGTCGTTGAAGGACGGTAATCACTGTGTAACCTTCTCACTACCTAGTGTTGGGAGGCAGCCCCCAGCTAAATACTCGAAGCCGAACTATGCGACTTTTTCGCCTGTGGGGGTTCTCTCTCGGCATTCTGGAGGCAGAGCTGGAGAGCAAGGGTCTCTCGGTGTGTTTTCTCACCTTAGTGTGGTGGTACAACTGGCTCGCCAGCTCGATCGGCTTCTCTAGACTCCAATCTGGAAGTAAACCCGGTTCCTTCAGCATTATAAGGCAGGAGAATAGGCAAGCCTTCGCTTGGCAGTCAAGGATGACGCTTCTTTCTGAGCTGACGATGCGGGTGTTCGTGGCTGGGGACAAGGGAACACTCACGGGCTGCAGATAATACCACATGGACTGATTGGTTGAGAGAACAATGTTGTTGAGAGAAGGCAGGAAACCCCTCAGAAAAGCCTGACTGAGAACCTTGATGGCTTTACGTTATGGCTCGCGGTTGGTTCCCCCTCACGATGCGGAGGTGGCCATCAAGGTGCCGCCAAGCATCCCATTCTTTTCGTGAGTACCACCACAGTCCGGGCTGAACTGCTGCTGAGGCCTCGTTGGAACCAAGTTTCCTGGATTCCAGAACTGCCCTTTCGGATGAACTGCCATAACCATGTGGTGGCCCCCACGCTGCGGTGACCAACCAACAACTCGACCCCTTCGCTTGGGAACGGCTTGAATATAAACCCACGGTCTTACCGAGTCCTCGGATCCAGCAACATGAGCATACCTCTCAACGGTCAACGACTCAACACCACCAAGACGGAACAAGCAAGATTCGAATCTATTAGAAATCATCATTTATCGATTCTTCACAAAAGACCCTGTTCAGACGACAGTTTTTAGAATATTAAACGCCAACGACCAACCCCACAATCCTAGGAAATCGTGGCAGCTATCGCATGGTCCAATCGGTACTGGTATGGTTTCCTGGACGGTCGCCTGGCATTTCGAAGACGGCGTTCTGCACAGGTGCTTCTGACATGTGACCCATCGCAACGGGGTCTGGCGATTTCGGTCCGTAATGGTCCGTGTATTGATCCCTGTAGACCGGTGACGCCATAGTAGTACCATCGTGCATCGGCGTGGAAGCCATCATCTCCTGCGGTGACGCCTGCCCCATCCTCCGCCTCCTCCACCAAATCATACCAGCCGCCGCGACCAACAACGCTCCCCCAACAGCCGCCCCAACCCCAATACCCGCCATCGCCCCCGTCGACAAGCCACCAGCTTCCTCTCCCCCGCCATCGGCACCAGCACTACCACCAGTTCCAGTACCATCACCACCATCACCACCATCACCACTCTCACCACCCTCACCCCCATCCCCATCCCCACTCCCCGTAACCGTACTCCCCCCACCCCCCTCCAACCCTTCCACATCCCCCTCCTCCAGCACCCTCCAAACCCCCTCCCACGACCTCTCCCAATCATTCCCGCCCCCCTCCACCCCCCCATCCACACCCACCGCATCCACCCCCGCCGGTATATTCGGCCCCGGCGCCTGCGCCAACCACGACCTCCCCCCTTCCCAATCCGCACCCAAAAACACGTCCTGAAAGAACGCCCGCCCCAGCACATACTCCCCCCCGGGCGCGCCGCCCGTGTAGCAGGGGAAATAAGGGAGGGGGTTATCAGTGAAGGGCGGGGTGAGGGTGAGGTTGAGGTGGGGGAAGGGGATGTGGATGGTGACGGGGGAGGCGGTGTTGCTGGCGCCCATGAAGGTGAGGGCGAGGGTGGAGGCGGAAGAGGTCAGGAGGTGGTAGCGCGGGGAGGAGGTGTTCCAGAGGTAGAGGCCGAGGCTCGCGTTGTGGGTGACGGGGAGGTGGGCGGCGATGGCGTCGCAGGTGGGTTTGGGGAGGGTGAGGTAGGGCGAGCAGGGGTCGAGGGTGATGGGGAGGTTGGCGGTCGCGTCGTCGTTGGCGCTGTCTTGACTCCTGAGGAGGTTGGGGATGGTGGTGGGCGCGGCGGTGTTGCCGGTGTTGCCGGTGGTGGAGGGGGGGAAGGGGGAGGCGCCTTTGATGACGTGCAGGGAGATGTCTTGGAGGGTGGTGGGTTTGCCGAAGTCGGCTTCGAGGGAGAGGATGGGGCCGATGACGCGGTTGCGGTCGTAGCCGCCGAAGACGAGCGAGCCGGGCATTCTGGCGGTGACGCCGGCTGAGCCGTAGTGGAGGCCGAAGGAGCTGGACGGGGTTTCGCCGGAGGATTCGAGTGCCCAGGGGATCATGCTGGCGTTGATGGTTGGTTCCCCGTCGCCGCGGGTGAAGACTTGTTGCGAGTCGGTAGCGCCGATGCTGAGACAGCCAGTGAAGATGGGGTAGAAGGTGCCGTCGGGATAGACAAACACCTGGGAGCTATCCTCGATGAGGGTGATCGAGTGGTTCTTGACAGTGGCAGTACCAGACGCGAACTGCATCTCAATGTCCTCGAGATACATGTTGGCGGTCCCGCGGGCTTCAATGCCCGCGGTTACCCCTTGAGTGTCCGGTGTGTATCTTATTGTTTTGTCATCAGCCACGACGTCGTCTTTGAGGTAAGTCCCCGAAACGCAGTGAGGCACCGAGTTGTTGAAAGCGCAATAGTCGGACGTGGTAACATATGTGTTGAACCTGCGACCTGGGAATATAGCAATGTTGGGCTGGGACCCGAAGGAGACTTCGACAGCGTTCCAGGGCCCATCTGGGCCAAAGGCTTCCTTAGACCATACCACCTGTTTTGGTTCCGCGGCGAGAGCAAGCCCGACGAGTAGCGTGAACAGGCTGAACCGGGTTATCATTGCAAAACGTCTTATCCAGGCATTATGTTGTGTCAAGAAGGATGCTAGAAGAGAAAACAACAACACCAGAGGAAAATAGCGGGAGAAGAGACAACCCAGTCACTTATGGGACCAGCAGGCTCCCACCCTCCTTCTTCTTCATTCATGGTGAAACCTTGCCTCTACATAATGCTCCTTGCCCTTGTCCCTAGCCTGATGGGAGGGGGAAGGGGGAGGGGGGGGGATCAAAGATGCAATCATGCAAATTAGGTACCACCTTATGGTTGAACACACCGGGGACTTCGGGATGCTCGGGACTGGGACTGTGCCGCACGGCGATGCTGTCAACGACCAGGCATCACTGACAAGGAGAAATTAAGAGGATTTAAAGAGCCGCGATTGGATGGGGGTGGTGAGAGTTCTGGTACGATTGGCCATCCTGGCGATGCGGTTCTTTGGGCTCGTGCAACCCGACGCACTGGAACCGAAAAGACAGCAAGTTTCAGGCCGATCCCTATCTTCCACCAACATGCTGGATAAGACCAAGGCTCCTCACAACGCAAATCTCGTCAAACAAATCAAACAAATCCAACGCAAATCAACGCAAATCGACCTCCCAGTCAATCAAATAAGCTGTTCGATTTGCGTTGTGAGATTTGGCAGATTTGCCAAGCCAGATAGTGTGGCTGGGTCCTGCAAAATGCACTCGAAATGCCGTCAACCGCCACAACCGCCACAACCCTAACCCTAATTATGACCGCCAGCACCAGCTGGAACTGTCAACAGACGGATGAGATGGGTGAGTTCGGCGTGAGGGTTAAATTGGGGATTTGCTTTGACCCAGGGCAAACAAATTAAATCAGATCAAATCTGGGAAAATTTGGCGCAAACAAACCAAATATACCCTCAGATTTGCTTTGTTTGCGTTGTGAGGAACCTTGGATAAGACCGGTCGGACCGCTGCCGTCTTGCCGCCGATAGGAGCGTTTTAGGCATAGTACGCCGCAGGCGCGCATTCGCCGGCTATGTCAGCATCTGGTTGGTGCTGCTTGCGCCGTGTTGGGTCCATGGCATCAACCCCCTGTTCAATGTTGGCGAAGATGGTTTAGGGTTTTGGAGGGCTGATCACTCCTCCTTTTAAAAGCTGAGTGAGTCCCCGGGCCCCAAACCGGCAGGGCTGACGGGAATCCTACCCGAAATTCAAAGACGCCATCATCTCACCATGCCTGGCCGGGAGGTTTTCAAAACCTTTTGGCCCCAAGCAACATCAACCATGCCCAACGGCGACATGGCGGCGGGTGATTCAACGCCTCTCAAGGTCACGAATATCCTATCATCCCGAAAACTCCGCCTGTTAATCCCTGCCACCTTATTCATCGGCATCTATATCGTTTTCGGCCACCGTTACACTTACGATGCACTCTCCAATATTCCGAGCCCCGCGGCGTGGAGCAAAGGGCAGCCGGACAGCACGACGCCGACGGACGAGAGTGCGGTTGACTGGTCACAATTCGCCTACACGCAGTACGTGACCGACAATGAGTATCTGTGCAATTCGGTCATGCTGCTCGAGCGACTGCAGCATGTTAATAGCCGCGCCGACCGCGTCATGATGTACCCGTCGTACATGCTGGACCAAGGCGCAAAGCCAGGCAGCAGTCCCACTAGCAGCAATGCCCGGTTGTTGATCAAGGCTCGCGATGAGTATGGTGCCAAACTTGTGCCTATTGAGGTCCAATCTCGCGAGGGCAATGATAGTGCGTTTTCCCCAACACCCGAGGAAGCAGATAGAGTTGCTAATCTGGGAACTGCCGTAGAAACTTGGGCTGAGTCCTTTACCAAGCTCCTCGCCTTCAACCAGACCCAATATAAGCGTGTGCTATCCCTTGATTCCGATTCAGTCGTCCTACAAAATATGGACGAGCTGTTCCTACTCCCGTCCTGCCCTGTCGCCATGCCACGCGCCTACTGGCTCTACCCCGAAACCAAGATTTTGTCGTCTCAGCTCGTCCTCGTCGAGCCGAGCGAGCACGAGTTCGCCCGCGTCATGGCCAAGGTCGACGCGGCGGGGCCTGACGACTACGATATGGAGATCCTCAACTACCTGTACGGCGACACGGCGCTGGTGTTACCGCATAGGCCATACGACCTCCTCACGCAGGTATTCCGGTGGGAGGGAGACGAGTACGCCAAGTATCTCGGCGACGAAAACGAGGCGTGGGATCCTGTAGCCGTGTTCAATGAAGCCAAGTTCCTGCACTTCTCCGACTGGCCCGTGCCGAAGCCGTGGAAGGAGAACACCAATTTCCGAAATCAGAAGCAGCCGGCGTGCCGTGTACGAAAGGGTACCGAATATTGCGTGGAAAGGGACTTGTGGAATGGCTTCTACGAGGACTTTATGCAGAGGCGCAAGGTACGAACCTCTTTTTTCTTTTGCCAACTGAGTTCTATGCTAACGGTTATTATAGCGGATATGTTAGCATGTTTTAGATGGACCGTGAGCCCGTTGCCTGTGTTAATCAGCGGTCCAACGGTCCTTTGTTTTCTTGGATAGTCCTGGCGGTCAGATTTTGTGCACATCAAAGAAGCGGGCATTTCATCCGGCGTTTGGTCTGGCGTTGTACGGGCATGGCGGGCGCCCCATACCGGTTTTCAAATGGGAGCTTTCGAGTTTGCTGTTTTCTGATGTTCTTGTTCCTTCGAAAGACAGTGGATGCATCACGGCGTTCTAAGAAGCCCATCTAGTCTCGTACCAGGCGGATGGCGGCGATGGGGTGTATCTGAGCTGGGATATGGCTTAGAGCAGGTCGGTAGACGGTTCGTTCTGCGTTAACGGTAGACACGAGACGAGGCTCTAGCATAGCTACCCGAATGTACATGCAGTTCAGTCACTCCAACGATACGACGAGTTGGTCTGAGTATTGCTCCCCACGCATGCTGAAATATGACCAGAATTATGTCCTCGCGTCTGTGAAGTGTTGAAGCCCGGCACTTAGGTACCTAAACAAAGAACACACACAAGATATCATTCTGTGCAGTAAGATATCGCAATAAGAACATCATCGTTGTATTTTAGATTTTAACCCACGACCCCTTTACGCGCCGTGAGTCTAGTTGTTGTTTACAGCGCCCCTTCCCGCTGCAGCCAGCTCTTCACGGACTCCCTCACATCCTCATACGGCACACCGATCAACCCGTTCGCGCTCTCCTCCTCGGGCAGCCCGTTGCCCGCGCCGTCCGCAGAGTTGTGCGCCCTCAACAAGTCCACAAACGCCGAGTAATCACCCGCCGCGAGCTTCGCCTCACCACTCTGTTGCAGATCCGCCGACTTTATCTTCGTGACTGCCAACTTCCATCCCGTCAACTCCTCCACAATCGCAATCAGCTCGTTCTGGGAGAGGTTAAACGACGCTGTGGCGATGTACTTGTTCGCCGTCTCGTCGGGGTGCTTCAAAATGCCCGCCACAACCCTACCGATCTGCGCGAGGGTGCTGGCGTACCACTTCTCGTCGCCCGAGTCGATGACAGTGGCCGTCTTGTCCTTTATATTGACGGTACCTAACCCGCTGCGTTCGAGGCCCTGGAATCCCATTAGCCCTCGACCATAACCACCACACCACCCCCTCCCACCAGAGAGAGCAAAAAAGAACGACCAACTCACCCAATCAAAAAACAACCCCGTCGACACCCCCGTCCAACTCAACCCCCCCTCCCCTCCAGTCCTCTCAACAACCCCCTCCAAATAATCCACCACCCCCACCTTCCCCGCCAACACCCGCCCAATCGGCCTCTCCCGCACCAGACGCGTATGGATGCCAAACTCGGACGGCACGAACCTCTGCACGCCCGCCGCCACCGCCGCATCCACCGCCGTGTGCTGCGTGCCGACCGCCTGCGTGCCCACCGCCGACACCACCGCGTCCTGGCCGGAGAAGGCGGCGGTGAGGGATTCGACCGAGGCGTAGTCCGCTGTGAGGGTGCGGGTGTCGGGGGGGAGGTTTGGGGTGGGAGGGTTGGTGGTGGTGGTGGTGGTGTTAGTGCTGGGGGTGGGGGAGGGGCGGGTGATGGCGGTGACGGTGAAGCCCGCGTTGTGGAGGGCGTGGATGAGGGAGGGGCCGAGGTTGCCTGTGCTGCCCTGGGGGTTGGGGAGGTGGGGGTTAGTATGGGCATGATGTGGTTGGGGTTTGGTGGAAGGGAGGTAGGTAGGTACTTACTCCGAGAACGGCTACTGTTTTGATGGGGGCCATGATGGTGTTTTGGTTTCAACGTTTGTTTTAATACCTAGACTGTTCAGTGTTCTTCGTGCGTGGAGACGGACTTGACAGTGAGGTGAGAAAGAAAAAAAACCCATGGCCAGGATCGTACATAGCAGACTAAATACCTAATGGTCCCCACCCAGGTATGTGCTATGTTGCAACAGTCGCGTAGTATTGCGTGGAACGGTTGAGCTTCCCCGAAGGTGGGGTCATGACGACTTAGACGTCTCCACGAGAGGACCCCTTACGGCCGACTAAGCTCGGCAGATGAAACCTGGCCACTTGGAACGTTGATCAAGGAAAGTGTCCGATTTCAGGAGTATGGTGAGATAGTGGAAACCACCATATCACTTGGGTTTTGTCTCAACACATGGGAACATGACTCGGGATCCACCTAGTAGTCACGGGCTACTAAGCTAAAAGTGTACATATAACGAGAGACATACTTAAGGTCGGCTTGTTTGCTGCCACCCCTGACTTACGTTACGAGCTCGCGATATGAGCGCAAATCGACGTGACAGGATCTGATTGCGGATTTTGCTACCCTTGAACATACTGAGTATCACAACTCTTCCCTAACTAACCAGTGTCACATCTCATCGGGCACAAGGGTGGTCTTGGACGGTGCATCACTCATCACTTTCCACCTACACGCGAGAATAGGCAAAACAAACCGTCCATATCGGAAAGAGACCATAAAATATATTTTGATGCCTTCGCAGCGCCCCCTTCTTGCCACCGTGCTCCCAAGCTCTTGTTGTCCGTCCCAGAACAAGAACAGATGGTATCTAATGACGCCGAGAGAAAAACAGAACTCCCTCCAGCGGGATGAAACTGAGGAACGGTTCCACAAACGGAATAAGGAATAGAACTGTGCGATGAAAAACCGCCAAAGTCCTTGAAGCAACAATCTGTACAACCCCCTCCGTGTAAAGCACGTGCCGACGACCAGCTCCCCCTCTCAGCATGGTATGCGTATTTACCGCGGCATCCCTAGGGCCCAGCATGCTGTCTGCTACCCGGCAAACTCCTTGGCCTTCCGCGCCAATATCCTGATATTATTGACCAGCCCGTCCACCACCTCCACATACTGATGCGGCTGGCCCTCCATAGCCCTGCGCCCCTGCTCAATGACGGGAGTCGGGTCGATTTCTACCTCGAGCTCATGCTCTTTCTCCGTGCGTTGGGTATTCTGGAGCTTGTTAGTAACCGATACACCCCCGAGACCACGTCCAAAACTTACGGTAACCCCCGCCACACTCTGAGTAACCTGGGTCAGATCGACCTGATAGCACCCGTGCTTGTAGCTCAACCGGTCCTTCATCCGCGCCGGGATAGGCGGGCGCCCTGTCGAGCCCGCCATCTTCTCCAGGTCCTCGATCGAACCGTCCCAGTCCATCTCCAGGTTGATGCTGATGCGGCAGTCGAGAGGCAGGTCGGGAAAGTGGATACTCAGGTCGGCAATGCGTGCCTTGATGATCTTGTCGAGGATCTTGTTGGTCTTCTGGTCGTACGAGACCCGTACCTTGACGCCGTGGCCCTTGGCGGCGATGGGTTTAGCAACACACACAGGCAGGAGGCGGTCGCGGACCGAGACGGGTAGCTCAAAGAACTTGTCGACCTCGCGGCGGTGGCGGTACTCAATGGGCAGGCGTGGCCGGGGTAGCGCCGCGCTGGCAGCTTTATTCGCCGGGTGTGTCTGCTGCACGAGGAAATTGAGGAATTCGTTGAAGGACCTGTGTTGGATCTCGGTCATGCTAGACCGGAACCCGAGCCAGTTGCCGTTGTCGTTCAGTACGCACTCGGACTGCACGGGGAGCTCCACTCGCTGATTAGTGCTCTTGTCGATGAGCATGCCGAGTTTAGCTTCGACCTCGAACTTGACGCCGCGGCTTTGGATTTCACCCATGTCTTCGTTGAGGATGACGTATTGGAATAAAAAGTCGGCGACTTGCTTAGTGAATTGCTCCTGCGGGACTGAGTTGGTGATGCTGGCTTCCCATGGCCCCAGTAGACCCCATTGGTTTCCGGCATCCGGCGGAACGCTCGCGGCTGGTGTGGTGGGCGCCGCCGTGCGTTTCTCTTCCGGCGAGGTATGTCGACTTTGCAAGCGTTCGGGTCGGGCCGGCTGGTCTGGTTGACGATCGGGTTTGCCGTTGACCTGGGGTCCAGAATGCGGGACCGGTTGATAAAGAACGCGGTTGGGATGGGCCGGCGCCCGATCCATGAGCGACTCTGCCCACCTCGGGACGGCCCGGTGCGACACCCTTCTTTTCATCGCCTTCATCGCCATGATTGGGCGTTGCATCGGGGCGCCGGGATCGGAGTGGGTCGGACGTCCGTTTTGTTCTTCAAACGGAGGCGGTCGTGTTTCTCGTTTTTCTAGCTCGTCTGGTCGTAGTTCCCTGTCGTCGAGTTTCCGTTTGGCTGGTGTGGCGGCGCGTTCTGCCATCGTTGGAGCGGAAGGGATTTGGTTGGAGTAGGGTTCGAGTTCGGAAACCGAGGTGCCGGGGCGACCAGAGCTGCTTGGCAAACTGGGGACTCGTGTTTTTGGACTCACGCTAACGCTTCGCTCCCTGTCGCTCTGGGGTTGCTGCGTCCGGGCTGAATCCTGACTACGCGAGTCCTGGATGCTGTGAACGCTCGAATGCCTGGGAAGTGAGGGCGGAGGCGGCGGCGGCGGCGACGTTTGTGAAGTCGGATGGATTCCCGGCCCCGGCAAGCGCTGTTGGTATGGGCTTGGCGGCCCGTAACCGCCGACGACTTGCACTGGGCGAGCGGACAATGGGACCGTTCCCCCGGGGGTCGGTGGTTGTGAAGATTGGCGTTGGTAGGGGTCCGCTTGTTGAAGAGGACGCGGTGCTGCCACGGGACTCCCCTGGGCGAAAGGCGCGCCGTACTGTGCAGATTGGCTGTGGGCCGAGGTTGGCGTTGGTGTGGACTGCATTGATTGAGCCCGATGCAAAAAGGAATGCCCTGTGCCCGGGGTCGCGATCGGTGGAGTTTGGGGGATGTGAGACCCTTGCATGTACGGCCCGGCGGCCGGCGGGCCTGTCATACCCACGGCGGTCACGGGCTGGGGATAGCTGTCTCGGTGGTATGCGGCGCTTGGTGGGTACTGGTGTCGCTGCACGGGGCTCGTGGGATTTTGTTGTGGCGGGAAGGGATAGCCACCGGCGCTGCCCAGTGAGGCAGCTGGGGTTTGTCGGTATGGAGAGGCTACCGGTCCAGGGCCGAGACTCGGCGATCGGAGATCGTTCGACGGGATTTGTTGGAGCTGCGGCGGCGGCGGCCGGTTGGCGTAGGAATTCGGAGGTGCGGCCTGAAAAGGGGGCGGGGATGCGAACGGGCCAGACGACATATGGTGCGCGCCATAGTCGTGGGACATGTGCCGTCCGGGAGACGGTTGAGTCTGGCTGTAGTCGCGAAAAGCTTGTTGTGGATTTGCCTGCACCGGAGTCGACGGGGGCGCGGGTTGCTGCGCATGTTGTTGCGGCGGCGGCGGTTTGCTCGGGGCCCCTGCGGAAGGGACGTTATCGTTCAGCATGCCCCGGAGATCCATTTTTGACGTCGATTTCCGTTACTGATCCAACTTGTTCTTTCCGGGTGTGTTTGATCCTGTGTCCCACGCGACCAAGGGTTCAGACTCTTTGTTGCGTTCTGGTAACCCTGCTCTTGAAGACTGTCGAGTAATACGCCAAATCTACCGACAAGATGACGTAGACAAATCGGTTATTATGGCGTCGCGCGCGAAGGAGTGATGGTGTCTGTCAATGATCCAAATGGTTGCGACAAACGGGAGCGTCACATCGTCGAGTCGAGCTTTCGATCGGCAAGAGAAAAGCACGAGCGAGTCGAGTCGCCACTGTTTGCTCCCATATCAGGGACGAAATGAGATGAAAGCAGCGACGGGGCCCGAGGCTCGAGATAATGTTTGGCCGAACTACTGCACACGCGACGATATCGTCATGACATGGCGCGTGGGGGAGGAAGTTGGAGAGCTAAAAAGGCTGAAGTGTGCGCCAGAAGATGCGCCAGTGTGGATTTGCTCCTGCCTGGGACGCGAATGTGCTTGGCTGCTGCTCCAAATCACTGCCTAACAATGGGCGAGCATTCCGCATGCGGAAGCGCTCCCGGCTTGCGATTTCGATCTGTCAATTCAATTGGAATCAATGGTGAAAGAAAGGATACAGCTACGGAGGTTTTGGAACAGCTAAGCCACAGCGTGGAGCAAGTCGCAAGCGTTGCCGTTTGGCGCCGCGTGTTACAGAGTTCGAGAGGCACAAGAGCTCGCGGCCCGAAAGGCCAGAGAGCTGGCCTTGGAGGGGACATGGTGGGCTAGCCGTATTGGGTCAACAACAGAAGCGCAGAGTGGCTGAAAGAAAGATGGAGCGCACAAGCCACCTCTGGAGCCCGCAGTGCCGCCCCATACCGAGTCGTCGGAAAATCCCAGATCCGCGAAGCCGCTGATTGGATGACCAAGCGCAAGGCAGGAGCTTCCTGACGTGGACCAGCTGAGGCGTTGCCGCAGCCTGAGCTTCCAAACAGTTCGGCTCTCCTGTCCAACATCCAACACACCCTCGATCCGCCCAACAAATTCTCGAATCTATCCTCGATTTCGGTTGCGTCTGGAGTCGAGAGCGCCCCAGAAAATAGCGGTCGATTTTTGACAAACCGAACCCGATTTTTCTACCTACCCCTCATCACGTCACGATGCCGGGCCTCGTTTCTGCGACGGGCGTGCTGGGCTTCCTGGCTGACGAAGAGCCGGAGCTCAAGGTGTTTGCTCTCAAGACCCTCAACGATGACATCGATACCGTTTGGACCGAGGTCGCAGGGGCATTGAGCCAGATGTAGGCATTAGAGTACCGCCGTGGCCCTGGCGCGACGTTTGCTAACGGACGGAAACAGTGAGGCGCTGTACGAAGACGAGAGCTTCCCCGAGCGTCGGCTCGCCGCCCTTGTGCTCGCCAAGGTCTACTTCCACCTCCAGGACTACAATGAGAGCATGACCTTTGCGCTTGCCGCGGGTCCTCTCTTCAAGCTCGATGCGCCCAGCGAGTTCGAGGAGACTATCATCTCCAAGTGCGTTGACCAGTACATCGCCGTCTCATCGTCACGCCACACTCCGGCCAAGCAGTCCAAGAACGACGTTGCGCTGCCCGCCCTTGCCACCACTTTTGGCAGCGGCTCTCTCGATGGCTCGGCCTTGATCTCGCCCACCACCCCCTTCTCGCAGTCCATGTTGCCTTCAAAGTCCCTGCTGTCGCGCGACTCAGTCGACAACACAATTTTGGACCCTTCTTTCCAGCCGACGAAGGAGGGACGCTCCGCCTCGGTGGCCCAGATAACAGACAACACCACCTGGACCTCTCTGGAGAACGTCATTGAGCGGTTGTTTGAGAGCTGCCTGATCGAGAGCAAGTACCGGCAGGTGGTTGGTATTGCCGTGGAAGCGAAGAACTTGGACGTGCTCCGCAGGGTTATCAAGCGGGCTAGTGAAGAGGGGAAGCGGGACAAGTCCAAGGCGCAAGAGGGTGCCCAGGGTCCGGCCGAGGAGTTGATGGACTATGCCCTCAGCGTTTGCATGGATATTGTCCAGGAACGCGGGCTCCGGACCGAGATTCTGCGCCTGATCCTCGACCTCCTAAATGACATCCCGAACCCGGATTACTTCGCTATCGCCAAGTGCGTTGTTTACTTGGACTCTGACGAGGAGGCTTCTTCGCTACTTCTTCAGCTCATCACCAAGGGCGACAACAACGCGATTGCAGTTGCCTATCAAATCGCCTTCGACCTCTACGACAACGGGACACAAGAGTTTTTGGCCAAGGTGATCAAAGCTCTGCCCTCTGGTGAGCCGCCGAAGAAGCCCGAAGCGGAGCAGCCAGCCGAGGGCGCTGCTGAATCCGAACCCCTGCTGGAAAACGAGGAGAACACCGAAGAAGAGCTGCCCGAGGAGGTTGCAAAGGTTTACAGGAACGTCCGATCAATTCTCGATGGAAGCACCACGATCAAGCTGAACCTCGAGTTTCTCTATCGCAACAACCATACCGATTTAAGCATTCTTAACAAGGTCCGCGACAGCTTAGAGGCTCGCAACTCTATTTTCCACACCGCGGTCACCTTCTGCAACGCCTTCATGAACGCCGGAACCACCCACGACAAGTTCTTCCGAGACAACCTTGAATGGTTGGGCAAGGCTGTGAACTGGTCCAAGTTTACGGCTACTGCTGCGCTCGGCGTTATCCACCGTGGAAATACTAGCCAATCCCGTAAACTCCTCGAGCCATACCTCCCGAAGCAAGGAGGGGTATCAAGCGGTTCTATCTTCAGCCAGGGTGGCGCCCTTTACGCCTACGGTTTGATTCACGCGAACCACGGAGCTGAGGCGTTGGGCTACCTCCGGACCATGTTCAACGCCGCCGACGAGGAAGTCATCCAGCATGGCGGTGCCCTGGGTCTAGGTATTGCCGGTATGGCTTGCGGCAACGAGCAGATTTACGAGGAACTCACAAAGGTGTTGTTTGCGGATTCTGCACTCAATGGTGAGGCTGTTGGCTTGGCCGTTGGCCTGATCATGTTGGGAACCGGAAACGCCAAGGCTCTGGAGACCATGTTCACTTACGCCCACGAGACGAGCCACGAGAAGATCGTCCGCGGCTGTGCTCTCGGCATGGCGCTCATCATGTATGGGCGGCAAGAAGGGGCAGACAGCATGATCGAGGGTCTTTTGAACGATCCCGACCCGACACTGCGGTATGGAGGTATCCTCACCGTGGCCCTGGCGTACTGCGGAACGGGAAGCAACAAGGCGGTCCGGAAGCTCCTGCATACCGCCGTCAGTGATGTCAACGACGACGTGCGCCGGATTGCTGTCATGAGTCTCGGCTTTATCCTCTTCCGCAAGCCCGGCAGCGTTCCTCGCATGGTCGAGCTGCTTGCCGAATCGTACAACCCCCACGTACGGTATGGCTCCGCTATGGCCCTCGGCATCGCATGCGCCGGTACTGGACTGGACGAGGCTATCGATCTGCTCGAGCCGATGATGAAGGACCCGACCGATTTCGTCCGGCAGGGCGCGCTCATTGCGCTATCTATGATCATGGTTCAGCAAAATGAGGCCATGAACCCCAAGGTTACCGCCATCCGCAAGACCTTGAGGAAAGTGGTCGGTGACCGCCACGAGGACGCCATGACCAAGTTTGGTGCCGCCCTTGCCCTGGGTATCCTCGATGCTGGCGGCCGAAACTGCACTATCGGTCTGCAGACGCAGACGGGTAACCTCAACATGGCGGGTATTGTCGGGATGGCCGTCTTCACTCAATATTGGTACTGGTTCCCGTTCACGCACTTCCTTTCCCTCAGCTTCGCGCCTACGTCGATCATCGGCCTCGACCATGACCTTGAGATGCCCAGCATCAAGTTCCACTGCGCAACGCGCCCGAGCCTGTTCGACTACCCCCCTGAGCAGGAAGTCAAGGTGGAGGAGGGACCCGCCTTGGTTACGACTGCTATTCTGTCGACTACCGCCCAGGCCAAGCGCCGCGCTCAGAAGAAGGAGCGCGCGCAGCGTCGCGAGAGCATGGACATCGACACCCCCACCATCACCAAGGCGCCCGCGCCGGCCGGTGACAAGATGGACGTAGACGACGAGAAGAAGCCCAAGGCGGAGGAGTCGAAGGAGAAAGAGGGCGACGTGGCGGTCGAGAAAGAAGACTCGGCTACGCCGGAATCGAAGAAGAAGGCTGAGAAGGAGAGGGTGGGTTACGAGATCGAGAACATGTCGCGTGTCCTCCCGGGCCAGCTCAAGTACATTAGCTTCCCTGCCGGGCGCTACAAGCCAGTGAAGAAGGTAGGTCTCATTAGTCTCATTAGCCCCTCTGATGTTATCCGTTCAGTCAGCTGACCATTATCATAGCCCACTGGCGGCCCGATTCTCCTCGACGACACGCAACCCGGCGAGGCTAAGAGCCTGATCGAGGAGAAGCTCAAGAAGGTCACCACCGAGCGTGCTCCTGTGGCGGGCGCCGCGGCGGCCCCTGGTACTACCCCGCGCAACGCGGCGCAGTCGCTGCTCTCGAACTGGTCCTCGCGGGCGATGACCGGCGCTGGCAGCGGCAGCAACATTCAGGACCTGAACGACCTGCTCCAGCTTACGGCGCGTGGGGCACAGGGACGTGCGGCCGAGGTCGGTAGCGGAGCCGCCGCCGCGGCCGGTGTGCTCACGGCTGTGGATGAGGATAATGAGGGCGACGAGGAGGCTCCGGCTCCGGCGGACTTCGAGTACTTCACGGATGCCGAGGAGGACGAGGAGTAAAGGGGGCTGGTGAAGAGAGGAGCGCTGTATATTACTGTTGTAATTTTGCCTTGGGAGAGGCAAGGATAGACAATCTTGACCCCTCGGGAGTATTGCGCCGTTTCGATCGTCCCTTATCCCCCAGTGCTCAGCGTTTCCCCTGCCCTACCATATTTGGAATGCTGCACCGATGGCAACAGTGGTTGCTCGACAGAGCGCTTGCGGTCGGTCTGGATGGCTTGGCAGTGGAAGGATCCGGGTACGGAAGCGACGTCATCGACCCGCCAAGTGTTGCCGCCGCCAGACATGCTCGAATTGAGCAACCACGACCACCCAACTGCCTTAAAAGGCCAATCCTAGATTTCAGATTTGGTGTTCCTGTAATAATAATAAACCAAGCATTTTATTACCATTTTTACCCTAGGTCTTTTACAACCCACCAACACTGACATCAATCATCCCATCCCAAGCAACCCTTCAAAACCCCCCACCACAAAGAGAAACGGAATGGCGGACGAGTACCTCATCCGCGTAACCGCCGGCACAGACTACGACCCAGACTCGCACATCGAGGTGCCGGTCAACGACCCCAAACCGGTACGTATCGCCAGCGACCTTCTCGACGCAGACCTGTGTGTGCGGGTCAACAACTACCGCGGCCTGCCCCGCGCCGCGCCCAAGTCGTCGCCGTATTTTGAGTGCGAGCCGCATCGGTATAATGGGGATCAGTACTCGATTGCGGTACGGTTTCGGTTGAAACGGCCTGAGAGTGGTGACGGGGAGTCTGCTGGAGAGCATCGGGAGGGGAAAGGTGGGGCTAAGGGGGAGAGGAAGAAGGGCACCGAGGAGGGCGAGGGAACGGATGCAGAGAACGGTGGTGAACTGAAGGGGGGTGATGAAGCGGGAGAGCAGCCGGATGGGGTTCTGGGTACGGATCTGCAGTTCGGCAACGACTTCGACCATGCGATCCGCGACCGACTGCCGCCCGGGTTTGGCACGGCGATGAACATCGTCAAGTGGTGGATCGATCCCGGGCTGGAGGGGGACCCGTACGCCGACGTGCCCTATCTTTACGGCCCCGCCCTGAGCTCCTTCAACACGGTCCATGTTGGTGAGGGCGAGCAGGACGAGGCAAAAGGCGGTTTGTGGTTGGAGGAAGGGGGTGATGAAGCGGGGATGGAGTGGCGGAGGGACGTCGGCGCGCCGGATGATGCTAAGCAGAGGATGAAGTGGGCTTTGAGGGCGGAAAATAAAGAGAAATGGGTGTGGGAGTATGACAGGGCGTACGGTGTCGATTTCTTCAACCCATACATTGACTTCAATGAGTTCGCATTGCGGTTGCCGGGATTTAACTTACCGATCATGAAGTATTGGGATGGACAGGGGTTGAGGTACGTTTCCTATCTTCTTTTACCGCCTTTTCTCCAATTCAGTGTCAATTCTGAGTGGACGGACAAAAACAAGTCTTACACATTGCAGGCATCGCCGCAAACGCTCACATCAGCTCAGATACGTCCTCCGCAACCGGTCGACGGGGCAGGTTTATCTTGTCGTGCTGTTCACCTTGCACTTGGCTGAAGATGTCAACGAGGATGGTACGCTGAAGCCTGCGGCGCTGGAAGCTATGAAACGGGGCAAGGGGCAAAAGGAGCAGGCGTTCCTCGGACCCGAACCGGACCTGGAGCTTGAACCCGACGAGGAAGACTTTAACGAAGAAGAGATCTTGAGTGAGGCAAGGCGGAAGCTATCAGGTGTGGATTTGAACGGCGACAGTGGGACGAAGGCGGACGATGTAGATTGAGGTTAGATGCATCTAGAGGGCGACGAGCACGTTGTGATACTGCATAAAGAGCTGGCTTGTTTGTCGTCAATAAATTCTCGAGGGTATCATGCAGGACATACGTAGATGAACGCTATAGGTACGTCTAACAATGCTTCCCCAGGACCAGCCCTCACCCGTGGATCACGCTGATCCGAGTTGCTATGGCATCGCCGTCAGTACTTTGTCCACTCAGCTTAGTGTCAGGTGGCGGGCTTACACTAGCAAACGGGCTCCTCGCCCTAATCCTATCCCCAAAGAACATCAATACCCACGGCACAACCGTCAACAGGGTCGCGATACCTCCCAACAACCCCCCCGCCCCGGCTTCTCCCAGATTTCTAAACAATGGCCCCGTCACCAGCGGGAACGCGCCGCCAAGAACGTTTCGGCAAAATGATTGCGCAGCGAGCGCAGAGGAGGCGTACTTGTGGTAGGTGTCGGCAAAGTAGTTGAACACAGCCAAATAGATGGAGAGAATGCCCATCGTCGCCAGAACCAAGCCAATCGCGGGGCCGATCCAGTGAATCTCGGGGCGGGAGGCGAAGCCGAAGATGAAGAGCCCGATGGGCAAGAACGTGCTGGTCACACAAGTGAAGTAGAGGCGGGATTCGGGGGCGGAAGCGGGGAAATGCCGGCGGAGGAAAGCCCACATGCGGTCGGTGCGTGTATGCGGAGGGGTGCCAGTCGCGGATCGGTTTTTACTGGCCGAGTCATCGGAACAGTGGCCGCTGATGGTGTTGGTACCTGGATCGATAGAGGTATCTGCCCATTTGGGGTGGTAGAGGATGCGATCTTGCCAGAGCCCGATGGCAGTCGCAAAGATGGCGCCGATTATTAGCGACACAAATACGTAGCCCGACTCTTCGAGGGTCCAGCCGTAGATGTGCTGAAACACCAGCGGGATGGAACCAAACGTCAGGTAGAGGATTCCCCACGCAAAGGCTACCCAGAGCGAGAAGAAGAACACCACGGGCTCTGTGAAGAGTAAGTGGAATGGTCGCGAGATGGAAGTGGCGATCATTTTGCCGAGTGATGCCCGTTCCTCATCCTCCTTAACCAGCCACCGGATACGCCTCAAGACGGCTGTTGGTCGCGGATGATCCGAAAGTGGCCCCTTTTCCTCGTCCCGACCATCCACGAGTGGCCCATCACACAAACCCTCACCTTCGACCTCCCACACCCCGAAATACCCTTCCGCTTCCAACTCTTCATACCACTTATTTAACGCCCTCGCTTTCCTCGACAACAACACCGACCCGCGGCTCTCCTTGAAAAGTACCACTAGCAGCAGAATCGTCACACCCCCCATGATAACCTGATGCCAAAAGATCCACTTCCACTTCCCCGCCTCGGCCAACCTCTCCGCCATGACCGCGCCTACAAGCGGCCCAGCCCCCGTCCCAGCCAGCACACTCCCACTAAACACCGCCATGGGCGTATTCCTGCCCTTAGCATCCCACATATCCGCAATGACGCCACCCACCATGGTGCTAAACACCGACGCCCCCACCCCCACCAAGAACCGCGCGATCAACATCCCCGCCAGATTCTCCACGACACCACACACCGCCTGGAACACGACATACACCACCCCGGCGACCACGAACACCGGGTAGCGGCCGTTCATCTCGGACAGCGGCGCCAGCACCATGGGCGCCAGCGCGAAGCCCAGGCAGAAGGTCGTTATCCCGGTCAGCACGGCCTCGTCGGATGGGTGGCCCTCCAGCGCGTCTTGGATCAGGTTCTGCGGTGGGGAGTACGACCCGGCCGTGTAGGCCGTCAGCCAGGTCGCCACGCAGGAGAGGGTGAGCATGACGTATTTGCGGGAGGATGGCCATGTTTGGGGGTTGCTGTAGCGTGTGAGGTCTGGGGGTGGGGGTGGGTTGTTGTTGCTGTTGTGCTTGTTGTGTGGTGGCGGTTTGTTGTTGTTGGGGGAGGGGTGGCGGGCGGTGGTGTTGGGGTTTGGGAGAGGGGTTGCGAAGGTGAGGTAGAGGTGGGCGATCTCGGTGGTGGCGTCCGGGCCGTTGTAGGCTTGTGGTATTGGTGTGCTGGCTTGGGAGAACGGTGCTGATGATGGCGTCGGATCTATGCCGTCATGATCCCCGGCGGGAGGGTGGGTGTGGCGTGTCCCGGCCATGGCTACCGGCCAGTTTGCTATCACCCTTCCGTGACGGCTGAGAGAGGGTGGTTGATCAAAGGATTCCGCGGTCAAGTTCAACACTTTCCGTCAACTTGAAGTTACAAATGGAATCTGAGAAATACCGAGGCACTCGTCAGGTGGAAGGCGTGCAGTGGTGGGTTTCTTCTTCCACACGTCGGGAGCCGTGAATTGGAGAAGGAACAAGGGATGCGGACGCCAGGACCTTAAGATTCGACCTTACCATCTCTCGAAACAAAAGTGGTAGCTCGGACTCCGCATCGGAGTTTCCTCGCCATGCAAACGCCATGCTAAACCCGGGGAGATGGATCCAACACATCGATCTTGGGATGCAACCGAAGACACCAACGGGATGGAACAACCCAGTGCGGATCCCAGACGTGCCTTTCGGTATAACATGTCGCCCTCTCCTCCACACTCCCCTTTGGAAGTACCCCTGTATCCTACACGACCAGGTCAGCGGCAGAGTGGTAGATGCAAACTCTGCGTCAGTCACAGTCTTGCAGTGGACCGAGTAACTGAGATTTGCATGGTCCCAGCCGACAAACGAGAAACGCTGAGACGGCGATGGCAACTGCGTCCTGGGACATACTGAGTTGCTGAGTTGTCCCATCTCCGCGGCAACACATGGCCTGGTCTTGCATTTCTTTTTCCGGCCCGACTTTTGTGGAAACCCGGTCCATACCAATCGGCAAGACACGAGGGATCCCCGTTCCGCTGGAGATCAGGGATGGGGTATATCTTTTTTGAACATTCGCAGTTCGCAGGATGTCATTGAACAGTGGTGATTGGTGAAGGTCGAGGAAGGTGTGGCAATGGAGTTCGAAGCCCGCAGGAGGCCGCCTGCCGTTTGATGCTGGCAAGTGGGTCTCTGGCCCTACGGTCATTAAAGCCGATTATTGCCAGGCCCACCATCACTCAATGGCCAATGGATGCGTTCCTGACTGCAACTGACCCCACAACCGGTCAACCACCACGTTCGATATCGCAACAGTTCTTTCCTAACATGACACGCGCTTGAGACCCCTCTTCACCAACCGACCTTCTCTTTCTCGTCTCTCCACCAGAGCGCACCAGAGCTCGAGAGGCGGTTCCGGACACCCCGGGAATATGGGGTGAATGACATTATATCCGAGCCAAGTCTCGGAGTCTGGCTTGTTTGACTCAACGAACAACCTCACTTCGGCTCACATCGGGTTCCACACTCGCGAGAGGATGTGGCAATTGAAGCCGGCAACGGATTCGGCACCAAAGAAAGAGGGTTTGATATGTTTCTGCCATATTTACAGGTTACATTTGTCATCACCACCACCATCAGCTGCCGTTCATCGCGACCGCCTTCCTTCACCACAGCATGAGGACCGAGGAAAGACCCGCAAACCCGCGAACCCTCAAGGACCCATTCCTCAGACGATTTACGACAGAGTCGGGGCGCTGGCGGCCCACGGTGCCCAGCTGGCGAGGTCGGCGTTGACGTCGCTGCGCTCGACCTCGGGGGGAGCGGTGTCGCCGTTGAGCAGGAAGTAGTTGATGTAGCTGGTGAGCTCCGCGTTCTGGTTGCTCGGGAACTGGCAGTGGTTGTGCCCGCCGACGAGCGAGAAGCCCATGTTGGTGGGCACGCCAAAGGCCTTGTAGATGGCACGGCCGGCCTTCATGCAGCCCGTCGTCGACACGGGGCCGAGCCAGTCGATATTGTTCTCGAACGCGACCAGCCCGCGCGGCACGATCATGGCCGACAGGAAATGGTGGTCCTGCGGGATCGTGGGGATGGTCCGGACATAGGGGTCGAAGTTCTTGGAGAACCACGGGTTCTCGCCGATGATCTGCTGCGCGGTCTGGATGTTGGCGCCGCTCGACTTCTGCTGGTCGCTGATGCGCCAGCACGCCGCGCCACCGGCGCCGGACTCCTGGGGGATCGTGAGCGCGATGCGGTCGACGAAGGCGCCCACGACGAAAGCGCCCTTGCCGTTGCGCGAGCAGCCCGTCACGCCAAGGCGCTTGGTGTCGATGCCCGACGCCTCGCCGACCTGCTCCAGGCCGTCAATCAGCCGGTCCACACCCCACGCCCACGCCGTGAGCGAGCCGGCCGTGTGGCCGCTACCAAAGAGGTCGTAGAACTTGCCGCGGCCGCGCGAACCGCCGCCTTGCTGCGCGCCGAACTCGTCGTTGTTGAACGTGATGCTGGCCACAGTGTTCGGGATCGGGATCGACGCGCCACCGATGCCGATGATGGCCGGGAAGGGGCCGCTGCCAGATGGCTTCCGGATCGCTGCCGAGAAGGAGATGCTCTTGCTGCCGACGGTCACCTTGACAGTGATGCCGGTGCCGCTCATCGTCGCCTCGACGCTGTCCGGCGCCGGCGGGTATTCGCCGAGCTCGTACTGCTGCATGATCTTGCTGATCTCGGCCCGGCGGCACTCGAAGTCGGCCTTGGTTGTGATCTTGTCGCCCGCCGCGTTCGTGAACGGGTCGGGGAGCTTGGCCTCGTTGACCGTTGGGTAGCTGTCGCTGACCGCGCATTCCTGGCGCTCGAAGATCTCGCTCGCGGGCGCAGCCACGGCGAAGGCCGCGCCGGCCACCAAGAGGGCTGAAGCCAAGTGGACCATTTTGGATGTGAGAAGTTGTGTACTTTTCTTGAGCACGCAAAAGTATGGAGGCTGAAGAGGACGTCTCCTGCCGCTGATGTCGATCTTCCGGCCTGTCTTTATAGGAGCGATGCCATGCCAGGCGGGGAGGTAATCCGGCCCCGTGCTCTGATGCTTGTGATACCGTCCCACCGCGTGGCCATCTTCCGACCGATATTAACCATGGCTCGACGTGATATTGGACCATTAACAATAGCCAGCGTCCTGGTTTCCCTTAAACCGCCTCCCGGACGGGACGCACCCCGCGAGGGAGCCTTGCAGCCTTTGGATATTTGCGGTCGGTGGAACATTCCCCACATCCCTCCCCTTCGTGCCCCCGTCCTCTGGCCAGGAATGGAAGCAGTGCCCCTGGCCATGTCCATCGTCTTGTTGAGTCCCCATGAGACGCTAGGCAACGAGTGTTTGTGGTGTCCAACCACGCGGCGGCTCAAAAGGTAGCGCCCGACTACCACCCTTGGCACTTTGGATGATCGGCGCTCTGAGCTCCAGCCCAAGACCGCGCGATTCCAGGGCAAGGTTGGAGGCAGATTCGGGTAATATGGTTATTTGCCCTTTTTTGCACGCGCATTGCTGATCCGGCACGGCCCCTGTTTTCTCGGCCCCTACTTCGGGCCCCGATTGGTACGGCCGACTGGAGATGGCCGAATCCAGCCACGGCTGCCCCGGTCCGGAACGGGGCCACGAGCTTAGGATATGTTCTATCATTATTCTTCGCCGGTTCCTTCGTTTCTTTTGCATTTCGACTTATCCATAGGTGGAAAAACTTGGTGGGTTGGAGTATTACTCTGCAGCCTTAATCTGGTCATGTCAAAACAGCATTTCGGGTCCATGTGGGAATCGTCAACACCATCGCACAAATGACGTTCTCTCGGCGGCCCACAGCCATGTTGCCTCTACACCGGCACCGGATACCCGACTAAGTAGCAGAGGAACAAAGCTACCACTAGAATAACCAGCGTTACCTGTCGTATCTACCTACTCTCGTACCTCGTTGCCCGCGGAGAACACCAACGGAGGTTCACGATCGGCACATTGTTGCCAAGCAAATGCGAGGTCCGAGGTGGCATCGAAGCTACGGCAAAATTGCGTCAACCATGGTCGGAGAGTTTGACTGCCAGACCAAAAGTCCGGGGCGCTTGATATGCCGGCAGGTGACATACGTCCCGGACAGGGTCCTATGCGGAGGGAACACCCAGTCGCAGTCTTTCCATGTATGTACCCCGTGCTTGGCGCTTAGAAGGCAGATGGTGTTGGCATTGCTTGATCCAATGCCATTCTCTTTCCATTTTGATCGTCGAAGGGCAGTACGTGGACGCAAAGTCCCCTTCCAAGAATCCAAGTCTCCCCGCTTCTTTTGTGGCGGACCGGGGACCGGGGCGGCGGTTGCAAATATAACTGCCAATATCAACACACCTCGATCATCGTCTGCTGGTGTTTATCTAGATTGCTATGCGGGGAATGCGCGGATACCCATAGGGTCAACGCACCACCGGTATGCGTGCGTGAGGGCCCTAGAATCTTGACTAACTCTTAACCGTAAGGTGGAAAAACTAAGACGAATTCCCCCGTCATAATTATTGTCTCCTACCTAGACCTGGCGTACAACGCCTGGCCAAGCCCTGCAACTTACAACCTGCGTCGTCCGCCCAAATATACTATCGCTCGACCAGAATCTCACCTGCAGAGGCCCGCCGCCGAGAAGTTGACTTCAACACCAAATATGGTTCTCCAGCTCTTGGCAACCTTGGCCCTCCTCTCGGGGCCAGTTCTCGCCCACGGCGGCCTAGCCAACTACACCGTCGGCGAGACATGGTACAGAGGGTGCGTACGATCCCGCCGTCGTAGTAAACACAAGCGAAAAGCCCCAACACCACCAACCATCGCGTCCAAGCCCAAGCCAAGCTTCACTCCCACCGCAATGCCACCATCCCATCCCGTCCATCCACCGTCCGATCCCACACCACATCACTCGCTTGTTTGTGACCCACTCGCTAACGAAACCACCACCGCCCACCAACAGCTACGACCCCTCGACGCCAGCCGCCGACCAGCTCGGCCAGCCGTGGATGATCCAGCGGCAGTGGGCGTCCATCGACCCCATCTTCTCAGTCACGGACCCTTACCTCGCCTGCAACAACCCGGGCGCCGCCCCGCCCGCCTACATCCCCGTCGGTGCCGGCGAGGACATCACGGCCGTCTACTGGTACTGGCTGCACCCCGTCGGGCCCATGACCGTGTGGCTCGCGCACTGCGGTGATGGGGTGGACTGCAGCGAGGTGGATGTGACCGAGGTGGGGTGGTTCAAGATCTGGGAGGCGGGTTTGCTGGAGGGGCCGAACTTGGCTGAGGGCTTGTGGTATCAAAAGGGGTTTCAGAAGTGGGATGGCAGTCCGGGACTGTGGCCGGTTACGATCCCCGCTGGGTTGAAGAGTGGGTTGTACATGATCCGGCATGAGATCTTGTCGATTCATGTCGAGCTGAAGCCGCAGTTTTATCCCGAGTGTGCGCATCTGAATATTACGGGGGGTGGAGAGCTGGTGGTGCCGGAGGAGGCGTTGGTGCGGTTTCCGGGGGTTTATCAGGAGGATGGTGAGTGTTTATCCGCGGGGTTGTACCTCGGAAGTGTTGAGGAGGTCGGTGCTGACGGGAACAGATCCGTCGATATTCATCAATATCTACTCGGAAGAGAACGCGAATAGGACGGTAAGTGGGGTTCATTACGGTCCGTAAGGTTGAACTAACGAAGTGTAGGATTATACCATTCCCGGAGGGCCCATATGGGAAGGGTGAGTTCTTCGTCACGGCGTCCTTGGCGTTCAGGGGCTAACAACACACAGACTCGCCTCTGTGGACGAAAAGTAATTGAAGACGCAAGCACTTTTGTGCATGCTAGGCCGAACCAGCGGGCCTTGTCAGTAAAGTATGTAGCGCAAAGCATGTACAACAAAGTAAAAAAGAAACACAAAAGAACCGCGTAAATATCCCCCCCTAATCCTCCGCCTCCGAAACATCCCCCTCCAACTGCCTCAGCGTATCCGCCCTCACCTTTGCCACATCCACCTCGCCACCCCCCATCCTCCCACCCCTCCTACTCTCCCTCCCCACACCATCACCATCCCCCGTCCAAACCCCACCCCCAACCAACGCCTTAAACCTCCCACCCCTCGCCACCAACTCCTCATACCCCCCCTCCTCCACCACAACCCCCCCTTCCACCATCACCACCCGATCCACCACCCTCATCATCTCCTTACTATGCGTCACCACCACAACCGCCATCCCCCTCCCACCCTCCCCCTCCCCTTCCACCAACCCCCTCACAACCCGCCTCACCTCCGCGGCGGCCTCCCCATCCAGCGAACTCGTCGGCTCGTCCAGCACCAACAGCCTCGGCCGCCGCGCCAGCGCGCGCGCAATACATAAACGCTGCGCCTGGCCCCCCGACACGGCCAAACCACCATCCCCCAACGGCGTGTCGTACCCCTGCGGCAGCGAGGCGACGAACGCGTGGATGCCTGCCTGGTGCGCGGCGCGCGCGAGGTTGGAGGCGCTGCGCAGGGGGGAGGCGTCGTGTAGGCCGTAGGCGAGGTTGGCGCGGACGGTGGTGGGGAAGAGGAAGGGGGTTTGTGGCACGTAGGCCATGTGGCTGCGGAGAGAGGGTGTGTGCAGGGTGGGGGCGGGCGTGTAGGCGTAGGTGAGGGGGTGTGGTGGGAGGGAGAGGTGGTGGATTTGGGTGTGGGGGGTTATCGGGGACTCGAGGATGGGCGAGATGGGGGCGTCGAATTTAAATGTTGGTGGGGGGGCGGTTGGACGCGGTGGTGGTGGGGGGAGGGGGTCGTACAGGCGTAGGAGGAGGCTTGCGATGGTGGATTTGCCGCAGCCCGAGGGGCCTACGATCGCGGTACATGTACCGGCGTCGATTTGGAGGCTGATGTTGCGCAGGACTTCGGTTTGCGGAGCGCCGGGGTAAGCGAATCGGAGGTTGGTCATGCGGACTGGAAGGGGGGTTAACAACCGCTTCTCGCCCTGCGCTTCGGAGCTTGCGGTATGCGACAGGTTGGCGTAGTAAAGCATCTGTACGGCTGTCGTTTTGGCGGCGGCAATCTGCGGAACGTTCCCCAACATGGCAACGGACGTGCCGAGAGAGAAGAGGAGCAGGTTGATGACTCTGATTACGTCCGTCACCGTGGTGAGGCCCTCGCTGAGGATCTTGGCGCCGTAGTAAAAGACGAGAGCTGTGAGAAAGAAGATGATGGACTGGTGCACGCCGTAAAAGAGTCCAACGAAGCCCGCACGCTTCACGCCGAGACGGTAGGTGGCCGATGCGGAACGGCTGTGCTTGTCGTAGAAGTGCCGCTCTAACGTCAAGGCACGTACGACATTGATGTTGGCGAAAGTCTCGGTCAGGATAGCTTGAGTAGAGGACGCAGCTTCCTCGCAGATAGCTTCCCACTTGTCACTCACCAGCGAGTTGGCTCGTGCTGCTCCCATGGCTACCGGCAACCCGGCGAGCGTCACCAGGGTGAGGTCCCACCGGATAGCCAGCGCCCAGATCAGCGACGCTAGGATCATGGCGGTGATGGTCAGAAGGATGGGCACAAACATGCCGACGAGCTTGCGCATCTCCTCGGCGTTGCGGTCGAGACACTGGGTGATGCGAGCAGGGGAATGACTCGACTTGTCGAACCATGACCTGGGTTGGCTCAAGATACGTTTAATCGCCTCGGCACGCAGAGTATTGACCCATTTCTGGGCCACCTTTTCCATGAGAAAGTAACCGAAGAAGGTGGCGCTTGCGTCGATGACGGCAATGGCCGCGAGGAGACCAGCCCATAGCGAGACTGAGCTTTCTTCGCCAGAAATCCAGAATTCGCCAACGAGATTGGCGAAGAAGAAGGAGAACACGGGGTTACTGGCCGCGATGACGAGACACAGCATAATGCCGAGAATTAGCTGCCCCTTACCCACCACGTCCAACGTTGGCCAGACGGTTTTCAGGATGGCGGTAAGGGAGGGAAGCTGACGCCCCTTGGATGGTTTGTCCCGGTCCTTGTGCTTAGCAAGGCGCTCGAGAAAAAACCGTTCTAGTGAGTCGAGCGAAGGCCGGCGGTTCGCATCCATTTCAACCTCTGGAGCCAGGCGTGCATTCAGAGTCCTACTCCTCTGTACGCCCAAGCCCCGTTGGGTAACGGCGTGGATGCTCGAACTGCGGCTCATCTTGCCAAGCTCCGAGGGATCGATATCCGTCTGATGGGACATGGACTTGCGGTCTGGTTTGTAGGGCTTGCCTCGCCTGGTACTTTTGCGAGACATGGACTTGTGAAGTTGGGAGTCCAACACACTGGGTTCAGCCCTCAGCGAGATCCTCCGAAATAGGCCCACGGACATTGCTCGGTTGTCGACGAGGGCGCCGCGGAGTAGCTTGGCGTACTGAGCCTCCTCAACGGGGTCGTCTTCAGGGAGATCGGAGTCGAATTCACTCTCACTGTCGCTACCAGATACGGAGCCGCTGGAGGAGGCGTTGTCGGCCGAGGCAACGAATGAAGCAAAAAGCCCTGCCTCGTCTTCTTCGATGTCGCGCCTTAGCCCCTCTTGGGCCACTGATCCATCGGCAAGCACATACACGTACTCATCGTCCCCAATATGGTTGACCTCATGGGTGATGACGATGGTTGTCTTGCCCTTCCTCCACGCGCGAATGGCCTCCATGATTAGAGTCCTGCTGATGGGGTCCAGACCAGTCGTGATCTCGTCTAGGATCAGCACAGGGGGATCTCGGAGTTTGGCGCGGGCAAGGGCCAGCCGCTGTTTCTGTCCCCCACTGAGACTGTAGCCACCAGGGCCGATCGTCGTGCTCACTCCATCAGGCAAGCCGGCAATGGTCGATTGGAGGAGAGCCATACTGCAGGCGCTTCGAACGGCGTCAGGCGAAACAGTTTCGGGTTCCGGGGAGCCGAGTGCAATGTTCTGGAATAGAGAATCACTAAACAGAGAGCTGGACTGTTGGATGAGAGTGACGTTTCGCCGGAGCCAGTCAAGGTTGAGCGTTGTGATGGGGGTTCCGTCCAGGGTGATTCGTCCTGCAAAGGGCTCGTAAAACCGCACGAGCAGATTGCCTAGCGTACTCTTGCCGGAACCGCTGCTGCCGACGAGGAAGGTAAGCTGGCCGGCATCGAACTTGAGATTCGACAAGTGGATGACTGTCCTCGCGGGGTTGGACGGGTATGCAAAGCTGACCTGCTGTTGTTAATTTCGCCCAATGGACCAGCCTGCTCGTCACTTACGTTGCTGAGTTTGATCTCCCCTGAACACCATGAAGGCTTCAACCAGCCGGTAGCCTGCTTTGCCGGCCCGCTATCCCCCTCCTTGACGAGCCCCTGAAGTAACTGCCCCGCCGCCATGCCCTTCGCCAAAACAAGCCACTGCGGGCCGAGCGTCTCGATGGACTGAAAGGCAATGAGCGCGGCATAAAACGTGGTCAGCGCATCACCTGGCGTGAGCTCCCCACGGCCCACCAGCACGACGGCTACGTAGAACCCCAGCACGAACAACATGATCATCCACATCTTAACGTAGCTCATCTGCCCGCAGTTACACAGCACCTGCCGCGAATAGAACTCGGCCGACCTCCGAATCGCCGAGACGAACTGAAACGCCTCATGGTCAGCCCCGTTGTACACCTTGACAAGGTCGATGGCGGTAGTGGCGGCAGTAACGTGCTTAGCGGCCTGCGCGAGCTCCCGTTTCTGACCCTCAATCGCCGGGTCGAGGAAGCGGCTGATACCCCAGAGAATGAGGGCGGACGGCACGCCCGTCGCCAGCATGACAAGGGTCAGCTTCCACGAGTAGACGAGCGCCACCACGATGCAAGCGCCAAACACAAACACATCACAGACGAGGTACCCCAGCGTCTGGGAGGTGGCGGTCTGCAACTCCCTCGTTTGCCTGTCCCCAAAAGGAAGGTTAGCACCCCAACCCAACACAAAACAACCCCCCTCCTAACACCCCCAAAAGTAAAACTCACGTAGCAACACCGACCCCCAACCCACCCACCCCCTCGACCCGCCCCTCAAACCACTGCACCCCCCTCCCCAGCACCAACCCCCGGAAAACCTCCTCCCTAACCACCCTCGCCCTCAACTCCCCACCCACCACCCACGCAGCCACATCCACGGTGGAAACCACCCAGACCACAACCCCCAAAACACACATCCACACGGCCCACTGGGCGATCTGGGCGAGGAAGTCGGCGGGGGGGAGCAGGCCGGCGCCGAAGCGGGTGACGACGTCGAAGATGCGGCCGAGGAGCACGGCGTAGACGGTGCGGCCGGCGGCGACGAGGGCGGCGGTGGTGAGGGAGAGGGCGAGGAGCGGGGTGTGCTGGGGCGGGGTGAAGGTGAAGAGGTGTTTGAAGGTGGATTTGGCGGTGGCGGTGGGGGCGGTTGGTGTTGTGGTGGTGGTGGTGGTTGGTGTTGTGGTAGTGGTGGTGGTTGAGGTAGAGCGGTCGTCGAGTGGCATGATGCTGTGGTGGACTGGGTCTGAGGGTGTTGTTGGTCTTGTGGTTTGAGGTTGATGGTCTTGGTTGGCGGTTGAGGACGCCATGGTTGTTGTGGTTGTAGTTAGTCTGGTGGTTATCTTGTTGGCTGCTAGCTTGTTCGTAGAACGAGAGAATGACTGGGTTTGGAAGAGAAAGACCAGTGATGGTGGGAAGATAGACTAGTGGTGGTCAAGTCATCGGTGGCAGAGATTGGAGTTGTTGACAACTCGAACACAGGCTCGGAGAAATATTCGATCTGCTGAAGTCTGAACCAGAAGATAATACGAACATTTTCGTGACATGGATGGTCCCAAGATCCCGGCGCGCCTCGTGGTAGCTATTCTTGTGGTAGGGGGGAGGCTTTGTTTGCTCTTAGTATTGTGCTTGACATCCAAGTGGGCCAAACATGGCAACAATACTAAGGGGCTGAAAGAAACATTCCAGACGGCGTATCTGGTGTGCACTGGCCACATTTCACTCGGTGATAATGATACTGATGTTAAAATGGAATGGTATTCTCATGCGCTCGATTTCGAGCCCTCGGCCTTCTCTTTTTGAGCCTGCTCGTAAACCCAGTCGTTCAAGCCCGCCCTGTTCCTACGGAGAGTCAGTATTGGCCTGTCAAATGGCGAACAAACCATGGCGAAAACATACCGCGCAATCTCGACGGCATAAAACTGCATCCTCGGCACTACGCACGGTTAGCCCCGTCTCCGTTCCCTTGTTAAGCTCATCATCATGCACCCACCGAAGATGGTCTCGTCCTGGCCGTACTCCCACTTCGGGTTCGACCGCATCATGGTGCCAAAGTTGTAGTCGTCCACCTTCTTCTCATAAACCATCATGAAGTCGCGCCACCGCTGCTTGCCCTCCTTGCTCTTCATCTTGTCCTCGTCGATTGTCTCGGCCGGGTCGAAGTCGGGGAAATCCCTCTTGAGATGGTCGTAGATGTCATCGTCCATCCTGGTCAGGCGCAGCGACGAGCCCTTGACGCGCTCGAGGATAGACCAGTAGGTCTGCATGTGCTGCACCACCTTGACGGCGAACTGCTTCTCGATCTGCGGAGGTCGTGTGTGTCAGCGGGTGGGTGGTGGTGTCGCGGGTGGTTTAGAAGAGGGGCCGTACATCCTCGAGGTTGTCAGCCTCTTCGGCATTGAAGGTTTTGGGGACCGGTGCCTGAGACATGGTGATGGATAGTGTGTTGACCAGGAAGCTGCCGCTAGAAGCAAAGTCGCAACTGGAATGCGTTTGTCGAGATGCGCCAGAACCTGGAAGCTCTGCCCCGAGCGCAATGGTGGGGTGGTTTTCGCGGGGCTCTTTTTGTTTATCGATAAGGGCCGCTTCCCCGGTGGGGCTTCCTCAAATGGAGGCCTGCTGCGTCTCACTGCCACTGCCCTATCTGACCCTAACCCTGCCTATCCCTTCTTAAGTGTGTTTACTTGATTCAGGGGCGAATTACCCAACTGCACAAGCATCAAGGTCGATTTCACTATTTGGGCGGCGGTCTCCGATTCATCCAGCGGTCATATCTGCTTGGCAATGATAAATTAAATGGTGATGGGCCAATATCATCGTCAGCCTCAGATAAGGGGGATTTTATCGACATACTCTGTCATTTTTATCTAAACTTCCTGAAGTCAAGATGATCATTTGGTCGTTCTGTTTCTTAATCATTGCCACATGGCAACCACTGTGTCGTTCATCAGGGCAGTGACAACGGGTAGGACCTCACCAACACGGGCATTGGGTTTCTCCTTCCCCGTTAGACGTGGCCTTTGTGCGACAAGGTTGGCAATTGCGAACAACAGTCGCGCGAAACAATGACCAACACACAATGAATAAACATGACAATGCCCTGTATCTTTTATAAAGTTTACCACGACAACAGCATCGACGCGAACTTCATATTTCGCGGCCACCGTTTTGGGGGTCTGCCCTATCAATAACCACAAACACAACTTACTGCCTCACACCTGCCCAGGTATGCAACAAGACCCATCCACTGAGCTGCATCATCCTTGTATTTTTACCCCATGGTCTGACACCAACTTAGCGGCATAGTAAACATAATGAATCGACTTAGCAAACGATTATCACAAACGAGGCGGTCTCCCCCTAAGAAAGTATTCAGCTCCGTTCTAGAAGTCGAACTAGCCAGGAAACCACAAAACATGGAGTTTCTGAGAACGCCGGACATCCTGGAGTTTCCTGGGTCACCACTGTCTACCCCAACCACTTTGAGCTCCGCGCCTTCTTTTACGACATCTGAAAGTTCACAAGCCCAAAGCCACGACTTCACCGTCTCCTCGCCCAACACTTCCAGCCTCGAACTGTCGGCAAGCCCTAGTTTCGAGCATAAAAGAGGCGCCGCCGATTCTCCCGGCAGCCCACAGATTGAAGGCACCTCCTCTTCCTCATCAAGTCCCGTGTCGAATGCTGCTTTCTCGGTCCCATCACCGCCGCCGCCGTCTCGAAGCACTGAGCCGGCTACAACGACAACTTCCGACAAACAACCCCCCTGGGACCGCAGTATTGAACTCGTCTGGACCAGGCGTATTCCAGCTCGCGATGAGGGAGACCGGGAAGATGAACACGCCTTTGGGAAGAACCTAATACGCTTGGCACAGGATATCGCCAAAGCTGACCCCTGCTCACCTTCACCCGACACGTCGACTGAGAGACTCGGAAACCAGACTTGCTCACCAAAGGACAACACAGGGCCCAGTTCCCAGTTAACCACCACTCCTGGGGAAAACAGCGCCTATTTCACACTCCCTGACACCGTCCGGTTCAAGGTCATGAAGTGCCTTATAGCCAACCACGATCCCCACCACAAACCTATCCGCATGAACAGCCCAGTGTTCCTTTGGGAGGTATGGCCAGTTAACAAAGCCAGCGAACCAAATCTGGAGTCAACAGACTACTTCGACAGCCTCCAAAGCGTTCTGTCCTCTGTTGAAAACTACACCTCGGTTTGTTCCGCCATGAGAGCCGATGTCCTAGCGACTCTCTTCCTCACCCGTCGCTTCCACGTTGTCTACTCGCCCTACGTTACCAAAGGGACACAGCCAGCAGCGACGAGCTACATGGACCAATATGGGCCACTCATGGCGTCCATCACCCTCGAGGTGGACTTTACCAAGCTGGCAGGTAGCTTGCGACCAGAAGCAGTGCACCTGGACACCCTCAAGGGGCTGAAGGGCGTCAAAACGCTTCTCGAGGACTTCGTACAATGCCAACACACCCGGCACAACACCACCATCCGAGATCTCCGCGTTCTAGTCCGACGATACCACGGCTTCCGCCCCACGGACCCCTCAGATCCGCCTAGCCCACCCGGAAAAGAGAACGACCACCACACCCCAACCAGCACCCCCCCACCTCGTCCCCCATTAGCCCCCCTCCCTATCAGCACCAACCAACCGCCACCCGAACCACACCCCTCGGCCGACACCGCAACCCCCAAAACACCACAACCCACCCCGTACACCTCCGCCACGCACATCGCGCACACCCTGTCGCCACTGAAATCCCTCGGCCCCCTCGTCTCGACCCTCACCCTGACCGGCGCCCCACACTCTTTTGCTACCGAGCTGCTGTCTGCCCTGCGCGGCCTCCCGCCGCCTCCCGGCTGGACTAGCTCGACAGGCGGGGCCGAGGAGACCGAGGAGGAGAAGGAGGACCGGTCTGCGCGTCACGTCCGGTATCGTGTGCCTGCTGTGGAGTACCCGCTGTTGAAGGGGCAGAGGGCGGTTGTGGGTGTGAGGGGTGGGGGGGTGGTTGTTGTGGAGGGGGGGGAGGAGGGGGGGATGGAGATGGGGTTGGGGTTGGGGGACATGGAGGGTGATGATGAGATGGGGGAGGGGTTAGTGGAGCAGTTGCTGGAGGAGTTGCTTCAGGAGGTCGGGGCAGGAAGCGGGTTGGGGGAAGAGATGGGTTCGTGTACGGAAGAAAAGGTTGAGCGGAAGAGTGTAGGGATGGAGGGATCGTTGAAGGCGGTCTCTAGCGGAAGGGCGGGGAGGGGGGTGCGGAGATTGAGTCGTCGGTTGGAGGGCGGATTGGGGGGCTTGTCGTTGAGGGCAAAGCCCGGTGCCATGGAAGTGTGGAGGGCTTTAGACCGGGAGGTTGGAGAGGTGGAGAAGGCAGAGGCGGAGAAGATGAGGAGGGCTGCGCATCTAGGAGCGAAAGATGAGGTGGAAGGTGAGAAGAGAAAATCACGTGTGGGTACGGTAGCTCGTAAAGTGGTTCGAAGGATTGCGAGTCGGCGTGGTAAGGGGTTGTTCGGGCAGCACTAGTGGTAATTGCGCTTGGATCACGCCTCCCAGGGACTTCATGGGGGAACCCAAAGTAAGGTTACGGATACGTCTTTGAGCGCTAACAGCGCAAACCTGAGTTATTACTGCAGGAGTTATTGATATTTAGTTTAGAGGTTTTGCTAGAATAGACGAGCGATTACAAGAGATCGAATAGCAACGGCGTGATAATGACACCCACCCACGTCAGCAAGGCCAACTTGGACGACTTGGGATCAAGCAAACCCCCGGCCTGGCTTCAACTGGTACCGGTGGAATTCGACGGGCAGGTTTCCCCGTCCAACTCGGGGTCCGTTGCCGTAACCACCACCTCCGTCCCGGGCTCGCCCCCGCTGCAGTACTGGGTGCAGCCATTCAGTTCGCCGTCGCCGCCCTGGATCTTCAACACGGTGCTGAAGTCCGAGTTCCCCTGGTCAGTCGCGCACGAGGCAGCGTACTGCTCGTCGCTGGTGCCGTCGGGGTTGCAGGCGCCCGTTTCCGTGTCCCCGAGCGTGGAGGGGTATTCGATGCTCAGGACCGGCTTGCCGGCGGTGATGTAGGCCTGGAAATCCTCGCAGAACGTAAAGTCCTCCTCGTCGTTGAGTCCCTTACAGTCCTCGAGCACAGCAAAGTCGAGGGCATCGCTGAGTTGCTCGACGAGCTCGGGCGCGTTCTTCTGTCCGATGAGCAGGGTGTGGTTTTGCAGGGTCGTCAGGCTGTGGGCGTGCGTGGCAAGCTCGGTGACAAAGGAGACGTAGTCGGCCTGGGACAGGTCCCAGCCGGTGCCGTTGTCGTCGTCCTCGTCGTTGAGGAAGCCGTCGATGTTGTCCGGGTCGACGCCGTCGCAGCCATAGTCGCGGGCGAGTGTGATGCGGTCCTTCATCCAGTCCCGGGCGGTCTGGTTCTTGATGTTGACCCAGCGCTCATCGCTGAACTGGGGCTCCTCTGGGTCGTAGATGTTGCCCAGGAGGCCGCTGTCTAGCCACCTGCTGTCGTAGTCGCAGTCACTGGTCTGGGCAAGGCCGGCATTGAAGTAGCAAATCAGGATGGCATTGGGGTCGTTGTTCTGCATCAATTAACATCATATCAAGGTCGAGAATACGTGAACAGCAGGCCTTACCCGAAGGGTCGTAACAACCTCTGGCGTGCGGACGACGTGATAAAGGTCAAGATCCCAGACGACGGCATCGGTTGGTTGGAGAGTGGCATTGGGGTCGATGGTGTTTTGGATGACAATTTGCCATTTTACTCCCGGCACGAAGTTTGGCGGGACGTCGACCTGGGCCAAACTGCCCGGGATGGACAAGCTCGCAGCAAGAAGGGATGTGGCACGCTTCATGATGATAGACTCAGCGTGTGAGTAGAGTCGAGACTTAAGAGAGGTATCCTGGTTGGGAAAGGTCTAGATGCGCAGTTCTGGAGACGAGAAAAACGTTAGATGATCCGAGTAGGTGGTAGGTACTTATGCTTTTGAGATCAAACGACGAGCCCCTTGCCCTGGTCTCTCGCTGCGCCCCGAAGCTCATGCTGTGGGATCTCGTAGCTTGTTTCGGAATCCTTCAAAACCAAACTTGAACTAGACGCGTCCGAAAAGTCTTGGCCGGTGGACACACTCTGGATCGAGTCTTGCATTATTTTACGCCAGAACTTTGCGTTATTAAGGAGGAACTTCCGGCGTTAACCCGGCGGCATTGCGCGAGGGAACAGGGGCATCGGGCTGACTACGGAAGACGATAGCCGCCACAGTACAGGTGTATTATATTCAACTTTTGCAGCTTTGACAGCAATTACATACACACCACATCTTTTTACTCCACCCCCCCTGTACACCTTGTTTCTCACACTCTGCATCCAACACCGTCGGCACCCCGAAACTCCAACTCCTTGGAGACTCCATCCCCCGGCCCTTGCAGCATGGTGCACAGTTGCAGTGAGCTCCTGGAGATACAGGTACCTCGGTAAATATGTGCCTAACCAATGAGCAAACCTGCACGAGATTCTACTGGCTGCCTCTGCTGCTGCCCAACCCTCAGCTCTCAGCTCCCGGCACTGCGGAATTCGCAACCGCCTTCGTATGTACATACCCCGCTTGGGTCGAAGTTCGCAACTGCGCTCACAAACATTGGGTCCTAATTATCCCTCTCTCAGCTTCTCAGAACCGAGCAGTGGACGCTAAGAGCTGTTTCATTCGCGGTTGGCATCAACCTTCGCACCTTCCGCGACGCACTCGACGCACCGCTCAAAATCACATCAACGTAAAAATACCTAGGGTTTCCCAATGGGCCCATCCAAGCGCGATGGCGAGAAGGGCCCGGATGGGAGGACTGGTTCTCCGAACTTGAGTCTGCGCCAGAGTGCCCGATGGCTGAGAAATCGTTTGTCAAAGAAGAAAGACCCAGCACCGCCCGCTTCCGACCCTCAGTCAACGGCCGTCCTTGCAGGCAGCAGTGGCCATACCCTAGAAGAGGCCCCCAGCGCCAGGTCAAACCTGTCTGGGGGCAACCCAAGGGTCCACGATCAAGCTCGGGAAAGCGAATTTGATGATCGCACAAATGACAGTACCCGAATCCCGGACGACAGCCCGGCCCACAGCGGTCCGCTCACCTCCAACGAAGAATTACTCACGACTCAGTCGCTTTGGGATTGTGCATACGAAAACCTCAGGAAGGAAGATGAGCACTTGGTGAAGAGGTATGAGGAATTGTTGCTGAAAGAGGTCCATAAGCAAAGTATGCACCCCGAGATGGCCACCTACACAGTCTAAGTACCTACTGACTGATTTCTAGGTCCAGTGCAAGATGACGGCGCAGCCCTCGATTTCAACGGGACATCTCGCCAGGCGATGCTCGATGCAGTAATTGACCAGGGTATGCAACGGATGGAAGACAAGACAACCAAATACACCATCGCCGGCCATGAGTTTGTTCTGCGAGACCAGGTTTCGGACGCAGCGAAGTTAGTGCTATCGGGAAAGGACCTCATCCGCGAGGCCATGAAGGGTTCACCTGAGGCTTCCATCGTATGGTCTGGCGTATGCCTTATTCTCCCGCTTCTCACGAACCCCACGACTGCAGATGAAGCCAACCGCGACGGTTTCGCATACGTCTCCACCAGGATGCGGTACTACACTGCCCTCGGACCCCTCCTGGAACGGCTCAGCCAAAGCCCCAAAGTCGCTTCCGCGTTGAGAACTGAGGCGAACAGTCACATTATCGACCTTTACCAGCACATTCTCGAGTTCCAAATCTCTAGTGTCCTGCGGTTCTACTATGGTAGCCTTAGACGTTACGGTGAGGACGTCCTTCAACGAAAAGATTGGAAGCGCATGAGGCTCGATATCGAGAAGCTCGATGCAACTGTCCATCAGAATTTGATTCAAATGAATGATCTGGTGGAGAGACAAGAGCTCGAGGATCTGAACAAGATATGCAAGGAGCTCAGCAAGACAAGCGAGGAGGATCTCAAAATGATGCAAGAGCTCCTGTCCATTTCTGAACAGCAATTACACGTTGCAAAGGATCAGAGGGGCATTGCACAGAAACAGGTCGACTTGCAGGAAGACGAGGCAAAGGCTCGTTCAGCCAAGGAGAGAACGCAATGCCGTCAAGCATTTCGCATCACGGACAGTAAAAAGGACGCCACATACGAGTGGTATAAGGACCGCATCGAAGACCGAGTCGAGGGTACTTGCCAATGGTTCCTTGAGCATGAAAACTTCCAAAGGTGGCTATCCAAAGACTCGGGGCCATTGCTCGTCTCAGCCGACCCCGGGTGTGGAAAATCGGTCTTGGCCAAGTATCTGATCAACAATGTCTTGCCGCTGCCAGGTGTGACCGTCTGCTACTTCTTCTTCAAAGACCAGGATCAAAACACGGTCCGACAGGCGCTTTGCGCTCTACTTCACCAGCTTTTCTCCCAGAAACAACCGTTAATCAAGCACGCCCTCGAATTCTGGAGGAAGGACGGTGCTGGCTTGGTTCATTCTACCAGTTCCCTCTGGAACATCTTTACAAATGCCGTGAAAGATCCCCTGGCTGGGTCTGTGATCATGGTCCTGGACGCCCTGGACGAGTGTGCGGACGTGGAGTTGGATAACCTGGCGCAAAACCTGGAAAGACAGTTCTGCGACGGGGAGACAAGCTATAAGAACCTCAGGTATCTCCTCACGAGTCGGCCATACGAGCAAATCATATCCAGCCTGCAAGCTTTGTCGCGCACTTTCCCGCATGTTCGAATCCCAGGCGAGGGCGAAAAAGAATCCAACACGATTAGCCAAGAAGTCAACCTTGTTGTTAAGCACCGAGTTGACCGGATGGGATTTCCAACTCACGTCAAAAGTGCACTCGAAAGAAAGCTGCTCGAGGTTCCTCATCGCACCTACCTCTGGGTATATCTTGTATTCGACTACCTGAAGCGAGGAACCTTCAAGAAAACAGGAGCGGCGCTTGAAAAAGCAATCGCAACACTTCCGAGGAATGTCAATGATGCGTACGAGCAGATTCTGCGCAAATCTACCAACCCAACTCTGGCCCGCAAGGCTCTCTGCATGGTCTTGGCTGCGAAGCGGCCGCTGTCAGTATCCGAGATGAATATTGCTGTGAACACAAACGAGGAAACGAGGTGGTTGGATGACCTTGACCTGGAGGAAGAAAGCGACTTCCAGACAACCCTCCGGAACTGGTGTGGGCTGTTCGTTGCCATCCACCATGGCAAGGTCTATTTCCTTCATCAAACCGCTCGCGAGTTTTTGCTCTCGAACCCCGCGCTGCAACTACCTGAGCCGGCCTCGATGCCATCGAACTATCATTGGAAAGGCTCAATCACCAGCCCTGCTGCGCAAAAGGTTCTTGCCGAAGCCTGCATCAGGTACCTCGGATTCTACGGTATCGGTGCCGGAGAGCGCCCCGCTAGCCAGAGCAATGATAGCATGAGCACCGCCACACGCGAGAGCGCCAACGATAGCATTGGCACCCGGGAGAGCGACGGCGACGGCGCGAGCATTGGAGAGAGTTCCGGCTATCGCGACGCGACGTATGATTTCCTGCAATACTCAGCGTTGCATTGGGATACTCACTTTGAAGAAGCTTGCTTCGGAACGGATGCAGCAGCCGTGACGGCATTGGTCGTAAAAGTCTGCGATCCCCGCTTGCCGAGCTGCTCGACGTGGTGGGAAATACTCCGCGACTCGGACTCGATTCTCCCCAGGCACCCCGGTTCTCCCCTCGTAGTAGCCACTATATTAGGGCTTGATGTCATTGTCGAGGCGATGCTTGCAGGGGGCGTCGATGCAGAGGCGAAGGACAAAGATGAAGAGTATGGGATGACGCCACTGTCGTGGGCCGCCTTGAGTGGCCATGTGACCGTAGCTGAGATGCTAGTTGCTCATGGCGTTCACGTGGATGCAAATGGCGGGTTTTGGAACCGCACGCCGCTATCTTATGCCGCCGAGAGCGGCGACAAGGACATAGTCAACCTCCTACTTTCTCACGGTGCTGAAGTGGATAGCAACGATCAGCGTGGCCCGACGCCACTGTTGCGGGCCGCTATGGAGGGCCACGATGATGTAGTTGGGTTACTTCTGGCCCACGGTGCTGATGTGGAGCGGAAAGATGCAGAATATGACCAGACACCTCTGATATGGGCCGCTGAAAGCGGCCATGGCGGTGTGGTTAAGCTACTGCTCGCTCACGGTGTTGACACGGAGGCGAAAGATAAAGACTTTGGTCGGACGCCGTTATCGTGGGCCATTGAGAATGGCTGTAGAGGTGTGGCTACTCTACTCCTTGCCAATGGCGTCGACGTGGAAGCTATGGACGAGGACAGCCGGACAATTCTATCAAGGGCCGTTACAAGTCGTGATGGAAGTGGCATGACCAAATTGCTGCTTTCCTATGGCGTTGACGTGGAAGCGAAGGATAAGGACGGCCGGACGCCATTATCCTGGGCTGTTACGACAAGAAATGAAGAGATAGTTGGGCTACTGCTCGATCATGGCGTCAAATTGGAGGCGGCGGACAAAAACGGCCGGACGCCATTATCCTGGGCCGCAAGGAAAAGCACGTCACTATTCAGTCGATTCTGGGCCGCAAGGGAGGGCGCGCCACCATCCTGGGCCGGAAGGAAAAGCGGCCCGGGAGTGGTTGGGCTACTACTCAGCCATGGTGTTGATGTAGAGGCTATTGACAAAGACGGCCAGTCGCCGCTACTATGGGCGATTAGGGAAGGTGACGAGAATGCAGTGGCGATGCTGCTGGATCATGGTGCTAATGGGGAGGTGAAGGACAAGGATGGCTTGACTCCACTATTGTGGGCTGTTAGGAACAGTGATGAGGAAGTAACTAAGATACTACTACTTCATGGCGTTGAAGTGGAGGTGAAGGACAATAACGACCGGACGCCACTCTCCTGGGCCCTTGAGAACGGAGACAGGGGCATAGTTAGGATGTTGCTTGCTTACGGCGCTGATCGAGGGCCACTATCAGATGCCTCTGAGTCGGATGTTGGAGCTGAGTCTCGTGTGGGCTCGACCGAGTCTAATGTGGACTCTTCCATCCCTGACAGCCCAAGAGAACGGGTGGGGGTGCCCGAGGGCGCAGAATGGTACCGGTGGGGCGACAAAATGGAATAGAAGGACCCCCGACTACCACGTCCAATGGTCATAACGAGGTACTGAGTCACGGTCAGGTTCCTGTCGTTATGTTCTTCGGCCATCGTAAGTTAAGGCCGAGACACCTCGATATTACCCAGTCCCTGGCCTGAAAAGCTGACGGTGGCCGAAAAGTAGAGATAATTCTACTATTATAGATTGTATTTATGAAGCAAGGCATCGCACTGTATTGGCTGCACACATTACAACCACAACCCGGGGGTCTGCCTATTCTGGGCCAGCTCGATCCCCCTGCGAAAGACGAAAAAGGTGAGTGATGTTACTATGGTGGTTATCGTCTTCCGTATTTACCGGGTTAGGCTTGTCTCTGGTGGAGCGACGGACCACTGTCTCTATTCGGTGCCGAATGCCGCTGTGGTGGATCCCTCCGTCCTGAATCATCAGATGACATGAATAGGTACCAAAGTCTGGGTTTGCTCGGACTCAGCATGGTGTGGCATGAACTTGACTCTGACTGTGCCGCACCCACACAGTTGGGCCCGACTGTCCGGCTGGTTCCTGGTTTGTCCCACGTACCTTGGGACAACAACGAATCTTTGAACGCTTTATAAACGATATTACGCTCGGAGTTTTAGCACTATGGTCCAACTAGCACACATCGTGAGAAGATGCCCGGAATCCCAAAATATTCCTCTGGTAGTCTAGGGTCTACAACTAAGAGCATCCGCACGGCATCGTGAAGGGTTCTGTTAAGACCTATAATTAGCGGAACAAGACACCCACTCACACCCTCTCCGTGGTTGAGGATCCCTTATAACTTAAAATGTGAAAGACAATCCAGCTTTTGTATCGGGACCAGATTCGTTCTACCAATGGTATACCGCCCCCCAATTCCAAACAGGGTTATTTTTATAGTCCATCACTGCCGAGGCATATCAAACTGGCCATGTGTGCCTGGCAGTGCCGCTCCCAAATGTTGCACAATCATGCGCGTTTCCAAAACGGACATGTTTGCATATCAATGCGATTCTCAGCCCCCGTGACGACAATCCTGGGTGGTGACCTTGTTCATATTAGTGACACCCAAACATTAAGATCCCAGTCCGAGTTATGAGTTTGCTCCTATCTTGTGCTTACTGCTTACCTCACCCCGGCTCTTTGACAGGTGCGGGGAACGTCGACATACTATTGACAGAGTGGTTTTAGTTTTGCAGATGAATATTCCTACCTACACAGTCTAGCGCTACTAGTAAAAGGGCTGGCATATTCACAAGCGGGATACATTTAGTCCTGGACAGACTCGCTTTGGTTACCTATGATGCGAGTCGTACGACAACGGCTTCGAAAGTGTACAGTCGTATAATCCTGCATGGCTATTATCTGTCTCATATGCCACCATCGCTACGATAATGGCCGCTTGCTCGCGTGTTGGGATGGCTGGCGGGTAATCACAGTTGGTCACCGGGTTAAGGTATTCATTAAATTTGCGGGGGCACCTTGACCCGTTCATCCGGATGTATATTAGTAAACATCCGGTCATCGCTTCAAACTAGCGGTTTGAAGTTGCGGTATATTGAAAGCAATGGTTGCGTTGAACGTACCATGGTGCCGCTTCTGGCCGCGCACAACGGTGATAAGAGGTCTGGTTCGTGACCGCACTTGGCTGTTCCCTGGACGGGACATTGACCACGCATTGAAGAATATAAGGTGCAGTCAGCTTACCCGGACTTGTATTCTTGGCCATGTCCGAGCGAACGAGTTGTCGTCATTCAAGCCGACGTCATGAGGTCTGCCAAGTTTCCCCTTTCTAACCTCCTCGGTCTGTTGCTCGTCTCCCAGATTGCGTTCAGCCTTTCGTATGCATGTTTAAACTATGTGACGGCCCAATCTGGAGACACGTGTGCGTCAATCGCTGCCTCGGTAGGCATCGGTGTGGGCGATTTTCTGGTCAACAACCCGTCGGTTACCCAGTGTGACAACCTCAACGTTCAATGGCAACCAGTATTGCGTTGACTCTCGCACATTACAAATCAGCCCCGACGGGCAATGCGGCGGTACCTTTACCTGCGTGGGTTCGACGTACGGTCAGTGTTGTTCAGAACATGGCTGGTAGGTAGAAAAGGGGTCCAATGATCGCCAAAGTTTGACAGTGCTTTAGGTGCGGAAGCACGACTGACCATTGCGGCATTGGCTGCGACCCGGTCCATGGTGTTTGCGCCGACCCTGGCTCGAGCGCCTTGCCAACCGTCGTCACATGCCCCGGCCCCGAGACCACACGCTCAACGGTACTCGTAACTGAGACGGTTCGGACGACCATCACAAACACAAGCACCATTCTCTCAACATCAGTAGCCACTTCCACGTCAATACTGACCTCAACGTCAGTCACTCACAGCACGGTGACGGTTCCGTCCCGTATTACAACCACTCTCCTCGAGACGAGCATTGTCACTGTTTCAAAATCCAACACGTCTCCCCCACAACCCCGAACAGTCACACTCACAGTCACAGTCATCAGCATTCGCACTACTTCCGTGTCGCGCCCAACCACGGTCACCGCAATCAGGACTGTTTCAGTTCCTGCTGGGACCGTCACGCAAACCGTCATCTCACGCGTGACATATCCTTGTGTCGTAAACACCCGCCAAAGCTAGCCGGGGTAACGAGGACCGTTCTAGTGAGAGGGATGAATGGGGGCTACTTGGGGGGTCAAGCAAGGGATTGGGCCAAATGGGAAGCAGTGACATGGACTAGAATGTTTAACATGGGAGCTTGAGGAGGAAGTCGAAGTGGAGATGCGATGGATAACAAAGAGGAGATGGTATATACGCCAGGACTACTAATACACTATCAACTCAACCCGTCACCCCTAACTAAACCATCCCCTCCCAACCCCCCTCATTCCCTCCCAGCCCCCAACTATCCCTTCCCAACCCCACCAAAACACACCACAACCTCACCCCTCCCTCGCCTTTACCTTCCTAAACCCCTCCTCCACCGCCCCCATCCCCGTCACCCTCTTCACCACCTCCTCCGCCAGCCCGCACGGAATCGCCGTCGCCATCCGCGCCATCAGCGCACTCTCCCCGCGCCACACCTCCGCCGGCACGCTCCTCCCCAACAACACGCCCACCACCTCCGCCGCCCACTGCTCCGCCGTCACCCCCCTCTCCTTCAGCCCCTCCTGGCTCATAATCCGCTCCACCTCCTCCCGCACCGGCGCGAACACCGACCCCGCCGGCAACCGGGCCCCACCCCCATTTTCTTCACCCCCGGTGGTAGTGGTGGTGTTGTTGTTGAAGCTGTTGTTGGCGATGATGTTGGTGCGCACGCCGGCGGTCTTGAGGTCGACGACGCGCACGCCGAGGGGGGCCAGCTCCATGCGCATGGTGGCGGTGAGCATGGCGAGCGCGGCTTTGGAGGCGTTGTAGATGCCCTGGAAGGGCAGGGCGGTGACGGAGCCGACGGAGGTGTGGTTGACGATGAGGGGGGCGAAGGGCGTGGTGGTGGTGGCTTTGGTGGGGGTGGTTGTGGTGGGGTTGGAGTTGGGGTTTGGGGGAGGGTTGGTGGCGCGGAGGATGAGTGGGAGGAAGGCTTGCGTGACGGCTATGTGGGCCCAGACGTTTATGTCGAAGAGGTCGCGGGCGGCGGAGAGGTTGGCGTCGACCACGGGCATGGTGTAGCTGCCTGCGGCGTTGTTGATGAGGATGTCGAGGCCGCGGGTGGGTGGGAGTGTGGCGGTGACGGCCGAGACGGCTGATTCGATGGAGGAGGGCGAGGTTATGTCGAGGGTCAGGGTTTGGATGCCCTGCTCGGCGAGTGGTGATAGTTTGGAAGGGTTCCGCGCTGTCGCGTAGACGTGATGGCCTGCGTTGTGGAACTCTACGGCGAGGGCCGCGCCCATACCCCCTGGCGAGCAGCCCGTTATGAGGACGTTGAGCTTTTGAGAAGGCGACATGATGAAAACAAATTCCACAACTTGGAAGAACGATTGTGCATCGGTGGTGGGGAGACGTTCTCGGGGCCGTGGGAGGAGGCGAGCTTGGAGCTTAAGAGTGTAAAGTTTAAACGCTGGGCAACCGGTAGTTTCACTGGTAGATCTTTAATTCTTTGATGACCATTTTATTCTACATGATCTATCTTGTACTTATGTAAACGATCATGGCCAACTTGACGGGTTGTCGGCATTTTGGGAGACTCCGTACACAGCCCCAAGTGACGGCGTAGAATTGATGTCCGAGGCTCAAAACTCTCCGTTTGGAGTGATACGCAAAAATGTGGTCGCCTGTTACAACTTACCCCTGAGATTTGCCAGGCCGCGCAGGAGTTGGTGCCTTCAATTCCGGTGCGGCTCGGACTTTGCTTTGCCGAGAACCACTAGCGTGTTCGTTGCATGCCACTTTGATTGACTCAAATACGAATACAGATCTAGCTGTACCTAGGTACCTAGCTGTGATTAAGCGAGTCCGAGGAGCTGCGCGTCGCGAAGGCGGCCGAGAGCTGAGCCCTGCAATGCGGGTGCAATCAATGCCTTGGCGGGTTTTACAGTTTTCACCGACTTCCATGTCATATGCCATATCATCTGTCACAGCATCCATATCACACAACCACAGAGATGTTCTTCTATAATCGCCTCCATGGTTGTTACTTATAATTACACGAACCGGTGCCTAGAGCTCCAAGGATCCTTCTAGGATAGCATCATCGACGTATGAACGAAGGCAGTGTTGTTGCACTTGGTTACAACAAAGGAACAAGGAAACCACAAATCCATTGCCCCGCTCAAGCCTTGCGGAACTCAAGCGCGCCAAAGTCGTTAAACCTATCCTCGGACTCCTTGTGCAGCCGGAACCCAACAGCGGCCGCCAGCTCGGCATGCATAGCAGCGCTACGGCGCTTGCCACCAAACATCATCATGAAGAGGTCCTGGGCGGCGCCGTACTCGGACGGCCTCCCCGACTCGAGCAGCTTCTCGACGATGTAGACGCGGGTGTCGGTGGCGGCGGCGTCGGCCACGGAGCGCCAGGCGCGGGCCACGTCGGCGTCGGCAAAGTCGTTGAGGACGCGCCGGAACTGGTACACCAGCGCCCCGCGCACCGGCGCCGGCAGCGGCTCGTACACGCTGCCGGCCACGAGCTGGACTTTGGACAACCGCTCGCCGTCCTCCTCGGCGGCCACCCGGGCCCGGTCGGCCTCGGCCGCCTCGATGGCCCGCGGCAGATCCAAGACGGCGCAGCGAGCTGCCGGGATGAATGTGTTGTCGCGCAGCACGCACCGCAGCGCGGCGCCCTCGTTGCCGCCGATGTCCACAAAGAGTGGGCGGGTCCCGTCGAGGGCTCCCGGTTCTTGCTGCATCCAGCCGAGATCATGGACGCCCTTCATGGGGAAGATGCTGCCCACGCGGCTGCACGTCTCGTCGAATGCTTGGCCCAACTTGGGCTCGGCGACAAGGATTTCGTACAGGCTCTTGTCCGGGTGGTTTACGGCCATCCCGAACGGCGTGACGCTGGCAGTCTCGGGGGAGGCCAGCCCGTTCTGCGCAAAGTACGACGGCAGCTGCGCCGTCGCGCGGAAGAGCATGTCGAACAGGTACGCTACGGCGCCGCCGGCGAACTCGGTGGACTTGTACGGGCGGGACTTGTCCGTGTGAACCACGCGGCCAACGGCAGGTGAGTCGAGGAACCCGGCAGCGACGAGGTAGTTGGCGAGGCGTTGGAGCAGTTCCGGGTGCGCGCCAACCTTGTCGGCCAGCTCGGTAATGGAGATATCGCCCTCGTCGGGGATAGCATCGAAAATCTTGTACTCGACGAAGGTCTTCAGCACACCCATCTCGACGATGGTGGCGAAGTGACCGACCACCGGCCCCTTGTTTGCACAATTACCCGACATTGTGTGAGTGAAGTTACCGAACTAACAACAGGTTGACGAGAGGTTTAGTTATTGGCATTAGACTATTGGTGGGTTGTAAGGTGGTAACGGAGATGAGGTTGGAACTTGAAGTAATAAGTATCGTGATGCTGTGGACTTGTTAAAAAGATGGACTCAAATGAGATTGGAGCGAAGCATTTTGGGGTCTCTCAGACATGGAGTAACTTGGAACCAGTTTCAAGCAATTATCGCCCTGAGCGCCCTCTCCTGGGACGACTTTCTTGAAGCAACACCCGATCCATCCTGGCGACACGCAACAACAGCTCTTTATATAAGAGCAGATGTGCATCAGCCCAGGCAAAAGCACTGGGGCTTGGCGGCCCAGACGGCGTCGATCGCTCGGTAAGGTAATGCATGCCAGGGCGTGGGGAGCTGAACGTGATTGAACATCACCGACGCACCCATGGTATCGAGCCGCCATGTAGATCTCCTGCGGGCCAGAGTCCGGACCGAAATATTCAAGACATAACTACCTAATTCAGGAAGCTTAATCACGATTGTCCAGTACCCTGAGAAATCACAAGCATCACACCGCCTGAACCCCTTGATATGACTAGCTGAAAGCGGGCATGTTTTAGCGCGGGACAGTCGCGCTCCTCTAGGACAAATTAGTAGGGTATTGAGGCGTCGTGTTTTGGCACTGATAGCAGCTGAGAGAGCTGATGACGGGGATTGGGAGTTCCATGCAACGTGGTATGATCTGCGATGTTTTCGCTTCGACGTTGTCCGGCGCCTCCAGGTTTAATCGTAGTACCTTCTCTGGACATACGTCGACGAATCTCGTTGTAATAAGCAGCCTGCGTCGGACGCGTTGGATGCTCCCACCAAGGAGAATTATCTATCACCGCGTATTTAGGCAGTTATTCAGAATTACTATTGCCACTTCTCGCTGTCAGGTTCATTGGGGTCCCCGTGACCGGAGTACATATTTCCGAGTCCTCAACTTGCAGTGCCTCCTCTTGTATCGTCGACAACTGACGGTGTCCTTAATTACGGCATCCAGGAATAGCCTCGACCATCTCCCGAAGCTCGAGCAGAGTTGGTCGGTCATCCGGCGATTTGCGCATACAAGCCTCAACGATGCCCTGGAGGGGCTGGGGGACAGGCCACTCGACTTGGTTCGTGATGGGGGCGTTGGCGTAAACCATGCACTTGATGCAATTTCCGATGTCGTAGATGTCGGATCGGGTGGTCCATCCCGAGTCCAGCCCGCCATCAAACGCAATTTCTGGAGCAGCTCGCTGGCCCCAACGGCTCTCCAGGTCGCATACCACCAGGCGGCTGCCGTTGTCGGCGAAGAGGCAGTTGTCGATGCGGAGATCTCGGTGCACGATATTGAGAGAATGGAGACAAGAAAGGGCGTCAACGATGTGGAGAATCCAGCGTTTATACGTGTCGAGGGAGGAGAAGCGTGCCAGGGTCGGTCCGCGTGTTGCCAGTTTCTCAAAGACAAGCTCGCCGTCCCGCGATGCACCTAGGAGATGGATGAGGTGTGGAGAAAGAATGGTTCTAGGGCATGAGCCTCCTTGGCACTTCAAGAGATTCTCAATCTCACTCCGGTATTTGCCTTTCTTCGTGAAGTGTCTGGAGGAATCGACAGCGACAATCGGCAGCTTGGCAACGAGGTCTGAAACATCCTCAAAGTCGTCTTCCACCGGTGCTGGGTGGTTGGGGCATTCGTCGAGGCCACGGATGACATCCCCTTTGATTTCAACATGGCCGTCCACTGCCGGTAGCGCGCGCTCGAGGCGAAGAATATTGCCAGAGAGTGTTTCCGGTAGATCAAAAAGGCGAACGTATTGGCCGAGTTGCGTCCCGTCCTCGTACCAGATCCCAACGGCCGGCTCTTCGCCAGGCACAAGCTCCATGTCGAGGATGGGCCGCCCTGCCGGCGGAAAGACATTGGATTTCTGTCGTTTCACCTGGTATTCTGCGCGAAGACGGGTGACTTCCTCGCTGAACGTATCTGCAATACTGGTGGGGATGGTGGTCATCATGATGATTCTTACGAAAAACGGCTCGAGATCTCAACAGCTTAAAAAGAAAATTGAGAATTGGGTGGATGCGTAAAGAAGGACTGTGAAATAAGGCGTTTTTGACGGTTGAAAGAAGTCGGTCTTGGAGCAGGATGTGGCATTGACCTGAGTTTTGCTGCCCACGGTTTCCGTCATTGGTGCCCGCACTCCAAGGTGTAAGTTTGTTGGGACCATGAGCCAGTGTCCTCATATTCGAACCTTTAGCCTTCATTAACACTGACCAAGTCAATAGTTGGCAGCACGATTACTGTACCCAATGGGCAAACCGCTCTCCGCATGGTTACACCGGAGAAAGGAAGTGATGGTAACGAGCAAAGAACACACGATCATGAGAATAATATCTAAATCAATACCGTTGAAAACATCGTAGCTACCTATTTGACATAACTTCATAATTAAGAAATGAAAAAGAAACCCCGCATACAACCCCACACCTCAGCTCGAACCAGTGACGGACGCATGAACCAGTTCGCCCAGCGTGTTAAGCGTCGTCGTCTCCGACAGCAAAGTAAGGAAAGGCACATCCACCTTGAAGGCCTGGTAGAACCAAGTCCTGAACTCGGCCGCGAGCATGCTGTCCATGCCGAACTTGGACAAGGCCCTCCCCGGGTCGATGCGGTCGACCTGCTGCAGGACGAGGTTGGAGAAGCGCTGGACGATCAGCTGCACGATGGCCTCGAGCACCGACTGGCCCTCGTGGCCGCTGGCCAGCGCCTCGGCCAGCTCGTCGGGCATGCCCGAGTCGTTACCCTTCAGCTTCTTGTCCGTGTCGCTGTCGAGGACGGCGGCCAGGACGCTGGCGCGCGGGTCGTTCAGCGTCGGGTTCGTGCCGGTGAAGCCCTGCTTCCGGAGGAGCTTCAGCCCCAGGGGCTCCAGGCCGGTCAGCACGTGGCAGGAGGCGTTGGCGTCGTACTTGGTGCGGCTGGCCATGTGGCCGAGCGAGATGTCGATGATCTGCAGGAGCTCGTCCTCGTTGATGGCCTGGATGCCCTTGCGGAGCAGCAGCGCCTCGATCTCGGGGTTCTCGTGCAGGTAGCCCACCTCGGAGATCATGCCGAGGCCGAGCGAGAGGCCCGGGAGGCCCTGGGTCCGGAGGAAGCGGGCGAACACGTCCAGGAAGTAGTTGGCCGCGCAGTAGTTGCCCTCGGTCGCCGTCCCGACGCTGCCCGACACGGAACTGGTCATCAGGAAGAAGTCGAGGTCGGCCGTCCGGCCCTCGAGCGCGTTGTAGAGGTTCCACGACCCGATCAGCTTGGGGTCGATGCCCGTGTGCCACCACTCGTTGGGCATGCTCGTCCAGAGTGCCTCCTGTAACGTGTTGTTAGCATCATATACCCTCTTCTCCCGGAAAGCGTGCGCAAGAACCAGACCGAACGGGAATGACAACGGGGGCGGGCAAAACTTACGTGGAGTCCCATGGCAGCCTGTACGACACCGCCAACCGGCCCCTTGATGGCAGCCACCGCCGCCTGCACGTCCGCGTAGACGCCCACGTCTCCGCGAACGACTGTCACCTCGGCGCCGGACGCCCGGAGGTCTTCCACAAGCAGTCTGGCCGGCTTCCTGTCCGTGCCGCTCCGGCCGACCAAGACGAACTTCCGGGCGCCGCGCTTGACCATCCACCTCGAGATGCTACGGCCCAGCCCGCCCAGGCATCCGATCATGAGATAGGTCTTGTCGGGGCTGAATGAAGACGCGTGTTTGATGGGCAGGGTCTAGGTTCGTCAGCGTTTCACGTACTATTATCAGTGTGCTGTCATGAGTGAGGTACTTACCGGGACGAGAGAGTTGCCGTTCTCGAGGGAGATGGCGATCTTGCCGATCCGGTTACCAAGCCCGAAGTAGCGGTATGCTTGCGTGATTTCGGACACGTCAAACACGCGCATGGGCTCGATGGCCTTGATCTTCTTTTGCCTGTAGAGAGACATGGTTTCCGCAAGCAGACTGTTGAGGGGACGGGGTGCGTTAGACGGATGGTGTCTTTCATCAAGGGGGAAGAGAGAAAGCTAAAGTAGTACGTACCTCGAGGCGATGCGGTTGAGTTGCGGCTGGCCCTCCTCGGACAGTTCGCTGAGGTCAAAGGCAGTGAAGGTGACGTTGCGGCGGAACATCTCCATATCCAGCTTGCCGGCGTCGACGATGTCTTGCTTTCCGACCTCGACGAACCGGCCCCAGCGGGCGCAGGCCCGCCAGCTGTCATGCAGCAGGTCCCCGGTCAGCGAGTTCAGCACGACATCCACGCCCCTCCCGCCGGTGGCAGCCAGGATGGCGGGCAGGAACGACGAGTCACGCGAGTTGAAGATGTGGTCGCGCTGCAGGCCGAACGTGTTGACGAGGTACTCCCGCTTCTCCTCGGTGCTGACGGTTGCGAAGATCTCGGCGTCCGACAGCTGGGCGATCTGGATGGCGGCGTTGCCCAAGCCACCAGCGGCCGAGTGGATCAGCACCGACTCGCCCTTCTGGAGGTGGGCGCGGTGGTGCAGGGCGTAGAGGGCCGTGGAGAAGACCAGCGGCAGCGTTGTCGCCACGTGCAGGTCCTCGTCGTCCTGCAGCTTCTGGCATGCCCACTCCGGAACCCGCTCGTGCGTCAGGAAGTGGCCCGGCCCCATGGAGACCACGCGGTCGCCCACTGCCAACCGCTCCACGCCGCTGGAGGCCACGCGTGTGACGATGCCGCTGCACTCCAGCTTACAAACTCCGTCCTTTGTGTTGACCTTTCCGGCGAGGGCGTAGAAGTCCTAGGGGGAGAACTAAGTCAGCATGGACTGCAGGGGCATCACATGGGCGAGTTAGGAGTTCTTCACTTACCTTGGCGTTCAGGCCGACGGATTTGACCTCGATCTCGACAGTCCCCGGAGCCAGCGGCGAGAGGTCTGGTACCTCACGGATGAAGGAAAGGGTGTCGAACTGTCCCACGGTGCCGATGGTCAGACGAGCCGGTTTCGCCTCGTCCAGAGTGGCAAGCGCGGAGATTTGGCCCTGCCTGGCGCGGAATGTGGCGTTCATGTCCTCCTCGGGCAGCATCCGACTGACGTGGAGCAGGCCGTTCTTGTATGCGTACTCGGCGTCCGGGGTGGTCGATTCGACCGACTGACGGAGCACCGCAGTGATGCTCTGCAGGGTCTGCTGTTCCGGCGCGACGACGTCCAGATCAAGCATCGTGATGGCCAGGGACGGCTGCTCCAGCATAAGCGCGCGCGACAGGCCCGACATAAGGGCGAAGTCGGGACGCTTCCCGTCCATGTTGTCGCCACCCGTGATCCACAACAGACTCCGCGCGTTGTCGGTGATGAACTTGACGTACTCCATCTCCTCGTTGGTGAGTGTTGAAAGGACCGGCCGACGCAGTTCGACGGTGGAGACCACCAGGGTCTGGGTCGTGACGGCGCTGCTCGTCAGTTCGTGCAGAAGTACACGCTTCACGTCCTGCCCGAATGTTTCGGCGAGGTGTTTGGCCAGGGCGCTGTTGAACGGCTCTTCCGCGGCCTCTTCCACCATCAGGATAGGAGTGGCGTCCGAGACGGTGGCGGCCTTCTTGTCGTTGGCCCGCGTCGACACCTCCAAGATCTTACCCGACGCTGCAGCCGTGTCGATGCAAGTAAAGCCATCCAGGGGCTTTGAAGGGCTCGACGTCATCTTCAAGACGGCGCCACCGGGGTTCACGAGTTCTGCCAGACGAGCGTAGAGGTCATCGGCAAGGCCCTCGCCGACGATGACGACGTCATATTCCTCTTGTCCGGTCGACGAGGCTTTCTTCCCCTCACCGAGAGGCTGCTTGCCGTCTACCGTCTCGATGACAAGGCCGTCTTCTGCCGTAAACTGGCCTCGGGCGTATGCCCCGCACCGCTTGAATGCGCTCCGTGCCCGGAGAGCGTCCAGGAAGGCCGACGTGAGCTCGTCCGATTGGCCGACGTCCAAGACGCGTAGGCGAGGGTTCTTGTGCGAGAAGAGGTCGACCATGGAAACGAGTTGGTCCTCTTCACAGATCGAGAGGTACTTGGCCAGCTCGCTGCTCGACAGAGTCGTGACATCGGGCTTCCAGACCAGGCGCAGCATAGGCTCACGCTCCTCCTCCTCATCCGCTACCTTTGCGCCGCCTTGGTACCCGGTCACGCGGACGTCCTTCAAGACAACAACGGGGCGGTCCTGTCCATCGCGGAGGCAGGCGTTGAGCATGTAAGCCGAGAAGCCGATGCGCTGGGCGTTGGCGTCAATGAAGTAGTGCTCCTGCTCCTCCTCGGACACGGCCCGCGCCGCGGGGGCGTGGAAGTAGGCCTCTTCGATCGCGACCGGCACGTTCGCGGCCAGGTCCTTGATCACGCCCGACGTGCTGGCGATGATGCCGGCCTGCAGCATGACGTCGATGGTGACGGGGTGGACCAGGTACGTCGACTGCGCGTCCTTGCCCTCGCCGCCGCCCTGCAGCAGCGGCGTCCTCGCGACGGCGTGCATGCCGGTCTTGGACCGCGGCGTCTGCATCTCCGAGAGCGCCGCGAACTCCGGGCCGTAGTTCAGCCCCACCTTGGTGAACTGGCCGTACCAGTTGCGCATGGCGAGCGCCTCGAGGTCGGCGTCGCCGGGCACCAGCGCGGGCTTGACCAGGTCCGACGCGCGCGTCTCGGCGATGCTGATCTTGCCCGTGGCGTGGGTGGTGGCGAGCTCGTCGCGGTAGCTGGTGACCTCGAACTCCCACCAGGTCTTGGAGTCTGCCGTGGCCGACAGCGCCATCGGCCTGATCTGCGTGAAGATCTCGACACCGGGGGCGTTCGCGTCGGCCGACAGCGGAAGCGCCTTGAGAATGTGGAACTGCCGTAGGCTGACCGAGATTCCGGCGGGGTCCGTCACCGTCTTGCCGCTCACCTGGCTGATAGCTTCGATACCCATGGCGATGTAGCCAGCGCCGGGGAAGACCACCGTGTCCTCCAGCCGATGGTCGAGCAGCCAGGGCGCATCGTGGGCCCGGAGCACGTTCCGCCACGTCGTCTCGCTGCCGTTGCCGCCGGGCTTCTGTGCGCCTAGCAGGTCGTGGTGCAAGTGCTTGCGGTTGCGGAACTCGGTGCTCAAACGGCACTCGCTCCACAACAGGGTGTCGTAACTCCAGGCGTAAGGGGGCAGGGTAGCGATGACCTTGCCCTGCTGGTGGGCCGGGTACCGGGCGGCGTGCCGCGCCAGGCCCGTCGTCGGCGCCTCAACGTAGTTGACTTGGGCGAAGTCGACGGGATAGCCGTGCAGGAACAGGTTCCCGACCAGGCTGAACAGGCAGGTGACGGCGTTTTTATTCCTAGTGAGGGCGGCCGAGTAGTGGAAGTCGCTGCCGGCCTTCAGGTTCAGCTTTGCCATGGTCTGCTTGATTGGCATCTCCAGAGCCGAGTGGGGACCCAGTTCGACTAGGTGGTGCTTGGAGATTTGCATGATGCCCTCCACCGCGTCGCTAAACAAGACGGGCGACTCCAGGTTGGCTCTCCAGTACGAAGGCTTGACCTTGGCCGTCACCTCCTGCCCAGTCACGGACGACACCCAGCGGGCTTTGCCGTCCGGCTGGAAGGTCCGGAGAGGCAGGTTCTCGGTGAGAAGCTGCTCGTACTCCTGGCCAAGGAGGAGCATGTGGTGGGAGTGGTAGGCGCGGTCGTTTGTGTTGAGCTTCCGGGCGAACAGACCCTTCCCTTGCAGGTGCGCCAGCATACTGTCGATGCCGTCGGCGTCTCCGCTGATGGTCACGCTCTCGGGCGAGTTGATGCAAGCCACCCTGATCGAGTCGGGTAGACCCAGGGTATCGATTTCCGTCTGGGCTTGATCTCGGCCTAGACCGGCCGCCATCATGCCCCCCTTGGAAGGGAGCTGGCGGTGTCCGACCACGTAACCACGGTAGTACGCCACGATGATGGCCTCCTCGGCCGTCAGACGACCAGCGGCGTATGCGGCGGCGATCTCACCGGACGAGTGGCCGATGACGGCGGCTGGCTCGATGCCCCACTTCCACAGGAGCTGGATAAAGGCGATCTGGATGGCGGTGCACACGGGCTGCGACCGCGTGACATGGTTGATCATGGAGGTTTCCTTGGGATCCAGCAGGGCCTGTCGCAGCGTCCAGGATGGGCGATGGGGCAGCTTCTGCAGGGCGTTGTCCAGCTCGACCAGACTCTTGCGGAACGACGGGATCTCCTCGATCAGCTCCTTGCCCATCTGCGCCCATTGGGCTCCTTGCCCTGTGAAGACGAAGGCCAGCGGGAGGCTGGTGTCGGCGGCTCCGGCGGCCATGACGAAGCTCTCGCGTCGCAGGCTTTCACCCAGCGTCTCCTGTCCGGCGAGGGTGTACGCTCGGCTAGACAGTCGCGATCGACGGGTGCCGAGGGTGTAGGCCAGGTCGACAACGTTGAGTCCGTCCAGCTGGAGGGAGGACAAGTTGCTCAGTTGGCCGTCCAAGGAAGCAGGGGAGTTGGCAGAGACCGGGAGGATGAAGGTCGATCGGAGCTTCGACAGCGTCTGGGAAGAGGGACCCTCTGGACGTGGGACAAAGTTGTCCACAGCCTCCAGAATGACGTGACTGTTCGCACCGCCGTAGCCAAAGGAATTGACGCCAGCGCGGCGCGTGGCCTTCCCCAGAGTCATCATGGACTGGGTGGGCCACTCGGTAGCTTCGGTGACGATCTTGACGCCCCATTCGTCGGTCTTGATCTTGGGGTTGATATTCCGAACGCCGATGGTGGGGGGGATGACGCCCTTCTCGAGGGCCATGGCGACCTTGAAGATGCTGGAGAAGCCGGAAGCGGCCTCGGAGTGGCCCAGGTTCGTCTTGACGGAGCCGACGTGCAGCGGGCTCTGCACTAGGCGCTTCTTGAATACGCGCGACACGGCCTCGAGCTCGATGGGGTCACCCACGGCTGTGCCGGTGCCGTGGCACTCAACGTAGTCGGTTTCGTTGTACCGGTAGTCTAGTCCGGCCTTTGCGTAGGCCTTGCGGATGACGGCCTCCTGGCCGTCGGAGCTGGGCAGCGTGATGCCGTTGGTGCGCCCGTTGGCGTTGACGGCTGACCCGCGGACGATGCCGCGGATCGGATCGTTGTCCTCGAGCGCTTTGCTCAGCTTCTTGAGGTAGATGGCGCCGATGCCGTCCGCGCGGCCGTAGCCGTCGGCTGAGGCGTCGAAGGTGTGGCAGGTGGACGTGGGCGAAAGCACGCCGGCCTTCATGGTGCCGATGTGCTGCTCTGGGGCCTGAACCAAGTTCGCGCCGGCGGCGACGGCCGAGTCGCATTCCCCTGCGTCGATGGCAGCACAGGCCATGTGAAGGGCATAGAGCGATGACGAGCAAGCCGTGTCAAGGACCACACTCGGCCCCGTAAGGTTGAAGACGTGGCTGATACGGTTGGAGAGGATGGTGGTTCCCATGCCTGTTGCGTTATAGCGATGGAAATACTCGGCCTCCTTTGCCTGCATCGTGATGAAATCGATAGTGAAGTTTCCCACGTAGCATCCCACGTTGGCCGACGAGAGAGATTCCAAGGTAGCGCCCGCACTCTCAAAACACTCGTAGCAGACTTCCAGGAGCTTCCGCTGCTGGGGGTCCATGTAGGTGGCTTCCAGGTTGTTGATGCCGAAAAAGCCATTGTCGAACTGCCGGATGTCCTCGTCGAGGAAGTACCCGCCCTTGGTGTTCATGCTTCCCGGTCGCTGGCCGTTGGGGTGATAGAAGCCGTCGATGTTCCAGCGTGACGGGGGGACGTCGCCCTGGCCGGAGCCCCCGTTCATGAGGAGCTTCCAGAGGTCTTGGGGGGATTTGACACCACCGGGGAGCCGACATCCTGGGTGCACAAGTCAGTCAAAATAGACTTAAACTTTTAAAGTACCTTAGTTGGATGATAATGGTACCAGGGGAAGAACATACCCATGCCAATGATGGCGATCGGCTCGGGCTCCCGCGCATCATTGCCGTTGGTGACAGCCAACTGCGGAGGGGTCGATGCCTCGCTGGGGCCCGAGTCGCTCGACGAGTAATCGCCCTGAAGGTAAGGTGCCATGGTGAGGGATGTTAGTAGGTACTTGGAGTTGGTTCCCACTAGCTGTCGAAAAGAGTTTCAAACTTCACCGATGGTTGGCGGTTGTTCTCAAGTCATATACCTTGTGATAGATGGGAACATATACTGGTAGTAATAGGCGTCCCTTAGTATCACCTCCGAGTCCGTGTCTCCGTCCAGGCGACGCAATTCGAAGTGGTTAGTTCCGGGTAACACGACACCGGCGACAAATCCTAAGCCCGTTTCCGACATTTCACCCCTTTTGGGTTTCCCGCCAAAATCAAGTCCGAAGCCGTTGAAGGATGCCGACATGCACGGCCCATCCATTGGTACCTGCAGATGGGGCCCATCCGGAGCGGAGGCCGGAGGGTGCTTACATCAGATTGGCTGGTTGCCGAACCCGTCAGTCTACTCGGTTTCCAAGCCGGAACCCGGGCTTATCTTGGTACGGGATGGCACCTGCCAGGAGGCAGTGACAAGTCCGCTGACAATGTCGGGGGCCATCCTGGTCGCGCAGGACTCCGAGGGCCGGGCCTTTGGCGGAAACTCGGTAACGTACGTTGACATCCCTTGAGACGCCGGGGCTTGCAAAGTAGGTTGCAGACGGATATCGCAAGATGCCCCCTGTTCATTTGGTGTCCGGGGGGAATAAAACTGATTCCTTACCTTCCTTATCTAGACGAGAGAAACCCAGGCGTCTGGCGCCGCATTGCTCCTGACTTCTCCCCCCCCCCCCCCCCCCCCCCCCCTTTACTACCAATCAGTCCACAATGGCGAGCGAGAGGTTCGCACTGATCACCGGGTAATAACACTGCGATCGATGCATCTGGAGGCCCTTCCGCTTTGCTAATGCTGCTGCCGCTAGGTGCGGATACGGCGGAATCGGCCATGCTCTTGCCTCCCGACTCAGGAAAGAAAGTAAGTCTCGGCAGTTCCCTCGGTTGTTCTCCCGCCCAGGACGCGTGACTGACTCAGCACCTACCTTGCCGCATTTTAGAGTTTGAGGTCATCGCAACCCTTCTCCCCCACGAAGATGCCCATCACCTGGAATCCGAGGGCATACATGTCACCCGGACCGACGTCACCAAGGACGAGAGCGTGGAGGAGCTGAAGCAGACCCTCCAGAAGCTCACAGGAGGAAGGCTGGACATCCTGATTAACAATGCGTCCGTTCAAGCCCCGTCTAGCATAACTGGTTGAGGGCGACTGGCTAATATACGCGTCTGCTTTAGTGGAATCTGTGAGTGACTTCCCTGCCTCGGGCGATGGCCATGTGCGCACAAGTACATTGCTTACCACGGGTACATGTTCTGGTCACAGGCTACACCATGCCGGCAACGGACACTAAGGCGGCCGAGGTGCAAAAGATGTTCAGCGTGAATGTTTTCGGCCCCATGCGTGTCGTCCACTACCTACATCCCTTCCTCATCGCGGCCAAGGGCGTGATTGTCAATACTGGGTCCATTGGTGGCGTCTGTCCTTACGTCTACGGCGCGTCCTACAATGCCAGCAAGGCCGCCTTGCAGCACTATGGAAACACCTTGCGTGTGGAGCTGCGTCCGTTCGGGTACGTATCGTTTCCCAAGAATGCCCATTCGGGACCCGATGCACTAACTCGCTGGTGCAGCGTCCGCGTCGTGAACGTCATTAGCGGAGAGGTGGCTACGAACATTCTCAAGAACGACCATGGGAGATCCTTACCTGAGGGTTAGTTTGCTCGCTTCTCGATATCAAACATTACCTTACTGACTCCGGATTACTGTAGATTCGGTGTACTATCCCATGAATGACGCCTTTGTAGCCCATCTCCACCGGACGCCAGGTAGGTACCTTGGGCCTTGCAGCGATTGCTCGATTGGATCTCACAAGAGGATTATCTAACTGGGAACGCAGACGCCATGAAGCCAGATCAATATGCAGCGGGAGTGGTGAAGGAGATATTGAAGAAATCACCGGCGGCCTGGTTCTGGTTCGGTAATTCTTCCGGCCTCATCCGTTTTATCGATACATTTCTCCCACGGACGTTCTGGGTAAGCTATCTTCTAGTCACTTTTGCCTGATTCCTCTTGGTCGAGAAGCTAACCATGGTATAGGACTGGTTCTTTGGTCGTCTGTTTGGCTTGGGAAAGCTGGCAGATACCCAACCCGGGAAGATCAGGCTTTCATGAGTTCAGGACCGCCGCTGCTCATCTTTGCAGCTGTGCTGTGCGATAGAAATTGGAAGATAGAACAATCTCAAATATCCGTGTATCTGCTATTACCATAGCACTGCCCACGTTCTGCAGTGATCCAGGTGTAGAAATGAAGATTCCAATGATGCGAGCATTTATCGTCTACCACACTACATTGAGGTCTAAAGAAACGTCGATAGCGCATGCAAGCATCACTGTCACACACACACGAAAGCCGTTCTGTAGTTTCCGCCGGATGCCCGCCGTTGCAACGGACATGTCCTATGGCAACGAGCCACGTGCGGCCTTGTGGCGGCGATTACCTCCCGCACACCGTGACGCTTGCCCGGCGGGGTGAACCAGGGAGAGAGCCCGTCAGCACGCGTGAGATCAGCGACTGCGGCGGAAGGAGGTCCGACCACTCCCTGTTGGACCTCCGTGTTCTTCCGAGGATACTACTATATTAGGCTCACCATCTACAAGGGACGGAGGTGCAGCAGTCCACACAACCACATTCAAGGAACGGGCCAAGACCACAGAACACGCAGCAGCATGCAGACCGACGGAGTCGCACTAGTGACGGGTGCAGGTACGGAACGAACACCTGACTGGCCCATGATGCGCACCGTTGAACCTTATTATCTGACCCCCCACGAACAGGAAGCGGCATCGGACGGGACTGCGCAATCGCCTTCGCCTCCGAGGGTGCAAGGGGCGTTGCCTTTGCCGACATCGACCTGGGGGCGGCACAGGCTGCGGCCGACGAGAGCAGGGCCCAGGCCACAAACCCCGCGTACCGGGCGGTGGCGGTCCAGGTCGACGTGTCCAGCGAGGAGAGCGTCCAGCGCATGGTCGACCTCGTGCGCGACGAGTTCGACCGCATTGACTACAGCGTCAACAGCGCCGGGGTGAGTGCCAAAACAGGGGTGGATGGGTGGTCTGACCGGGTCTGAGTATCGTCTCATGCTGACATTGACGCTTACCATGTCTCAGATTGGCGTGCAGCAGCCTCGTTCCGTGTCCGAGACGGACATGGCCGAGTTCGACCGTTTTTACGCGGTCAACATCCGAGGCACCATGCTCTGCGTGCGCGCCGTCACCCAGGCCATGATGGCGCAGGAGCAGCTCACCGTCGCGGGTCGAACCGGGCCCCGCGACGCCGGGCGCGGGAGCATCGTGAACCTGGCGTCGGCCAACTCGCTTGTGGCCTTTCCCGACATCGTCCAGTACACGACCGCGAAGCACGCCGTTTTGGGAATCACAAAGACAGCTGGTAGGACTCTACCCAACCCCCGGGCCCCCGGGCCCCCGATCTGCATCATCTTTTCCGAGCTGGACTGGGCGCTGACAGAACCGACCCGACCCTAACCTTAGCACTGGATAATGCCCCCCACGGAATCCGGGTGAATGCGGTTTGCCCGTCGTGGGTGGAAACCCCCATGATTGACAAGGCCTTCGCCGGAAACCCGGCCATGCTCGAGGCCCTGGCCAGTAACATTCCGGCCAAGCGAATCGCCCACGCGGAGGAGGTGTCGGACGTGGTCTTGTTCCTGAGCGGACCCAAGGCGAGCTATGTGACCGGGGTCGCCTGGCTCGTTGACGGTGGGACCACCCTGCAGATGAAAATCGGATGACAGTCCGATGTGGATGTGTAGGATGGGCGGGACCTCCTCCGCCAAGATGAAGGAGGCTTATATCCGTGCGGTCCGGACCGCACAGCGGGCGTGGCATGCGAATAGACAGTGTAGTGTGATGTGTGGCGTCCGCTCGGCCACTATCTAGCGCAATGCATGTCATCCCGTACCACACTCGTCCCATGCATGCAACCCCGACCTATCCCAATCCTGGATCCGTGCCGCCGGAGGTGGGTCAACCGGAGGTCTCGGCCCGAAGGGTTCCGGACCGGCATCGAAGGTCTGCTTACCCGCCGCCTCGACGACAGGGGCGGACTTCCGTTTCGAAGTGGGGGCCAAGTCCAAGCCTCGTGTCGGTCGTGTATGTAGTGTATAGTACCGGACGTCGGACGGCAATCTCCGTCTTACATACCTAGGTAGGAACCAAATCACTTCCTGTCCTGCCTTGCGTGCTGAGGTTTTGGCAGGCATATTGATCCCACGGACACACATCAAGCCATTCTACGGAGTACACGAGATTGTTTGACCGGGGATTCCCGTTCTGCTGCTCCGGCTTTCAACTGGAATTGGTTGCCTTGGTAGGGGACGCGTTCAGAAATACCCTCGAGAGGATCAATTAACTTGTGACTTCAGAAAGGAGTGTCACGCTATTATTACCTGCACGTTGCTACACAATGGAGATCGACACATCCAAAATTCTGTCGCTTCTGACCAATGACAAGTCGAAGATGCTGTCTCTCCTCCCAATCTGGCTTCCAGCCGTCGTCGTAGTCGGCGTGCTCTACTCTTGGTTTCGGTCGTGGTATCGCCTTCGCGACTTCAAGGGGCCCTGGCTGGCCGGCTTGAGCGAGGCATGGCTATTTGGCGTGACGACCACGGGCGAGCTGCACATGCGGCTGTACGAGGCGAGCCAGAAATACGGTGCTGTCCATGATGCCCATCCTAAGCGTTGCTCCCCTGGTGGTTGGTGCATCCACGGCTAACACGGCGAGTGAATGAAGGCGACGACTTCGTCCGGATCGGACCGAACTGGCTCATGACGAGTGACCCCGACGTCATCCGCCATATGAACGCCGCCAAGTACAAGCATCAGAAGTCAAGCTGGTATGAGGCTCTGAAAGTCGACCCTTACGTGCACAGCGTCTTTTCGGAGACCAGTGTGACCAAGCACGACCAGCTGCGGGTTAAGATGGCCTCGGGCGTAAGTTTTTACCGACTATGTCCCTCCCTGAACTCGCGAGTCTCGTGTGCGACTTTCGAACACCAGACGGACACTCTGCTAATTTAGAAAACGATGTGCAGTACTCCCTCAAGGAGAACCGGGATCTCGGCGTCAAGATCGACGCTGAAATCGCCTCGCTGGTCGACCTGCTCGAGCGTAAGTACGTCTCGACGGCGGACGACGTGCGCCCGCTCGACATGGCTGGGGCGGCGCAGTTCTGGTCGCTGGACGTCATCACGTCCATCGCGCTCGGCGAGCCGTTTGGCTACCTGACCGAAGACAAGGACATGTACGACTTCATCAAGATCATCCAGGGCGAGCTCCCGTTGGCCACCCTGTGTTCCTCTACGCCTACGCTGGGAAATTTGGTGTTTGGCTCCGGCTTGGTCAAGCTAATCGGGCCGAGCCCCAAGGACGAGAAGGGCCGGGGTAAACTTATGGGGTAAGAACCGCAGCCAGGCCTCCCGTCCCCGCCGGGAAGCCTCTTTTTCCTTGTGGCGGTGTGCTGACTTGCGGGTGACTAGAATCGCGAAGAGGGTGGTCGGCGACCGCTATGGTGCAAACAAGGTCGTACGCGACGACATGCTGGGAACGTTTGTTCGAAACGGGCTCGATAAACGCCAGGCCGAGTCGGAGATCCTTACAACCATGTTGGTGTCTCCTTTCTTGAATTCTCGCCCCTTTCATTTTCCTCTCTCTCTCTCTCAGCAAACTGCTAACGCGACACACCTGGGCAGTCTCGCTGGGTCCGACACGACGGCTACGGCCGTGCGTGCGACCATGCTGTACATCATGACCAACCCACGCGTGTACAACAAACTGGTCGAGGAGATCGCGGCAGCCGAGCGCAACGGGTCCATCTCGTCGCCCATCACATCCGCCGAGTCGCGGCAGATGCCGTACGTGCAGGCCGTCATCAAAGAGGGCCTGCGGATCCATCCGCCCATCACGGGTCTCCTGACCAAATTGGTCAACCCGGGCGGCGAGACCATCAAGGGCCGGTTCATCCCGGGCGGGACGGGCATTGGGCAGTGCGGATGGGGCATCCAGCGGCACCCGATCTTCGGGGAGGATGTCGACGTCTTCCGCCCCGAGCGGTGGATCGAGGCGTCGGAAGCCCAGCGAAGCGAGATGGAGAAGACCATGGAGTTGGTGTTTGGCACCGGGCGATGGGGGTGCTTGGGCAAAACTATCGTGCTGGTCGAGTTGGACAAGATCTTTGTTGAGGTTCGTCGATTCTCCCCCATATCCCTGATTGATCTTTTGGTGACTAACAACTTGCAGCTTCTGCGGAAATTTGACTTTGAGCTCATGTACCCCGGGTCTGCATGGAAAACTCGCAACTTTACCCTTTTTATGCAGAAGGAGATGTGGGTGCGCGTCACTAAGCGTGAAGTTGCCTCTTCCTGAGGAGCCAGACCCAGCGCTGCAGGCAGGGGATGAGGTTGGAGTACTTATAGAACCTCACTCTCTAAATCAATAAATTGAGCGCGAATCATCTTCCACTGCTACCTAGGGGTGTATAATGGCCATTGAGATTGTTCGTCTGATGTGTTAATATCCTCTCATATATATAAATGCTTTCTTGAACCTTGGAACTTCTACGCGTGGTTGTGATAGAAGCAGCATAGCAGGTCGGTTGGTGGATATCAGTTAGGTAGTTTCCATGTGGCGCAAACGCTGTCGTTCTTCCTTGTTCTGTTTGTTCCTTTTCACCTCCGTGCGCTTTTCGACGTGGATTTGTTCCGCTGTCTTTTTGCCTCTGCGTTTCCATCACATCCATGATGTCAAACCCTTAGAGATGGGTATTTATAACTGCAACAGAGGTCACCGAGGAATAATTCAATGTTACAACGCGAAATGACATCAATCAACCAGGACAAGATATAATAAACCACAGTATATTTCAGCTCTCTACCGACTACCTAGGTGTGGTAATGGCTCCCAATGGCAAACCCAAGAGAGCCTTGTCCTTGCACAACCATGCATAACCGCACACACAGATGCCCCGAAAATCATTCCCCGCAGTCTCAGTGGTTTGTCGGAAAGTCGGGCTGCAGCTCGTTGAGCTCGATCTTGAACTCCTTGCCGTTGATGGGCTCCATCGGCTTGCAATCCAGCAGCACGAACAGCATGCGGCCGGGCTTGTCGGGCGACAGGTTGCGCCACTTGTGGGCGGTGGCGCGCTGCACCAGCACGTCGCCGGGCCGCATCGTGCGCTTCTCGCCGCTGTCCAGCTCCACCTCGAACTCACCCTCCACCACGGTGCCGTAGTCCAGCGACATGGCGCGGTGCATGGGCGACTCCACCCCGGGCGCGAAGTCGATCATGCGCACGAGCGTGCCATCGGGGACGTGGAGGCCGGGCTGGCGGATGGGGGAGAGTCTCCGATTAGCATGGCACTTGCGGGCAAAGAGAGGGCCCGGGGCGCGGGAAAGCTCACCTTATTGTCTCGTGCCCAAGCAATGTCTGCCTCGCCGTTGAGATCCACGGCCGCGCCTTTGGTTGTGTAGAGGACATTTTGGACGCCGCGGCCGTTGGCCATCAGCGCTTTGTTGTCGCCATTGTCGGACGGGAGGAAAACGCCCTCGCCTTGGGCGTTGTGGGTGGTGATGTACCGCCTGATATCAGGGAGACCCTTCCCGGGGAATCCGGTGAAGGGGCCCGGAGTAGCGTACAAGGGGTCGAAAGCGGGCGCCGACATGGTGATGCAGAGAATTTGCGGATGGTAGCAATACAAGGATATTAAAACTCAAGGATATTGAAACTCAACGATATTGAAGTCGGACACGTATTGCTTCATTCACTGGGACCTAGGTAGTTAGCGGTGCATGGCTTTTATTAACGACGATCGATGTCGGGCATTGTTCATTTGACTGGCTGGCATCCTCGGCAACCGGAATGTAAGCAAGGGAATGGACGGTTGCGGCCTGTCGGAGCTCCGGTGCGTCATGTCGTCAGCCGTGCATTCTGAACTCGGGGATATACCAGTAACGCCGATGCCCGGTACGGGGAATCGTTGCCAGGCCGCCTTCACAAGTCCCGGATTTACAAGACAAGATCAAGCGGAGCCCTATCCAGAACGTGAACGGACCCCTTACACTCGGACTTAAGCGGATCTTGGCGACGCCATGCAGTCCGAGCCGGAACGGAGCCGGAGTGGGGCCGCAACGGGCCGGAGCGGAGCCCCGACGGCTGCATTGTCCGATCAAGTCAACCCGTGTCCGGTACATCCTTGTTATACTTGCATTGTATAGCGACGGCGGCATTGCTTGTCAGTATAACTTGGCGCAATCCTTATACGGCACTAGCCCCCTATAGAGAAACCCGAGCAGGATCAACACCCTCACCCTCCTCCAGTTCTCGACCAACCGTCGAACTCACAAACCAGAAAATGCCGACCCGAATCTTCATCACCGGCGCGACCGGCTACCTAGGAGGCACGACCCTAGATCTGCTGTGCAAGACCTTCCCGGACGCCATCTACACGGCGCTCGTACGCACACAAGAGCAGGCGCAAGCGGTCGCCTCGGCACACGCCGGCGTGACGCCGATCGTGGGTGACATCTCCTCCGAGGCCGTCGTCACGGCCGCCGCCGCGGCCGCGGACATCGTCATCGACGTCGCGGGTGACAACGAGGCCGGGCTCGGCCACATCCTGGCCGGCCTGGCCAGCAAGCCCAACAAGGGCACGCTGATCCACGTCTCGGGCATCACCTCCCTGATCGACCCGGCCAACCCCAACCTGGGGCGGGCCGCGTCCCGCATCTACAGTGACGTGACTGACAAGGACGAGATCATCTCCTTTGGGCCGGTCCGCGACCACGCGGCGCTGGACCAGTCGGTCCTGCGCGCCCACGCCGACATGGGCGTCCGCACCGTGATCCTGAGCTCGTGCCAGATTATGGGGAACGGGACCGGCGCGTGGAAGAAGGACAGCTTCGGCCACGGGCTGGTCAAGACGGTCGCGGCGCGGGGCCGGGGGTTCGTGGTCGAGCGCGGGGAGAACGTCTGGAGCTGGTGCTCCGTCCGCGACGTCGCGTCGGCCATCGTCTTTGTGCTGGCGCGGGCGCTCGCCGACTCGCCCGATCTCGCCTACGGCCTGGACGGCTACTACTTTGTGCAGACGGGCGAGGTGAGCTTCCGCGAGCAGGCCCAGGCCGTGGCGACGAAGCTGAAGCAGCTCGGCAAGCTGGAGACGGACCCGATCGACGAGTTGACGGTTCCGCAGGCGACGGAGCTCCATCCCTATGCTGGCCTCCTGTGGGGCGCGAGCTGCCGCAGCAGAGCCGACCGTCTGAGGGCCATGGGATGGACGCCCAAGGAGACTGACTGGCAAGCTCTGATGGACGAGACTGTCGTTGCCGCTGTGGCTAATTAGGCTGGGGAAGTCGTGTGTAAATACAAAAAATAGAGTTCGGGTAACGGACCACCCACATGTCGACAGGGTGCAAAATAATAACTCTTGACATCTCTGCTAGTTTGTGGTCATGTTGTTGGCATAGAAGGTGGTCAGTGCCTGCCCTATTACCTGTATATTCATACCTGCCGTTTAGTGAATCATCATAGGTAGGTATCAAAACAAAATCCTCCCGTTGCTAAGGTACCTAGGGAGGTACCTAGGTAGGGAGTGTTTTGAACTCTGTTTTCCAGAAATGGCAACATCGACTTTTGAACAGAATCGCTCTATACACTAACCATTGACAATCAATTGGCCGTATCCCGCAACAATGCTCTCGGCTTCGCGGGCAACAGCCCTTTTAGTTTCGCAGGTAACAGTACGTCAATGTTGGTTCTCGGGATGGTTCTCACCAGTTGTCCGACTGGTTCCTCTGTTGACGGCTGTCGTTTATCGACTTTCGGTTCGTCGTCGGCCAACGGGTGCCGTACTTTATATTCGCTTACGAGGTCCGAGGCGTTTTCCATAAAGTTTGCTCGTGTGTACCAGCTGTTATACTCATTGCCGTAGCCTTTCCATTTGATGAGATACTAAACCTTGGATCGTCCTAGAGGAAACGTCACTCGGCGTTGGACAATCCTTTTCAGCTCGTACTGGCTGTCCTCTGCTCCAGCTTCCATCACTCTACCTTGTAGTAGAGGATACCTCCCGGACGGGTCGTCGCCGCTCAGTGCTAGGGTAAGTTGTGTAATGAAAACCACGGGGTGAACACGCCATGCTGGCGGCAAGTCAAGCTCGGCTGCCAGCTCACCAATCTTCTTTGACCTAGCCTGAATGATGGTGCCCGTCTTTATGCCTTCAGGTACATCACCTGGGAACCTTGCGGCGGAGTTATCCCTTGCCTTGTCGCTAGATGTCGGATTCATCCGGGTCGATGGGGCTGGGGTATCTGCCTTGGTCGATGTCGATCGGCACGCCTTGGTGGCGATGTGCCAGTCGGGGTCAGAAAATAGTCCATCACTTTTTTTTGGACTTTGTGTGGAGAGATTGTATGGGAAGGGCTGAATGTTGAGTTAAAGCCAATGTAGTCACCCACCACAGGTGACAAAATACAAAATGCTTTGCTTCATATAGTTTTAATGTAAAACCGTACCTTCTTACATTTAACTTTCATTTTAAAACAATGCTAGTGGTGCATTGTTGCAGAGTACCCAACCCGAGTTTGGGCGAGTTCGGGTGCTAATTACCTAGGTACCTAAGATGGGTGTGGTGGACTATTTTCACCTTATCTATCCATACCTTACTTGGGTCAAGGAAGTTGTGAACACAAAGAACAGAATTCGGGTCATATAATCCTAATGATGCCCGTAGTATTGATCCCGATCATCCGTATTACTTTATGCTGCGTGCACTTATCCCACACTTCAATTACTTCCAACCAAAAAGAAACAAAAAAAGGTACAAGTCTCCTGAAGTGTCTGTTAAGGGGCGGCATGGTGCCACCGCATGGTGAATGGGGTGGCACACCGTTGCAACTATTTAGAACTCGGTGGGGACGGTAGGATCAACGCCTTTCAAAACCGCAATGATTTCCCCCCAGATCTTCTCCCTCAGAGCTAGTGCCTCCGTATCTGACGCAATCTTGCCGGTACTGAGACACCTCGTCAGTCTGGCTATCGAAGTTTAGGTTCGGGGAGGGGGGCAGCAGAAAGGACTCACGCAGTGATGGCCTGGTGATCGAGGTACTTCCCATGGGCCTCGGTGCCCTGCGTCACGGCGTGGAGCAACGTCTTGCTCCCCTCCTCAGAGGACCGCGCAATCGCCGCCTGCACGACCTTCAGGATCCATGGGGTCTTCTCCCGGGTGAGGAGGTCCGACTTGCAAAATCCCGGCGCCACGGCGTTCACGACCACGAGGGGCTCCCCGCGGGAGTCGCGCGGCGTCCGGTTGGCCATCTCCTGGGCGAGGAAGAGGTCCATCAGTTTGGTGGCGCCGTAGCGCTCGGTGGGTCCGCCGGCGGCCTGCGACTTCTTCCACTGCTCTTCGCCGTTCATGGTCTGGAGGATGCGGTCGGCGTGGCGCTCGGGGAACTTGATGGACATGTGGTTGTCGCTCGAGACCAAGGCCAGGTGGGGCCGCGACGAGGGATGGCGCTCCCCCGTGCGCAGCAGGAGCGGCATGAGGTGGAGGCTGAGCAGCGCGGTCGACAGGACGTTCACCTGCAGGCTCTTCTCCCACCCCTCGTCGGAGAGGGCGAACTGCATGGATGCGATGCCGGCGTTCATGATGGCCATGGTCAGCCGGCCTCCGTCGTCGACCACGTGTTTCCGAGCCCGAGCGGCGAAGGCCCGGACGCTGGCGAAGGACTCGAGGTCGAGGGGCCAGACGAGGATCTGAGTTTTGCCGGAGCAGCCGGTGCTCGACTCGATATCGGCCTTGGCCTCCTCCCCTTTGGGCAGGGAGCGGACGCCCATGATGATGGTGCCGACGCCCAGGCGGGCTGCATGTCGAGCGGCTTCTCGGCCGAGGCCCGTGTTGGCGCCCGTGATCAGGATGGTTTCCCCCCGGATGGCAGATGCAGGCGGGAGGCTCAGCTTGGTGAACAGCAAGGCGATTAACCCGCTCATAGTGGGTGGTGGCGCGGGGGGGGGGGCTGGCTGGCAGGGGTTCGTGGGGGGTCCGAGTCGAAAGATGGCGTAATTGATTAATTGTGCCTCAAAGGTGCTTACTGTGTACGCAGGAGGAAGGAAGTGGAGATCAATCCTTAGCCAGCTCGCGTTCCGGCTGCATGCACTGGTATCACTGTATCAGGAGCACGGAAGATGGGTATTCTGTTTGGGTTTGGGTTTGGGATTTGGATGCTGGCTATCTTTATGGGAAATTTCGTACACTCACAAAAGAAGTCGGCAAGAGGGATCCTTTTTTTTCCTTTGTTACACAGCCAACAGCCAGTCACGCGGGGCCAAGTCAAACTCCAGGTAGCAATGTCCGATGATGGGGCAACTTTGGCCCGACAGCGCAGCAGCCCGCGGACGAGTGAGCCTTTGTCATCTATACGATGCAGCACAAGCCCCACCCAACCTCCGACGCGCCGGAAGGGAGTTCGGCCGACTTGCCAAGGGAATGCTGACGTGAGTGATGACGTCATCCCCGACGCGCGTGAGATGAGCAGTCGCGTCTTTTTTCCATTCCTGCATTCCTCCAGTCAAACCAAACAACCTTGATGAACCAATACCCAAGTGGTGCAGTAGTTGCCGCCAACCGAGACTTTGCTGAAGATCTATTCACATACAGGGCTGTCATCACTTCAAGAAGATATCACAGGCACAGCGCTGCTTCTAAGCACATTCAAGTCAAGTGTTGATGTTGTGTGGAAGAGCACGCGCTCCCAAGAGACTCGGTCATGTCACTCAGGCACCCAAGGTGTGGAAGCAGGGTGGCAGGTAGGATATCAAGGTAGTACCTAGGTAGGTAGGAATACTCTATTTGACCACTCTTTGAATCTATAGACTTCTATTACAACGAGGTAATACCGTAATACTCGGTAGATGGCAACAACACTCGGTACATGGCAACAACAGTGACAATCATCCCACCACGACTGCCCCTCCACCGTGGGTATGGTTCATCTTCCCGCGTCGCAGGAAAACGGCCACGACGAGCGCAAGAGCCCCGGCAGTTACATCCAACGTCAGCGCATCCGTGATGGAGGTGACAATGGCATTCAGCACATCGGTGCGCAAGTCTCCGTCCAACGACTCGAGGAGCGCCCTGTTGGACCCCGAGATCATGGCCTGCACCGCACCCACCGAGTGGTCCGGAAGCAGCTGCGTGATCTGGCCCGTGGCGCGGTTCAGGAAGATGGTGTTGGCGATGGCGAGGGCAATGGCCGAGCCGCCCACCTGGGCGCACGTCATGAAGCCGACGGCCATGGGGATCTCCTCGGGAGGCACCAGGGACTGGGCCACCGAGAATCCGGCCTGCGAAAAGACGCCGGTGCCGATGCCGCCGACCACGAGCGCGCCGTAGATGTGGGCCACGCTGGTCGTCAGGGTGACGATCCGGAGGAGAACCCCGCCGACGAGGACGAGGGCTCCGCCGAGAACGTACCAGGGCATGTAATAGCCCAACGCGCTCATGCCGACGCCGTTGACCATGTTGCACACCACCATCGGGATGATGAAGGGAAGGAGGCGCACGCCCGCGTCGAGGGCGCCGTCGCCCTTGACGAATTGGAAGTACAAGGGGATGAAGTAGATGGGGACGAACGAGGACGTCCCCGCCGCGGCCGTTTCGATGAAGATGAGGATCATCTCCTTGCTCTTGAGATACTGCATGGGGAATATGCGCCCGGTATATGACGTGAGCCACATGAACCCCTGCTGGAAAAAGAAGACGGCGAATGTGACGGCCGAGCCGACAAACATGCCGATGATGCGGCTGTCTTCCCATGCATACATGGTTCCGCCAAAGGCGATGGCCATGATGCCCATGACAAAGGCGCCGATGAACAGGAGGATACCCACCCAGTCCATCTCGGCCATCCGCGCCTTGTACGGGACGCCCGGGCGGGGGTCGATGCTGGGAATCATGAAGAGAAAGACCGGGGCGAAGAGGCCGCCGATGCAGAGATTGATGTAGAAGGCCCAGCGCCAGGTTGCCGCGCTGTCTGAGAAAGCACCGCCGATGATGGGTCCGAGGCTAGGTAGATTGTCTGGTTAGCCACCGGTCCATCACAAGAGGGCGGTTGTGCAGCTCAAAGGGTGCAACTCAAAGGGTGCAACTCAAAGGGTCCAACTCACACCGTGCCTGCTCCCCAAGTCAAACCAACCATGCCGAGATACATGGGCCGCTCCAAGGGCGACGTCAGCATGGAGAGGATCGTCATGACGCCGAGGTACATGCCGGCGCCGCCCAGGCCGCAGATGGCACGTCCAACAACGAGGGCGTTCATGCTCGGGGCAGCGCCGCACACGGCCGATCCAATCTCGAAGATGACCGTGGTACCAATGTAGATCCATTTGCAGTTGAACAATCCATATCCCTTACCCCTGGGACTAGTCAATACGGGACACCTCTTGTCGATGCACGTGGCGGAGACTTACCACATGAGCAATGTACTCGCTGCCCCAAGCATGAAGGCTACCGAGAGCCATGGGAGCAGCGTCAGGTCGTCGAACTGATTGACGATAGCCGGCTGGATATCGGCGACGATGGTATTGTCGAGTGCAAAGAGAAAGACGCAGGAGAAGATGGACATGACTGTAGGCATTCAAACACATCGTGTAAGCCTCAACTCTTTCCGTCTCGCGGGCAATTCCCTTACTCACCGACCAGCACCCATGCCACCCCATGCACATTGCGTGGGGGTGCCTGGGGTGAACTCTCAGGTTCAACTTGCCCAACATCTTCCTCGGACGATGCGCCGTTCTCCTTTTTCTGGCCCTGGATATCAGTTGCCGGTATACTCTCACTGCCGGAGGGCAGGTCTTTCTCCGGCGGGGGGGTGACGGCGGGAGTCGACATTGTGGGCAGCTGGAAGGACACGGCCGACTCAGGTCGACGTCAAGTGTCAAGGTGCAGTGCAGACCAGACACGGGTGGACCCTTCTTGGGCTCGTTTAGAGTCCGAGTATTTTTTGAGTTTTGACTAGGTAGGTAATTTGTGTGATACTACACGGCGAATCGCCTTATATTGAACATACAGCTTGACCGGGGATTACTCAGCTCTCTCGACCTTGGTTGGAAGTTGCGCCTCATGCGGCAGACTCGGTTCGGACCGCAGGCGGCGCGCGGGTGAACCTTGGGTCCCGACCTCCGTCGACTGCCGGACACGGACTCGGGTGAATAACAGCCGTGTACTGACAGGGATCGGTGGTGGGGCGCTAAACTGTAATTTTACTGGGTCGGTTTCGCGGGTTTCGTCGGATTTCACCGACCACTCACTTCAGAAAGGTCGGATTAACCTACATGTAGGTCCTTTATCAGGATCATGATCCTAAACATGATACGTAGTAGCAGAAGCAGGCCAAGACGTGCGTTTCGAAATTGCGAAGACGCTGGCCACTGCCCCGTGCCGTTTAGCCCCCGGCCCCCAAAGGATACACCGAGAAGCGGCCCCAGAGCTGCATATCGTGTATGTATGTACATACCTATCTTTGAGGTATGTAAGTGAAGAGGTTCTGAATTGACCACGCCACAAGGCTGCGTTGCATAGTGCAGGGAAGATACCTAGGTAGATAACAAGCATTGATCCCGTCGGCGGCAGGAGTGGCGTGAACGGAGGCACCGGTCACAACATTGCCAAGTCATGCCGAAGAGACACCAGTTTACCTACCTCAGGTAAGGTAGGTAGGTAGGTAGGTACCTAGGTAGTCATCAGGAAACTGGCAGACAGCATCGACGTTGAACATAATATAATCACTTTGACACTAGCGCAGGTACTCCTACTGCACACTCATATCCTCGTCACATCAATCCCATCCGAGTCATACAACAACAAACAACGCTGTAACTCGTGTATTACGTTGTACCCCCGTTTAATGCAGAGCATCACTCAAGGGTGGGTGGGGCGGCGCCACACTGCACCTCAAGTCTCGGACACGTTTCTCGCTACCAGTTTTTCACCTTATACGGCGCCGATATCGCTGAGCAGGCTGACTGCTTCATATCTCCGAGTACGTATCTTCACCGAAACGGCTTCCTTCCGTACTTCCGTGCTTCCGTGCTTCCCGCATAGCCCCCAAGGTTGCGGGGGCCTATCGGATAGCAGCAACTGCATCAATGGTCTGCCAACTGCTGTATGGAGTACGTACCTACATAGATAGGGTCTAGCTGAATAATCCTGGGTATCGGCTCCTCCCCCCTCAATCTTGCGTGTCCCGGCTTACTTTTCTTTGCCCTGCAGCATCCACGACCGAACTTGTCGCCGAGCTGGGTTCGAGGATGTCGCATTTAACCTTCCGTACTAGTATAGCTCGTACATACAATGCTTGTTTGTTCGCGAGCTCGGACACCTTGACAGGGGGGCCCCGGTTACTCGGTCTGCCAGGTGAGATTGAACGTCTTCCACAAAAACAAGCACGTTCCAATACATGTACAAGACGAAGGAATACAGCCAAAAGACGGAACCCAGGGAGATGCTCGCTAGTCGCTATCAAGACCCTTTTTCGCCTTTTTTCGCCTTTTCTGCATTAGAGTACCTATGGTATTTTGCCGCCAAATTCGAGGTTCTGGCGGGGATCCTGGTCCGGTGACGTGTTAAGGAATAAGCTTAAGCGACCTTACCCAGCCCGCCCTGTCTTTATTTGCCCACGCGATTCCTCCCACCAAGCCCACCAAGCAGGGCTACCTTAGGTCCCCTCTGCTCTATCCGTAGCCCCGGCCAGACCCCCCCTCCCGCACATCACCGGGCCGGCAACCAACGGCAAACCCACTGCATCGCAAATGACCTTACCATCCAGCCCTGGCCCGGCCGCGCCGGCGAATTCAGCTCTGGCATGTGTGAACTGCGCCAAATCCAAAGCGCGATGCGACAGGAAGGTACCGTGCACGCGATGCGTGCGCAAGAAACTCACCTGTCAAACGCGTGTGTCGCAGCGCGGCGCGAGGCGACTGTCGTTCAATGCCATTAACCACCACGCCAATAATCCCGAAACCGCCACGCCGCAGGCTCAAAATAGCAATGGCAGTGGCACCGGCAGCGGCACCGGCAGCAGCAGCGGCGCCCAAGAGACGTGCCACGGCATCTGGATGGACTGGAGCCATCGTTTCGATGCCATCCGTCGCCCCAAGGACCTGGCCGAGGCCGCCCAAAAAGACGAGTTGTTGGCCCAGTTCGTCGCCGCCGCCGTGTGGGGTGCAGACGACAGCTATCCGCCCCCCGGCACCGCTCGCCCCAACGACACCGCCATGGCTCCGTTTCCGGACCCGCAGAACGACATGGACATGTTCGACTTTACCGCGCCCAGCTCCTCGTCATCGCCGACGCCACAGATTGCCCTCGGCCCTTGCGAAGACACCACCTTTGCCATGTCCCCGGGGGCGCTGATCGGATTCCCCGGCAACGGCGACGACGCCATGGAGGGTTACGATCCAACGGTGCCGCCTCTACTGCTGGTCGAGCGCGCCTTCGCCAGCTCGGACCCAGACCAAATAGAGGCCCTGGAAGGTTGGCCACTCTTCCGGTGCAACCCCGTGACACCCTCCTCCGCGTGCAATGTCACAGGTCCGGTCCACGTCAAGAACCTGTATTCCCTCCTCAAGGAGGAGTGCACCATCACGAACAAGGGTCGGCCGCCCGGCTCCAAGGCCGCCGTCGAGCCCCTCCTGGCCAGCACCCGAGAGAAAGTCACCGCCGTGCTGCAGGGCCTCTTCTACGAGGCGCAGCAGCTCTACGGACTGCGAAACCAGGACAGCGGACTGCACAACTGGGTCGGCGCGTCCGTCCTCACGCTCCCGCCGCCCTCGGAGATGGAGTTCCTGCTCCGCGCCTACACGGACTGCTGCGAACCGCACTACCCCGTCGTGCCCTTGGCCTCCATGAAGGTCAACGAGTCCATCGAAGGCAGCCACACGATACTTCCGAGCATGGCGCTGCTCCTCATGATGGCCATCGGCGCCATGACGGCCGGCTCCGGCGAGCCGTATCCCGAAATCGCATACGGCCTGGTGGACATTTGCCGCACCTCGCTGCGCAGGCTCATCGAGCAGAACATCAAGCTGGCTTCCGACCCCGAGGTCACGCAGTGCGCCTTGCTACTCATGATCGCGATGGTGTGGAGTGGCGACAAGTGGCAGATGGATGTAAGGCCATTTTGGGGTTGCGCCAACCGAAAAACGATCTTTGCGCTGACTGGTATACTTTCCTATAGATAGCCATGCACGAAAAGGCCATGTACTTGGAGGTAATTGAAAACCCGAAATCTCTCTCTCTTTTCCGGATTCGGCAATCTGACTGTTACTACCACAGATGCGTTTAAGAGCAGGTCCACATGACCCGCGAGAAGAACAGTTGGCTCGGTTAGATTCCTCCGGCGACGCTGCTCGCCGCTGGGAGTTGTGGAAATGCCAGGAGCGGTTAAACAGGTATTTCCATCCCCTACTATTCCCCCAAATACTCTGTTAGACAAGTCGACTGACCCGTGATACTGGCTGCAGAGTTACCTGCTCTTGGCTCGTCCTGGACTACGAAATATGTCTATTCCAAGATATCCCGTCGACGTCGTTCCTGTCCGTGGTCAACCTCGACATGCCGATCCCGAGTCCGGACGCCTCCTTGACGGCTTTCTCGGCCAAGCATTGGGCGCAGGACGCGTTATCGACGGGGCGACACACCGTCAGCATCCCCCCATCTCTAAAAGAGTGGGTGGCCTGCTTCACCGACACCAACGACATCAGCACCATGACGCACGTGTCACCCATCACGCTGCGCATCTTGCTGTGCCACCTGATGGACCAAGTCCTCCAACTGCGGTCCAGGATCGAAGCCATGTCGACCCGGAGCCCGGATCACAAGAGCTCCCGCCACCTATCCAACGTCCTCCTCTCGGTGCAGGTGCAGGAGGTCCAAGAGCTGCTACGAAAGTGGTTCGACCTCGCGCACACCCGGTGTCCGGACGACACGCCGGCGAACTGCGCCAACATGATCCTCTACCACCTCGTCGTGCTCAACACCATGGCGAGCGTGCCGGAAATCGAGCGGCTCGCGCGCGGCGGCGGTAGCCAGCCGAGCTCGGCGAGGTCCCCCACCCGGCCCTCGCGCTCGGGGCGCGCCTACCACCTGGTCCCGGAGGACGCGAGGGACATCTACTTCCACTGCGGGCAGGTGCTGCGCAACATCCGGCTGGTCCCCGAGGCGGCGCGCCCCCCCTGGTGGGCCGGGGCGGCGTACCGCGTGGCGCTGATCGCGTGGGCGAACAGCATGGAGATTGCCAGCCCGCAGGGCGGCGGCGGGTGGGACATGGAGGCGCCCGACCCGCTGCTGCTGGACGCGCTCCCGCCGCGCGACGCGTCCCTCGTCGCCTACCTCAACCACCAGGGCGGGACGACGACGCCCGTCTTTTCCGATGCCGCCGGCGCCACCGTCTCGCTGGCCGACTCGGTCGGCATCTTGCTGCACTGTGCTCGCTTTCTGGACTCGGATATCATGACGAAGTTTACTCGTGGCATTCAGCAGAAGTTGACGACCATGGCGAGACGCTGGGAGGGTCGCGCTTCGTAAATTGGGGGGGCTGCACTGCATTGTGGTAGAGCGTTGATAGGGAGAATCATGTCCAGTATTGTTGACCTATCTGTCACGTAAGGTACGTTGGTTGGCATCAGTCCAAAAGATCAATCCCGTGCGCAGGAGGACTAGTCTAATCGGGACTTATCAGCGCTATACCGGGTTAATGGGTCACGCCACATATACAGGATAGATGATGGACCACAGTACCTAGATACATGGTCTACATATACAGGATAGATGATGGACCACAGTACCGAGATACAGGGTCGGCGGGGGTTTGCTGGGCATTTTCGGTCGGCGCACAGCAAGAATTTCGGATGGTTGACGCCTCACTAGCACAGGGTTTTCGGGTAGGGAGACTGAAGATGGCGTTCCGAGGTGCACAATGTTTTTAACAGTGGATACCAAGGTACATGTAACGAACCGGCTCGAAAGGCCTCGTTCAGGAGCAATGCGAGAATATCTATAGAAGGAAATATCCAACGTTCAGTCGCATGTAAATACAAAAAAAGATACAAAAAAAGTCTGCGGTCGTCTCCGAGGAGGAGACAACCAGGAGAATGTCCATCAAGCCAGCTCACGACAACTGACAACCCCAAAACTTTAATCGTCGCCCAGCGGATAAATCAACAACCTGGCCATCAGTTGCGGATGATGGGGTTGTAAAACCGGAACACATTGTCCGGGTCATACTTGGCCTTGGCGGCACGGAGCCTCTCCAGCCGCCACGGCTCCGATCCATACATCTGCTCCAGGGGCTCATCGCCAAAAGCATAGTTGACGTATATGTGCCGCTCCCGGTCGGGCTGGCCCTGGGCCCAGAACTCGGTGATCTGCTTCCCGATGCGGACGGCCTCGTCGTCGAGGGAGCTGTCCGGGTCGTACGTGACCAAAACGTCGCTAGGAATTGATGTCAGTCATCAGTCAAGCCGGGACAACCGAGGTCAAAATCGGTGGTCCGGAGGCGAGGAGGCCTGGCTTACTTCAGAAGATTATCGTCCCGATGGGGAAAGGCGCTGGAGTCCGGGTCGACGGCCTGCACGCCCTGGAGCGAGTATGCCTCGAACACGACGATGGATTGGTTGAACAGGGGTTGTGCGGTGGTGACGCTCGAGTAGTAGTCGTAGATCTGGCGGGTGGCCGTGATGTTGTGTTTGAGGAGCCCGAAGGGGAACTGCATGTTGGTGTGGCCGTCCTGGCACATGGGACTGTTCAGGCCCGTGCCGGTCGCATCGAGCACGGCGGGATAGCTAAGAGACTGGGCCTCGCTGTGGAGGGGGCCGACGTCGTCGAATGCGCTCAGGAACGGTGCGGCCTCCTCGGCTGTGCCAACATAGTGGGTCAAGACCTGGATGACGGGCTGCGCAGTGGTCCTTCGCGTCAGCCACGACAAGGTAGATGGATGGGGGTGGATCGACTTACTTCCTCGGGCCATCGCGCGTCCCAGGTGAAGAGGGCCAAGTTCATCAGCTCCTTGGGCTGGCCCCCATCTTCTTGCTGCTCGTTGAGCACGGCGAAGAGTGACTCGAGCTTGTCTTGGGTGTAGACGTATTCCTTGATATACCACTCGTCCACGGTGCGCCTGTGGATGCCGGCCTGGAAGCTGGTCACGATGCCAAAATTGTGTCCGGCCCCGCGCATCGCCCACCAGAGGTCGGGATGCGAGGTTTCGTTCACGGTGATGGTAGACCCGTCGGCGAGGACGACGTTCATGGAGATCAGCATGTCGATAATCAGCCCGTAGAAGCCCTGGTAGCGGCCGTGGCCACCGCCGAGTCCGGGGCCCATGAGGCTAACGCAGGCGCAGCTTCCGGTGCCTATTCTCTGGTGAGTGCAATGCTTCTACGGGAAGAGGGGCGTGTCGGGAAAGAGGTCGGTACCCGTGACGAAACCCTGCTCCCAGAGCGCATCGACGACTTGGCCATCCCAGACGCCGCCCTCGAAGAAAGCAGATTCCTGGTCTTCGGCAATTTCGATTGCGGTAAGTTGGGACAACGAGATCTCGATGCCATTCTTCAACTTTCCCAGCGTCTTGGTGGAACCGTGGCGCCTGTTGGCGGCGAGGAAAGGAATGCCCTGGGCGTTGGCGTACTTGACCTATGTGGATATTCGATCAGTTACACACACCGGCAAAGTAGTGTTCAGGAGGGGACGGCGTGAACATACGACCACGGGCACGTCAGCTTCCGTAGCGGGCTCCACCACCACACTAAAGGACGGCTGGTAAGCCGCCTGCCAGCGCTCTGTAGCGTTCTCCCACCGATCATCGTCCTGTCCAAAGATGGTGGAAGCAGCAGAGAGCTGTGGTCCCAGCTGCTCTATGATCTCCGCAGCCGTTATCTTGGAAGGGGGAGAGCGCCCCTCGATCTGCCATGACGAAGGGGCGATCGCTCCAGCCAGGATCGGCAGGACAGCAACACAAATCAAGGACGGGAAACTAAAAGAAGGACGCATGATTGGCAGCGTGAGACGGGACGGTGCGGGATGGTCGGGTTGCAGCAAACGTGTCGACTGGCATCATCTTGCATGGACATGTCGGTGGTCTTTATACAACACTGCAACACCAATATAACGTGCGTCTGTTCCTGGCCGCTGACTCTGTAGTGTAACCACCCACAGAGTTCGCACGTTTTCTAGAATGCCTAGATACCTGGATCGGGCTCCTGCATGAGGCTCAGCTCCCAGAACAAGGGAGTTTGATTTGCTACCGACGCTTTGGGTAAGGCGAGCTGTGCTGTCCGATCCCTGTCAACGGACTCCGATCGACCGTCGGACAAGACTAATAACGTGCGATTCGCCGCCTGGGAAATCACATGGCGTCTCAGGCAGTAAGAAGGCACAGCTATCAGCCCGAGGCCGCAGACGCGGGAGCGACTCTTCCTGTTGGAGTCAGCCTGATTACTCGTTTCCCGGTTGTGGAAGACGGATTGCATTAGCGAGCTTGGGGGCCTACGACGGAGATCGAGGATCAAGATACGGGATTGGGCTGATGACCTGATCATAGGACCCCGGAAAGGAATCGCAACTCTCGTGTACAAGAACGTGCCGTTCAGAGGCTGCACGGTTGGGAAGTCCTGTGAGACGAAGTCCACGAGACCGGCATCAAATTACCATCATGCGGGTTGTTCACCTTAGTGAAACATTTACAGCCCCCCCGTGGTTTGTTCGTTTGCGCGTCGCAGGAAGAGAACGGCGTGAATTTCGAGCCGACTGGTGCCTGGCAGTTGGGGTCGTGACAAATCACATCAATATCGCTTCCATCCTGGTCATTATAGACTGCACGCTGTGCCTCCGGCGGATTCCCTTGCTGGTACGGTATCGAGCTCCCAGCGGTGATTGGGGTATGCATAATGCATAAGGGGCTTGCGCGCCAACAGATTGAGCGCGTTCGCGCCCTTGTGTCTCTAGTTAGTGTGAGGGATATTCGTTTCGCCCGAACTGAAGGCGAGGATCCTCGGCCCCGACCCGAGCCCCGGCACCTCCGGAATAGTGCCAGTCCTTGGAGTTCGGATTAGGCGGATTGTTGCCTACGCCATGGCAGTCGGGCTGGATGCAGGTTAGCCTTGAGCAATAACAGAACGCCGCCGAGATGCCGCGGGTGGGAGATATAGGTATGTACGTAGGATGAGTCCGTTGGACTACGTTTTGGCGGGGGTGGTGGCGGGTTGACCGAGCTTCCAACACCAGGAGCGGAAGTCCCGGTCCTCCTGATGTTGTTGGCTGAGCCTCTCGTGCCCTTGTCTTCATGTATATATGCCTTTTTAAGGAGAGCTTGATCATCATCATTATTTTCCCTCTCGGGTACCTCTCTACGATGTTCTTGATCCGCCGGCTGTTCTCATTCAAGTCTCCGACATGTTGACCGGGGGTGCACTCTATTTATGACTGTTAAGCCACTCCACGTAGACTCTGGAAGTAAGTGAGTACCTGTAGCACAGGAGGGACTCGGGCCGGGGTCTCGGCGCTGGCCCAGCCATCGGTGCATGCCGATGTTGGGTGGTCACTGTGTCATACCGGCTGCTGTTCTGAAGGCCTCTCGCCATCGCATTGCGCCCTGGACGATACGGAGTAGAACGGTCTCGAGCATCATGGTGTTCTCGAATGCGTCTTTCGACTGCACACTATGTGCACACTGGCAAAGTTTTATAAATCCCCCCAACCCCCGAGCGCCAACAACCCGTAGTAAGCCATTTGTGACTTGACAGCAGAACGTGTCCGTGAAAGCCAGTGATAATATCCAGCCTGATTCATCCTATGAGCCCTATTCGTCTGCGCGGCGGCGGCCACGTCCGGGTATCGCCCGTGGATTGTCCGGATGCCGCAGAGCTTTATTTCCATACTCACTATTGAAATGGCTCAAAACGCTGTCGACTACCATCTTACTGGCGGAGCGGTTGCTTTGGAGTCTCCCGCATTCTGGGCCGCAGCCGGCGCTTCCATGGACGCTTGCTCTTTAACGCCACTGCCCTACAACTAGGTACCTACGACTGAAAAGATACGGCAAATCCTGCCACTGAGAGGGGATGAAGTGATTTTCCGTGATAGTAACTATCGCCAGTAACAAACTACTCAGCAGTCAGCGCACCTGGACGTCTTGGATCAACGATCGAAACGATACGAGTCAACTCAGACCCCCAAAACGGCTCTTATCGAGGAAACGAAGTTTATGTGCAACAAACTTGATTGGTCCTAGCCTAGAGAGTGTAGGTACCTACCTACCCCTGGTGGCCGACAACTGGGAGCCACGAACACTGACCTGAACGGCACCAATGGCACCAAAGACACCCCAAAGGCCCGCTCCGTCTACGTTTACGGTTCTTGCTTGGGTGCCACCTCGTGGATAGAAAACGCCAAACTCCAAGTGCAGATGTCGACAATGGAAACTTCGACTGTCAACTGGAAGAACAAATCGAAAGCCATTTTGAAGCCCAAAGAAAGTGCATTTACCCTATTTCCTTTTCTTTTCCCCTTTTTCCTTATTTGATTTACTTTTCTAGATTTAATTTTATTTATTCTTTGTGCTTGACTTCTTGCTTTTCTTTCGAGTTCGGCCTTTTTTGGCCAGGGGGTGCCTCATGGACAAAAAAAGGCGAACTCCAAGTGTAGATATCGACAACGGAAACTTCGAGTGCCCGACTGTAGGAACAATTGAACCGAAAGTTACGGTACCCTGAAGTCCAAAGAAACCGCATTCACTCCATTTACTTTTCTTTTGGCCCCTTTCTTTTATTTGATTTACTTTTCTCAATTTCCCTTTATTTGTTTTTTTTTGCTTGATTCCTTACTTTCCTTCCAAGTTCGACTTTCTTTGGCCAGAGGGTGCCTCCGAGCACCACAACCCACCCTACTAGGTAGCAACCGACATCTACTTGGCTCAGACGCAGGCTGCAGGCTGTTTGTTGCCCCCAATATTTCCCTCTACCAGCATCCTTGCCGCCATCGAGCTCATTATGGCTACGAACGGCTACTTTCGTCCCCTCATTCTCTGCATTTTGCTGGTGTACCTGGGCAGGCATGTCTGCAGAGACCTCTGGGGAGTGGCGGACACTTATTTGGGTACGTCCCACTACCGGCTTATAGACGCCTTCTAATATTTAGTAGCTTCGACGGTCCACGTCCAACATTCTAGTACAGTGTACGACATGGTTGCCCTATGGATGACCTCTCAACCGTTCGCTCGCGAGGCTCAGTCGTCCGTCGCCCGAGTCGGTTGGAGAAGGTCATCCAGTCGTGAAGGCGGAACATAGAGGAAACCCCTATACTGCTCTCCTCGGAAGGGGACATTTTACTTTATCTACAATAAGCATGTGTTCTAGTTTCGCTGAAGAACTTGGTATTCGTAGTAAGGAGGGGGTTATAGTCTCGTACTTTAGATCCCCATTAATCCTAAGGAAGTTTTTCGATAACTGCCGAGGCGGATACCTGAAGCTGACCAAGAACAAGACTACGATATTTAAACACCATAACTGAAAGTGGAAAAGGACGAACTTGAAGAGCATCAGGCCGGTCTCGACTATTATCATAAATAAGGAGGACAAGCAAGGGTTTCTACGGGATATCGAAAGCTTCCTCGAACCGAACGCTCCCACATAACACTCCAACCACGGTATACCTCGCCGGAAAGAGCATCTGCTATATGGCCCGCCTGGGACGGGCAAATCGAGCTTGTGCTTGTCTTTAGTAGGGCGCTTTCACTTGGACGCCTATATCCTCAACATCTCCACCGCCGACGGCTACTCCCTAGGCGCTCTCCTCGCGGAACTCCCGCTCGGTTGTCTCCTCCATCTTGAAGACGGGGACGCCGTTAGCGTAGCGCAACCTCGGTAAGGCGAAACGGATATCGACCAAGCCAACGGAGGGACGACCGAGAGTCGGCCCCGGTCGTAGGGGAAACTGTTGTTGTTGGACCTTCTCAACGCTCTCGATGGGGTATCGGCATAGGAGGGTCGGCTGCTTATAATGACGACGAACCACTTGGACCATCTAGACCAGACACTTATCCGTGCTAGCTGCGTAGACAAGAAGATTGAACTTCCCAATACCGACAAGGACGTTGCGTTCCGCCACTTCTGCATGGTCTTTAAGCAATCGGAAGGCGACATCCTCGGTCCGAAGCAATGGGCTGAAGACAACACAACGGTAGAAGGATTTGCGCATGAATTTGCGACGGAGATACCAGAAGGGGAGCTCGCCGGCCGAGATATTCACGGACATGCTTGGCTCTAGCTGTCGCAGGGCATTTCGATCCGGATGTCTACATTGTCTGCCTGCCCGTCAACCACAGCAACCTGAACACCTTGTTCTCCCGCCGCCCCTATCCATTATCGCCTTGGAAGATGTCGAGAACGGCAATTCACAGCGACGCGGAGGAACCGCCTCTCTGTCCAAAAAGCCCCAAGAAGACGATGTTTCGCCGTCAGCAGCTCAACACTCATCGAAAACTACCCTAGCAGCTGCCTCACCCTTGAGGCCTGGACGTTACCCGCCATCACCACGTGAAGTTTCCGCTCAGTTCGCCGCCTTCACTCCGCGCATCAGTCCCCCTACCCGGACCTTCTCGTCCTCTGGTAAAACTGCTGGAGCATCTCAGGAGACTTCTCAACATGCACAACAGGTTCCCAACTATCATGCTCGTACCTATACCCTTCCCACTTGACTAGACTCTACCCGCCTTCCTCGTCGTTGTGAATCCAGAATCTCCTCAACCCGAAAGTATTACTTTCCTTGAACCTCGTTGGTTGTGGAGGCAACTCTTGAAGGGAGATTGTGCGCCGCTGAGGAAGTCCTCCCTGCCAGCGACTTGCGTCTTGGGCTTTCTGGTGTGCGGTTATCTTGTCTATGATTTGTATAAGGATTCTACTTGAATTCTACCCGAAAGTTCGCTGCCCCGTCTACCTCGAGGTGTTTGAGGACCGCTTCACGTGGCTATTCCTTAAAGCTTGCGAAAGTAGCTTCGAGTGTCTCCTCCTCTAAGGTGGACGTCCATGAAGATTGCGGCTTGGAAATTCCGCACTGACTTTGGCGGTACTTTAGACCTTAGGTTGGTGGTCTTTGAACTTGTAGTGATTGGGAATTGGTATAATGGCCGTCCACTGCCGGTAGCGTACGTTCAAGACAAAGGATATCAGCAGAGAGGGTCCCTGGCAGATCAAACAGGCGAACTGCAAACGTAATGACCTATGTAGTTTCGTACCGTCCTCGTACCAGATCCCAACCGCCGGCTCTTCGCCAGGTACAAGCTCCATGTCGAGAATGGGCCGTCCCGCCGGCGGGAAAGCATTGGATTTCTGTCGCTTGACTTGGTATTCTGCGCGAAGATGAGTGACCCCCTGACTGAACGTATCCGCAATATAGGCGGTGGGGGTGGCCATGGTTCTCGCGAAAAACAGCTCGGGAGCTCAATAGTTGAAAAGGATTAGGTGGATGCGCCAAACACGGTCGTGAACTTGGTACCGTTCAATGGTTGATGGTTGGAAAAAGAAGCATTCGAACGAGGAACGGCCCACCATCCAGGATGTGGTTGGGTCGTTGTGCCGGCAGCCCGGTTGCCTAAGGTACCTAGGTAGTTGCTCTTCTCTGCAAACTTGGACGAGATGTAGAAAACAAAAGGCGGGGCGTAAAGTATGCACAATATGACAACATGAGGGTGACAGCTGACAGCAGGAGCAAACGTTTCCGACGACAAAAGTTCCATGGCATTTGCGTTTCTTACCAACGGTCGCCGTCGTAGGTTATGGAGAGACTCGAAGCACCAGCAAGGCGCTCCACATGCACGGACTTCGTGCCTGTTGGAAATTACACAGTAAGGGTGGGAGAGTCGGAGCCGTGTGGAATGTAAAAAAGCCGGGGAGCTCCCTCGAACTGGCAGGACTAAAATCTGGAGGACGAGCTGTACAATACTTGCTGCGAAGCCAACACGGATGTTGGTTCCTACCAGTTAAGGTACCTAGGTATCCAGCTGCGGCACCTCATGGACAAAAAAAGCCGAACTCCAAGTGCAGATATCGGCAATGGAAACTTCGAGTCCTCGGCTGGAGGAACATAACGAAAGTCATACTGAAGCCCAAATAAACTGTATTTGCTCCATTTACTTTTATTTTACCCTCTTCTTTTTACTTTTCTCGATCTCTTTTCATTTGTTCTTTTTGCTTGATTTCCTGCTTTCCTTTCGAGTTCGGCTTTTTTTGGCCAGAGGGTGTGCGGGAACTCCGGAATACCTAACTGAGGAAGGAATCCACGAAGGAATCCCTAGGTGGAACCGAAGGATTGTGATAGTTCTTCCACGGTTGAACCCCCGGTAGCCCGCTCGCTTTTCGCCAGCTCTTTGAAACGTTTGGATGTCATCGTCATACGAAGTGGCACGAACTGAATGCTGTTTCCGCCGATTCCAGCCGGTTCTCAATTTCTGTGCCCATTCGGCCGTTGATTCCTCCGCGGCCAAATTTGCAGCGTCGGCGTGCGGTCTCGAGTCGATCCGAGTGCTTTCTGGGCCGCCAAGATTGGGGAGGTGCCGTTGCGGGAAGGAGCTGCCGAAGCCCGCAGGGTTTAACGGTTCAATGAGAGGTGAGTACAGGACGGGATCGAGGGGGGAATGCGTACTGTGTAAGCGTCGCGTTTGGCTTGAAAAAGTGCATGCAGTCGTGATTAAAATTAAAATACGAGCCTTCAATCCTACATACTGTGTAGTATAAGACAGAAACGACCGAGCAACCGCCCATCAACCTCGGCCGTTACCTCAACCACATCGCCTCGCTTTTTATCGACATTACCTACCTCTTCCGCCAACATGGCCGCGTCCCTCCGTGCGGCATGCGTGCCCGCGACCTTCGGCGGCCTCGGCCTGTTTGGTGCCGAAGTGCTTTCTATCGAGGCTGCGCTCGTGACCAACTACACGGCTTCTTCGCGTGATTTTGCAAGAGGCACCCAGCCCTCGACAGAACTTGATAATGCAACTTTTTGCAACGTCACCGTGTCTTATACACACCCCGGACAGGAGGACAACATCTTGGTCGAGACCTGGCTTCCCATTGAGAACCCAACATGGAATGACCGTCTCCAGGCATCCGGCGGTGCCGGTTGGGTGGCCGGCCGTCAGGCTTTCTCTTACGAGACGATGGCGGGCTCCCTGGCTGACGGCTATGCGGCGACTACGACGGACGCTGGGCTGGGGAGTACCGTGGACCCCGCGATTTGGGCTGTCACCAGCCCTGGAAATATCAACTGGTACAGCGTGAACAACTTTGCCTCTGTGGCCCTCAATGATCAGGCAATCATCAGCAAAGACGTTGTCGAAAGCTTCTACGGCAAGGCTGCGGCCTACTCCTATTTTAATGGTTGCTCCCAGGGCGGTCGTCAAGGACTCATGCTTGCCCAGCGGTACCCCACTGCGTACGACGGCATCGCGGCGGGCGCGCCGGCCATGTACTTGTCCCGGACCGGACCGTCATTGTATTGGCCACAGGAAGTCATGAACATGTTGAACAGGTATCCGTACGGATGCGAGATGGAGGCCATCGCCGCCTCGGCAATCTCCGAGTGCGACGGTCTCGACGGCGTGGTCGATGGCATCATCTCCGACCCCGATGCCTGCCTCGCTCTCTTCAACCCTTCCAAACTCATCGGCACCCCGGTTCCCAACTGCCGTCAGGCGGGTAATGAGACCGTCGAGATCAGTACTGCGGCCACGGTGATTGTCAACGCCACCTGGCATGGCGTCATCACAGCCAACGGGGCATGGACTTGGCATGGCGTAGGCCCGGGCGCGGATATCAGCAACGAGGGTCTCGTTGAGTTTGAGATAATGGGCACTGCGGCCACCAATTGCGACTCTGGTGTTTGTGTTGGCCGGCCAAACCAACTCGGTGTTGACATGATGCAGTCGTTCCTCGGAAAGGGAGACCCGAACTTGGACATTTCCAAGTTAACATACAGCCAGTTCGATGACATGATACACTACGGCCGACAGATCTATGGCTCCTTTGATACCAATGACCCGGACCTGTCCCGTTTCCGCAATGCAGGTGGAAAACTGATAAGTTGGCACGGCCTCGTAAGTTGTATCCTGCACGCGCCTTTTGTGAAAAGGCTAACGGTCGCAGTGGGATTCTCTCGTCCCTGCCAGAGCTACTAGGCAGTACTATGGTGAAGTAGCCGCCCTGCTTTCGGACACTCCCGACTTTTACCGTCACTATGAGCTCCCCGGTCTCGGCCACTGCATTGGTCGCGCAAGCGGTCAGCCCACCAGCCTCTTTGACCAGCTGCGGGCTTGGGTCGAGAACGGCACCGCGCCGGAGCACACGCCTGTGGATGTTACGGTGCTGGACGGATCTCTCCAGCATCGCATAGCCTGTCCCTACCCGGAGGTCGCCAAGTTTGAGAAGGATGGGTGCGAGGACCCAGCTGACGCGGGATGTTGGTCTTGTGTAGCACCGTGAGCGTCGCCGGTAGAGCTCGGCCGATTAGGTAGTGAAAAGCAAAACATGACGAGGGTAGTTATCGCAATCTAATTCTTGGAATTCTTGGAAAGGTCAGCTCAGCAATTCATCATAGGTTGGATGGACAGATGAAACATGAATATTCGTATATTCCCGTAGTTGCTCGGTGGAGACTTGGTAGTATGATGAGCGCGGCCCGACTCCAGGCGGCCACGCAACGTTAGAAGGACTCATACAAATACGCATTCGTTCCAATTCTGCGATTATCCTTGTTGCTGGTAATTTGCATGGCAAAAAGAAGAAAAAAGGTCAAAAACTTCCAGTCTTACGTCACCCTCTCCCCGACGGCGGCCCCACATCAACAGAACGCCTCCGGCCGGCATCTCCTTTTGTGGGGCCCGGTGCCGAGCAACCGAGGCCGCGGTCAACATCCATTTTCCACTCCGAACATCAAACTCATCCGGAAGTAGGCGGAACCTCCCCCGTACCCAACCACAACAACGTAATTCATCATCCCGTATATAATGGCGCCGATAACACCACCGCCGAGCGTACCGACGGTCGCTGAGACCATTAAGCACCCCGCTTTCCCAACAGCACTCTGGGATCTCGAGCCGGACCGCAAAGGTCTTGCGCCGGTTGCCCATAGCCGCGGTGGACCATTCAATATGTCTTGGGAAATCCATGGCATCGGACCGACGAGACTCATCGTGAGTTATTGAGTTAATATTTACTCTCAATCTCACCGCCCCCACTCACTCTCAACCCCTCACTCACTCACCACTCTCAGTTCATCATGGGCCTAGGCGGCTTCAAATCTGCCTGGCAGCGCCAAACCCTGCACTTCGGCCATGAGCGACGCGACCAGTACTCGGTCCTACTGGTTGACAACCGCGGTATGGGCGACAGCGACACCCCGCTGATGCGGTACAGCACGAGCGAGATGGCGCTGGACATCGCCGAGGTGCTGGCGGACCCCTCCGTCGGCTGGCTGCCCTCCTTCCCCTTGCCAACATCCCCACCACCCACACGCACCCTCAACGTCGTGGGGATCTCGCTCGGCGGGATGATCGCGCAGGAGCTCGCCGTGATCCTGCCGACCTCGCTCGCCTCGCTCTCCCTGATCTGCACGGCCGCCGCCATCCAAAACACCACCACCTTCGCCGAGAACATGGCGCAGCGCGCCTCCCTCCTCCTGCCCAAATCCCTCGACCGCTCCGTCGCCGACGCCGCCCGCCAGATCTTCGCCCACGACTGGCTCGCCCGGCCCGACGACGTCCACCTCCCCACCCCGGGCACCACCCCCAACTGCCACCCGCCACCACCACCAACCCCGCCCTCCCCACCATCCACCAGCGACAACAACAACCCCCCCGCGAAAGCCTACCTCAAATTCACCACCAACGCCCAACGCTTCGTCGCGCAGGAAGTGCACAAACGGCTCGACGCCCAGGGGCGCTTCAAGCTGTCCGGCTTCGTGCTGCAGCTGGTCGCGGCCGGGTGGCACCACAAGAGCGCGGGCCAGCTCGGCACGATGGCCGACGCGGTCGGGCGCGAGCGCATCCTGGTCGTGCACGGCACCGAGGACGGCATGATCAGCGTGCCGCACGGCCGCAAGCTGATCGAGTACGTGCGTCCGGGGAAGGGGTTGGTGGTGGAGGGGATGGGCCACGCGCCGTTGGTGGAGAGGTGGGCGTGGTTTAATGGGCTGGTGGAGGAGCAGTGTCGGGCTGGGGAGGGGTTGGAGGGGGGGGAGTGAAAGGGGTTGTATGTATGTACGTAAGCTGGGGGTTAGAGGGGTGCTTGGGGGTTGGTGTGCTGGTATGCGCTTTTGTACAAGGGCTAAAGGGTATTGTGTCTACAGAACCGTGGGGGATTGTATATTTATATGGCGCAGGCTTGAGGCATATATTACGTAGAGATCATCGTCAACAGGCGCAGATTGCTCCTGTTCCTCTGTCTCGTGGTATCTCACAATATCCTGCACTTCCACCTCCCCGCAACAACCTCCTTCACAGCATCACAAACCCAACCCCACTCGACACACCCTCCTCCAGCTGGTTCCTCTTATTGACTCCGCCGTGGATCGGGTTAGCTTTGTAGTTAAATAGGTAGTAATGCAGCTGGCCGTCGCCGGGGCCAAACTTCTGCTGCTCCAGGAACAGCGAGTTGTCCATTAGTGACAGCGCGTTGAACACGTCGAAGTTGGCCCGCTTGGCGAGGATGAGAGCGTCACCCATCAGCGCGTTTAGCCGCGTCTTGAGCGCCGAGCGGTCGTCCGGCTCGGAGAATGCGACATCCGTGGCGTAGTAGAACAGGTAGGCGGCGCGGATGGCCGAGTACTTCTGGGACTGGATAACCGAGGACTCGAGGCAGTAAAAGGAGAAGAAGTCCGTGATCTTGCCATCGGCGTTCTGCAAAAATGTGTAAGCTCGAGTAACTTGTCATCAACCGGTGCAAAATGCCCACCTCAACAACGTAAGACCAAATGACCTGCTCCCCGGGGGCATCCTTTTTGTGGAGTAGCCAGTGGTCGATCTCGGCCTTGTCCCACACCGGGGTGAGGTCGAACCGCTTAAGGTACCGCTCGAGAAGGTCCTGCACAGCATCCAGATCCTTGGCCTCCATTTCCCGAAGCCCGCGGGTCGACGTGGTGTCAGAAACGTTGTACTTCCTTGCCTGGTACATCGGCTTGCTGTTTGGTGGGCACGGACTGAACCCCACCTCGTACAGCTTCGTCCAGTTCAAGGCGCGGTGGTAGTAGCGACAGGTGCTCACTGGCCGCGGGAGGACGATACCGCCCGTATAAATGGCTTGCCAAGTACCCTCCAGATTGATCCGTCGGGTGATTTCCTTGATGAGGACAGGCGCGAGCCGCTTGCCTCTCAGCTTCTTGTGAATGCAGAGAAAGTTGACCTCGGAGCTCCGGACTACGTTGTCCCGCACACGCATCTCGGTTGGGATTGCCGAGATGAATGCGCAGAGCGTGTTACCGCTACGGATCCCGACGTGCCATTCCTTCTTCCAGCCTGGTGATAGCAAAGACCTGGGTCAACGTTAGCATATCCACCATCGCAATCGTCGGGTGCGCGTCAACTCACCACTTCAACAACGAGTTGGAGTATTTAAACCGAAACATGGCCTCGTCATCCTCCACGTAGTGGCCATAGAGTAGCTTTTCGACCTCCTCCATCTCCGCGTCGTTAGTGAGGTCCATGGTGACCCAGCGGAACTGCTCAAGAGCGAGGGACAGCGGTTCTGTCGGAATATCCTTGACCTCCTGGATTTTGAGGGGCCCTTCCTCGATGAGCTTCGGCTCCTCCTCTTCCCCAAACTGAGGAACCGGCTGGGTGCTCCAAAACTTGTACGACGCCATGTCTTTCCGATTTTTCCCACTGCTTGCCAAGCCAGTCATAATATCCTGGAGTTTGAGCTTCTTGAACGCTTCGATGGCATTGGAGGTGGCGTCGGACGATCCCTCGCCTCCGAGGAGCTCGTTAGCCAGGGCCGGGTTCAGGGCGATGAATTCGCTAATCTGTTGGGGTGTCAAGCCCTCGAGTGCCTTCTTTGGGTCTGCCTCGGCTTGTGCTGCCGTCATGCCACCCCGCCCCAGCGCGTCGACCAGTGCCTGCTTCACCTTCTTCTTCTTGCTCTTCTTTTTCTTTTTCTTTGGCGCTCCTTCGCCGTCCCCGCCGGTCGCTGTTGGGGCCATGTCATCTTCAGCTTCCGAGCCTGACTCGTCCTCCGATTCGGCCGCCTGTTTGCTGGTCGTTTTGGCGAGCGTGTCGGCAGCTTCCTGAGCGGCGCTCTCTTGGGTCGGATCGACCTGCTTCGACTCTTCCGCCATGGTGAATAGGTGATCGCGGGCAGAAAATACTCGATAGATTCTAGCGGCCCATGAGACGGATGTTTGGTGTGCGATCAGTTTAACCGTGGCTCCACTCCGTAACAGATAGTGTTTGAGCTCTGGCTTTGGCAGCACCACATTGAAGCGGGGCACGCGATTTGAGCTTCCTCGCCGCGGGGTCGAGATTCAAACCCAAGGCCCAGGTCAATGCAACAGGGGCTCTCGGCCCAGCAGCACCCTGGACCTCGCTTATCGATAAGCTATGGGCGGGTTGCACAACCCGACACCCAACTTCATATGCTCCCGTCGGTTGCCTGAGTGAAGCGCGCAGGATATTGCCGAGCAGGCCTTCGCTAACCCTTGTCCACACGCATCATGTTCAATTAACTATCATAATACCCCAATCGTGTTTGATGGAACCTGAAACTTTGGTCCGGTTGGGCTTGGAAATATCGACGCGTGGGCCATGTGTCAAAGAGGATTTGGGGGGCCCATCGAGGCCATGATTGGTGAACGAACGATTGCTCCGCCACTGTTGCCTTCCGCCCCTTGTGCTTTCTCGAATAAGGCGATGAGCTGAGCTGAGGCTGCTGGAACATTTTCCCTCCTTCTCTTCCTTCTGCTCGTCTCTGAGACTCGAATCTTGGTGCCTTTCATTTACCTGATTTTGCACTCATTCATTTTCTTGTTCCAATACAGCGCAGACAATCGCCAACCCACATTATGGGAAAACTCAACACTTCTCCGCCTCCCGGCCTCGCCGGAAGCAGCTCCGACGCTGACGCCGTGTCGCTCCACTCGCAGTCCGGCGGCCGAGTGTTCGAGAACGATGTCCCGGAACTGGAATCCGACATGCCGCCCCCTTTACTCGGACATCGAACCAGACACAACCGCCAACGCCCCTCTCCTCCCAACAATCCTCAGACCTTCTTACCTTGTGGAGCTCGAGGATGGCGAGACCAGCTTCTACAAGGTGGATGCAAACGCCGGTACCGAATTTCTCATCCATGAGAGCCTAGATAAGAACCCATCCGACTTGGAGCGCCAAATCCGGAAGTCAGCTACCAAACCGCCACGCCCCTCCGTCCGCGTCCTCGGCACTCACAGCCAGACGGTCCAGGAAAAGGGCAAATCGGAGAAGAAGACCATCACCGACTTCGACGTGTCACTGGACCTAACCCCGTACCTCTTCTCGGACGCCGCGAGTGCCACATCCTGGACGAAACTCCGTACCGTCGAAAACACTGAGAAGACCCGGCGCGGTACCATCCTACCGAAGCGGGCACCCGGTGTCAAGCGGGACATTGAGGTTACCAGCCCAAAACCGACTCTCGCTGAATGGTGCCACCGGTACTGCGCCAGTCATTCCAGCATTAAATCGTTCGTCCTCAAACGGGAGGTGTCGGGGTTCGACCAGGAGAAGATGAGGGAGAAGCTGGAGACCCTCGTTCGTGGAACCAACTATCGTGGGAAAGTCACCATTTCGTTTCCGGTCAAGGACAACAGCGTGGTGATTTACAGCGACTGCAAGGCCAACAGATGGCGCTTGACGCCATGGATCGTCTGGGTGTGCTATCTCTCGTTCCTGTGGCTTCTCACCTGGCCGTACCTCTTCTTCCGGACCAAGCGGTTTGAGGTGGCCATTGCCGACTGGCCGTTCTCGGTTATAGAATACGATGGGAGCCAACAGTACGTTAGCATGTCGGAGGACCATATCTACAACCTCTGGGGTCGGGCTATCAGCCGGGCGGTTTTGGATAAGCGACAAGGCACCCTCGGCCAAGAGGACCTCATCGCCTCGCAGACTGCCCCGGAACAGCCATTCGGCAACGCCCTAGAAGGGGCTCCGAGCTTCCTTCGGCATGGAGTTAATGCCATAACCGCGGTGAATCGCCAATTGGGCTGGGGTGGGGATTCATGGTAGGGAGATATTGACAAACTGCAAGGATTTCGAGGCATGTCAGCGACGGGGTTGGGTGTTTCTGGTGTTTCAATGTTCTTCCGTGTTTTATATTCGGATCTTGTAGTAACACATCTTTTCACTCCCAAATCTCCTGTCGTCTATCCGTTCATCCGGACCGTGTACAGAGTCCTCGTGGTGGTGTGGAGGACACATCCCTCCCCTCCGAATCTTAATCTCGTCCCGAAATGTATCATGTCCGTAAGCCGTGGTCGCGTCTCCCATTTGCTATCAAGGGGCGAATTCATCATCGAGGTCAAATGACTTCATGACAGCAACCAGCACAGGAGCGGAGGTCAAAATCGAGTTGTGTCCTAAGATCGTTAGCCCACTCCCTCCCTTTACTCCCGGCTGCCAGGATGGAAACCTACCTCCATGCGGGAACAGCTCCTGCCTCACCACAATATCGCCCTCCTCCCACGTCGCAATAAACGAGTTCTTCCCCCTAACCACCATCCTCGTCTTTTTCTCCGCCTCGAACTCTTCTCCATCCACCTCACCGCCCGTCAACCCCTCCACGGCGGCCTTAAACACCTTATCATCCTCATGCGCCGGGATATCCCAATCATCCTTCGCATGGACCAAACTCAACCTCAACCGCCCACCCCTCCCCTTCACCCCCTTCACCACCTCCCTCCACCGCCCCGCACTATCCCACCTATCCACCACCCTCCCCATCACCTTGCCCAGCAGCCACGGCCACCACGTTAGCGGCCGCAGCACGGGCACCCACCCGGCAATCGCGTACCCGCTCAGCATGTCGGGCAGCGAACTGAACCCGGCCACGAGCACGACCCCGGCAAAGTCCCAACCCTCGCGCAGCGCGAACCGCTCGCCCGCCGCCGCCGCCACCGCCGTGCCCAGGCTGTGGCCGACCAGCACGATGCGCGCGGGCGCCACGCCCGCCGTGTCCACCGCCCACCGCACGGCCGCCTCGGCGTCGCGGATCAGGCCGGTCTCGGTCGGTGTGCCGCTGCTGAGGCCGAAGCCCCGGTAGTCGAGGGTTAGTAAGTGATAGGGGCTGTGCAGGCCGGTGAGGGAGTGGTAGTGCGCGGGCCGGTAGCCTTGGGTGAGTTGCGCGGCGTTGCCGTGGACTGTGTGGGTGTTGGGAGGTGAGTGAGTGATGGTGATGGGTCATGGTTGGTTGCTGGGGTAAGGAGTGGCGGGAAAGGGGCCATGCGGGTTTGTGTCACTTACAGGAGATAATTAGCTTGGCGGTGGGGTCGTCACGGAGAAGGCGGAAGTTCTCTGTGGCGGTTATGTCGGGGGAGATGCCGCTTGGTTGGGCGGAGAGTTTGGCTTCGTGTTGGGCGTAGATTGGGAGGGGGAGAATGTGCCATGCATAGAGGGTCTCATTGTCGGCGGTAGTGAGATGGAAAGGGGTGACTTGGTTCTCTTAAGCCGGGAATGACATTTAGTAATTGACTTGCAGCATGTTTTCTAACAACTCGATGAACGGTATACGCACTCGCAAATCCCCATTGTTCCGGTTTGTTGATGTCCCTCCACCACAGGGTGTGGACTTTGTGCGCATACAAGAAACTGGTTGGAAAGAACCCGAATTAGCTGCTATCTCCGGGATAAAAGTTTGACCTATCGATCCAGGGACAAATGAAGGACAGATCAACCCGTGTGACAATATCTTACTTTCGCTGAAAATAGGGGACCGCGCTCAACCCCAAAAAGACAAGGTACACACCCAGCGGAAGGCCAACAACGAGAGTGGGAACGAGAATGGCAGCTGTATTCGCCATGTTGCATGGCTGCCAATTGCGAATTTTCGTCTTCAACATGGCAGGATTACATCAAGTCCGGGAGCAATGCAGATGAAATTAACAGCTTCCTTCCGCGGCCCTGCCTTCCAACATTTCTCCTTCACTTGCGGTTCGGAGGATGAGGGAGCATCCTGTCCAGGCTGGTCCCGTCTGTGGAGCTGACGTTGCGGTGTGGGGCACGCTGGATTCTTACTTGGAGCTGGTTGTGAGGGAAGGCCTGTTTGTTATCAGCCGCAGCTTCTCTCTCGAATGAACATTCCGGTTGAGAGGAAGGTACCTCGGTACCTTCCTAGAGACGGGAGGAATGTCCTAGGTTGAAAAACGGCTTGTTCCGTGAAATTTCCAGGCATCATGCGACATCCGTACCTCCTAAATAACCTGACGCGACCTTCTTCCTTCTTGCACTGACTTTTCTCACAGCAGGAAAATGCTCCAGGAACCACGGTTCTCCGCCATGTCTCGCTCCCACATCCGAACGGACTGATCGTTGCGAGCTTGGCGACAAGCCTCCAATCAGCGGCATTTCCCGGTGTTGCAGGGGACCGTTCGCGCGTCGAGCAACGACAGGGCCCATTTTCTTTTGGGGACCAGTCCATTCTTCCCCGGCTTCCATTTGCAACCTCGCAACAACCTCAAGAATCAAATCATCCCACAACACCAACCAGGTTTTTGACGAGCGGTAGCCCCCTTTCTCTCTTGTTAAATTGGCTTCTTTCGACGGAGCGCCCAATGCCGATGAATACATGACGGACCCTCGCTCGCTTCGCACATCCGCTCCGGCTGGCCGCTGTAATGGAGAGGAAGAGGAAGCTGCCGGCGCGCGCCGCGGCGCGGGCTGAGCAGGCCGCGAAAAGAAGGACTATGACTCCCCCTCAGAGATCAGTTACCCCGGCGCCCGCACCCGAACCCGAGTCGGCTCCAGTCGCAGATATCCCCCCACCACTTCCGAAATCCATCACCGCTGGCAAACCTCTGCCCACAGTCGACTCTTCCCAAGCTGACGATCTGCCGAGTGCCGACTTCCAAACCGTTACAGAGAGGTACGTGGTTTTTAATATAGCCTAGGGTAACCTGCAGCGAAAAGCTAACCATGGGCCAGTGGTGTACTCGCCGAATCTCTGTCTCGGTCGCGCCAAAAATGGACAACGGAAGGGATCTTTGAAAAGTACTGGTCTAAGCCGACTAAGAAAAAGGGCGTTGTGATCGAAGAACCGAATAATCCACCCAAGGAAAGCATGACCAAGATCGGCCAGATCACCATTACCGTCGAGCCACACGTTTTCGAAGCGACCATGTTCGCCGTCAAAGACCCGAAGCCGCCTCCGCCTCCCCCTCCGACGGCCGAACGACCGATTGTACAATATGGGCCACCGAACGGAACGATGCCACCGCCGCCCACGCCTACACCAAAGGCGACAACACCCACCAACGCGTCGGGTCCCGTCCCAAGCGCGACGCAACCCCAAGCTCAGGTGCCCGTTCCAGTAGAAACGAAAGCACCGGCTCCGATACAAACTCATACCCCTACCCAAACCCCAACTCTACCTTTGGCACGACCCAACGTGAATCAAGCCACGCCGGATGAGTTACGGTCCGCGGCACCTATTCCTCCCATGCCGGCGAGGCCAATTGCTTCGCCGCGCGGGATGGAAGCGGTCCTCTCGCCCAGTACTGCGACACCATTGATTCCACAAACCTCCCCAGCGACCCAACCCCAGCCGCCGCGGCCGACTCCCCCGCCAAGTTATCCGCTCCCGCCAGGGGCCGCAACAGCCACAGCGGCGGGTCCTCCAAGACCTACAAATGCGGTCGCCAGCAATTCAGTCCCGAATGGGCCTTCTGCCACGCCTGCCGGCGCAAACGGGAAACCCGCACCAGGCACCGACCCGATCATCCTCATGCTAGCAGAGAAAGCCGGGTCGGATCCTCAACTCCGCGACCTCATGAAGCGCGTTGCGCAGGGAGAGGCGGCGAAACACGAACTCGAGCGGTTCCAAGCCATCATTGATGCCATCACCGCCGAGAGCAAGCGAAATGGAGGTACCTCAGGGCCGTCGGCAGACAGGCTTCTGGTCGATGGGAGGACTGTGCGTTATTTCGCAGACGAGGTGCGGGCGATTCTAGATATTGTCCTGTCGTCGAATCCCAAACAAACTTCCGCCGACCTCCGGCCACCCGTCGGGAGCGATGCGCTCGTTGTTATGCTCGTCAAGACTGCCCTCGACGATTCCAAGACCCGCGACATAGTGCGGCGCATCGCCGAGAACAAAACGCAATTTGCGGACGCCACCGATCTCAAGGTCACCCTCGACGGCTTACGCACGAAGCTCATCAAAGATAAGGAACGACAACAGACACAATCACCAGTCCCGGCCTCACCAGCACCGACGAAACTTAACGGTGCGGCTAACGGCTACTCAACACTGTCTACCGCCATCGCGCAGTCACCCACTCCTCAGACAGCACTCCGCTCCAAGGGGCCGCCGCCGCCACCACCAAAGCCCGACATCTCCGCCCTCGTATTCGAGTTCACTGGCGGGACAGGCGACCGTTATCTCTTCCCGAAATTCAGCCTCCTCGAATACGTCCCGGTTCCCTCTGGACAGCAGGTAATAGCCTCCTTTCTTCTCGTGCGAAAGGGCAGCAAAGCCGAGTATCCCATGGCGGACCCTCTGTTGGACTACTACCAACCCCTCACGATCCGACTCTTCACCCCCGCCGGTCGCCACCTCGAACATCTCGCCCGGGTAGTCGCTCCGCCGGACGAGGTACGGCGATACATGGACGACGTTATGACCAAGATGACGCGGGCGGAGTATATCCTCCTCGCCATGAGGTTGCCTCGGCGGGACGGGTCAGAGGAGGACAAGGAGAACGAGCGGGAAGGCAAGCAACTAAATGGCGGCCCATTCAGGGACAAGGACAAGGAGAACGGCCTGGAAATAGTACAGAAACCTGCGCAGCCATCACCTGGTGTGTTGTGGACTGCCAAACCATCCAAACCGGACATAAAGGGCCTTCCAGGCAAAGGCAAAGGATTTGCGAGGGTCATGGATGCTGACGACCCATATCAAAGTTTCGTTGCGTCGGTCAGCCGGAAGGAGGTTTAAGCAGCCTTGGACGTGGGTCAAGCGTATGTTTGGTTGCGGGTTGTTTCGAGCAGGCGACATACAGTAGCGTATGAAACCGCGAGCCTCGTCGGCCTTGGTTCTAGGTACAATTTTCTTTTACTTGGTTTCGGTTTGATATCGGGCGGAACGGATTCAGGACTGAATCGGACGGACGGATGGGAATATCACGGATGGTGTTGCATGCGATTCTCGGCTGGAGTTGTCACTTACTACTACCCATTTTTATCAACACACTTCACAACTATCATCACGACCTTTACTTCATCCAGCAATGGGATTCGGTGATGGCTTCAGGTAACTCAACTTACAACTTACAAATAAGCCTTCTCAAAAATTCCCGGGTACCACAGCGAAAAGAAATATTAGATACGACACCTACCTGGGGTTCTTGTCCGACAACACCACACTCCCGTTGCTGTCGAACTCGAAAGTTGCGGTGCTCCCGAGTTGCTCATTCTCCATCAGTGGGAACGTTGTTCCTTTCTTCACAATCCTTCGCGTTTATCTACAGCCAGTTGTTTCCTGCGCGTTAAACCAGCCGTGTGGTGTGGCCGAGTGCCGGGTTGTATGTACAAGACGCAATCAATACTCAACTTAGTGGCCGCTTTGTCCATTCCCATATTTCAACTTGAGAGCACCATGTATTAATTTGCACACTACATCAAGTCAAATCGAGTGCGTAAGAAGCCACCACAAAGTTGCAATCCGATTGGGGTAACCAGGGCATTGAACTATACAGATGTTTTGCTCCAAATTCAACAACAGCCTCGCCACATCGTTACCCATTCTTTCAGGTTCCTATCCCCAGTGCAGTGGTGGCAAGTTTCATTTCTGTCATGCGGGAACCTTCATGTCGGGATTTCGTTCAGACGGAAAGATGAAAATGGCTACGTAACTAACAACATCATTGCCTCTACGCCCTCGAAACCACGCAACAATTAAAAATTCAGTTGATGTGATGGAAAGGCAACCATCTTATGAGAACTTGGAAAGAGAGCGACATTTTCCCAATGCGAGCGCGTGTTATTGACGGGTGGGTCCATGGGGCGAGGTCCACCGCCCGATGAACGGTCGCCGGAGAAAGTCGTGGCCGATGCCGAACGCTATTACGGAATCAGCTTAGCCCCAACCGCGCTGAATCTTGGCCTCGAAGCTCAGATCGCCCCTTCCTCAGATTCGACTTTCATAAAAAGCTGCCTTTGTTCCTTCTTTCAACGCCGACCGACTTTCTTCTCCATCTTACTAACACCACACGCTGCACCTCCATTAACCCAGCGCACTGTAACCCCGTCCCCGAGACGAGCTGATTCGACCATCCACGCAGCCGAAATGGCGTCAAACGCCTTCCAATTCGCAGGCGATTCCGACTCGGAAGACGACAACTTCAACCCCGCGCCTGCCGATGCCTCGGATGATGAAGATGGCGCCGGAACTGCCCAGCGCGCCACGGGAAACAGCGACCGCCGCGCAAGAAGCCCCGTTGCCGACGAAGACGAGAACGACGAGGAGGAAGAGGAGCGCCCTTCGAAGAGCGCGTCGAAACGGCCTCGCGATGTAGACGATGAAGACGAAATTGATGAAGACGAAGACGAGGAAGGGGACGTGGGCAAAAATGGATATGATGAGGACGAAGAAGAGGAGGAAGAGGAGGAGGAGGATGACGATGACGATGTCCAGCATGTGAGTGTACCTTTCGTTATGTCGCTCTCCGGATTTGCGCGCGCCCGCGAACAGCCAGACGCGCCTTTCCATTGGAAATCGCTGACTGACAACTCTTGCAGCGCCACCGCCGCAAGCGACGCAAGGATCATCGCGCCGCCTTCTTCGATATCGAAGCCGAAGTCGAGGACGAAGACGAAGCGGAAGACGAGGAGAAAGAGGGTGAAGAAATTGAAGACTTCATCGACAATGCGCACCCCGACGATATTGCCGAGAGCGGCCACCTCGACGATGATCGGAGGCATCGCGAGCTGGACCGTCGCCGCGAGATCGAGGCCAGCATGGATGCCGAGAAACAAGCCGAGATCCTGAGGGCGCGTTACGGCAAGCGAGCTCCTGCTCGGGGCTACGGGGAGATGACAGTCGTCCCCAAGCGACTGCTGCTCCCCAGTGTCGATGATCCAAGCATCTGGGCCGTCAGGTGTAAGGAAGGAAAGGAGCGAGATGTCGTTTTTTTCCATCATGCGGCGCATAGAGGAGCGAGCAGGTGGCAAGGATCCCATCTCGATCACCGCGGCTTTTGAACGCGGTGGGACAAACTCTGTCATGAAGGGTTATGTCTACGTCGAAGCCCGCCGCCAGAACGATATCATGATTGCGCTAGATGGCGTTCTTGATGTTTACCCACGGAGCAAGATGGTCCTCGTCGAGTTGAAGGACATGCCGGACCTTCTCCGTGTTACCAAGACACCCAACCTGGAGCCCGGCGCATGGGTGCGGTTGAAGAAGCCAGCGAAACACGCTGGCGACTTGGCCCAGGTTCTGGACGTGACCGAGAACGGCTTGGAAGCCCGCGTGCGCTATATTCCGCGCCTGGACTACGGCGTCCGGGACGAATCTCTCACTGGAGACGGCAAGCGCAAGCGTCCCGGCATGCCCGGCCCACGACCTCCCCAACGCCTCTTCAGCGAAGTCGAGGCAAGGAAGCGGCAGCCACGCCAAATTCAGGGCAACCCTCAGACCAACACTTGGACCTACAACGGCGAAGATTTCGAGAACGGGTTCCTCGTCAAAGACATCAAGATCCAACAGTTGGATGTCAAGGACGTCAACCCAACCCTCGAAGAGGTCACCAAGTTCGCCAGCGGTTCCGAGGACGGCACCGAGAACCTCGATCTCAAGGCTCTCGCCGCTAGCCTCAAGGACAGCAACACAAACGTTGCTTATGTTCCTGGGGATGTTATCGAGGTGTATGAGGGCGAACAACGAGGCGTCATTGGCAAGGCGGTCAATGTCCAAGGCGACATTGTTACGCTGAGGGTGACCGAAGGCGATCTGGCCGGGCAGACAATCGAGGTTCCCAACAAGGGCCTACGCAAGCGGTTCAGGGCCGGTGATCACGTCAAAGTCATTGGCGGCAGCCGTTTCCGCGACGAGGTCGGCATGATCGTCAAGATCGTCGACGATCGTATCACCCTCTTGACTGACCAAACGAACACGGAAATCACCGTCTTCAGCAAAGATCTGCGTGAGGCAAGCGATATTGGTGGCCAGGGATCCATCGGCCAGTACTCGCTGCTTGATCTGGTTCAGCTCGACCCCACTACCGTTGCTTGCATTGTCAAGGTGGACCGGGAGTCGATGGTGGTGCTGGACCAGAACGGTGACACCAGGCAGGTGATGCCTTCTCAGATTGCGAACAAGTTGCCCAAGCGGAGGACTGCCGTGGCTGCCGATCGGAACGGCTCCGAGATTCGGCTCGACGACGTGGTCCGTGAATATGGTGGACAGCAACGGCAAGGAAAAATCATCCACATCCATCGATCCTTCATCTTCCTCCACAGCAACGACACCACCGAGAACGCCGGCGTATTTGTGACTCGGGCTGGCAATGTCAATACAATCGCGGCCAAGGGCGGCCGCCCCACCAACCCGAATTCCGGCCCCGACCTGAGCACCATGAACCCAGCTCTCAAGCGGAACCCGGCGCAAAACCAAGGCATGCAGCCCCCCAAGACGTTCGGCCGTGACCGTGCCCTCGGCCAGACGGTGAGCATCCGGAGGGGCGGTTACAAGGCACTGATGGGCATCGTCAAGGATACTTCCGACACCCATGCGCGCGTTGAGCTTCACGGCAAGAACAAGATTGTCAGTATTGCCAAGACCGACCTTATTTTCAAGGACAGGGTTACCGGCAAGACAATCGATATTTACAGTCGTTCCGGCCGCGGCGGCTTTGGTGGTGCCGGTCGTGGTGGATTTGGATCCGGAGATCGGCCCGGAGGCAGCAGAACACCCATGGGTGCGGGAGGGGGAGAGCGGACTCCGGCATGGGGCGCTTCGAAGTGTAAGTTTCATCTTCCTCGCCGGTCCCTAGCATATGTGCTAACTTTGACTTAGCGGCCGCCCGCACACCAGCTTGGGGCCGCGGTGAAGCGTCCGGCTCACGGACACCTGCCTGGGGAGACGGCTCTCGCACCGTCAACCCGTACGAAGGCAATCGGACGGCCTATGGGGATGGCAACCGCACCGCATACGGAGGTGCCACCTCATACGGCGGCGGCTCTCGCACCCCAGCTTGGTCCTCAGGCGCCAAGACACCCGCGCATGATGGTTTCGGCCACGGCTCCAAGACTCCCGCCTACGGTGCCGGCAGCAGCGACCCTTGGGGCTCCAAAACACCGGCCTACGGCGTTTCAGCACCTACCCCAGGCGCCAGCGGGGCCGACAGCTGGGGCTACACGCCCGGCCCGAGCGGCGGACCATACGACGCCCCCACCCCGGGTGCCGGTCTGGGTGCGCCTACCCCTGCGGCCCTCAATGCCCCGACGCCCGGTGCGTATTCGGCACCTACTCCGGCCGCGGTCAGCGCTCCTACCCCTGGTGCCTGGCAGGGTGGCTGGGGTGCTGATACCGCCCCTACCCCGGCGGTCGGCGCCCCGACGCCTGCCGCCAGCGGTGGCTACTACAGTGCGCCGACGCCGGCCGCGTACGGCGGGGCGCCGGAAACGCCTGCTGCCTCGGGGGAGATTCGCTATGCAGATGATGACTGAGGGATGCAAGGAAAATGGAAAGCGGAGACTGGTCTCGTGACTGACGGTAATGGAGGGAGGGAGGATGGCGTTCGGCAGAAAGGAGGGCTTATCACAGCGTATCTGATGAATCAGTTTGCTTGCGGGCGGAATCAGTTTGGGACAGTTATAGACGTTCTTCCTTACTTGCTTTATCATGGTATCATGCTTGCCCACTCGACTTCGTGGTACTGCTCATCGTTAGTTCTCGACTTCACAGTGCGTCTTCGTATGCGGCACTTCATACCAAACAACTCACACATAGTTTTGGTTAGTTTATAATTGATTATGAGAGAGAATGAAGCAGATTTTATTTTGAACTAATGATATGCTAAATGATGACACGCCTAGCCTCAAAACAAGATGAGAACTTACCGATGCCTGGCCCGTTGGCTTGCAACGCGGCGGCCGCTTGAAGTTACGAATCTTACTTGCCTCTGGAAATTTTACCATCCTCGAGAAGTAGAAACCCCCAGCTGCCATAATAACAGCAGCTAGAATCCACACCGGTTTCTCCTTTCTCTCTTTTCCTTCCTCCCAGTATTTACTTGGTGACTTACCTCACTTACCTCCCCGATGAACCATCCCATAAACTAAACCCCCACATTGCCCCCCTTACCAAAACCCCCCCATAAGAAGGTGGTACCCGAATCAAGTGTGTGCCATGCACGGCATGAGGTCAAACGTCCGCGACCGGCTCGTGTCCTCGGAGATCTGAAACTCGGGGCAGATGTGGCCCTTGAGGTTGGCGTACTCGCACTTCCGGAACGTTGAGGCGTTCGGGGTGCGGCAGCCGCAGCAGAAGGTGTTGTAGCCGATGGTGCACATTTTGAGGTTGTGTGGTGTTTTTGGGTGGGGTGTAAGTAGGGGTTGGTGAATGTTGGGGTGGGTTAGATCTGATGTCTTACCTGGTATTGGTGCGTGGGTGAGAGACGGGGAGTGGCTACCTGGATCCCGGACCTTCGTGGCGTGTGCGGACTCTCGTTTCTGTGAGAGTTAGCGTGGTGGCTGACCTGACTTCTGATCTTACCTGAAGATGGGAAGGCGGGGAGAAGCTGAAGGGGTTTGGGGTGGGATCCTGGCAGTTGCTCTCTATCTGTTGGGGGTGGTTTGGTGAGTGGTGGTGTGGATGGGGAAAGGAAGTCTGTTGTTGAAGCAGACGGAAGGTTTTATATCTAACATTGTGTATTGTCTCGTTTCTTGCGTTACTTCGTGGGCTATTCCTGTTGTTGGTTTTGGAAGGGCCCTCAACACAAAGACGGCACACAATACTATTGTTCAATCCTCTTTTAGTTTCCCGGCAGTGAGGAGATCCGCAGCTCTGGTCCCACTGATTCTTTGTGCTAAATTTGGTGTGCCTTTCGTAATGGAAGAAGCATTGAGTACCTTACATGCGCGAGAGAAGAAGAAATCTAGGAAATAAACTAGATCACACTCTGTTTTACGACATGCTATCTACCCCGTTAACCTCCTTCGCCGCCGCTATCATCACCGTTTGACCCACTTCTACTTTCACACGGTAGGTGGAGTGCGTGAAGTAATCTATACCCAGTTATACGTTGATATACAACAGGGGTGCTTGTGTAGAGCTACCCAAAGACAAATTACTGCGTACATTAGACTGTCATGTGCCACTACCGTACAACAAGTACCGTTCAAACTCTTCAAACTGCCTAAGTCCTAACGTCTAGTCCCAGTCACCTCAATAGCGTCCACATTAAGTTCCATACACTAGGTAAGCATCCTGCCACTTGGCTGCCCCCTATCACACCCTCCAAGCCAGACTTCACCCATGACACCAGAACTACTTGGAAGACCAGGTCAACTCAGCCCCACACCACTGTCCGTCTGCATCCCGTTTCGGCTGGTACTGCAACGGCTTCCTGTGCTCCTCAAGAATAGACGCCAGGTCCGACATCTTCTCCACGCCCGTCAGCTTGTCCGATACCACGACCGTCTTGAGCAGCGCCGCCGTCGTGACCTGACTGCGGTAGTCGGGAACAAACGTCTGCTTGCACCAATACAGAACCAGGACCGAGACGAGGAGCTGCCCGCCCAGGATGCCGCCGAGCACGCCGATGGCCCTGTCCCACCTGACGCCCAGCTTGGTGTTGACGATGACGACGGTCGAGGACTCGTTGGACAGCTGCATCATGGGCAGCTCGCCGTCGGCGCCGACCACGGCGAGGATGGGCAGGCGCGCCGCGATGTGGGCCATGGCCTGGCGGCTGTAGCTGTCGTCGTCGGAGAAGCCCGGGTCGGTCAGGAGCGTGGTCAGCCCGCTGTCGGTGACGTAGAGCCGGAAGGCGGTGCTGCGTGTTTCGGAGAAGAAGTCGGAGTCGGCTTGGAAGGTGCCGAGCATGAGGAGGATGTTGGAGACGTAGGTCGAGTTCTCGGTCGAGAGGCCGTGGAAGGAAGGGCGCGTGGCGGGATCGGGGCCAGTGAGGCAGCTTTCGCACTCCATGTATACGAGCCTGTAACGCCCGGGTTGGTCTGGCACCTCTTCTTGATCCGCGAGAACTTGGGATTCATGTTAGGTATGTAATTTCCAGTTGTGAACGAGGAGGGGAGGATGGTACTTACACGCGGTAGTGAGACATGTTGAGGGGGAATTTGACATGCTGGTCAAATCTATTTCCGCTGCCCACGTAAATTCCTCGCTGTCGGTTTCATCCCTGTTATTGTCAAAGATTTGGTCCAAGATGGCAGCTATGCTGAGGCTTCCAGGGGGAATGTTATCTGCGTTGGACACAGCGACAGACGTATGGTCAGCATGGAAAGGTTACTACAGAGGGTTCAGTTTGAAAGGAGGTACCATACCGATATCTCCCACCAATTCTTCTCGCGGTTCTTCACCTTGCGTGACGATTGTTTCATAGATGTCCGCTCCATCGATCCGTTTCCGTGTGCAACTTGACGAGCTTCTGAGGAACATGGTCTCGGATGGAGACGATACGTTGCCACGGAATTCACGAAAGGGGTACGAGTACACAACGTGAGACTCATTGAGGACCCGTGTCAAACCTTCTATCTGCTCGAATCCGCGCTCGGAAGAAGGGTCGCTCTCATCGAGGCTGATGGGGGTCATCAATAGCCCGCGCATCGCGTAATCGTTCATGCGTGCTGCACGGTAATGGTTAGTTTCCGATGCTACCTAGGTAGGTACCCGAAGCTCGAAGGAACAAGCAACTGAATGACTTGGAAGTACTCACAATGCGTGCTCCCGTATTCGCGGTAGTCGGAAGCATCCCCCGCAAGATCGCCTACCGGCAAGCTGAACCAGTCCTGAGAGCCCCAGTCTGTGGCCATGGCAGAGTATTCGATGGTGACATCCTCATTTGTATCGAATGTCAGACCAAGTGTCGCAATGCTCAGCCGACCGATGATGTTTAATAACAGGTACAGCGTTGTAATCCATGTTGTGAACGTCCATCGCCAGTCTCTGGTGTGGCGCCACATAAGACGGAGTGCACCGGTGGGCTCTGCCATGGCGAGGATCAAGTCGACCTTTCACACAGTGCATTGTTAGCTATTCTGCAGGCTGGAGACTCAAAGAACGAGGGAACAGTTTCATACATCTCGTGGCGAAGCAGGACTCCTCTCGAGCAAAGGCCAGCGAAGCATGCCCCCCAACAGTCCCAGAAGAGAGCCCAAAGACAAGCTGACGAGCGATGACAGCAGGATGGACAGCGTGTTGAAGCCTCGTCTTTCCCATGTTTCGAGAACTCCCATCCTCTCGAAAACGAAGAGAATAACGCCGAGGATGACGCAGAGCAACGTGGAGGCGACGAAACGCCATGCGACATGCTTCCAGGGGAGATGGTCCCAAGTTCCGGTGCGTCGATGAGGAGCCGCTTCCTCAGCGCTGTTGACACTTACCGCCATGTTTCTGATGGGAGCCATGTGGATGAATTGGGAGCACTAATAGAATCGTCAATGTGATGAAAAGGAAGAGGAACACGGCTCCAACCTCGTCGGGCTCAGGGCTCGGGCCCTTGTAATGCCATGATCTTTCCTGTGCCCTGGAGCCTCGCTGCCTCTTGGTCGGGCAGTATTTTCAGGACGAGTGATACTCCATGAGCTGAAATGGGCCGCATTGAAGCCCGAAGTCCTGCATATTATTGTGCGAGCTGAGCTGATGGGGAGGGGAGTATTGAGCCAAACTGACAGGGAGGGAGGCGGGCACCCCCTGTCCAAATTTCCTGATACACCAAACATGGAGGTCGGGACCGTATTAATGAAGGGGACAATCAGCGCCTGAGTCGACAAATCCCACAAAGCATGCTCGGGCCTTTGCAGTACTAAACAGAGCAACCGTAGAGCATTTAATTACACTTTGTTTCGTACTTTCTTTAGCGGTCTTTCACCTAGAAATGGTACATCAACTGATGGTATACCAAAAACATCACCATCAGTTCTTTCGACCAGAGGGTGGTCGGTATTGGGTATGACTGGAGGATCCAGTGCCGGGCATCATTTCCCATCCCGCCTGCACTTGACGTGGCCAGCCGGCTGGGGGAAAGAAATATTGAATATCAAGGTAACAACGGTGTGTTACACAGCAGCGGTAAGTTCGGAAAGAGGTTCTCTGGTGATCTTGCACCGCGTCTTTCCCGCTTCCTCGCGATCTACCTGTTCCCTCGCATGTTGTTTCTTATCAACTCCATGGCTTTCATTCTACCACAGAGCGTTCCAGAACCGATGGGAGTTGACAATCCGTTTGTCTTCCAAGGCTTTCAGCAACCCCCCCTTCTCCACGGGATCCAAGGCGAGATTGTATCCAACTAAATGGGTATTAGGGCTCCGAAGGCCATACCGTATTATTCACTTCGTCTGTTTCATTCGATTCTCTCCTTATGAGACTGATAGCCAAAAGTGTGCCACTCCCCAGGCTTTGGTTCTGAGCCGCGTCAGGCTGCGTTGTTTCTCTCCGGGGGTCATGCAGGGATCCCGGCCTGTGTAACCGCTAATAACGCGATGGTGTGTGGGAACCTCAACATGTCTGGACATAATTTCATGATTATCTAGACAAGGCTATCCGATTATGGAAATTCGGCGTACTGTTGTTGAATGGGCTGAAAAGATACGAAGAACCGTTTAAAGAACCTAGCGAGCCAGGGGTCGTCTTGATCACGGTATTGTAATAGACGACATAATACAGCCTCTGAACGCCGTACTCTGTCAAAAAGGGAATGAGCTCTCAAAAGTACAAAAGTAATCGTCACCTGTAGGATTCGAACCTACGCTCCCGAAGGAACTGCCTCGCAGCTAACTGTCAATTAGCAGGGCAGCGCGTTAACCACTCCGCCAAAGTGACTTGATACGTCAACTTTCAGCATCGTTCAGTTAGAAAACGGCCGCGGGATAATTCCACGCTGGCGTTCCTGAACGAGGTCCCACGGTCTCTCGTTATTCAACCTTGCCCTATCGTTTTAGCTACATCTATCCCATTTTAATTTCACTTTGTTAGTTGTTAGGATCTCGCCGTCGTCTATTTAGTTGTTAGCTCGGGCCCCAATACTTCAACGGCTGGAGTTGGCTACAAAACTTCAATAACGGAAAGCTTGTAGCGGAATCAGCTTGATAACCGCCTTATACGTAATACAACTTCCAGGATGAAATGATGATGAATGCAGGGGTTGTCATGTCTTGTTAATACCCCTAGCATTGCTATCTTCCGACTACATGCTATTCCATCCATCCCCGATTACAAAACAAGCAACTACACTTCCAACTACATCCACCCAATCGACACCTAGTCAAACATGCCGTAATACTCGCAAGCCGGGTACACACAAGGGTATTTGTTTGAGATGATAGGTTTGTCCTTGGTTGACTGGCACTCAGCCTTTTCTGTTACATAGGACTGTTAGCGTCGACGATTTTGGTTTGGGGAGGGGGTTCAACATACCACATCCCTCGAGGACAGATGTGACGTTGTGGCCACAGCGATGGTGGACGAAGATCTTGCGGCAACACATCTTGCGTGTTGTGGTGTTTAGGTGCGTAAAGGGTGCTCAGTATTGGGGCGCTGGACAGCGAGTGGCCACCGTCTTGAAGGGCCTCAAGATGGGTGGGGATGAAGATAGTCGTGCTGAAGTGTACGACGAAGAAAGCTTGGGCTATTTTAAGAGACGACGTAATGGTCCCGGTTGCAGTATAACTAAACACTATCGTTTAGTATCCAACAGGTTACCGCACTTGATTGTGTTCACGGAACAAGGGTTGGTTCAGTTGCTTGGGTAGATAATCGCCTTACTGTTCTCGCTGAACAACACTGTAACCAAGGAAGGAGGCGACCGCGGCGTTGTTTTTGTACTCATTGTCCACAGCACCTTGATGACTCCGTCCACTGAAGCGTAAGCGAGGGTAATATCCAACCCTCATCACTGACCCAGCGATGATTGAGCACTGGTGGGTGTACGTGGCCGTAAACCGCGGAATTGTGACCACTCGGACGTCCTCCCGCATTGAACATGAGGGGAGCTAGCAGCTCGGGCACTATCTGCCCGGTCCCGTACATCATGTGCTCAGGATTGTGAGGGTAGAAGGTAATCGTTACCGTTAAGACTATGGAATGCTCTGCGTTACGACTAGGGAGCCACCGACCGTGCGCCATCTATCCCACGTCTTCCACAATCCGGTAGGGTCCTTCGACCGCCACTTGTGGCTGTGGATGGTTGTGTGTGTGCGTCTTCGCAGTCCCGTGAGCGCGCCGAGGATGGTGTTCAATCTCACCAGCGTCCTTGGCTGGGTCGTTCTGCTATGCTGGTATATGAACACCCCACTACCCCATACCGCACCCAATACCGTGTCATGTTTGGAACTAGTGGGGTGCCATAATGATGTTCTCTTATAGCCACAACGAGAACGGCAGGATCCGCCAGAACAGGGATAAGAAACGGACCAAAATAGGCCGTCGAGTCCCAACCTGAGAGCAATCTTGCTCTTCCGTCCACCTCTCAAACTGGTTCTTCCCCGCCCTCAATTCAAGAGGAGGGGTTTTTGTGGGTGGGATATCTTAACCCATAACCCCACGGACCACCTGTTCCATCTCGTCCAGGATTCAGACCGGCTCGGTTTCCTCAGTTGAGATCAGCCGCAAGCCGACCCGCCCACGGCTGGGCGTCCGAGGTCTTTCAACCATGAACTGTTCCGTCACGCCATCCGATTTGCGGAGTCGCCAAGATAGGAAGTTCGTCTTGCAAAGAGCCCCGGCGAAGATGCCTAGAGAGATTTTGGAGCCTCCAGGCGAAAGCCCTTCTCCCAAGGACTACGTGATGGGCCCTTCAACTCCCAACGCGATGCCCCCGCTCAGTCTCAAATCCACCACTGCGCCCTAAATTTGTCTGCCGTTCTCGGGTAGCCATGTTATCGCGCCGTAGTATCAATGCAACACCTGCGCCAACCGCCTGGATGTAATTGCGAGACATAGACTACCCCCGTGAAGGCTCGTGCCGCTGCTTATGCTTATGCATCCCGCCCCGCCACAGGAGAAGAATCAGCCCCGTCCGCATGTGGTAGCAACCCGTGCCTAACCAGGCCATTAGACGAGCTGATAGCCCGGATGTTGATGTGCCGAGTCGATTTCTAAGCCGAGGTCCTTGCAAAGCCCGTGGTTGGTGAGTCAAGCATTCTCGCAGGCGAACGACGAGCCCGCAAGTAGGCGACAATTTCGCAAAGAACCATACCTTCCCTTCCCCACGAGGCCTCACCACGCCTCCCACCCCCTCCCAGCCCACCCCCCAGCACACATCACCCCCGCCCTCGACGCCGCCCCCACCACAACACAATGCACCACCAACAACACCAAACTCCTCCACCACCCGCCCGGCCATCCACATCTCCCCTCCTCATGTTCCATCTCCCCCTCTTCTCCACCACCACCACCATCCGGCCCAAGCAACCCCAACCCCGATCCCGACACCATCCCATTCACACCCCCCGACCCAGCCCTCGACCTCACCCCCTCCCGCTCCCCTCCCACTCCCCCACCACCACCACCACTCCCCACCTCCCCCCCACCCATATGTAAATCCCCCGCCCCCAAAACCACCACCGCCCCCATAACAGCCCACTGCGCGCTATAAGGCCAGCACACCCACGACAGCGACAACACCTTCAACCCAAAAATCACCAACCTCAACAGCATCGCATGCGCCTGCACCCAGCGGGCGGCGCGGTACACGGCCAGGACGGCGTTCAGCCGGACACGCGTGGTGCGGGTCATGGGCGGGGCCATGAGCAGCGGGGTGGTGATGGTGGCGGGGCTGATGGTCGAGGTGGCGGGGAGGTTGGGGGTGCGCTGGGGTGAGCGGGATGGGGTGCGCCGCCGAGGGCTGTGGGGGCGGCTAGGGTTGTGGTTGTTGTGGTTGCTGTGGTTGTTGTTGTTGTGGCTGTTGTGGCTGCTGAGGTTGGTGTTGCTGTTGTTATTGTTGCGAGAGAGGGTCAGGGTGTGGGAGGCGGGGTGGCGGGAGCCGGTGGTGGAGGGCGGGGTGAGTCGTCGTGCGAGGAGGCTGCTGGTGGACGGTTGGGTGGTGGAGGCGTCGGGCGCGGCGCGGCTGAAGGGGCTTGGGAGGTCTTCGTCGGTGGTGCTGTTGACGCGGGCGTGTTTGGTGGGGTCTGGGAGGTTGGGGTTGTGAGTAGAGTGGTTTGAGTGTGGTGGTGGGGGATGCAAACCTGGAACAGGGGTACTGGGCGGCATGGGAGAGTCCAGGTTTTGGACTCTTTGCCCGCTTAGGCCGAGCAGTGGGCTGGTGTTTCTAGAACCCCTCATCATACTGTCGAAGCTATACTCTCCTCCCATGGCGCCCATGATTTCGCTGGCAGCCGGCCGGTCCGCGGGGTTGACGGCGAGAAGCCTCGTAAGCAGATGGTAGAGCTTCGACGGCAAGTCCGGCCGAGCTTTCCTCTCCTCCTGAAACCCTTTCCAATGGGAAATCTCGGCGCGCAGCTGGTCGACGTCCTCCAACTCCTCTTGGACGCTGTTGGCGTTGACGTACGGAAGCCGCCCAAAACACATGAAGTACAAGATCATGCCCAAGGAAAAAACGTCTGACTTCGTGGTGAAATTGCCGTATCTGCCGCTAGCGTCCCTTTTCAGCACTTCCGGTGCGCAGTAGGAGATGGTGCCTGTGGACCCCGTCGATTTCCGAACGGCGTTCTCTGGCTGTACTTCGCCGAAATCGCTGATCAAGCACTTGAGCTGGCTGCCATCCTGGTGCAGGAGGCAGTTGCTGGGCTTCAGGTCTCGATGGATGTAGTTGGCTGCGTGAAGATACGACAGGCCTGCGGTGATATCCTTGAAGAGCGAGTAGATCTCTTCCGGAGCCAGCCGCTTCTGGACCTTGGGACGCTCGGCCTGCCCTTTGGATCTGCGTCGCATTTGGGCCTTGAGCTCCTCCTTGGTTGCCTCCTTCGGCCTATCGCCAATAATGTACTGCAGTAAATCGCCTCCGTTACAGTACTGCTGGAGGATAAAAGCGCATGCCACGCTGGGGCCGAAACGAGTGAGCCGGACGTCTTCAAGCCAGACGTGGCGATATGACACCAAATTGGGATGGGCTAGGTTGGCCAGCAGCTCAACCTCGACGAGGACCTTTTCCAACCAAGCGTGGTCATCCCCGACCGGGACGCGCTTACAGGCGAAGTGGCCGAGGTTGCAGCCGTCTATTTCGTGCCGAACCAACAGCACGACGCCCTTGCCTCCCCTACCAAGCTCCCTCTCTTCAATAAAGAAGGTGTTGAAGTAATGTGGGCTAAAGGCTTCTCGTTTTATGCGGCCGCCACTTTGAGGGGCGGGCGAGCTGCTCACGAACTCGACGTCGGCTTCATGTTCGTCGTGTACTACGGCGGGGAGTGGCTCGACCAGTCGACGGATCGGACTAGGCGGTGACTGTGAGGAGGACGCATTGCCTGTGCTGTGGCCGGCGCGCAGCATGCGGAAATAGTTGGGGTCGACGTAGCTGTCGCCATGATGGGTATTCTCATAGTGTCGGTCTGGGGATTTCGGGCGGAGGGGTTGATGGCAGGTTGGACATTCGTGCAGTTGAAGACCCCTGATCTCGAGACGCTGCGACGACGGATCGCGGACGACGATGGCGTTATGATGTCGGCTATGGCATGGCAAAAGTACATTAGCAGGGTTAATGTTGTGATTCGTAGTAAGCTATTCCAAGCTGCTCCCTCAATCGACGCCATTAGGGAATTGTGCGTCATGGGCTCGCGACCCAGAAGTCGACGGCGGGGTTGTTCAGGGACGCTGAGGTGATGGAGGGAGCTCGGAGGAGGGGCGCTAGGAACGATGACGTACAGCACGATCTCACGACCTTCGCGCGGATGGTATGGTACGAGCGACATATTTGGCTAGAGTGCCTTTAAGTTCTGTTCTAAGCCGGAGCTGCCCATGCTCAAAGACTGCGGGTGCGTTATGTAGTGCGTTATGTAGTGTAGATGCCAGGCTGCTTCCAGATCATCCGGGTTGTCGTTTTGTGGGTTGTCGCTTTGTTGATGGCGACGGGCAGGGTTCAGACGGTTGCCAGGTCCAAGTTTGGCGGGTTGCAGCTGCTGGGGTTTTGATGACCCACTGGAGCGCACAGACATCGGATGGTGGGTCTTGGCACTTTTTGGCAGGTGCTTTTTCGGTGAAAAGGGCGCTGTGGAAGGACTCATTTGCTGCCGTCATTCAGAGACGGTAACACAATGTTGACGATGAGACCCGTGGCACGAGTGGCAACATCCCACCACTTGCGGCATTCCCAACGAGATCAATTTGAGGACGTCCACTGCATGACGAGCATGACCATCCCAATGCGACGGTGAATTGGCCAATCGCCAGAACCAAATCGCCCCTTGTCAACATCCCCACCATCTATTGGGCGCGAGCCAAGACAAGCTTTCAGGACGCAACGGTCACTTCAACGCCGATCCGTCGAGAGGTTACTGTTCGACTGCAGACTGCTGTGGATTGTGGAATTGCGATTGGGTGTGACTGTGTCCCTCAGCTTCTTTCGAAGTATTCGTACCACTAAACTTGATCCCTTTTCTCAAATCCTAGAATCCCATTATCCCACCACGACCACGACAGGACCTTTGGTGGATGCGTCAAACCATCCCCTGCGACCGTCTTTCCATATGTAGTTGGGAGCCGGAATGCCTTTGAGGAAGAGGCCGTCCCTGTCCTCGAGGATGCGTTTCACGGCCTCGATCCCAGCGCGGAAGATGTTCTCGATGGCAATATCGAAACCATTCTGATGACGCCCTAGAAGGTGGTCGTATGGGGTGACGTCTGGGGCCGGGCGGTCAAAGTTGGACCCTGTCAAGTGTCAGTTATTAGCAACAGTAGGGAGGTCCTCACAGTTCATCGCCCACATCTTGAGGGTGTCGACTCGCCAGTCCGCATGACAATAAGTCAATGACCCGCCCACGGTCCACCAGCCCATGCACCGCCATCCTCACCAGCACCTCGAGCGTGACATTATCCTCCTGCGCCTCATGCAGTACTCGCCCGTCCCATTCGTCCACACCTCCGTGATCCTCTCAAGACTCCCTCAGCAGCGCCCCCGAGTAATACACATCACTCGTCGCGGTATCGCACTTGACCACCTCGGCCCCCCAACCCCCACCACAAACCGATGTACCTCCTCCCGCCGGCCGTACCTTGCCCGATACGCCCCCCGGCTCCCCACTATCTACCGAACCCCCCTCCGCGCAACTGGAACTCAAACGCCCGATCCCTCAACGCCCCATTCACCTCCATCACCTCGGTCCCATACACAGAATCACCGGATACGCATACGGCGCCGCGGGCCCAAACGCCACATACATAGTCGGTCTCAAGCCCCGCCGGCATCTCGCGCGCGCCAAACTCGTGCTTGTAGCGCCACCTGCACGGCGAACCGCACCAGCGCCACGCCGCCCAGCGTCGCTCCGCCGCGGGGTTGACGCCCGCGACGCCCGCGATGCCCGAGATGACCGCGACGAGGAAGTAGGACTGTCGCAGGTCGAATTGGGGGGAGAGGGTTAGCGCGGTGAGGATGGCGGCCGCGTTGATCTTGCCTTCGCCGGTGGTGAGTTGGCAGATTTCGCCGGTGAAGGTGCAGTGGACGGTGGGGTGGATCATGGAGAGGGCTGGGAGGGTGATGTTGAGGGCGAGGAGGTCGCCGAGCGGGGGGGTGGGGGGTTGGTTGTGGGGAGGTTGTCGGGAGGTTGTGATGCCAGATTTCGGCTTCGGGGGTGAACTGGTGGTCGGTGGGTGGGTTAGTCTTGTTCGAGATGTTGGGGGTCGGGGGAGGTGTAAGGAGGTGGAGGTGTGTTTGTTTACCATGCTGATGATTATGATTTTGGGTTTGATGATGTCGTTTCTCTGGATGACACCACCTGAAGCTAGGCCCAGGTACCACAGGGCTAAGATGGCGGCCGCCATCCATCGTAGGGGCCTCATGGCGACGTTTAATGCGACGCCATACTTATTATTGCTTAGGCAGGCAGTGTAGAGACGACATTAAAGACACGAGGATTCGCGATGCTTAGGTACCTAGGTGAGGCCTTCGCGATGGCTCCCCAGAAAACGGTGGTGTTGGGCCCGTGGAAAGGAGGGAGGATGCTATCACTCCCTTTGTGAATTAGGCAGTGTTATGGCCTCAGTCGGTTGATCAGGTTCTTCTATCCCTGAATACTAGTTGTTTACTGGTTGTTCACAAATGAATCAAGCATTTGACTTTGGATAGGAGCCGATGGTGAGATCATGGCACCATCACACATGTGTCACGGTCGCAAAGGCCTCTTTTTGATCGGGTGGAGTACGCCAAAACGCATAGCTAAAACCTGGGTCTTTATCATCATTGGATAGGGTGGTTAATAAACCTTTGCCACTCGGTGGCTACAGCCTCGGACGTATAGGGGGTGGAGGGAGAGCCAGCGCATTGTTGGTCCGGTCTTGCACGAGCAAGCAATAGAGCGTGAATAATTACATATATGTAGCAAGGTGGTCTCGGCTAACGTTCAGCCTTGAGCTCTTCTGTTTGGCATCGGGAACGGCCTTCCAACCGAAGGGAGAGAGAAAGAGAGGTTGCCCTATGTAAGCCTTTTCCTCGCTTTTCTTGTCACTCCATGTATCGAATTTGAGACTGGAGGCCTCATCAACCTGGTGGCTACTTCGAGTGCTCTCGCAAGCATTGCTTCCTGAGACATCCGCTCTGCCGTCGGTGGAGGTGGGTGTGGGGGTGCTCGCAACTGACGAATCTTGTTGAAACGAGACTTCGACGCGAGTGTCGACTGGCCCACAAACGTCAGGAACCTTCTGCCGAACAAACCGTCGAAGGGGTTGCCACGAGCCTGCACCCCAGCTTGTCGATCTCGGATCGACATGGGGTTGTCGACCCCGGATCAGGTGGAACGGGAGTCTACTTTATTTGGTTCGCCCAGGTTTCGCCGAAGGGGCAAGAACAATTTAAAAACAAAATCCCAACTGGCTGGCGTCTCTGGGGTGCTTTTACCCGCGGCCCCTTTACCCGTTGGGCGGCAGTGGTGCCTTGGCAGGGCGGTACATGGGGAGCCGCTCCCGGTTTCGTGTAACGAACATGGATCATTTTGATATGGGGATGCCGGAAATAGGTCAGCGATCAGTTGTATATAATGGCCATCTTTCAGAGCCCTGGGTCGTGGCCCTGGTTTTCCTGTTTGCTTAGCTCGATCCAGCTGTTAGCCTGTTCCCAGAGCCCCTTGGACATTTCGACCCTCTTCAGTTGAACCAGTTACCAGACAACATGAAGCTCAGCGTTGCCATCGCCGTGCTCGCGTCGGCTCTCGCCGAGGCGCACTGTATGTCCCTCGCCCCTTGCTCTTTCACCCACTTACCGTACTAACAAACGCACCTAGACACCTTCCCCAGCGTTGACGACTCCGCCGACTGGCAATATGTCCGGACGACGACCAACTTCCAGAGCAACGGGCCCGTGACCGATGTCACCTCGGACCAGATCCGTTGCTACGAGCGTGACCCCGGCACAGGCGCCCCTGAGACCTACGCGGTCACGGCGGGCAAGTCCATCAACTACAACGCCAAGGCCTCCATCTCCCACCCGGGCCCCATGGCCTTCTACATCGCCAAGGTCCCCGAGGGTGAGACCGCCGCGACCTGGGACGGCAGCGGCCAGGTCTGGTCCAAGATCTACCAGGAGATGCCCGAGCTCGGCGGCAGCATGACCTGGCCCACCAGCGGTACGTCCCTCCCCACTCAACCCCCTCCCCCTTTCCCACAGCCTCACTAACCCCATCAACAGGCGCGGCCTCGGTCCCCGTCACGATCCCCAGCTGCCTGTCGGACGGCGAGTACCTGCTGCGCGCGGAGCACATCGCGCTGCACAGCGCGGGCAGCGCCGGCGGCGCCCAGTTCTACATCAGCTGCGCGCAGCTGTCCGTCACGGGCGGCAGCGGCTCGTGGAGCCCCAAGAGCCAGGTCGCCTTCCCCGGCGCCTACAGCGCGACCGACCCCGGCATCCTCATCAACATCTACTACCCCGTGCCGACCAGCTACACGCCCGCAGGTCCGGCGGTGGAGAGCTGCTAGATGGTAGATGGGGAGGGATGAGTGGGGTGAAGGGGAGAAAAGGGAGAGGGGGGTTCGGTGCATATGGTTATGGTTGCGTAGCGAGACTTTCTTTTGATAGGTAGTGTTCGCAGAATGTTCAGACTCTACGCTGCTTTGAGGTATCATGTCTTACTTTAACTGTACTTTGTTGATTTTCACTGCGACTTCCCTTGGGAATCGAGACTTGAAATACGAAAAGCAAAGAAATTAAAGAGTGTGTCATTATTTCGTAGTCAGCTCCTACCTCACCCTTGCAGTTAGGAGAAGAGGAAAGAAAAGAGAAATAGAAGAAAGAACAGGAGCGGGGTACCAGAGACCTGGTCCAACCCAAACGGCGCCGTGTGATATGGTCTGGTCCCGAGCTGATCTTGCCTAAGGTAGACAAATCCCGCACCCACCTCCATCCTTCACTTCAAAATACTAGCCACGGCAAAGTGGCCATTCTTCTCTGCCAATTCAATGGCCTTTTCAAACCCTGTCCCGCGCATAGGGTCGCCTGTTGCTCCAGCGTTCAGCAACAGCTGAACCATATCCAGGCGTCCATGCTCAGCCGCGGCCTCGACGGCAGTCCGACCGTTGTAGAAAGAGGGCCATGCGTTCACATCTGCGCCACGGGCGATAAGCAGCTGAGCAAGGATGAGATCTCCCGCGATGGCGGCGCCCTGCAGCGCGGTGATGCCGCAATAGCTCGCGGCAGCCGCGTTGATATCGGCTCCTCGGTCGAGGAGAAACTTGATGAGTGTCGTTTTTTTCGTCCCCGGCGTCAGCAAAGAAGCCGCCTGCAGCGCGGTGCGCCCGGATTCGTTGGCTGGGGACTCGTTAACGCCGGTTCCATGATCTAGGAGAAGCTCCACCGCTTTTAGGTCCCCGAGAGAGGCTGCCAGCTGGGTTGGCGTGTATGGTGTGCAGTCGTCTTCGCGCCAGTACTCGTCCTCGTCGAGCGGCTTGCCGTACCACATGTTATTCGTCACGGCACTGTGCGGTGGCTCAAGGAAGCGGCGTAGGACATCGTGCCATCCTCTCTGGATAACTCCGTGAAGTACAGAACTGGGCTCGCCCCCGGGTCTGTTGACGGTGGCACCGGCGTCGAGAAGGGTATAACAAAAGTCTGGATTCTCTCTAGTGGCGGCATTATGGCAAAATGCCTCCAGGGCCGTCAAGCCATTTAGCGATGCGGGAGGGGCGGAGGTATCAGCCCCATGACGCAGCAGTATTGTTGTGATTTTGTCGGATTGGCAGGCCTCAAGTGCCGCTTGCAATGCGGTTCGGCCGCCATTTGGATAGGGTGGCGCGTTGGGATTTGCTCCTCTGCTGATCAAAAGTAGAACTGTGTTTTCATCTTCGTTTGCGGCAGCCGCTTGGAGGGGGTTCCGAGGCAGACCAGGTGTGTTGATGTCCACCCCAGAATCTATGATCGTGGCTATTGAAGCTAGATCGCCACAGCCACGTCCATCCTCAACTGGAGAGCATGCAACAACCAGAGCCTTCTCTCTTTCCTCCGCATCAATTTGGCGACTAAGAGCCATCCTCAGGAGGTTTCGCGTTCCGTGTTCAACAGCCTTCTCCAGGAGCCCGGTATGTCCAATGTCTGCTTTATGTTGAAGAAGGAGCGCAACGGACTCAGTGTCGATGTCGATGTTCTTCAAGGCAGTCGCAAGGGGGCGAGTCGTCAGGGATGGGCCGTTTGGGTTGACACCATATCGGAGGAGTGTACTTGTTGCCGCACAGCGGTGGTCACTGATTGATTCCTCCAGGGCTTGCTCGAGCTGATGTGCCGTCAGTCCTGCCGGCCGAGCCGCGATATAAGCGACGAGAGCATGATCACCGCGGTTCGCGGCATCCAAAATATCCGCAAGCAGGAACTCTATATGTTCGGATTTCACCCTTCCCTTTAACAGCTGCCTGAAAACCCTCCTCCGGCGCAACGATGCCCATTCCACTAGAGCCTTCCCTTCAATCTGAGAGAAAATGTCTGCCTTGTACTCCAGAAGGAGAGCAGCCATTTCCACATCGTCCCTATAGACAGCGTATCCGAGGACAGTGTGCTGGCGTCTGAGATTACCGAGGTATAGGCCCCAGTTCTGATAGTAGGCGTTGATGGACGCCCCTGCCTCAAGAAGGAATTTGACCCCTGAAATGTCTCGAGTATCTACCGCTCGGTAGAGCGCGGTTCCAGGATGTACTCGCTTCCAGTCCGCCTGCGCATCTGCAGAAACCCCGACCCCTAGAAGAAATTGGGCGAGGTCGTACTGTCGATCGGACACAAAATGGTGAAAAAGCTTTGCTCCCAGGTCCGTTGTTACCAAGCACGCTGGGTCTGTGTCGAACAGGATGCGTTGAGTGAGGCTGGTGTCGCCGATCAAGGCTATCTCGTACAGCTTGTTGTCGAGCTTGACGCCGCACTCTAGGAGTATCTCAAGCACCTGGACATTCTTAATCCGAACAGCCGATGTTAGGACAATGTTGGCGAAAGCGTGAACGGTAGGAGTTTGGATCTTCATGAACCACGTCAGAAACGCTGCGTATCCCTGGTCGACGATCCAGTTGAGAAAGGCGTCAGCCTGGTCATCGAGCAGACTATTATTGGATGCAAAGAAAGCGGCCAGTGCGAAAAGCGACAAAAGCGTTGCCGAAGGCGGTGATGAGGGGTCTAGAATCCGTTCCAGAGTTTGCGAGATATCCCCCTCAGTTCGCTCCGGAATGGTTTGTTGAAGATGGGACGAAACCTCGGCAACGCTGGCGACGGGCTGTACTTCTCCCGTAGTGGTAGGAACGTCAGGGAGTGACCCCTGAATCACGATCAGGAACCCAGAAGACGCAGCTGCCGCAGAAGCGGGGGGTTCGCAGAGTGAACTTGAAGCATGCTTTGGTAGAGAATAACCTTGAACTGTGATAAGCAACAAAAGCAGTTGACCAAGGACGAGCAGTGAAAACATACTGGGTTGCTCGATTTCAGCAAGTACTCGAAAGAAGGGCAGCGGCCTTTGTTGGACGTTATGACTCCAGTGGGTACCGAATAAGTTGAAACTGGGACTGACAGGCTCTTCGGACGGGGATAGAATGGCTCTGACAGAGGAGGGGCTGGAACGCCAGTGGTTCATTGCACGGTGGTTAAAGCCCGACATGGTCGTTCTGAGGCGCGGGGAGTCGTTTTTGTGTAGGCCTATCGTAGTAACTACTCCTTCGTATCGCGGTTAGCAATCCGATAGCTGCAACTGCTCTGCGCGTACATACCAGGTTCAGCGGCAAGGAAGGACTCAATGCCCAACACGCCCACATCATGAGCTGCAAGCGGGAGCTCTATATCAGCGGCCCCGACATAGTCAACCAATGGTTCACACATTGTTGACGCTGTAAATGTTCCACTCCACGCCATCCAAGAGCTTTCGAGTACCTGACTAGGCGTCGGAACGGAATGCAGAGTTGGTCCCGGTTGTTGAGTCATTGTTATCCCCAAACCGTCGTTGCGGCCCCCGTCCAGTTGACTTCTTCCTTGGCTATCAACTGCAACTGGGGCTGGGTTCCTACCACCGACAGGTGCTGGTGACGGTGTCCTGATGGATAACCTCGGTACAGCCTGATTGCGCTGCTTCACTTTCGGTTTGTGAGCGCGGTCGCATCAAGTATCAGGTACCTGAGCACTTACCTTCCTTCATTGAAGCCTTTGCAGGCTTCGTAACCCCATTCTTCGAGCCTTTCCTTCGAACGCGACTACGAGCCAAGTGGACTCGTCCCGGCCGCAATGGCTGGCCATTAAAACAGACCACGGTTTGTTTCCCAAGTGCCGCGCGACGTTCACATTCTTCGTCAACGTACGCCCACTCTTCACTTGTCAAGTTCTTGAGACCAGGGAAGCGCCGCTTGTATTGACCATCGCTTTATCGACCTGTTAGACACCCAGACCCGCTCCCGATCTCATGACGGGCATACCTTGGAGTGAAACCGTGTTTTGCGGTCATATGCGCCTTAACTTGCCCCAGTGTTTTCCCTTTGGAGAACAAGCCGCGGATCTCATCGTCATATTGGGTCCAATCGAGGGATGCGCCCTCCTCACCTGGGGCCATGTTTCTGATCTGATGTTGGTGTGGGATTGATGGCGAGGGTATGATAAAAGCGCATGGAAGACAGGGCAGGTAGCCAGGACACCGTGAAAAGTTTATCTTGTCCCCCTTTTCTCACCTGGACAGCCGAGGCGGACTATGGACGCCTCATTCAGGCAACCGCCCTCCCGATTCATGATACACTCACCGGATTCTGGTGCTTGATTGGGCGAGCGGCCACCCCACTTCCCATGCTCCTTTTCCGTAAACTTTTGTCGTACTTTTGTCACTCACCCCCCCTGTGCCGAAAAGGGACCGTCGTGTGTGGACAGGGAGCCAATCATACTTGGCGTTACCGGCCTTTTGGCCGCCGAACGGGGCCTCGATTCATCCTGCATGTCCGTCTGCGCCTCATGGCTCATTGGTTATGCCTTGCTGTCTCATCCGTAGGGTGTCAGGGGGAGGCTGCGGGTGTTGTGGGGCCGAGGGAGAGAACTGCCATATTCGCAGCAGTTGATCAGATCGGCGGGGAGAAAAGACTGGTAATGCAACACACACAGAGGCAGCGAAAATGAGTGAACTGCATGGTGTGCGTTGCCAACCCCAGAATTCCGCCAAGACGCGTTGCCAAACCGGACCCGGGATGAAGACAGAAGGTCAAGAAGATCGTCCAAGATAACTCGAGAAAGTTAATTCATTGATTAAAAGGTCAACCATTGTGTACGCCTTGCAAGATTGCAGTCTGGTATAAACCATGGCTATAATAACCTGACATACTTCCCTAATGTCTGCCGGAGGAAACCTTCCGTCCCGTAACACTTACATTTACCACCCTAGACAACCCAGGTCAACGTCCTTGTTTTATATTCCACAAAGTTCCACCTCTTTGGCAGTCACTCGAAATGTCCACCAAGCCGTCTTGCTCTTCTAAATCTACCGGAGTCGAAGCCCCTCGGTCTTGTCTCGGAAACCTCACTGGGTGCGTTCTACTTCTCCCTCTTTCTCGACGTCAATACCCCATGCCCATGACTGGTTATAATACTAACGTGGCTTCAAAATAATAGGGAATTCCCGGTGTCACCCATGGATTGTGTTTCTGGCACGCCTCGCCTCCCTCTCGCGACCAACAAGTCAACATCAATGTTATTGAGGTGGGTTTACGACACCGACGCTGTGACCGTCACCGAGAGACTCCAGCGGGACGGGTGTGAGCAAAAGGATAACGGTTCTGCTGGGAAGTAACACTTGGAACAAGGGTGGACAGCTGGGAGCCTTGCATATTTGCTGCACTTGATATAGGTACCTCGATGATAAAATGTGACTGGAGTCTCGTTTCATTTTGCGTGTGGCTACGTAGGTACCTAATTACCTAGGTAGGTAGGGAGGTACTATGCCATTACTCAAGTAGACGACTGTAAAACGGTGGTGGTGATCATTTCTTGCAACCCCCCGCCGGCGGTCTACGGTAATATGATATATATCTTTAGGTGTTGCCGTGATCACTGACGACCATGGAACCTAGCTATTCCATGGATGCACCTCAGCTTCGCCGTGAATCATTAGCGTAGTGATCTGGGCTTAAACCATGCCCACAATATCCCGCTAAAATTTCTTCGCTAGCTTGCTGGCTGGGATTCCGGGGAGCTGGGAAATGAACAGTCACCTAAGGCAGTCAAGTAATTATACCGAGGTACTTAACGGACTGAGCACACGAAGGATGAACGGGAAGTTGGTAACCAACCGACCAAGTCGGACCAACCGACGGCTTGATCGGGAGACCTGTGGCGCCCCACTATTAATCGAGCTGCGGACCGCTGTTTAATAAGAGTTGGGCAACCGCCCATGTTGGTTGACCGAATAATTAGGTCCAAACTTCTTTCTCCCAACAATCCACCTGGATATTTTGCATACCTATTTTCATCCACGGACAAACCCCAATCAGTCACACAATGTTCTGGTCCGTTCCGCATAGTTACTACCTATCTACCGAAAATAACTAACTTTGTGACAGTGAAATGGACCCTCCCATTGAAGTCTCCGTCGCTCGAGCCAACCCTTGGCGGTGGACCCTGGGCTCCTTGATTGTCTGCGAAAAGGCCGACGATCCGGGACTGAAGCCCGGGGACACAATAGCCGACTGGCGAGATGGCGACAGCACTTTCTACCTCCGAAAGAGCTTGCCACACGAGTTGTTGGGGAACGATACGGAGGCCGATAGGATCCATGTCGGGGGAACTTCGTCCGCGGTTTGGCGTCTCGGTAACAATGTATTCTGCAAGGTCCGTGCCTGGTGTGAAGGCCTGGAGCTCGAAGCCAATACGATGCGGTTCGTGGAAGAGAAGGCCCCAGAAATACCTATCCCGGAGCTTGTTCATACCTGGATCGACCACGACCTCAATAGGACCTTCCTTCTAACAAGGCGAGTTGAGGGGCAAACCCTGGAACGGGCATGGCCGCAACTCTCGGCACTGCGTCGCACCCAGATCGCCGACGACATCGCGCGGTTCTGCGTTTCCTTGGCCGACAACACTTCGCCTCGGTTTGAAACGGTCACTGGATACGGTGTTTACGAACCAAGGTTGATGGAGAGCGCACCCAAACCCCACCCGACGTGGAAGCCGAGAACCCTTGGCCCGTTGTCACAAGAGGCGATGCGTGCCTATATGGCCAAGATCTCAACCGAACCTGCGCCAGATATTGACCCTCAGTTCCACTTCTATCATGCCGACCTCGGACCGACAAATGTCATGGTATCCGAGGATGGGGACCGCGTGACTGGGATCATCGACTGGGAATCGGGGGCATACTATCCACGTTTCTGGGTAGCCACTAAGCCTGTGACTGCCGGGGCATTCTACCTTGAATGCGAGACTGACGAACCGAAGCTGTGGGGCCAACTCCTGGGCCAAGCACTCGAGGCAAAGGGTTATCAGCGGTTGGACGCAGCGTTCCGCCGCTGGGATAAATCAGTCTCTTGACGAGGAGCGGGCTTGCAAAATGCGCGCTGACGAGGTAATCATTGCGTTCCAACGAGAAAGGAACAGCTAGCTTCGTTCGAAGATATATTGCCAATTGCCAATCCAACGAGTTTCCTCCACAGACGTGTACAGACTGGACTGACAGCGAAACCCAGCGCCGCGATTCTGGATACAGTACATTTCCAATTAGCTGCAGGCACTACTAGGAGAAAGCCACACCAGTTCTGCTTGCAAGAAGATCTTAGCCTATACTGCTCTGTCTTTGGACACCATATCGAGTTAGTTGTTAGGATTGCCGTGTTTCGTCAAGGTGAGTGGCTGAAAGGAATTATATTTTGAAGGTTCTATGATACAACAACTCCAAATACCGCCTAGAATGCAGGGAACACGGCAGAGGACACCAGCATGTGGGATAGGGTCATCGAGATCGGCGTAAGATCAACAAAACATAGACAGGAACTTCAACATTCACCCCGAGCTCTCCGGAGCTAACGTGTTCAAGAACGGACATCGGCACCGGAGGGCGCATTGTGGTCCTTGAAGGCAACGGTTCGACAAGCAGCACTGAACAAGAACAAGGTATCTAACCCCTCACCCGCCTGTCAAGAACAGAACCTAGCGCCTCGTGATGGAGTCTAACGGCGAGACCAGGACCTCACCCCGATCCCGGTGCCGCATCGTCCCCTCCTCAAACGACCGGATCAACCCTTGGATCTTGTGCTGAACAGGGCCCAGCCTGCTCACCCGCGTCTGTTTCCGAAGCAGGCCAAAAGTGAAGAGTAGAGCGCCAGCAAGCGCACCGACTTTGAAAATAGCAGATGATACCTTGTGCGGCACCGCAAAGGCAAGAATGGAGCACGCAAACGTCCTGGGCTTGGTATCAGCTAGAGAGGCCACAAGGCTCGAAGAAAGCTTACCATGCCGCTGCGCCTGGAGAGACGGTTCTCCTTGGAGGCTTCTCTTGTTCCTTGGCCTTGTCAAGGATCTCGTCTAGCACCGTCAGATCCCGCACCGCGCTGTCATGCGAAATCTTCAAGAGCCAGACATTCTTCTCTGCTTCGGAGCCGTCGCGGGTAGAGACTTCTGAGAGTCAGTTAGCCACGGACCCGAAGCCCACATGCAGGTATCCTGGAGCAACGTACCTTGCGACCGGCTATACGCCCCGAGCTCAGTACTGGAGGCTGGAAGGCGATCCAGGCACTCGAAATATTGGTTGAGGTAGCGGTTTGCCGATCGCCTGTAAACCTCAAACAGCTCAAAGATATCGCAGCCGCTCTGGTTCGCCGAGACTGCGTTCCAGGATGGCACACCCGAGGTCCCTTTGGCTCCGACTGTTTGCTGGCGAGAGCTGGCGAGAGCGGTACTCTCGTCCGCTGCGTAATTGTTCTGATCCATCCTGTCCCCTCTGGTTTTGATGGTGATGGAGATGGGGGAGATGGAAGATGTGGCTACAGCCTGATCGGATCCTGATCCCTTCATGTTCTGGGTGCAGCTGAGCTGACCCACCCCGCCCTTTTCAAGCAAGGCCCTGTCCGACCAACAGAAGAGAAACATGGTCTGCCTGAGGCCAGAGTGCGTCAGCAGCAGGGCATCATCTGCCCTGATTGGCTGGTTGGTCATGCCCCCCTGTATTCGAGCTCCGAAACGCCCACCACCACGTTCATTCCCAGAGCTATCCGTATCGAATATGAGCCTAGCTAGAAAGACGCCGACTACAAGACCGTGATCGTGATCGCGATCGTAAATATAGACTTATAGCCTTGCGACGAGAATGCGTTTGAGAGCTCGAGGTGTGTTTGCGTGGTTCATTTTGAAGAAAGCTCATGCCAAGGGGGCATTTGAGTCTGGATGCGCGAGGCTGACTGAGGCGCATCCAAGCACTGCCCGCCAGTGTGTTCAGCTCCTGTCACAAAGCGCATGCCAAGGTTGCACATCATGACCAATTTCCCTTTCAATGGTGTTGCGCCGAGACACATCATTCGCCGGGAGTGCCCATGTCCCCGACCAGGCCCCAACGAGGCGGTTTCTGGCGGTTTCAGTTGCCGCGAGGGAGGGAGTGTCTTGTCTCTTTGGCGCCCTTCCCAAGTTCCCCGAGAGCCTGATTTGTCGGGGTTAGAATTGATAAACCCCCCGTCCCGGTGTCTGAGTGAGCCGTAAGCCCCTGTCGTTGTTGTGTTTCCCTCCAGATTAAGGTACGGAACCCAACTTCCCGCGAACTCTGGCCTGAGCCGCCTAACTCTGCCCTGTGCTTCGTTCACACCGCCAGCAATGGAGGCCAACTCCTCGAAAGAACTCGGGCACGGTTCCAAGCAGGACCTACGGGTCACTGTCCGTCTGCAAGTTTGGCACTTCAGCGAGCGGGGACGATGCCCCGAGTTCAACCATGGCCTTGCCCGTCTGTTCTCCCCCGAGGCTCTCGGGGACTGGAATCACTGGATTCCTCGCCCGGCTGAGGTGGTCGAACCCGATGGCATCTCGATTCGAGATGACTACGTTCCGGTCGAGGTGGGTTCGTTTACGGTTTGGTTAATGCACTGCTTCATGTCGGGGATGCTGACTTGGAAGGTCGACTTTGTACACGCATTCGCCACCTACAACAACCCTCAGGGGAATCCCGAGTCCGGCGTTCGTGATGTCTTCAAGAAGTTCGCTCCACCGATTGTATACGATTACTTTATCTCCAAACTACAAAGCCCACCTCACGCGATGAACATCTACGCAGTTGCCAACGGTGAAGAGATGACAGAGATGCACATCAAGATGAAGTATGCGCATCGCTTCTTCTTCATTCCGCTGTGGCTTCGGCTCGAGCGGTTTATCAAGCCCGCAATGGTTCGCCAGGAGGACACCATAATGAAGATGTGAGCATGGATTCTATCCTAGGCGGGCTACTAGCCACTAACGTCAAGCAGATTGCAGGCGGGGGTCGACTCTCTCCGTATATTAGGGTCGTTGACCTTCGCCTACATGGCTTTCCAGGGCGCAGACATCCGAAAAGCAACAGAGTTCCTCGCTACTTGCAAGGAAACTTTGAGTCAGCTTTCGTCCCAACTGCCCTGGTTGAAAGAGATGCTCGACAACCTGAGTAGCTCGTCTTCGTCCGAGAACAGCACATCTGAGAACCCACCCACTAGTAGTGGGCCTCTCGTTCTCTTGGGTGATGCATCAACCTCATTTGAGAAGCTCCGGGAACTCGCCGGCGGCTTGAAACCCAGACTCGACAAATTATCAAGCGGAGAGGGTAAGTCCCTAAATTCTCAGTCTTCATAGCCAAGGCTAACATATCCATGAGGTCTCACGAACCAGGGCATCGTCAGAACGATACTTGACCTGCGCCAGGCTACAATTCATCTCTCCGAGTACGAACAGGCCATGGTGAGCTTCAATGAGGAAGAAATCGGCAAGTGGAACGAAACAGCTAGCCATCATGAAAACTTCGTCTATAGAGCAGGGATCCTTGCGCTCGGGTGCGCAGTCATTACAGCCCTGGCTTTTTGGAACCCACAGCTCGCCCGCGGTCTCACCGCTACACTCGGCCAACACCTTAAGCTGGGGGTGGGTGCTACTTCATCATTGGCACTTACCACAGGTTATCAGTACAACAAGTTGAGCGATGCCCTTGTCGCGCTTGGTGATGCTAGGAATAGGGCTAGTGCCGGCCGGGTCGCCCTGGAAGGAGTCTTCGTGGCTCTCCGTCAGGCCCACACCACCCTGACCTTGGTTTACTTGGTGCAGGTGATGGGACAGCCCATTGCATGTATGGGAGACGAAGAGCGAGACAGGGCGGTTAGGATGCTAGGGGGCGACTTGCAGTATCTGGATAACGCCATGTACAGCCAAACCCTCATACGGGATAGAGTGAACAATCTGGTGCAGGCAAGTATCGACCTGGATACAGAGTACCAGAGAACCATGCATATCATGGATGCTGCGATGGATATAGTGGGAAGGGTGGTTGAGACCTAGTAGCGGGATACAGGTCGATACTAGGAGATCAACTGTTGTTGATTCCCTTACTTGTAAGGGCTTTCATAAATTTATTCAATTCGTAGGATATTCGTAGATAAACTTGGGTTCCATTGTATAGAATAAGATATCCGAGACCCGAGTCATATCTACGATGTCATGGCTAGTGAGTGACTGAATTTTGAATGCATTACTTTGTAGTTAGCCCTCCATTGATGCTAAATCATTCTAGTTGATAACATGGATGGTAAGCCTATTTGCACCGTAGTTTCTGTCAAAAGGTTGGGACTAGAAGTGTTTGATAAGAATCCATGTGGCTGCGGGTATAGGCTGTGAAGGGCAAAGATCACAACCGTCGTAAATAGGCAGGTACGTCTACCGTAGCTAGGTAGCTTCACGGTCAGCGTAAACGCTACGACATAATTACCTCGGTACCTAGGTACGTAGCGGTTGGTTTCTAACATCTTGGCATTTTTCCCTTTAGTCCCTCTCCATCTTGATTGTCTTGACGCGTGACGGCCGAGATAGCGGCAGGCCAAAGGAGACTAATTAGTACGCCATGGAAATGACCTCCGCTGCTCCTCACGTCCCATCCACTCCCACGCACGCCGTACCTGAGGTTTGACAGGGACACAGACTCGGGTAACCTTAACCCAGTTGGCATTCGCAGAAGGCCCCACATTGCTCTCCCGGCGTGGAGCGCGAGACAACCTACTGCTGCGTCGACACGAAAAAGAAAAGGCAGCCGAGTCCCTCGGGGGAACCCAGGGAGGGTGTCCTGTCATTGTGCCAGCCGGTTGAGTGGCAATCACACACACATTCGGTATCCAGCGACGAAGCTGTATATCTTGCCCGTGGGTACCGTGACCTTCCTCACGATCTACACCGAGAAAACTTGACGCATTATCTGGGGAAAATACGATTTCTCACGCAAAAACGAAGACTCCGGGACCAGTTGCGACGGAATTAGGAGAAAGCAATGAGTCGTGTTGTTGCCTGGATAAAATCCGTGCAGGCGCAAAGAAGGAAAAGCTACCTAGGTACCTAGGTACATGTACCTCAGTGTAGGTAATCTGCACGTCTGATCACTGAAGCTCAATTCACCACCAGAAATCCCTGAGCCCCCGCACGTGCGCTTCCGAACTCGATCCGACCTGCGAACCCTCCTGCGAGTGCTCCTCGCTTTTACCGTACCTTGGTACCTACGCCGACCGTCAGGCTCAATGGCTCGCCGTCAAGGGTTCGCAACCTTAGGCTTTAGCCATCGCGTCGTTGTATTTTTGGGATGCCTCCATGATGCCCTTGAAATACGCCTTGTAGCTTGCTTTGATGGACCCGTCGAGTTCGTCGCACATTTTCTTCGTCTGCTCCACCACGTCGACGATGTCAATGATATTCAGCACCGTATCGACAACCGACATGGCGATCGCGACCACAGCGATCATCTTGCCCACTGCGCCCATCATGCTGAAAGAACTCGCCTCCACCTCTTCAATCTCGAGTCCAGCCTCTTTGGCGCAGTCTGCGATCTTCGAGTTGGCGATCCTCAGATTGTTGAACATGAAGGCAATGGAAAGGTGGCGGACAATTGACAGCTCGGTGGTGGGGAGACCTTCCAGTCCCTTGATGTACGACATGTACTTCGTGACATCGGCACGCGTTGTCTTACTCATAGTCAGGTCATCCAAGGCGGCATAAACGGCTTTGACCTGAGGGCCGTTGAAGAGCCTCCGCGCCGCCTCCGCGTATTGCCTGAATCCAGCGGGATCGAGCGTGCCCTTGCTCTTGTGGACTTTGGCCATAAACTGCATGAGGATCGAGCGGCATTTCCTGGGGTCGAGGCCTTCCGCCCCCCTCCTCGCGATCAGCTTGTTGTTGGCCTTGTACTGGGTGACGTAGTCGTTGACGGTTGGGTTGATCTTGGCCGAGATATCCGTGTCGACAGTTTTTAATTTCTCGTTCAGCTCATTCGACTTGTTGGATATCATCTTTCTCTCGATGGCCACGCCGACCTCAAGCTCTGCGAAGACGAGCATGCCGAGGCCGAACGACCAGACGGCCGCCACCGCGGCGGCATCGGCACCGATTTGCATTGCGTCCGCGGCGATGGTCATATCACGAACTTTGGTTGCCAAACCGGTGAGCACGTCGAATTCAGCGTCAATAGCGGCGTCCGAAGAGAAGTTGCCCACGCTGACGAACAGTTGATGCTCTTTAATGACCTCGTTGATGTTGTCGTCGGTCTCCGAGGTCCAAGTGGACATGTATAACAAATAAGCGTTCATGTCAGTGCTCATCTTGACAGCTGTTCGTCGAGTTCAAGCAACGGAAAGATGGGAATGAAGGGGTTCAGAGTGTGAATGAAGGGGTTCAGAGCATGAATGATGTCGATTGAGGATAAAATGAAGAAGAGCGAAGGGATCGAAACCCCCTTTATAACTACCATCTTCAATGTTGGTAAAGTCCATGCCTTCATTGTACGAAGCAGTCTGCTCAAGTCCCCGATACCTGACCGTGCCCTCCCTCGAGCGGCTGGTAAGGTCTGTGGCCATGTTGCGCGAGTTCCGATCTGCGTTGGTGCGGTTCAGCTGCAGCTCCTCGCGGTCATTATTCCCAATCTATTCTATTGGGCGTTTCGCATGCGACCTTCCTTGCGGCGGATACGAACCCATTGGTTGTGATGCTGCGGCTCGGGCCGGCTGGCACCACTTCACAAGTGCCAGAGTTGCATTGAGGGATGTTCTCAGCCAACCACAATAGTTGCACTGACTCACAGGAAAGTCAACCCAAAGGGCGAAGCCAATTCTGGAAAAATAAACCGCTGATCACGTATGCAAACTTCGACTCAAGCCAGCTGAGATGGCAGCCACCAGAGCTCCCCACCGCGTCTGGTAGTAACGGATGGTCAGGCTAAGCTAGTACCTACCTTGCATACATATCAGCTGTACTGGCGGATGTCCCCAGCCAACCACATCAGCTATGAATCGCTGGTGATGGATAGGGAGTGCGGGCAGAGTGGGTAGTGGTTAGGGCGGGGAGAGCGGGTAGGGCGGGTAGGATGGGGAGGGCGGGTAAGGCGGGTAGAGCGGGTGGTGGTAGGGCGGGTAGGGCGGGTACATAGGTACCTACTCATGGGGGCGGCCTGGACTGCGGAAATCTGAGGATACGCGCCTGCCAAAAACAACAGCACATGCTGTCTATGTCGAATGACGGTTGGTGGTGGGTACTGCGGAAATGTGTTGGCTCCAGTCATCTGTGGAATCACTCAGACGCTCGGAATTGTTAGGTGGCTACTTCGTATGTCTACCTGTTTGCACAACTGCCTGGGGATCGAGCCTGGTGTTCTGTGTGTCATGTGGTGACCATAGTTGTGGTAGACCGGCTGGACGTGACCGACGATGCTGGGGCTTGTTCCATGGGGCTTGAAACCTCTCCGATTGTCACTGAGACAAACCCCTCTTCCTTGGCTGCCCATGGCCCCCTAACATTTGTCATAATACCCACAGAAGCCCTCTGACCTCCCGGGGGGCCAACAAGCGTTGGCCACATCCGCCTCGGCGTTCCTCTTGTCGGGTCTTCCTGCCTCAGTCGTTCATAAGGTTCAAAGTCACCATTCCACCACCTCTCCTCAGCTTCCCGTAGCGGCCCCGGAAAGAACTCCCGCAGCAGGCAGCGGCTCAGCTTTGGATAGGCAGCGTGGAAGTCCATAATCCCGTCCATAACCTTCTTCGTGCGGGCCACTTCCAGCCTTCTGAGCGGGAGGTTCCGGACTGCTGTGGACATCCCCATTCCCGCCAGCACGCCATTTTGGAACATGCCAAGTGCACCGATCAGCAGGATATACCAGCCGTGGTCCTTCGTCACCGTCACATTGACCAGAAGCAGGAGTGAGAAAATGGATACCATGATGAGCACCACCCGCGTCAACCAGAACCCAAACGGGAGCCCCGCCACAAACCTGCTCTGCCGCCGACTGGCCAGCTCCGAGTCAGTCCGCTGCGGGGACTTCTTACCCACAGACGAGGAGCCTGACGATGTCGGGCCCTCCCCGCTAGCCTCAGTCGACAGCAGGGTATGCTCGCGAAACTTCTGCCAGACCCAGCCCTTGCGGGGCGACTCGGCGTTGGCCATCTGCTCGAGGTCCAAGCAGCGACCCGCACCAAGTATGACCATGACGTCGCGCGAGCCGTTACCCGCCGTCAGCGCAAAGGTGCCGCGCGCGTGCTGCCGGTTGGGCAGCTTCTCGGCCACCCACTGCGGCAGCACGCCGATCATCTGGATCAGCAGCGTGCCGACGGCCGTGATGAACAGCACGCTCCAGTCGCCGCCGAAGGTGGGGATGGCGGGGATGGCGGCCACGCCGAGTTGGAGCAGTGTGGTGGCCAGCCTGACGAGGTGCACGTGGGCCTATGAGAAACGGGTTGGGCCGTTCGGGTTGTGCATGGCTTCGAACACTGAGATGGACAAGCCGTGTGGTGTTTCACTGAGCGGTAGCACCTTTGCCGACTGTCTCAAGGTCTCGCAGGATCCGTCCCAGGACCCAGTTGTGGTTTTCCTTGCTGTTGCCGGACTCGAGGTTGAAGACCTTAACGGGGTAATCCGGGGGGAGTAGCAGTCTTCCGTCGCCCATGATGCCGATCAGCGCCGTGAAGGCGTATGCCACACATCCAAAGGAGAAGCACATGGGTGTGTAGAGCTTCCCCGTACTTTGAGCAAAGGCCTTTTTGACCACATCACCGCTGATGATCATGAGGATGGTTGATACATCCGCAGGGTTCGCCCATTGTGCCGCAAACGCCGTAAGCGTTTTATCGTCCCGACTTGCTCGCGGTTCGAATCCTGGCGCAGCGCTGGGATCTACGGCGCCACCTACTTTAGGTGTTAAGGGAGGCGCATCAGACCGATAATGCTTTTGGTGTGTGGCTGGTATGTGAAGTATGGATAGCTGGGCTGGTTCGAGAACCTGCGTGAAATATCGAGCGCCTGCAAGCATTGTCATGTTTACCCATTAACCTCGAGGCCCTTGCCGGGATGCCGAACCAAATACCTGTCGAAAAGACTTTGATGCTCACAGTGACAGTTCATCCACTTGTCTGATCACATGATGTAACTGATTCGCCCTGCATCAGTCTAAAGAATGTTCACTTTGCCTGGCTGCAGATAAGACACGTACGATTTATGTAACGTGTAATTATTTAAAGCAATGCGGCTGTAGAGATACTCGATGCTGCTGAGTACATGGCTTGCTACCCCCTTTACCCACGTGTACCTGTACCCCACGTTATTCACTTCTCGTCCGGCACTGGTCCAATATCGTGATGTGCTTTTTACTCTCTAACCCCCAAGACGTGTACATACATTGGCCCAACACATAATTGTTTTGCTAACCTGTGAACTTGGATGCATTGGGTAGGTTGCTTGGTTGTTGTCTTCCCCGTGTTAACAGCTGAAGCCCGTGTCCATCTTTTATTATTTGCAGCGACAGGTCGCATACCGTACCCCCTGACATCCAGACCTGCCAGGCATTTTCCAAATCTTCACTTTCCATTCTGCTTTTGGGGCTCCCCGCGCCCCCCTTCCCCCTTACCCCTAGATTTCCCTTTCCCTTTTGTCCGAGCTGATGAACCCCCTTTTCCTTGCTACTCATGATCTAATATCTTTAAAAGTCTTCAGAAAAGCCGGTATTATGTGAGCGCCGTGGCGTTGTCCTGATTGTCTGGATCCTGTTCAAGCTCTCCCAAAGTCTGCGGGGCGGTCAACTCGAGAAGATCGCAAACCCTGCGGCCAAACCCCTCCATTTGCTTCCAAAGCTCATCCTCCAAGGGGATTGTATTGCACTACTCGAGGATGTCGGTGATGATGGGCAACGCATGCTCATGGTCAGTCAGCTCGAGCGCATAGATCCTCGCCACCTTCTCCTCCAGCTGCAGGCTCTCCATCATTCTTTGCTGGCGTATCTCTTTGAGTCTGAGAGAGTCAAGCAGCTGCGAGCCCATCTGGTGCGCGTCCTCGTCGCGGTAGACCAGGAGGTTGAACGCAAATAAGCGCCACCGCGAGTCTAGGACAAGCGGGTGGCACTCGCCCATCAACACGACCTGCTCGTTCATTATGGTCGAGACTTCACGCCTGAATATGGGGCGCTCTCGTACGGGATCCATGCTGTTTGATGTGAAAAGGCAGCCGAGTCGCGCCCGCCAGGTGAGGATGTGGTTGGGTCCGAGAGACCGTTCGCAGCGGAGGGATATGCCTCGGAAGAGCTTGGCAACATCGGGTTGTTCTGTGTCATCGAGGCTGTTGTCATCGGCGCCCTCTTCCAGGCAGTTGAAGGCCAGCTCCAGATCGGTCGCCAAAGCCAGATGGTGAGTATCCGTATAGCGACCCACTCGCTCCTTGCTGACCAGCGCTAGGGTCCTGTTCTTGGGGTTGCGCCCGGCTCCAGGGCTCCTCTTGTCGAGGACTGCCGAGCAGATGATGAGAGATTCCAGCAGGTTCGGGTGCGGCGAGACCACCTCCGCATTTTCCGTGTTGTTCTCTAGCTGCGACACTAGCGCGTCCAGGATCGATTCCAACCCCTCTCCTCCGCTCTCAATGCCCGGGCAAAATATCTCCAACTGCCATCGCAGCGCCTGGTACGCATCCCTCTCGGCCTCCTCCAACATCTCCAAACAGCACTTCGCCATCGCCAACCTGGCCAAGCACCGAGGCAGATCCGGATGCTTCCCCAAACCACCCTGGCTTGTGTCTCTTCCAAACTTCCTGTTAGAAACGGTATAAAGCCCCTGTAGCTCAGCCCGTGCCTTCCCATAATTTCCCACGCTCAGATTCGCCTCCCCGACTTGAAAGCAGTACCTCACCGTCTGGGGGTGTTCCTCGCCCAGTCTGCCCCGCGCCCGCGAGCGGAGACAGAACACGGTGTCGAGCGCCTCGTACGGGCGGGATCGGGCCAACAAGACGTCCGTCGGCGAGCGTCGACAGGGCTTCTATGGCGAGTGGGTGGTCTTCCGCTATGTGGTTGTCATGGCTTCGAGCGCCGCGCTGCACGTTGTCGGCGTCCGGATCGGACATCCGGGAGAGGATCAGTGCGCGGAGAGAGGTGGCCTCGAGCGTCAGGATGTTCCCGCTAATACAGTACCCTGGCTTTCTCCTGCAGTGTGGCCATCCCAATTCCATCCTCCGCAGCGACCACGGCAGGCCCGGATTCGAGTTCCCCATCGACCAGTACATATCCGAGTGGTACCGGGTCAAGCCCATCGAGGACGGCGCCGCGCAAAAGGTCCTTGCACGTACGTTCGCCAACACCCCGCCCGAGTTCGGTATTATCCTCTGCCGGCCCAAACCCCTTGAGTGGCCCGAGGAAATTGGAGTGCTAGTCGAGATCTACCGCGAGACCTGGAAGCGCGAGGAGCCCGAACGTGTCAGCAAGAAGTACTACTACTGCCAGATCATCAAACGGGTAGGGTAAGCCGGTACGCGCCGACGCCGAAGGAGCTGAGGAACTACCAACTCCCCAGTGGCAAAGTGCTCGAGGCCCCTATTGACGAGCTGGTTCCCGAGGACACGTTCTGGTATGTGGACGGCAACCAACCAGCCCGTGCCGTCCAGCGCCGAAACTCCGGGTTGGGCGGACATAGACTTGACATGGATGTTGCCGGACAAGGTCTGGAAAACGGCCAGTCCCGGGTCACTGAAGATTCTCCCCGCCGTTCCGTATCGACCTTCATAAAGGGGCTGATTCCTAGTGGTAGGGGTTGGCTAGGTATGTAGCTATCGCGGAAGTCATCCGACGCATGGCTTAGTTGGAACCAGCGGCCAGCCGGCGAAACAACCGGATGGATGGGCCGTGTAACCACTTACACATATGCACAGGTACCTAAGGTAATCACTCGTTGGGAGAAAATGAACCGGCAATTTCAGGCGTTGAGTTTCTGTGCAAACACAAGCAAAAGACCATCATCTTGTTCCCTCAACTTAACAGGACAACCACACAGCAGTTCCCTGTAACTGCAAGATAGCCTCGAGTTACGCTGCCTTGCCAGACGTCGACACATCAATCAACGTGGCAGAACTGGCCAGGCCGGTAATGTAGGCATGGACCAAGTCTCTGGCTGCCAGAGCGTCCTCCAAGCTGTCATGACCCTTCTTGCCCACCTGAATGGCCCGCCCCAAGTGTTTCATGGCGAGCGCCTTGAGCGACATCCCGTCAGGGTTGTTCTTGCGGCGTGTTTTATTATCACCCGGCCCCCCTTGCCTCCGCTTGTCCCCTTCCTGAACCTCAGCGTCTTTCCCGGGCTCGCCGCCTTCCTTAATCTCAACCCCTCCGTCGGACTCGTCCCCTTCCATAAGCTCAGCCCTTTGCCGAGCCTCTTCTTCCTCCTTCTTCTTCTTCTCTTCCTCCGCTTTTAACTCGGCCTCCTTCCGCTGCGCTGACTCAACGAGAAGAGAGTCGACCACCCGATGGTGGATCCATCGGAGACATAGTAGGTCGCTTTGGGCCCCGTGTCCCACGACGATAGTGGAGGGCCCCACGTATCGAAAGATGGCCGTCCGAGCAGCATCCCTGCCCATGATGCACTTCCGTTCGCGGCGCGACCTCTCCATGTCGCCTCTCGTAATGCCCGACCATCGAGTGTTGAAGTGCTTCATGGGAATATCGGGATAAACTAGACTGTCGATGAGCGCCTTGCCCGTGAAGTAGTCAACTACGGTAAGGCGGATAAGCTCGCTTTCGCCGTCGAAAGCGGTTCCCATCTCGCAGTCGATGGCGACGGCTACGCGATGCTTGGTCGTAACACCCGAAGCGGTAGGGTGAAACTGCCATCGCTTTTCGTTTGTTCCGTTGCGGTCATCCTGCACGTCGTGGTCCTCCTTGCCCGTGCAAGGGTCTTCACTGACATGCTTCTTACAGCATGTCCATGTCTGGGAAATACCAAAGTCAATTTCGGCTCGCCCTCATTGCCAACAAGGCGGTGGTCTTACTTTGTAAACCACCTTGCCGGGGTGGAAGTTGCAGCGGGGTGGCCTTGGCTTTGCGATATCAGCGCCAGGATGGGTTGCGTCTTCAGACGCCGGAGGCTCGCTGCCTTCAGCTTTCGGCTGTTGGATTTCGGCAACTGGGTTGGTGTTGTGATATCGAATGCGGGGTGGCTTTCCAACTACGCAGCGTGAGTGTCAGTAGAATCACCATGAAACCCGTCACGGATCGGTCGGGTGTTGTCAAGTCAGCCTGTGACTCACTTCGGATACCGCACGACATGCATCGTCTCTTTTGTTCAAGTTCGGAATCGGTAAGTTTCTCAACAACATAACCAGCCCGTTTCAGTGCCGCAGTGGAGAAAACCAGGCTATTGAGATGCTTGAGAGTGTCGTCGTTCAATGCAATCGGTGTGCCCACCGCGCCTTCCTTCAGCGTTGAGAAGGCACCGCTTTGAGTCATGGTGGAAGTTTTTGCTGGGAACGACTTTGCAGGATGGGGAAATCTTGTAAATTAGAGTTCCTGGTTGAAATGCGTCTTATAGAAGCCGTGGGATGGGCAGCCTGGGGAGGGCCATGGGCGGCCGCGCAAGGCTTACCTGTTCGAAGCCCAACAACCGTTTGCATGTTGCACGAAAGCTGCACGTGATGTAACAGTGAACAGTAGGCCTCAGGCTGGCTGCTTTGCTCCAATTCAGAGAAGTAGGAAGGCAGCAACTGCCCCATTCCGTCAAAAGCCACGCGATAGGCTCAATGCGGTCGAAGGTTGCTTGGCCCGCAATCCATCCATTAAGAGCGAGAGCGACTCCAGGCTGCCTACGATCACCCAGGGTTGCCTCGCCAAACGTACAAGTTACCACTGCCCTCGTTTACCAGCCGAACGCTGCTATCGATGGAGTTTGCTGGTTAATGGGGTTAAACGCGTGATCCTTCAACCGACTCACAAGTCACAATTCAAAAGACGGAAGGACCACAACGGGCAGAGGGCCGGTGCAGGGAGTCCTCAGCAATTAGAATGAGAAGCCAGCGTCAAGACGCCCCTGATAACGCGTGTGAACCTTGAACGGCCTAAAGGTTACCACAGCAAGGCCCAGGGGCATTCCCACGGTCTGTTGGTCAACCTAGTTGGTCCTCTTCACTCACAGCCCACCCATAGCTCGGTCTGCAACTGACTTGTAAACCGCCAGGACACAGTCGGTACCATAGCGCGCCGGGGGGGGGTTGCAAAATGATCACTGTGACTGTCCTGGGGCTCCAAAATGATCCGGACCTATGACTGATCTCTGACGGACGTCATTCGAAAACGGTTTCCGTCCGAAATGGTCATAGAGCCCAGAGACGATTTTCTTCCAAGACAATTTTAGTACTGAAAAACCAACTCGCAGCCAAATCCATTTTATAAGCCTTTTTTTTAATAAAAAATTTAAATATTAATTTTCTAATATTTTATTTATTTATTCAATCTATCGAATATTTTATTTACTTATTGAATTTTACGAATTTTACGAACTTTACGAATTTTATGAATTTTACGAATTTTTACAAATTTTTACAAATTTTTACGAATTTTTATAAATTTTTACAAATTTTTACAAATTTTACAAATTACAATCTACAGCTTACAAATTTATACTTTACGAATTTTCACTTAACGAATTTACAGTTTACGAATTTACGATTGTAAGACTTACGAAAAAATAGAGCACCTTCGAAGACTCGAACACAGAGCCTTTCGAAAGGGAACTCAAGATTAAACAACTACACTCAATACTTCTTAAGATAAAAATAGCAATATTTGCCACCTATATTTGCCACCCCCTCTCTAATTTTAATTAATTAATTTATAGCTTAGTTTTCTTTAAATAAATCTATTTAAAAAAAAAACTTTTTTAACTCTCTATCTTTATATATTTTATAATAGAAAATAATTATTAAATATTAAAATATTTATATATTAAGATTATTATTTATTAATTAGATTTAGGTGGGTGAGGCCCTGTAGTGCACACACTAACAGGGCTTACAATGCACTTTGGGGAAGCAATGCACAGTACTATTGCTTAGCTACCAGCAGTAATTACAGGGCCTAGGCCCTATAACAGTGGTTAATTTAGTAGGTAGACCACTATTGTTTTGGGAATGCCTCTATATTTGCTATCTTAACCACTGGAGTTGGATTTACTACTTCCTTCTCATATACCCACCGACCGGGGCACAGTGCCGAATTCGGCCCAGCGGTCTTAGTGGTAAAAAACTGAATCCCGCAAAACTCATTTGTATAGGTTTGACTAAAAATGGGCTCACCTGCTCGCAGCCGCACCCAGAAGTGCCCGGGCCCACTTGCACTACTACCTTAAAAACCGGTGCAGGGTAGGCCGGTTGGGGCCAAGCGGTGCAGGGTAGGCCGCTTGGGAGCCAACCACCGGTGCAGGGTAGGTCGCTTGGGATGCCAAGAGGTGCAGGGTAGGCCGGTTGGGAACAACCGGGTGCAGGGTAGCTCGCTTGGGAAACCCAGGTGCAGGGTAGGTGCAGGGTAGCTCGATTCGGGAGAAACTAACACTTAGTGAAAAGAAGAACCAACCTTCTTCAAACTAAGATAGCTAGCCACCCAGTAATCGTACCGCCACAACCAAGATACCAGTATATAGCTACAGGCCATACGAATTCAATTACAGTACTGTAGAGCCCCCCAGATGGCCACAGCACTAGTAATCTGAACTCTAGGGTTCAACACCCCCTCTTTGTAGGCCTGTATGCTCAGTGGAGTATAGAAGGTTTAAACCTTAGCTATACTAGCGAAGAGAATAAAAAAGACTAACTAACTAAACTAAAACTAAAGAACTATAGTAGTTAGATACTATTTACAGGCTTTTCTAGCTGTTGAAGCTATATAAAAAGGACTAAATTACAGGACCAATTTCAACACTATTTACAAAGGGAAGAAATAGTAGGGAATGGATAGGCTGTTATAGTGGGTGGTCCAATCTAATAACCACTATAAACGCCTCGGCTTCTTTAGACCTAGTAGGTCTATAAACGCCCTGAAGAGTTGGCTCACCAAAGCCTTCGTAAGCCCATCGGCCGGCATACGTTTAGTATCAAGAAAACTAATGGAAACTAAGCCCCCTCTGACCTTCTCACGCACATAGTGGAATTTCAGCAGTGTATGCTTAGTTCTACTATGTAGAGCTGGGTCATAGGCTGTAGTAATAGAGCCAGTATTATCCTCAAATATAGGTACTGGGCCTATAATTGAGCGCTCTAATTCCTTAAAGAAATCCATTAGCCACTGAGACTCCCGTATAGCCTCTGTAAGTGCATCGGTTTCGGCCTCAACTGTTGAAAGGGCTATAGTAGAAGCCCGTTTCGATTTCCAGGTTACAGGTCCACCGGCCAATTTAAATAAATAGCCGTAAGTGGATTTAGACGTTTCTTTGTCGCCTGCATAGTCGCTATCTGAAAAGCCCACTAATTGTAGGCTCTTTGCCCCCTCTAAAAGAGTATTTACTATATCCTTTTTAGTAGGACTATAACAAATAGCTAAATCCTTACTACCGTTTAGATACCGGAGTAGGTTTTTAGCGGCATTAAGATGCTCTATAGTAGGGCCCTGCATAGCTCGTGAGAGCCACTGTACCGCAAAGGCTATATCTGGCCTTGTTAGGAGCATTAGGTACATTACCGTGCCCACTATCTTCTGGAACAGTTTGTGGTCGGACCTATTTACAGGGCTGCCTTTACTAGATATATTGGATTTATAACTAGTAATTCCTGGTTGTAGGGGTATAGAGATTGATCGACTAGAATCCAACCCGAATATCTTTAAAGCTTCTTCGATATACTGTTTTTGATGGATATATAGTGTTCTCTTTTCTCTAACCCTCTCTATTTGAACTCCCAGGAAAAAGGCTGCCGGGCCTCTATCTTCTATAGCATAGACCTTGTTAAAACGACGTTTAAAGGCCTGTATTTTCTTAATATCAGGCCCTATAAGAAGGCAATCGTCAACGTAGGTAACTATAAAGATCCTAGCAGTAGGATTATAGAAGATAGCAGAGTGTCACGGATTAGGCCCAACGCGGTCTTGGCCTGCGGGATGCGGGACGTCCCGGCCAATCATTTAAGGGTCCAACGGCCAATCGTTGCGACAAGTGAAAGCGCTCCCGACGCTCCCTCTCGAGGAAGGGAGCACGGGGAGCACTCGCCGCACTCACTGCTCACGACGCTCCCATCGCTCCTCGGGAGCATAGGGAGCAGAGGGATCAACACGTTAGATAGCAGTATATAGTCACTCGTTCTGGAGAGCTCTGGGAGTTCTCCAGTTAGCAATCACAACTACAGTTCGCTACAAGCTCGAGAGCCTACTGTTGAGACAAGTCTTTGTTGTGCACCCTTTGGCTGCACCGAACCTAAGCACCCTTGAGAGAATACCTTCGACCGATACTGAACCCTAACAGGACGGGTCCAGAGACAGGTTCGTCACACGTTGCTAACTCCCTTTGATCTGTTACAGTTCAGGCTCGAAGGTAAAACGACATGGCAACTCAACCGACGCCGGGCCAGATCACGGCCGCGCTTCAGAGAGTCACCGAACGACTCGATGAAACTGAAGAAGAGCTTGCGAAGACCAAGGCCAGCAACGCGGCATTGGCAGCCCGACTTGCGGCGACCGAGGTCCACACCAAGGACCCGGCCAAGACAAAGGTCAAATTGGAGCAACCCGAGAAGTACGGGGGCGACCAGGAAGCCTTGCCAGGTTGGATCACGGAGATGCGGAACTATCTCGACCACAACTCGCACCAGTTCGCCACTGAGGAATCCAAGACCAGATACGCCGCCACCCGACTCAAGGACAAGGCCCTCAAGTGGTTCACGGGAACACTGAGTGATTTCCTCGGCGGAGCAATCCACAAACCCTTCACCAAAAAAGTCTTCGAGAACTACTCCGAGTTCGAGAGTGAGATTCAGAAGGTGTTCGGTGACAAGGACGAGAAGCTGCACGCCCAGGAACGGCTAGGACGGCTGAAGCAGACTAGGTCAGCCACCGCCTACGCCACGATTTTCCGACAAGACTCCATGAAGGCAGAGATAGACGACGAGGGGCTGATGCACCTGTTCTACGGAGGGCTGAAGGAGGAGGTCAAGGACGAGCTCTACAAGGAGAGCCGACCCGACACACTCGACGAGTACATCGCCATGGCTGTCAAGATTGACGACCGACAGTTCGCCCGCAAACAACAGAAGAAGGGCAGCGAGGTTCAGCGATCCGCAGGCTACCACAAGCCCAACGACAAAAAGAAACGCCAGCACCAGAGCACGTCATACGGCACGCACTCGGGACCCATGGACGTCAGCGCTGCCCAGGCACAGTGGGCAGGAAAGAGAGATGGTGCCAAGGACAAATCAGGCATCACTTGTTACAATTGCGGCAAGAAGGGGCACTTCAAACGAGACTGCCGCAGCAAGAAAGAGTGGAGACCGGTTCCAGGGAAGGAAGCTGCCACCATCGACCAAAACACGGTCGGAAGAAGAACCCGGTTTCTGGAGGTCGCAGCCGCCAGCTACACGCAGGACGACCTCGAAATCGACATTGACCGAGTCATCGAGCAGGACGATGAACTCACCGACTCGGAT